TGCCAACGGGAGAATGCAGCGGGAATGTCAAGGTTATGCATCGGGGCCTTGTGAGTGTGACGGTCGTCGTTGGCTGTGAGCTGACACTGGGGACATGTCTTGATCCATGTCTGGATGTCTTCCTGCATACCGGGCCACCACCAGCGTGTCTTCATGAGAGCGCACATGGTTGCGGTGCCGGTATGGCCAAATCCCTTGTGGTAATCTTCCACCAAATCGGCACGGCGGGCAAAGACGACGTAGCGTAATTCTTTGGCTTCATTTAACTTCGGCTTGTAATACACCATTCGATCACGAACAATGAAATGCTTCTTGTGTTGCTCGAGTTTATCTTTGATATTTTGGGGCCATTGATCCGGTTGTTTGACATAAAAGCGTGGCCAGTCGTTGCGGGGATCAATGTGGCTTTCTTCGGCCTGTATGGCATATAGGTACTTTGGTTCGAGGTCGGTTGGTGCGGGATCCGACGATGGACCACTGACACGAGAGAGGAGGTCAGGGATAGTGTTTTCGGTGCCAGGTCGATATTGGATGTCGGGGTCATAGGATTCCAGTTCGTTAAGATATCGGACGAGACGACCCGTAGGATTTTTCTGGGATCTTAAAGATTTTAGTGATAAGTGATCCACATAAACTACATAGTTATGGTCACGACTGTCAATGAAACAACGCCACGTTCGAAGGGCATGGAGGACACCTAGCAATTCGCGTTCCTGGGCTGGATAGGAGCGTTCTGCTTTGGAGAGCTTCTTGGACTCGTAAGCCAGAGGGCACCATGTACCATACTCGTCCTGTTGTAGCAAAACGGCACCGAGACCATAGTCCGAGGCATCGGTTTCGATTCGGAATGGCTTCGACATGTCTGGGGATCGGAGTACCGGTGCCTCGATGAGTTTGCTTTTTAATAGGTCAAAACTGTGCTGACATTCTTGGGACCATTGGATTGCGCGCTGTTTTGGTCCAACTCCTCGGGTTAAGTCGGTGATAGGGGCTGCGATACCGGCGAAACCTGGAATGAAGCGCCGGTAGTGTTGGGCTAGACCAATAAATTGTCGTACTTCCTGGACGTTCGTTGGAACGGGCCAATCACGTACAGCTTGCACCTTCTGTTGGGATGGGAGAATGCCTTTGGCGGAGATGTCAAAACCTAGAAAGGATAATTCCTCTTGGGCGAAATGACATTTTGTAGGGTTGACGACGAGTTGTGCCTCGTGAAGTTTGCCGAGGACCGCACGGACGTGCTCTTGATGGTCTTCTAAAGATGAACTAAAAATGAGTATATCATCAAGGTACACCATAGCGAATTTATCAAGATAATCCTTGAGTACGGAATTCATAAGCTTTTGGAAGGTCGGTGGCGCGTTGGTCAGGCCGAAAGGCAGTACCAGGAACTCATACTGGCCGTAACGGGTGTTGAATGCTGTTTTGGGGACGTCTTCTTCTCGAATCTTGACTTGATGATATCCGGATTTCAAATCCAGCGATGTGAAATAACGCGCGTCCCGAAGACGATCGAGGCACTCATCAATCCGGGGGAGAGGATAGCTGTTGCGAATGGTAACCTTGTTAAGGGCCCGGTAGTCAATGCACATGCGCATTTCACCATTTTTCTTTTTGACAAAAAGGACAGGGGCGCCCCAGGGGGACGAGCTCGGTTGAATGTGGCCTTTATCTAGCAGACCCTTGAGCTGACGCTGGAGTTCATCCAGTTCCAATGGGCTCATTTTGTAGGGTGTTCGGTTGATGGGATCGGCGTCTGGCGTCTCGATGGCATGTTGGACATCGCGATGTGGGGGAAGACCACTGATGTCGTCACGGAAGACTTGAGAGTATTCAATTTTGAGATCCTTCACCCAGTCCTGATCAATCTTCTCCTCCTCAGCGGCATTACAGAGGTGAACCAAAAAACAGTCGGCTTCATCGTGCTCGAGAAGTTTAGATACTTGTTTGGCAGAGAGAAGGAAGTTGGCATCGTTAGTGGAAGCAGTATCAATAGGATGGATTACATATGAACGCCAATGGTCGGTGATGTACCAGGTATGGAGTGTCCAATCGGGGCGAGGTTTGACATTGACTAACCATTCATCACCTAAAATAACATCGAACTTGCAGTCAAACACCAGGGCGGAAAAGGACGTGGGAAAATTATCGAGAAGACCGGAGACGGTGGCAGAACCTTGAATAGAGGAACGCTGGCCGTTCGCTGTCTCGACAAGCTGTCCGTGGATGGGTTCCGTAGGGGACTCGGCGAGACTCGCAACGCGAGGACTGATGTAGTTGGTGCTTGCACCACTGTCAATTAACGCATGGAAAGAATGCCCGCGAATTGTGAATTTATAGAGAGGTAGACAGCGAGGAGAGACAGTATGTAACGATTGAAAGAAGGTCGAGTCAGGAGATATCACTGGCTTTGATGGAATCACAGGCGAGTATTGGTCAACATCAGAGGATTTTATTTCTTCCACATCCTGACTAGGTTCTAGATTATTAAGGCGGGACGTAACGTTACGACGGTGTTGCTCATCCAATTCTTTATGAGCGCGAGCCCGCTCGCGACAGTGGCGCTGGTAATGACCCGGTTTGCCACACCAGTAGCATTGGCCAGAGCGGGAGTTAGCCGGTCTAGGTCGAGATTGATTCCGGTAATTTGTAGAGTTCAGCTGTGCTACAGTGGCGGCGACGATTGTACTAAGATCCATAGGGGCGACACCATCATGGCGGAGATATTCCGGCGTGGAGGATGCTTGAACACGAGCACCTAGGCGGTTACCGCTTTCGAAAGCCAGAGCTATCTGTATAGCGTCATCAATGTCCAAAGGATTGGCTCGTGTTAGATGGGAAGCAGCATCAGCCACTAAGCCTGTGATAAAACGATCGATCGCTTCATCATCGGTCATGTTGGGGAGGTCCATTCGAATGTCTTCGAAAGCGTCAACATATTCCGTAATGGTGCTGGTTTGTCTCAGTTCACGGAGTCGGACACGAGCCGCGCGATGGGTGTATGCTGGGGCAAATTTGGATGACAATTGGGTCCGGAATTGTTGCCATGTCTCGGGTGCTATTCCTTGCTCCTCCAAATGGTTCCACCAAGTCAGGGCACGACCACGAAGGCGAGAGACGGCGACAACGATCCATCGATCAGTGGGCACTGAATAAAATTGTAAATACCGAGATACCGCAAGGAGCCAATTGTCAATAACGGTAGCAACACGTTCGCCATTATACGTATCAGGTGGAGGAATATTGATGCCAGGTGGCACGGCCGACGTGACAGGCTCGGTTGCAGCAGGCGAGTTTTCTGCATGCTTGGATTGATTGGGTGCCATTTTCGGGTAGTATTTCTCCTCAAATTTTTGTGCAAGCTGCGTAGCGAGTTTCTTCCAGTGTTTCGTTCGGGCTGGGGTAGACTTTAAACGTTCTTCAGAAGGGATACTTTTAATCCGGCGGTACTTCTGGTATTCTTCAACTAATTCTTTTCTTAAAATTTCTTGTACGTGTTCTTCGATTTCGTACAGATTCTTGTCTTCTTCGGATGTAAGGGATATTTTCTCAAGGTTCGGAGGATCAGTGTTCATGGAACAGCCGCTACCAATTGTCGTACTTCACTCGGATCTGATATACAGTCAAGATCACCAAAGTGGTTTGCCAAGAAATATAGGTCTAAAAATGACTGACTTTTTATTATTCTGTTTGTTCTGTCTTTTATATCTTTTCTCTAGTTTACTGATTATTAATCTATTATACAAAAGGGTATTAGCCCTTTTCAGAGTCTATATGTTATTGGTGTTGACTCTTCGCTTGCGAGGGAGTCCGCGGGGAGTTCTGATTGGTCAGAATGGAAACAGGTCACGACATTCGGCATATGCATCTAGAATGATTACAACGTGAAAGTTTGTTTTTCTTGATTTTTATGACAATGAGGAAAGATTTTTTTTTTGAATGCGTTCGGAGCAAGGCAACCTCAAACCAAGAACACAACTTAAGTAAACAGCTAAGCTTCAAAATTCAAGTGTTTTGAAATAAAGCTTTCCTTTTGTTAAGGGCGAATGGACCACGTCCGTCATGGGATATATCTCGTCCTGGGATATAGAAGAAGCAAAATAAAGAACAGATATAAAGAAAGAATATTAAAGGGAAGAGGAAAAGGATCTTCGCACAAACCATAAACTCTTCAATGAGCTGATTCCCTTTTTCGATTTGCAAATCCCATGCTTTTTCGGGTCGTCCTTCATAATTCCGAAGAAAGCAAAGCTTTTACAGAGTTCATCTATTATGACGTCGTATCGCAACACTTGCGGCAAGATGAACAACGCCATGATGGTATTTTCCACATATAATAGTGTCTTTGTCAACACTCACGGTAGTGTCGTTTTCGGGGTTTGCTGAATCTACTCCGGATACTGGTTCCACGGACGATAGATGAAGAAATAAACTAGAATTGGAGGATAGATAATTGATGCTCTTTATTCGTTTTGATTGAGGGGATATTTATATGTTTCTGGGTTAATCTATAATAGTTTCATAATAAGGCTTGGCAGGGTATTTTGGTTCTGAATGCTCAGCCTTTCGACCGAGCTGTTCGATAAAGGAAACGCTTGCTTGAAGGTCATTACCAAAAACGTAAATGTTGCCGTGAACGTTTTAGGGAATACCAAAAAGGGTACGACAGTAGAAGCTAGTCCATGACCCTCAATCACGCTCTGCGTATCTTCATAAGAGAGTTTGGCGTAGGGTCTACGCATCCATGTTAGGAAATATTACTCAATACGTTGAAAATATGGTCGTCAAAAATACGTACTGGATAAACCTGGCATTTTAAACTGCAAAGTTATTCCCACTGAATGAATGCAATATGGGTGTGGTATTTATCCATCCTTCGGAATCCGTTTCCATATCAGGAAGACCAGGATTGTAATTCTAGTCTTGACTGTCAATAATTTTGGAACAGCGATTCTTCATACGGCGGACAATGATAAGTTTCTTGGTCTCAAAGGGTTTATCCTTCCCTAACTTCCATAATCTATTGGAACCTCCACAAGAATTTTTTCTTTGACTTTCGTTCACCAACATTATGTCTGCTATTACCAATATCAACAATCATCAGAAAGTCCGTATTGGAGCCCCTCATGTTCGTGAGGAGAACGTTGTGATAAGCAACGTAGAAGAGCCTCTAAACAGGCTGAAGTCGACTTTAAGCTGTTGAGAAACATGCTCATTGAAAGAAAGAAAAAAGCCGCCGACCAGCTCTTTCTAGTTTTGGTTAAGCTACCCACAGCGAACACGATCTCGTCAGTGCACAAAGTGGCGTGCACGCTGACGCCTGGACAGCCTTTTTACAGGTTAAGAAGGCAAAGGACGAACTCATGGGCAGACTGGATTAGGGCACTGTCAATGAAAGAAGCATGATCACTTTGGTCCAAAGGACTTATCAGCTTTTCAGCTGAAAGGTGAGACAATACGAAAGAAAGTCCATGATTCAATCAAGGCTTTCATCAAGGCATTTGAGGAACAGCTCCGTGAACACAACCTGGCTTTGGATGACCATTGGGAACGCTTGTTCTGGCTCACCTGCGATGGCTCGCAGCAACAGTGGTTCTCACGCATCTTGGCCGACAAAGGTTTGTCATGGAAACAAGCTGCAGCCCGCCTGGAGAAGGGCTTTGGCGATCCTTTCTATCTGTGGAGGAAGAAGGATGAACACAGACACTTGCTGCAACGCAGTGGAGAACCCATGCACCTCTTCCTAGAGAGATATCAAGAGGTATCCTCTGAAGCCAGACTGCCGCAAAATCAGGAGTTGATTTACAACTTTATCTGCTCCCTCCGTGCGCCTATCAAGGTCAGGGCATGGTCAATCTTGACCAACACTTTGGTTTCGAACTGACGGATAACCTAAATCAAGCTGCTCAGCTTATCATGGATGCATGCGGAGAGGCATCCGGTGAGCCTCAAGAACGTGAGGAGTCCTGGCGTCGTGGTAAACGCCATTACATTGATGAAGACCGTGCCGAAATGACGAGATATAAGAAGGCTCATTTTGCGCTCTTCTAAGGGCTGTCCAATGCACCCAACCTTTGAAACACGAATGCCACCTGCTTGCAGATGTTGCCACACAGGCGAATAAGACCGCCTCTGGCCCACCTGCTAGGAAAAGCGGCTTATGCCGTTACTGCAAAAAGGTGGAGTACGTCCCTGGTCACCAATGGCAAGAGTACTGGGACGGCAAGAAAGAAGTGCGTGGTGGACAACGGAGCAGCCAGGATCGAAGAGGTAGAAGATTCTGAGTCTGTTCTGTTGGCCAGTCAGTATGGAGAAGCTCGATCTCTAAAAAAAGAAAAGAACCTTACAAAAACAATTTCATAAACTGGCACTGATTCCATTTTCGTTCTCATTTCTTATACAGAGTGAACGTCAGTGGGTCCTGATAGATACATGCGTCAATAATTCTTTCGTTGACAGAATCTTAATAAATTTTTAAATTATCTGCCTATGATAGGCAAAATACACTTAGCAACAGCTAATCAAAGTGTAGAAAGTGATGGCACAATCGAACTCCAACTATAGTATATGGAAATACATGTGTTCACAAATTTATTGTCGATATGGGACTACGAAGAAAACGCTTAGTTAATAACAATTCAAAGGGAAAACAATCTAGCCAGTTGTTACTAAAAACACTGACGTGCAGTCACTCGATCGAAGTCTACATTCAACAGTAAGCCAAGGTCATCCACTCTGTCGTAAATGACCTAGTGTGCAAGAGAATAAAATACAGATATTGTTTGGTGGGTCGGAAACGCGAGCATTTGTTCTCTTTAGTAATTAAACAGTTTAAAGCAGGAAAACAAGAGTATTTATAGTAAAGCTTTTTTTTTATTGATGTATGATTGTGCAGCACAGCTATTACGAAACGGACGCAAAAACCAGACAGTGACCTAGCAAATCATAGAACTTTAGTAAATGATTTCCAAGCAACCAAATTCAAAAGTGTTTCTCCATTCCCATAAAAGAATAACAAGAAAATGGTATAAAGTGTCTTCAGAGATTGTTCACCAAGGATTCCCCACACAAATGTGAATAAGTGAACATCGGAAATGCGTAACAAATTCGGGTCCAAAAAAAGTTTTCCATCATTTTTCACCATCCATTTCCCAGTCATTCTCAAAGAAAAGAAGAAGGTTTATAGAAGAAACAGTTACATACCTTTGTGTCGACAACGAGAGAAAGAATTACCATGGGAGATGGTGCCATTCTTATAAAAAATTTTTCTCCCCAAGGACGTTGGATAAACTCTGTCACAAATTTCGGACTGTTACTTTTATTTGAAATTCCGTCTGTGTGACAAGTGCCTGTAATTTTTTCCGGCAATTCACTCTCTGCGCGAACTCATCCCGATCGACCGTAAGATATCGATCTTCCTGATACTAAAAGAAGCTCGATCATTCGTAGGCAAGATTTGAGCGTATCAAAATAAATTGCTGCATAGTATCTAGTGTCTAGTAGAATATGGTTTGTGATGAGGTGTTCAAAGCTACTTGTTACTGATTTGTACAGTGAATGTCAGCATCAAACCAATTTTGCACCGAATCAGTTGAACATATACGTGAGAGGTAAACACATAGTTACTATGCTAATGTATAAATGACAATATCAATTGTTTTTTATATATATTTGATGCGTTGCACAGCGTTGACGCGGTAGGCGGTGGAAAATGGATTGAAAGGAGATTAAAGAAATATGAAACGAAAAGGGCTTCGCGTCGCTAAGCAGGTAGCTCTTGAACAGTTTCATCTTGAAGCAAAAGGCAAATCCTATCGGCACATAATTGAATAGTAATAGTAATCAAATGCAGAATACGGTGCGCCATTTTTATGATACAAAAATTTGTACCTGAAACAATGCTTTGAAGCATTTGGATGTTCGCTAGTTTGTCGAACTTTCAAATACAGTAAGGATAAGTAGAGACCTGTGGCTGCTGGGAATAGGAAGCAACTTGTCCGGTCGTAATTTAAAAGAAGTAGCTGTCAAAATCCGTAGCACAGGCGCAAGGTTTTCTGTACAAGCTGTGGTTCCACCTAATTAAGGTTTGCATAAAAGACCATGCCTGTCAACTTTCTTTTACTCCCCATGTTGTAAGCCAGTTTTTCCGAAAAAGGATAGTTCGTTGTTATGAGCGTTTATCCTCTCAAAAAAGGGTGCCAGCTGTGTTAATAAAGAGCAACATCGAGGCAAAGTGTGACAGAGCCTACAAGGAGTTGCATCTGCTGTTTTCAAATAATTCCGCATATAGAAAGAAGCGAACTATAGATAAAGTAAGATGGGAATTGGACAAGAGATGTAATTAAGGTTATGGTTGCGGCAAAGCTTCATTTTTCTTTATTTCCGACTGCTTGCTGAAGTGAATTGCCATGGGCTTGTCGTGCAAAAGATAGCCATTGAGTGATTCCAAAATCGTCTGTGCAATTGTGTCGTTTGCGAATGTGACAAAGGCTTGGCCCCTTAGTCGGCCCGAATTTTTCAATTGGATATCCATATCGTTCGCTGCTTCTGCGTGACCGTGGCTATCGGCAATGACGCTTTCAAAAAGACGGCGCAGGTCCTCTTCTTGCACTTTCTTAGCCAAGTTTTTGATATACAATTTGCTGTTCACACTGCCAGGGTCGTAATTCTTGAAAGCCGAGATATTTTCCAAGTCTTCATCCAAAAGCCATGGTCAGCTCATTGATCATGGACAGCTAATTGACGACTCTTTTTACCTTTCTTATCCATACGCTTTTGCTGAATTTCTTCCATGGTCAGATACCGTGCTGGTTTAGCTGCATCTGTATTTGTACTTTCTATGGCTTTCTTTTGAGCGTCTGATGGTACCGTCTGAATGTCTTCATTGGTCTGATGCGGTGTCGTTTTAGATGTACTTGTAGCATTTTCTGTAGATTCTTTCTGAACGTCTGATGATTCTGTCTGAATTTTTTCTTGTGTCGTGTCATTTGTGGTATTTTCAGCGTCAGTCGGTAATGATTTATTTGCCAGAACGATCTTGATCCGTTTCGCATCTGGTTCTTCATTGGGCGCCGCGTCCACTTCTCTGCTTCGTGACGATGTTGCTACAGTTCGTCGCAGTGCTTTCTTTTGTTCCTCAGCAGCAATTCGTTTTAAGCGCGCTTGCTTGATTTCGCGTTCTCGTTTGGCTATATCATCCTTTTCTTCATCAGATACCGAGTCTAATTCTGATTCATCGCTTGCTAACATATCATCGTGTTTCCGTTTCAACTGTATCATATACCCATAAGTCTATCGTCCTTTATCGCTGTGATGCTGTATATCTCATCCCACAAGTACGTACCGAAGCAGGAATAGATTCTCGATCTATCGGACCAAAAGGCGGCGGCAAATTCATCTTATTCATCAGATGAAGTACCTGTGTATACAGCCTTGGTACACTAGCGATGGCATGCATGATGTTGGAAAGAATTTCCGGCGTAGGATCCGGATATTGATAGCGCAAATGTGGATTGGAAGGGTAATGAAGGCTATCCGAGACTCACATCAATATAAAAACCAGTAGTACTACTGCAAAGCAACCTACCCCAGCGAGGGAGCAATGGGCTGTGCCTTGGATTCTTCGGTCTCTACTAGCGTAGTCGTAGATACATTGTGCGGTTCGACGGACTGTCTATGCAGAGTCAAGTTTGAGCCATGTTGCGCTGTTGTATCAGTAATCCTATTTCCTGTTACCGTGGCAAAGGCGCTTGCAGCAAACTGCCGCGGTGGGGATGCGGGGTTGCATATTCGACACGCAGAGGCTTCTGCCCGGATGTTATAACAAGGTTATGAAGTTGTTGGTAGGCATGTTCGGCTGCTGCACGATTGGGGAAATCGAGAAATGCCACGCCTCTCTGTTCGATTGCAAAAATGGCACGTTACAATCAGTGGATCGCCAAAGAATACTTTGAAAGGAAAACGTACCATCGATTTGCCTTGCATCAAGCGGACATCAAGGGCTTGATATTGTTGAAAGAATTGCCGCGTTCGATCACTGGTATCGCCTAGCGTGGCCGGTATATTTTTGACGACAAGCGTAGTAACGGTGTCCTAAATGTATAAGTACAATCACAGAATTAGCATAGTGAATATTTTGCAAATGAAGGTGAATGGGGTTACCTGTGGCAAGAGTGCATATTGCTTATCTTGTGGATAATTCAACATGGTGCAAGCATGCCTTCTTTGGTTGCTGTCAATCGGGAAATCAAAAAGCGCACTTGCCACCCACCTGCTTTTTTTTAAGCTCAAGTTTTTTTTTTTGTGTTCTTTGGAACCATCGTTTACAACCGTCACATCCATTGACAATATGCGACAGAACGAGAACTTGATGCTGGTATGCCCGTGAACTATCCTGGCTTATGCAATATCTATTCACGCCTTGTGCATCCTACAGATCGGAGACAGTGTGGTCTTGGTGCCGTACAAACATGAACACGTGCTGCAATATCACGAATGGATGAAGTCGCCATTCCTCCAGGGTAAGTGCATGCTGACAGCAAAAAAGTCCAAGGGGAGAAAAAGTAGATCGCCTGGAAAACTTACGATTTTGGCTATAGAAATGACGGCGTCTGAACCTTTGACACTGGAAGAAGAATACGAGATGCAGCAATCATGGCATGAAGACGAAAGAAGTAAGATCGTGAAGGCGCAACCAACGTGCCCTGACACTAAGGGAATTATTGTATTGTAGAATGTACCTTTATCCTTCTTGCGTTACCGAAAGATCAACCGACAAAACTTTCTGCCATGTCGCCGCATGATATCAAGCAAACAGCGATAATGATCGGAGACGTCAATATATTTCTCAACGATCGGGATGATGATTTGACCTTTGGGGAAATCGAGATTATGATCGCAGAAGAAGGCTATCGACGTCAAGGACGAGGTTTGGAAGCGTTGCGACTGATGATGGCATATGGTAAGCGGTGAATGTGGATAATCGTTCATTACCAGAGTAATGTGCGCTTATTCTTTATCAATTTCATGCAGCGTCCGCCGAGCTCGGTTTGCGTACATTTCATGCCAAAATTTCGTTGGCGAATGAACCCAGTATCGAGCTTTTCAAAAAGAAGCTCGCTTTTTACCCAGTATCCATCTCCAATGCATTTCAAGAGATCACTCTGGAATGGTCGATCAATAATCCTCCTTCAGTAATTGGCGAGGACGAAGAAGAACCTTACGGATTCAAAGCTACACCTGAACAAAAAACTGCCATCAATGCAATGCGCGAAGACTTGATATCCTATTGGAATACAGGGGTTCGAAAAGTAGACTGGGAGTAAAAACAGTAAAACGTGGATAGACTTAAAAACATGTTAAGAAAGCTGAACTTCTATGATCATAGATACAATAGAATTATTACAAATGTACAAAGCAACCGTTCACTAGCCCTTATAGTAGACTTCATAGCTGATACTTGATTCACGGTCAGACAAAAGAGCGTGAAAAAATGAATGTCGCCATAGCGATCATAATATCAATTGTATGCCGTCTTTTGGGACTATGAAGGTTGCTAGACGGTTAGGGTCATGGAGAAGCGTGGGATGCAGACACAGGGACATAAATCAAAACGGGTATGGATTGGCAGTAGCAAGCACATTATGGCGGGTTTACCAGTGTCGGGTCGTGTATAGGGGCGTCCGACGCGTTTTCAATTTGGCTCAACCACCAGTCATAGGATGTGCAAACTGAGGGCATATTCAGTACCACGATTCTTGATTCGGCACGTGGTAATGTCTCTTGTTCTGCCGCAAGAGCCAAACGGGAAACGATTTCGCTGGGTTCCGGTAATGCAGATTCACTGACTTGGATACTGACATGAACGTGATTTGCCAAGCTTGGGAGCATATCAAACGTTGTTTGGCTGCTTAACTGGTTTTGAATCACATCCGTTTCCAGATTGATGCTGTCCAGCATATCAATGTATTCTAGACGGCGAGTGCTCGGGGTCACTTTGGCAAAATTCAACGACAGCTCAATGGTGGTCCAGCTGTTCTTGAGAAACATAACTTGTGTGTCGTCATCGACCGTACGAGGTACAGGTTGGAATCCCTGCTCGTCCATGGGACACAGATCGAAATGGAGGTCAAGCGTGCTAGGATCAATGGAGCGAAATTGACCAAGAAGAGACAACTCGTCATGATAATGAGAGCGGCTTTCAAGATAAGATAGTGTTTCAATATATAAAATAATCTGTACCATGGCTTTGTGTCAGTTCATTACCAAGGAGAGGCATGAATTGGTTTCTATTCCTTACATGAAGTCGCCACCCGTCTTCATTCGTGAGCTGTTGGACATGTTCAGCAGCAATGGGAGCTACCAGAGCGCGCAACCACGGATTGATCTGACCCACGGTATGTATATCTCTGGCGGTTACTTTACCAAGAATTAGTTGCAGAATCTCGGGAGGAAGCGTGGAAAGTCGGTCTCGCATAATGACTATTGAGCAGGAAAACCCGAAAATGGCATAAAATCGACGAATAATGAGGTAGTTAAAGAAGCGGTATTTCAAATAAACTCGCACCACCTGACTCTCCCTCATGGGACAGCAGCCTTGTGTAGGTGGTCGTTCTAACGGTAGTGGCAACCTCCATCATGGCATGCACAAGATAACGTTTCTCGTTTAGATACCAGAATCAAAGGGCGGAAAATCATGCAACTTGAATGAGTCGTGATTTAATAAAGCTTTTTTTTTTGATTTGTTGCATAAATTTTGACAAGTGAGGACATTATTATTTGCTCTTTTTTCTTTTCAACAGACCAACATATACAGATTGTAAAAATAATACATAACAAGAGCTAAAGCAGTCATGGTTTCTTATTTCGCTTTTTCTATTTCTTTTTTCTGTAAATAGTTTCTATTTAATCGACATAGAATAATACAAGACTTGATAGTCGCTGACCCGCTCTCCCTTTTTTCATATGTATAATCAACATAAAATGTCACGAGTTTATGATCGCTGGCCGGGTTCCGAGGGCGGTGTCGAATGGGGTTGATGTGACGATGGAGGCACTGATGCCTGTGATGGTCCGTGCATACTCTGATCCGAGGGATGGGAACCATGCGGTGGGCGGTCTTGCGGGTCGCCATGTGGCTGGGGCTGTGCTTGTTGTCTATCTTGTGCTGTTGGTGAACCAGGGGCCGCATCAGATCGATACACAGACATAACCGTTGCAGCAGGGTGCGACAATGAAGGCGACAGTTGCTGCGGCCGTTGCATGAATAAAGGATGCGGCTGGGATGCACTCGGTGGCGCATAATGGTGTTCTTGCCCTGCAGGTAGAATGGCTCGACTGCCCATGATCGACATGTCTTTGTACATTTGCGAGGACGCCGTTTTATGTGCTGGATGTAGCATTGGTGTGGTCGACGACATTGGATACAAGGACCGTTGATCCCTCTTCATTTCCATCACATTCACGGAAGGCGATCCATGGTGCGGTGAGGTCGGTGGTTTGGGGTGGATCATAGGGTTCGATTGAAGCGCAGGATGAATAGTTGGTTCATTGGCATGGTTGTGAGGCGACGGATGATGCGTTGGCATCGGTGTAGGGCTGGTAGGATCAAAGGAGAAGGGCATATCCGGGTTGAACGCAGTTCCTGGGGGAGGCATATGATAAGGATGTTGAAAAGACGAATGCATGTAGCCAAGCGGCGGACCCAAGGCCATGGCGTCATTTGGATAAGGCTGGTATACAAAGGAGGCATTGGAAGCATGCTGCATTGCAGAGGTATGCGAGGGTGACATCGAAAGGGCAGGCAAGCCAGATGGGTGCGGTTGCAAAGACGCATGCATGGGTGGCTGAAATGATCTCCCCGCTTCCGTCGGCGTGGCGGGATCCCCTTGGCTATCTTTTGCTTTGCCTTTGCCTTTGCGCAAAGGTCTCTTTGTAGGCTTGCCATTGTCGATGGGCTCGTCGGTCGTGGAAGGAGAGCGGGTTCGTCGCATGGTTCGGGAATTTAAAGCCTCCTGTCCAGGACGGTGATTATGAAGCTTTACAAAGTAACTATGCTTTGGTATCACGACCATGGAGTATTTTTTACGCGCATCTCCTAATTTGGGATTGGCGTCTTTGCCGGCTCGGCTGGACGAATTGGTCTCTGATTCATAAGGACCCGCGGCGGACAAAGAGGGTTGAAATGCATGATTTGATGGCGCTTCCAAAGGCGTGAAAGGGTCACCAACGTCGCGTGATTTGGTTCTCTGGCGTTGCGAAGACCGTTCGTTTCCTTGCCTATCGGTCGTGGACGTGCCAGGAGTCGTGTTGTTGGAAGCGATAGTTGAAGATTCCGTAGCGGGGAGCGCGTCATCGATGAATTCGGGAAGCTGAAGTGTCTCAGGGTCGATTTGCGCCATATCGCATGTCGTTTGAATTAAATGGACCAACTGGTCTTCGACATACTGAGAGAGCGTGTCACTGCCCGCTGCAGCCATACATACTTTTGCCCACATTCTGGTGAGTTGCTGAGCTCGGTTCGTAGCTTCGCGATGCTTATGGATTTGTCGTCCTTCGGTTAGACGGTTGTAGAATCGACGTTCGTTCCAGGGGATGTGACTAAACTGGGATTTCACTTGGGAGCGAATTTCTTGAGTTTTCAGTTGCTGGCGTGCCAAATCGTGAATCAAATCGACCATTTCCTTTGGCCAGGATCTTTCAATTTGATTAGGATTTAATAACGGATGATTATGCTTGTCTGCGTCCGGATTTAACGATTTTCGAAACTCCCATTGGCCGTCCATTTCATTGAGAACAATACGCCATCGACAATCGCATCGTTTTGAGGAACGATTACGTTGAGGGTTGGACTTTGGGTTACGTAAAGAGTCAGGAAATCCTTCGCGTGAACAGTAAACGTAGATATTCTAGAAGCGGGAAAAAATGTATCAGGAATACATGGCGAAAGCGCGAGACAAGCCATAAAATGTAAGCCTTTTTGAGAAGAAAGGGAAAAGCAGAGGTGGACAAACCGCCGGTGGCAAGGAAGAAAAGGTGAAAAAAAACAAAGACGAACTTACCCTTTGAGTGCTCGCTTCTTGTTTGACCGTAAAACCAAACTGCGCGCATAGCTCTCGACAATGGTCTATGGCTGCAGCACTGTCTGGAAAGGGGATGTGTAATAATTGATCATACAGTGGATCAAGCTTTTCATGAATAATATGTTATCGATCCGGTATCCATTCGTAACATCTTTTTCTTTCTTTTTCTTCTCCTGTTTGCCACTCGCTCGCGCTCTTTTTTTTCCACCGTTACTTCCGTACTTACCGAATGTTCGGTAGGGTTGGATGGCACATCCGATGCGCCAAGTTGTTCATTGGACATGCTCGATTGGGAATCCTTTCGTCTAGGCATCGACTAGGTAATGTGAAATCCGGAAATGCTGGAAATGTAATCTGTGAACAGCTGAATTGGCAGGATAACTCGTTACCACCTCTTTCAATTAGGTACCATGCAATGCCCACAATGGCACACGTGAATACAGGTACAAAGAAAGTGAGAGAACAGAAAACAACGAAAACCCAATAACAGTGTGAACAGATAGTCACTCTTCCTTTTGTTGGGTTGACTTTTTTGGTGAGTTATTCGTCAGTGGTGGTAGAAGGATAATCCACAAGTGAGCTGACGCGCGCGGTATCGATGGGGTGGGACGTAGCGAGGCGTCAAATATTTTGAGTGGTATATAGCGTTGATGACAGGAAGAATACAAATGTTGAGCTGGCTTGAATAGAATAGAAAAAAGCGAAGCGAGCTGAAGAATGGGTCTGTGTTTGCTTGAAATAACGCAAATAACCCTGTTGCATGAAAAAAGAGCGAGTGTCAATGAACGGTAAAAAAAATAGTAGAAATACATTAAAGCAGAAAGGATTCGATGGGAATCCATCCATTTGTTCAGCAACGGTGTCATCTCCATGCTGATAATAAATAGACAGACAAAGAATGAAAGAATGAAAACAAGTAGCAAAAAGAATAACATTCCCATTAGATAAAAAAACTATTGATATCTAAAAGAACAGGAGGTGCATGAAGAGAAAAATTAACAACTTACAGAGCGGTGTGAAGGGTTTCCTTTTTTTTCCCCTTTGACTAGGCTTCTAGAAAGTGAGTGGCCAGTTTAGTGAAGTCAAGGATGAGAAGGACAAATAGCAAAAGAAGCAGGATCTTCCAAGCCCAGCTCTCATGAAAAAAATGGAAACCGGAAAAACCAAAAGGAAAAAAAGGAAAACGGAAAAAGGAAGAGCGACAAGCGGGTTGCTGTCGTTTTGGTATTTTGCTCAAGTGGGGCAATAGCAACTGTCGTTGCGCACGCCTCTTGTTGTGATGGTCGAACCTTGCTATTTGAAACATCTCCAATAACAACCACGCAAAGGACAGCGTTGCCTTGGTGTCACCACAAAGCGCTAACCTGACCCCAACCCTGGAGCGGGGCAACAAAGATCCCTCGCCTGATTTTCCTTTTCGAAAAAGCAGACATCTCAAAGGTCAAGACCGAAGGAACGAGACGACGCTCATGTGAGATTGACCAACACACTTATGTCATTCAGAGCTTATGCATGTCATCCCATGATCTATTGTTTTTTTTTCTTTGTTTTTCTTTTTTCAGCTGCCAAGTGGTCTTTTTATTTTTTTCTGATATCTTATATTTTTATGTCTCAGCCTCCTACATATTTAAAAAGTCAGATAATGACAGCACCATTAGTTTCAGCAAAAGAACCGCTTTGTTTTGTCAAAAAAACTGAATCGCCCGTTGACAATGAAAAAGCGCCCACTTTAATGCATAAATATGCTGTGAAGAAGTTCGGCAACACAATGACCGTCATCTTCCAACCTAAAAAGTAGCCTCAACATGGAAAGGGCGGGTTTTTTCTTGCAATAAAAAAACTTTTTTCTTTTGATTTTTTTAACCGCACGAAATGCCTAATTTTTTTTTTTGTTGGCGCGGTTTGTCAATTTTCCCCTTCTCATTTTCTAGAATGGACCATCTCTGCTGTTTTCTGGCGCTTTTTCTTTCGCAGCAGGATCAGCCAATTCTAAGGAATATGCCCGATTTTGTAGATGATTCGTATTCGTTCATGCAACCAAATGTCACGATTATATCAACACTTGATGGCATGGCAATGATAACAGCGAAAGGGACCATTGCACGATAGGGTGGCAACCGCTCACCGTATTATTCACTACCATACGGCGAAAAAGACCGCGTGCTTCCACAGCGCCATGCATCTCTTGTACCAAAGATAGAACCACGTTCTGAGCTTAAGCCATGTGCACAATAATGATAAATGCAGTAAAGCGAATTTACTCTGTATTACCCACGATGGAGCTCTGAATACCGGAGATCACTTGCAATAAGAAACTGTGGGTACTTTCCTTGCTGATGTGTCTCGTGGAAGGAAACCTAATCAGATCACCATGGCCGTTGACAGGTTGAAGCATGACTGGCCTACGTCTAGCACTTTTTAATTACATATCATGGATGTACGAATGTACACAGTTCTATTATGTCATTTGATCCGTAAAAGTATGGAACACTGAGGAGAAAATCTTTTTTTTTTTTCATTCGGATGTTATTCCGAAGAGGGGAAATGACGACGAAAATGCGCATGATACGTTTTTTCTTTTTTGGTCATTGCAGGTTTCTCCACACTTTACTTGTCTATGTATGACAGTAACTCATACATAATATGGCCAACGTTACGCCAATCTTATCAAAGAATACCGCTTTTTATTGTTCATTGATTGGTCGATAAAAAACGCATCTACCAAAGCAGTGGGATCGTGAGATACCAAAGCAAAACTTCACATGGCAAAAGCATCATTTTGCAAGGCTCCACCCTGAATCAAGGCTCCATTTGAAACTCAGTCATTTTCTCCTTTGGGCCTCTGACGGGCTGCCTCTTTTCTGCTTTTATCTGAATTGAAGAATTGTACCATGCCATTGACCGCGCCCTCTTATACCGGGCGTCAACTTTTGCATTTGCCTCCTACTGCCGGTGCCTTGGCCGACTTTTTACACGCATATACGCCTAAAGACACCCCGCTTCCCGAGCCTACTGTCAAGCGATTCCCCGATTGCACGTATCATTCTTACAAGCCACTAGGCATTTCTTTCTGCTTCACGCCTCAGACCAAAGGCGACGATAGTACCCTTCAGCTAGATTCCATTGATATCTATAATGGACACACACGGGACGGTTTCGCTCCTTTCACCGGTGAGCTTCCCTGCAATCTTACGCCCACCATGCAAGCCCACGAAATCGTCAACATGTTAGGCGAACCCGACCGCAAAGGAGGAGGCGGCAAATTACGCGTGCCTTGCTGGATAGAATATCAGTTTGAAGACAACCAGGGCGGTCTACTGATCCAGCTCCATGGAATCGATTGGGATGATCGCGAAATGGGCTGGACCAGCCTTGCTCTGTTTTAAAACGATATGAGCCTTGCCCTTGTTTTAAGGCGTTATGAGGATCAGCTATTTTCAGTGGATGTTTACGGGACACCAGCAAAACTTTTAGCTGATGGATACTGCTAGGTAAACCATTGAGTCGGTGTGTCTCTCCTTGGAGCGAAACCATAGAACCGTTGTTAATTTGCCTCGGGGCGGTAGAACTTGGAGGAAAAAGGCAGGCCATTCCTATCTTCCATATCGTCCGTAGTCAGAATCTTAGAACATATCACTTGATTGTAAATACATGGACATAGACGACGACTGGGGCGATGATACAACATGCTCTTGGATTTTTGTCCAATATCGATCATATAAACAAGTCATGAAGAGGTGCAATGATATGACTTTCCCTATTTCAACATGTGGAAAAAAGTGTAATAGTCAAGGCAGGCTTAAACCGACAATAAAGATAAGGGGAAAAGAACTGTAGGAAGCCTCCTTGGTTAAAAGGAAGAGACGTGTAATAGACATGAACTGCTTTTGCTGATCAATCTTCAGATTCCGAACTTAGGCGGAATTCCAAATAGTAAAAAAGAGAGGCCCATTTGGCTACAGGATCCAACTGTCACACACACCAACTGCCACTCACACCCACACCCACACACAGCGTCTGGTTCCAGAAGCAGATACAGATACACTTTTCCTCGCTCTCTAATAGACCACCCATTACGTTTGCGTTGCAATGACCAGCAAAAGCAAGCCGGTCCCGGCAACGCAAATTAGCGCGACGAATGCTGCGCAGAACATACCGGATATCTTTACTCTGGATGAACAGAAATTGCAGGCAGCCGATAGTAGCGAAAAACAAGAGCTTTATCTATTCCAATGGCTAGCGCAAGTGGAACGTGAATGCAAAACTGTCGATATCGTATGTTTCCCAAGCTACCCCTTATACATGTTCCTGCGAATCAACGACATGCTCATCAAACGTATAGGATGTCCTGAAGCGATCGCAATCATTACTGGAAAAGCAGCTGTTGAAGCTCATTTCCTTGACGTCAGCTAAACCACGTCGACCCATTCGCTTTCTCATCGGAAGATGCTTTGTGTCCCTTTACACCCGAGGCGAGACCCGACAATTGTTTGACACCGTTACGGCTTTGCATAGCCTGATAGGCGGGAACAAAAATATCACCAAAGAAACGCGAATGTAAAGCATGCGAACCTCTGGATTTTGTGGACAATTCATGCTGATCAAATTTTATTTGTAGAGCGGCCATATCTACAACAGGCATGATCATGTGGGCAGCCGGTACCAAAATATTAACGCTGTTTGCAGAGACAGCGACCATGTTCCTGAAAGTCATCAAAAATCATAATGTAGGTGGCAGCACAAACGTGTGAGGATGCGGTTGGGTAAGGTGACGTTGAGCTAATGAGCGTCTTAGCACCCGTTAATGCTACGCTTGGAAGCCGTGAATGCGTTTAGCTTGTTACTAAAAGGGGCTGGCAAAGGAGCCACGGAATCCATTCTGAAAGACTTGATGAAACAACTCAAACAAGGATTAACGGACAAGGCACTGGTAATGCGAGTGGCGTCAGCACAGGTAAAAAACAAAATTGCGGTGGTTGGTACGTCTGTTTGAAGGAAAGCAAAAATACTGATGATGATAAATAGTGCATCCAAGCCGTGATTCAATTTGCTCACCAGCCTTTAACCGCTCACGATGTGGAGACTTTGTTGCAACTCGCTTTCAAGGCATTTGAGGATTCCACGTTTGCAGTTCGACGCGCCGTCTCATCTCTGTGCGCCACACTTTTAGCCTTTACTCAAAAAACGGCCATCACCGATCCGCAAAAACCACACATTAAATATGCCATGACAGGTGATGACAATCCTACCGACACACCGGAAGCCAAGGCCACCCCTTTGTTGTCCATTGAAGACATGCTCAATCAGTTGTCGACCTGTTACAACCGTCCAAACGTCTCCAGAGACACCCAGGTGGGCGTCGTTGAAGCGTATGCAACGTTGTTTGTCCTTTTAGGCACCGAATTTGTCGAGCTTCATTACGCGAAAATCGCCAAACATTTGATCCACGAGTTCCTGCATCCCGTGAAAAATGTCCTCAATGCATCGGATGCCGCATTTACACGCTCCAAAGTCATCTTCCTGCTTCATAATACGATCGGTAAACGTCTTCTAAGTGAACAAGGTCAAGCGACGGCGATTCGCCTGTTGGTGACGGACTGGATTAAAACGTGGCCCCCTTTAATGCCAAATCAACCGCAACCAAACAAACATGCCCTCATTTGTGCCACCCATCTCGTTTCGGCTCTCGTGTCTGAACTTGAAGGAGCCGCTCGTGCGGTACAGGTAACGTGTCTTCATAAAAAAATACAATGGCTCGCTCTGTCCGTACCAGTTATTAATTGCAAGACGATTTTCGGGTGTAGGATGTGTTGATAGATCCTTTGTTCGTGCTGCTAACCCATCCCAGCTTTTCGGTGCAAATGGCCGCGGTTTGGTGCATTCGCTGTATTTGTCTTGCAGCGCCAGCCAACTTGCCGTATCTACTGCCACGATCGCTCAATGCCCTCGAGAAAAATCTGGGCAACCTTGGCAACCCTAATACCACCACCAATACGTTGCGATGTACCATTGCTTACGCCTACGCGGCGGCGGCAATCATGAGCGTTTTCCCTGCACGCCCTATTTATACCTCCTTTGATTTGAGCGCACGAGCCATGTCCATAGCGACTCAATTGATCAAACATACCAGTAAAGATGCCAAGATCGCGAGCGTTCAAGTGCAGGTGGCCTGGGTCCTGGTAGGCTCGCTGATGGGCCTAGGCCCGAATCTCGTCAAATTGCACGTTTCTCAGTTATTACTGTTGTGGAAAACGGCATTGCCTAAACCCACCGGCAAGGAAGCCAACGCCATGCGTACCGAAGCCGAATGGTCCTTTCTCTTCCATACACGTGAAGGCGCCATTAGTTCCATTTACAGCTTCATTGCCCACAACAGCCATTCCTTGGTCACGCTGGATATCGCCAAGCGAATTGCCGCCCTGTTGAATAATACCCTGGCGTTTCTAGCGACCACTCCCACCAGCTTTGCCGCTTCGACCTTATCCCCCTCTTCATGTTACAAGGTCAAGGTTACCGATCAAAATTACGCCTTGCGAAAACGTATCTTTCTGTGCTTTGTCGCTTTGCGTCCACACTTATCCACTTATGAATCGTCCTTAACCAGTCTCCTCCGTCACGCATTGACGGTATTTACCGAACCCGAAAAAATCATCCCTTCCTCAGGCGCCCATTCCCAGGTGACGGCTTCCATTCCCGGTCAATTCGTAAGCGTGTGGCATACCGCGGACGGCCACGGATGTGGTGTCACGAGCAAAATGCAAGGTTATTCCATCGACATTGCCACCACTGTCGACGATCGGGACGATGAAAACAACTATGGTAAAGAATGGGTCACCCGGGATCGATTCCAAAAAGTGGAAGAGTTACTTGAACGGCCAATGATCGGATCAATTGAATTGGACCCTCTGTATATCTACACGACGTTTGCTGTCGAGAAAACGAAGCAATGGATTCCGCAGCCTGTAGCACCTTCAACTGGCTACATTGACGCCAGCATTGAACTCTTTGCCACCTTGTTCCCAGGCCAGCCTCCTCCCGTGCAAGAATCGACGTTTGAACAAATTGCCAAAGTAGTCAAGGACCAGCGCCTGGAAAAGAATTCGCCGAAACGTGCGGCCGTGCTTGTCAACGTCATTGTTGCTTTGCTCGGTGCTCTCAAGCACATGATGTCCGCGCACAAGAAGAAACCACTGCCAGAAACTGTCATGGTAACCGGCCGCGCCACTCAGCTCATGCAAGAGATATTAATGGAAGCTATTGTGCATCCCGATCCTTACCTACGAAATGCGGCCAGTGAGACGATGGGTCGTCTGACCGCAATTGTGGGCGGTGCGTTCGTCTCTAGTCAGATGCAACAGCTGGTCGATTTGGTCGTGAGTAACCGTGATCCGGATGTCCGTGCGGGATGTGCACTCGCTATTGGCTACATCTACAGCCACGTGGGCGGCATGGCGGCCGCAGCTCACCTAAAAACGATTGTCGGCATTCTACTATCACTCAGCAGTGATCCACACCCGGTGGTTCATGCTTGGGCTCTGGAAGCCATGACCATGACCGTGAGCGCCGCCGGTTTAATGTTTTCCAGCTATGTCAACAGCACGCTCGGCATGGTCGCGAAATTCTATCTCAGCGAAACCCACGAACCTGGCAGCGGATCGGTGGCGGTGTCGAACGCGGGTATGAGTGTCGGATTCACTGCGTATCAAGAATTTGGACGCATCATCTACGAACTCATCGGTACCTTGGGTCCGGAACTGCAAGCATCGTCGAAAATTCGGGAACTGTGCCTCAACATGGTCGAAGAGCTTCGACTGGAACCGGATGAGCGCGTCAACGTCGAAGCAATTCGCTGCATTCAACATTTCCTCATGTTTGCACCCAAACACCTGGATTTGAACGAACTCGTGCCGTACTTGCAAGCGCAAATCAGCAGTCTTCACATCCCATTGAAAAAAGCGGCCGTTACGTGCTTGTATCAACTAGTGCAGCGGGATGCCGGACTTGTATTCAAGGCGGCGCAACCGGGTCTGGATAATGAACTGTTCAAGATGTTGGATACCGATCCCGGCCTTTCCGACGTTAAAAACGTGATACGAGGATGGTTAAGAGAGACTGCGGTGAGCGAGCCTTCGGTATGGGTCAATATCACCAAACGAATCACAACAGGATCGCATGGAAGACCCGGGCGATCGGACCCCGGAACACCGTTGTCGCCTACCATGCGACGAAGTGGCGAGGGACTATCCCATGATAACGATGACGAAGAGGAGGATGGCGACGATTATGGCGACGATGACGCTGACGGTTTTGTGGACGAGGTGCATGTGGATAACATCACGTCGGTGGCTGATGCTTCGGGTATTGGTTCCAGTTTGTCAGTGAACGTGGAGATTCCTCCACGCTGGCGTACTCAACTATTTGCTCTTGAATGTCTGCAAACTACCATTGAGCTCATTGCACAAAGCGGGATTCGAGAGCATTTCGATTTGGTCGCTGCGCGTGCCAAACGTCAGCAAGCAGGCATTGGCGATTATCTCGTTTTCCGTGTGCCGGATCTGATTCGCTTGTCCTTTACCACTGCCACCGCCCCGGTAAATGAATTGCGCTTAGCGGGTATTGCCCTCTTAAAGATGGTGATCGAGGTAAGCCAAGTTCCAGTCTGACCGTGACAGGCCATTGTATTTTGACTCGCTATTGCGTAGAAATTCACCAATACGGCGGATGCTGATCTCGACGACATGCTATTGTTGGAACAGTATGCCGCGCAAATCGGCGCGGCGCTGACACCGGCTTTTGGCGCTGATTCGTCGTCTGAGATTGTGTCGGCGGCTGTGCGTGTTTGTGCGATCTATGTAGGCAGTGGCATCGTGAAGGATCTGTATCAGCTCGGTCGTGTTCTGAAATTGTTGACGTCCGCCCTGGATAAATGCAAAGATGAATCGAAACTGACCGGCGTCGGTGAAGTCAAGGATCTCAGTCCGCATGCATCTGTCATGGTCCGATTGTCTGTACTGAATGCTTGGGCCGAACTTCAAGTCGCCAGTCAACGGCAGGACTACCTAAAACAGGTGCTACAGCCGTATGTACCGATTTCGAATAAGCTGTTCAAAAAATTATAACAGCTAACACTTATTTTTATCTCTTTTTCTTTTCTGCCATTAGAAACTTGGCTTCTTTGAGCCCATTGTGGTTACGGTCACTGCAGAATTATGCACGCATTCGCTTGGAATCCGATATTGTTGCTCTGTCTCACAGCGCTGAGGGAATTCAGGCATCCTCGAGCGGCGGTATTGATTCAATGTATTCTGCAGCTACAAAAGAAGTGGTGTTGCCTGTAAGTGCCAGTTCGTACAACAACGAGTTCATTTGTAGATATCTAAACGATACTTTTTTTTTCTTGATTATATAACTAGTTCTACCGCCGATCATGGCTGAAAATCATGGAGGCCGTGGCGACGCTTCTCGAAGTCAAGGCCCCGTCGATTATGGAAGCTTTGGAACAAAATCCCGATTTTGAATCGGTAGACGGACAAGTGCCGAACCTGTTCTACATTCTATTTGGGTTATGTATCGAAAGCCTCTCTCACATTTCAAGCGCTAGCAGCGGCAAGACCGATGCGACGACAATGGTCATTTGCTTGAACGCTTTAAAAACATGCTTGCAGCCGTCGTTTACAGGAAACCGGTTTTTACCCAAAGCTGTTTTCCTCGAACTCATGAACGTGTTTGATCGCCTCATTCAAACCGAAGGTTACGCTGTTCAGTTGCTTATTATTGAAATCATTCAACGGCTCATTCAAAATTACGGCGCCAAGGATCTCTGTCAGGATTTAGGTGATGAAAGGTAGGTCAAACTAATGCAACAGCATGCATCAGAGACTGACTGTGGCGTCATAGTCTATTTGATGTGGACCGTGCATTTGAACCCGAGGCTTTACCATCGACGGCCATTTTGTATTATCTGCTGCGCCTCTTGATCAATGTGTTTTTGCAAAACATTCCCACATTGTCCAATAAGCCAATGTCGGCTCGTAAGTGATGTTGTTGCTTGGATGATAATGAATGTTCGGTTGACTCATCTTTATGCATGCAGGTCCTCGAGTGGCGTTGGGTCAAGAAAACATCATCTCACTACTTGGTTCGTCGTTGGAAACGCTAGCCATGTTGGTTGGTATTACTCCAGCTATTCACAAGGTGGACATGTTGGCTATTTGCTACCACATCTTTGCAGGTAAGAATGTTAGAGCAGCCGGATTCACAGACTAATTATTTTGTACTCACTAACCAACCATATCCTCGTCCGTTCAAATCATTTTCAGAAATTCTGATGGACGCCAAGTCAGAAACATTACTGGCTCCGCGTGTTCTTGTCTTGTTGAAAACAATGTTTGCTCAGTTCGAGACGGACTTGTCTTCCAAGGATAGTGTTGCGCTGTCGCGTGTCACCAATGCTATGCTCCACACGCTGGTGGATGGGTTGTTCTAGTAAGTCCTCGGTGTGTCTGTCTTATTACTTTACCATCACTCACCTTTATTTCCCAACGCACAGTCCAACAGGTCATCTTGCTATGGGGGTGAGGAAGAATCGACTTTTGGCTTCCGTGTTGATTGTCACGGGATGTCCTGAAGCTACGATGCGCTCCGCAAGCTCTGGCATTTTGATTGAGGCATTAAAGAGCGCACTGGACTCTGAAGAGGAACAGGTTCGTGGTCATGAACCAGACTAAAAAGAAAGACTGAAAGCGACCGTACTTATTTTTTATGAAAATAGATGGTTCTAACGGCTCATCAATGCTTGCGAACGTTTATTTTATTGCCCGAGAAAAAGGCGGATTCAGCAGCTTCGGTTGCTTTGGGGCGTCTTGTTATTCAGGCACTCGTACCGCAAGTGATTTCACACACGCTTTCGTACAAATACATGGAGCAGCAAGAAGATGACGAAAAGAGTTTGCGTCTTTCCATGCTGGACGAAGATATCAAATCCTTAATGATGTTACCCAATGGTGTATCTGATGACCAAAGTAAGTCTCAGTTCAATATTGTGGAAAGGCCTAAACATGACTCATAAGTATGTCCATGGTAATATTAGAGACGAAAATATTGAGCATTTTGCTACCAACATTGACCACACTATTGGATGACCCACCGTACAACGATCAACCGCAGTCAGCGATCCATGAAACGGTGATGCCTCACGTACTTACGTTGGCGACTCATCTCCCTCAAACGTTCCGTGGCATGGTGGGCCAGTTACCGGGAGAGTTAAGAACCAAATTAGAGGCTTCTGTACGTCACAGCATTGTATTCAGCCAGCAACAGCAACAACAACGACAGCAAGAGCAGCAGAGAAAAGCCGCTCACGCTGCTACAAGCAAACAACCTACCATCAGTTTGAAAATGGACTTTAGCAACTTTTCTTGAGTGCCTTGGTCGGAGCTCAAGATTTGTTTGTTTCATCCTCAAGTGTATTTCCACATGCATTGTGTCATTTTAATTTGTTTGTTGTGATGGATGATGGGAGTTTAGCTTTAATCATTTCATCACATGTTTGCTGATTGAAAGCGCAATTCATTGCTATTGTTCTTACTACTATTTATTATTTTTATGTGTTCATATCTGTATCTTTTTTTAAAAAAAAACTTCTAGTGCTTTTTAGTAGATGATGACTCTTATTCGACAAAAAGAAAAGATAAAAACCATTATGTTATTAGCTGGCGCCATACGCTTGTTTCGCTTTTTTTTTTTTCTGTTTTTCCCTTGCACGCTTTCTCGTCATCATAAGATTTTCTCCGCGGGGAAGTAAAAAGAGTAACGACGTATCATGTCATGAAGCTTTTGGCACCAAAGTCATCCGTGAGTACAGGATCGGCATGCTTTTGCGATGCCGGAAGGTCGTAATGAACGCCGACGGTACTGCTGTAACTGGGAGTGTATTTGCGAATGATCTTGCGCAGGGCATGGGGCAGCGTGGACCAGGCAAACACTTTGACGTCCTTTTCAATGTTGCGCGGTTTCGGATGAGGGAAGCTCATGATGAGCTTGAAAAAGTCGGCACAGTCAGGTTTGCATTTGCTGACGGTCAGTGGACGGAAGCCCTCGAGATTACGCCGGATGCGATTCTTTTCTTCCACCGTGAATTGAACCCCAATGAGCCCCTCAAGCAGATAAATGCAATCAACGGAGGTGATGAAATAATCATTTCTCTGGCTCCAATAGATGCAGGACACAACCAATGATGTATTTTTGGGAGGAGGAACAGGCGCTCCGCGTTGAACGGCATTGGCGGCCGCCATGTTTTCTCGCATCCGTTGCTGCTGATGTTCTTGTTGATCCAACGGTTCAAAGCTGCATTCGACTTGGCCAGGGATCTCGGTGGTCGAGCTTCCAGTGTTCGATTGACGACGCCAGAACCGAACAAGGCGTCTTCCGGCATGCCATTCTTGAGGGGTCCAATGGCAGGTCATATCCATCAATTCACCGCATATCTTGAGATTGGCTTTACTCAGAATGCCGGCAAATGGCTGAATATCGCTACGTGTCGGGCTGATGGATTGACTGGAAGTCGACATGTGTCGAAGCGTGTTCGAGTACGGATAAAGCCGTTGCTGCTGCTGTTGCTGCTGTTGTTGCATCATGAATCGTTGTGAGGACGACAGGGATTGCTGGACGGGAACGTATGTACCAGGAAAACATTGTTGCTGTTGCTGCATATAACTTTGATACATGGGATTGGATTGCATGATCATGTTGGCTGCTTGAAGCGGTTGTACCGTGGTGGTTGCGGAGGAAGTGGACGGGTGAAACTGATCAAACGATTGAGCATAGTAACCTGACATACCATTGTTCAGTCCTGTGACATATTGTCGTTGGGCTGGTGTGAGCAACGATGATGTTTGTTGTTGAGGCGTCGTTTGCTGTTGGTAAGCCTGTGTTTGCTGTTGACCTCTGCCTTGATGATATTGCAGTTGAGCCAACCATGCCTGATGTTGCTGCTGCGACTGCAATGGAGAGGATGTTGATTGCTGGTGCGTTTCAGACGTCGATTCCTTGGAAGTGGTAGCGAGATCTTGATAAGGTGCGAGCAACTGCAATAACTGCAAATTATCCGAAAAGACAGCATCATTCTGATAATGTTTGCTGTCTGTGGGTGATTCTACCGCCAAAAGTCAATCAGTAAATAAACATATAAATTTTTCTACGCAAAATGAGCCAAGAAGCAGCATGGGAAGATGAAATTACGTATACCATTGGTCTTTTTCAAAGGCGGCGCTTCCAAGCTGTCCTGGGATAAGGAGCGTTTACGATCATTGGCTGGGAGAAAAAGGCGGACAAGGAGTAAGGGAGGCGAAAGGAAAAAAAAAGTGTCAAGAAAATCAGCTAGTGGTTTTTCAAGCGCACAGTGTACTTTACTTACGCAGCGTCTCGTTTCCGTCGTAATATGTGAATGTGCCAATTGGCCAATGGTCGACAGCCAGATCCTGGTCAAAGCGGTCATACGTACATACAGAGACAGAGATTTGATGATCGTCCGAGTCTGAGCGCGTGTGATCCAATGGTGGGACTTGAGCAGTGAGTGTGATCCAAAGCCGTGTGTTCGCGTCGGTGGGGCTTTCGCTGGCGGTTGAGGAGTCCATGTCCACTGTGGATGACGAGGGCGGAGGTCGATGTTGCTGCTGATGGGTTTCCACGACGAGTCGGCCAAACACCAGTTTCATAGGATGAACGTTCTCAAAAGAGGAGGATGCCCCCGGCTGCACATGAGTCTCGAAAACGGCCGTAACACTGGTCATCTCATGGCCTTGCTGAGGGCTCCATTGGAGCAGACGAAGGTTGGGCTGCGTGTACTGCTCGCCCACCTTGGTTAACTCTTCATCTGAAGTGCCAGATACTTTTCGTTGGTGCGGGCCATGAATGCTTAGTATGAAGAAAAAATATGCAAATGATACATACATGCATGCATGCATGCATGCATGCATGTATGTGCTACAACTTACCAAATGCGTGAACCACATCATTGATCTCCTTTTCAGTCTCAATCAGCGATAAATTGGCGGTTTCCATCCTGATGACTTTTTTCTGATCTGATCTGATACTAAAGTGGTCGATAACCGATGAAAAAAAGTGCAGACGACAGAAAAGAAAAAAAGAGACGAGGAACATTCGCTGCACATGTTACTCGGTCTCCAATAATACAGAAAAAAAAATAATAGTGAATGAAAGAATAACAAAGATAAAAGATGCAAATAATAATTCAAAGATTTGTTAAGTTGGCGTCATTTGATGTGTTGAGTACTTGAATCGAGACAATCCCATCGGACTTGGCTGTTCAATTCCGGAAGACCCGACCCGATTATTGTAATTGGAACTACAGCTTGTTATTGATTGTCTTCGTTTTTTTCTTTCATCCCCTTTTTCCGTCCTCGGAACATTTTATCATAAAATAAGGATAAGGCGAATAATCTATCAACATAAAATTACTGGGACAATTTCGGCAATGGTGTGACAAAATAAAAATGTAACACAAGCTCCTCTATAGGAGAGAATAGGGTACGATGAAATAGTGGGTAGAGTCCATGGCATGCTACGTTTTTTTCTTCTTCCATTTTTCTTTTCTTTCCAAGAAAACCCTTCGTTTGTTTGCTTGCTTGCTTGAAACATTTGTTTGACAGGTCAGAACGAGGCAGCTCCATGATAGGAATCCGCAGCAGTCATATCATAGGTTAAGCGGTGATCTACGAGAGCGGAAGGATCCATGGTATGATTGCCAATGGGAGTTGTGTGTACCGGTACATGTGCAAGCGCCAGCTGCGAAGGCGCCGAGGATTCGTGGGCAGGAAACCATACGTTTGCATTTTCCGGCATCATGGAGGTTGAAAGGTCTATGGAAGGTGGCCGAAGCTGTTCGTTGGAGGAGGAGCCACCATTCATTAGCATATCGTAAGACGGACCTGAAGAATGGGGTGATACAGAACAGGATGATGGTAAAGGCACGGCTTGATGGAGTCCTGAAGGGTTTCTAGGAGGTTCTGGCATAGAAGCAGGATGGTAGCGTGGATGCGAACGCAGAATTTCCTCGTGCATCCCATTGGGTATCCGATAGTCTGGAAGCAAATGATAAAGATCACTAAATTTGGCCAGCCAAAAAAGTTTTAGGAAATTATCAAATATCGCAATGAGGCAACATCATAATGGGTGATCAGGGATGGGAATTAAAAAATTTACCTTGGGGATTCTGCCAAGCCCGGGTGCATATATGGATGGGAGTGACCCTGTTGCTGCGGTGGATGAGACTGAAGGTGTATGTGTTGGTGTGGATGGGGATGGGCTTGTGTATGTGTATGTGGGTGCTGGTGCGGATGTGAGTATTGTTGTTGAAACCTTGCCAGCTGGAGTCGTTCTTCTTCCAATTGTTGGATGCGTTGTTGTTGGCTTTGAATTTGAAAGTAAGCCTTATTTAGTTGTTCGGTAAGGAACCGTTGCATTTTATTGTATTCCTTTTTCATATGAATCAGCTGTACCCCGAGTTCGTGTTCTTGCATTGCAAGGTTCGTCTCTGTAGGTGCTGGGGTGCAAACAGTGGAGGCGGTGGATGACGTGGGTACGGGTGGCGCGACAGCTGGATTCGTGTGTTCCTCCCCCTTTGGTTCTGTCAAGGAGACGGATGGATCGCTGGAGACTGAGGGAACGTCATTGGCTGAGTCTGGCTGTGCTGGGGAAGACGGTACTACAGTGGCTGATTCAAGTGGTTCTTGATGTTGTGGTACCGATGGCGAGGGAGATGATGCGGAAGAAGATCGCATGCCGTCTTCATCTTGCTGAGATGGACTTCCCATTTCGTCATTGTCGGATTCATCGCCTGAGCCGAGATTGAGAATGGTTTCGGGATCTTCCTCACTTTTGGCCCTTTTGCGTCGAGAGCAACGCACGCCTTTTCGTCGAATCAAGTGAAATAAGTCGCGCCTCCCTGGACGAAAGAACGGGTGGTACCAGCGGCAAATCTCCTTGTCTTTACTGTCTTTAGATTTTCGAGCATCCGTGTCGCGTTGGAAACCATAAATCTAATAAAAATCGTTAACACGATGCAGCTGCAGCACATACGTAGTTTGCACAGAAATGGGATCTAACAAAGAGGAAAAAGGACAAGAGATGGACCTACATTAAGTTGTCGAACAAATGATGGGAATTTGCAATGTTTAAATAATCGCGGCAGAACAATTTCTGTAAATTCTACAAAGGTATGCAAACAATGAGTCTCCAAACCCAGATCCGATGCATCATGTGAGACATACTGGGAATACAATCAATAATAAACATGTCTTTCCCATCATGGCGACACCAGTGAGCGTATTTTTCATTATCGGATGATTGCAAACTCCTATATAACATGCATAAATTTCATCATGTCGTCTCCACCATTGTTCCTTGGTTGAAAAACTTTTTTCTCTACTCTCCCCTACCCCCGCGCCCTTCCGTCATTGCTAAATTTTGTTTTGAAATAATGTGAAATTAATCAGCTTACACATAATCGTAGAGTTTCGAAACGAAACCGGCAATCCCACGTTCGGAACGACTGAATTCCAAGGATTCCAAATCGGTGGGAGTGTAGGGACCCGATGGGTAGGATGGCGACATGGACCAAGAGTCTGTGGATAAGGATGTGCAGGTATCCATTTGTAAGGATAGTAAGCGTGAATCGGTATCTCTGTAATTGTCAAGAGAAGGGTGGGCTTTGGTGTCTTGGTTCTCTGGCGGTGACTGTAATTGTAAATGGGAGCTAATCGGCGTGAGCGAGCCGGCCGTCTTGTAACTGAACGTGGAGGAGGTCATAACAGGATGTGGTTCTGGGGAGGAATCCGCGTATACTTGCATAGATAAATAGGTGTCAAATGGTGGTTCTTCGGTAAAAGGTTGATAATCCATGGTTTGATCACCAAACATGTAAGATGGATGTTCTGTTGTCATGCAAGTATTAAGAAAATGACTGATGTAACGGTTGTGGCGTGTTTCTGGTTACGTGGTAATGTGCAATCACTCTAAATTTCGCGAGCGTGTTGTTCTTGTCCTTTTCCGCCCCCTCTTTTAAAATGGTGAAAATTTTAGCTACTATGTAGAGCAAAAGGATAAATAATGATTATAAGGTTAAGACTAATTTTTAAAAACTATGGAGGCAATAAATTGAATAAAAGTGAGACACGGAAAAAGTATAGTAAAAGAGTTTAAAAGAAATGAAAGCAAAAAGAGAGATTGATGGTTGTTAAAAGATGGTGTTCCGATGAAAACGGTGGGAGAAATGCGAATTGGCCTAAATATGAGTGCTCCAAAAAGAGGCATAAGTAACCCGGGCAGTAAGTGAAAAGGGGTTGCCAGGGGTGAAAAACTTCATGTCAAACCCAAAATATAATGTATGGAAAAAAAAAAGATCACAGGCGACCGACGGCACAGCAAAAAAAAAAAAAAAAAAAAAAAAAAAAAAAAAAAAAAAAATGGATGACGATGTGAATGATGTTTTTCTTTTGTTTGCGCGGGGATGAAGTTTAAGAAAAAAAAAGTAAAGTTAAGGGGGTGGGAAGGGGAAAAATGGGGGAAGAATGACCGAAATAGAGACAAAAAGGCAGCAGTGAACCCATGGGACATTTGTCAAAGCAAATGGCGGCCGCGATGTGTGTGAGGACATGGTTCGCTATCGTTCAGGAGAGACAAAAAAAGAAGGACATTCAAAACGTACATTCGCACTCCAGTGCTTTTGCTTGAATTTTGCGTTTTCGACTCCTCATCTCCATTCCCCCCCTTCCTTCAGCCGTCCCTGTTTTCTGATCCCTCCTTGCCATCCATCGGCCCTTGGAGGTTCCCCCATTGGCAATACGTTACTATGCTAACGCGAGCATGCTTGTCACAGAAATAGAGACCCCGTGCGTATAATCGACTCATGCTGTCACACAATAAAGAGAAAGCGTCACTGGATCGATTCGTTTCGTTTTGTTTATTTATCTCACATCATGTTCAAGCCCAGTTATGGCGAATGGTTTCCCAATAAAATTTGGTTACCATGTCATGATGGTGACTTTGAAGGGAAATGGGATGATGGGTCGATTTCACTTGAACCAAGTGATGCCGGATTTTTCTGTATCATTATGCACATTTGACGCTGATTCATTTTAGTGAAAATATAAAGGGCAAGAGGCAAGATCTAAAACACTTTTTCTATCTGGCGGGAATCTTGCCTAATGAGATCACGGGAAAGCAAATAAAAAGGAGGCTTTTTTCCCCCTCTCTCACCTCCTTACCCTGCCTCTTTCTCGGCATTGCTCGTTGCGCAGGCAGAAAAAAAAGTTTATGGATCATGGATAATGTTTTCGGGTATACCAAAAACCCTTGAGTGCCATTTCATTTGTCTGGACCCATTAGGCAACCGTGGTAAAAAATAAAATAAAAAGGAAAAAGGGAAAGTAGGTTTACCCCATCGGCACCATTGGGCTGTTCAGTTGATGGTCTCCTCACTATATGTCCTACCTTATATAGTTATCTTTGTTACCCGTCTCTCGTTAAACCTTGTTGACGTTGTACTTCAGGTCAAAACTCTACAGGCTTGACTTGATATTTTCAGGAGCGTGCATGCAAAACGAGGTTGATGTATAGATATCATAAATTTTTTTTTTTTTTTTTTTTTTTAGGTTTCTTGCCTGATTTTCCATGATAACATTAGGCTTTATTACTATCGAATCCCTTTGAGCTTAACGCCATTTTATATCCAGTCATACAGTACATTGACTATCCTTTTTTTATTCAGGATATTTTCATTCGTGTGAATGATAAGGCATTGATGGGGTCGCGTTGAGGAGGTGAAGTGGATGCGGCTAACCAATAGGTTTCGGGTTTTTTGCTATGAAAAAATTCGGGCTTTGTGACGTGTGATTTTTTCCATGAGAAGGGCGCAGGAGCCCGTTCACTTTGCCGCTTCCACAAAAAGAAAAAGAAATAACCTCTGGACGTAGCCATTCCAGTGCATTTGACACACCATCATGGTTAGCTATTCCGTTGGATGAGTCATTTCCTTGAAAATTATCTAACAATGGTATGGTTACACGCGGTATTTGTAGTTGTTCTATTCCTTCTTTAAAACGCTAGTCGATCAGAAAGTCACCGTTGAACTGAAGAATGATCTTGCCATCACCGGCATTCTGAAATCAGTCGATCAGTATCTAAATATCAAATTGGATGATATCAGCGTTGTTGACGAAGAACGATATCCTCACATGGTATAATACAAATCCGCACCGCCTCACATTCTGCAGCATTGTAGGCTGACGCACCCCTCCAATAGATCTCTGTAAAGAACTGCTTCATTCGTGGATCCGTGGTACGCTATGTTCAGTTGCCTTCACAAGCAGTCGATACCGCATTGCTACAAGATGCTGCCAGACGCGAAGCAGCGCAACCCTCCACACAACAAGCCAACGTACGAGTCAAATAGTCATAGACACATCCATAACATTACTACGATGCGAAAATAAAAGAAAAAAAAACGCGAGCTAGCTTATATGCATTTAATCGTAGTTGTTTATCTGAAATGTATGTACACTGAGATGGTAGTCAAGGGAAATTTAGATTTATGGGTTTATCTAATAGTCTTTAATCCGTTGGACGATGATTTGATATTGGCTGGGTATGTAAAAGGTGCTTGTAGTCTGTCTACGTCGATTATGCGAAAAGATTTTTGGCATTTGATGGTAATAATCGACTTTAGTTGGCTTTTTGTATCGCTCGACTCGAGCGTCGCTAATTAGCAGACGAACGGATGGTGTTACGGCAATCCGTATACCGCCTTTCTAGGCATTCAAATGATGAATATCCTTACACGTGGCTTGCATGCTCCCTCATGTAGTAAAAGAATCAAATAAACAGGATTACGCCGATTGTGCCGTGTGACATGACCGAAAATCGGCAATGCTTAGCTGGGCGAAGTAAACGTTGACCACAGGAGAACATCTTGATGTTGATTTCAGATAAACTACCACTTTATAAGCAGGGTATATCGTTAGTTTTTTTTTTATGTTTGTAAGAATGTCTAACAAACGTGAATGACAAAAGAAAAAGTAATCGACAGATTGGACTGAAGGATTCTCTGGCCAAGTGTCCTCGTCGTTGAAACGTTGGCAATGTGCAATACCAAGTCAACATGTATGAGGTGATGATTGCGCCACCAGGGGGGACTTGAAGTTAAAAGCAAAGAAGCGACATGTAAAGCAATCAGCCACTTTTTCCCTTTTTTTATTCATCATTGACTCGGATAGATCGTTTTATAATTTCTTCATTTACTATCTGTAACATTTTAACTACCAATTTGCCTTGAATAATTGTGTGAGGTGAAGAAGCATGACGGCTTTATTTTCTTTTTCTGGATCGCACTGCCTCTTTTGGCGAAAATAAAGTCATTCGGGACGGGTGCCATGCCAATCGTGGATGACTGAGTGATTACCACATTAAAAAAAAAAAGGAAATTCCCCCGATTTTTAAAAAAAAATTCGCCTCAGACGAGACCCAAATCTAGCTTTTTTTTTTTTTTTTGCTTCTCCGCTCGCTTATTCTCAAACTCATCAATTTTTTTTTGTTCAACGCTCTTTCTTATTCTTTGTCTTTATGCCGATATTTAGATTCCGCAAAGCCGCACGATTGTCCGATATTTTGAGTCTTCGAAAAACCAAGTCTACAGGTGACATTGAGGATCCCGTCAGTGCATGTCAGAAGCCTCATGAGCCAGAGTATGACCATTACGATCGCGTGCAAAAGAGTGATACCCGTCGCAGCGATACGAGCGATGACTCAACATCCAGTGGCGAAACAAGTAGCGGCATGGTGTCGACACAATGCAGCTCCAATCGAAGTAGCATGGCTTACCCCCCGAATGCGCCTCCGCCACCTCCAGATACCAAACAAGATCAAAACCCGCAGCCTTTAGCCACTCGGTTACAGAATATCAATGCAAACGATATGGAGTTGTTACTGTCGATGGAGACGCAAGCTCGCATGGATTATCAAGAGGAGCAAGAACGTCTTGATAGGGAAGCCAAAGAACGAATGAGGCACCAAGACAATGTGACACCACGTCCAACACGTCTCAAGTTCGAGCTTCCTTCTCCACCTCGGCCCAAAACTGGACCGTCACCATCACGCGGCGATGGACGGACTTACCATAGATGGTCATTACCGGAAGAGCATATTCGGCGAGAAATGAAAGCCGGAGCAACCAGACCCAAACGAAAAAAGAAGCATTCTTACAGTTGGAGTCGGATCATTGGCAACCATGACGACGCCGATGATAGAGAAAAACAGGAATCGAATTTGGAGGAGCCCGAAGAGAAACCTTTGGTTCTAGGTGCCAAAGTCCGATTACTAAGACGACCTTTACCTATCTTGGGATACGTACGTTACATTGGTCCCGTCGACATGCCAACACAAACAGAACAACTTGTTGGTGTCGAATTGGAAAGTCGAGGTTCGTAGGTGTGACAAGGAACAGGAAAAATCATGCTGATCGACTAAGCACTTTTTCTTTTTTGTTCATAGTTGGAAACAATGATGGTTCCATAAACGGTAAACGTTACTTCCAAACCGATCCTCACAGAGGCATTTTCTTGACCTACGAGGAAGTCCTTGTTCTGTAGATATTTTCCCTCGACAGTTATTTTTTCTTCTTTTTGGTCGTTTATGCGAACATTTTTGGTTTTATTTTCTATTCCCTACTACTTTTTGTCATGGATATCCCAAAGCTAAGCAACATGCCTATCTCATTTCCGTCGTTTTATTTCGCTTATTGTGTGCATATTGATTCCCCCATCCAACCAGATGAGTCGGTAAAAAGGCTGATTCAATGGTTTTGATTATTTCCCTTTTTGTATTATAACCTTTTTTTCCTTTTTGTAATTACCTGATTTGGCGAGTCATTCATCCAATAAAGCCTTTTTTTTTATGTTCTCTTGATTCGCTTGCTTTCAGTTGAGGAGATATTTGTTTTATCATTCTTACAGAGCATAGCTAATTGTTTGGTGCTTAATAACTAGGAATGTATTTATTTCATTTTTATGAAGAGGATGATTTTGATGATGCTGGTGCACTTATTAACGTGGGTATAATTCGACGTTTTTTGCTTTTATCATCTGATTTTTGTGTCAATAGACCATCAGCAGGACTATTGGCTGATACAAGGATAGGTGTAATTCGTTTGATGCCTGCTTTTGGTAAGGAGGTTGTGGAGTTGGCGTTGTTGTTTGAAGACAAAGGAGAAGAAGAAAGAGTCGATGAGGATGAAGAAGCAGACGAGGTCATCAGCATGGATCGCACATCAGTGACGGATGCCGGTTTGGCGGGCTGAGCGACCGGTTCGGATACATCCATCATTTCAATATCATGCTCATTGCGCGCTCGATCGCGTTGATGCTGATAAGAAATGCCTAGCTCGTCCTGTTTGAATACAACAGAAGAACAGTAACCATCGGCTGATGAGAACATGAGCATGCTTCCATCGTGTGACCTAAGTCAAGGATGGAGATCAGTAAACCCACTTTATCTGCAGGAGAGTTTCCCTCGCATCCGCAACGCATGCATGCCGAACCAAAAGACAACAAAAACAACAGCAACTTACCATGCAATGTCTGTGATGGGAGCGAAATGCATGCCGCGAATAGCGCATATAGGTCGTGTTTGCTGGGTATCGTAGATGTAAACCGAGTCTTGAGTGGCTACTGCATAAACCATACGATAGGGGAGCATAAACAATGATTTCTTATTGGATGGTCGTGTCTGAAACAACATGGGACACCACCGTATTGCAATCGACGGTTTGGTAAAGTTACTGACATAGCACAAAGGATGCCTGTTCCAGCACATGGGTTACTCATCGTGTTTGCTTTTTTCTTTTTTTTTTTTGGTCTTCCTTCCCTCCCCCGGATTTCCCCCTTTTGATTTGCGCGATGGTCAGCCGTCATCGTCTGTTCACTTACTTTAATAGCGTGTTACGCGGGTAGATGTATGCACAGTTTTGATAATCTTCCTGGTCGTTGGTCGTGAGAGAATCTTGGGATGGGGCTCGATTGGATAAAGTTTCCGTCGTGTTTTTACAGAGACCCGCCGGGGTGATGAGCATCGCGCCATCGGGACTAAAAGCTAAGCGTCGGAAAAAGGAAACAAGGTTTTCGTCATGGTAGAGTCGTATCGCAGCTGAATTATTGGATTCGGCCGCCATTTCGTTTACAGACGCTTTGTTTGTATGGATCTTGCTTTTGTCCAACTTTAAATGGCGTCGTTGACATGTGGTGAATTGAGGATGAGCATTTGGTTTTTGTTTATATCGATAGATAGCCAATGATCTGCAGGATTAGAAGAATGAGTGCTCCAAGTTCATGGCCTTTTCAATGAAATCGTTCTTTCCCCCTTTGCTTTTTTATCATGGCCTTTGTCTGTGAATCACTACTTACCGATCACTGCTTTGAGTAGCCACAAACTGACCTTCAGGATCCCAAGCAACCCCTTGAACATAATGTGTGTGATCTGCGAATACGTGAATGGATTGTCCTAACCGTGACACACAACGTTAATACATGACCAAAATCGCTTACATACAAATACTCACGTTCAGCGATACTCCATACACGAGCTGTGTTATCAATAGCGGCAGTGATGAAATATTTCCCACAGGGAGACCATGCAAGATCATAAATTTCTTTGTTGTGTCCACTGTTCAAATTTGATTACAAGTCAGCTGTAACGTGTATTAGGCCACTCCACGTGATTACATACTAGAACATTTGCACGACGTTCCATGTCTCTTTTTCAAATTCGCTGTAATCGCTCATGGCGAATCCGCTGTCTTTTTGAGTCGATATCTTCCACAGAATGATGCAGGCATCTATTTCAAATACAAAAAGAGATGAACATTTGAATCGCCAGTCGATGCACGGTAGGATTCAGGGTAGGGATGGTTACCGTCTCCGGCTGAAGCTAAATACTCCCCGTTGGGTGAGAATCGGACAACATTGACGGGTGATGAGTGACGCTTCAATTCTGAAAGAAAATCAATGTTGACAGGTAGCGCATTGAGTGCTTTGTGATCTTTTCCTTGATTATTATTGTCGGCTTCAGGGCGTTTGTGAATACTCCATATCTGTTTTTCTGACTTAGCGCGATGGTGGTGGCGTTTCTCCGGTGTGAAGTGGAAGCGTAAACGGGCAACTTACTCTAACGGTGGTGTCCGCTCCGGCGGTTGCGTACCGTGAGCCATCGGGCGAGAAGTCAGCTGAATAAATGGCTTGACCGTCGTGCCAGTTGATTTCGAGCGTCTAATATGGGTAATTAAGCTTTATCGCCCAACGTAACATATCGATGTGAGGCGAGCTCACCTTGGCGATCATGGAGGGCCAGCTGCAAGGGTTGTCAAAAAAAAAAGTGGAGAAATTTCAATACGCGTTTCGCGTTGAATAAGACCAAAAGAAAAAAAAAATTGCGTCCCTTCAAAATTTTTGACCCCGCGTCAGCACAGACTTCCCTCTCTGATCCCACAAGACGTATACTCGAGACGTAAATCAAATGCAAGCTGGTGGCTTGGGTTACTACAAATTCTTCTTAAAGAGCAATAGCTGCATCAATTGAGTGACTGGTTACTGGAAGCGTATGAGCCTCCACTTGCACCATCTTCTCTTAAATTCTCGTCAGAGCTAAAAGATAGCACGATTGTTATAGTATATTAAACGTTTGAATGACGCGCCCAAAATCCAATCGATGGTATGGTAAAATCTTTGATGGGCAAAATAAAAATTGCTGCGTGTTACGAGGATGGAAGGGAGATCTCGTTTGCTTGGTTTTACATAACGATCAGTCATTCATGTTGGAAATTTGTCTTATTTTTTTCCCAGGGTGATACGAAAGTTTTGTATGGCAAACAAATCGTGCAAGGTGATGACAGGGTATTGTTGATGTTTCGATGGCTCGGGCTGACAGCTGCTTTCTTCTCAAGGGCATTACCATCTAATATTTGAATGAAATTTTTGCCGCTGAGCGATCTTGTAGTTACTTCATTCAAACGTCAAAATACGAGATGACGCAATCATCATTATCAGACATGAATCTCACACATTAGAAAGGGAACATATACTGTAAAACTGACAAGTGGGACAAACCATTGAGACAATTACGCCTTAGAGCTGAAAGGTATATAACTGAACTAAATTCACCCTATAGATATGATTGATACAAAACCTTGGTGTACCGTTAGATAAAAAAAAAAAAAAAAAAAAGATGGCGATCTTTAGTAATCTTTTGAATCTATCGGTGGTTGAGAAAAACTCTCGTTTCATCTGCTCGGCTGCATCGTTTTATGTTGCATTTCGTTTTGAAACAACTGACAAACTCGAAGCAGACACACGAAAAATCGTATCCAGATTCTAATATGGGATTCTCGTATTGCGTTCAGCTAATGCATATGTTGTGAGCGAGGGTGTCAAGAGAATGTTTTTTTAAGGACTTCATGGTAAAGATAGGTAGTGGACCATGGAGACGAGTTTTTGTTGAAGTACCGTTTCAGTCAAGGATTTTTTGCCACGTGAGATGACAGTGCTGGGATCTCGCAATTTCCATAATAGTCATGAAGAAAAGCAATCGACAAAAAATGCATTCGTTGACAGCCTGTTTTGGATGGTTGAACAACATAATCTAAACTTTTCACTGTTTTTGCTCCACTTATTCTTCACTTTGCCAGAAGTCAAAGCCTTTGTTTTCCTTTCCCCCACCTTCTTCCAAAGCACCACTCATCAATTACCTTCTCATTGTCCCGACATCACTCGGCTCCTGTATCCCATACACACCCCCAAAAGGACGTCATACCACTTTCACCATGCAACACAACAACGACCATGATCACAGCTATCAAATACCGATAACTTCTCCTTTTTCCGGCGACATCGCCATGACAGAGGCTCCACCCATGCGGGAGCCTTCCCCTTCTTTGGAGCGTCTGGGTTATGGACCGGTTTCAGGAAGTCACACTTTGGGTCACCGAGCACCTCGACAACGCTTAAAACCGCGGCGAAAGCACGGTTCACTCGGACGATATACGCTTTTACAACCTTATTACAACTATAACAGTATCCATAACAATATTAATCATTGCTCTAATACGCTTTTCCCTGATATCGTCAATATCCCTGTCGTTGTCGAGAAACGAATCGGTAATAAGAAAGAGACAAAAAAAAAGTGAAATACATGAGCATCATCAGAGTCATATGTATGAAACGGATCAACTGATGGCCTAATTTTTCTTTAGTAGATTTTTTGACCGTATTACCTTTTGAACTGGCCTCGTTAATCATGAGTTTCCTGGATTTTCGGTCTTTTATGACCATGTCGACCGTGTCACGTCGATGGCATATGTTATTTCGCGGTCAAGCAATTTGGCGACATCGAATGGCTGAAATGAACTGGAAACTTTATATACCGCCTGAATTTGGGGTGACGGAAGATGAAATCGACTATCAGTTTTGGTACAAGCAACGATTCCAACTGGAACAGCGATGGATGGTGGGTCAGGTCACTTCGCATTACTTGATTGGCCATCAAGACAGTGTTTACTGTGTCCAGTTTGACGATGAGAAAATAATTTCTGGCAGTCGAGATCACACCATCAAAATATGGAATTTGGCCACCTATCAATGCGTCTATACGCTTCGCGGTCATCGCGGCAGCGTGCTTTGTCTTCAGTACAACAACGAATGGTTGGTTTCTGGCTCCTCCGATACTACTGTGGTTCTCTGGGACATGAAGACATTAAGAAAACGAAGGCGACTCATTGTAAGCATCCACTTTTTCCTGTCTCTTGCTCCTCGTGTTTATTCCTATTTTTCAATGCGAAATAAGAACATATCAATAATTTAGGGTCACACTGCAGGCATATCGGATGTTTGTCTTAGCGATCGATACGTTGTCAGTAGTTCGAAGGATACATCGATACGGATATGGGATATTGAAACCGGTGAACCTGTACGTATGTTGATGGGCCATCGGGGCCCGGTCAACTCGATTCGAATCAAAGACAATCTATTGGTGTCGGTGTCAAGAGACACCCTGATTAGAATGTGGAATATCGAAACCGGTCTATGTATCCGTGAATTTGCTGGTCATACCCACGGAGTAGCCTGTGTTCAGTTTGACGGAAAAAAAATTGTAAGCGGGTCAAATGATCAGGCGATCAAGGTTTGGGATGCCGAGGTCAGTTCGGAACTAATCGTTTTCAATCAATGGATATACAAGAAAGCAGTTCACTGAGATTCTCTATTTTATTTTTTTTATTTTGTATAGACAGGCGAATGCTTGATAACGTGTGAAGGTAAGCAAAAAAAAAATGTTCAATCCTTTCTCCCATCCTATTTTGTGTAATCTACACATCCACGATCGCTGAAAAAAGTGGAGCTTTATTGACGGGTCTTTTTTACCCTGCTAGGTCATACCGGGTTAGTCCGAACGTTAGATTTTCATGACGACAAAATCGTCACCGCCAGTTATGACAAGACCATACGTGTATGGGATGCAAAGTAAGTGACATGGCGCATTTTAAGAGAAAGGCGAATCACGACATAGAACAAGAGACTTAATGCTATCATTAGAACTGGAGCATGTTTGCTTGATTTCCACAGCGGCCATTCGAATTGGATTTTTGATGTCCGTTTCGATAAGAAACGCATTGTGAGGTAAATAGATGAAATGTAGAATCCAGAATTATAAGTGTGAAATACTGATAAGGTATATTCTTTTCTTTCCTCTTCAGCGCGAGCCACGATCAAAAAATCTTAATCATGGACTTTTCCGATGGGTTAGATACACGGTTTTTTGTTCGATGACCTTGTGGGCGGGTGGTTTTGTTTCTCCGGCTGGTTTCTGTACAGTTAAAAAAAAAGAGCCCTGTTTTCTATTTATTATCAATCGCATCATTCCATATATCCACACAAAGCATTTAATGTCACATTTGCATCCGTACGAATCACAATCTGTGATCAGTCCTGTATCGACGCACTGATCAGAGCAGGTGTAACCTGTATCACCTCACTAAATTGCACGCAACTTTAATATTTTTAACTGCAAAGAGAGAGTCCCAAAAAAAATAATGATAAGAAAACCGACATTGGGTCAACAGCATGAAAAAAGAAAGGACCCTAGCGACAAGGGGTGAGGTTAGTAAATTAACCTGACGCCGTTGTCTTTTTTTACCTTTTTTTAGCTTTATGTTGTTGTCAATCAGTTCCTCCGCCCGATCATTTCATTAACGTGGACTTCCGAAAGGCGAAGATCCTTTTTATTTCATCCTTTTTCATCACCACCCCGAAGAATATATACGATGATTGTTACCAATATACCATAATTCTAGACCCGTTTCGTCCCAAGTTACCGGAAAAATCAAACTCAAGCTACACACATGTGGACCCAATGTTACTTGGTTACCATATCATGCCACTCTGGCAACGCGTGTTTCAATTTTTTTTTTATTTTATTTTGTATGCAGAGATATACACCCTGTCTGTGCTCGCTTTTTGTCCCTATTTTCTCCTTGTGTCTTGTCGGTTGCACGAACCTCAATATCAAGATTTTCCAAACTGGAGACGAATGTAGCGTGTCTCCACTACCCAATGATCGGAGAATGGCGTAACTCAGATAAATACAGTACGATGAAAAAAAAGGAAATTACAAAAGCAGAGGGTAATGCCGGCCGCCGTTCTCTTGGTGGAGTCTTTTTTAGGGTTCTTTCTAAATGGAATCATTTCTTGAATCACTGAAGGTCCTGTTATAGTATTGTCATGGTAACGCTTACACAAACACGACGACCAAGGAAGCATGATGGAACGATGGATTAAAAATGGAAAGCGAGAATAGCGTCTGTAAGAGTATCAACGGGACCAAACGGTGGGCTGCAGTGCGACATGGATTATGATTAGTATGGTTACAATAGTAATCCAACTCTTAAAAAGCCTATCTCCATCCGTTTTGTGTAGGACACGAAAGAAGGGAAAAAATAGGTCCTTCCGCCGGTCGTCCATAGATATCCTTTCCTCGGTAATTTGACAGCCGGTCGGCTAGAGGGTGGAGGTTCCCCTGACCCTTTGAATCAAAACAAAGATTTGAAAAATTCTCCACATGACTAGTGATGAAATTGTATCCATACGTTCTACGCATGCTGTTATAAGGTCACACACACACACAAACCCCCACCTCAAGGATGATGAAGATCTCTTTTCCATCAGCGTTGTTGGATATTTTTTTTAAGATCAATTGAGGTTACTTTTTTTTTTTCCTTCTTTTTTTTCCCTCCTTTCCTTTTCCTCATCCTTTTTTTTGTTGTTTCGCGTTCCTTTTCCGAGGAAGACACTTCCCTTTTTCGTTTTCCTATCTTTAATTTTTTTTTATATATCCTTACTAAATAGCTGCGAGCCAGATCTTCCCCTCCCTCAAAAGAAAGAGAGAATCAACAAAATTCTCAACATGAACGGTGAACAATCGCTCAGTTTATATTCAGTCGTGCCTCATTTGGACTCTCCCGAAGATCCTTTAGTCGATTGCATATCATGCACGCCACTGCATAATCATGTTAAACATAACAATGACAATGAACATCTTCCCCGAAAGTACCCAATCGAGGAATATTTCTCATCCGCCGTGGCCCCCACACATAACGATGAATACTGGTGGTGGATGATCAGTTCAAATCTTAATAAAGGTGAGTCGTTGGGGTTGCTTGACATGTATTTTGTGGTTTCTAATTTATGGTTGGTTTTTTTTTTACTTTCCTTTTTATTCCTCATGATGACTAGTCTCCATCCACAACAATCGACGCATGCTTCCACCGACGGCAGACGCAGTTGCATTTGAGGCGCAGACGCACGTACCACCGTTCAGGAAGGTGGAGCATGGAGCGGCGACCGCTGGTTTTTACGGCGACGATATTGTAATGACTCCGACTGAACTTCCGTCCGACACATCTTCACCATGTCTGTCATCGTTGCATCAGCCTCCAATGACGGCTCAGTTGACTTGGCAACAAAGCAGCACTTCCCTTTCCACCTCGAAAAGGGCATTCAGCGCCGATCATGGTTCCTCGTTTTCATCGCTGTCAACCATAGCGTCTTCCTCTCCTTCGACTTCGACGACTAATACTTCCGTGATCTATCCTTTCAGCTCGTCTTCAACAGCTTCGCTGTCATCTATCAGCACAAGTCTGTCCGCAAGCACGTCATCGTTGCCCCAGCGAAAGCGTTCACTAGCTCATATCATTACTCCTATGGACGTCACGTCCGAAGCGGACCCCGTGTCTTGCGGATCGTCTCTTTTATCGCCTACCACCGCTATTGTGCCCAGCTTCAGTGAACCGATTCCGACCGCTTCTGCGATTCAGGACATGGACACTTGGTCCAGGAGCCTATCGTCATCGTTATTGCAACCTCCCAAGCGAACCAAGTCGTGTTCTCCATGTCGGGAAGATCAAACAGAGAAAGCCGACGCCGTGCCTCGAAGGCAAAAATTGCGCTACGAAGGGGATAACTATACTCCGAAGTGGGTCCGGTATACGGGACATCGTAAAGAAGGTTACTGCGACAGTTGTGAACCAGGAGGAAAATGGCTGCAACTGAAAAACAGCGCTTATTGGTGAGCTTATTTCCCTACCGATTTGCCTTTTTATTTTTCCCTGACTCCTCACACACACGCGTCCACGCGCTTTTTTTGATCGTAACTAGGTACCACAAACAGTTTTTCCATGGTATTTCGTCGGTATCTGGGAAACCGTTTCTGGATCCCATCGACCAACGAGTCGGGCCCCAGCAAGATACCATTGAAGGGCTGTGCCATCAATGTCGACAGTATGTTTTGATATGCAACGGAAGACGAAAAAATAATAATGTTCTATGGTACCGTCATGCTCACAAGGTAAACAAAGAAAAATGACAATCGTATTCAATTGGTGTAGCCTGACCGGGAACTGACATGACATAAAAATTTTCATTGTTACAGTGCCATGTCTATGATAAACCCAAATCGACTAAATTTCACAAAAATCAGACCTTCAACGCATCTAAAGATTGATAACCAAGAAAATAACCACTTACACTCTTGAGTACGCACTTTTCATCCCAAAACGAAAAAGAGAAAAAAAAATCCCCATCAGCATCCACACGCATAAAGAAAACGAAGGAGCGATTCCTGGTTCACTTGAAAGAACAACACCGAACCTTACCCGCTTGTATATCCTTGTGTCTCTGTACACGCTTTGTACTCAGATGTATGCGTCCCGCATTGTGTGGGAACAACAGTCTGTCGTGGTTTTTTTTTGGCCTTTTTACTGTTCATAAAAGTTTACAATCCGCTAAAAATAAAAAAAAGCACGCATTATCATCAAGCATCGAAACTCTATTGATGGAAAAAAGAAAATGCATGTGGGTGACACGATGAATATGTAGGAATTATATTGTTCAGACTGAATGCAAAAATGATCGGATTACATGTATAAATTGATAATGATATAATGAAATGATCCGTGAGATGATTATATACAAGACGGATAGATTAGCCAAGGGAAAAAAGAGGTTTTCAAGTAGCTCGCTTTCGGTACAAGTTGCGTTTTGCCCGTTGAAGCCGCGGTCTCGCTTCATCCCACGGTCCATGGATCTCGCTATTGACACAAAGGGCATCATTAGTTGCCGTTTGGTTGCCTTTTTACACCTCGTTGCAGCAAAAACTTACTTTTTGTACTTTTGGATAAAGATGAGCCAGTAGGGACAAACAAATGTCAAGAAACAAAATCCCAACATATAGATAAATACAACCGCCTTGGAGATGTGGATAAATAACAACACACATAACAGAAGAAGCGATACCGTCATCATAATTTGCATTTTGGGACTCAAGTCCTAATTGTTCCCGTTCATAAGTAATGCTTGGAGACAAAAGAATTCCCGTCATCGTAAATTTTTTACCTGCAAATGACGACGGAAAATGGGAAATAATGCAAACCATTCCACAGCAAAGGACAGCAAACTGAATACATCCAGGTTCGTATCAAGTCTTGAGGCTAAAAGGACAGACGCGAAAATGGCTGCATTCGTAGATAAAGAACCGGGAATCCTAAAGATCAAAAATCACGTCAGCGTCGTCATGAGATAAACGGTGGTAGGTGCGAGTTAAACATACTTGACTCGAATTCGACTTTGCGCTACATAGTCATGAAAGAGTACATTGGCCAAGAAACAACATACAGTGAGAGCCCAGATAGTGTCATCGCTGGTTTGACTTGTTAACGTTTTCAAGATAGGAGAAAGCCCCAGTAAGGTTGAAAAGAAAATGATCGTGCTTTTGATCACATGCTTGCCTATTCAGTTGTCAGCACCCAAAAAATCGAACGTGTGCATCCGCCCGAATTTATAATATTACGTGATAATTCATAGTTTTTGGCCGTTTTGAGCATGATCAGATCCCAAAACATGTAGCCTGTCACCGCAAACAGTGAGCTGGTCCAAATGAGATGGGTCGCTGACAGCGAATGTAACTGCAAGTCGATAAAGATGGCAATAAAGATAACAACACTGCTAATGTGTTGCGTAATAACCCCCGATTCATACACCATGGTCCAGTAATCGTAGGTTCGCACATTGACTAGATTGAGATGAGGCAGGTGTGATGAGTTTCAAGGGTCGATGCGGCTCCATTACAAAACTATGCGGAAATGTACCGTTCTTTTGCAACTCTTCCAGGAACGTGTTATCGACATAGTTATCGGGATAGTTTTGCTTCACCCACAACAGCTTTCTCCATGGCTGATTGTACTGATACTCTGCATTGGAGAAAGAATGCGTGGTTGTCGAATACATGGCAGCAATCAAAAACCGCCGGTGATCTCAGCGCTGGGAAAATTTCCTTTATCCCTTTTTTCAAGCGATCTCTTTTTATTCGTGTCACCCAGCTTCCACAATCGCCCTGAATTCAACAGCACATCCATATCGTAATATACCATAAAAATGTCGTTTTTTACAATACAGTAACTGTAGTTTCGTTTGCTTTTTCATTTATTCTTGATTGAAAACGGATATGAAACAGTCAACTTATGGGAAACCGCCGAGTAAGAAAATCCAAAATATAAGACCATGCATGTGAAAAGAGTGTGGTATGTACATTGTAGTCGTTGAATCTATTCCAAGTCTGTTGCTGCGTAGATGGTATCAGTCTGTGCAAAACTTCGAAGAAACAATCCGCATACGAGGTAGGGTATATTCTTGGCATGATCTACGCCCGCTTCACTCGACCAGCGCGACCTTCCGGTAAATTGGAAAACACTTCAAACACAAGCGCCTGTTCATCAATATGATCCCACAGCAATCGACGTTCTTTGGAATCGGATCTTAATGTCGCAAGTAAATCCCCTTGACTGTGCTCCCAAGCCCAAGCAACCAGTGCTCCGGTGATCTGTTGCTCATACAACAGGGCAGCTAACTCGAGGAAATCAGGTAGCGACCACTGCTCATAGACCGAGAACAAGACGGTTTGTGAAGCATATACATTCTGGGTTAATTCGGCAATGATCGTAGGTATCACATGATCATGATCGGCTGTCAACGGTTGATCTTGAGGCTTCGCTGCTAGTTCCAAAAGGGAACGGAATCGGTTCTCGTTTAGAGTGCCAGCGTCAGATTTTGTCGAAGAGGAACAACCGGAGCCTGTAAAGCATCCTCCGCATGAGGCACATCCACTCATACTGCAAAAGAAATGTCGGGCGGTTGAAACGAACAAAAAGATCTCAACAGATCATGCTCAAAAGTGAAGTCGAATTTCGACATGTGTTCGCTGTCACAACAACTCTTGGTTGTTTTTCGTTGTGATTGGCGGAGCTAGCTTTCCATATCGGGCTTAAAAAGATTAGGTAAAAAAGGTTTTTGCTTGATACATTGAATGCCAGGGGAGAAAACACAGAAACAAGCTTTTTTCCCCCTCTTTGCTTAGTATCACTGTTTCTCTCCGATTTTTCATGCATTCGCTATCATCGGTCTTATCTTATTTGCTGACAGGATTTGGCCGCCTCTTTTATCTAGTGTCGCCTTGGGCTAGCACTTTCGATCACTATGAAGACGTACCGGACTATATTGCTGAATCCATTCCTTTTTTCACCATGACAATAGTTCTCGAATTCTTGACGCTATTGTTTAGCAATAAAGGCAAAGGGTTGTTGAAGCAACAAACATGGGGTTCGCACCGATATGCACTCAATGATATGGTCGGCAGCATTGGGGTGAGTGCGTTGTCAGCTCGCTTGAGCAGAATAACTATAATAACTCTATGCATGGATAGTCTGGCATGTTGCAAACCTTATCTCGCTATTTCTTGTATAATTTAACGCTGAACTCTTACCTATACGTATACCAAAATTTCCGTGTCGTCACACTCGACCCAAATCATCTCGGTCTCTGGATTGCAGGCTTCTTCATCATTGACCTCGGTTACTATTGGTTCCACAGAGCAGCACATGAAATCAATTTATTCTGGGCAACACATGTGGTAATGCTTCGATGATTTTCAATTTTGTTTTGTAATACAGTCACAATCTCACGCTGGAATGATCCATAGGTTCACCATTCTTCAGAATACTACAATCAAACAACCGCCCTGCGTCAAAGCATATTCCAACCTTACTGCTCATGGTTGTTTGATTTGCCAGCAGCATTGTTCTTGCCTCCTTCACTCTTTGTCGCACACAAGCAATTTAACACTCTTTTCCAATATTGGTAGCGTAATACGTTCCTTTTATTTGCAACCAAGAAATGAAGTTTTCTCATGTCATTCTGTTTTTTATTCCCACTTAGGATTCATACAGAAGTGGTTGGTAATTTAGGTCCGCTCGAGTATATCATTAACACCCCCTCGGCCCATCGTGTTCACCATGGTCGCAACCCTTATTGCATCGATAAGAACTATGCAGGCACTCTGATTATTTGGGACATCTTGTTCGGCACATTTGAATTGGAACGCGTGGAGCCCCATGTGAAGGAATCCAAAGACGTAGCGCCTGTGGCTTACGGTCTCACACACCCTATCGATACTTTTGATCCTTTTACTGTCCAATTTCATCACTTATCGCATGTTCTCCGCACGTGTTACACGACGTCCGGTTGGTCCAATAAGCTGAAAGTTTTGTTTTATGGACCGGGATGGCACCAAGGCACACCTCGCACCGGTCTCTTGGAAGAAATCCCGCCCATCGCTACCGATCAACCTCCGGCAAAATACGACCCTCCTGTGTCACTTGCTATCAATGCCTACGTTTTGGTCCATTTTGTCGGTCTTATTATGGCCAGTGGAATCTTTTTTAATCTGAAGCCGAGCACGGTCCCTGCTTTGTCGCTTTACTTGGTCACGATTTACATTTTCGGCACCTTGACGAGCTTTGGATGGCTGTTTGATCACAAACCGTGGGCTGTTCAAACGGAGTGTGGCCGATGTCTCATTTTATGTCTTCTCCTCAAGGTGGCCGAACACCACGGTATCATGGGATCCGCATGGACAACACCACTTCAAGCCATGCACCTCGTTAGTGGTCTGTGCATCCTTGCAGCTCGTCACACTCCCAAAACACATGCCAAGTCCGAGTAGCTAAAGACCGTTCGATGTTTTACCAAGCATACATACCTGCTGTGATATCATAATATATCTATTGAAATCAAAACTTTTGTTTCCATACATTTCTTCCGCACTATTTTTTATACTGCGGAAAATATACATAGGACGAATCCGTGATGGGCTCCTTTTAGAACAGCTTTTATTTTGCATGCGAAATATGTCGCCTTAGTCCTTTTTATATCTTAGCGTTGGTCAGTGAAACATAAAAGTATACTATGTATTCCTTGCACATAGGGGCGCGGCCTGTAAAAATCAAGAAAAATTCATTTTCTGGCGTTAGTCCTGAACGATCTGTTTTCTTTGTTCTGCAAAACCGGCAGGGCGATCAAAAAGCCATCAAGGGGAGCGCTGTTTAAAGATTTTGACTCTCTTCCTTCTGCAGCCAATCAAAACGGAGAATTGCGATTTGGAATTGTCAAAGCATGATTTTTTGCACGCCCCCACTTTTTTTCTCTTTTCATTTCTCTATACTTTTTCAGCCGTTACTGCTACTCCTTGACCTTGCCCTCCATTTTGGAGGTGCCAATGGTATTTCCATCCCTTCTCAATGCCAAGGCATGAGACACGGTTTCCCGTTCGTCCTGCAATCGCCATGTGCACATTCTCACACAATGGACAAGGGGAAAGGGGAAACGTTTTTTGCGGTCATTGCAATCAAGGCAAAAAAAATTCACCAAAAAGCCTCCAATTACGGTTATACACCGGTCAAGACGCCCTTGACGCATATACTACTAGAGGCGTTTTCGATTTGAATCAAAAAGATAATAAGCCTATAGCAAGTTTCATGCACACATCGCTTGGTAAAAGTCAAGGCACTGACATTATATGCTGGTTACAGCCAAGACACTGTCTTTGCTTTTATCCCAGGTCCGGTGTCCAAGCTACTACTCCCGCATGTTTGCTTTCTGAAACTGCCGTCGACGTGCCATGGCACTCAAGCTTTGTCTCGTTTAATGCCTTGTTCCACTTTCTGTTCCCATTGCCAACGCGCCGATTGTAATTTTCCTCGCTCTCAAAAAACCCCAGTTTTCCTCACGGTCGGCGCGCTCAAAACAAGCAATAACGTTACGCAATAGTGTGCAATCCCCAAGAACGACGTGTTCCCAAGTACACATTGGTGCACAGTCTTATTCACACCCAAAAAATACGGCGCTGATCTGAACTGAACAACCTGGCGCAGCCGAATTTTAAGCGCCACACGAGATGACGCCACCGCAATCGTTCAGCCAATCATTTTCCGTTTTCCAAAAATTGAAACGTCGAAAGCATATGCAAGCCCAACGCCACTTCTCTCAACGCACAGCCGAATTTTTAACGCTTCACACAAGGCAAATGCACACTTTCTAGCAGTACTGCTTCTCTCCAAAGTTGCTCTCCGTTTCGAGGAGCCAGTGCAATTTTATTTATCTTCTCTTATCAAATGTGAGTTTTACGATCTAATGTCGCCATCGTCTCCAAATCACAAAGAAACTAACAAAAATTTCAGGGGACAAGGGCTTTTTGCCAATTCAATTCCGCAACGGAGTTCAAAGCTTTAACGGCGGCCCTCTATCAATCAAGGCGTTCTCAAACTGTCGACTGATGGCAGCACATGCTGATTCTAAAGATAAATACAAACTTACAGTAGGCCTCAAGCAAATCAATTTTAATTGAAGCTCGAATCACTGATTTTATATCGGCGTTACAGCAGGCACCTTGCCACCGCCTTGATCCGAATCTCAAAATATACGCAAGATCAAAACATCCTGCAGACATTTCGAATCCAAAACGGAACTTATAATAAGCCTTAAAGGTGGCTAACCAATCGATCAAGATGTCCTTCTCTCTCTTCATAGCAGGTATTTATTCAAAAAACGAATTTAAAACTCAAGGTAAGCCTCAATTTAATTCAACTGATTGAACCGAAATACTAATGTCGTACGCTCTTCACAGTAACGCACTGTCAAGCCTTGTAACCGGGTCTCGCAAATTGTGCAACAAAAAGCGTTCTGCAACCGTTTGGAATTCAAAACAAAATATACGCCCCTTAAGGTGGCTCTCTATAAGCCAGGCGCTTTCAAATTGTCTACGAAGGGCACAGGTGCTTATTCAAACCGGAAATTTAAGCCTACGGTAAGTGTCATGCAAACTCAAAATGACTGAAATCGAATTACTGATTTGTATAATTCTTGTAGCAAACACTCTGCTGTGCCATTGATTTGAATCTAACCAAGCAGCTCCAAGAAAAAGCGATCCTACCGTTCTTTTGGAATTCAAAGCATTATTCATAAGCCTTAAAGATGATTATCGATCAATCGATAGATCGCTCGGTCAAGGATCTTAATCCATCTACGAACGCAAAGCGGTGTCGATCAAAGGATCGAAACAAAAAAAAAAAAGTACTGTAACGGTAAGTCTCATGCGTATTTCTGAACCAATGCACTCATATTGACTGCTCGTTAGAAATGCACCTCCCGTCCCGGCCCTTGATCCACGGTTAATTTCCAAGGTTGCTATTCCACGCACGCACTCTATTTCTAAGCAATACTTTGCACCGTGTCACTGATAATAGTCCCTAGCCTGTCTTTGGTCCTTGTTGCCAACGCTCTGATCATTGTATTCTATTTAACCCAAAAAGCTCACTTTTTCCCCCAATGGGTGCGCCTACAACGAAAAACCACCGTCACCGCCAATGTCACCGCCGCGCAGACCCATCCGAATTTCAAACAGTGGAGCTTTCTCAAATCATGACTGATGCTCAATCTCAATCATAAACAAAAGTAAGTATCCATATTGCCTTGTTTAGTACCAAAAAATGCTGACGCATTTGTCGTGTGGTCCAACCCTAAGCATCTAGCTATCGAATCCATCCACAAGCCGACACACAATTTTCCAGTTTCGCGCACAGACGCTTCCCTATGCCCATCTATATCCACAAAAGCAAAAAAAGGGGCAACAAAAAAGAAAAAAAAAAGATGAAAAAAAGCGATGTTTTCCCGCTAAGATAAAACAACCAAAAAAAAGTTAAGAAAAGCGATGATTTCCCGCTTGAAAAAAAAAAGAGAAAAGATTGTTTTATTATGATTTTATTTCTATCTGATTCTTTCATTCATTCACATTATGTTTCTTCATTCTTCATTTTTTTATTTAGTGTAGTATATTTCTTTATTCTTCTTTACCTTCATTTTTTTCATATTTGTATTTCCCTTTGAACGTTTCCATCCTTACCGAACCACTGTACAAGGCTTACCGACAAATGTGATCAAGGCAAGTTGTAGTAGGAATATTTATTCGTCGACGAATGGTACTTATCTACGCGTTACTTAGCAATGCCGATCATATGCCATGGTTCGTCCGACAAATGTCTGGCTCAATTATTGATATTATGTTTTGTCAATATGGATTTGCGTTTGGTTTACATGATCGCGCGATATCTTTGGGGGGTAGACGATCTGTTGGCTGCACCAATAAGAATGCAAGATGCACTCAGCTTTGCCACCACATTGGTGATTGATCTGCTGTGGCAAATCTTAAGCGGAGTATGAAACTCGCCTGTGCGCGTTTTTCTTGCGGTCATCTCCAGAAATAGTTGCCAATAGTGACAGTTGCCCTGCAGCAGGAATATGATATCGACGGTGACATCGATATAGCGCTATAAATATACCTGCGTGATGCATTTGCTTTTATTTCAATGCAAAATAGCAACGCCACAACCTCCCATAGGATTTATCAGCGTCCGTTTTGTATGGCCAGCAGCAGAAGAAATTGGAAATTGTTGGCTGAAAATCTATGAAAGTGGATAGTTTAATGGCTGTAGAAACTAATGCCAGACTGAGAGAGGACTTTCCTGCAAGAAAAAGTTCTGCAAGTCACCAATGACATTCCGGCAGTATTTTAGTGCGCATCAGCTCGACAAATACAAGAAGCGCTTTGGGCACTGACTCTGAAAATTTTTTGTGGCAAACTTTTCTCCCAGTTTGGGCTTGCCCGCCCAACACAAGCGGATTTCAAAATGAAAATTTATCGTTCTTTTTGTGGCCCTTTTTTTTGTGTTTTTGAGTGCTCTTTTCTGGGACGAATAGACTTTTTTGTGTGGCGATACAACTCAATCAACCGTTTGCTGACGTGTCAACCTTTTGATCCTCCACATTCGATCCTTTTTCACGTCATCGATATTCTCCTTGTAACGACAATCCTGCTTCTTACCCACTACAAACACAAACCCTATATTAAGTAACTGTACGGCATGGACCAGATTGAGCAAGCCGTAATCTGTGCTCTGCGCCCCAATGTCGATCCCGCTCTCAAATCACAGGTACAATTCCTCTCTTGTTCTTCTTTACCATCGATTGCCCGCTTTGGAACGCGTTAACAGGACCAGTTTACGAGACACGCCCGTTCAATGCTCGAAGAAGCGGGTCATCGATGGATTAAAGGAGCGCCTAGAATGTGGATTGTTTGCGATTTCACATGTTTGAACATGACACTGATCTCTTATTGTACAGGCGAACATTTATTGTGAGCAAGTGAAGAATGCTCCTGATGGTTGGCAAATCTGTCTTCAACTCTTTATGAAGGAACCGAAAGCGTAAGTGGAACGAGAAAAAAAAATAACCATAACCCGCAGCCCTGATGAGCCATGCGTGCTGACCATTGCGATCCTTAATACTATGTAGTGCCGCTGAAGCTCGGTTCTTTGCTTTGCAGGTGCTCGAAAATACCTTGCAGAATAGGTGGGTGGATAAGTCTCGAGTTGGGCAGAACGAAAAAAGTGCTAATCAAGAACATGTTTTCGTCACAGATACGACACCTTGGAGGCCAGTGCAGTAGAGTATATCCGACAGACAATGATGGAATATCTGCGTAGAGAATTTGTCGACAATACATCCACAGCATCTGAAGAAACATGTACGTTTTCTTATTCAGTTGATAACAAGGGAAAAAAGTTGGTGGGGTATTCCTAATTTTACCTTCTTTTTTTTCATCTAGTCATTCGAAACAAAGCAGCTCAATCTTTGACTTTACTTTTCGCGCACGTATACCCGAGCACATGGCCCAACTTCTTCAAGGATATGATCGCATTGGCTCAAACCCCGGCCGGCACCCCGAGCTACGAAAAGGCGGCCGATTTCTTTTTACGTCTATGTATCAGTATCGATGAAGAAATTGCACGTCTCGATATTCCTCGCGACCGAGAAGAAGTCGTTCGAAACACCAATATTAAAGACACCATGCGTATGGGTGATATTCAGTTATTGGCGGCATTTTGGTTCGAGTTGTTGCAGGAATACAGATCCGTTAATCCCAGTATTGCTCAACTTGCTTTGAAGAATATTGGTGCTTACATTGCCTGGATGGATATCTCGCTTGTCGTCAATGATCAAGTCATGAGCGCTTTATATGAATTGTTGGGTAATCCCAGCTTACGTATCTCGGCCTGTGAATGTCTCGCAGAGGTAAGTTTTAATTTTAGTAGAAGTGGGGATATTGGCGAATTCTTATTTTTTTTTTTTTTTTTTTTTTTTTTTGTTTATTGTCTTTTGTCTTTGGTTTATAGGTGATTAGTAAAGGCATGCAGCCATTGGATAAACTCAGCATGATTCAGATGTTGAATTTGACGGACACGCTTGGAAGACTGGATTTGGTAAATTTGCTGGATAGGATGGTGAACGAAAAGGAACCCGTGACTCATTGTAATTGTTGCAGTCGGATCCAGAATTTGTGGAATACGTGGCTCGTTTGACCAATACCTTGGGTATCGAACTCTGTAAAATCTATACCGATAATGCGGTGCAGAGTGAAGCTAAAGGTAAGGGATTTGAAATCGATAACGGGCGTTGTGTTTGAGTCGTCTTCATGTGCTGAATCGTGTTTTGTGTGTGTATGATGTGTAGCTGCTACATGGTCCTTGATTGAGCAACTGTCACCCTATCTCTTGAAATTCCTGGCGGACGAGTACGATGACACCACCACGGCCGTATTCGCATTCGTTAATGATATTCTCAGCATTGTAAGTAACCTGAAGCAGGTGCTGTTGATGAATGGATGATTGACGAACTTTTTTTTTTGCCTTGTCGGTTCCTTAGTTCAAGAAACAAAAGAGAGCAATGCAGCCGTTTACACAGACGCAGCATGAACTCCTTGGTTCGTTGTTGAATGTAGTGATCATGAAAATGAAATACGACGAGGAAACAGAATGGGGTGCCGAAGAAGAGGAGCCTGAAGAAGAGGCTCTGTTTATAGAATTGCGCAAGGTAAGGGCTAATATTAAAACACGGGAAGTGCGTTGCTAATAGACAGAAACTCATACGCTTTTGTTTATCAACATCAGAATTTGAGAATCTTTGCAGAACATATTGCAACCATCAACAGCGAGTTATATATTGGCTATGTCCGCTCTGTGATCATGGACACATTTGCAAAATATAAGAACGGCAGCAGTGATCTCAATTGGCGCGACGTGGAATTAAGTCTCTATATCCTATTCACATATGCAGAAGCTCTTCCAAAAATTGCCACACAGTTCGTCGTTTCAAATGATCCCAGTACTTTGACACCCTTAGGTGAATTGGTGTCTGATATGGTTGCCTCTAGTAAGTGTCATCTTTTTCTGATTGGATAGTTCGAGATGTGCGTGTGCGTGTGCATGTGAGAGACATCGAGGGGACGGCTTCTGGAGACCATGGATGAATTACTAACCATCATGCTTTTTTTTTAGACATTTCTGCTTACCCTCATCCATCGGCTCCTTTGCAATTTTTTGAAAATGTGGCACGTTATTATCAGTTCTTCGAACACCGTCCGGAACAACTTCCATCAGTCTTGGCCGCTTTTGTTGACAGCCGTGGCTTGCATCATCCTCTCAAACAAATCCGATCTCGATGCTGGTATTTGTTCCATCGATTTGTCAAGAATTTGAAACCCAAGATGGCTCCTTATGTGGAATCCGTATTGTCCTCCATGGGTGATTTATTGACAATCGAAGCCGAGGCCCCTGTAGAGCAAAGTACGATGGATGGCACGCCGATCCCTGCCGCTTCGACCTTTGATAGTCAACTTTACTTGTTTGAAACCGTTGGCATGTTGATTTCATTGGACTCGGTAGACGTCATGAAACAAATGGAATACCTCAAGATTGTCTTGGAACCTTTGGTGGAAGGCATTCAGAATTCATTGAGCCAGAGTTATAACCCTGAAGACGAGTTATTCCTCCTGCAGTTGCATCATTATATTACAGCCATTGGCAGTGTAGCCAAAGGTAAGTAACTTGTCTTTTCTTGCAGTAGAAATGGATTGTCGGTATCCGATTTTCTGATAAAACGTAAACAGGTTTTCCTGCGATTCCCAAAGGTCAATCGTGCACACAACCATGGGCGGTGGTATTCAAGCAAGCTACAGAAATTATCCTCAACGTACTTCAGACATTCAACAAGTTCATGGTGATACGCGATGCAGCTCGTTTTTCCTTCTCTCGCCTGATCACCTGTCTCGGTGCCGAAGTGCTTCCCTACCTGCCTACCCTCATTACCGGTTTACTGACAGAATGTGAAGTCACCGAACTCGTGGATTTCTTACCTTTCATTGGATTGAGCGCTCACAAGTTCAAGGTATGTACATGAATCATAACTCGTCATGATTGATGCGACTCTATTCGTCCATTCAACTAAACTCTCTTTCCCCACAATGTAGCCAATGATTCATAATATCATGGATGAATTGTTATTGCCGCTTGTTAAGCGCGTCTTTGATTTCCTCAATACGTCGCCCTCCGGCACCGACGAGGCGTTCTTATTGCTTGAACTTCGCAAGTCGTATCTTAATTTCATTATCAGCTTGTTCAACGCGGAATTGGAGAGTATTCTTGTCAGCGAGCGAAATATTGGGCATCTGAGTACAATTTTGCAAACAATTTTGCATTTCGCAAAAGACAACAATGATCCTATCACACAGAAAATGGCGTTTGGTGTATTCATGCGTATGGTGAATTCCTGGGCAAGTTCCACTCAACAGCCAAGTCCTGCTGCTGGTTTCGATCAGTTTGTTTACAACGAGCTGATTCCCGCTACATTTGCTGTACCCATGCATGCCGCTTTCAACGTTGCGGACGGCCAATCGCTGCTGGTAAATAGTCGAGTCTTCATTTCATGTGAGAAATTGAATGCTAATGTCACTTGTTTTCTTGCAGGTTTTCGGTGAGATTACAAGTATCCAAAAAGCGTTATACACTAAGCAAGGGGGCGAGTATCTGGAATATATGAACAATGTATTCCTTCCTTCCATTCAATGTCCCCGAGAAACCGCCGAAAGATACTGTCAAGCCGTTCAGCAGTATGACGGCAAAGAATTCAAAAAGTATTTCCAGGTAAAAATGACAATGAAGCATACCGGTTTAAAATTTTTGAAAATCTGACTTTTTTTTTCCCTAGTCATTCATTTCCGAAGCCAAGAGCTAAAAAGAACAAGACAACATATTTTCACATGCGATAAAAAAGACCATTTAAAGGGAGCACATCGCCGATTCTTCTCACTTACACCAATCATTTACCATATAATTAAAAAAAAGAGAGGAACCGATGTTGTAAGTAAATAAAGTTACTGATTTCAATTCATTTTTCAATGGGATCGCAGCAGTAATATGTGTTTGGTAAAATTTGGGCGGGAATGTGAGGAGCTGCAAGAATGCAGACCACTGCCGAGATACAGAATTTGAAGGGGCGTTGTCCCTGGAGAGCTTGCTGCTTGGTGACCAGGGGGAGAGACATAAAATAAGATATCATGTAAACAGCTCGACGGTTTTGTGATCAAGTAGCCATCCAAAGTTTGTTCGGCTGTTGCCAAGGCAGACGAACAAACTTTGGATAAAAATAACTGTGTCCATTTGGACGACTTTCTGTTTATTTTCTAAATGCACTGGTGCTTCATTGAATTTATACTGTCAGACAAAAATAGCAACAGGAGTACATTTTCTTCTTTGTTTGAATGAGCCATACCATTGCGACGTCAGATGCAAATTTCTAGCAGCGAAACTTATAAAAATCAATCTGCGCAGTTTTTCAAGGTTTTACTGATGCGTTAAAGGGCATGAGAAGCCAGACAAGCTAAGCCACTTGCATCATGCTTTGTTCGTCTTTTGGAAGGTCTCTTCCATCAGTAGCATCTAGGGCATTCATGCGGGCACTTCATTCGGATTCCAGTGGTGATATTTATCGCTCAGTCGCAAGCATTATCCTGAAACGTCCGCCCTTGGCCACCGAAAGCCATCAGGACGATGACGACGTTCATCGACCGACACGTTTACCTAAAAGTACGCTCTATATGATTGTCAAAAAGCCGCGCAAGCACAATGCTTGGCAATTCCCTCAGGGAGGGGTGGAGCCAGGAGAGACAATAGCGGAAGCAGCGTTGAGGGAACTTGCGGAAGAGTGTGGGTCGGCTATCAAGGTGCAGTTGCTCGATAAGACAGCTGCCGGAGTATATCAATATCGTTTCCCAAAAGCATTTATCGAAAATCGGCCTTATGTCGATCCTTCCGTTGGTGCCAAAGTATATAGTTAACTCCAAAAAAAAAAAAAAAAAAAAAATTGTAAAGCTACAGCTTCACAGACTAATGAAATGGGATAGGTTGAGTTTATCCGAGCCAACTGGGTTTCAGGACAGTGCCAACCGGATCAGAACGAAATTGTGGATTTTGCCTGGTTGACGCGAAAAGAGCTGTCGCAGTACATTACCAAGGAATATGAGGCAGCACTCGCTTCGTTACTTGATAACGACGTATAGTTATGGGCCTCCAAGACCAACAGCACTCCAGATACATCCCTATTTCGCCAGTAATGATTGCCCGCATAAAAAAATAAAAAAAGACAAACTCCTCCATGACACGTTGTCACTGCGGTTTTATTTTTCTTTCACAAAAACCAAGGGAACTGAATGCGTAACAGGTCCCTGATAGAAAAGACATCTTTCAACATCGTCCTCGAATAACTTGTCGCATTTTACACCCCCCTCACATATTCTTTCGCCATCTCTCACCAATAACATCCATTGCGGAAACTACAGCATAACCTAATCGCATGGACGATCGCGCAGTCAACACCGATCCCACCTCGAATCGTGGCCGTTCCGTTATCCTGAAACGTATGAGTCATCAATTTCAATAAACTTAAAATGAATGGCTCATATTGTGGTTATAGGCAAACGCAAGCAAGATACTGATCACCAGCAACCCCAACAAGTCAAGCGCTCCAGATCATGGTTACTCGATCCGCTTCTTGGATTATTTAGATCGTCCAGTAATGACGAAGCAACTGAAGTAAGTCACCCTATACGATTAGCAAGGCAAGCTTCTTAACTATTAATAACACAGGCCGCCGCCGCGGATAATGTCCCGGATAACAGGCGTCAAAACCATAGCAGCCCACCAGGCGAACCACCACAAAACCCAACCAACCAAGAGCAAAAGGTGAACATACATCAAACTACTTGTTGTAATTGGTTATGAAAGGCTGAAAGTTTGTAGATCCCTTCGGTCAAAGAGGCGACGGTTGAAACAATGGAGGAGGCAATTATGCTCTGGGAAGATACCCCAATGGATAGAGGTCCCCAACGTATTCCCTCATTCCACAGCTCCATTGAAGAAAGTTCTTGGAAAGCCGACGAAGTGGACAGTTCGCCTTTTACAGATCCTCCAGTTTCCATAATCGCTACAACCCAGCGAACAGTGTCAGATCACGACGTCGGTTTGGACGTCGAGGAACTATTGCAAGAAATTACCATGACAACATCGTCGTCCGTCTTGACGCAGAAGGAGATTGACGACGATAGTATCGTTAAAAAGCAGGATGTACCAGTACCCCCGTCTGTACCAAAGGAAGCGAAACAAACATCATCGCAACCTATATTCTCGTCTCAATCAGAGCTTCTCAGTACCTGGAAGGACGCTGAACAGAAAATGATGCGTTACAGCACTGTCTTTCAAAGAGAACGATGCCATATTCAGAAATCAGACATCCTGGAACCTGATGGTTCTTTGAGGATATGGTGGTATGATCTGTACGAACCTAAACAGCAAGGATCCATCTACGTTTTCGGAAAGGTACATCCGTCTTACTTTGACAACTCATTCGGAATTATTACTATGCTGAACAAGGGATTCACAGGTGTGGCATAAAACAATGCAAAAGTACGTCAGCTGTTCGGTCGCCGTAAAGAACTTTAGACGCACATTATTCTTTCTTCCGCGAAGTCAACGTCTGACTGGTAAAACGATCTCCTCAATCCTAGAAAATGGTAAAAATTATCTGACATCCCTTACTTTCTGAGTTAGACGACGATCAATCATCACAAATACCGATTACAATGGCAGATGTTGAAGAGGAATTGGCAGAGGTGTTACCGCGCCATGGTATCTACGACTGGAAGTCCAAAACCGTACAAAGAAAATATGCTTTTGAACTCTCCGATGTACCCTCGGAAGCGGAATACCTGAAAGTCAACTATTCCTTTGATCGTACGTGATATTCCTCATTCATTCCGGAGAAATGAACCAAGCATACCTAACACATTTTTTTTTCAAGAGCCAGTTCTTCCCGTCTGTCATAGCGGAGCGACTTACAGTCATGTTTTTGGATCTCACACAAGCGTACTGGAGCATTTTCTTATCAAGCGGGACATTATGGGTCCTTGCTGGCTTGAAATCAAGGATCCGGCATTTTCTGATACACAGGCAAGCTCTTTTCAAAAGTCTATAATGGTTTCGATGTTAACCTTAGTGCATTTCTCAGGAAACATGGTGCAAAGTTGAGGTCCATATATCCGCCCCTAAACTATGCAATCCGCTTAGGGAAGACATACCACCACCACCGCCACTGGCCGTGCTGTCTCTCAGCTTACGAACTGTAATGAACCATCAAACGAACACAAACGAGATATTGGCTGTAGGCGGTTTATTTTGTGATCAAGGTAAGGCTCAGCGCCTTATTTTTGAGGCGTTAATGTCATACACTGATCAAAATGCATAGTCCAAGCCGACAAACCGACCTCGATGGAAACCATATCAAAATCTCGATTCACTGTTATTCGTCCCCTGGGAAATAAACCATATCCCAGTGATATCTATGAAGCAGCGACAAAGGAAAGGCAGGACCGTTGTCATCACCTTCAGGTGGAACGCACGGAAACATCTTTATTAAATTGGCTTATCGGTATGTGGTCGTTCTTGATCGTAGAGCTGGGGTGGAGAAAAGCGACATGTTAACCGATGGATATGACATTAGCAAAGATACACGCCTATGATCCTGATGTGATCTTGGGGCATAACTTGCAGGGTTTTGATCTCGGCATCTTGCTTCAACGTATGAAAGTTACCGGGACAATTCATTGGCATAAATTGGGAAGACTGAAACGGAAAACGTAGGTGAATTTTGCTGATCGGTCAAGGTCATGGCTTGGATACGGAGTAACCATTATTGCCCCACTTACAGATGGCCGAAACTCCAGGATGTAGGGAGTGCTTTGAGCGGAAACACATATCAGGAGCGCAAAGTGTTATCTGGACGACTTGTATGCGACATCCTTGTATTGGCAAAGGATCTCATTCGAAGCAAATCGTATCATTTAACGGAATTAGCTGCTCAACAGCTCGGTATTCGTCGTGAAGATTGGGCTCCAAGTACATATACCAAACTATACCAGCGCAGTGACTCCATTGTTGAGTTTGCAAGGCATTGTTCATTCGATTCGGTGTTATCTACAGCATTGATGTTCAAGCTGCAGATTCTACCGTTGACCAAACAATTGACCAATCTCGCGGGAAATACTTGGTAACCTAGAGACGGCATGTGCGTATATATCCAACGAGGGGTGCTGAATGATGATATTTTCAAAGGGCACACACGATCAGCGGTGGTCGAGCTGAACGAAATGAATATCTGTTACTCCACGAGTTTCATAGGATGAAATATATATGCCCAGATAAAGTGGTTCATGATAAACCGGTTGTTCCCAGTATGCCCTTTGAGGAAGATGGTAAGTGATCGCTACGGAGATAATTATGGCACAAATCCTCTCAATACTGACACGACCAATGCAGAACGTCAGGAAAATGAAAACATGGCTGTAACAGCAGTGGAAGATACCAAAAAGAAATGTCGATTTACCGGTGGTCTAGTCCTGGAACCGAAAATTGGATTTTATGACAAATACGTCCTTCTGCTCGATTTCAACAGTTTATATCCTTCGATTATCCAAGAATACAATATCTGCTTTACAACGGTAGACCGCCCAAAGACGACATCGGATGACATGAAAGACGAGGTATGCATCTGTACGATGAATTAATTATTTATTGGTCGATAAAGAGCCACACTGATGAACAAAACGTCGACATCCAGGATTTGGACGATATTCCAGTCACACCAGATCCTTCTGTGCCTCAAGGCGTTCTGCCGCGCCTTGTCAAAAATCTGGTAGAACAACGACAGCGAATCAAGGCGCGAATGAAGCAAGATTCCATCACAGAGGTTGAAAAAAGTCAAGTGAGTTTTTGTGCTATCCGATTATTATGGGTGAATAATATGGTGGTAACTAAGTGATGTATATTTCCCGTCTTAGCTGGATATACAGCAGCAGGCATTGAAATTGACAGCGAACAGTGTGTACGGTTGTTTGGGATTTGCTGCGGCGCGATTTTATGCGCGACCTTTGGCGATGATGGTCACTTCCAAGGGACGTGATATATTGCGAGACACTGTAACGCTAGCTACGAACCTCAACTTGGACGTCATTTATGGTGACACGGATTCGATTATGATTCACACCGGTTTCACGGATATTGCCAAGGTGAAAACCATGGGGTTGGATCTAGCACGCCGAGTCAACGAACGGTACAGACTATTGGAAATAGGGATCGATGGGTTTTTCAAGCATCTATTGCTGCTGAAAAAGAAGAAGTACGCGGGACTGCTGGTGGAAGAAAAACAACACAATCACTTTGTAGAATCCATCGAATCCAAAGGTCTTGACCTCGTTCGCCGAGATTGGTGCGATTTGGCTCATGATGTTTCCTTGTAAGTCTAGGGCTTCTCTATTCCGCTGCAATGAATATTGCTCATCCACAGCACACCTCATTGAATATAGGCGTGTGCTGAACGTTATATTGTCAGATAAACCTCGGGCCAAAGTGATTGACGAGATATACTTGATCGCGAAACAAGCTGGCAGGTTGCTCCACGAGGGCAACATTTCCGTGGACAAATTTGTGATTTATAAGGTAAACTAGTCGAAAAGCACAAATGTCATACAGCACTTGAACTAACGTTTTCGAATAGCAACTCACGAAAAATGTGGAAGATTACAAGGATAGTCAACAATATCCTCATGTACAGGTAGCCAAGCGAATGCGACAAGCTGGCCTTCGTGTCAAAGCAGGCGACACCATACCCTATGTTATCTGTTGCGTCGAGGCGCAAAATGATGATGAGGATCATATACCTATAGCTCAAAGGGCGTTTCATCCCGACGATGTGAAGCGGAACCTTGCTCAACTTGGTAAGCAATTATGCTAAAGCCCGTTATGTTATCCCTTTCCTCTAAACTCGTTTTTAAAGATCGAGCATGGTATGCCAGCCATCAAATCCATCCACCCTTGGCTCGTCTGTGCGCACCAATAGAAAACCTGGACGCTGAGGTATTGGCTACATGTCTCGGTAAGAATAGAAAAAGATTGCTATCGGTGCCATGTAAAGAAAACCACTCATGATATATTAGGCTTGAGTGTACGCAATCCTCAACGTAAACGAAAGCCTGTACGCAATGACATGGCGGTGACAGCACCGGAATCGTCGCGTATCATTCGTCGTCATAATTATTCCGATGGTCTCATGATTCGTTGCTTTTCATGTCAAGCTTATAATGAGTTTGAAGGCATTCTCCGAAGCAGAAAAGATGGATCGCTTGCCTGCGGTTTAGAATGTCACAAGTGTCGACGATTAATGACTCAAGCAAGTGTTCAAACGCAAACCATTCTTGCTATTCGTGCCGCTATTCGACGATATTATATGGGCTGGACCCGTTGTCAAAATGCATCCTGCCATGATCGGTTCCGTGATGTCAGTGTCGCTTCCGGAAAGCTGTGCCTTCATAATCGGTGCCAAAGCAAAGTTGCGCGTGAAGTAGGTTGATTGTTATTAGTGAGACCTCATATATCATAACTGACTGCTTTGGATATTATGGCTCTACTCAGTACCCTGCACGTCAATTATACCATCAGCTATCTTACTATTCGCAATTGTTCGACATTGACAAGCAGTTGAAGGAGGTTGATCTATCTACGCATACAAGTAAGCAGTTATCACAAAATAACATTACCATATTGATATACTAAAATGGCATTTTTTGTTTGACCCCAGACACTGAAGTACTGATGAAGTTGTGCCATGCGAAATCAGAGATGTTTCACGATATTAAAAGCACCGTTGATCGGTATATGGCAAGGTCTAACTACCGGTACATAAACTTAGCTCAGATGTTGGAAGGCGAAGAAGAAACATTGCGTGACGAGGAAAATGAACAATTGCCTGATGCTGGATAAATCAACCGGTGATCACTGTTTGTCGACCCATTATGTACCGTAACTGTGTATTATATCCCCAGCTTTTATAGTAAACCTCCTATCATACTCCGGTGCACTCTCCCCAAGATAATACCCTGTGTGTTTCCGGTGACGTTATTTTAGTTTCCTATATACTTTCATATCGAGAGACAAATCCCTTTTATTAAATAAATCGGATGCACGGGATGACGCCGAGACATAGACATTTTGTACAAAGTAATTAGCGTATGCGATTTTAAAAAAATTATCCTGCTTACCCAGTTCGAATACTAAATGTCTCTAAATTGACATGTTCATTCTCTCTTTCTTTAACCCTGTAAGAATACGGCAATTCAATTTGATCTCGCGGCAACCTTTAGTCGAGATCCGACCTTTTAGATGATATTGCTAGAGGATCGGACAGTAATATGTTATTTATCGCTCTTTACTCTTTAAAGATCACCTTTGTTTTATTTATAAGCATAAAAAAGAGTCTCAAAATATTCATTGTCTTACATTTCGATTATGATCACACCCATATTTCACGGTAAGTCGAAGGAAACGTACCGGCGCACGAATATCCATACGAATACTAACCACAAGCGTAGCGGTGATTGGCCAAGCGCAGCCTATACTCGTTCAAGCAATGCAATGCAATGAGGAGTCTGGAATATCAGTGAATATGCATTAACTCGTAGTTTTCCATATCCCCAGCAATTCATTGATGATCATGCTGGGCGTAGATGAAGGTGTCATTTTTCGTTCTTCATATAGCTCATCCCTTGGCGTCTCGGTATTGACTCTTGATGTTTAGGTTCCTGGAACTCATCAAATCGGTGCAACAGTAAATCGTCGGCCGAAAGGTAGTCATTGTTAGACTCGCAGTCGCAAAATCCAAGTTCAAAGTACAATATACACAATATTTACCGAGAAAATGTGAGCTGAATATTGAGATGACCGCTCTAATTGAACTTATTTTTTCTTCTCATTTTGCGGGACTAGGCACTATAAACCATGTACTTTATGGAAAAAACACTCTAAGCATTCGAATGATCACAAGCGAGATTATTTATTTGAAGTGAGCCATTTGATTTTTTGATAATAATGAGCTTTTATCCACAAATGTTCCTTTCGATAGAACACTCTGATCAAATGATTATGGGAGATACCGATGGTATGAGGTGGGATTTCCTTGTATCCTTGTTATGGGTGCCAGAATGGGTTCCGTTTGGTCCACACTGTAGCAAATTTCGATTCCATCCAGTTCTTCTTCAAGCATTTTCTTGAATTTGTGAAGGTTTTTTTCAGTGTATTCCACATAAAATAGCATGCATATAGCTTGATCTCGTGTCATGTGCATGATTCCCACGACAAAGGAGAAGAACACGGACGGAAAACAGTGAATGCTTCATCATGGGGTTGCTGTCTGCACACAGTGACTGCAATCTGAACCATCAACGACATCAATTATCTTTTTTTTTTGTCATGAACAACACGAAACTAAGTCACTAAAGCTACGCCACCACTGGCGATAGTTAACCGCAGTAGCTTGATCTTTTTACAGCATAGAAAGAATAGCCCAGATAATCAAAGAGTAAACAGCAATGTTGCTCTGAAAATCTATCTGAGCATTTCCTCTCAAATCTAAAAGCCCGATATCCGGCTTTTCTTATTTATTTATTTGTTTCGTAACGCGGTCCGTGGTCCGCTTCCTTCACGAAATGAACGGCGTAGTTGAAATGAACGGAGTGGGATCCACATAAGACCTACAAATTAAATTGTCCGCCAATTTTTTAACGCTATACAACAGTTGAAGTGAGTTTGTTCGTAATGAAGCGAATATCAAGTTAGCCGCATTTCGAATGAACACCTGTAGATAATCATAAGCAACCGTTCGAATATCGGGCAAAATAGAATGGAGTATTGGATAAACGGCCATTTTGCACAACCAAATGGTGTTGAAGTGCCACGTCGGTTCTTTAATTGCCATAAGCCTGCCAGCTGTCTGCCAACTGCCTGCCACGTCGGTCCTTTAATTGCCATAAGTCTGCCAGCTGTCTGCCAGCTGTCTGCCACGTCGGTCTTTTAATTGCCATAAGCCTGCCAGCTGTCTGCCACGTCGGTCCTTTAATTGCCATAAGTCTGCCAGCTGTCTGCCAGCTGTCTGCCACGTCGGTCTTTTAATTGCCATAAGCCTGCCAGCTGTCTGCCAGATGTCTGCCACGTCGGTCCTTTAATTGCCATAAGTCTGCCAGCTGTCTGCCAGCCTGTCTGCCACGTCGATGCTTTTAATACCAATGCTATGGCAATTATACAGATATTGTACGTTTCATTTAATTTGCTCAATTGTATTTTGCCCAATATACGAGCGGTTCTTTATGGTCTTATTATTTAATTAAGGAAGGCTTTCAACGTAGAGCCTCTTTTTAATTGTAGTTTTGATGCGGAGAACCATGAGGCGTAATCGAAGCCCGGAAAAGTCGAAGAAAGGAGTTCCAGAAATGAAGGTTCGACCCCCTTGAATAGGACTTGCAGCTCTCCACAGATAGTCTCACTTTCTCACTGCTTGGCTCTCTGCGAATAAAAGGGTATAGCAGCGACACCGTTGACTCTGATGGGAGGGGTACATGACATAGACAAAACTACGTACTCAGGCGCTTAGATTTAATCATACAGTGTATAACATTCGGAGCGGGCGACGTATCTTACAGTGTCCTTCGTCAAATGAAAAACCATACTGTATATGACTTTTAGTTGTGTCAGAACTGGCAAGCAGTAGGATCATGGTACCAAAAGCGGCAAGCACCACATTGAAAATTGTAACTATATTGTCGCCCCTCTTCTCGTCGTAAAGATCACTTGATACAAGCAATGCCTGGATAAAATGAGCAATGGTAGTAGTAGCACCTACAATACTTGATATTTTTATTTAGCAGAACCTTGCTCATGAAATATTACCCACCGCAGTGCTTGCTACATTTACTTCATCCTCATTTGCCTTAAGAAGATATCTTTGCTTCATCCCTGAAAATTAAGTATCTCATATCGATTTCATGATTAGTGATATCAACATCATTGATCCTTTACTGGGATTCGGCAGCATTTGGGGTCCAGATTCCAGACCCACGTCTAACCATCCTCTGTGTGAACCTGCTGTAACACCTTTTCAATTGTAAGCATTTAGGAAAGTGGTCGAACGAAAAAAACCATTTTTTCGCTCTTCGTATAGTTCATCCCTTGCCGTTTCCGTATTGACTCTTAATGTTTAGGTTCCTGGAACACATCAGATTGGTGCACGAGCGAATCGGCGGAAGGTGGTCATTGTAGACTCACGATCATAAAAATCAAAATACAACATACACGATAAGCTGAGTACCGAGATGACGCTTTAATTGAACTTGTTTTTTCCTTCTCATTTTGCTGGACTAAGCGCAATAACTATGAATATCACTTAAAAAAATTATTGGAAGACAACTCTAAGCATTCGAACGATTGCAAGCGAAAGCTATTTATTTGAACTGAGCCATTTGGTTATCTGGTAATAATGAACATCCAGCTAATTGTAATGCAAAATTTAACTTTTCAATATTGATAGTAGGCTCCTTTCGATAGAACACTCTAATCAGATAATCATTGGGGATATCGATGGTATGAGATTGGATCTCCATATATCCTTGCCGTGGGTGCCAGAATGGGTTGCGTTTGGTCGACGTTATAGCAAACTTCAAATCCTTCGACTTCTTCAAGCCTTTTCTTGTATTTGTAAACGTTTTCTTCAGTATATTCGACATAAAATAGCATGCAAATTGCTTGATCGCGTGTTATGTACATAATTCTGACAACAAAGAAAAGAACACGAACAGATTTGGTGAATGCTTCAACAAGGGGTTGCTGTGTGCACGCAGTGACTGCAATCTGAACCATCAATGACATAATTTTATCATTCGTGCGAATTACTTATTCCGGTTAAGGGCGTGCTAAATAATCCGAAATGCAATGTTTATTGTAAGATAAACCGCGAGTGAGACTTTAGATTTTTTGAGAAGAAGCACTCAAAAGGATAGATTTTCAGACCAAGACTGAACTGTCGTTTATTCGTGATAATGAGGCTATTTATACTTTTGTCTATTCATCTATCCGATCGGAGGACTGTCATAAGGCAGGGTCGACATACATTGGTAGACGTCAGTCGAAGAAGCGTGATTGTTCTGTGGCTTGGGTTCAGATTTCGATGGTTATGTTGGTAGGGTTCACGACAATTGACAACTTCGGACTCTACATTTAAACCTCCACCTGTCATGCAACATCATGCGTTACCTTTTTTTTTTGAGCCGTTCTTTTCGCTCTTTCCTTGGCAATCTTGAACCGAAGAAAATGCAAATTACAAGAGATCAAGCGATTTGTATGCTTTTCTACGTCGAATATACCGACGAAAACCTTCGTAAATACAAGGAGAGGCTCGATGAACTGAAGGAATTCGAACTCTGCTATAATGTGGATCCCAAGGAACCGATCCTGGTCTCTAAATTGAGAGTTTATGGCAATCCTCTTATATACAGAAAATATATCGAGAGCATTGATGATGTTTTGCCTCCCGAATTGAAAAAAAGAACATTTTTGCTGCGTAAGTGAATCGATGGACATTTTCAAGCATATTCAATATTGACTTCCCGCTGTTTAGAAACGGAAGCACAAGTTATTCAATACATTAACGAGGTGTACAAAGCTGAAGACCCGAGCAACCCGGCATATGCGCTTGAAAGTCTTGCGACTAAAGACATTTTTCTGAATATGTGCGAACACACTGGCATATTCGATGACAAGTCACTTACCACATTTACCAGATGGTGCAGCATCAACCGATTGGAGTTCCTGAACGTCACAGAGGAACGTAAAAGAAATGTGCGGTTCAGAGATTTATATGTGCTGAATCATCTTTACCAAGGTAAATAAATAATCACGACACGAATAGGATCTTTTTCTTTCAATAACTTGAACATATAGACAGCCTTGTGGCAGCCATAGTCCAATATCTGTCTAATTATCAAAATTCATTAAGACACTTGAAATCTGAAGGCTTCGAAATTGTGGGATACGCAAGGAAGTCTCCAAACGATGATGATCCAGACAGGAGAGCAAGGTTGCTCCAATCCATGATCACGAATCTCAGAACCCGATCACTTTGCACCAGGATATATGTCTCATCATCATCTCGTGCCTCGGACCCGTTCCACGAAAGGGATTTGAATCCCAATATGGAAGTGTATGAAAAGCTCCATAACATCAATGGAAACACGCAAGGTAGGTATTACTTCATGAATCGACCAACAGTTGACTGACTCAAAATATTTTCAGATATGCTTCAATATTTTCAGGCTTCTGAGAGCAAACTTTGTTTGGTTTCAATCGATTTTACGGGTCTTAGCTCAAAAAGCCATCACATCAAGAAACTGCTCGAAGAAAACTCAAGCATTGCCATGATTGCGGTTGAATTGTTCAATAATGGCAATACGTGTTACTTACTTGAAGCAAATAGATTAGTTTCCAATAACGAACTGTTGGCGAAATTTGATTGCCGACCAAAGCTCATTCAACGGTCATTGTGAATAGATCTTTTTGTGGATCATCGGTTTTTCCCGATGAAACCACCGTTGCACTTACAGTATTTAGCCAGCACAGAATGATGATCATGCTGTGTCCAATATGGAAATCTACGCTTCTATCGATTTCAATTTCTTGGATCGATATATAAAGTATAAGCAACATCCGCTGCGGTGCTTATATCCAACTCGCACGTTTTCAATGAGATTATCGATATGAGTGAGGTTCCAGAATTCAAAGCGCATGCAATGACTCTTGCTGATGTTCAGTTTGGGCGTCACGCAGACCCGGCTGGTGCATGTTTATGAAAAGCTTTCAATGAAATGTAACGATAAATACTGACGTGCTTGACGGAGGCGTTATATCATTTTGGACATCATATTCATCAATGAGGTAATCACTACTCCCGACATAAATGTTGACAATTCAGTGTCATTCTCAGTGTGGTTGTTGCTGTTTTATTAAGTAAGGATACCCCTCATGTGATGCTTATGTTAAAAACGACCCTTGACGAAGCAAAGTCGGCCAACTTGGTATGTAAACTTTTTCCTTTATGATTGCAACGATTTTATTGATGTTGTCGCCCAGCACATGCAGCTTTATGGAGAGACGACTCCTCTGCTCCTCCGGGGTCTTTCTGGTTCAATCGTTCAATGCGTCGGTTCCGCAAGAGACTGGCTTGATTCAAGTTCAGTTGGAAATCGGGTCCTTGGGGTGACTGCAGTTCTCTCATGGTAGTTGCTGCTTGTGCGGGTGGTTGGGTCTTACCCTGCGCTTCTTGCTGCTTCTGCCATGCCTTCTCTTCACCTAATCGTTGCATGGCGTAGGTAATATCGAGTATTTCCTTGAGGGAGGCAACTCCTGGTGAGTACAGCTCGTTCTCCTGCACCGGTCGCGGATACGCCCGAGTCACTGGATCATTCTTGTCCTGCTTGTCTCCGTGTTTATTGTGCTCTGGAGAATGGAAAGGAGGATCATTGGAAGCATGATGCTCTATGCTCGGCTTGGCAGCTTTAGCTTTTCGGCTAGCGTTTTCGATAGCAAGTGTACGCGTCGTTGGTGGTTTTTTCGGGGCTCGCGTTGACATTGAGTTCGTCTTGTACATACGTTGGTAAGTGTCGTGAATCCATGGATGCTTGAAAAAGTCGTCTATCGTGTATCGTTCGCGAGGATCCACGTGCAACAAATGAGTAATCAGATCTTTGGCTTCCGCTGAAACTGCATCCCACCAAGGGCTTAAAAAGGTGAACTGGCCATGCGCAATTTTCTGAGTAAGAACGCGGATGGATTCGTCGTAAAACGGAGGAAATCCACACAGCAAGGTGTAGAGAACGCAGCCAATGGACCACATGTCCACAGATTTGGAATATTTCTGGTCACGTACAATTTCTGGGGCGGTATACCCTACCGTGCCACATGGAGTCAATGTGGAATTGTCCCAGATCACTTTGGATAAACCAAAATCGGCCAACTTCACTTTGCCAATACCGCCGCCGCCTATATTTTCCGTAAATAAACCTTCGTCACGCTTCATTTCACCATCAACGCGCCCCTTGACGACATTTTGTTGAGCACCCGAAGGGATGATGGCAATAGGATCAAAAAGAATATTTTCAAGCTTGATATCACTAAAATAAAAAAAATAATAAAGAGCGCAGCAATCATGCACACATTCATTAATGAGGAGAAACAACAGGGCTACAACTCAGGAAACAGAGTTTAAACTTACCGATGGGCAATGCCGCATTGTTCGTGAAGGTGTCGAACCGCATTGGCTACTTGGATAATCACGTGGCGTGCGAGTGCTTCGCTGAAATACGTCAAATCGACCAGACGATGGAAAATTTCACCACCTCTGCAGAGATCCATGATGAGGAAATAGTTACTCTTGGTTTCGATAAACTGATGTAATCGAACGATATTGGGATGGCGAACCCCGCGCATGATCTGCACCTCTTTCAATATTCTGACACGCTAAAAAAGTCCAAAGCATTCAGAGAATTTCCATTAGCGCGAGAATTTGTAAATGAGATGCATCACCATGATATCATCTTTAATACATGATCGTCCTTGATGTGCAAAGAACATCAAAGAAAACTAGTCCCCTTATCTTACCTCGGTGGCCTTTGGCCTTTGTTTCATATTAGGATGCAGGTGGCGATGATTGCCGTGCTGCAGAAAAAATTAACATTTTTGAGCCGATCCATCATGCATGCAATAGATTTTTATTTATAAATGGGATTTTCAGTATCGTCATTTGACGCTTACCTCTGCTGCATCTAGCTCTTGCTTGAAAGCTACTTTAATAGCCACCTTCTGGCCTGACTGCAGGTCACGCGCCATATAGACATTGGCAAATGCACCACTACAGAGAACAATGATATTGAATTGGTTACATCTTCCCGGTCATTTTAACTTGGTATCATCAATGATATCTTACTCTCCCAGTTTCTTGATCAGCTTGTAACGCTCCAAACCCGGCAAACTCATAACGATACGCTTTTTATGATCTTTCGTGGGAGATGCGCTGGCTACGACCGGTTCCAGTGGTTCTGGTTCTTTAGTTGGTGCTGTCACTTCGCGACGATGGTCCTGAATGGCCGTAGCTGATAAGCTCCGACGGTAAGGCAGCTGGTCCCGCTTTTTAGGTTTGAACATTTGCTTAAATTGAGTTAACATGCAGCGAGAGGGTAATCAAGAAAAGAAGGATCAATAAATTATATCCGTACAATGAAAAAGAAAGAGGAGCACTAGTCGTTTTTTATGTTTGGCAATACTCCAGAACTATATTATTTCATGTCGATGACGACACTCCAATATAATTGGAACCTTATTTGATATGGCATGATGAGGATTGAATCACTCACCTGACAGCTCATTCTTTCGAGCTTATATTACGTTTATCAAATGATGAAGCTGGCAATAAAATAAAATAAAGAGGTGCCACCATTTCATCAATCCATGATCTATTGCTGACTCGTCGAATAACCATGTAATTTTAACCTTCCTTTCTCGTAATTGCCCCCTTTCTATTGACCTGTCGACTTAACGTTATCCAATTACCTTCTTGCTATCACGTTGCTTATTACTTCCGCTATTCTTTCGTTTCTTCTTTTTTTTTTTTTTTGTCTGGCGGATTGGGTTTCTCCAGCTTTTTCTTTTTTTATTTACATTGATGCTTTCCTGTTTTAAAAAAAGAAAAGTTCCAATCTATGCTTGAAAATTTTCTTTTTCCTTGAAATTATGGATTGGGTTGTTAAAATTTATGGAAATAACTTGTTGTAATGATGAGACTCTTTTAGGCGCCGATCTTCTTGTCCAAAACATCTCTAACAACCTTGGTGATGACCTTGTCGTCGGGGAATGCGAGAGCTTCGAGGTTGGCGGCATAGGGAGTAGGAACATCAGCACCGGTGACACGGTACAAGGGAGCGTCCAAGTAATCGAATGCATCAGCTAATCAAGCCCAGAAAATTCCCGCGTCAGTCATCCGTGTTACCCTTGATTCCCAATTTCTATCCCAATCCACACGTAACGCATCCAACAAACTTACATTCCATGACTTGGGCAGCAATTTCGGAGCCAACACCGAAAGAGGCCCAGCCACCTTCAACAGTGATGATACGGTTGGTCTTCTTAATAGACTTGAAGATGGTTTCGGTATCGAGGGGCTTGATAGATCTCAAGTTGATAACTTCAGCGGCAACACCGGACTTGGCCAACTCTTCAGCAGCCTTCATGGCGAAACCGACGGCGCGGGAGTGAGCGACAATGGTGATATCCTTACCCTCACGTTCAACCTTGGCCTTGCCAATGTCCAAAACGAAATCAGAAGACAAAGCTTCCTGAGACATGGGGTACGAGCTACCGTATTCCAATTCGTTTTCCAAAACAACCACGGGGTTAGGATCACGGATAGCGGCCTTCAAGAGACCCTTGGCATCTTCCGAGTTCCAGGGAGAAACGACCTTCAAACCGGGAACGGAACCGTACCAAGCAGCGAAACACTGAGAGTGCTGAGCGGCGACACCGGCGGCAGCACCGTTGGGACCACGGAAAACGATAGGGCACTTGACTAAACCGCCAGACATGTAGTGGGTCTTGGCAGCAGAGTTGACGATTTGATCGATAGCCTATTTTTTACCCGGATCAAAAATTTTGATTTGAAGGTGGGGGGAATAAAAAAGTGGATTGCTTAATATCTTCCATTCACGTTGGTGGTGCCATCCGGCGTACTATATGAGGAAAGTTGGGTTACCTGCATGGCAAAGTTGAAAGTCATGAACTCACAGATGGGCTTGAGACCGCTGAAGGCCGAACCAACAGCGATACCTGCAATACCCATTTCAGTGATAGGCGTGTCAATGACACGCTTGGGGCCGAACTTGTCCAACAAACCCTTGGTGACCTTGAAAAAAAAAATTAAAAAAAAATTAGATTCCGTAATTCTCCCCGGCAACTCCGAATCTCAATGGCTCCATGACTGGTTTCGTCACTGGTTTTACCCCAATCCTTTTTTATATTTTCCCGGAAATTCCCACTCGCCCAAAAAATTATCAGAACAAGAAAGCAAGGCACCAACCTTGTAAGCACCATTGTATTGAGCGACTTCTTCACCGAGGATGTACACCTTCTCATCTCTCAACATTTCTTCCTCAATAGCCTGGTTCAAAGCATCACGAACGGTCATCTATAATACGTCACAAAGAAAGCAAAAGATAAACAATCACATCCCAGAAAAAGGAGGGTGAAAAGCCAAGAAATAAGTATGGTCAGTAATTGAGAATAATAACAACTTTGCTGCGCTTCAGCAAGTTGTGTAAAAGGAGTGTTGGTGAAGAAATCTTACTTCAACGGGACCGTTGGAGTTGAAACGCTTCTGAGCGATAGAAGCGACGGCAGGCTTGGCCGAAACAGCAGCAGCACGTTTGGCAACAGTGGCAATAGGAGCGATACGCTGCAAGTTCGTGAGGAAGGTCATTGGCGTTTCTGGATTTCTCTAAAAGAAAAAAAAGGGAAATAGAGAAGTGTAGAAAAAAAAGAGGAAAAAAAAGGGAAAAAAGCCAGCGACTAGGAAGGTAGTCAAAAAAATAAAAAGCAAGGACAGCAAAAAACAAAAAAATTGTCACAAAACAAAAAAAAAAATTTAAACTCATTTCTTCCCCGTAGTGGTTTTGGTTTGTTTACACTCCTCGGCCGGAAGGCCCGTCAACGCAGAACCATTGGAGAATAAAAGGGCAACAGGGCGGAAGCCCATATAAAGTAAGGTGCTATAACTCGAAATCGTATTTTTAAGAACTTTGGACCTGTGTATATTCAAACAGCCGTGGGCTGTTCTTTAATTTTCATCCCCAACTGAAAATTTTAGTGGCTGAGATTCAACAGGGGCCAAATAAGATGTAAGTATACTATGAACACAAGTCCGGCAAACTACCATTTCAATATTTTATGGCCCGAAGATTTGCTCGAATGAGAGGGGATAGGACTCGTCGCTAATGAACCCCCGTTGCCCGACGATTTGAACACACTGCCCGTGTACGGAGGCACCACACTCTTGGGTGCCGGTGCCGGTTTATCCAACAGACTCAAATCCTTTACAAACTTATCAGGCGTAAGGATGTGTGTGGAACCTAATTAATTGAGTGTAAGTAAATCAGATCCATCCCCATCCCGTTGCCAGGGCGACTCTTTCATAATTCATTACACACCAATATACACTTCGCGGTTCAGGGTCTCAGCCAGATCATAGGCTGAACGCATCTCAGAATATGTCATACCGCCCGTAATAAAGATGATCACAGGAGGACCCGAAGGCGGTTTGGCAGCAGCCTAACAAACAAAAGGAGCGTCAGTCACCTAAAAAGTTAACCAAGCACGCACCACCCGGCCGAAAAAACTCAGCATAGAATAGCTTACATTGCTGCCTGTAGATTTCTTGTGCCATTGAGTTTTGTAGACACGAAGCTGAGGCACCTGTTTCCGTGAATGAATCGAATCACGTCGGAGATTCTCGGGTTCAGCCACTCGTAAAAGTGGAAACAAACTCTGATCAATCGTGTCCTTGATGTGCGCTTCCGCCACACGCTTGACGACCGGAACATACCGCGACAGCGTATACGGGACCTCCGTCTGGCTTGCCCCACTTTCACGTTTCTTTTTATCCTTCTTCGATTTCTCTCCCTGCCGGTTGGCGGATTTGGACAGTTGTACACCCAACAGCGTCAAGTTCTCAATCGCATCTTTGTACTCTTGGTCCAAGCGAGCATGCGACAGCAGCTTTTGTAATGCTTCCGGATCCACCTTTTCTGAAGCCGCGATCCAAAGCATAATTAGTCGTGCTTTAATCATTTCACTAAAAATCGTACTTTATCAGTTTCTTTCTATTCCCATTGTTGGATGTGCGTATCATATCGCTCGTTTTTTTTTTTTTACCTTGTATAAGGGTCATCCAAAATCGGCGTTAGCTCCTCCACTAAATTTTTCGGCGTGGTGCCTTCAGGCGTTTCACCACAAGCCATGTTCTGTTATAATACTATCAATAACCATCGTCATTTGCCGCCGAACCTGGAATAATATACCTGTTCAATGAGACCAATCGCATCCAAGTTTTGTTTCGTAAACTCGGACATGCAGTCGGTAGCAATCGTCATATGAGCGGAAAACTAGGAAAAACGCAAAAGCAATCAGTTTTGGTTATATGCATTCATCACCTAGTCATACCGGTCACAACATACCTTGCCTTTCATTTCCTGGTATTGCGGCAAATTAGCAATCATATCCTTCATATCATTGAGATTTCGCACCGAGCTGTCACTATTGACCATAGTTTTAGCGCCAAAAAAGGTATTCAAACTGGCTCATTTGTTCCTTACCTTTCTGATGCAGCCTTGTTATTTTGTGACATGAAATCATTAAAGTCTTCTATCAGCTTTTCGATGGTGCTAGCGATATGCATATGTCGAATAGAGGTATACAGACTATCCTGCTCATTGAGCATGATCTCTTCGTCTTTCGTAGTACCATCCTCTTGCGTATATTCATAAGAATATTTGGAACCGGTTGTGCCCTCTTCTACATGGAGAAGATCAGCCATCATAGCTTGATACGTGAATTCGTGTAGGAACGGAGAAATAGGATCGATGGTACGATCCAACAGAATGAGGGTTCCACGTGGTAACGGAGGATCGCGTGAAGGCTAGTATACAGTGGTTCAGTGATGACATTAATATGGTACCTAGCAATAAAATGATCTTACAGGAAACTCGGGATTGATGGTGCAAAAATTGTCGAGTTCTGCCTGCACCATTTTGGCGAGATGCCAGGGTATATTGCGATTGATGGTGCCTTGAACATCAAGAGGACGATGATATCGAATCAATGGGTTTTCTCCCAGCGTCACACACACACAAAGAAGCTATATCAGATATAAGTATTACTGGAGGTGAATAGGATCATTGAAGCATTAATAGACCATACCTGCTTGGCGATGTCTTCCAAATCCGCCTCGATTTTATTTCGGTTCGTGCTATCGCTTCCAAACAACATGCGGAATTTTCTTGCGTCGTCAAGAAGAAAAACCGAGTTCTCGCACACTATCATTGGCACGTTAGTAACTCCAGGTTGAGAACATTATCCCCAAGCGATACTGTACCCAAAAAATCAATGTACATCTCCTTTAAGCTTTGAATATACTTGGATGCATTGGCTGCATTTAATTTACGAGTAAGGTCATTGAACACAGCATTATCCAAACCTGCAATCGTGCCAACATCAAAGTTAATAACCAGATACGGGACTACAAGCGAAGCTTGCTCTTTGTCGAGGACATACCGTTAATAAAGTGGGCATGAGCAGCTGCATACATAGGACCGTCTGGACGCGAGAAATCATCCACAAGCCTCGAGCAAGATTCGATACATGGTGTAAGGATGTAAATAGCTTCACGGGTAGGATACGGCTGTCTAGGTTTCTCGATATTTTCCACCACTATCAGGCATGACAGGCATCAGCATTCTATTCAGTTTTGCAAAGTTACAGGCACATGCTTTGACTTACGGAACACCTAAAGGAGAAATAAGTTTTTAAGTTAAACGGGTCATCTCGGTTCGCTTAGAGCCAACTCACGTTTTCTTCCATAATATCGTGTGTTTTGCAGGCTGAATTGAGGATTTTCAGCGACAGTGAGTCTACCACGACCACCTTCCACCGATTCGCCGGCTGTACTGATTTAATAAGCTCCAGGAAACCTATAACACCAAGAGTCAATACCAATGAAGACAAGGAAAGAGGTATGCAGAAAAATGCAAATGCCTTACGTCGTTTGAGCACTTCATCTACGCCAATCATGGTAAATTCACTGAATTGCTGGAGACAGGAAAACTATCGAGGCCACACAGTAACCATTTGAAAAATCCCAGAGCTGTTATTGATTGGATGAGCAAGTTAGCTGAGCTTAGCCAATCAATTTTTGAGCCAGTTCACATCGTTTCGGCAACGTGTTTATTTTTTTTATCATATGTTTTTCCATGTTTAGTTCAACAGCTGGATGCCCTTTATTGACAAAGACATTGATCAATAGGCGCAAATTAGCAGTGGTGCACGAGTACCTGGCCCAGTTCTGCCAAAACAACCATTGCCTCTACCCTTTTGGCTCGATAATCATGGACATGCATTTGCATGATTACCTAAAGAAGACGATTGTGGATTTTGGGCCCACCTATGTGCCCTGTCTTTCCAGCTTCAAAATTGTAACGGGTCTTCGGTGTTGTCACAGCAAAGGTACGTTGAGGTATGATAATCGTCTTACACTACAGTAGTGTACTGCACTACTGAACGCAGGAAATTGTGAGAAAAGAAACTTTCTACGTATATTTTGAAAGAGTGCGAGCATTCCTTTGCTTTAAGAACTTGTATTTTATTTATTTTCTTTACAATCGTATGCTGGGCGCTACTGTAACCGTTTGTGTACCTTCCGTCGTCTCGTTTTAAAATATTTTATCAACCTTGGCTATACTTATGCGTCCCCATGACAATGGAGTCTTTTCCTCCATTTGGCGACCTAATTGTCGATTAATGTGACATGCTTTAACAGCCTGTGCAACATCCAGAACGAGTTTTCTTTGAGCAAAAAAAAAAATTAGACTTCTGCATGCTATCAGAAAAATGTTCGCCATACCTGTAGGCGCATCAGATCCCAAAAAAAAATATGGGGATTAAGTGGCAATTGACGAAAGGAAAGACAAAGGTCTGCCTTGGACAGTTTCGCAAACCGATGTACCCCATCGTAGGCCGAATGCATGACATACGTTTCCAATTTGGATCCTAGTAAATAAAAGAAGTTATTTACTGTGCTGATCATCTGTATAAAATGGAGGATATACCTTGTATCAAGATCCCACAAGCGATAGGTCGGATCACGCCAAGATGTATCAGTTGGTTTAGCACCAGTTTCATTTCTTTTGCAAGCTTAACCTAATCTGACACGTGGCCAGGATTCCGCTTGTATAGAACCTTAAGTTCCAAGGCGCCAATGACAGTAGCCATTGCATTGTGGTCTGCGAGTACTGCCCAGTCTGGTTTGTAGACAGCTTCCTTAATATTGCCACTCTCAGCATCGTCCTCGGCAGCATCGTCATCGTCATCCCTTCGCTTTCGTTTTGCACTTGGCAATAACATGTCGCTGGCCCTGCGAACAATAGATGATGCTCAGTATGATTCTCTTTTTCCATCTCACGCTTTTTTTTACCAATCTTGCTTGAGGCAATCAACAGAACCAAAAATGGTTCCCAAGAGGGTGTCCGAAAGGGGATCCAGGATAGGCCCCGAGAGGCGTCCAAGAGCGGCTCCAAGGTGAGGTCCGACAGGAGATCCGAGAGAGACAATTCAAAATGGGACCCGGGAGGGGATCCGGGATAGAAGGTCCAAGATGGGATCCGGAACGGAATTGAGAGGGGATCCAAGGCGGGGTATGAGCGGATCCAAGGTGATTCCGAGAGGGGATCCGAGAGAGAGGATCCAAGATGGGACCCGGGAGACCATCCGAGAGAGCGGATCCGGGGTGGGATCCGAAAGAGAAGATCCAGGGTGAGATCCGGAAGAGAGGATCCGGAGTGGATCCAAGGTGGGATCTGAGAGGAGATCCAAGAGGACGTCCAAATCTTGGGTGCGCGAACCTGTCTTCCAGGATGCGCTTTCTTGATCGCCCTTGATCAACGGGCCAGACCTATAAGTGATGCGTCTTAAAAACGTAAAACGGATCGGCATACTCGATTTGGTGAACTTACAGAGCATGCAGTATCTCGGCAGCAAGAAGATCATCATCGTTGTCCGTATCTGCTGCTGCGCAAATGCATTTGGCTGTAGCCACCTTGATGTCTCTCCAATTGGGGAATCTATGTTACAATTAAATCAATACAATTTATCACAAAATGTATAACAATGAATATCTTACTCCTGGAAGATCGTTGCACCATTTGATTGCGAATTGGGACATTTTTACTGGATATTGCATCAACTCCATATCTGCAATCACGTTTTTGCGCTCATCGTCGGTGAGAACAGGAGCGCTTTCATTCACATCCTTCGCGGAAGAGAACATGTAATCAAGTGCCCTGCAATAAAAAAAAATATGAATAAAATGATTTTCAACCAATTGTCCATTTTTCACTTACAGTAGATCAGTATGTGACAACGGCTGATGTTTTTCGTGACGAATGAGCACTTGGTCGCGAAATGAGTGCAACAGATCAGATACCAAAGGATCACCAACACTCCACTATTTTATATAATCCCGCACAGGTAAGTATGGTGTCTCATTTCTCAATTTCTTCGTTCTTATTTTCTTGCCTTTGCGTCACTATCAACGGCCGCAGTGCTGAGACTGACATCCTTGATATCGTAAGAAAAGTTGCGACGGGTATGGTTATCAACCTGTGAATATGAATTAAATAAGTGAACCTTACATTCAAATAAAACAACTTACTATCGTTTCAACCCCATGATCATTTTCCATATGCTTATGAAACACTGCTTCATCTTCGAAATATTGTTTGCAGGAGCACCCAAAGTAACTTCGCGAATGTGATGTTGGTTCCGTCACAAAGATAATTGCTCTCGTGGCTTTTACACCGTTCGTTTTCGCCATGTCTCCTGAAGTTTTTTCTTTTGGCCATATGATCACGACGATATGGGCAGCGATACAGCAAATAGACGGCCGATGACAGAGCAGAGGAGAGAATATGACAGGATAAGAGGATGGATGATTTGCGTTCCATCCTGGGCGATAGAAACTCCGTCAAAGCACAGCATGCGGCCAACTGTGCTGACACTGACGTTAAAACGTGAGGCACCGGCTGGGAACTGCATTGTAATGCCGGCTATTTCATCCAGAATGGCGGCGTACGTGGCTTTCCCATTCAGAGTGGATCGACCAGTAGTCCTCCCCAGGAGCCTCAGAGCTGGTGTATTGGCAGTCGTACCTCGACTTGAGAATAGTAAGAGCGTTGTTATCTTCCACGAAACGCGTATTTACGGAAACTCGAATGTTAATGGTGATATTCTTATTCATAGCAGGTGTAATGAATAAAGTATTATCGCGCGAATGTTAACGATGTAAAACTAAAGAAAAAGATGCGTCAATTATGCTACGTATCACAAGCCTCCGCTGCAGCTTTATCTCAGCCTCAGCCACCATTTCAATCCTCCGGAAAATAGATGTTTGTAGTCGCCCCAATTGGGCTGACCGAATCATTACCTGATTAATAAAGCTAACAATTCAAATCATAGAAGAAGGTAAGAAATACCGAGAATAGGGAAAATTTGGGACTTTTATGAGGCTTTGCCGAACTCTGCCAATCGGAGTCATAATTTACAATGGATGCTCTTGCAGACAGAGAGGAGCTCTTACGGGTTTTTGAAGGTGCTCTATGGAGTCGAGGTGTTCTTACAGACAAAGAGGTGCTATTGCAATGGAGGCTCGAGGCAGTGCTTTTTCTCTCCCTTTTTTCTTTCAATCCAATTGTTATCTATCGATAGCACTGTCTTTTGCATAATTCCTTTGATCGAGGGATCAACTGATTGTGGTTGTCATGAATTATCCCAAAAACATTCGCGCTCCCATATTCCAGGTGAATCAATGTATTACCGCGACTTTTCCTTTATTTTATTTCTTTACCTCATCTTTCTTTATTTCACTTATGATATCCTAACCTACCTTGATAAAATACCAACCCTACTATAAACATCCATTAAATCTCGATTTGAAATGAATCAATCGACATCTTTCGTGATATACGCCTATATATACCCTGTACTTGTTCTCGGTTCTATTTCCGATCTGCTTGTCCCTCGCAACCGTTATCCTCTTCTGCGGTTAATATTACGTCCAGAAATCCTGACATCTTTCCAGGCTGGTCCTCTGATATTGGTACTTTTCAGTGAATATAATTCTTTACCTTGCTTTAGTCAGTGTCCAGGTTATCAGCTCGCAATAATGGGGAGACGTCAGGTAAAGCGGGAGATTTCACGTTGTAGAACTCAAATTTTTGTGCGTGGAAGGAAGAGGAACATTTGCGGGTGGATTTGGAAGCCGAGGTGTTGGATAGTCTGTGACGGCGTGAGGCTGGTTTTTGGGTCTTTGACCAAGAGACAAAGTAAAAGCAGCTTACGGAAAGCCTGTTGAATGTGGCATTGGGAAGTAGCCTCATTTCGTGCCATAACGAGAAAATCGTCTAGGGGTCGGGTCCATTCCAGTAGAAGACAAAGAATCTCGGTAAAGATCTGGGGAGCACGTGAGACTGGTACTGCTAGTCTTTCCATCTGAGCTGCAGATAGCGAAGCGAAGTGTAATGGACGAGAATATGCGGACAGCCGTTGGTGAGGTCACGGTTATTCGGATAATCGCGTCAGTTGATCAAACTTGCATACGGTTTTAAGGGGGTTCGGTCTTGATGTCGGGGTCGTATGCAACGATAGAAGGTGCTTCAGCTTAAGTACGAGATGACGGTCGCTAGTGTTCTTTGAAATAGTCAAGAGCTACGAGTGAAAACCGGGAAGAATCGCTGGCAATCGGCTCGTTGGCTTTCTTGCAGAGGAAGTAGTAAAGACAAAAATTCTTGGACGAGATGAAAGATTGATCGGACTTCTCGTGACCCTTGCGGGGAAACAAAATGGGATGCTGTCAAGCAGGAGGTGAATAATGGACTGAAATGCGAAAACCAGTGTGAATGACTCGGCGGATCCTTTCTTTGTCTATAAGCTTGCATCAGGCCGTGCTTGTATAGTGACTCAATGAATTTGTCCAATGTTTGCCGATTTTTCCTTCATTTTGAATGCCTTTACATTCACCAATACACACTGCTGCCTTTAAAAAAATAGGTTGTAGCCATCACGCTTAGCTTTGACATGAATTTTTTTTTCTGTGAGCATAAGGAGATCAGGAGGTAATCTCCAACTGTGGTCTATTTTCACTGAAGACTGTCACAATAAATACGCAGCAAAGCGCGAAATTTCTTTCTTTTTTTTTCTTCTTTCTTCTTTCGTCGATTCATTCGAATTTCAAGGTAAGATCACCATCCCGATTTCCTATTGTCACATTCGCTTCGCAATTGACCTAACTAATGAAATCATATGTAGATGCACTCCATTTCCCTCACCGCACTATGTGACCTGAAGTTGTAGGGCCTATTGGTACCAATACACGTTACCCGCGTGTACGAGCAATACCCACGGCTGTTGAAGAAGAGCAAGAGGATTACCGCGAAGATGCAGTGGAGGAAAGCGATGAACAAATGACCGCTGATCTTACTGCAGAACCAACTTCAGAGGAGTGGATCAGCAATAACGGGTATAAAAGTGATAAGATCAATATCACTTTGAGCAACCCCAAAACAGCCTGCCATACGATTATTTCTTGTTCTTTTTGCCGCTGGACCATCTGAATACCATCATTGACAATATCAATGTCCATGCACGGGTTGTTCTGCCAGGATGGAACGATCTCACATTTGTTGAGTATCTCACCTGGATTGCCCTACTGACGGTGATGAGAGTAATCAATCATGTCGATCGAAAGGCATATTGGCATCTGGGCGGCACGCATTTCACGCTCACGATCGACTTCAAGAAATACATGCCACTCCAGCACTACTGCAAGAAAGCAATGGCGTTCCACCGGATTCATCAAAGAAACGAAATGCTGAAGATGTTGTGGATGTTGACGGCGTTGATGCCGAATTAATGGGCACGTCATGCTTATCGATTATTCCACCTTGCGATGATGACAAGCTCATGATTGATGGCTTCGACGCTACATACGCCTTTTTCAACTTCCAACAATCCCTGCTGTCACACAAATGGAAACTTTCACTGGAAGATGGAAGATCATGTCCACTATGCCCTGGCGTCGACATGAATTTATTCTGGTCTCGATATCAGTATTCCGAAGATTTTCTGCCATTTTTCTTTTGCCGTTACGATTGGAACCCCCCTCGGCCGCTCTTCGTGACCTTTTACAACTGGAGCCCAACCTCTAAAGGCAATCTCTTGACTGGTCCTGATCGCAAACGGCTCATCGAAGCCTATCCCTCGATTGACACTCCACTGAGCGCCGTCCTGAGACGTACCAGGCTATGAATTATCCTCAAAAACGAGAAGGTGCTTCCCTCAAAACCATCAAATATCAATTATTGGTCGCCATTAGAACTTATTCTAGACCCACGAAATTACCAAGGATGATGGTCCCCACCTTCAGAAATATCTCCACAAACTATATGATCTACGTAACATTGTTGCTACACGAACTCGCACATTTCTAATTTCTGCATGAATCTTGGTCTTCGAACTATCAACCATGAATTTGCGACATCCCCGTCCATCGCTCATATACGATGCCACCCAACGATTTCATGCCACGAAGTCACCCCACCAATCGACGAAGGCAATCTACCATTGACCCTGTTGAGGCTATCTATGATATCAAGAAACCACGGATGGCTACCAACGTAGTCGTGGAAATTATTGAGATCGTCGAAGACCTTTATCTACCGCAACAACGAGAGAAATGGCGGCGATAAAGTTATTGGGATTGGATCTTACCGGTAACGAATACAAGTTTGCTAAAGCAATAGCAGAGCTGGTCAGAAAACTACCCTCCTGTGTCCATTGCAGAAGAGACAAATGAAATGGAGCTTTGCTCTCGGTATGTCGATCCTTTCTTGGGCGGTATATTTGATGAGCCCGATGAAGGCGTTTTCTTGCGGTGGACGAATGAAACCACCTTGGAGGCGAAAAAACAACAAAGCTTGCTGAGTTGGCAGCCTGACATCTGCATAACCAGACTACGAGGCGTCAAATGGAAGGCGCATATTGGTTTTGGGGAGGCGAAACCAGCAAAATCAAGGCTCAAACCACTACACGGTCTGTCGGGATCTTCTACGCGTCGCAGTTTTCTGTAAAGACGCCCTGGATACGCAGAAAATGATGGGTGTCATGGGCTTGCAAATTATTGGCAGAACAATAACAATCTTGATAACTATATCGATAGGCTATTCCATAGACAAGGCTCAAAATAAAATAAATTGGGCATGACTATGCATCATAGAAATCTGATATTGCGTGAAGCCACTTTGTTAATGTGACTACTCCTTTCCGTTGGTGGCAAGAGGGGGTAGAAATAGTAAAAGTGGGGGGTAGAAATAACAACTCCCAAAAAAAAAATTAGCTCTTTTAACGATTTCCCACCGAATATCCTTTAGCAAGCGATGCGCCGCCGTTTACCTGCAAGCTGCGCTTTCGAATGACTGCACCTCTCAACTTATCATCGCAAGCATCCCCAGCAGCTGCAGCCTAATCTCCTTCTACAGCAATTTTTCCGATATTTTCACCATCATACCATCTCCTTTCGTCCGTTTTCCCTCAATTTTGCTCTACATCGTCCACAAACACGCCTCTATCGCGTCCTTACATCGAGTCTTGTCTCTGCACGATTGATTTTTAAGTAAACCTTTATCCTCAACCAAAATCATATTGGCGTGACCTCTACCGTGTTTCATGCCCCTTCATTGCAACCTCCCTGACCTTCCCTGTCGGCAAACTTTTGGTGTACGATCAGAAGTGCGTGTCAATCTTTCTGCACTTATTGACACCCAAGATATCGTATTATTTATTATGCGGTATGTAAGCATATTTCATATTTTGATTTTGTAAATTTGATTAACTGAACAGCCTTTATAGACACTATCTTGAAGGCGAGGGCAACATCTGCTGGCTCAGACCCTCCGGTCTCGCTTCTTTTTGGTCTGGTTTATTGGTGATCTTTCCTGGGCTGCGGCCCATCTTGAGCCCTCAGATGGTCCCAGCCGTCAATCCTATATGCGACGGGCATCCCTGGCTTGTCTTTTTGCGGTACACGTATCTGGTTGGTTTGCTCGTCCTGATGACAACCACCGAGGCTGGAAGCAAGCCTACGAGACCTTTGCTCTGAGTAGGGATATGCAGTCAGCCTTTTTCCTATTCAATAGGAAATTGGTTTTGACTGTATTGAACTATGTCACGACGCGGCAATGCCTTCCTGAAGGCATTGTTGAACAACTCTTGTGTGCGTCTTTTAAACCGCCACAAGCTTCGGGAACAGTAGCTGTTCAAACGTTGGCCAGGAATCGAAGAATTCAGGTTGACCTCCCCGTGCGACCTTTGGCAACATCTCTGCTTTCCATCCCAACAGAGTAAGTTCAGTCGATCAAAAACAATGACGTGACCGTATTTACCAACGCGTTGTTTCTTATAGGCAGCAACAACTTGCGTCGGCCATCCAAAGGCATATCCATTCCAGCTTCGGAAGTGAACGGATCACTCACATTTACTCGTTCCTTTCGTCGCCGCTCACAGATTTCGCTGTACAAGCAGCTGGTCTGTTTGTTCAAGAAGCAGCGCAAATTTTGTGCAGCCAAGCTGCTGGATGGCTCACGGTGGAGCAAACCCGCGAGGTGAAATCTGTAACAATTGCAGATTTCACTTCGAAGAATGCTTTGCGTTCCAAACTTGATGTAAGTTTTTTCGGTTTATTCTTGATTGCGTTTTTTAATGGGTTATTTATTTATTATTTAGCTGACCATCATCCAGTTCGGAACCTCTCGCTCTGGATCTGGTGTTAATTCTGTGGTGGAGTACCTGAGGAAGCATAGCTTTCCATCTGTCGAGGAAATTCTCGCTGCAGATGATCTCTCGGCCTTGGTAAACAAGCCTCAAAACTGAAAGATGTTGAAGTTCTCAAGAACTTCAACTATTGTAATTGCCAGGGCCTTTGGTGAATCTGCTGGTTCTGAAGCAGCCACCGAGCTGTACAACGCCGTCTTGAATTCCTTCCAGGCATGCAACATCATTTTCATGCAAGAGAAGACCAAGTGCTGCCTGTCGGCTCTCAGGACAAAGAAGCTCAAATTTATTTCTTTTGAGTAGCTTCGCTTTTCCTTACCTTATATTGTGTATAATATAATATTCTTCTGGTTCTTCTTTTTATGGCAATTGTCATTGAATCTGGTATGATTTGCTTGACTTTAGTTCGGTTCACTGTTTCTTCTTGCACATTCCGTCCAGCAAGGAGGACACGGGATTGGGTGAGCCTGTCAGATCGACAGACCGCGTTCATAAGACCATTTGATGAAGCGTCAAAAAAAAAAAAAAAAAAAGGTGGCGATCATGCGAAAAAAAAAAAAATCGTGAGATCATTTGCAAGCAAGAGATGGTTGTGACAATGGGCAAGGTTCGGCGGATCACCTTTCTTGGTGCCGCGTTTCAAGTCGATAGCTTCGGTGGAAGTACCCAACATGCTGAGAATGATTTGTGCGGATCGTTCATTGAAGCCAGTGTAGGCGAGTGCCAAGGCGATTTCAGGGTGCAAAATGCTTCCGAAAGCGTCAGTCAAATCGTATGAGCAGATATACACTGGCATGCCTTTACGGCGTGCTTCGCAGATGATGGCAATCGTGCTCTATGCAACTAGGTGTGGGCATGAAACCTTTTTGGTTTAGCCGGATGACTTGGGACACCTGTTCCCATAACAACAATAGAATCTCTTTTGGGCTTTTCCTCTGTCTTCTGTGGTTCGCAACTTCCGGTTTCGCCTCTTGCATTTCAAGCTTCCTTGCCGCCTCACCCTCAATCACATTGTCCCAGTCTACTTTCCTTCGCCTCTTTGCCTTCTTTGCCTCGCAGAACCCGAATCTGCCTCTCATTTTCTTTATGCTTGTCCTAGGAAACGGCCTATGTGGTTGTCTGTATCGTATGATATGACCTTTTCTCGCCAACTTGTTCGCCACCGACATCGACCATGCTATTTACACAGTATCTTATCCTTATAACCCGTCCTATGTCCGTTCCTACTTGCTCGTCGCCTGCCTTGTGCATGGCGTCTGGTCGACTCGCTGGAAGTTCATTTTCGAAGCGGTATTTTTCCAAAGCGCTGTACATCTTTTGCTCGCCCGAGATTAAATAGTTTTATTTTTTGGTTAAATTCCCGGCTTCATCGCTGATCTTGGGCGAGCCGCTCGCCCCAAATAAAAATTTTGGATCGCTGGTCCCCTACCAAAAAAAAATGATTTTCCCTCGCGCTTGGATACACAATTGCGGAGTTACCAATATTGTGCAACTCATGAACCGTTTGACCAGCATGTGAGAATGATGTTAATGAGCATTGCACGGATTTCATTGGCAAGAGATAACCCCACTACTGGTGGTACACGCATCATCAGTATGGCGAAAGAAAATTCGAGGGAAAGGAACATCCACAATTCTAAGTTAATTCCCTTGGAAGCTTCTTCTGCTGTTTCCTGAACAATAAATCATAAACTATCTTATTGGTATGTTTATTTGAAATATGCAAATGAGTAATGTGGTTATGTCCATCAAAAAGAATGAATAATGGTTTATCCGAATTCTCTCATCAAAATGACCTATCCTTGGATTATGTTTGAACATCGTTCACTTGAATCGGTTATGACTTTTTATTCTCGATGGTTGCTTGGTAGACTTGTTGCAGCTCCGAACCAAAGAGCTGTCCCTTTATTTCTTACAATAAAGAGTAGTACATTAGGCATTATATGCTATGATATATTTCAGGATTCGACAAAATGTGCGTTCTCAATACCTGCACGCATTATCGTGGAAATATGGATCAGCGCTTTGGCTATTCTATCGATGATTATGAAATCACAAGGAATATCCAATTAGATTGATCAATGAACCCAATATTCTTTAAAAGAACTTTTTAGAGGCTAAATGCATAAAAACATACAACATGACAATAACTTCTTGGTACAACTTCTTATTGATTGCTATAAATAATGGCGTTTATTACATAAGGATCCTCAAAAAAAAAGCAAACAACGCGTTTTTACCCTTTAACGCAACGCTAGATATCCAACGACAAGGGCAAAGCTAGGTCATTCATAGCTTACTCGAGATCAAACACTCGCCGACAAGACCACCCTGGGAGATCTTCAATCATATTTTGTGGCGGCGTTTTCCGCCATATTTTAGATTCCATTTTTTGTCGTCATGTGCCCTTATTGATCGCTCATAATAAGATTGCTCGTAATAGGATTGATCATGCTCATGCAGCGTTAAAATAGAATGAGTAAATTTTGCTTGGAGTAATATATTTCTTTTGTCATGTTGTCGACAAAAATATCGTCGCTTTCACACAACGTATTAAGCGTTGTCGAATCGTCAATTTTACTGGTCCAAATAAATAGGAAACAGTGTACCATGTATCACAAGATTTTGCACACCGTGAGTTCCTAAAAGTAACGAAAAGGATGGCCCACCATCGACGCATGTACGAGAGTTTAGCCTCTGAAGCTGGCAGTCTCAAGTAACACTTACATCGCTCATTGGTTATTTTCATATTATCGTTTATTAACGTATACAAAGAAGTTTTTCCCATATTCTTTTGTTTCTTTTGCTTTTTCCTTCCGTATGTATCGCTTTTCACTGCTCATACGGTTATGGATCAGTCTTGCCGTGCTCCTGCCTCTTGTCGCTCTAGTGCGATCCGATGCCCCGTATGGCAATAGTAAAGCAGAGCTTCAAAAGCGAGACTTGCCAGTGGTTGCCCTTGTGGACCCTGTAGTACCAGGGCTCGCAGACCCACAGCCACCATCAACCACCAAAGCTGAACCTTCACAACCCGAACCTTCCAAGCCAGAACCGTCGCAACCGCCACCTTCACAGCCCCAACCTTCTGAGCCTCCCAAACCTACAACCCACACAACATTTACACCGATTATTACCCCTCCTACGCCACCTGCAACATCCACTGGTGGCGTACCGAATCCTTCCACTGGTCAGCCCCCGGTTCCATCAGTGAGCAGTACAACGCAACCTAGCATTCCGCAGCCTAGCGTACCTGGACCTACCACCACCACCACACCGGCGCCAACCACTACAAGTGAAGAACCCTCCACTACATCCACATCGGATCAGACTTCCTCCTCATCGTCATCCTCCAGCAAGCCAACCCCGAGCCATGATAACAATAAATCAGATGATGGACCTCCCACGGCAACTATTGTCGGTGCCGTTGTTGGTGGTATTGGTAAATATTTTTCTCGCTTTTTTTTTAAATCCATCTTTTTTGTGATCTTTTTTCTTCCATGTCATGGATTTCCTGTAATACGGAAGTCAAGCATTGGTCCAAAACAGTTCACAGTCAATGATTCGCTTTTTCCCTCTATTCTTTGTGCATGATGCTAATGGATATGATTTAATCGTTCTATGCAATAGCGGGTATTATCCTTATTGGCGGTGCCTTAATATGGATGAATCGACGCAAATCCCACCGAACGAAGAAGGTTGCTGAATTCGAGGACTTCGGACTAGGCGATCACGATTTCCCGCATCATCGTTCCCCACCCATGGCAACAGCGGCAGCCGTTGGTACGCCTTCGTCCCGGCCTACAGTTTCTCCCACGTTGCCACGACTGAATGAACAAGGAAACTACTACAATGAAAATCCAGAAGCATATGCGAGAAATCCATACAACTATCCACAAGATAGATATACGACCGACATGTCACCTGGAGGTCAAATGTACTACCAACCGCAACAAGCTTATTATGAAGACGCTGGTCCCTATTATTACAACCACAATGTCGCACCTGCTCCTATACCTCCTGAGCACGGTGCATCACAGGGCGCTTATCCTGCAGAAGGATATTATTATAAGCCTGATGTGGTCGACGATAGGCATCCGCAGCGTTTATAAGTAAACGACTTGCCGCCAGAAATTGTGGAACACAGTCTTTGCGAGGAACCATAGGTTATTCGTATGGATGCCGTGAGAAAAAGCATAACATCCTATTGCCCCAGCCGCCTTTTTAATATTTCTTTCCGACCCATGAGTGAGTTACCTTATTATATTCTTTATATTTTTTGTAAGGATTACAGTATACTATTATTAAATATTCTTTTTTCAATGAATTGAGCAATATTATGATAAAACATACAAGTGCGAAAAGATGGGAAATGGAGTGGAAAAAGAGAAGAGCAGAAGAATAACTTAAGAAAAAAAAACTGGGAAAGAAAAAGATTAAAAAAAAAAAAAAGTAGAATATACATGTGTAAATAAGTGCGAAAACTAATAGTAAAACAAAAAGAAAAATAGGAAACAAAATAAAATACAAAGCATAATATACATAGTATCACATGGATAGAGGAAGGTAAACATCGGAAATGAATGGAACGGGTTAGTAAGTCGAGGCAGTGGATGCGGATGCGATACTGTTTTCTTTCTCGTCTTGACGATTTCCTATCGGCACAGTGTAAAGGTTAGTAGCAGAATAAAAGGTTGGGAGGTGAATCGAAATGTTTTTACTTACGAATTTGATCTGCTAACGCATAACATTGCTTTGCTTCGTCATCGTTCACGGGTTCACCGCCTAAGCCATGTTGGTGGTAATATCCTACACGTTCAATCGCTTCGACGTCTTCCATGGCAGCCGCGTCACGCCAGTAAGACAAGGCGGATTCTTGATCGCGTTGAACACCAATGCCTTCCTCGTAGCACTTGGCCACCTCGACAAAAGCTTCACTTCCGCCGGCTTTGGCTACTTCAAGCAATAACGTAAATCCTTTTACTGGATCCCGTGGGACCCGACCCCACCCGTTTAGTTGATACAGTGCCACCATGATCTGGGCGTGGGTAACCGTAGTGTCACTGGTAGCTGCACGTTGGAACCAGCTAAAAGCGTTTGCTCGCAAATCCTCGGCTTGTTCTTTGTCTTGAATTTCATCGGCCATCGTATGCTCTAGTGTGCCGATGGCTAACTGGGCAAGAGGTCCACATTGAAGTTCGTCCGCCCGAATGTACCATTGAAGCGCTTCGTATCGATCGATGTGCTGCTTATCGTATCCTTTCTCAAAATAGCTACCCACCATCAACGCACTCAAGCCATCGTTTAGCTGAGCGGCTTGCCAGAAATAAGCAAACGCCGTGGCATAATTTTGACGCACACCGGCTGTGCCTTCGTGATAAAAGTTGCCGAGCATACGCAAGGCTTCCGGGACCCGAAGCTTGGCGGCTTTATCCAGATTTTCCACGGCTTCCGAGAATTTTTCTTGATTATACTGAAGCAGACCAAGTTCATAAGTTGCCCTTGCATGGCCACGCTCAGAGGCTCTCGAAAGGTACTTATTGGCGACCACGAGATTGGGTTCCAGATTCGCTAATCCTTGCCAGTGAAAGACGCCGACGCGATACAGAGCTTCCGGGAGTCCTGAAGCTGCAGCTTTTTCAAAGCATTCGAATGCGGCTTCGACATTCCCCTCTTGGTAATGCAGTTGACCGAGATAAAAGATCGCATCCAATGACTGGCCCTTGTCAACGGCTCGTTGGTACCACTGTTTGGCTTCCTCGCAATCTAGCTCCACTCCTTGTCCTTGCTCGTAACATTGACCGATCAAGAAATATCCAAAGCTTAATACTTTGGATTCTTCTTCAGCAAGAGATTCGCTATCATATTCGCGATATACGGCCTTGAGGTCTTCGAAAGCCTTGGCATGATTCTTCTGGACCCCGCCGCGGCCCTGCAAACAATAATCAGCTAGCATCACCTTGGAAACAAGATGTGTGGGTGCTTTTCGGAACCATTCGACGGCTTTCAAATGAAGACCCATGGTACGACATGCTTCGCCCGCATATACGATCGCCTGTGTATTGTTCTGTCTCGCAGCTTCTTCGAACAGATGCAAGGCCGTCTGGAAGTCGCCACCAATGAGTTGATTGCCCAGACCGTTTTGATGAGCTAATCCCAGTTTGATGAGCGCCGGTATGTCGCCCAATTGTCGTGCACGGTCAAGCCAATCGTAAGCGTCAATACCGTCCCAGTTCAGATCCGCACGCTGTTCTCGCTCCAAAAGCATGGCGAGTTCCCGCATACACCCAGGATGATTAGCCGAAGCGCCCTGATCGAATCGTTTCCGGGCTTCGGTGTCATTGCCTCTTTCAATAGCGAGCATGCCCAGTTCAAAACACGCATGACCTTCGCCTTCATCGGCAGCTTGTGTCAACCATTGAATGGCCTCTTCTTTGTCTCCCGCCGCTTGGCTATGATGTAAAAGCAGATAGCCTATACAAATACCGGTCAGAATCTGATGCCGTGTACAAGAACCGATCTTTTTCTTACCTAGATAATAGCGTACTTGTCGCGCTTGGTATCGCGTTTCAGGAGAATGATGATTCATCCGATCCAGATGCGGTTCAAGTCGTCGGAATTGTTGGATGGCTTGGGCATGCTTTTCTCGTTCAACGTATAATTGGGAAAGTCGGAACCTGGCATGCTCCTTGGCCCAAGAAAAGGCGGTAGTTTCTTGTGCAATGGCTGCTTCGTACCAGACCATGGCTTCGTCAATATCTTGAACCGTACCAATGGCCAGATCACAGCATTGACCTGCCCCCCAAAAAAAAAAAAAAAATATGGCATGAGTGAACAACGAGTTTTTACAAGGCGTTAAAAAAAAGTTACCTAGCAAATAACGTGGATCGACCGAGGCTTCCCCAGCGTTTTGTTTCACCATATCGCGGAGCCATCCGTAAACTTCAGCTTTGTCCTTGTCATTGCCTCTCCGCTGAAGTACGACGTGTTGGCTTTTGGCAAGTCGAGCAAGCCACCCTACTTGGGTCAGGAGCCCGTGCTTTTGAGCAACCAAGCTATACTGTTGCAGGGCTTTGGACCAGAGGGATTGTCGCTCGTACAATTCGGCTACCAGAAGGTTGGCCCTAGGGAGCTGAATTAGAAAATAAAACGAATGATGTTTAGCTGTAACGAAGCACTTACTTTGTGTACCCTTTTTGTTGGGCTTCCTTTAGGCAGGCTAAAGCTTCATCCAGATCGCGCGGAACGGCCCATCCATTTTCGTGGTATTGCGATTTCACACACCAAGACATGGTATCACCCATGGCGATTGCCTTGTCAACGCACTGTAGGCCAAGCATGTAGCGCTGTTGATCGCTGACATCGATGCCAATTCCCGAGTTGTAAAGAGCCGCCAGTTCACGGTAAGCACCTGCGTCATTCATAGTCGAGGCTCGCTTAAGCCAATAAAATGCTTGCTTGTAATCTTCAACACAGGCGGGACGATCAGCGCGAGGCGGTTGATGCTTTTTCATCAGTAACTGGCCAAGCATCACCATGGAAGCAGCATATTTCTGATGCGCAGCACGCTCAAATAACCGTTGCGCCATGGCCAAATCGATCGTAACGGGGTTCAGCCCCTTGTAGTAATAGAGACCAAGGCAGTGTTGAGCGACAGCGTGACCTCCTTCGGCAGCTTGCTGGTACCAGTCAAAGGCCCGCTTTCGATCTTTCATGACCTTGTTGCCTTCGACGGTTCGATAGGTAAACCCATTGGACAGCATATCTGCCGCACTCACTTGAGCGTCGACGTCGCCTTGTTTCGCCCCGGCTTCAAAATACTCCAGCGCACGCAAAGGATCCGGTTCGACAATGGTACAGTCTTGAGCATCGACGATCCCTTCTTTGTAGCCGGCGCCAACCCAGTAGTAGGCTTCGGGGAATTTGTCATCGTTGGCGAGACGTAATAAATCTTCAAAGGCCGAACTCGGGTCACGTTGGACGTTAGCCCAACCGTTGAAGCGGTAACGGATCAGCATCAGCCTGGCCATATGACGCACTCGCACAATGTCATGCTCACGTTCCGCTGACAGCTCTGAGTTCCAATGGACGACTTTGTCAAAGTGGGTATACGCTTCCCCCCGGCGTCCCATTCGATGCAATAGCAGAGCCAATGATAGTTCGGCTAAAACGGATCCCAATTTGGCCGCTTGCTCGTACAACGTCAGTGCTTTCTGTAGGTCGAGCGAACATCCGCGTCCAAATTCGTATTGCTCGCCAAGAAATCCAAGAGCTCGTGTATCCTTCTGATGGGCCGCTTTTTGAAACAACTGCAACGCTTTCTTTTCATCTTTGGTTACTCCCATGCCTTTGTAGTACATATGACCTAATGTTCGTTGCGCAGGTGCATATCCCGCTTCAGTGGCCGCCTCCAAGTGGTGAATCGCACGAGCGTGATCTGGACCTTGAATTGTAGCCGCCTCGTCACAGTATGAAAGACCCAGTAGATAATGAACCACCGCCTCATCGGGACCCGTCACGGACAGATTCAGTGCCTGCTCAAAGTAGTGGATGGCTTTGGCAATATGGCGGTCCACAAGGGTGCCTTCACTGTACAATGAACCTAATTGTAATATGGCAGGAATGACGTTCTATTAAAGTTTCAGTGAATGACAATGTCAGTTGCCTTTGTTGTTTCAGAATTGTGTGATTTTTTTTATTTTATTTTTGGTTACCTTGTCAGCTGCTTGTCTGAGCAAATCAAGAGCGTAACTTGAATTTTGGTCGCGCACAGAAGAAGGAAATTCCAGTCGCCGCTGAATGAGCAAGACACCTAAAGCTGCTTGGGCGTCCGGATACGATTGGTCGACGGCACGCTGGAACCAGTAACGAGCTTGCTTCAGATCAGTCTTTTGGTAATGCCAACCCAAAGCACATTGAGCACGACAATTGCCATGGTGAGCGGCTTGCTTGAAATAGTCGATGGCTTGAATAGGATCTGCTTGAACGCCATCACCTTCGGCTAGCATTTTAGCACATCGGTATTGAGCTAGGGTGAGAAAGCGTGTGGAGGAAGGGTCAGAGGCGTCGGCTGCCGCGATGGCCCGTTGAAAGCATTGATAGGCGGCCGATTTGTTCACTTTGCCGTCGGAACAGTAACCATTGTAGTAACATACACCAATCGAATAAAGTAATTCGGTGCGTGGATATTCATTCACAAGCTTCAGAAGTTCATCGAAACCTTGATGCATATCGATCGATGTCCCAAACCCCCAGATTTTGCACTGCGCAGCTTCAGCATGTAACACAGGGTCATTTGTGGCGTCAGCTTGGCTCACCAGACTTTCATAAAACTGGACTTTAAATTTGTCTTTGTCATCGACAAGTGGCTGTGTTGTAGGGGCAATAGAAAACTGACATTGCTGCGCTTCAATACAAGGGGCTCCGTGTAATTCTATTTGCTGCGGCACACGATCTTCGAGGAGGCTTCGTGACGACGTGGTTGATATGGAGGCTGTTTTCGAAGACCGCGCAAGCGATTGGGGTGGAGAGATGGCAATGGTTTTGGAGTGCAACGAAGCGGAGGAAATCGTCGTGAGGGTTCCTGAGGAAATGGAGGAAAAAAGGGCGGAATGAAGTGACGAGGTCGAAGAACATGTTGAAATGGAGGAGTGAGAATGGAAAGTGGGCGGGAAAATATCCAGAGAATCACGCGGAAAAACAGGATTGACGGATTGAGAAATAAAGTGAGCATGCAGTGCACTGGATGCCGTATCGCTTGCATCATAGTTTACACTAAACGAATCGTGTTCGTCGTAAACATAATCTTCGACGAGGATCGGTGCGCTCAGACGATGCGATGTATTTGTTGTTGTCGACGCTATCGAGGGTGGAGACGGTGATGATGGCGTTGATGAATTCGCTGATTTCGTGGGTAATTTCGGGGTGGACGATGGACGAGAGGGTGTTGACGAACCCTGACTCGCGTTGTTGATGTGATGGTGCTTAACGGCTTTGGATGTGACTCTAGGAGGCGTTTTGATATTTTGTCGTTTAGTCGGCTTGCTGGGATGGGCTCCCATGTTATGTAAATGACGATGGTGATGCTGAGATCACCGTGAACAACGTTGGATGAAGAAAATGGAAACGAAAGGTGATGGAAAACAAAACAAAAAAAAAATGTCGGGAAGCAAATAAAAACAACAAAAAGAGAGAGATAAAGACAAAAGAAGAGGGAACTTTTATAATAAAGATCGTCAATGTTTGTCGTGTGTATTTATATGGTGCCCTTTCTTTTTTCGTGGAAACGACTGGTTACAATGCTTACAGATTCCCAAAATAGTAAGCATGTTGGATCCCTTTCCTTTATTTCTTTTACCCCTTATTTTTCGTGGTTATACATGGATGGTGTTGGCGCCAAAACTGCAAACTCAAAACGGGTAATCCATGTGAAGTAGCATTGAGTGGGATAAAAAAAAAATGGAACAATGATCCAGCGTCTTTTTTGTCTTTATTACTTTCCCATTCATTTTCAACGTTCATCGGCTCGCTAACCTAAAATCTTGGCCAGATTACACTGAAGTTGGTTCGCTTTGGAACAGAAAGCCGGACCAAAAAACGGTATTTTGGTTACACGTCTCGCACGGTTCTGCTTATTTTGAGAAGCCCCATCGATTGAACCTCCGCCTAATGCTGGTGATGTGAAGGTCTCCTATTTTAGTCATTGAGACCATTCTTTCTGGTTTCCACCAATTGTTTATGTTGTCTCATTCTTGACCTGTTTGCGATACAGATGTAATCATGCTGCATTCATATAAACAAAAGCCAAAATCTTCAGGGACGTTTCACCACGTTACCGTAAACACTACCTTGCCTCTGGAAAACTTGTCCCACCTGTGGAAATGGAACTAGACAACTCGGCTAGACTCTTCATCCTATCATCGTACACTGAGTCCGAAAAAAAAGGGCGAGAATTCTTCTAGCAAGAAGCACACATGCACATAGATGGTATCATGTACCACATGATATTTCCTGTTTGGAGACTCTCCACATTCTCTATCTCGATACCTTTTTTTTTCTTCCGATGACCAGGCCATGAAATCATATGAAGCACAGCAACATATCCATGATGGCAAAATGCTTCATGTTATCTGAGGCGCAATTGGTACATTGAAACGGTAAACAAAACAGTAAAAGAATTGAAAACGGCGGAATTATGGTAAGAATAGGCATGTCATATCTAGGTAACCAGCTGGTCTCATCTTATGACCCACTGACACGTTCTGCTAAAAAAGCCATAAACATCTTGGCTGGATGATTATGCCATGGATCAATAGGATGAATCGAATAACAAAGAGCCGATGAGAAGACAAACAAGAATGGTTTTCCTTTTGCAAGGACTTCAGCCTGTATAGTTACACCACCTTATCATAGATTGCACCCTTTTCTCCGTCAATCTACCGAAACCGAAAATTGGGCGCAATAGTTTAAATGAATAGCACGTTGACTGGATTTTTTTTTCTTGGACCGTCAGCCTTAACTGAACATGAGTTCAACGAGATACTAGTTTTAGTGATGTTCTTTTTTTTTCGAGTCCAGATTTTTTAATTTAAAAAAAAAAAAGTCAAAAGACGATTCGGATTGTTGTTGTATCCACTGGATAAAAAGAAAAGACTCGGAAAGTCAGAGGACTTCATTGTCCCGAAAAACCGTGATAGAACCCCATCTTTTCACTGCAGGCGGGGAATCAAGGTCTAAATGAGAACAATGTAGTATTCAATATGGTCGCAGTTGGAAAGAAAAAAAAGGCTGTTACAAGAACAAACCCATAGATTCGCCGCAGGCGTTCATCAAAGGTAACGTAGCACGTTGTCACTGGTTACGCTTGGATTTTCAAACTTGGTAAAGGCGACTGCATTCGCTGATGTGTATTACATAAAATTACAACTAGGATTAGGCGTAAGCGTAGTACGGTGAGGTCGGTTGAGTGTGACGGTAAGACCGATTATAATGTTGATAAAAGTCTCTCGATAATGGCAATCACCTAGGTAGAAACCATGGCGAAAATTCGTCAAATCCATGTCATATCTTTCCAGTTTTCTCTATAAATAGATTTTTACCTCATGAACATCTGAACGTTGTGTTGGATCCACGATGAGCATGCATCGAATGAGATCACGGAAGCCTTCGCTGTATGGGTCGTGTGAAGGGAAGATATATTGACCATTCAAGATCGTTAAAGCCATCGAGCCACCCATATCATTCATCGTAGCCTCAAAAGGATTCTGGCCATAAGCGGCTGCATATAATGTACACCCTAAACTCTATCGAAAATGATTCAGACAACACTAAAACAAAGATGCAGGGATCCTTGGAATTCCTTTTTCTTTTTCATCCCTTACCCATATATCAACCTTCTCATTAAGCTCTGATCCAGTCTTAACATCATAGAGTTCAGGTGCCCTATACGGCATAGTAGAATGTTCAGCTGCAATATCCTAAAAATGGGTTACTGGTCAACAGTGGTGTCTTGGCAAAATCAGCAGGATTATTTCATCATCCTACTTGTTGCAGTAAACCATCTTGTCGTGTCTTGATGGAAGTTCTTGCTCGTGTTACGGATCCAAAATCCATCAGAACCGCATTCTCGCCATCATCCGCTATCAGGATATTACCTGGTTTGACATCTCGATGGGCTTTTTTTGACGATGAGTAGTTATCAGCACGATGTGTTTAACGACATTGTCTATGCAGGTGGATGTAGTTACCATAAGGTACAAGAGCGCCCGTGGCATCAGATGACTGCTCTGTTGGCTCATAAAAAGTGGTTGAATACGACATCTGTGGAGAATGCAGATTATCCGTCACCGGTGAAGCGGTGAGATAGGGTTGGCCGGTAATGGTATTGAACTCTTCGGGATGAGTCACTGGTATTTCAGGTAATCGATAGGTATGCAACACACGCAGCGCATAACACACTTGCAAAATCAAACGGAGAAGAAGCGGTTCGGAAAAATGGGTCTTGTTCACATTATTGGCATTGATACAATCCTGCAAGTTGCCTCGCTATGCATCGTTCCTGTTATTGAGTTTGTTGCTCCATGTACCAGAGTTCATGGGAACCACTTACTTTATAATAAGGTAGAAACATATAAATAGTTTTGGACCCATCCGATTCCGTGACTAATGCCGTATCCTTTGAACGAAAACCCTGTAAGTGATGGTGGGGCGGATCGCAATACTTGATCGGTCTTACCTACCAGCACTTGAATAATATGTTCGTGTCTAAACATGCGATACATATCAAGTTCTCGCATAGCATCCGCTACTGCCTGGCTTCCAAAAGGGCACCGGATCTTTTTCACAGCCAACAAACGGTGTTCACTAGCGTCTTCCACTAGATACACAAAGGAAAACCCACTACAAGACCAGAACATGAAAAAGGCGTTGTTGAGTGAATGGAACCCGCGTACGTTCCGTCATTGCTTCCATGGCGCCATCACTTTTTTTTCACGGGGTCTGACGGAAGTTTCTTGGACACTGTAGTGACTCTTTAACAAATGCGTTTTGTTTCCGAGTGTTCCTCTTCATGATAACCCGTGTATAGTGTGGTGGCGCCTTGATTAGGGAGAATATTTACCCTTCACCCAAGAGTCGAATCAACTTGTAACTGCGTCGATTGATTTGGAGCGTCGGATTGGCAAAACAGCAGGACGTGATGGCATAGATGCTGTCTCGAAAAGTAGACAGAAGCGACATGCTATTAAAGTGAAGCCAAAGATTCTCTTTTTTTTTTTATTCAGCTCAGCAAATCGGGCCATCGTTCAGGCCGTCTCATTTCAGCACCTTTTTGTGACGCCCTTTTTTTTTTCTTACGATCATCATTCATGTATTTGACGTTCCAAGGCTTCTCCAGGCAGCTGCATGGAAAGACTCGTATATTAAACTCCTTGTCGATTAATAACCGCAAAGTAAAAGGAGTGATAGGGGCCTTTGAGTTTTGACCATAACGTTCCTTGTGTTTTAATGAAAAAGAAAAAGACGAGTTGGCCCAAACGAAAGGGAGTAGGTGCTCGTCTTTAACTTTGGCCAGCCCGCGCTATTTTGACACTCATGCTCTCAGATCCTATTATAAACGAGTCTTTCTTCTTTTGTAAGGCATAATACAAGCTAAACGGCAGCTTACAGCTTTCATAAATATGTGTCGTCATTCATGCAATTTGTTTCAAACCATCGTCAAGCGCGAATTTGGAATCTTGTTTCTTTCTTCGCGACCGCCCTGGATGCAGCTGCTCTCCTTTGTATCAACGCATGCTTATGCGGATGCAATGACGCACCTGTTTTCAGACCCAAATGAGGCGCCACAATCGAAATCATTGAGATTTGTTTGTCATACAGGCGATCTAATAGTGCTAGGAAAATCGATACACACATATATATATATATACATATATATCGTACAGACGCGCTCGTTTTTCCGTTCTTGTTTACATTATTATTTCACTTTTTCATTTTCGAGCTTATTTGGCGTTGCATTTGACATGGGATTTCTGAGATTCAACAGAAAGAATAGACAACAACATCGACATAAGGAGTCCAGTCTGCCGTCACCACCATTGTCCACCCAGGATCAAAAAATAACCGACTACCGTCCATGGTCTCCAGTCCAATCGCCTATTGCCGACTCTTTTATGAGCAGCGGGACACTTATCGGAGACCATTTCATGGAAAACAACTCACGCCTGTTAATTGATGACATGGAAAAAGGGTTCCCTTTCTCTGACAAAAAGCCATCAGGTAGAGTAGAGTTCATTTCGCTGCTATTCCTCAAAGAAAGTGGAGTGTCATCTGACCTATCGCGGCGTCGACCTTTTTTGGCTCGTCTCGGTTTTTTTTTTTGGCTTTTTTTTTGGTTTTTTTTTTCGTCATGATTAGCAACATTAATCTCGCCACAGCGTCCTGAAAGTATCCCAGTTGGCAGTCAGACTATCCCTGCATCACCAGAAATTTCCCATGAACTTAATGGATCGAAAATAAGTTTCCATGGAAGCACCACTATCGGTCCACCTCCTGCAGCGACCCTAAAACATACTGATATCAATCCAGCCAAACCTTTATCTCAATCTGGGTCCTCGATTCAGGGCAGCGCATCCCTTACATCTTCATCTACCGCTTCTCCACATACTGCTTACTCGTCTGGGTACAAACAAACCCATCTACCTGACTCGGATGCATCAGAATCCGATGCTTCCTCGGGCGCCAAGCCAGAACCATTTTCGAAATCGGCCCATCAATACCTCATGAATCGAATGAAACAACGGCATCGTGAAGAGTGTCGACGGTCACTCTTGATGACATCCGATCATCCACTTGCCAAGACGAATCGCTACTCCCAGTCGGTAGCAGCGCTCCATTATACCGAGAACACGTCCCCTTCACGTGTAACGCTAATCGATTTACCGCCTCAAGCTCCCTACATGGCCCGATCCACTTCTCTCATGACAGATCTATATCAAAAGTCGCAGCTTCCCGCACACGCCAAAAGACAATCACTGCAACTCACCGACGCTGATTTCCATCCATCACGGCTTCTACAAAACCAGCCTCTTCTCGCCCAGCCCCATCCAAGTCCTGCAGCTAAGCTTAATTCTCCCGCCGCTTTCAATCATCAATGGATACCTTATCAATATCGTCACTCGGTGGATGACCTGCAATTGCAATCCATGTATGGTTACGTGCCTGACAGTACAAAGTATGTTGCTTCCACTGGACGACCGATCTATCGTCCATGGGACAAGCATTTGGCCAGAGCTTCAGCTAACGTGGATCGCCATTCTATTCTATCTGAACCTAGTGCGACACGGGGGTCTGCTCCATTCCATATTACACGATCTCCCATGGAATCCGTCCCTGAAAATGTCCCGTTTCCCAGCTCGACTGCCGAAGACGAAACCGAATCCATGGCTCACATGTTTCCCCCCACGAACCCACAAAAGACAAACACGGAAAGAAAGTCTGCACATGTTATCAAGCATCGGATCAGCGCGTTACAGCGATCAACGTTTTCGGAACCCAATCTGAGCTCCATTGCTGAACCCGAAGAACCGTCCTTGAAGGAAATACAAGATTCCATTCGAAAGAATCTGGCCAATTTGAACCACGCTATAAAAAGTCCTGTTGCACTCACTCCCCCGGAGGCTGCGTCGAATGCATCTACTGGCAAACCTACCTCTTCTTCTCAAATTTCTTTACGATCGGGTCATCGATCCACCTGTACAAAGCATAAATTGCCTTTAGACAATCACAGCAATATTTCACACCGCCAAGCCAAACAGCACTCCCATGGATGCGAGCACCGCCGTCGGCTTCGAAAATCATCATGTTCCGTTCATTCCCACAAGGCACGCGCACCTGGGACCGACGAGCATCGCCCTGGATGCCCTCACGCGAAATTAAAGTTGGGGCATTCATCTCCTACTGGCAACGCGGATGTGGCCGCAGACCAAGGGATACCAAGCACGGCGGAAAATGATGGCAAATCCGAAGTTTCCGTGCAGATTTTTACCTGTAAGCATGGCAAACCCATCCATCGCCCAGAGCCACAGAAGGTACACAAAACAGACGTCCAATGTGATTTACTGAACCATCATCACCATCATCATCACCACTTTTATCACCACTATCATTGTCCACGCCACTGCTGTCGCTGTCATTGGAACGAAACATGTGCCTATCAGGATGTCTGCCACTAAAAGTAAAGCAAACCGTTCCCTTTCACGTCTCCCAACTTGTGAATAATCGAAAATTTGCACGCGACGAAATAATAATATTTTAACAACTATTCATCATACCACTTAATACAACTTACTTATAAAGCTGTCTGCGCTGTAAACAAATCTTTTTTTATATATAAAATGAATGTATAAAACTATGTTGTTCTCCTTTCCCGGTTTGCATTTTGGTCGCTGATTCCAATCACTGTGGAAAGCTTTCCAAATCAAATACAGTGGTATAAAAAGAACGATTTCAACGTATGACCGGTAGCTGGACATCAACGACTAGAGGAACTCAAATGAAACAATGCGGGTGGTTTTGTTTATGTATGCGCGAAATCAGAATTATGGCTTGTTCACCACTTCATATCCGGATTTTTCTTGTAAGCTTCATAGGCTTCTCGGTTAAAGATGGATAATTCGGTCTCATTTTCTGTAACCAGAATAAATAAATAAATAAAAGGTCAAACCCAGTTTACCGTGCCAAAAGCTCTTTTTGTTTGCTTACCGATACCGAGCCAGGCGAGCGTAGCGGCATCATCGGCGAGAATCAACTTTTCGTCGTCCTCCATATTGATGATCAGGTTTTGTGTCTAAGAAGAAAGAAACTTTGATTTAAAAAACCCACGTTTTTATTTTCAATACAAGCATAACCATGCGAAATACCTTATGTCCGTGAGCCACAGTGTAGATCTTGATGGTATCTATTGTTGAAAGTAAGGATTAGTTCAGACGACATTCACAGTCATGCATGCAACTGTTTCACGGACTTACCTAGCTGAACAGTCTGGTAGGGTTTCCATCCCGACGTGGTGTGGATACCTAATGGAAACAAGTGAGAAGGTTATGAGCCTGTAATTGTTTATGCATGCTTCAGCTATTAATTAACGTACGCTCTTTGACCAGCGATTTCAATTCACCGACGGTGGTTTCTTCCAGATTGATGTGTTGCAAAACCAAGTTTTTGCATGTGCGATATTCAAAGTTCTTGATTACTCTGACGGTAATCGTGGCATCAGTTGTTGGTTTGGCGTGGTTGGTAAGGTCGTCCATCGGGGTAAAATTACAATAAACAAGGTTTTGGTTCGAGGTATCGTTTCAAGAAATTTTTCACTTCTTTGAAAAAGAAGCAACGAGAACAAGCGGACATTTAAAACGCGAACAATGAAAGATGTTGGATCCATCTGTCCAACACATGAATGTAGATCGCAGAAAGCGTGGCAATACGCGTCAACTGGCAGTAATAATATATATTATCTTATTATGTTGAAGAATCCGATGGCCTGAAGCACGGCATGCTTCCAAAGAGATGATTGGTGGATGCATGATAGGAACGGTTTTACAAAAGAGGTTTTGTGAGTCGCATGGATGCTGTACCAAAGAAAATAAAAAACAGGATACAGTTATATCGTCGAATAATATTACCTGTTGAATGTGGGTAATTTGATGGAAACATAATATAAAAGTACGCGTATGGGCAAGTGTTTCTTTTTTATGGGAGCCCAAGGAGGACTTTCAAAGTTGCACAGGGAAAAAAAGCGTCTCGTTTTTTTTTATTTTATTATTTTTGGTGCTTTGTTGGATAAATGGCTTTTCCTCTTTTATCACCATTTCGCGCAGGCATGACCGATTTGCAAAATACCGATGACGACTATGTTTCTAAGGAACGTAGTCAATTGAATTCAAGCCCCATGACCTTGTTCGACAGCCCTACCAAATATCAAGGCAGATACGCTGAAAGATATCGGTCCCTGATACGCGAATCACCACCTGCTAATCTCATGGTGAGAACGCCCACAGAGGAAATACGTCATTACAGCCATCATGCCAAGGAATCATCAGACGATGTTTACAGTCCCAGACACCACCGTAGTCCGGCGTTTCCCACTTTGGGCGATGCCGAAGAGTCGCCTGTGAGAGGAGAATCAAGCTATGCACGTACCCGGCCATGGCCGTCTCACGAACGCGACGACATGAAAAACCGTGACGATCAGATCATGTCGCTGTCGGTGTCTCCTTCTAACCAACGCGAGTTCTCCGTCTTGTCGTCGACTCGTCGATCCAACAAATCTGTTTCCCAGACTGTCACGGCTCGATCAGCTGACACCAGAAACACCAAGGTGAATAGTCCAGTCAAAGAAGACCGCCCCACTGCAGTGCGCTCCTCCTATACCGTATCAACAAGGGAATTTCATGCATCGCCCACCATCAATGACCGTCCATCCTCACCTGTAGAACCTCGGTCCTCCTCCTCTTACATACCTTCCGCTTCTCCTCAAGAACCACGGTCCCTCGCTTATACACGCAAACTTGTGGCATCGCCTCATGAAGCACATGCATCTTCCTATACAAAGACGACTGCGGCTTCACCTCATGAGGCGCGCTCCTCTTCCTACAAACGCACAACGGAGACATCACCTCTAGAAGCACTCTCGCCTTCTTATACACGGACAACAGAGGCATCATCTCTTGAGGCACGCTCTTCTTCCTACAAACGCACCACTGCAGCCTCACTTTATGAACCCCGTTCACGCACCGTGGAGACGACACATCATGAACCACGCTCAACCGCTGCCTCACGTATACCAGCCAAGCCGCCGCATGAAACGCATTCTTCGCTTACAAATTACGGAAGGACGAGCTTACCGCAAGAATCACATGCATCAATGGTACCACGTGAGATAAACGATGCATCAGAGGAGAAACGGTATTCGCTACCCAAACAGACAGAGAGCCATGATTTGGAGGAAGAACAGGTGTCTCCTTCGCACTTTTACAGAAGCCGACCGATTTCCAAAGGAGTCCGTCCAGCCACTTACAGAAGCCCAGTTAGGGAGGAACCTTCTCCTTCGCGATTAGCCAAGGAAACGAATCCAGCCAAGGAGGAACCCTCCCCGTCACACTCAGTCAAAGAAAAAAACTCGCCTGTGACGGGCCGTATGTCTTTCAGCAATCCAGCCAAGGAGGAACGGTCTCCTTTACGGTCAGCCATCGAAAAGAATCCACCTGTAACTGGCCGCACGTCTTCCGAGCTGCATAGCGATTACCACGTTGCCAAAGAGATTCGATCATCCCGGGAGTTGCATACAGAGAGACATTCGCCTGTGGTAAATCGTTCGTCACCCCAGGAACAAAGGGACATTGGCTTATCCAAAGATCATCATCATTCCTCGTCTTATCACGAGCCTCCTGCGTCTGTACCACATCCTACGCATACACGACATTCTCGCGCACCAGAAAGAAGAAAAGCCAAAGAGATTCCTCATTACATGATGTCGACGCTTTCGTATCAAAGCCGTCTTCAATCGCAATCACAATCGGAGCATCAGCGCCTTCGAACAGTGAGGACCGGCGGAATCACGGTAAGCATGATGATTGGTTACTGCAGGTAGGATGGATTGGTCCTGATGTTCATGCTCCATAGAAACGTGTCGGCACGTCCAAAGTCCCGCGTTACCGAGCGACGACCCGTATCAATGCTATCGATGATATTCGCAATGAAATGACGCCCGAGGATACATATGTTCCTTTAGCCGCGCGTATTAAATTATTCGAACAAGGACTTGGCAACGGCCTAGTATCCGCGCCTCCCAAGATGACGAATGAGCCCAGCGTAAGCGAAAAATTACAATCACTGTCAGAATCACTCGTTGACGGAATATCTTGTTAGCACTCTTCATCATCGTCCCATCCTAGACCATTAACACGACCGCGGTCTCCTAAATTTTCAGTGCGTCAACGATCACATGCTACCAGGTAAGAATTATTCCGTGAAGTGGAAAAGAAGAAAAAAGGATCATCAACCTGATGGATATTCATGGTTAGCCATCGAACGCTTGATGAAGAAATACAGAGTGCGACAACAGTAAGTATGGTAGAGAAGAGTGGATAGGGTTCATGAAACTCATGAAGAATCGCTCTGTTCAGTCACAGCGACCAAATGCAGGACAAACTTCTGGTAAAAGACCGACATCCACAAGATCACACCATGCAGTTGATCGAAATGCTACGAGAGAACGAATTGCTTCGCAAAATACACACACTTCCTCGTCTGCGTCTTCATCTTCACAAAATCGAGTGATCAAACAGCCAGTCAAAAGAACAAAATACGCAACCCATACACCAATTCAAGTTCAGGTATGGTTTTATTGATGAAACGGTCACGGCTGTAGTCCAGTTTAATAATGAAATGAATAGCCTTTCCATTTTGCTACGGATGAGCGAGCAAAGCAGCACGAATCCTTTCGTGCGAGGCTCCATGAATGGAAAAAAAAGGAAAAGGAGGCCTCACCCGCCACACGATCCGGTGTACGGACCCCTCATTCTTTGACCAAGCGTGGCAACGAATCAATGACGAGCGACAACGTGCCTACGAAAAGGCGCAAGGTAAGCCAATCACGGTGTCTATAATTATTTGATCCGGACCAAAATGATCCACCATAGCTCACATGGTCTTAGGTTGATCAATCTCAACGTCCGGTACGCTAATTATACTCAATCAATTTAAACCATATACAAAGAGATGATCCAATCCTATCTTATATCCAAATTATTAAACAAGACCGTTCTTTCGCATGCGTCGTATTGAAAAATAATAAACCAAGCACCATTTCACTGTGAATCGCAAGAAAATGCTCCGCACAGAGTAGAAATTGCGGTCGGATGAGCGACTCATCTTGTGTCGCAATTTGAGCAGATCATAATTTCCATCGTTGTAGAAGACAAACGCCTGTTTTGTTAAAACTTATGGTAAGTAATGGCAGGGGATCGGCTATTTTATAATAAAATGTCAAAATATTTATCGCGTGCAGGGTCCGAGCAATATCCTCTTTCTTTCTTCTTTCTATTTTACTTTTAGCTTCTTTATCGCGGCTTCTGGTCATCAAGTAGCTTTTTTTTTTTTTTTTTTTTTTTTTTTTTTTTTTTTTGCTTTTTTTGTTTCGATGAGAAATATTTCATTATTAGACAATGCACATGCGGTTAAGGATTGAAAATAATTTTCTGCTTTATTTTCTGATTCCGCTGTTCATTTGCTACATAGTAAGCGTACAAGCAGTTCGAATAGACACTTGCTTGAGTTTATACCAAAAAAAGTCTATAAATAATATTTATCATCATCTTCAGCCAAATCCTCTACAAGGAACCGAAGTGAACGAGCACAAAAAAAACAAAAAATAAAAAATATTAAAAAATGCACGCAAAAAGGTAATTCCCCATCGGGGAGTCGAACCCCGGCCGTCTCGGTGAAAGCGAGAAATCCTAACCGCTGGACCAATGAGGAATTGTTGAAAATTTATTCTGCATATTCAATACATTGGTATAGGCCAAATTTTGCGCAAATATGATTGGTGGATGGCAGTGCGGGGAAGGAATGTGATAGTGTTATTTTCGCGGCTTCCAGATTTATTTGTTGGGCTTTTGAAGCAAATTTCATGTTTCTGTTTGCGTTTATGCTCACAGTCTGTGATCTGGATAACCATTAGAGTTATTTTTAAATCTTGCCGACACGTTATCACTTCTTCTATGCTGTTCTGAATTCTTTGAACTGTCGTTTTTGACTACAATAAGTCTACTACATCAGTTTTACATAGTGAAAGATGTGAGAATAAAAAGGTGATTTACTGGTCCAAATTGTGCCCCTCACGGAGCACTACTATTACCCTTAGGCCCCATTGGCAGCTTCTTTTATTGTGGCACGGAAGCTCAATGTGCCATGCTTAATTGTTAAGCATCTACTAAGATATTAATGCATTTAAATTAGTTGCATTGTATTTTCCCAGTGTGACCTTTGGACTATCATGGGTCTTCAGACTTGCCAAAATCTTTTTGACAAAATTCGAGTTGGAAATTATGGCCAGCCGACATTACTTTACTTCAGGATTTTCAATGCACCTTTTCTGTATGTAACCATAAACATTAGGCTCGAAAAATGATGTTATCAGCATAGACTAATATGATAATGGTTTTGGATACCCTGCTCTGCGGCTAAATTTAGGGAAAAGATAGGAACACTGAATACTTTTCTTGCCGAGTGATGGTAGTGTGAAATCAAAAGCGTGAAAGATGAATTGTAGTTTCGGTGGTAGTACCGTACGAGACGTCTTTGTAATATTTACTTGTATTATCAACAAGTAAAGCTCGCTGTCGATATGGATAATAAAGTCAATTAGGTATGGACTTTATATTGATGAGAGAAAAAATATGCTGGGAATGTACAGGTTTACAATGTGATGCGATGAGGAAAGGATAACTATCGCTTGATAGTGTGCAAGAATGAGGTGGGTTACTATGGCTTCAATAGACGATCCGATTGCTGAATAGATCGCCACGTTTGTTCTGCTAATGTAATGACAGACGATGGAAGCCCTATTGAAAAAGAAAGAAAGATGCGTAGGGTCATTGAGTAGGTGATGCATTGACAGCGAGAATCGTATTGATTCATTTTTACCTGCTAATCGGGCCACTTTCAGTCCGTGCGATTGTCGACAAACGCCCGGCTTGACTTTGTGCACAAACCAAAAGCTTCCTTGATCGTCGTGAGCTTCGTCTAGAGAAGTCATAAAACAGGCGATTTGATCGTAACGAGCCACGGCATCGGCTAGTTCATGGTAGTGGGTCGCAAACAAGGTACGGCAACCAATGTGATCATGCAAATAGTTCAAGATGGAGTAAGCCAGTGAAAATCCATCGGCAGTAGCGGTCCCGCGTCCCACTTCATCCATAATCACCAGTGACCGATCCGTGGCATGGTTCAAAATGGTGGCCGTTTCCACCATTTCCACCATAAAAGTCGACTGATCTTGAGCCAAATTATCACTCGCCCCCACACGACTGAAAATACGATCTACCATCCCAATGGTCGCGTGCTTTGCAGGCACAAAACAACCAATATGGGCCAGCAGGACAATGATGGCATTTTGACGCAGGAACGTACTTTTCCCACCCATATTGGGACCCGTCAACAACCATAACCGCTGACGCTCCGCCAAAGTACAATCGTTCTTGACAAACATACGCCCATTTTTTGCAAGGTTCGCTTCCACCACGGGATGGCGTCCGTCCACGATGCGGATCTCATTCTCGAGGGTCATTGTCGGTCGTGTAAATCGATACTCGCGTGCCAGATAAGCAAAACACGCCAATGCATCCAACTGGGCCAAAATTCGGCAACTGCGCATGATCCCGGCCGAGTTTTCCAACAGGTCAGCGACAGTATCTTTGAATACCTGCTGTTCAATTTCCATAATTGATGCTTCCGTCAGTTCGATTTTCAGTGACAGTTCTGTCCATTCTTCGATGTGATAGCGGTGCTTTGACTTCGTCTTGTTGATCAAGGTGGCGGAATGCTGGGCTAATAATTTGCTGGCCCGAGAAGCGTTCAGTTCCACGACATGACGTAAAGGCCCGGTATTGACTAGTTGGAGCGAGTTGCCACAGAGACTTCGAAGATCGGCTTGAAGGGTTTCACGCTGCGAGTGCAACCAATCGAGTTGCTTGTAACAGCGTTTCAATTTTGGGCTAAAGTCACGGTGAATGTATCCATAATCTTGACCCTTCCCATCGCGGTTCGCAATTCGGTCGCTGTCGAAAGCCTTGTCAATGTGAGAGGCTAAGGCGTCATGGGAATCAAGCGATGCCATCAGGTCTTGCACTGCCACGAACCGATGGGCATCGTCACAATTTTTCCAGGCATCCATCAACAAGTTTTTCACATTGAACATGGCTTTCAAAGTAGCGCCAATTTCGATCAAATCGGTGTGCTGACCTCGATTCAGGGCTAACCGCTGCAAAGCGCGTTGCACATCTGAACTCTGTTTCAGCAGTAATCGAAAATCATCCAAAAGGTATCTGTCGTGGTGGAAGAAGGAAACCACGTCCAATCGTTTTTCAATGGCTTCCAAGGAAGCTAAAGGCGAAGCGACCCATCGAGCAAGTAAACGGGCTCCCGCATGAGTTACGGTATGGTTGATGACGCCCAGCAAACTGTCAGATCTTTTGCCCTCTTTAAGTGACTTGACAAGTTCAAGCGACGCCATGGCCGCACTGTCGATTCGCACGGTATCCTCCACAGCAAAACGTACAGGCGGTTGCAATTTCGGTTTCTGGTCCATGTGGGTCTCACCGATATACGAAAGTAGAGCGTTGGAAGCCGCATATTCCGCGTCGCCGAAAAGTTCGGATTCCTTTTCGGATTCGAGCTGGGTGGTGTCAGGCGATGCGAGTAACGGGTTGCTTCGAAACAACATAGCGACGGTTTGACGGCCGGTGTCAGCGTCAAAGGTAGTGTCAGGTTGGTACGTAACAGCAATATTACTGTCGCTTTGCAATGCCTGCAGCAAAAGCTGGTAATCGGGAATGGTGGATTGCAGTCGTTTTACGGATTCCGGGAGGATGACTTCGCGCGGATTAATGCGTGCAATATCGTCTTTGAAGGCGAGCCACTGGGTCTCTTGCATGACGAATTCGCCAATGGATAGATCGACCCAAGCTAGCCCGACGGAAGATGGTTCCAGTGCATTATTGGTTCGACGAGGCGAGACGGCCAACAGATAATTGTAAGCGTGTGAATCAAGGAACCGTTCCTCGACCACGGTGCCGGGTGTAATGACCCGGGTGATACGACGTCGAATCGCCGAAACAACGGGGCCCGGGGAAGGAGCGACAGTATACTGTTCACAAAGAGCAACGCGACATTGATGATGGTTGACAAGCATATCCAAATACTTCTCGAGCGATCGTGAGGGAAATCCTGCAAAGTCCACTACGACGCCACTAGCCACTTCTTTTCGAGTCAGTTTCAAGTCCAGCAACGACGCATAACGAGCGGCATGGGTATCATACAACTCAAAAAGGTTCATCACAGCATGTCAGTCTTGGTCAGTACGCCAACGGGCTTAAGGTTTTTTTTTTTTTATTATTTTACCTCGTAAAAATCGCCCACTTGCACCAGTAAAACACAGAGAGGATACTGGCGGGTATATTCGCGCACTGCATCAAGAACCACAGATCCGGTCGAGGCATGTCTTGGTGTCAGCGGTTCACAGGCTATTTCCTCTTTTGTTTTACACGATTCAAGGAGTGAAGCCGGATGAGCAGTGTGATGTATTGAATCCTGAAGGGCTTCGTGGCTAGACGTTGATGTGTGGTGGTGGTTATCGGCGGGGAAAATGTCGTTGAAGTGAGCGTGGGTGACTCGTTTACTTTGCGTCGAGGTACCGTGCAAAAAGCGTCGAGAGAAATAAATATAGCTTGTTTTGGAGACGTGACGATGCCATGGCAGAAGCGATCTTTGCATATCACTTTCTTCTTTGGCCGGATCACTGGGCCTGCTTTTTCCGAAAAAGAATAGATGAACACAGCAAAAGCAGGCACAGACGGGACTCGCGTGACGGCGAAAATGGGGGGGGGGGAGTCCACCTGTTTGCAAAACATGGGGAAAAACTATTGCGGTGATGATCATGAATGTTTGCTCAAAGGAGTAGATAGGAGAACAAAGGAAAATACACAAGAAAATAAAGACACTCCTCCATATACTCAACCAAGATGACTTTTTGAAAATCCAAAAGAGAAGATAGCAGACGAGAGGGGGGAACATGAGAAATGAATGGCGCACTTTTTGGTTTGTTTATTTATTGATACAAAAGAAAAAATAGAATTTCTCTTTTTTTAGTTACTCCAAATAACAAGTACTTGCAAAAGCAAAAAGAGACGTGCGCCTCTAAGAGTGCTTATGAAGTAACATTATATTGATGTTTGATGCATTGTTTTTGTTATCGATTAGACCAGATCCAGCTTAGAACTTCTTGCCGAACATGATGACCTGGAGCTGATCGTAACCGGACAAGACACCAGCACCAGCAATGGCACGGAGAATGTTAGCACCGGCACCCTTGAAGAGAGACTTGGTACCTTCCTTGGCAACGATTTCCTTGAAAGCGTGGAGGGAAGAGTCGTACTTGACGGCAGCACCGGAAGTCATCATCATACGTCTACGGACGGTATCAATGGGGTAAGAAGCTATATGTCGGAAAATGAAAAAGTTTGAGATTAGTTTTTGTTTTTGGAAAAATTTGAAATCATCCATGACACCATGGATGAAATATTATCGTAAAAGAAAAAAAAACTTACCAAGACCAGCACCAGTGGTAACAGCCCAACCAAGCAAGAAGGAAGCCAAGAAAGAGTTCTGGAGGTTGGTAGGCATGATGGGCTTGATGGAATCGTACATACCGAAGTAAAGACCACGGTAGACAATGATACCAACACAAGAGATGTTGAAACCACGGTAGAGACCGGCGATACCATCGGACTTCAAGGTCTTGCGGTAGACATCGAGAAGACCGTTGAACTGGCGCTCACCACCCTTCTTGGCGGACTTGGCATCGTTGGCAAGACGAGTACGAGCATAGTCAAGAGAGTAGACAAAGAACAACGAACAGGCACCAGCAGCACCACCGGAAGCCAAGTTACCGGCGAACCAGGCCCAGTAACCATCCTTCTTCTTGTCCTTGTTGAACATACGCTTGAACTTATCCTTGAAGGCAAAGTTCAAAGCCTGGGTAGGGAAGTAACGGATGACGTTGGCGGTGTTACCTCTCCACATGGAGATGAGACCTTCATCCTTGACGGTACGGCTGAAGCAGTCAGCAATACCCTTGTAGGGAGAAGCGAGACGACCCTGCTTGATCATTTCGTCCTGGTTCTGGATCAAAAGCTTGATACGCTCGATGGGGGCAGCAGCAGTCTTGGAGACGGCGGCGGAGACACCACCCATAAGGAAGTCCTATACAACAGAAACACGCGCGATCATCATCAGTATATTGAAAATAATTTTTTCGTCAAGGCGGGATAGTGCCGGAAGGTCGACTGATGATGTATTTTTTCCTTCCTTCGATAAGTTAAAAAATACTTACGATGACGAACTTGTTCTGCTCAGTGGCCATTTCTATTAGGAAGGGGTGGGAGTTAAGGGAAAAAGGGGGGAATCTGAGGCTTGAAGCGGCTCGAGTTTTTTTTATACCGGAGAAAACGGTGTTAAAAAATTTTTTCTCGCCCGCTGTCACTTGCGATTGGATGCGCTTGCCAGGGGTCACATCGGGATGTAAACAAATGAAGTCTGAAAGGCAGTCAATGAAGGATGATGGGACCTGTTTGGTTTCTCTCTTTTATTGTATGATATCATCACCGCTCAATAACCAAAACCCACATTCCACACCAAGCCAATGATCGACCTGCAAGGAGTCTCGCCCTCGGCTGTCAGCACCTCCACACATCATTGATTTCCACTCCACCACAACCCGTCCCGTCATTGCTATTTTCCATTCTTATCAACATAATCCAATCCCGTTCATTTATTCGACTCACATTTTTTTTTTTTACTCCACATCCCATTTCACAGCAACATGTATGCACAAGCAAAAAAGAGAAACCCTACAATCGCACAGACAACTAGCCTTATGTCACCATGCCAATTTGTCTGACGAATACCGGCACTAGAAAAAAAAACTTTTCACTTTTACTCTCTCAACTTTCACGTGTCACGAAAAAAAAAAGACAAATCTTGCTTGATTTTTTCTCTGATTTCGTGACGGAGGCTTATTCACGTAGTCGATACTATGAACATGCTGATTCGATGGCTATCATGTCATGGAGTCAGTCATCCCTGTCGATCTCTAGTTTTTTTTTTCTTTTTTTTTTGCCTCTGTTTCTTAGTTCATTCTTTTTAAAGCTGTTGCCAGTCGAAATGCTTATTTCCGGAGGCATGTGCAGTCAATCAGAGCCAAAAAAGGAAGCTCAAATGGAAGTAAAATAATGACAGGGTGATTTTATCGTTAAGTCTTTACATCATGTACCATAACAACCTCTGTCTCCGAGCCAACGATTAGGGGCTTCTGCTCAGTAGTGATGCTGGGCAACGGTGTGTGTGGTAACGAAAGAAAAAAAGTTTTTTGATTTTTTACAGTGCCACTTAGCACACGTAGCACAATTCATTGACTAATCTGGATACCTTCCCTTCTTGCATCCAGCAGCGTCTTTTTATTCGTAGCTTAGAGCAGCGGGGAAAAACAGAGAATTTTTTTTTAGAATGAGGATAAGGATATTCCATTGTTCCTCATTTTTTTTTTTATAGACTGTTAAGTGGTGTGATTCTGTTTCTGAATGCCCCTCGATTTCTCCACAGTTTGACTTGTGTCTCCTCGTCTGCCCATCTTTCTTATCGTCTCTGAAATTTTCTCTTCTCTTCTTATTGCATGCTCCGGAAAAGAAAAAAGAAGCAGATCAATGAACAAAAAGCCTTGATCGTCCGCTCCTTGTTTAGCCTATTTTTGAATTCAGAATCCCATCATCCGAAATAAAAAAAATAAAAAAATTAAAGGTGGCTCATTCTTTTGCAATTTTCCGTCCTGATTCTTTCCTCTGCATCTTTATCGACAATCGACGCATCACAAATACACTTTTTTCCCCTGTGTGTGTGTGTCATTCTTTTTCTATCTCCATCATTGATAATCTTCAAAAATGTCTTCTGATGACGACAGTGTCTCGAGAAGCTCTCAGGATGATGGATTAACCAACGAGAGCACCATGTCCCGTCCTTCGAGTTTGGACTCGGACGAATCTTTCCTTGATGATTTCCCGATAGACGATGACGATATAATATGGAGCGACGACGACAGCAGGTCGGATTATTCGATTGACTACGAATTTCTAGGCTTTCGATATCACAACTATCGGAACGAGAGTGACGCGGACAGTGTAGCATCCGAGTTATCGGAGGCCGTTCCGTCCACCACTGACATGGGCTTCGACATGTGGGATGAAGATCCCTACAGTACCAACGACTTCACCTGGGATTCCAACGATATGCGTGTTACTGGGTTTATGAAACAGCGGCAAGCCGCCATTGCTAGTATGAATCGCCTGGCGTGCTGGTCAGCGTCCAGTTTTTGGAAAAAAGAGCATGGCTGGCCTCAGCAGTTGCCTTCGTCATGTTCGACGGCCAATCACGATCAATGCGCGAATGCCCTTTGTTCGGTGATTTCCGAGCACGGCACGACAGAACAGCTGTATGCGGTGTACCGAGATCGGATCATTAAATGTGGGGAGGCAATACTTTCTTCAGCACGTGCCATCACCGGGCCAAAATCTGGTTCTACGGAAAATGGCTCCGCGAGTGCCGATCGACCGTTGTATGATGATACCACATGGATCGAAAGTGATACGGATGCTTCGGTTGCCGGGTCCCCTCCTTTCGATAACCATAGTAGCAAGACATTTTGCGAGACCCATGAATCGGTTTCGTTGTCTTCATCTCCTTCTTATTCCTTTTCCATCGACAGCAGTGATAGACCCATGCTGCCATCCTCGCCCCATGAATCATGTATAAGCAAATTTAAACCTTACACAAAATTCATTGCACGGTCCGATTTTCCACGCATTCTTCCGGAGCATGCGTACATGCCTCTTGGATTTGAGCCCTTGTGCCTCGCCTACAAGTATGGTTACATGGCCATCGGTGGCATTGAAGGAGAATTTGAACTTTACTGTTGCATGAATCAGTCAGAACCTGTGAAACTTTGGGGCACGAAATTCAAAGGACGCCACAACGTTCAGTTGATGACCAACTCGGTGGAGATTGTTCGATGGCGTATGGGCCAACCCACGTTGCCCATGCTGAATGATTGTGAACCCGTGTACCAGTATCTGCTGATTGCGTCCATGAACGAGGCCGGAATTCTTGTCTATCGATTACCATCCCATCATGAATGTGCTGTATACTCACAAGCTCGACGTGCGTATCCGCCGCCTCGTATTCCGTTGCATACCCACCTTCGCAGCTTTGATCGCGTGCCAATCAACGATGCAAAAATCAGCCCAGACGGTCGTACGATGGTGTGCGTTGGCGATGATCAGTTTGTATTTTTGATCGACATTAACCTGGACTCCTCTTCCCAAGAAATCACATTCCGTCCACCTGTCAAACTTGAGATTCCAGTCGGTCTGCTGACACCGGGTGACAGCACCGAATCGGCTTACTCATCGCAGTACGTTGCGTGGAGCGCGTCTTCCCGGTTCTTTGCACATACCTCCGATACCCATTATTGCGTCCTCGTCTGGCGTGCCGAGACACGCGACGTTCTGTACTCGATTGATGCTGCAGGATACACCTATGCGGTGAAATTCCATCCCTACATGGATGGCCTGCTTTCATTCACCAATCGCTACGGATACTTTCACACTGTCAATCTTGAGGAAGCCGTGGATCCACGCGTCAATACCAAACGGATCAATATGCTCACGTTTGATAAGCAGACCGTCGATGCTCGAGGCCATTGCTGCGATGACCGATGTGTGTCCACAGAGACGGCGGCAGTCTATCACACGAGACATCTTGAAGCGAGACATGAGATCACAATGGTAGCTTTTCGCGGTGAGCGCGATATACGACTCCGGATATTAGCTAAGATCAACGGTATTCAGTGGTCCAAGGATGGTCGCTACCTCTATGTCGCTACGAAGAAACGCGTGCTGGCTTATGAATTCACTGCTTTTTGTCTCTCTGTACCCTCCTTGTTGACCATTGCAGGACGGCAGATGTTGGCAGTCTTAGGACAAGAAGCATGCGTTTCAGATGCTTCATCGTCCGCCACCTGCACACCAAGAAAACGAAGACGCATCGCACACCGACATGACCCGTTGATCGAACCATCGCCACGTCAACGAACATCAAGATCAGACCAATGGATGAATATACCTGCCCACATTCGGCATGCATTGCTAAATAATTCACAGCTTGCCAGCCATTGGTAATTTTGCATTTGTCCTTCCTGGTATTCCCGGTTGCTCTATACATTCATTTTTCGCATGTGTCTATATACTCTACATTTCTTTTTCCTCCCTTTATATTTTTTATGACATACCTTTTCATTTATGTATCAATTTCTTGTGTCCGTTTGATCATTTTATTGCACAATGCATCTTCGTGCTTGTATGCTTTTTCGTATTTTCCATTTATTCGTTGTCTATGTATTAGCTAAAGCATCGCTGTTTACTGTTTTATTCTTTTTCTTTCATTCATATGTTTTGCAAGGCGCATTATAAAATCCGCTCCAATTTTCTCAACACAAATTTATAAGAGAATGGTGTATTGTTTTCTTTGGCCATTTCAGACTCTGTAAAATCATATGTCGCACTGCTGGTGATATCAAAAAGAAAACGGCATCAAAGAATGCAATAATCAAGGAGAGGTCAGAGACAATAAATTGTAGACAGCGGCTATTCAACGAAATGAGGCGCGGATGTTCATTTTACCATAATGAGCCTAGGGAAACGCATTAGCTTGGAGACTTATTCTTTTGCGAATCAAATAAACGCAACGGCCCTTTCGTGGATGAACTCTGAGATATAAATAAGCAAATTCAGGTTTTTTTTTTCTCAATTTGCATGACTACAGCATCAGTGGCATATCATTTATTGTCCAAAAACATAGATGATCAAGCACCATCTCCACAAACAATTTTTTAGCGGGGCAATAAACTATATCATGGGGTATACGTATTTCTTTCCATTGAGAAAAGAAAAAAAAAAAACTTTTTTTTTTTTTTTTGCTCAACGTGGCCAATAGAAGTATAGAATGGTTCTGCTTCGTGTTTAGCCCACCATTCGCGTCCACTATAACCAAAGCATGTGGACCATTGTGAATATTTAAATTAATGCAATTGTGTAGCCTCTTTTTCCTTATGACATGACCATCAAGCATCTTTTTTTGTGTGGGACAGCCATTGCAAAATTAAGCATACTGGACAATTGTCCGTATTTCCGCATGTGACATGTGAGTTCAGAAGAAAAAACAAAGATTGTTTTAGGTATTCACGGCGGATCAACCATGGATATCAATTAGACCTTTTTATTTAGGATTAAATGTAGTTTATGGAATTGGATGAACATTAACTAGAATGGTAATGGCACAGCCATTGCGCTCTACCGAGGGAAATGGGTAATTTGCCTTTCCCTTTGGTAAGTTTTTTTTTATATTTAGTTGAGGAGGAGAGAGGCGCCAACAGCAGCGACGGCGAACAAACCACCGATTTGGAGCTTGCCAGCAGCGGAGCCTTGAGTGGTGGAAGGCTTGGCGGCATCATCCTTGGGAGCATCAGTCTTGCTGGCATCAGGCTTAGCATCGCCACCGGTCTTGCTAGCATCAGGCTTAGCAGCGCCATCGGTGCTGCTGGTAGAGTTGGAGTTGCCACCACCAGTCACGGCACCACAGGCATCGTCCTTGTGTTGTTGATACCAAGAGCAGGTTTGACCGAATTCAGCAAAGTACTTGTCCTGTTCGGCCTTGTCGCACTTCATCATGCAGGAACCGGCCGAGGTCATGAAGCTGGTGTACTCGGGAGTACCCTTGGCACAGTTAAAGCTGAGAGACTTGATGAAATTGGGAGAGCTGGGATCGGAAGTCCAGTCAGACCAGAGACCCTGACCAGCTTTCTACAAACAAAAAAGAATGAGAATAAAGTTAGTATTTTCCAAATGCTTCATTTTTTTGGTTTTGCCGCGCAAAAAATGTCATCAAGATGTATTTTTTACCTGGTTACAGTCACTGGTGCACTGACCGGCGGATTGCACTTGGTAAGTAGGGTTGCAGTTTTCAGCGGCCATAGCAGCACCGGCGAGAGCCAAAGTACCCAAAACAAGAATGGAGTGCATGATCAGTTCGTTGTAGACGAGGGGATGCAAGGAAAGATGAGAAGGAACGAAAGAAAAAACCAAAACTCAATCTTTGTGAAGAAATAAAAGAATCCTCGGAATTCCAACTCCGGTCAAATTCGTATCACTTGTTTGTTCGCAAGTAAAGTTTTATCAGATGGAGATATTTTTTTTGTTCTTTTTACATCGCCGCTTGAGCGGTCTTCAGGTGCAAAAAAAAAAGTGGCTCTTCCAGGAAATCTCCAGTTCCACACTGTTCGGAATTCAGTTTTGCCATTCTACCGCAACGAATAAAAAAAAAGCAATGGTAGACCCTGCAACGTCACACGGTGCCGACTTTTATCAGATGCACTTTATGGTTTATCAACCTCGTTCCATCTCCACGGCTTGGGATATTCCTTTGTGCAATTGCAAAATGATCATCGTAACATACCATGATGGATCTGTCCCCATAGAATTGCTTGATTCATTGACTATATCTGTTGTAGGATTGCACTTTGGACCAATGCCATTGCCAGGGAGGGTCCAACGGCCCGAATAATCGGGTGCTGGTATCGTGTGCGCGGAAAAAGGGCGCGAAGATTTTGGATCGATTCAACTCAGTCAGTAGCACAGTGTGGAACAATGGAAGCTTCGTATATTATCGGACTGGAATATGGTTTACAATACTTGGCATTCTCTACATCTGATAATAAAAAAGAGGCGGAGAAGAGGGACGGTTCTGACAAATAACGGTTTCCATCGCTTCTTTTCTTTATCATTGGATGAACAGAAAGTGTGTTTGAACATCTGATAACTGAGTTTTTCAACGCGTGTGCGCTATTATTCTTGATTCCATCCGATTCATCTTAAGGTTTATAGAACTAAAAAATGTTTTCTATTTTATGAGGCTTTTTTCCCTTCCACTCATTTTCATATCTATTTATTCTACCTTTGTAACTTTTTTTTTTTTTTTTTTTTTTTTGCCCCTTGTTCTCCCTCGCTGAGTGTCTACTGTGGATAATTCAAAGTAATGAATCACAGCAATTACAGTGATTATAAGGACGCCACAGCGTTGAATGATCTTCCCGTGGATCATGACGCTCTCAGCACGCCACCTTCCGGGGATCATGTCGCTCTCAGCACGCCACCTTCTGCTGAAGCAGAATTACCACCTCGCAAATTCTTATGGCTAATCCCTTTGGCACCCCACGTCCACCCTATCAAACTGTTAGCTTTCATTATCTCCACATTTGCCGGTCTAGCACTCATTGTGTATCTGTCCATGTCACAAACCTACGTTCTCACCACCATCCTCGCTATATCCGCCAATACCGGTGATATCACCGGTTCTCTCGCTTTGTATGGTGAAATCGTCTCGGTCATTGCCGTCGTCCTGTGGGGCGTGGTATCCGACCGTGTGCAGAAAAGAACCATCATCACCTTCTCTCTGATGTTAATGGGTATCGTCAATATCGCTTATCCTCACGTGAAAGACGTTTACCCCGACATGTTGATGCTGAAACTCATCTTCTCGGCCGGTACAGCTGGTATGACGGCCATGATGGCCGCCATGATGATGGAAGTCGTCCATGGTTCCGGTGGCTACGTTGCTGCTCTGATCGGTGCCAGTTGTGGTCTCGGTGCTGTGTTTGCCGCTCTTTTCTTGGGTCGAACTCACGTGCTTCTTGCCCATAAATTGGGTTACGCCAATGACGGTATCATTCTCTCGTTCTCGACGGTCGGTGCGTGCACGATCTTTGTTGCTTTCCTTCTTTGGTTCTTCATGCCCGGCCGGCCTCCGGCTAGTTACTATACCAATGGTGTACCTCCTCGTCGGGAGAACTTCTTCAAGCGTCTCTACATTGGCTTCAAAGCGGCCAAGGAACCCCGCATTGCTCTCGGTTTCGTCACCAGTTTCTTTGCCCGTGCAGATGAAATCATTATCACCAATTTTATTACCCTCTGGATCAACCAGTACTACATTGACCAAGGCACATGTCAAGTCGGTAGACCCTGTTATCAAGCCATGGGTACCTCGTCCACGTTGACCGGTATCAGTCAAGCCGTCGCCCTGGTATCCACTCCCTTCTTTGGCGCAGCCAGTGAACATTTCCCGCGTGAATTTGCTGTTGTTGCCGCCGGTATCATTGGTGCTTGCGGTTGTATACCTTTTGCCTTTTCCATTGATCCTACCTCCAACGCGTGCATGGCATTTGTCGTTTTGCTAGCCATAGGTCAATTCGGTATGTCGCCGCTTTTTTTGACACTGTTGTCATGTTACTAAAACCGTTCATTTTATTTCCTTAGGTATGATCACTTCCGGTATGGCACTTATTAACGGCCCCTACGTTGCTCCGGAGCATCGTGGTAGTGTCGCCGGTGCATATTCCTTCTGTGGTGCCATTGGTATCATTATCATTTCCAAGATCGGCGGTGTCCTCTTTGACAAGTGGATGAAGGGTGCTCCTTTCTTGTTGCTTGGCATTGGCCACTGTATCGTTACTGTATTATGTATCATCGAATACGCGGCAAGACTCTTCAAGGAGAGACGCCAAAGAAGAGCACTTCAACAATTATAATATTTCTCTTCCTTCATACATGAACTTGTATCTATAGTCATTGCTCCCATCTCCGTCATGTTCTTCTCTTTTTGTTTTTTACCATCGTTTAGTTTTTCTACTTTCCTACGAAGGGTTTGATATCCTCACCTTTTTCATCCTAATGAATAAATCCCAGTTTATGATATCACTGTTTTCAATTGCATTCACACATGATACCTTTTTTTTTCACTTCGTTACCCGTCAATAAAACGGGAATTTCGGTTTCATTTTCGGACATGTTTCATTTTGTGGCAATTCATGTTGCCGACAATGACGAGAAGCCCAAGCGATGGTGCTATCCAATGCCTTTCTCTTCTTTTTTCTACATATAGTCAGCACATTAGAGAAAAAACGCCTGCTTTTTTTTACGAGTAAAATCAAGATGATAATTCAAGTTTTATTATTTCTTTACAATTGGAACAAAATGGGACAACATTTTGAGAGTGGAAAGAGGCCCATCTTTGGAGAAATGCGGCGACAATTGACGCGCGGATGTAGTCCGTTTAAAGCTTATCGTAGTATCTGTCGAGACCAGGGATATCTTCGACGAGACCCTTTCTCTTACGGACGGCACGGATAATATCGTAGACCTTGTTACCGGCTTCAAGAGGGTTGCCGGACATTTCCTGCCAGTGATCGAACACAGCTTGAGGGAAAGCCTGACCACCGGTGGCGGCACGAAGATCGGCAGTGAAACCGAAAGATTCGTTGACAGGCAAGTAGGCCTTGACAGCCATCATGGGAGTACCGGGGCGCTGTTCTTCGGAGAAGACCTGACCACGACGCTTGTTAAGGCAAGAGTAGATACCACCAATGACAGAGTCGGGGCACTGAATTTCGACCAAGTAGACGGGTTCCTGGATACCGGGGGTAGCGGTCAAGACGGAAGCATAGACGACACGACGGCAAGTAGGGATGATCTGTCCACCACCTCTGTGGATAGCATCAGCGTGAAGAACAACATCCAAAATGTTGAAACGACAGGCACGCAAGTTTTCTTCGGCAAGGGGACCTTCCTTGGTAGCCCACTGGAAGGCGGCAACACAAGAATCCTTGATTTCGTTCAAGAACTGGACAGCCTTGGTGGTATCGACCATGACGTTAGGACCAGTACCGTCGGGACCGAAACACCAGATCTTACGGGCTTCAGTGACATCCCATTCGTATTTGTCAGCAAGGACACGAGCACGAGCCTTGAAATCGTCCTTGGGAGAGATCTTGCCAGCTTCAATCTCATCGGCGAGTTCAGCATTCAAAGGCATAGCTCTCATGAAGATACGGTTATGCTTGTTGGGAGACTTGGACAAACAGTCCATGGAGGACTCGGCAGTGACGGTTTCACGGTACTGGACGACGGGGTCACCAGTCTTGAGGGGAACCTGAGCGTGATCTTCTTCAAGATCCTTCAAGCAAATTTCCAAGTGAAGTTCACCAGCACCGGCAACAATATGTTCACCAGAGTCGGAAGTGTAGGTCAAGACACAAGGATCGGACTTGGCAAGACGCTTGAGACCTTCGACGAGCTTGGGAAGATCGTTGGCGTTCTTGACATCGACGGCAACCTGCACGACAGGAGAGACAGAGAACTTCATGACCTTCATGTTGTGAGCGACTTCGGAGGTGGTGATGGTACCGGACTTGACCAAGAACTGATCAACACCGACAAGACCAATGATGTTACCAGCAGGGCAGTCATCGATAGCTTCGACGTTACGACCCATCATGAGAACAGTACGCTGAATGGACTTGATGGACATATCGGTCTTGGTACCGGGGACGTAGTTGGGACCCTGGATACGGACCTTCATACCAGCACGGACGGTACCAGAGAAGACACGACCGAAAGCGTAGAAACGACCCTTATCGGAAGTGGGCACCATCTTGGAAACGTAGAGCATAAGAGGGGCGTTGGGGTCACAGTCACGGATACCGATAGCGCACTCGTCATCGGTGGGACCTTCGTACAAGTTGACCAAACGGTAACGCTGGGCAGTGACGGGGGAAGGCAAGTGAATACAGATCATCTCCAAGAGAGCATCACCGGCGGGCAAGAACTTGCGCATGATGACCTTGAGGAGCTGCTTACCCTCGAGATCCTTTTCGTCGTTCTTGAGTTGGACATCCAACTTCTCCAAGAGAGTGGGGATCTGATCCTTCTTGAAGTTCATGACACTGTCAAAGATTCTGAAGATGGGGTCCAAGACGAACATGTTGAAAGCACGTTCAAGAGGCTTGCCCTTGGCATCGGTGGACTTGGTGGTCCACTTCTTGGTGGCAGGGTTGAAGTAGTTCTCACCCCACAACTTGACCATCATCTTCTCCTTGTCAACACCGAACTTCTTGGAGTAACGCTGAGCGAACTGACGGAGGGTGAAACCCCAACCGTGAAGACCGGAGGCGAAAGCAACGGTACCCTTTTCGGGGAAGACCTGGACATCACCAAGAGCCTCATCGACGTAAGTGGAGATGATGACGTTGACGGATTCAATGGTACGGGAGAAGGTCTATTGGATGCAACAAATAATAACACGGGTTTAGCCTCAGGTGTTCGGTTTTGGTGCCAATTTTTTTCAACTTACGCTGTACAATTCTTCCTTGCTCAATTGGAGTTCGAGAAGAGCACGATCGACCTTGTTGATGACAACGACGGGCTTGATACGTTCGGTCAAAGCCTGACGCAAGACAGTTTCAGTCTGGACACAGACACCGTCGATACAGTCGACGACAACAAGAGCACCATCGGTGACACGGAGAGCAGCAGTAACTTCAGAGGAGAAGTCAACGTGACCAGGAGAATCGATCAAGTTGATCAAGAAAGAGTGACCTGAAGAGAGAAGCAAAATAGGTTAGATTTAACTACACGTCATTGGCCCATTTTGTCACGGTCCAAGCTTACCATCGACCTTCTGACCCTTGATTTCGTTAATATCCTCAGGGTTTTCCATTTCGAAGTACATGGAAATGGCGGTAGACTTGATAGTAATACCACGTTCCTGTTCATCCTTACGGGTATCCATGAAACGGGTGTCACCAGCACGACCAGCAGAGATAATACCGGCCTTGGAGACCAAGGAATCAGTCAAGGTAGACTTGCCGTGATCGACGTGAGCAATGACGGACATGTTACGAACGTTCGTAACCTTGTCCATCAAACCGCGGATCTCCTCAATAGTAAAGTTCTACAAACAGCCAAAGCTCCATATTAGTAACCATTGTTGTTGTTATGGTTTTGTCAGCTTCATGAATCGTGCTACTTACCACTAATGACGGGCATCACGATGTAAAGTAAGTGTAAACAGGCGATTAAAAAGAGGTGATAAATGAAATAAGTACAATCGAGGTCATATAAAGTCGAAAACATGCATCCATAAACAAGATGCATGGATTGGTGCGAGTGGATGGCAATCACTTACCCATCTTGACTTTCTTTTACACTGAAAGTAGAGTGTGGATGTAAAGGAAAGACTTTATTCTCACTCGGTCATGCGCCCCACCTAACCCTCAATCGCCGCCCACCCCGTCCATCCAAGTGCGGACCACAAATTTTTTTCTACCCACGCTAATCCGAGCCGGACTGGTTCGGATGAAACATGCAGGAAAAATAAAAGAAAAATAAAGAAAGTTGAAGGCAAAAATCAGGTGGTATTTTGTTCTGAAAACAAGACTTGAACTGTGAAAGCAAGTGATAGCCAAGGATGCGATTCTTCTCTTTTAGGTATATACTCTCCATATATTTTTGTTCCAATCTCGATTGTTTTTGTTGCACAATGATGCCAATTTCTCTCGGTTCAGTTGACGCGGCGTTTCCCTGCCAACTAAAGCATTTCTTCACAGATTCAATGAGATATGAGAAGATTGCAAGAATAACCCCTCGCATATCGGGTTGCCTATTTGCCAGCTATTACACAGTTTAATCTTTTTCTTCGTATTGCCGCCACCTGCTTTGAAGAGAGGGCAGGCGGGCCATTTCAATATTCCAATGCTGGCACTGATATTCTCATGCGTCTATTATACTGCATAAGCAGTTCACTGTTAATGCTTGATCCAGAATATTTGGGGCAAGCTTTGGCACACAGTGATAGCTATTATTCGTCTCCAAGTTTCTCAGATAAAAAAAAAAAAAAGACCATGACTCCGCTCACTGATAGGAAAATGGCAATTGGTTTTGGAGAATTTACAAAGTTTATTTGGCAATAGTGATTTGAAAAGTACCTAATATAAAAGGCATAAGTTATAACTGGACCAACATCCTCGTCTTACGATGAATCACTGGACTTACACTGAGGTAAATTGGAAGTTTCTGCCACCACGACACTGGGAACCCCAAGATTCGCCAAAGCGCCTCGGATGACACCGCAAGGAAACCAGATATACTACGATAACAAAGAACCACAAAATGATCAGTCACACACGATGGAGTGTTGATAAGGATTGGGCTCGAGGGGTTTACGTACGGGTGTTGCTTTTTTGGCCGAGTCGGCGCCACCAATGTCGGTGGACATGCGCATGAACCATCGGAAATTGTTATCTTGAAGCACATACACACCCTAAATTTGGCCATAAAAACCACGAGTATCAGCGTTGATCCCTTTTAGTCTTTGGCACTTCAAGGGACTTACGCGATGGTTGGTTTTCAGGTTATCAATTTGTTTCTTGAACATAATGGTCCATAAATCTTTGCATATGAATTTCACGACGTCGAGGGTATCTACAAACCGAGGCCGATCTTTTGTAAATCTATTCATAATAATCGATTTGAATACGAGGTTTATGATTCAGGCAGTATTGCAGAAAAAAAAAAAGAAAAGATGGGTCACACCTTTCTACGAGTCGCTGTCCTACGGTATATCCCAATGTTTCCAGCTTGTAGAAAATAGCATCACTGTCAGTGTCGGCTTCCGTCGTCGCGGTTCGGCAAATCGTGTCGACCATCTCGATCAAGAAGAAATCCATGCAGCTTTCACTGACGAGTCGTTGCTGACCGTAATTCATGCCGCTTTTCGCCGCACCATCCTCGCCTCCAAATCCTGACATGGACAGCAACTATTAAAGAGTACGCAAAAAAAGCAGGGAAAACCAGAGCCCGCTACGGAACTCCACCAAAAAAAAAGAGGTTAAAGTGTTAAGCGCGCTTGGCTGTCTGCCAATAGGCATGTGTGACGCAATTTTGAAATTCCTCTGAAGCCAACCAGCAGAAAGCTGACAAGCTTCAAGGTCCACTGTCTGTTTCCTTATGCTTTCCCCTTCAAAGCTGAGTGCCAGTCAACAGGCGCAATATGAGAATCCTTTTGCGTCTCAATTAGACTCGACCTACGTGGAACCTGATCTTGACTTGACCGGTCAGTCTACCACACGAGTCACTAGTCCACCCAACGACAATGCCGCCAATCCTTTTGCCAACGTCATGGGCAACATTGGTAGCTCTTTTGCCACTTCATCTACCTCAACGCCACAACCTACCGCCAGTTATACAGGCATAGACACACTCGAAGAACCTGTTTCCGTTACCATCGTGAGTTAGCCTGAGAAACGTGGTCACGAAAAAAACACCACACGCTTTTTAACCTTGTCGTTATTGTTATGGGTTAGCTTCGCGATCTTTCCAAAGTTGCAAACAAGCTCAAGCAAGTGCTCCATCCAAAAGGCGATCGCAAAGTATTAAAAGACTGTAAGTGAATTCACTTGTGTGAACCTGGCAAGTCAAAATGTCGACGGCTTACGACGCACTCTTTAGGGGATCTCTGGGGTCCTTTGCTCTTGTGTCTTTCGTTGGCCATGTAGGTTTCTTGTAGTATCAAGTCACGGTCGATGAATGGGATGCTAACAGATTGGATAGCATCTTGTGTGCCAAGGCTCCAAAGGATCAAGCCGTCTCCATCTTCACAGGCGTCTTTGTGATTGTATGGTTGGGCGCTGCTGTGGTCACGTTGAATGCGAAATTGCTCGGTGGTGCCGTATCTTTTTTCCAGTCAGTGTGTGTTCTTGGCTACTGCTTGTTTCCACTGGTCGTGGCCGCCGTGATTACCCTGTTTGTTGGCTTGATTTGGGTTCGACTACCCATGGCCATTGTTACGTTTGGCTGGTCCACCTATGGTAAGTGGATTCTCAAATCTGATCAACACGTGTGCTGATTGTTTTTGCATGCTACCCTCAGCTTCGGTTGGCTTCTTATCCGATTCACAAGCGCACTTGAGCAATCGTCGTTGGTTGGCCGTAAGTACCCGGAAATAGATATCCATCTACAGTAAAAAGGGCAAGTAGACTCATGCATAATTCATTCATTGCTTTAGGTGTATCCTCTTTGTCTATTTTATCTTGTTATTTCATGGCTCGTTCTGATATCGTGATCTCACATGATTCTAATTCCGTCTTTTTCAACCTTCAATGCATCTCCTTGGGGTTTTTTTCCTCCACTTCATCATACCACTTTTTTTAATACATTAAATGATGTTTTCGACCTTTTTATTATTATATTTTTTCTCTTGATCTCTTTTGCAGATGGAATAGTAGAGCAACGATCTATTGGGGCTATAAGGAATCCTTCTAAACGTATAGGTGATAAGGAATAGGAATGGGCGGAGGCATCCTTTTTCTTTACTTTTTTCTAGATTCTACGGTTAGGCATCAAGGTACTGGGAAGTTTTTCGGGAAGACGACCTCCACTCTGGGCGCATCGAGTAAGATGCATGGCCACACTGAATTCATCGAGATCCATGTAACCGTCCTGATCCCAATCGGCCAATCGCCAAATCAAAGCCAGCGTATCATTGGGTAACCCGCTTTCGACGAAAACAGGCTTGACGTTGGCGCCCGAAATCTTGCCATCGCGAGGATGAAGACTCTGGAAAATGGGTGCATACGACGCTTTATCAACCGAAGAGAACTGCCAGAAAGAAGCCGGCATTTCTCCTGGCGCCAAAGCTTCCTGCTCACCACTATCCATATCAAAAGGATTACGTTGATTTTCCTCCAACTCCGGGTTGCCTGCCGGAAATCGGGACATGAGCCGTGGAAGATCAATCGAGAGTGCCTGTTCAAATGAAATGATTTTTCAGTATTTTAGAGTGACCGCTTCTATCTCATGCATCCAGAACTCTACCTCGTCTGCCTTGTTGAGCAATTCTTCCTTGATATTTTTAAATTTGTCCATATCGTACAGCGCCAGATTTTGTCTGAATCTTTCTGGATTAGGGAAGTCACCGGCGGGAAGATGATACTTTTGCTGAATCTTTAAAAATTCTTGATCCAGACGACTCAACAAAGCTTCCTGTTTCTTCTTTTTGCCAAACATGGACGGCATCTCTTTTTTCAAGTGACCGATAATAAGCGCATGGACCTAAAAAACACCCTCACGTATCAATCATCCACTGTTTCTCTTCCAAGTGCCCCCTAGTCGACTGACGCATAAAACTTACGCGGGCCATACGTGCTCGTTTGACAATTTCATTGATTTTGCGAATCGCTGCATTGCGTCGTAATTCCTTGAGATCCCGCAGCAAATCCTTGGATTCGGCGTCAATGAGTTCGCGACAATCTTCAAAACAATTGGTAGGTTTCTCATTCCAGAATGAACACAGATACACACGCATCACTTCCGGAGTTTGAATGACTTTGCCAAGCGACCACATCATCGCACCATAGCTGGACTGACAGTTAGTCACCATCGATACAATACCCATAGGAAAAACCCTAACAACTTACACACGCATCAACTGTTGCTGACTGACCATGTCACTTTTGTTAAGAACCACACGCACTTTCTCTTCCTGACCGCGCAAGCTGTGAATCGCCATTTTGTACTCGTCAGAAATATCCAGTTTATGCGAGTCAAAGAGTAGCAGAATGAGATCAGCTCGTTGAGCGAACCATTCGGCCACCTGTGTAAAATCGTAGCCACGCTCGATACGCTGTTTATCACCGGCCAAGATACCAGGTGTATCAATGATGCTCATGTTTTCCAGCACAGGCGAAGGTGTATGTGAGACCTAAATTCATGCGTTTGAATATCCTCTGAAAATCCATAGAAAAAAGAGAAACGAGCCGTCCTGGATGGCGGAGCCGCCCTTCCTTTTTCTTACCTGGAAACGTGACAAGAAAGCTTGACCGAAGCGATTCAGGCCACGGAATGGGAGTTCCTGGTTGACGGCTGCCGCGTTACCGGGAATCACGCGGTCTTCGCTACCGTTCATAATGGCCACAAACCGATCCGTGGTAGGTTCAACACCAATATGTTCTCCTGGATATGCTTTGCCAAGCAAGTATCGAATAAAAGTAGTTTTGCCCTAAATCCAACCGTAGCACCATGAGCTCTCTTGTGAAACTCAGACACGTTTTTAGCGTCATTCAAAATCATACGAACCGTAGAGTATTGACCAAGCAATAATACGATGGGTTTCGCTTCGATATCGGAATCGGTCAATGGTGCCGAATGAAATCCTAGGTTACCATGGAAAAGGAAAAAAAGGATAACATGCATAAAAAAAGGGGAGTCCAACGTCAGTTTTGTTTTAATGATCGGAGCATAACCCAATTCGGTCGATCCCAAAATGCGCGTAAATAAACCCGAAAAATAGCTGAAATAAAACGCACCTTCAAAGTTATACTTGACTTCCAGTGGTTTAATCTTGGAATTGTAGATGCGTTTGAGAGATTCAATCACCTGAAAATATTCATCTTCTTGCCAATGGGCGGATGAGGAATGCATAGACGGTTGAGCGGACGGGCTCTTATTTTTCTTGTGAAACGACATTGTGCGAACTTTTGAAAAATGAAAAAAACCAAAAAAGGGATACGATGACTGAACAGCAAAAAAAAGACCGAGATATTTCTTTTTTGGGTGACCATGACAAGGACCGACCCAGATGCGCAGAGAGCCGCTTTGAATCTCCGACAACGGAAATGACCTCACAGAGAAAAAAAAAAGAGCAGAAGTTGATTTCCCACTCCGTCAGCCGCGCAGAGAGTTGACTGTTTAGCCAAAGAAAAAAGCAAGTCCAATAACGCTAACTTGATTGGTAGTTGCTATTGCATCATGGCTAACTGAACAATTTCATTGGAGGAATGTGACTTGAGCAACGGCTTATTGAAACCCAGGTTCGATACATGATTGATTGGAGGGGACTGCCGCGAATGAGAAATGATTGTGACCGTCACACTTTTCAAAGGCCGGTGCCCCTTGTCAAAAACTATAAAAAGGAGGGCTCCTAACAACTCGATGAACCGCATCCTCTCAGGCCTTTTGGCTAAGATCAAGTGTAGTATCTGTTCTTTATAGTTTAACAACTATAACGCTGAACATAGTTCGGCATTGTTGTTAATCTAATTTTTTTGCGCCCGGATCTCGGGGCTCTGGCTTGCCATCTCTGAGATCCACTGGTGTCCTTCGCCTTACACTACCGCGATGTGACGCCGACTGGGTTTTCTCTATCAAAAACAAAGGAAAATGAAAAAACAATCCTTCAAGTGAAGGAATTTTTGATAACTTCTAATGTTGGGACAATTTTGTTCCACTGAGGTTGAATCCTCCTTGACTAAGTGGTGGCAGTTAGTGTCGCTCTTTTTGTATAGTATCAATATGACCCGTAGCACGTTAGCTTGTTTCTGGCGTTGTTGAAACGCGCAAGTCCACTTTGTAATAAAACAAGTAGTATAAAGTAGTATATTGTTTTTCATAAAACCGTACTCTGTCTGTTGGATCGTCCGCTCCAGTTCATCGTCTGTAGTGAAAAAACGGCATCTATGTTCTACGTTGATGACTTCTTGCAGGCACCAAACATGTTGCAGCTGCCCGTCGTTTTCTTTGGAGTGTCAAAAAGACGGTTGACCTTTTGCGCAGTGCGCGGTCTGGCTGGAAAAAGACTGAGGACTCCAAAAGGTCACACGTAGTTGCAATCCACGGATGCGTCTAAAATGCACCCACAGCTAGAAGCATACTATTGCTCTGGTACAATGCATGCTCTGAGGCGGCATCGATGGTTTCTAATCTTTTCTGTTATTCCTGGTAATCCAAGAGCTTTTATTCTCTGTCTCTTTTTTTGTCAAACCAGAAAAAAAAAAGGAAGAGGGGTTGTCGATTTAAGATACAAGTGCAAGTAACCAGAGTGGGAATGCTTCCATCACTGATGGAAGATTTTCGTGAATGGAAAAAGGATAGCTTCAGTTTGTCCAGGCAATACAAGTCGCGCAAACTTGCTTCTCACTTTAGTGCCTGTGGCTATCCATCGGCCTAAGCCCAAAAAGCTGTGGGTCATGCCAGTTTGGGAGCAAGCAGCCAATAGGCTGTTATGAGGGTCACTGACGTATTTTTTGGAGTATCCTTTTTGGTAATACCAAATATGGTGGCAATGACCCAGGCAAGTGTCACCGAGCAACGGTTGCTCGGAATAAAAAAGGTTTGGTTAATATGAGGACTGATGGTGGCGACATAAGCTGCTTTCAAGAACTCCAACTTTAGGCAATCGGAAGTAAGAACTACCCTACTTTTTTTGATCAATTAAGGGACCATCAGGGAAAAAGGAATCACTGCTGCCATGGACAGCTTTCAACCAGTGAATCTCTCACATGCAGTAAATAAAAAAATAAAAAATGTTTCATTCATTTTCACCGAGTTGAATTTCGGGTCTTCCATGGGATATGGATGTACGTTTGAAAATAATGTTGGTACCCAATCTTGCTTCATGATATATCTTTGACCAATCATGGAAGATGGAGGAATTGGTTTCCGCAGCATGTTACTTGGTTCAATCTGATTGGCACCAGTAAAAAACGAGTGCCAAGGTCCGTCTAATGCCAATTCCCCAAAAACCAAGCAGCAGATTGGGGATAAATTCAATGTCCGCTCAGGACGAAGAGGACGAACAAAAGATGGAATGATGTGAGTGACCCCATGATCTAACTGCACGGTGTGAACAGGTCATTATTTTTTCCCAGCTTTTATTAACGATCCACTCTTTCTTTTTTCTTCCTTCTTTTCTCTCTGTTTTCTGTCAAACTCTATGGTCACCGTTACTCTCTATCACCTCATCAACTACTTGCACTCATCTTTGAACACGTCTTCTCTCGCCTTGCTGTTGCAGAAACCGCGCAAACTATTCCATGACAAGCGAAAATTACAGGTGTCATCGTCTCCTCCTACGAGCGAGAAAACGTTACGCATATTGTATCCCACAAGACTGAAACATCAAGATGGAACCTCGGTGGATATGGTGGCTGTTACGGATTTCTTTTCTCCCACCACCTCTTCTACTTCTGATACCTCTTCCATCGCCACCAATACCACCATCACTAATCAAGCCGTTCATAATTTAAATATCCCCGTAACACCGGGTTATCGGGCTCCCAGAGAACCTATTGTTCTCTGTCACGGATTGTACGGATTTGATCTTTGGGGACCCGAGGCTTTTCCTTCGTTGCAGTTGCATTATTGGTGCGGAATTGAAGACGCTTTGGCAAAATTGGGCGCCAAAGTCGTTGTGAGCAGAGTACCGAAAGCTGGATCCATTAAAGAACGAGCCCACACACTTCACACCGTTCTTCAACAAATCATGCATCACAAAAAAGTCAACTTTATTGCTCATTCGATGGTAAGTTAAATCACGCCAAAAAAAAAGAGGAAAAAAAAGTCACCATCGAGATCAATGAATCAAAGGGTTTATACTGACGCATGAAATTTAAATTTAGGGTGGACTGGATTGTCGTTATCTTATTTCCCATATACGGCAACGACAATATGACGTTCAGTCACTGTCGACAGTTTGTACTCCTCACCGCGGATCCTCGCTCATGGATTGGTTTCGCAATCATGTGGGAGTAGGCAAAAACTTGAGCGACAGTTTGCTTGATGGGGCCTTGAAACAGAACAACCCCATGCAGACCCACCGTTACTGGAATGCGCACTCGGGTTCTTCCATCTCGGCTCTAAAAGCCACCATGCGGTACGAAGAGAACCAACCTCTCACTTTAACGTCGTCTTCACCTGGCCAATTCTGGCAACCGGCAATGCAAAAGCTCGTGCAATGGTTTGATGCCCCGGCATACGCGAATTTGACGACGGATTTTTGTAAATATCACTTCAACCCCAACACACCAGACGATCGTCGAGTCGCTTATTATTCGTACGGTGCTGCGGCCGATATTCCTGCATGGTCTTCGATGCTGGGGATGCCCTGGAACTATATGCAGAAGAAAGAAGGCGATAACGACGGTATCGTCAGCGTACAAAGTGCCAAATGGGGTCAGTACGTGAAAACGCTTGAAGCCGATCACTGGGATCTCAGCGGAGAAAGGTGAGCTTCTTTTATTTGTTAGCCGAGTAAGACTCGCTACTCACTCTTTGCTTGCTCAACTTTAGTCATGTACCTTATCGCTGGCGCACCGGAAAAGAGAAATTTGATCGCATAGACTTTTATGTGGAACTAGCCGATCGTTTATACCAGCAAGGCCATTAACCTTGTTTCCCTCCTCTCCCCACCTCCCTCCCCGAAAAATGTCAACCCTTCCTCCTCTTATATATCACCTGTATCATTATCCGCCTACCAATGATGTCTATGTTTCCCTCATTTTTGTTTTTTTGTTTATAGCCCGTATCCCTTAATTCTTTTGATTTGAAGCATTCTAAATAATGACAAGTTCTGTACAGCCATTTAATCGTTTTTTTGTCCATGTTGATGCGCACTGGGTGACGGTTTATGCAATAGTGGCCGACAGCTCCATTGCTTGCAATATGTTATGGGGAAGCCGTTCATGGGCGGGTCCCGTCGAGTGGGGCAAGTCCTTCAGAAAATTGCAGAACGGCCACATCTCTTATATCATTGGCTTGATTGAAACAGCGCAACGAACCCCGTATGTCCCCAAAGCCACCGGCATCCTTCTTTCATGCTTCTTATGACAAGCAAACACATAGCTCCTTCCCTTACTGTTATAGAAAAAATCATTTAGAGAAATAATAATTAGTATAGTACACTTTACGAATAGAGGGACATATCGAGGTTGGCTTGCGCTGGGTAAAGAAACCCCAGGAGCAGTGACAGCGTTTTGCCAGTAACTGTGACCGGTTTTCCACCAGGAAAAAGCACCCACTCCGCTTATTGTTCATATTGTTCGCTTGCAGTCGTTGATCCCGTCGCATCAGAACGTAATAAAATGGAAACCGAACACATTGGGTACGGGTTAATCGTGTCTTTTTTTTTTCAACCAATTGATGCAGAAACTGGAGCGTAATTACTTACAGACCACTGTCATTAGAGTTCCCAGCGGCTTTGTCAGTGCGCTTTCGAGCCATCCGAGCGAGTTTGATTACGAAAAGCTTCTCGACGACGATAAAGAACTGTGGTTGATTCGCATTCCGGATAATGTAAGCATCATTGGCGTATTTTGGCTTCCATGGTTCTCTTTTTTATTTTTAATCAACCGACAAAACCAGGTTACGGTGGAAGAATTGGCTTCTATGAAGATCAAGGTTCCCAGTGCGTCGTCCCGGAAGGCGCTTGGCAAACTCAAGAAAGGTGAAGGTGACGATGCCGAGTCTTTTGCCTTGTACAGAGTACCCAAGAATACAGACAAATCCAATGCGAGCGAAGAGGACAACGATATTGGTATCAGTGGCCAAGAAATGAACGGATTCACTTGTCTTGTACCGTCTCGAGAGAAGAATGGACAGTTTGTTTTTGGTAAGGAGCCGCGCAGGAAACGAACAACGGGGTTTAGTTATTGATCAAACGTTCCTATTGCAGCTCCCAAGCCGTTTGCCCAGGAACTGATTCTGGATGAAGAGGTGGCTGTCCCCGATTCGTTGGCGTTGGCGGAAGAGATCAAGAATCGTCCTGTCACCAAAAGAACGCAACCCGAAGGCATGAAAATGGAGTTTAAACCTTACGGCTTTGATACCTGTGAGTAGTGCATGATCATGGACGTAAAAATATTAAATGGAATAGTGGGCTCATTCATGGTTCTTTTGATAACAAGTGGGACCGGAAGGTGTACGACGACCTGTTAGCCAGAGTGCGGTGGAACCTAAAGAGGTGAAATCCGACAAGAAGAAAAAACGGGCAAAGGACGACGATGATAAACAAAAGAAGAAGAAGAAGAAATCGGCATAAATCGATGGCTGCGAACCCACGATACGTATCCAAAACAGGAGAAGAAGAAAAAAAAAAAGAGAGAAAATACAAAAATACATTTCGCATTTCCATATATCATTTCTCTTGTATATTACCTTTTTTTTCTTTTTTTTTATTTTCTCACACATCAATTCATTCTTTATTCTCTTGATTCATTCAACAACACCATACAATAAATCACAAGGTTTTGTGAATTTCTTCGTTTCTCAGGTTGAACGCCGTTTTGGACACACGACACGTCATTTTTTCCCCCCAAAAATTTAGGCGCTGAGGGATTTCACGGCTGATGCTGAATTTGTGGTGATATTTTGCTTATCGGTGACAAAGAAAAGAGCACTCAAAAAGATCTAGCATTTTCTTTCTTTGTCCTCTCTTTTTTTTTAAGTTTTACAATGTCGACTGTTAATATCAATATCAAATCGTCCAGTGATAAAAAGTTTGTCATTACCATTGAAACCACCAAGACCGTCCTCGACTTGAAAAAGGCCATCGCAGAACAAACCGATGCACCTGTGGAACGACAACGTTTAATCTACTCTGGTCGCGTGTTAAAAGATCCAGATACTCTGGCTGATTGCAAGATTGCCGACGGTAACACGATTCATATGGTAAAAGGATCCCAGCCCCCAGCGGCTCAAGGTAAGAAAAACACCTAGCGCCATCCCCTACTCATCGTCAGGGTGAGACCAAGGTGAACAACTAAAGTAACGTATTGCAACGCCAGGTACTACGGCAGGTACGACGGGCACCGCTGCCACGCCCAGTGCCAACACAACATCAACGACAACAAGCAACCCTGCCAATCCATCATCAACACCATCCACGTTTGCCGATCCTTTTGGTGGTTTTGGCGGACAACCCAACGTCGGCTCGCCCATGCAAGGCAATCCGTTTGGCATGTTTGGTACAGGGTTTGGGGCCGGTGCTATGGGCAACAGTTTTGGAGCTCCCGATCCAGGCGTGATGAATCAAATGTTGCAGAATCCCATGTTTGCGCAGTACATGTCCACGGTATTGCAAAACCCGGCCGTGCTCGAGTCCATTATTGCCAGCAATCCTCAACTATCTACCATGGGACCCGAAATTCGAGGCATGATGCAGTCTCCAGAGTTTCGACAGATGCTTTCCAATCCCGATATGATTCGTCAAATGGCTACCATGGCATCGGCTATGCAACAAATGCAAGGCGGAGCTGGAGCATCCCCGAACCTGTTTGGGTCACCTACGACCGGTCAGTCCCCCGCGCCACAGCAGCAACAGCAAACACCTTCTTCACAACCGACCGCCAATCCTTTTGCTGCGTTTGGCAATGCTCCTGCGATTGATCCTCAATTGCAACAACGTATGGCAGCCTTATTCGGAGCAGGCATGGGATCGCCCGCCGCTGCACCGACCGATACACGTTCCCCCGAAGAACGATTCCAAGTCCAACTGCAGCAACTAAATGAAATGGGATTCTGGGATGCCGCCAAAAACATTCGTGCCTTGCAAGCTACCGGAGGCAATGTGAATGCCGCCATTGAACTGTTATTTAGCGGTAATTTCTAAATGAAAAAAAAAGAAAAAGAGACAAAGCCGGTTGCATGGAAACAAAATGTAGACAACAAAGACATGATTGTGGTCTGATTGGGCTTTATATTATCCACTCTTTTCTTTTTTTGTAATTCACTATCCCCCTTTTTGTGGATTGAATCTCCTTTTTTCCTAATGGTTGAATGTTTCCTTGAGACAGAAAAAGAAAAAGATATCTGAAACGATGTACGGAGGATGTCATCGAGGAGAGGTATTTTTTGGTTGTTTCTGTTACTGATTTGCGGGAGGGTGGGGGTTGGGAGAAGATGTTAGTTGGTTCTAAAAATATTTGTCAAGAGAGAGCGGAATTCTTGAAAGCCCCATTCGACTTCTTGCGATGAAGCTGATGCACGAACGGTGGAGGATGAGACGGGGTGGGTTTGACCATAGACAACAGGATGGTTGGGGAGAAGGAATTCAATATTCCGCATACCACCTCCAAACACGGACTCCGCTCGATCCACTCCTTCATTTTGGGATCGTTTTCCACTGCGGGAATTTTCAATGAGAAATCCCTTTACACATTTCATGATCACTTCGCCTCGTTTTTGCAGCCACGTCGCATGTTTTTGCGGCTGATCCAACAAGGTGAAATGATGTTCGGGAGCTTCTAGGAAGCAATCGGGTAATAACAGCAATGGAATGGACAGTGACGAAATATCAAATCGAGTCGTCAATCGTAGAATATTGCGTAAACCAACAATCAGTGCATGGCGGTTGGTCAATTCCGTCGTCGTTACCGCTAATGTGCAAATCAAGGAGGAGAGGTTTTTAGAAAAAAAAAATCTCTTCTTTCCAACACCTTTTGTGCATACAACAAAAGTACCAATGCAATAAAAAAAAAAGCTCTTCTTCTTCTTACCTTGGGAGTCAATGATTAAATGAAATATCACTTGGGTCAAGGGTAGATTGGAATGCCGGGTGATGAAAAATGTGCCTTCCTGTAATTCGTCAATCATATTTACGAAATCGTCCTGAATGGTGGACAGTTGGGTATCAATGTCCGGGAAATGGAATTCCGTGGAATGCTGACATCGCTCAAACAAAGCTAGATTCCAAATCATTAATTTCTTCTCCTTTCTAACCCAAAAGAGGGGGTTGGGGAGAAAGGACGAGGAAAGGAGACGAGAGGTGCGGGAGAGAAGGAGAGGACGAACCGATGTTCACAAAAGTGAGGTGTCTTTTTTTTTTCTTTCTCTTCTTACCTTTGTTACTGCCTTTGCCTGCTTTGTACAGACGCCAATCAAGGCTATTGCCACGCTTCAGTTCACTGAGTTCTACCAAGACGACCATGGCACTCAGATGATTGGTGTATAACTTGGTGGCGGTTTGGGCGTGGTAGGCCATTTCTCTGGGAGGATCGTAGTCCGGATTGAAAATGTCAGAGGTCACGTCGGCCACTAATAATCGCAGATTATGCGATGATTTGATTTGCGCGGTGCCTAGAGAGATCGAAAACGATTCCACAAGTTGCTGTGTATTCACGGATGTGAGCGCAGCTGAGGATGACGAACCAAAACGTGGATCACTAAAAGACATCACAAACTACCGTAAGTTGACCCATCCCATTCACCTCTATGACCCTTGACGACCTGTAGCAGTCATGCCACAAAGGGACCATTCTTTTTTTGACTGTTTTGCATTTACCTTTCATCGTGCTCTATTCCTAAATTTTCCATGGCTTTGCCTAGCCAACCACCCAATTTGCGTACAGAGCTCAGATTGGTGTTTTCCATGGCATGTTTTTGTTGTTGTAGAAACGAAATGGGACTCCATCCTTTGCCGGGAGTTGATTTACCCGAGGCTGCGGTGCCACTGTTGCCCATGAGACTCAGAAAGGCGGATGTATTAGCCATGCGTTGCCACGAGTGACGGCGAGGTGTTGAAGCAGGCATATGCGATTCATTCCAACTGCTGTGACGCGAATGAGCAGGAGAAGAAGCGGTGCTAAAGGTAGGACGCTGAATTTGACTAAGAGACGAAGACGAACGTCGATAAGGAGTGCTGGAAGTGGTTTGAGGTAATCGTTGTCCACTGGTGGGGGTGGCAGCAGCAGCAGCAGCTGCAGCTTGAGAGGCTAATGCGGCATTCATTTTACTGGGATTCTCGACGAGTAGCATGACGGCTTGTTCCATGTGATTATTGGTCAAGATTAAAGCGCATTCGGCTTGTTCTTTGCTGAATCCCATTTCCTGAATATCTTTGACCATTTTCTGAAAAGCGGCCTATCCCACAACGGTTTCTCCAGGTTAAAACCAAGCAAACAAAAAACAAGGACATGAAGCATTTACCTTTTCTGGTTGCGATGCGCTTCGTGTCAACGAGACCGGCTCAGTTGGACTGGAAGCAAGGGGGGACGCATGCGATTGGCTGCCGATGCTGGCGGATGAACCGACGCGACCCCGTCGTAGCGATACAGGTGATGAGGCGAGTTCATGCGACTGAGATGTGGTGTGGCTTTTTTGACTGCGTTGGCTGCGTTGACTGTGGATAGAGGTCCCTTCCTTCTTATGGGTCCACTGGCGCATCCTCGCTGCGACGGTGGCCACGATCTCTTTCCCATCCAATGTCTTTTCTGCGACGGCCAGCGCGTCTTCCAGTTGTTGATGACGATCATTGTCGGATAAAGTAGACAGTCGAGCCTGGTATTCACGATACAATTCTACCACAAATTCTCGATATTCGTGTCGTTGGGTTTGCTGTGTTTGATGAATATCCGAGGCCATGGTTGCCTGAAACAATTCCAATTCTTCCACATGACGTGCAAATACGTTCGTCATGCTTTGTTGTGCAGGACCTTGCGAAGACGATGACTCGATCTCACGCGCGTGTCTATCACAATAAATACATGTTTATTACTGATGCATGGGTGTTGCCGCTAGTCGTGCTCGTTGACTGCGATGTTTACCTTGATTCAATTTCGGTCAATTCATGTTCGGCGGCAGTGTAGAGTTCTTGGATGGCCAAAGCGTAACTTTGTTCGAGACGTAGTAAAGCATCGAATATGGACGTAATCGGACAATGAACAAGTGTATGATAAGCACGCGGAAAAATATCCTAAGAAAAAAAAAAAAGGAATCCCATAAGCCTACCCATTTCATGAGAACAGACCAAAGTAAAAATGAAAAAGATGGCTCCAACCTCTTCGGGCTTATTGTGGTAATGCAAGGTATGGGCTTGATAGTGGTTGACAAAGTGATTGCGTAGGGATGATTTGTCTTGTTGGATGATAACGTGAGACGAGGGAGGATTTCGGTTGTCGATCGTTGTCTTGAGGGCTGATAATACGGGTATCGTCAAGTAAGCAGGGATGTCATGGTGAAGAACGAGATCATGAACAATGTCTTTGACATTGTGACCCTTGTCGACCTGAATCTCTAGGAGTTGTTCAAGGGCAGGCAAGTAAACTGTCGCCTTGAAAGACTCCGTCGATGCTGACATGTGAGTTTTCCGAAAAAAAATATATAATTAAGCAGCCAAGTGCACGATAAACTTTGTTCAGCAAAGTAAAAAGGGAAAAAAAAAAGGGAAACCCAGGGCACTGATGCTCTGTCAGGGAAGTGGGTCGGGATTTCAAACGGAAGGATGGGCCGTTTTCACTCTTTCTCTCTCCTTTGGCGGTGATCCCTGGGATGAGATTCTCCTGTCTCCTTTTTGGCGCCAACTTTTTTGTTCATCAGCATTCCGTGGATCCCTTGTTTCTTTTTTTTCCATTGCCTTTTTCGTCTTCTCTTGGTCGGTGCTGATCATCACCATGGATTTTGTGCTTTGAGTATCTACTGGATGATTATCTCGTAATCTTTTTACAAGCCCAACAAAAAAAAAAAAAGATCTGATGAGTGTTGACATGTTCCCTTTTTCTTGCTCCTTGAGAGCATGATAAACGGACAGATAACTAGGAACACAGCATCTACATATTCATTTACATCATCAATACAAATACAAATGTACCGAGAAAAAAAAAACCAGGATGGTCATGCAGACCGTCCTGTATTTGATAAGCATTCCCATGTTTGCCAAAAAAAAAAAAAAATTAACGAGTTGAACTGGTTGATCTTTTTAGCATGATAATGAATCTGATCCAGCTTTAGGTCTGCATAAATGTTTATTGTCATAGTCTATTTGATTCCGAACATGAGAAGATCCGATTTTATGATAAAAAAGGAAACAAAGGGTGAAAAGCATCGTTATCGATGAATAATAATGGGATAAAAAGGTATGGGATGAGTTCTTGAGGAGAATAACAAAAAAAAAACGATGAATTCTAAGCAATTGATCAATCGATGAGAATAGTCAGACATCTTCCAAAAGCCCTTGGTTGGATAAATAAAAAGGGGCGTCAATATTCTCTTTCCTAAGTAAAGGAGGACTTTTTTTGGAGTTTTTAGTTTTTCAAGAGTCAAAACGAAAGAGCCAAAAGAAAAAGCAAGGGGGAGACATGATGTTGGCAGGCCATGGTGGCGGTGTGGGGGTTTTAGGATGCAAGGTCATGCAATGACTTGAATGTAGGACAAAAATGACCAATGAAGGCGAGTAAGTAAGAACAGACATAAAGAACTGGTTTGGAAACAATGAAATATCATCACTTTTTTTTTGGCGTAATGTGATCTTTTTCAATGCCTACATGCTGCACATCATCATGTAGGATGGATTGACATGCTGAGTCTTGTTATGGTTTTTTTTGGTCCTTTTTGTTTACTACCAGTTTGACGGTGATATTCTGTGTTATTTTGCAGGTCCTTTTTTTTTTTTTTTTTAGACCGTTCAAAGGATGAAACGGAGTGGGTAAACATTTTAAACGCATGATGGCTGATGATGATGTTGTCAAGGATACGCCTACAGCCATAACTCCCCGTTCACCTGGACCAGACAATGTGAAGATGGGACTAAAAAAAACAAAGCCAGCCAACGCAGGAGCTTTTTCTATTGGGGGAAAAAAAACCAGGTTGAATAATTTGAGGAGCCAAAAATAAGAGACAAGGATAAATGGATATTGGGAAAAAACTTCATTTTTCTCTTTTTCTTTTGGGGGAGGAAAAAAGGGGGGAGGGGACATGCACGAAAAAGGACTAAAAAAGAGCTGAGCGGTTTTTTTTTATTGATCTTCTGGCGATTAGGCGTACAAGTACCCTGTTGGGGGGAGGGGAAGATGTATCGATGTGAAAAAAAAAGAGAAGGGGACCGACCGTATGAGCCGTATGAGCGGACCAAAGGAAAAGGCTGAGAAAATGCAAGATTTAGGGGGGAGAGGAAAAAAAAAAAAGGTGTGCAAGAGAAGAGGGGAGGGATAGGTGGAGGAGTTGAATTTTGTGCGTAACCTTGGTTATTTTGGAACGCTAATGAAAAATATGTACGAGGTTGCAAAGAAGAGATTGGGAGTATGGGGGGAGCGTACAGAGGAGTTTTTTTTGGGATAGTTTTTTTTTGGGGGGAGGGGAACTAGAAAGACGAGGGGAAGGAAGGATGGAGACTATCACAATGGAATAGAAGCAAATCGATAGGTGTGTTTGAATAAGCGGGATGGGATATCTTTAGGCGATTGAAAAAAAGCGGAGACAGAAAAAGGTCGACAAGCCAAACTAGGCCAAGGTGGAACAATGGGCCCTTTCCAAAAACATGATGAAAAAGTTTCCGACCTCTGTTTCTCTTTTTGTTCTTTTTTGTTTGCCTACTTGATTTGGAAACGAAGTTCTACATAAATACAGGATCCACATTCATCACTCAATAATTTTCCCTTTTTTTTCTCTCTTTCTCACCTCTCATCACTTTTTTTTTTCTTTTTCCTTGCTCTTTATAAAATCGATTGACGACTTTTTTTCAGCAATCCTTCCAAAAAGTCATTCAATCTATTCAACAAAAAAAAAAAAGCCAAAAAAAATATAGACAGTTCCAACACCTACACGCCAATTATATCCGTCGACCTGTCTCTTTGTTTATCGGTCTTTTTTTTTTTTTTTTACTTCCTGCTGAAAAGATTCACGCTGTCACGACGACGTATCCATTTATCACCATCGCTACCACGAAAATTGTCCCGAACAAAGAATGTCACCAAGCCATGGTTTAATGTTCCCGCCATTGCTGTCATGTACGCATCCTATTCAACTCGCTGATTTCTGCGCCATTGTGGTTCCTTGCATTTGGGCCGGTTCCTTCAACAAGCAAACCGCCATGTTGAATCCCAAACGGTACCTCGATTTCAAACATTTCTGCGCCAAAATTTTTAAAGCGACCCAAATCTCCTGCGCGTGTATTTTACTCGCGCTCTATTACATCCATCGATTGCGATCCGCGTATCCTTCCGTTCGAGCTTCTATTGGATCGGAAATCCGCTTATTTACCACCGCCCTCGTTCTCGCCAACAAGTACTTGGATGACAACACATATACCAACAAGGTAAAAAAAAATAAAAAATTATTTTATTGCCATCGCAACATTATTTACAAAGAGGAACTTATAATAATTTTTTAATTTATGTAGACTTGGTCAGATGTATCCCACATTCCTGTCACTGAGTTGAATATTATGGAGATGGAGTTCCTTTCCGCTCTTAATTACAGCATTTATATTTCCAACCAGCAATTCTTTGCTTGGTCAAATCAATGTCAACAATGGTACACGTCGGCTCAACAAACCGCCTTGATCATGCACCAACGTCCTATCAAGGTCCCTACGCGTTTATCTACCTCCACCTCGTCGTCATCTGTTAAATCCAACATTTCACCTTCGCTTTCCATGCCCATCATGGTTTCGTCCCCTCATCATGCGGTCAAACGATCCGCGCAAGATTCCTTTTCCCCTTCTGCAAAACGATTGCAATCCATCCATCATCCCTTGCCACCCGTAACTACCACCAGCACCACTACCTCTGTCACCTCTGTTCCAACCACCATTGCAGCAGCACCTACACCTCAACATCCATTGCCTTTACCTGTACCGGCATCCCTACCTCAGGACATGCCTTATACACCCCCAAATGAGTGCCAACCGTATCCTTTTGTCCAGCCTCCCCAAGTACCAACTTCATCATACCCCTTGTCTTCCAACCATCATGTGTATACATCATCGTCGTATCCTATTCTGTCTTGGTCAAGTAATCAACATGCCACTACCGTCAACAGTGTGTGTCGTCCCATTTTGAGCTGGTCCTCATCTTCCTTATCATCTACCTCCCGCCTTCCTGCCATACCTATCGATCCGTATCGTTCTTATTCAGCTGCATCAGTACATGCAGCAGCCGTGGCGGCTGTCCACGCCAATTACCCTACGGCGTTATTGGCGCATAGAGTGCGTTGCCTCGAAATAGAGTAAACATTTTTTTGTTTCTTGTTCATCATTTATATTTCTTGTTGCTTCTTTGTTCAATATTCTTTCTCTCTTCTTTTTTTTTAATTATCACTGCTTATTCCGAATGGAGTTTAGTATTGTCATCATTTCAACGACCTTTCTCATTGTGTACATAAAATAAACTGTAACATGTCCTCTTTTTTTTTACTGACAATCTCCTACATGATTGGCCTTGATTATTTTTTCTGTCAATGATTGACTGATGATGCTGTATTGGTTTTGGGCCTGACAATTTTATTCCTAGTGTATTGGATAGTGCGGGTCGCCTTTTCCCTTTTTTTTTCTTTTCTTTGTACATCATCCGCTAGAATGTCAAATCACATGCTGAGTGATGAATGGGTGAGATGTATGTTTAAAAGACCGATACATGAAAAAAAAAGAAAGTCAGTATCCTGCCCACCGGCCATCTCTCCGATGCAGCGCCTTGAGAAGATCATTTCCTATCTCAGTTAAATTTTTTTTTTTTTTTACCGATCATTCGAACATGGTCATTGGGAACGATGAGAATAAAAATAAATCACCCATTCGCCAAGAACGTTCTTTTTTAGTTGTTTGGAACCATGTGCCGAAAAAGAAAGTGTTTTATCATGAAGCTTCTTTTTCCCAACACACCAAAAAGCCGTCATTGTTCACTCAACATTTCTTCCTTCGTTTCGCTTTCCACCCTTGTGTTGTCGGAAAAGAAAAAGAAGAAAAAGAAAATCGACCGAGCCAATAGTGACAGAAGGAAATGGTCATCATTGATAACCGCTGAACGCCCAAAAAAAAAAAAAGACCAGCTCAAATCCCCCCATTGGTTAATATTTTTCCATATGCCCTTTCTCAGTCCCTGGTGTTCCCCCTTGAATCATGTTTTTTTTTTTTTTGAGTTTATCCTTATGCCACGATGATGGCTGGAAATTCTGGTGTAACCAATCAATGGCTACATGCATGTGTATGCGTGTGTGTGTTTCTCTTTCTGTGTTTATGTGTGCGCGTGTGGGTATGAATGTGCGTGTGTGACTGGTGGAGCATCCTTTCTTTTTTTTTTATTCTCATGTACATACGATGGGCCTTGGAAGTAGGGGTTTATTGTTTTTTCTTGCTTTACAAGAACGTCAAACAATATGATTTAGCATACCATCACCCGAAATTTAGAATCTTCCTTTTTCTTATTAAAAAATGATGATGGCAAGCCGCTTCCTTTTTTCGGTTAGACTTCACTAAAACAGTTGACTTGGTAGGACCCAAAAAGAACGAATAGTATAAAGTAGGAAGATGGATTTTCTGAGCGGAGAAGAATGATGGTTTTTTTTGATATTGTCAATATTGTCTATCTCGATATGACACAAACGCTTTTTATGGGATTGCCTTTTTTAGGGGGAGAGAGAAAACTTGAGCACAAAAGCGAGGAACCACTGGACAATCACCGAACCGGCTAATTGTGTGCGTGGTTATTTCTTTTGACCGCTCATCAGATCCGTTAGTATTGTACTACCCCAACCTGATAATCAATGCCAATTGCACGCTTTTTTTTCTTTTTTGTAATCAGATAGATCAATCTAATGACCCTCAGAGAAACACAAAGCAAAATAGAGAAAACAAATAACCCAAGAAAATTTTCATTTAGGTCAGGGGCCAAATGATGGAACTTGTTCCAACATTGAAGAACGGGGAAACCTGAGTTCTTTTTTGTTTTGAATGACCTTGGTTTTCCAATCCATACAGAGAAATGGGCCGCATTATCCCACCTTTGACACGGCACCTCTTTTTCCTTGTTTCTTTTCTTTCTCTTGTCTGAGTCCAATGCACGAAGATCCAGGATAACTCCGCAGTAGGGGAAATGGGATCCACTGCGCCTCTTTTTTTTTTTAGGTTCCCTTTTTTTTCGTGAGGAAATGATGCATCCTATAAACTGTGAGTTTTGGATTAAATGCATTGTTACATTGCAAGGTCCTTTTTTTTGACATTCCCCCTTGGCCCCATTTTCCCATTTACGGTTTAGAAAACAGTGCCTAAAGTGAGACAGATCAATCTACGGCTTTTAGGCTCCGCGGAAGTCCATATTTTCGGTTCGTGGTCCAGCGGTCTTTTTTGATGTCATAATAAAACTCTCAGGCAAAAAAATATACATACACGTGTCGCTGTGATTTTTTTTTTTATTCCCGTTGAGCCAATTGAACCAAATAAGCGTGACCAAATAGAAACAATGACTATGGACTTGTTCCATGTCAATATCCCATCTTTCTATATTTTCAAACCGTGGATTGGTTCTTTGCTTTTGTCGGTATTATTATAATTATCATTTGTCATCCGTCTGCAAGCTAGAAACATCGCATGGTCCTGAATCCTGGTTTCCTTCTCAAACACCACAAAGAAAAAAAATTGGCTGCATTGATCATTACAACAGCTAACTTTCTTTTTTCTTTAAAAAAAAAACGAATGCCTTGGCGAAATAAAAATGTAAAAAAAGGTCCATGACGACTCCGAAGGGCACTTGGGTTTTGGAGACTATTTCGACTTAGTGCATGCAGAAAAAGCATAACGGAGAACAGGAATAGTATTGGTAGTGCCAACTCTAATCAGCGTTTAACCCTGCGTGGACATGCGCAAGGACTTGAGCCTCGTGAAAATGGGGCTTACAGGATTGGGTCATCATTATTAAAAAAGTTGTGTAACATTCATTCACATCATTGGGTCACCCATAAAACCTAAAATTGTTCGATGCCTCATCCACATCAGTGCCGAAAGAGCCAAAATCCAATAAGCGCCGCTTGATCATCATCGCCATGCCATGAAACGTAAGCAGTCGTACTATATTTGGAAACCGACGCCTTGTGAATGGTCCATTGTTTTGATGACAAAAAAAAAGAGACCCCAACACCATCGGAGAGAAAAAAAAAACAATCAGAAGTGGTGGAGACCGAAACTGGATGAGGCATGATTCAAATGGGCGGGCCCTACTTTGGACTCCGTTGAAAATGTTGTCCTACTGCCCATACCAAAACTGGATAGGTTTTTGATTGATCAACAATGAAATGCGTTTATAGATTAAGCAGGAGGGAATGACCAGAACCACCATCGAAATGGTAAAAATGATCATCCCTGCTCCGTAACCATTACACTTCTCTCTGTCTCCGCTTCCGTCTTCTTGTCACTCCTCTCTTCATTCTCTCTTTCTCTCCCCCACCCCCCAAACTTCTTTTCTTCTTCTTCTTTAGTTTGCCTTCCTTCCCCACCCCCCATCTCTCCTTCCCCCCCAATAACCACCGACTTTTTTTTTTCTCTCTCCTGTCCACTGGTTCTCTTTCGTTCTTGTTTCTTTTGTACCATCTTCGTTCCTCACTTGGGTCTCAGCTATTTTTCGCCTAAACAGAACTCGTTGAAATCTCCTTTCTTTTTTCTTTTCCGAAAGCACTTTTTGGATTGATCAGTTTTTTTTTCAACTTCCGTCATCTGGAATCTAATAAACTCTCTTTTGCATCCTATGGTCCTGCATGGCAGTACTAAATAAAGATTTGCGATAAAATCTCGACTCATGAAATACGTCTTGTAAAACACTCGGAGAATAGCAAACCCGTTCTTATCGGTCTCGTTCCTTAAAAGTTGGATTTTGAAGGTCATCCTGCTTCCACCATGTGCTGTGCTGCGCTGCGCTGCGCGGTTTTTGAGAGAAAAAAAAATATTGCCAATCGATCGACTATGTTTCATATGTCGCATAAAAAATGCCGTTGCCTGTGATACTCGTTAACCACGTCGACCGATTTCTATGGTTCTCGATTACCAAGGATATAATCCTGCTTCATCCAACGCGAGATAAGAAAAACTGCCCAACTTTTCTGCAAGAGGCAATCCAGATAGTGTTCTTAAAATTATTTGCCAGCTTGGCATTGATTCTTATGCTACAAGTGATTATGAAAAAAGTGGTTTAATGATCCACAACTAGTTTTCATTGAAACGATGACGGGATGAGTGTATGAAACCGTATGCATTCATTTACAACATTTATCAATATACTCCCATTGTTTCAATCCTTCGAACGCATACTGATTTATCAAGTGTGACTAAAAAATGCGGTCGAGATCATCCGCTTGCAATTGATCCAAACATTGACAATGTCATACAAAAACGATTGCAAAGAAATTACAATATTAGGAAAAGATCATTTTTCGAATCATGGACAGCGATACTACCGATTACTGTAGAACTATGGAGTTACAAATGCTCATCAAGAACTTATTCGGTCCAGCCATCTGATAACAGCTGACAGTTGGTTAGCATTATGGTTAATGTTTCATCTTGTCAGCCAATCTTCAAGAGTCCTGCCCGTTTTTTTTTTTTCGGTGCAAACGATGCGCGAGTGCTTGACCCTTTCACTGAGCTTACCATGACGTTGAGGGCATGTAATTTTTCTTTGTCGGTTCATCCTTACACAAAGAAGCACACCGTCGTTTGTGTTTTGTTTTTGTTATGTTACTTGTGCTACATACATTTCTTGACATCACATTGAATAATCTGACAAATACAGCATGGCCGTTTATTCAAGACCCAAGATGATCCTCTGCTCGATTTGGCCAACGATGATGTATCTCTGGTCGACGCGATTCTTTGTGTTCCTACAACCTTGCCGCCGCCACCCCCCCCCCCAAAGAAATAAAGAACATGATATTCTGCATGCACACAAAATAAAAAGCCAAGATTTTAGATCATCTGCTCACAACGCCCACTCGTTATAGAAAATGAAGCTAATTTCCACCATTCGTTTCGTAATATCTCTCACCTAGATCTTGTGTACATACAAAAGTACATATACTTCCTTGGCTATCTTTCTTTCTTTTTTTTTTTTTTCCAAGCCCAAAACTAGCGTTTTGCCTCTTTATTTTGGATTTAACCTAAAAAGTCTCACATACACAAAGCTAATTGTGCCGGGTGACGAATGATCATCCATACAAAAGCAGACAGACAACAGCGGTGATACGGGTAACCATGCCTCATGTAGGACAGCATAGACTGGGTAGATGTTTGAATCCCCCGGTCTTCGATGAACGGGCATATGGGGGCTATTATTTTCCAATATCATTCCGCATCATGCTGTGATCCATTCTCAGACGCCATTGACTGTTCCTCAAAACATGATAGATGAATCCCTCTTGAACGGGAAAAAAAAGAGTTGCACAACGTAACACGGTGTTAAAAAGTAATCAGAATTGGGAATTGTTTACGTACACCTGCGTGTACGTGTACCTCGGTCGGTTTGTTATTTCTTTTTTTCACGCGTCGTGGCTGCCAATCCTTTGGTTACAAGCACGGCATGATTACTCAATCCATGCCTCATGTGGTCATCAGGATTCAACCGATCCATGACCTGGCTTAGTTTATCACTGTTTAATTGTTCCTTTTATTGGCATTGGCGCAACAAAGAAGTTAGCCTTGTCATGGTGAATTTTAGAACCATCTGATCTCTGGCATTGCTTTGCCCCATTCACAGGAACCTTGGCACAATTGCTTAGTCAATGTGATTGAGAAAATCACAGTCATCTTTAAAAAGGGCAATTCGCTTAACGCCACAAGCGATGGGTCCCTATTACGAGTGGAACTCGGTGCCGAGAAGGATCGTGATAAAAAAATTTAAGGTTAATCTTTACACTTTGGAATAAAAAGAATGTTTTTTTTTTCCGTAAAACTAGCCATTAGGAGTACCTGTTTCCAATGTTCAATGCAAGAGCGGGGATACGCATCCCCCATCCCTGGTCCCATTTAGTTTCAGGTCAGCCGGCGACATTGGGTTGCATGCAACGTAGCCAAGTTAGGAATGTTTAGCGTACATTTGGAGCGAAACCAACTACGGTGATACATGTAATCTAACAAGACTAGAAGCCAACAATTGTTGGGGTGATGAACAAGGTCACCGTAACCCACACGACATGTAAAAAAAAACAAAAAAAAAAAACAAAAAACTGCAGGTATCAAATCATGCAGGTTTACGTACCCTTATTTGGGTAGACGGCTGAGCCATCTCGATTACCTTTGATGCCCCATAATAGACAGCACTTTTTTTTTGTATTGCACAAAAATCACCGATGTGCTGTTGAAGCGATAAATACCAAATCAAAAACCAATGCAGTGGACGGTAGCACATTGCGTGACCAGCATGACCGAATATTTTGAACCCCCATCAATCGTTTGTTTGGGCTGAATGGCCCGTTGGGCCGCCCGCATCACCACGACATCATGCAGAATCAGGCTCAAAAGATGCTCGGAAGATGACGTTGATAGTATGCATGGAGATTTGTTTTGGTCCCCTCTGCAACGGTAAAAACGTAATGAGAATCTGTCGGCTGGGATGACATGAAATAGGGAAGGTGACCCAGGAGTCACTACAACTCCAAAGCAAAAAACAAATAGGGTTCCATAACACATAAAGAAGACAAAATCAGGTCATGTCATCGCCATTTTGCTCTGTAAATATAACAGGCAACAAGGAGAACACAACAACGCATCTGCATTGCAAGTCTATCATCAGAAATTAGAGGAGGTTCATGCCGAATGTGGGTCAAGTTGCAAAGATCCGAAGGCTTTTTTTTCATGCACCTGCATCCTCTTCATTTCATTCCTTATCCTGAAAAAAGACCTCAAGGGATGCTCCCCACCCATCCTTACTGTTATGAATCGCATGCAAAAACCCACATTCTCTGAAACAAAAAACATCCCATCAGTCAAAAAAATAACGAGAAAGATGCAGGACATGAGCCATGAAGATCATGTCTCCTTTGTATTTGTTCTATAAAGAAAAAGAAATCACAGTACAACTATTTTTTGTTATGGTGCAGAGATGAAAAAAAGAGAAAGTGAAAAAGATATTAAGAGAGAAAAAGAGGCGTCAGGGAGGTTATTTTTTTTCTTTCTTCTTACGTTTATACTACAAGTTCGCTGGGGTTCTTGACATAATGTTCTAAACGGTCAAAGAACACGGCGGCCTTGGCATCGTTCAAAATCTTCCCGGGAGCGCCTCCTTCCAGTTTCATCTCGACTTGATGGATCACTTGGTTTTGAGGCTGCTTGGCAAAGTCTAAGCGCACATCCTCGCTCGTTAAACCCACCGCACGAGGAGCGGCCTTGGGCTTCTCATTGCCCAAATAGCTAATCAAATCCAACATGTCATCGCCCTGAGACTTCTTGGCTCCACCATCTACACGTTTCGTAGCAGTCACATTCAACGTGTAAGGCTTGGAAGCCGAATACGAATCCGTGATGAAATCGTAAGAAGGTTCAGCCAAATGGAACACCCTATTAAAAGGAATTAGCTCCATTCCCAAAAAATCATCAAAAGAAAAAAAAAATTCCACTATCATCGCTTTCTCTTTCATTTTAACCCTCTACTTTTTCCTTCTTTGTCTCATGCCATCTTTTCCTCTTGTTTCATGCACTATGTTCTGGTAAACTTTTGCAACTTACTTGAACTGACCACCTTTGTAAGAAGAGGCAAAAGAGGAGACTTGGGTGTGGTGCACAATGCCGGTGCTGCCAGACACCATCGAGGACGAAGCGGGTTTGGTCACATCTTGCAAAGCACGAGCCGCTGCTTTGGCAATAAAGTCATTCACGCTCACACTGGTACCGTGTTGGGCTGCTCAAATCAACCGTTGAATACACACGCTCCATACTTTTTCTCTTTCGGGACCTAATTGCCTACCGTTCAATGCACCACGCAACTGGAGCAGGCTATCCAAAGCCACACGCTTGCTGATAAAGGTTGGCAAAGGCGCTTCGTCCTTGACAATCTTGGCCTCTGCAGGCTATAAGAAAAAGTAGGCGGGTTCAAATCAACATCGATGTTCATATTGAATGGTTTCCTGGCGCGTATAATGAATGAGGCAAAGCATACCTTGGCAAACACGATTTGATCTCTGGGAGGAGCGGCAGAGTTGTTGAATTTGGGCATGGGCTTGGGAGCGATCATACCAAGATGAGCCAAGACATCACCCTTGAGAATACGACCTCCAGGACCGGAAGCTTTAATCTTGTCCAAATCCTTGATGTGATGTTTCAACACAAGACTCAACACGGCCGGTGATAAGGGTTTCTTAAGCTTGGAGGTATCGAGGTCGTGATGATCCATGGGTGTAGTAGGAGCGGCGGCCGCCTTGGATGGTTGCACTTCGGGTTCGGCCGGAGCAGCTGATTCTATATAAGAACCATCAATATCACACTCACTCTTCCAAAAGCGGACAATTTTTAGTGGCAGATCCGTCTCTATCCCTCTGACCGTAATATCCTCTTTCTTTTCTTTCTGGGACCTTTTGCTACGTTACCTTGAGATTGTTCAGCAGCAGCAGGTGCGGCTCCGTCGTCTTTGGGAATTTCCACATTCGAAATGTCGTCACCTTCCTCAGCCAACAAAGCAATCATGCTGTTCACAGGCGCTTTCTCTCCTTCTTTGAGCTGTCAAATAAGGAAAGAATAATAATAAAGAATAATAATAATAAAGATCCGTATCCAATGCATTCAACGAATGAGAATTGATTGTTTGGGATGACAGTGTCAAAGGTTTTTCAAATACGTACGAGAATCTTTGCAAGAACACCATCTTCGGGCGCTTCCACGTCGATTTGAGCTTTATCCGTTTCGAGTTCGAGCAAAAGATCGCCAGCGGCAAAGCTATCACCTACAACGATTGCCAACAAAGTCAATACTCATTCAGTTTCTCTTTTGCTGCTTAATTCTCCTCCGTTGTTCCATTAACTGGCATAAGAAGAAAAAAAAATAATGCCGTGACGCACCTTCTTTCAATTTCCACGAATGAATGGTGCCCTCGGTCATGGTAGGACTCATGGCAGGCATGTTGAATCGTGTAATGGCAGCTCGCGAAGCCGTGGTGTGGATTCCTAATATAGCCCAAAATGGTCAATGACAAAAAACGTCGTGTTGGTGTGAGTGTTGTCCTGGAGGACATGATGTTCGTTTCACGGTGACGTTTCTTACCGGCAGCGTGAACTTTCTGCGTGGTCGAAGCGAGACGGGTCAGAAGCCGATGCATTTGTACGATAACACTTGGTTCAGAGAAGGAAAAAAAAAAGTAGCAAGTGCCGGAGGAATGGAAGAAGTGGAGTCCAAGGGCAAAAAATTTATTATACAAGTCTCGATTTTTTTTTTTTTACAAGCGAAAAGGCTATATTTTTTTTCCCATGTTTTTCTGCGAAAATCCCAGCTCGCTGTGTGACTGTCTCAGAGTCCCGTATCCCCAATCCCACCCGATCGCCATACTGTCAACACTGATATCTCTTGAAGAAAGTTCGGCTTTTGTTTAATTCATCTTTCGTACACAGTGTAGACTCATTGTTACTGCTATCGCATCAAACAAGGATGATATCAACCGTAGAACCTTGGTTTGTGCCATTTCCGTTTGTGACGTCATGGAAGCAGTCCCACCCGGAATTCGCACTAAAATCATTTTCGTTATCGGTTCTGTGCCGGGCTGCTTTCTTTATCTCGTCGACATACCGATCTTGTTACTGTTGTGTTTCAGGACACAACCTTTTTGGTATAATTGCCATGTCTTCACAAGCACATAGATCCACGTTGCTACCTGATGGTTTTGAGGCACTTTATTAGTTGGCAATGTTGAAAAGCGAAACGGAGAACCTCTTTTTCCTGTTTTGTCATTTACTGAAAAAAAAAAAAAACGGTTTGATGAGAATCAAGTTAGTGAACAGATTGGCTTATAGGTTTGGCTGGCGCAGCATTAATGCTGAGGCGTCGCTTGGACCATGCATTATTGACATGGCAGCAGACGCTGGATTCGGTAGATTTGTGAAACAATGAGTGTGTGAGTGTACGCGTAAGGGTGGGGGAGGGGGAAACCAGTGCGCTTTTTTTTTGGCCCCCATTGCTCAGTCGCTGTACAATGGATCAGTGCCTTCCATGCATGAATGTTTTACCTCTGGTTTTTGCACGTGCAAGTAGGCTTGATACCGAAGCAAATATCTTGTTGACACTTTTGTTTTGCCTTCTACTTGTTGGAATTCAAGAGAAATAAGTGAAATGGCAACAAGCCTCAGAAAGGGTGGGCTTGGAATATACAGTAACATGATCGTCAACATGGTGCAAGCCAAGCCATGAAAATAGATACGTCGGTGCATGGTTGGATCTAAAAAAGGATTTTGCCTGTGTTTGTAAAACCAAAACATAAAATAAAGAGAAACATCGAATACCGAAAATCGATGAGTAAGGAACAAGGAACAGCAAAAGATCAAACAAACTTTGTGCCGATGAATTACGAAAACGCACGAGCAAATGACACACAAAAACGCAAATTTCCAGCGCAGATATTGGAAGAAAAGAAACTACGTATCTGAACATTCAAGGATTTCACATTCAAACTAGTAGGTGAATGCATGGCTGAAGCACCTATCATTATTGATGAGCCGGAAGAACCGAGAGTTCTTGATATTCTATGGAGAAAAAAAAAACGAGGATCTAAAATTGGATACACGCCACGCGATCGCAACACGAAAATAGATAACCACAGCCATGTAAACGCTTCTGATTTGCATTCATGTTGCGGTCATAAACATTGCCCATCCCCCAGCCAACTCAGTTCATGTACTACGCCAGAACGAGTTTTCTGCCTTTCGAAAAAAAAAAAAAACTTTACTGTACGATCGTTTATTGTCCAACGTATTGAACAATACTAAGCCATGATGCTTTTGTTGGACGCGAATAAATTCGATCTATCATTCAGGGCATTGACTTTTGATCATGGACTGTTTATTGATCAAAAGTATTGGAATGTAAAAAAACGGTGGCGATTCTGGGGACGCCATAGAGAGGCAAAAATAGTAGTGATGGAAACAAGATGATTTTTCTATTTTACGTGGGTTTCACCTTAATCACCACCTTTAACCAATTTTTTATTCCTGGAATTCAATTTGTCACACACGGCTATTTTTGCATCTTTGACCTGCCACTGTCCGCTCATCACCACGTATATAAACAGCTACCATGGACAATTGGCAAGAAAAATCCTTCCCCAATCTTTAGTTAACTCCTGCCTTCATTTTTTTTAAACTCTGTCGGTGCACTTTTTTGACCTCCTCTCGCGGATTGCATCGTTCTCTATCACTCTTCCTTTAAATACCTCCCTTTGAAAAGGCCTGCATCGTTCCCTTTTTTTTTGCAATTTTTTCTTTCCCGTCTCACTTTTTCCTTTCTCCCCCACTGATTTTCTTTAATTCCTCGTCATGTTGCCTCAATTATATATCCTTGCTGGCCTTGCATTGACCGCCGTTCAAGCTCAAACCGCTTTTCAATTCAAAGAACAATATCCTGAACCGGGTGTTATCCCCGTGGCCAAGCCGGAATGGCTTGAATTGCTAAAAACGGCCGACATTGTCGATGCTCCCGTATTAAAGGCCACCGCCAATGGTAAGAAAAATATTGTACCTTTTAAACCAGATCAGAAACATTGGTGTCTTTTTTGTTATTTTTATTTCTCTTTATACACCTGATTGGCTGGAATTTGTGTTCTTACCAATGGAAATCTTTTTTAAAATGCAGGACCTGGACCGATTACTCCTGGTGACCCACATTGTGATTGGACACATACCGGTTGTTTGGGAGCCGATGATCTGTCGGTGTGTCCCAAGGGCGAATGGGCCCCGACGTACGACGATGGCCCATCCGAGTTCAGCGCAGCTTTGTACGACGCACTTGATAAGACGAATACCAAGGCGACTTTCTTCATGGTGGGTGGCCAAGTAGTCAAGTTCCCCGAGTTGACGTTGCGCGCGTACAAATCGGGTCATGAACTGGCCATGCATACGTGGTCCCATAATTACATGACGACCTTGACCAACGAGCAACTGGTGGCGGAACTCAAATGGAACGAATTGGTCATCAAGGAAGTGACCGGAGTGTCACCTCGTTATTTCCGTCCTCCTTACGGTGACATTGACGATCGCGTCCGCAGTGTGGCCAAGGCTCTGGGATTCACGGCCGTTATCTGGTCCCACGATACCCACGACTGGACTTTGACCGAGAACCCTTCGTTCAAGACGGAATGGATCGACGGTAACGTGACCCAATGGGCCAAGGCCGCCTCTACCGCTACCCAAGGTGGTATTTCCCTCGAACACGATTTGTACAAGGAAACCGTCGAAGCTGCTATTCGCGTTCTTCCCATCCTTCAAAAGGCTTACAATGTCACCACAGTCGGCGACTGCAGTAACCAGCCTTCGTACAAGGAAGCGATCAGTGATCCCAAGCCAGCCGTCACTCCTGCCGCCAATACCACCAGCAACCCCACCCCCGCCGCGAGCAATGCTCCTCCTTCGGTCAGCGACAAGGATGCCAAGGATACCAGTACGCCCGTTTCACAACTTGTCAAGGAAGATCCCGGTAAAAAAGATTCCGCCGCTTCGAATTTGATGGCCCAAACTGGCTTTGCCCTCGGCATCGTCACTCTCATCACCATGCTCATGGGTTAAATAATAATATCCAAAGCCACCGATTCGATATGTATTTACCACCCTGATATTCCCCTCTCTTCTTTGTTCTATGGCACACTCTGTATTCGTAGTCATTTATTTTATTTAGACATTAAAAAAATGTTCCTCTTTTTTTTATTATTCTGCAGGTTATCAGTCCTCTCCGTCTCCTACCTAACGCATCATGATCGCCATTTTAAACTCGCAAGGCAGTGTTCCTTTTCCAAGACGGTCTTCTTAAAGTAATGATTGTCCAAAGCGGCACATTGCACGGTAAATAGAAAAAATAAGAACACAATGGGAATTTTGCACAGATCCGCCCCTCTGTCCGTGCAAAAACAGAATAGTCTTCAGTGAGGTATCCATTTGTCGACAAATATATGGTGCAATATCAAAGGGAAGTAAAGCAATTATTTGGCTTTTGACGTTTACAAATTATCACTCGACGATGCATCCCTCACTACTGAATTTAGTTTATCGTCATGGCATCTCATTCTCGCTAATTGATATGAATTCGTAGTAGCCATCAACAATTGGCGATTCCAAATTTTTCTTATCGTCTTTGTGGGACGGTAAATGGATGCATGAAATAAGCAATGAATGAAGCAGAGACTGACCATTTTTAATATCACCTCCCCCCTTAAAACAGGAGAATGTCATGTCGCTTTCTTGCAATGGAACTGAAGAATTCGCTTTAATGCAGCATGATTGTTGATATTGGATCGATCAATGACAAACCAATTGAGAGGCTCAGCGCAAATCATTCATGGGCAACTGGGAAGAACAAAAAACGGTCATTCATCCTTTTGTTATTTTTCTGGGTGCAGTCATTGGGTCTGTTAAGTTCACACCTGCCCAGCCTTGTTCCTTGGTTTATCGCTTATTATTCTTTTTACTCTGCCATTCTGTGATTGGCTATGTTACGTAAAAATACATGATGTTCACTGCCTCCGTGTATACGTATCCAAAGGAGATTATAGAGATGAAGAAGAAACAAAAATTATATCTGATGCGTGAGTATTTTTATGCTCGGCAAGTGGGAACAATAAGGTACAAAAAGAATTGAAGGAAAGAAGGCAACCCGTGTAACGATGGCTGAAAATAACGGTGGTAAGTTGTGTGCTTGAATCCGTCAAATTTGAGAGTCGGTGATTGGTGAGGTGTTGCCACTTTTGGATACAAAATTTTTTGTATCCATGCTGAAAAAGTGCCAAGGTGATGGACAATGGTTATCATATCATATGAACCTCAAGGGAGAAGGGGATGAGAAGGATACGTATCAATGTTTATTGTGAGATAATAGTATAGGTCAAGCCACTTATTGAGGATCTCGTGATTTGCTGGCTCGAATTCTCAGGCCACTCTGACTTTTTCCTTTTTGTGTGTGATTTTTTTTTTTCTCGAAAGAGAGTGGTGGGTTTTTTCTTCAACTGTCCAGTCAATTCCTTTTTTTCTCTTGTCCTTGGCTTTTTCCCTTTTTCTATTTTTTTTCCCTGCCTTGTTTCTTCGTTTGGTTTCTTTCACGTAGACACTACCGTTGAAAACCAATATAAACTTTTCTTCTCATTTATCATGCCTATTCCAGCTACCATTGCTCCACTGCCTTTGACTGCTCCCGTCGAAGTCAAGCCGGTGGTCTGTCCCGAATGTTCCGACATTGGTAAATCATGCACTCATTTTAGAGGCACCAAACAGGCTGTGAAAGGCGCCATCACCGAATGGTCTACTTCATCCCTCCAAACCTTGCCGACAACAGACCGAACGAGACCTAAACGCAAAATTCCTTCCTTGATATCCAGAACTGAAAACGACGTATGGGTCGACATTTCAGACCGTCGATTGCCTAATGATCGATTGGGAGGTCTGTACAGTGGATCGCAGTTTGAAGGCGTACAAACTTGTGGGAAAAACAGCTACCAAGTCAAAGTCAACATTCAGGTAAAGACTCCATTGGGAGATTGAGGACATGGGTGGTTTTGAGTGGACGATGAAAAGGAATGAATGATGAGGAGAATGACCAAAAGAAAAGAAGGTTGCTTTGAGCAATTATTGACTGATTATATTCTTGTATTCGATAGCATGTGAATCTCAAAGAGAGTGTTCTGAGCGGTTATTTGAATATCGTGGGACTCACGGAGGACTATCCCGATCTTACCGTAAGTAGTGGCCCATAATCTTATGTTTTTATTTTTATTTGGGGGACAGAGGGGTGGGAAGGGACATCCTAGTTTATGTGCATGATTGGAGGGCTCACGCATTTTATATTTTCCACCACAGACCTTTTTTGAAGGTGAAATTATCGGTCCAAAATATTCGTTTCTGACTCGCAAGTGGCAGGCCAACCATGCAGTCGATGTGTCTCATTGGGTAAGCATAGGAACGAGAAATGAGAATCGTATGACACTCCGGCTGAATGATTTTTTTTGGCCATTGTAGCAAAAATTCCCATCGTTTCAACCTTTTATGAATGCTTTCAATCAAGATGGATTTACATATGATCCGTCGGATCAAGACTTTATTTATATGCGCTGGAAGGAACGATTTCTGGTGCCTGATCATCGTGTAGACAATATTGACGGAGCCAGCTTTGCCGGATTCTACTACATCTGCTATCAACGATCCACCAACACCATCAATGGCTTTTATTACTTTCGCAATCATACTGACTGGTAAGTTTGGTTCGACACACCCTGTGGATAGGAATCTAAAAGAAATGAATGTCTTTCTAACATCGTTCTTTTACAGGTATCAGAAGCTTTGCTTGGAACATGTGGAACAGCGCTCGTTTGCCCACTTTGAGTTCCGTTAAAAAAGCGTTGGCATCGCTCAACCATGGATTTCTTTTGTACATACTCTAATTCGACATCTTCTCTCTCTCTTATTCCTTTTGTCGCTTTCCTTTTGTGAACTTCCCTTACTGTTTTCATTTGACTCTCGCTTTTTCGCTATCCTTTCTATCCCATTAGCTACCGCCTTATTTCTTTTGTTTTTTTTTCTCTTCCGCTTCATATCTCCCTTGATTCTCAACGGCTATTCCTATTTTATCTTCTGTTTGTAACATCATGATTCTTTTGCTTTCCCACACTTATTGATATTTCTTTTATACATACACATTTTTCGCTTTCTTTGAATCAACCCTTTTTCCGCTGTTGGCATAATGAGGTGGAGTGTCTTGTTTTGATCCGAACGATCCAAATGCAAGAGCTCTCCATGCTTCCTGACGTGGCACAGTCTTATAATCTTGATTTGAAAAACCTCACTGGGACGCGTGATCGAAATCATCATGTAGACCGTCGTGATGGATCGTTCTCCGTTAGGAATGTTTGAGAGTCCACACATTGCGTCTCTACAAATACATCAGGTGTTTATTATACCATAGACAAATTCAATGGCCAGAATGGACGTGTAAAGCCGTGAACGGTTTCAATACGGTCATCAGAATATGGGATTTGCAGATTTAGATCATCATTTCAACGTGTTTATCAGCAAGAGAAAAAAGAACCAGTTTTGTTTATAATCGATAGAGTTTATAGTACCTCCCGACACGCATCAAAAAAAGCCCTTATACCACCTTGCTTCACCACATTTAAAACATCCTAGTGCGCAAGAGAATTCTTATATTGATCCACCGATCCTCAAACAAAGCAAATTGACTTTACGAATCTTTAAGGATGTCCCTGCATTGTCCTGAACGTACTCAAGCAAGGCTTGGCTCATTTGGTTTTTATCTATCCGTCGGTAGCATCAATGGTGTCGATTAGATAACACCATGTCAAACTTGTCAAAACCGAATCAACTGTTTTCTATGCCCATAATCCATTCTCAGGAGTGGCTTCATGAATTTAAACCAAGCAGCAAGCTTGCCCAGACATCACATTCCAGCCAGCCCTCAAGTCCTTTCAATATTATGCTCTCCCATGCAATCGGCTTAGTGCAAGCAATGTTGGAAACAACGAATAACTCGGGTTAAAAAACAAAGGTTTCATAGATTGCGTAGTTTGCGTAGTTTGCGTTGCCCCTTAATAAAGAGCCCAAGTTCACGCTCTTTAACGACGCCGAGTGGGCAGCTTGACACATTTCCGTGCAAACGACTGGGCTCCTAAAATCCGACGATCAAAGGCGATAGAACAGGTATTATCATTGAGATGAAATAATGTATTGAGAAAATAAGATTGAAAGGAAGATGATCCATGAGAAAAAAAACGTTGACGTGTCTATTGGTCGAGGTTTTGTTTTTGTTTACAATCACATGCCCTCTTATCCCTCGCCTCGCAAGCTATCCTATTGCCGATCATTTTCAAAAAACGCCATGTCGGCCCTGAGCCTCGCAGCAAAAGGTAACTGGAAAAAAAAGGTCTCCAGAGCCAATGCTTCAGTGTCAGATGGATCGCATTCTGTGGAGCAAATACACAGTACGCTTTGAGACAATGCCTTGCCGTTATCTCATTAACGCTCATGGTGTGGTTAACATGGAATTTGCTCGTTATCCCTGATGTAATAGCATAGTAACCACTGCGACGAATTGTTCAGCGATGCAGTTCAATGAACTGAAGATTACAAATCGATATGGATGACTGGATATGATGCACTTTGGATGTCACTCGATCTCATCAATGCACTTGCTGTATCTCGTGTATTACGTCAAATTCAACGTGATCGGCAGAGAAGGTCTTTTTCATGATCCGAATGGGTGAACGGCCAAGTATGATCATTGATTTTGTTGAATTTTTTTCCAACAGGTTGCTCTTTACGCAACGAGAAAAACTCATCATACAGTAATATTGTTTTTCAAGCAACCCTAGCTCGCCAACAATAGTCAAGCACTGATATCATCGGGACATGAACTATACCGTAAAATTAATGTATTTCACACAGCTCATTCGGATCATTGGCAGCCGTTCCTTTGCCGCCATTGGTTACCGTCTACTTTGCTCATTGATAAGTCATTTTCCTTGGACAAACGGACAGCCCAAAAATCATGATCAACGTGGCTACACCACAGATAAAGGGTTAGTACGTTTATAATGCAATGCTTTTCTTTATTCAGGTTTTCTTTTGGACTATCTTTTTCATATGATGAGGAGGAAAAGCATGGTGATGGGATTCTCCTTTTGTGTCACCGTATCGATCATGTGGATCATGTCCCGTGCACGGTCGCAAGCTTTTTCCTTTCTTTTTTTTTGGGCCAGTTACACTTTTGTGTATCCGGTGCCCGTTGGTTGAGGAGGGTGATTTGCTCCGGGCGCTTTTTATTTTTATTTTGGTGACTCTAGATGAGATCCAGCCTTTTGCTGTTCTTTTTTTTTCCTTGTTTGCTTTCTTCTTTCATTCGATTCGCTCGCTGCATAATTTTCTTTGCTATTATTTTGGCTTGAAGATTGGTGCCTCGGTTTTTTTTCTTAAGACCTATCATTATATCCCAGCTTATTGCTTATTGATGATGGGACAAGCGGCTTCTCGTACTATTTCTGGCAAATCCACCGTGTTTTATGACTATAACGACTTGTCTAATCGATTCACCAAGGCGACGTTGTCCACGCTCGCCGTCCCTATGGTGATTGTGGCCTTTCCACTCCTCAACGCCTACACTTTTACCGAAGAAGAATTGACCGGCGTCAAGTTCATGGACGGCGCCATTGGCGGATTGCTCGGCGTCATTGGATGTAAGCACCCTTGGCCCTCATTGCCCATACGTCATTTAGCAATGGCGGCCCACCTCTTTGTGCCAGCAACTTTTAATAATTTTCCGTTTTCTTTTGCAGGGCCGCTTGCGCCGTTTTTAGCGTGTTGGGGAGTTTTCAAGGTGTTATTCAAAGATGGGCCTCCGGAACCGTTACCTATTCCGCAATATATCAAGGATCGTGCACGGCAGGAAGTTGGGTTGGATTGTGAAAACTTTTACAATATCGCCGTGGTCGGCGTGGCAGGCACAGGAAAGGTAAAACATATGGCGAGACCGGTGCAGCAGCATGTGAGCGGGAATGACTGAAATCTCGCGGGATTGGTGCCCTATTGGGTTCCCCTTATCTTGCCTTGTTTTCTGATTATAGAGTTCCGTGGTGAATGGAATAATGGGATATCATGATACGGACAAGTATGCGGCGGCGACGGGGGAGACGGAATCGACTGTGAAGCCGAAAGGATACCGTCATCCGGATTTGCAAAGCATGATATTATGGGATATGCCAGGGGCAGGCACCATGAATCATCCCGCCGATACTTATTTCGAAGACAAATTTCTGTGCGCTTTTGACTCGCTGATCATTGTTCTCGCCGAACGACTGCAAGAAACCGATCTGCTCATTGCCAAAAAAGCCCAACAGTGGCGGATCCCAGTCCTCTTTGTTCGCAATAAAGCCGATCAGGTAAAATTTTAGTCCGACAAACACAATGAGGAGAGATGGTGTGAGGCGGAAAAAAAAACCCGAAAGGATGTGATCTCTAAAGATGGTTATACTAATGGATGGAGGCTTGATACGACTAGGCGGTCGATGCCAAGATGCGACGGTATACGGGCAAGAGTGAAAATCGGCACCACGTTTGGGCAGTGGCGGTAGGCGAGTTGACAAAGGAAGTGCGACAATCGATTTATAAGCAGTTGAAAGCCAACCAGATGAGCACGAAGCGCCTGTTTATTATTTCGGCCTGGAATTTGCAAGAATTCGTGTCTTCGCTAAGCCAAAGACAGTTGAAAGATCATTTACCCACCATTGATGAGGAACGATTTATGCGCATTCTCATTGAAGGCGTTCTCAAGAAACGACAACGCGAACAGAAAAGGCGGCTGCATGAACAACGGTCCACAGTCGCTCAAGGATCCCAACGTCCAAAGGATCATCAGCTGTGATCCATTTGAATACGTCACGGATGACTGGATGAACGTTCTGATAATTTCAATAGCAGTACAAGATTAATCCTACCATTTTTATTTGGCACCAATCACTCTATCTGTAATTTCTCCCATTTTTTTCTGCATCCTATCTTGATTTAATTCTCCTTTTTCATATCATGCATGTTTTTTTCCTTCCATTCATCCTCAGTAACAATAAAAAGCCACAGGTTCTTTGAATTCAATCCGTCTCTCTCTCGTTCGTTTCCATCGCATTCATGAGCTGTGCGAGTTTGATTGTGCGGATGGTTTGCCTAGTTGTGGAACGTCAAAAGGGATCTTGGTTCGCATGATCGTCTGACGTATATTTCCAACGCCAAGCATGCTATCAATGGTATCGTGGGATCAACCCATGGAAATGCGATCGATCTTGTGGTTGCTTTTGCGTCACATGGATAAATTTGGCGTGGATCAAGCAATCTAGCGGTTAATGACATTAGTTTGCCATTCCTGGCTCCAATCCGTCAAATGTGACCTAGCCAAGCTTTCATATATGCATAACATTCACATGTCGGCGGTTGAACCACCTATTGTCCATCACAGCCACCATGGCTATCATACCATCTTTTTCTCCTGCTCAAGCTGAAAAAAAAAGAAGCCAAAATGCCATGAAAGCAGACAGCAAGAGCTGGTGCAATATGGTAGTTACCCTTTTTTTCAGCGATACAAAAGTCGCATCAGGGCAGATATCCAATACGGGACTTTACGAGGTGACCCACGAAACTCCTCGGCAAGGGGTTGAGAGGAAAACAAAAAAACGAAGAGAGACAGATCGGATACGCTTGTTTCTGATTCATTTCCCGTCAAATGGGCACTTGTGTGACTGAAATGTTGCGAAAACTTGGTTACAACAGCGAATTTTCTCTTGCAACGAAGAATCCGCAATCGGCAATGGTTATGAAGTCATGGCCAATGTCGGATAAGCAATCGAATGAATACTCTTGACATTTTTAGGCAGGAACTCAAAGGGTTCCTAACCGTGAGTAAACGCACCTGATTTGACGGAGATTCATTCCCGTATCTTTTTATATGTCTGCACTTTTTTGGCACCCAGGAGTCAGGGTTTCTCTTTTCGGTTTCCTTTCTTTTCACTTTTAACTTTTTTCGCCCCCCTTTTCTTTTTCCCCTCATTGAAGATCGCTTTAACTGATCGCCATATCATTTTATCCATTACTGTAAGTCGATCATGGTGAAAATTTCATAAAATGAACGGAGAAACTGACAATTCTTCCCCAGTTTTAATATCTAAAAAGCCAGTCATACCATGGACGTAAAATCAGAAAATTCCCACGATCCCACCAAGCATCCCCACAAGCGATTCTCTTCGGATATCCTTCTCAAACTGTACGGTATCGACGTGGGTGCGGCTGCCGCCTCGTCTGCCATGGTGGCGCCCTTTATTGCCGTTGTCGACAGGTAATGTGGCCCAGGAACCTGATCCTTTAGTTATGACCGAATGGTTCCTTATTTCTTTTCGTCTTGGGCGGGTCAATGAATGCTCATTTTTTTTTCCCATGCTGTTAGATCGATCATTGAAAACTTGAATGGCAAGCGGGCATTGATGACAGGATTGAAGGAGGGATTAAAGACGGTGTTTACTCAACCTCATCGATTTGTGGCGACGCCTCAGTTTCAGTTGGTGTTTGGGTTGTATTTCAGCACGTACATAACGGCGAATCTCGTGGATACAACGTGTGAGCAGCATTCCGTGGAGACGGGCAAAGCCGCCATGTTAAAGTTTATGGCAACGTCGACGGTGAACATGCTTCTCTGTATTTACAAGGATCGATCGTTTACGCGAATGTTTGGCGCGAGCACGACGCGGAAATTGCCGTTCCTCAGCTACCTTTTGTTTGCGGCTCGTGACTCAATGACGATCGCGGCCAGTTTCACTGCACCGGTGTATTTCGCGAGCAAGCTTCAGGAATACAATATCGTGGGATCGGCCAAATCGGCTGGCGTGACTGCTCAACTGATTTGTCCTGCGTCGGTACAGTTCTTGAGCACGCCTTTGCATTTGTATGCCCTCGATTTGTACAACCGCCCGTCCGTGACAGGAGGCCAACGCGTGTCGCTGATTCGCAAGGAATACTTCAAGAGCACCTTAGCCCGCTGCGCTCGTATCGGTCCCGCTTTCGGTATCGGTGGCGTAGGCAATACCTTTGCACGAAGCATCCGTAACCAAGTGATCCATCCCGCAGCAACAGCATAGATACCACCACCCTTTTTAGAACTTTTTTTCCCTTTTAGATCGGAAACTCCCCCAAAAAACCAAGGACAGAAAAAACCGTGACAGCGATACCGTCAGTGCGGAGAATGAATTTAAACAAAAACGTCATGGCACTTTTTTTTTCTGATATGTCCAAAGGAAATTCATTTCCCCGAACCAATGAAGTTGGATGGTTGAGTGATGTGGCAAGTCGATGAAAATGCATAAATTAGGGTGCAAAACATTCCACAGATGGTTGGTCATGAGTTATGTTGTGTTGTTTAATTATGCATATGGTGGCTTACCAATGGTCTCGTTCAGTCGCCATGAGGAAGTATGGAAAACGTTTCGAATTTCTGGGAACTATCAAATTTGACAGCCTATAGAAACATTAGTAAGCGTAGCTGCTCAGACGGCGACTCAAACTCACCGATCCAATTAATAATACCATTCGATCGATATAAAACCATCTCATTCTAGACAAAGTTGACGGTTTTTTTTTTTGAGTTTTCTTCCACATCACACAAAGTAACCAATTTCGAACAAAAATGTCAACTGATACGTTTCACGGATGGGCTTGCCCTGGCAAAGGTATTGTATCTTTTTCTATCCAATCTTGGCTATTGCGTGCTACCTGTGCTACAAAGGGTCAATTAAAACTGGGTGCTGCCTTTTTGTTACTAGATCAACCTCTTGAATGGAAAGAGTTGCCTTTGAAGGCTTTTGATGATGATTCGGTTGAAATGAATGTGACCCACTGCGGTATTTGTGGTTCGGATATTCACACCATGGACTCCGGTTGGGGTCCTACCGACTATCCTTGTGTTGTGGGTCACGAAATTGTCGGTCTGTGTACTCGCGTCGGTAAAAACGTCACCAACGTCAAGGTGGGCGACCGCATTGGTGTTGGTGCTCAATCCGGTGCATGTCTCGAGTGCGACAACTGCAAAGGCGGTGACGAGAATATCTGCGAACGTAAAATGATTGGTACCTACAACAGCCGCTGGCCCAACGGCGACAAGTCGTTTGGTGGCTATGCCGACAAATGGCGAGGTCACTACCGTTTCGTTTTCAAGGTGCCCGACGCCATGTCCAACGAAGTTGCCGCCACCTTTTTCTGCGCCGGTGTCACCACTTACGCGCCCCTCAAGCGTGCCAACGTCAAGCCTGGCGACAAAGTCGGCGTCATTGGTATTGGTAAGTCTTTACATTAAACCGACGCGGTGACAGTTTTGGGTAGATAAAACTAATGTTTGTGTTTTTGTCTCTACAAGGTGGTTTGGGTCATTTTGCTGTGCAGTGGGCCAAGGCTATGGGAGCCAAGGTGGTGGCTCTCTCCCACTCTGATCGCAAGCGTGATGATGCCAAAGCACTCGGCTGCGAGGATACCATTGTTACCTCGGATAAAGAGGCCATGAAAGCTCAGCAAGGCACTTTTACACACATCATCTGTACCAACGCTGCTAACAACTTTGACTGTATGTTATTATGAGGTTATAGATGTGGGATAAGTTGAAAAAAGACTTACAGAATTCCTTTTTTAATTTAGGGCCTCTTTTCCTTGGTCTCTTAAAGGCCAACGGTCACTTTATCATGGTGGCTCTGCCTGAAACGCCTCTCAACGGTATCCCTGCTGGCATGTTGATTATGCGTCAAGTCACCTTATCCGGCTCTTTGATTGGTTCTCCTCGTGTGATCCAGGAGATGCTTGAATTTGCTGCGGAGCACAACGTCAAGCCTTGGCTCAACAAGTACTCCATGAAGGACTGTCCCGAAGCTGTGCAAGCTATGCGTGATGGCAAAGCCAGATACCGCATTATCTTGGAAAACTAAAAAGCCTCCTTTTTTGTAAATCATATAAATTTGTAGAATTGTAGAATAAAAGAAAATGTTCGTCATATTGTGTCCATATCCTCATCATCTTGTTTTATTATTATTTTCCAAATGATACAAAAAAAAAGGGCCCATTGTCTGCTCGGTCGGTTTTTTTATGCGTGACTGTGCTTTTGAACAAGGCCAGATTTCCAAAAGTCCTCATTTCCGATTTTTTTTTTGGACGTAAATTCCTGCATCAGCTCGCGGATCATGGAAGAACAGGACAACATGGCCGTGGATAAACAAACGCTCCGTGAACAGGATCCGCAGCCGAACCTCACGGCCAATTCGACCGAAAGGAGACTTACTGCGGCGCCTGTCCATGAAGCATCCAGTCTCAGCCCGAAACGAGCGTATACGGATTCACCCGCCGATCCCGCGTCGGCGACCGAGATCGATGCGTACAAACGAAGCCGAGTCAGTCCAACAAAAAAGACCGAACCAAAAGACACGCTCTCTGACGTGCCCAAGGCTGGTTCAACAAGTATTAGTACGATCCACGATCAGGAAAGCATGCATGCCGCCATGACCGACGATGCGGGCGTCAGTGACAATGAGATATTTGAAGAAATCGATCCTGCCGTGAATGGCATGGATGTATCGGATGCACCTATCAAGGACGAAGCACATGGTAGGCAATTGTTTAGCTTTTTTGTGGTTTTCCGAGAAACTAATGCATGCATAACTTTACTGTTCAAAAGAAAAAGAGGGATCCAACGTTAGCATGACCATGGACGCACAGAAAGGGGATACCCAGCATGAAAGCGAGGACAGTGACAGTGCATCTGATAACGACTCGGTCTCCAGCAATGAAATGGCCGAGAGTCCCGCTACGACGGCCAGTTCGGAAGAAGATGAACAAGGGCAAGCTGATGAGATGCATTCGGACAATGAAGCTCGCGTTGACCAAGGTCTGCCTGCTTCAGAGACCGTCAACGGACACGACAATCAAGACGAGTACTTGCCGACACCTGCGGGAAGTGATGATTCGCTGGTAGATGCTTCGGAACGGCAAAACGCTGCAGTCTCCCAGCCACCGTTGGACATGTCTGATCGGGTGCGAGGCCCCAATTCGTCCAAATTATTCTTCACGCGGGAATCGTATGAAGCTTATTCTGTCCAATCCATGGATCACATTGTAGACGACATTATTCGATTCATTCAAAAAGACCCTTTGCCGGTCGAAACCCCTGCTCCTGCGGCTTCCAAATTAGCCAATATCCTTGCCGGCACTGACAAAGAGCGATCAGGTCAGCGGGGCCCCAACGATCTTGACATTGCCGCCATGGCAGCAGCCGAACCTGATACCCCGTCCGCAGCAAAACCTGAACTCCCAGCTGTTAGACCTCCAGTGGAACCGTCCAAACCCATCAAAGCGGCCGAGTCCGAGCCTACGACATCCGCGGCCTCCAAACTTGAGTCTGCCAAACCTGAAGTCGCCAAACCTGAAGCCGCCCGAGCTAAACCTGCCAAATCTATTCCCAGGCCTCACGTTTCTCGATTCAACAGGCAAGAACATGTTCGTTTCTTGCGTATCTCTGAAGCTTTGCGACAAAACGTAAGAAACAATGGGATTTTTCATGCATTTTATTTCTATTATATCTCATCATCTTGATTTTGTGGCAACCACAGCCTTCGCAAGTATCAGAAATGGATCGTGCATTTTACAATAAAATGCATCCGGAAGTGCTGGCCGAAAAAAACGATTTCTTACGCGAGCAGCAACGCATGATGCAAGCCAGTGGTGTCTACGACATTCTCGACCCGGAACTAGAAAAAAGAATTGAGGAATACTACTCGATGGAGAATAAACGGATGCATTGTTATCCACAATTCTACAAGAAACGCAATACCCTCGATTTGCGGATCAAAGAAATGGCTCATGACGGTGCTATTCTTCAGTTCAAAAAGGGACTCAAACGCCAGGTAAAAAAATGTCTCATTGTCAGCAACAAATGGCAGTGATCTTAAAACATTATTTCCAGGGTAAAATCGCACGGTGTCGCATCAAAGACATATCGCTGCCATGCAAATTCGATTTATCCAAAAATTATATCCAAACATCATCCACGTCTTCCGTTTCTTATTATCAGAAAAAGGTAAGTTGCGCTTTCTTTTTTTCTTGTGGATCGCCGTTTTCAACGATCAAATTGTCTCATCCTCCTGCTATAGCTGCCTTGCGTTGTAAGTGATGATCCGTCCATTGCATCCCTCCTCACGGACGAAGAACAACCACATATCGTTGTCTCCATGGATGCCATGCTGGCCTTGACGGAACTCAAAAACAATCCTACCATGGAATTAATGCTGCCTATTGTCGTGAAACCTGCTCGTGACGGACAAGGTAAGAGCGTATAGGTCCATTTGTCGCGTCATTCAGTGGTATTCACACGTCTGGAATGACAGAGAAAATTGTGTATTTTGATCGACCGGCACCGAGAGGAGCATTGTCGGCTCGTGAACGGAATCAATTGATTTATGAAATGACGTTTAAGAGCCTTTGTCTTGACTGGAAAAACAAGCAACGCATTCGCAACAGTGCCACCACCACGGCCACCACCGAGGACGCCACGTCGCAATCCTCCTCCATGACGGCCGCTGAAACTTCCTCCACGGATGGGGTCGCTTGGTCGCCTGACGAAGACGAGAATTTGATTTACAACATGTGGAGCTTTGGTCCCCTGAATATCCTTATTCGACATCAAGCCGATGCCTATTATCTTTCAGTAAGTGTGCCTCGACAAGGGAAAAAAGAAAAGAAATATTGGCTAATTCGTTTTTAGGATACACCATCGGGGGCCGAGCATCGTCGCATCTGTCTCAGTGCCAAATTGGATTATCAAATTGCGCATCATGTTGATGAAAGTATCACGGCAACCGAACGAGCTCACAATTGGTTGCGTTCCTACATTGCCGGTCACGCTATGATCATGGAAGGCCGCATCGATGTACCGAACCAAACTCTGGTCCGTGTCGATAAACGACACATGCGCGATATCATGGGCGATAAATGGTACGGTTGATACCCACTTTTTTCAGTAGGATGTGTGATTTTGACGGTCGAAATACTCTAGGCAACCCATTCATGAAAGCCAATTGATACGCCACATTTTCACCCAAGCGCAAGAGTAAGTCAATGAAAAAAAAAAAAAAGAAAATGCATAGTAGAACCGACTTCTCAGTATTCTTCTTTCTTATCCTATTTTTGACCATAGCATGCTGCAACCTGGTATTTATATGCTGCAGTACAACCACAGTGAGAACTGTTTCACCATTTATGAGGCCATGACGCAGACTCAGGATACGGCCGACTTTGATCTTTATAAAGCCTGCTGTCAAAAGCCGTCCATCGCTTCTTCCAAAGGTTCATATGTTCCGGGTTGGGCAGGCGATCGTGATCATGTCCCATGGATTTTCCCGCCCGCTCCGGCATAGAAAAAGAACCGCTAGATCCATGCAACTTCTCTGTAAATATTACCCATTTGTTCATGATTTCCACCTCCTTTCTCACTCATCTTTGTATGCTGTCACTCTTCTGTCCCCAGCTGCAAAAGATAAAGAAAAAGGGAATACAATTGTTGTCTGATACTGAAATTCGTCTTTTTTTTTTTCTTGATCGGTTGCTATAATGCTCGAATATATTTATGTAATGAAATCAAGGATGATAAAGAAGGAGTTGTTATGTTGCAATGCTGTGGCCGAGAAGTGAGGAAATGGGGAGGAGAATAATTGCTGCTTACGCGCGGTAAATGACTTTGTTTTGAATCTGGAGTTTGTCGGTGGTAATACTACGCAACGGGCAAGACTCTGTTTTATTGCCCATGGTATCAAGAACGGTCGGTTTCCAATTGTCTGGCACGGCGACCGTCGGTTTGGTAGCAGCAAGGACATCGAACATGCCTGATGAACCATCATACGTTAAGGATGCCTTTTTCTTTTTCATGAGTTATTCCAAGGTCCTTTACTCACATGGTTCCTCAAGTGGAGGCAAGAACCCCACGGTGGAACGGATTTGTCGCAAGAGCGTCTGCAATTCCAGGAACACATCCTTCCCAGAACTGACAAGCAACAAAAGCGTATATGTGAGAAAAATAAAATAAAGGTGTCATACGGTCAGCTAACTTACAGAGATTGAGCGTTGTCTGGATGGGCGTCGGATATCCTAAACTCCCATCGCTCCATGCTTTCCATGGTTTCTTTGAGCCTAACCACCAATATAACTTTGATGATTTCGCCCGAGTTCATCCAGGCTACATTATAGATAACGCGCGCAAAGTCAGTTGATGAATGGTACAAACACCGGGGGGAGTATTTTCTTTTACCGTGCACTTGTTCCATAAACTTATGCATGAAATCGCGCAGTTCGTCGTTGACGGCGGTGACCATAAACCCGTCTTTCCACTGCGACACTTCAAAGTCTTCGGAAGGATACACTCCTCGCGTAAACAGAATGCTACAAAGAACCAATATCGTAAGAATCGTGTGTTAAAGAGCCAACATGACTTGAGATGTTTGAATCTACCTGCACAGCACGCATTCTGTTCAACAGACAAACACATATTTTCAACATTTGTGAGCTAAAAAGGTAATACTGCACTCATTGGCATGGATGCTTACCAAAGTATTCTCGCATGACACTGCGCGAACTTTGCAATGGTGCAACCGGGATAGCGCTCATCGATTAGATAAAAGAGTAATTCAGGCAACAAACAAGTGCCAGTCGCCTTCTTTTTTTTCCCGTCGACCTCAGGGAAAAGGCTGTCACATCATTGCAGTTGTTCAGCAACGCTCCCACTATTCCCAGATTTTATATCACTCTCGCTTAAAGATCAAGTCAACAGTTCTATCTTTCTTCTTGTAGCTACCGATATACAGCTCAGTGCATAGATAAGGTAAATCCTTTCAGAAGCATTAACACAAATCATATCGGTCCACTCTGTCCTAACGCTTCTTGTCCGAAAATGGAACACTTTTCAACTCTTTCGCAGATATTATAACCTCTCCCTCTGTAACCACTCTGGACGATATGGATGCTGACGACAAGATCAGCCCTGATAATAAGAAAATACTCAGGGCAAAACAAGATGATTCCGACTCGTAGAATGACGAATCACGGTTGGTTTTTTTGTTTATTGCTGAAAACGAAGCAAGTGATTTACTCGTCATCGACAACAGTGGTTTCGAGACCTAATATCGTGCGAAAATACTGTTGGTTACTATCATGCCATTCCCATGGATATCAAAAAAAAAATTCCAAAACTTACCCTTGAAGCTGGAAACGGGAACATAGGTGACATAGGAGTAGAGCTTCTCCTTGGCATCTTCTTCGTCGTTACGCTTGCGGGCAATGCGAACACGGATACGGTGGTCAATGTGCTTGACACCACGGGCCCAAATGGCCTTGTTAAGACCAGCATCAATACGGACATCCTTGGTACCCATGGCCTTTTCGGCAAAAGCCTTGACGGCCTTGATAGCATGGGGAGCACGCTTTCTCAAGGATCTGAATCAGCGCAAGAAACGGAAAAAAAACGAGTTAATGATGGAACTCGACAATTAGGTATTTTCTTCGGAGGACGTTATATCTAAATGTCGAAATTTACCTGCCAAAGACGTGCTTGTGCATGTGGATGGTGTACTCGCGAGTGACAACGTCAGCGAGGGTGGAACGCTTGGTGGTCTTCTGATCCTTGGCCATCTATATACGTCCAGATGCATCCGTTAGTCATCCATGGATTTCGTCCTTTGATTCATGTCGCCAAGTCACTTACGGCTCTGGAATGGATGATAAAAGAGGAAGCTTTCTCAATGTCGATGCTTCCATGGTGGATGCTTCCCTTGCGGCGTTTGAAAATAGCAAGGTCGAACAGAACAGTCACTCCGAACAAGCTCTCCAAGCCAACACCAACCAAATCCGAAAATCTTAAAAATCCAAAAATTTATCATAAGGATTTGCTGTTTATAAGAGCACGTTTTATGATTTTAATTCTGAACGGCTGCTTTGATATGCAAGTGTGATAAACTAATTTGTAAGATCACAATAAAAAAAAAGACAATTGATGACATCTTGTTTTCAATGGTTTCCATCCGCCTGCACTCTTTATCTTTTACATATTCTTATAATAGCTTACAGAATCCGTGAGGAAGCGAGGATAAAATATCACTGGTTTGTCGAAATTTGATGCGATGGATCCCTTGCGTATAGTATTCAGATTCCATGATTGTCCATCTTTTCGTAGCTGCATGAATTTTTTTTTCTTAGAAAAAAGGACAAACAGGCCAACTTTAGGGAGGCAAAGTATTTGACAGGTTCACAGCACTCTTCCTTTTTGAATGGATTGAATGCCCAGAACATGGAACTGTAGAAAGACAACTGCAATGGTGAACCCAAATACACCCTTCTACAGCTCTCTTACTGCGTTCGCAGACTTTCAGAAAACTGTAGATCATTCCGTGCACCAATCTGCAGTTAACCTGCCAAATAAAAAATAATTCCGGAACATTCTTTTTTTCTTCCTCAAGGTAACTTTTCTCGTGCCCATGTCACAAGACAATTTTTATTGATCTAGAACCTTGCTATCTATACTACAGACGGCCCACCCATCATAGCCAAGCTATCGTATGGAAACATTCAATCATGGAAAATATGTTGGCGCCACAGTGAGTAGGGAGACATTCCGGAGCATGCGGTTTAATCTGAAAAGCGTTACTGCAGATGAATAAAGGCATTATATTTGTAAAAAATAAAATAAAAAAGGGTTCCGGAACAGTGAACCAACCTTGTGCAAAATGAGTACGTGCTTTGGGGTCACGTTCCCATGTTTCATTCTCTCCGCTGTCTCAGCTACCCATTGCATGGACTTTACCCTTTTTTTTTGGTCATGCATGATCAGTCTACGTATTAGCTAAAATGTGGATGATATGTTTCCTGAGAAAACCCCTTGTTAATGCTGTCAAGATTGGGTATCAGGGTCAGCCTCGTCCCCGCATCATGACATCGACGTCGCCAGTGAACGTTACTACCGCGCGACATGTCACTATGTACGTGAAAAAAAAAATAGTCGATTGTTTTTCGTCTCGTTGAACCCTTATTTTCCTTGAGAGTCTATTTCTGATTTGGACATGATGGGAAGGGAAAACCCAAAGAAATGGACGTCTGCAATGATGATATTTTTCCAATTTTGGATGACAATCAGGGTATAGACCATTCGTTCGGATTACGATCCATTAATTCCAAGCCTCTGATTCAAGCAGCCGTGCATCCTTTGTGTCACGAATACGGTGCGATGCGCGTCTTTATCTAGTTAGCCTCAACCGACCTGTTGGTCCAACCTTTTTCTTTTTACATCAACCCTGAAAATGCTCAAAAAGAAAAAAGACACTAGGGCTATTAAGGTTAAAAACACGTGAGTGTAAAACAGGAAAAAGTAGTCGAGTTGAGTCAATTAAGATGTTCGCATTCTCCAAGATGTGTTTTATGGGTAGATCCATGGAAGAAGAAGACACTTTTACTCGGCTGTGATCAATGATTTCTTGTTTTGTTCAAAGAACAAATGAGTAATCCCTTCTATTTTCGTCGTCGTCGAACCTTGTTTCACAGTACGGCATGCTTGGATCTCTGCACATGTGTGCATCTTTTTGATGGTGAGAAAAGAAAATACCCCCTTAACCCCTGGACGGATGCTTTTTTTTTAGCATCATGTTGATAAACCAGTCAACCGTGGACACAAAAAAGAACCATGCACGTAGTCAATTAGATGGTGAGAAAAAGGTGCATTAGCATAATGGTATATGATGTGCTTCAAACCACTGGGTCAATGGAAGAAAATATATTTTTGCAGAAAAAAGAACCTCCCACGAGCAAGAACAGCTTCCGCGTTGGGATCGTTCTTGAATTCGGTGAATGAGAAAATTGAAGCCGTGCCCTGCTTTGTTACATAAAAAGTTTTGGCGTCTTTTTTTTTTTTTTGTTTTTTTTTGTTTTTTTTTTTTGGCCTGCTCCACCCTTATCAATAACCGCTGCCAAACATGAATAACAACCCAATGATAAATACTTAGGAAAGCTGACAAGACTAAATTGAAACATGATGCCAGAGGAGACTTGTGGCACCCTTAAACCCAAGGAGATCATGATGGATGATTTGATGAAAACATGAGTGATACGAATGCGATGGACCCTTGGTTTCTTTTCCCCATTTTGCTATTCATTTTTATTTTACGGCCTATTCTTTAAAAAGACGTACATTTGATGACATTTCCTACATGGATGTCATGGCAGCTGCCATATAAAGCATATCCAAAAATTTGGGAAAAAAGGCAATTACAAGGTTATCACGTGTCAAGAAATTCAAGAGAATGCAAGACAGGCAGGCATCGTTAAGAATGTGTTAGAAGTTTAAAATCATCCATAATGATCTATCGGGTCCCCGAGACATGGAGGAGGCAATGCAAACGAATATGCACAATGTCTAGTACTTGTCATAATTGGCGTATGCCCTTTATTTTGGATTTTTTTTTCAGAGTGGAATAAGCCTCTATTTTTTTTTTTTTGCCAAGTGACATGCTTCCACGGATCGGAAGTAGGTTGCTGCTTCAACTCATGGGAAATCATTATGACTCCAGGGAAAACAACATACTGTTACCCTGGAAATATGTCGATACATGTCTCCTTGACTTTTTTTTTATTTCCTTTTTTTCCCTTCACCCCAACGCTTTGACCATCATGCCAAGTAAATTTAACGTGACTCCAAGACGGATTGTCCAGAAAAAAATCTTCGCTGCACACGACGACGTCAATGACATTTGACAGTTTCTACTTTTAGTTTAAACCGTCGAGATTTAACATGTGGGTGGTAAAAGTAAATTGGTCCGCGGAGGGCTCATTGAGGAATGCCCCGGTTTTTTTTTTTCTGTTTCTGTTCCTATCTCTTCATCGCGCGCTGAAGTCAAGATAAGGAACGTGGAAGAATCGAATTTCATTCTTGTTATCTGCTTAAGGACAAATTACAAACACATGAAAAAGAAAAGAGAAAAGTATGAGCCGTAAAAGCTCAAAAAATACCAAAGAACCAACTGGCCACACTTTATTATGAAATATTCCTTTTTTTTTCCTTCTTCTTTTACTGCTTATTTTTAAAATTCGCAAGGTGGGGAAACCGTCGATGAGTCTTCGGCACCTTGAAAAACAACCCTTTTTCCTAGCCCCTTGTTTTTGGATCGTGAACTAGGGATGAAAGGGGTAGGCACCGCATCGAATATAGTAAGCATGCGCTATTTGACCATGATGAACCCTTTTTTTTGATTTGTATTGATCTGATGTCGGATATGGAATTCTCAGTATCCTTTTCTTTTTTCGGTCGCGTTAGTGATTCAAGTTGTTGTGTCGATCCACATATTCTTGAGCGTAAATGAGCCTTAAATAGGATCCTTCTTGGGAAACTTACTTTTTTTTTTATCTTTGTCGTTTTTCAATTTTTTTTTTCATCATCATTGTATTAGCTTTTTCTTTATTTCTTTTTTTCTTTCATTTTCTTATTGTTAATCTATCATTTCTCATTCCAGTGGTGGAAAATTATTTGATTTATTGATTCGGCGACATTTCTTCCTTTATTGTGGTGACGTGATATTTATCATACCATGGGAAATCAAACCACGTCTCATTACAGTCCATCCGCTACTGCATCAACCCCACATCATCATCACCATCGCATGGAAAAATTGCCTAGCATTTCAAAGTTATCGTCCATGGAAACAGATGAGCCCACTTCGACGCCTTCGCCCACCACGACCGCCGTCACGAACACCACCTTGGTCCCCGATTCGTCGCCCAGATATTATGTTCAAGATGTGGTCCCCTCTCAGCGTCATCAGCCGTACCATGCTCATCCTCACGCCTATTCTTCCCAAACATCGACGCCATCGTCCTCGTCGACCACCACCACAACAACCGGAAATACTACATCGCCTTCCTCGTTTCTTCCGCCACCATCGACAACGACAGCGTACTTGCATGAATGTGACCATCCAGCCTCGGAAAACAATACCATGTACGGTCAAAATGTCGTGTCGCCGCCTTTGACCCCGGCCGTGTCGCCTTCGTCGATGTTATTGGATTCCATGCAATTCAAACGCAAATGTTCCGTCGACGCCGGGTCACTGAACTTTGGCCATGGTATCACGGAACCACAGCATTCTTCCTCCATCGCTTATCGTCGTTACTGTCATTCCACCATGTCCGTTCACAATTACGTCCACGAACCGCGATCTAACTATGCGAATACAGCCATGAGCCCACCAACGTCCAGTGGACCTTCCAGCTCCACGACCTCAGCCGGTCGATCTCAACCACCAGATTACGCCATCATGCATTCTGTATCGTCACCGCAACCTATGCAAAAACCGGCCAATCATCGACGTCAATCGAGCAAAGGCGCCAATGCCAACTCTTCCGGTCATCAAGGCCTCACTATCCAGCATAAACATGTGTGTACTTACGCTTACTGCGGATGGAGTTTCAAGCGCTTTGAACATTTGAAACGACACATGTTGGTGCACACCGGTGAACGGCCTCATGTCTGTCCCTATCCAGGTTGTGGCAAAAGCTTCAGTCGATCCGATAATTTTCACGCTCATTATCGCACCCACGCCAAGAAATCTATGCAGCACTTTCGTGTTCCAGCTTCATCGTCTTGTTCGCGTCCTACATCGGCTTCCGCCGCGGCCTCAGTCGCCGCCAATGCAGCAGCCACCGCCAGTGTAACTCCCAACTTTGACACGCTCCATCGATCGCATTCCACTTATTATATGAAGAATGATTCCTTTGATATGATGTCTCCTTATTCCTCGGATATGTATGGTCATCGTCAGATGTACCCTACTTCAGGTGTAAGTACCTTGACACATGCAGGCACTCGATGATCGATCGACGTGATCGACAGATCGATGGTTATTTTTGTTATTGAAACTCATCCTTTTCTATTTTGGTTCGATCAAAAACTGAACAGATGCTTTCGACCCATGATTATGCTATGCAACAACAAGAACAACAACAAGCGCCGCCTCTTCCTCCACCACCTTCTTCTTCATCGCACTATATGCGTTCTTTTCACATGCCTATGCCTTCGGGAATAGGGCCCTTTGGTGCGGTCATGCACGGTGTATCGCCCTCGGCGCAATCTATGAGTGCTTCATCCACCCCCGAATCGCCGTCACTGCTGAATCATACTTTATCACATCAAACTTCCCATTCATTCTTTTCACCCACATCAGCAACCGATGGCGTCCATCGATCCGATTCGCCTTATGCTTACTCTATGAATTCCTTGGTGTCTCCCACCACGGGAAATGGTTCTCCGACGGTCCCAGCACCTTATCATACTTCAGCCCATGTTGGCGTTCCGCCCATCACAGGACGTCGATCGGCCAGTGTATCCTCCGTGTCTTCCAACGGTCAGATAAAATCGCATATTTGTCCCGTGCCTCAGTGTCAGCGTCGATTCAAACGATTGGAGCATTTAAAACGCCACATGCGAATTCACACCCTCGAACGACCGTTTGCCTGCAGTTTCCCCAGTTGCCACAAGACATTTTCACGATCCGACAATCTATCTCAGCACATGAAAACCCATCAACGCCATGAAAACCGACGTTGTCGACAATCACCACACCGTTCCGTGAGTTATGAACTGGGTCATCAATCTATGCCACTTCATCATTCATCCTCCATGACCAATACCAATACCAATGCCAATGCCATGACCGCTTCCACAGAAATGAATTGGATCAAGGCCAACGCAGGAACCGTGGGTTGTTAAACCCGGCCCGTATCATGCCCTCTTTTTCCCGCCCACGAAATCACGATATTAAATATTCCATTGACAAGGAGACTATTATTCTTTCATGATATGTCTTTTTTTTACCTGTTTTTATTTTTTATTTTATATATAATCACCATTGTTTTTTAAGGAAATCCATATATCACATGATCCCATGGCTTTGAAAAAATGGTTCGTTGTTCCATATTCTTCTATATGTTTGAGAACACATGTAAATAAGCAATCGCGTCCTGTTGCACCCTTAGTACGCCTCTTCGTCATCCTTTGCGGGTGACTAGCGGAAAAAAAATGGTGTGGTGTGGATGCATGACATTGGATGGCTCTGATATATCTTTGAAGCATACCTTTTCTTTGATCTGCTATTCGGCGATCCATCAAGTGTCAATAACGCTAATTAAGGTAGCTAGCTTCGGAAACGGCCATGATAGACCTTTAACTGATTTTCTTCTTCAATTTAAACCCTTATCGAATACCATGTAAGAATAAGTATGTACAGTACCCTATCGTTTCCGGAATTGCCTTGTGCATTTCTATGGCCCTTCCAATGCGCACAAGCAACGGGACTGATTGGGCCGGGAGCCTAATCGTATAAATCGATCTGCTCAAGCCCTGCATCATGGCTTTGACAAGGAGAGCTAAATATCATAATATATCGAGGCTGGCAAAGGGATTTGCTGCTTCAATTTATGAAATCAATGACATGAGAATGATTCAAGTGGGGCATTTTCACATATTGTGTCGAACCCAAGAAGTTCCTTGCAGGTGATGCTGGTTTACGAGCCAACGTTTCAGATTTGTGCTCATTACTGATACAGAGTGTCCTGGATTTGACACCGTTTCTCATTCTCTTTTTTTCCTTTTTTATCCTTCTTTATTTTTCTGACTGTTCTTACGCGGTATGACTCATTCACGTCTGTAAAGGAAACAAACGCGCGATTCCACCCTCACCATCTGGTATGGAAAAGAATTACTCGGACTGGACATTCCTCTGGCGACGATATTTCCAACACCTCTGATAACCACAAAATCTAAAGCAAGGAACAAGCCTATCCATGCAAAAAAGAAAATGAAAAGTGATGAAACCCAGGATCACAGATCTCATTGTGTGTAACATAATCATACATCTTCATTTGACCACTTACAGCTTCGATGTCAGCCAAGGTGAGTTCATCTGTGGTAACTGGCATCGGTTCAGGGTCAAGTCCTAATCCTACCAAATGGAAGTTAGCATGAGCAAACAATAGATCTGACGACTATTCATAGCTACTGGGAACGGCTACTTTTCTGGAATGATGAAGGGAAAGCTCAGTTACTCCGAAAAAGTCGATCTTGAGAGAAGGCAGATCCAAGGATAAAAAGAAGGGCAAACATTAAAAAAAGAAAGAGCATTCATGAACACGAGTATATAAAACAAAGTCGGAATTATTGATGTTCATGGATATCTGACAACGTTAGAATATGTCCCAAATGCCAAACAAGAAGGCTGGAAAAAAGATGAGAACGTGCTGATACTAACGGACAACAGGGATACAAACTCCACACTCGCGACACAATCGCCCACCAAGAACCATCCGCTCTGATTTCATCCACATAGCCAATAACAAGAATGCTGGTCTGATCCTTTCAGCCCAAGTCATTCTGAAACTTATCAATGCTGCCAATGCAAGAAGTGCGGCTGTCACTCGTCACCACTCCAGTGCTTGTTATCCGTTCCTTCAATTTTTATCCTCATATTATTCTGTCCGTTTGATTGACTCTTTTTTATTTTTATGGATCTGGACAGAGGCGACATTGTCAAATGAGATCTATTGAAGGCAATGTAACCGGGGACATATTCCCTCTCTCATCATTTTTCCATCTGATCTTTTTCTCCCGCTTTTTTCTTGACTGCTCCCTTGGTTTGTATATATACATTGCATTTTTCACCTCTTTTTTTTCCCACACTTTACATATGCTTACATTTTCATGACGCTTTTTGGAAAAAGGGAAGCGTAGAGTATATTTAATGATTTCTATATCGGCCAAGATTTGACACCCAAAAGCTGGCCCGCCAAAGGTTGGGCTTGAACTTTTCTATCCCATTTTAGAGTAGTATTTTTTATGTTATTCTATCATCATTACTTTTGTAGTTTCCAATAATGATTTAATATATTGTCAAGTCTATTTTTCACAATGGGAAATCCTCTCTTCATCAACGTTCTTATTCAACGTTGTTGTTGTTACTATACCAACAAATTTTTCCCCAGACTCTTGGTGATGGCCGGGATGACCGGTTTTATCGTATTTTCTTTATCTTTTTTTTTATTTTCAAAGAGCGAAACGAAACAAAATAAAAAAGGTTGAACTCAATGATTCATCTTGAATGTGATTGGCAGATGGGATTGCATCATGCAAAAGCACAGGTGGTAGAAAAAATAGAAAAAAGGAAAAAACAAAAGATCTGCCTGGGGAACCGCCTATTCCGATTCCCCCAAATAGCCCAATCTAAGCTTCTTTTTGGGGGGTGGGGAAGTAAAGCCAGATAAAACCATCGTCCAACCGTATGTGCCGAGGCTGCCTCTACCAAATCGGTCTTCCAACCTCGGTGCATTGCCTTTTATAGAAACTCGCCATTGTCTTGTCCGGACTTGTCAACAGTCACTCACGTCAATCTACACCAATCTTGCCGCAAACTAAAAAAAAAAAACCGGCCGGCTCAACACACCGCTTACAAAAAAAAACAAGTTTAAAGATAATCAAAAAATCGAAAGGTTGTCTTGAATTCTTTTTTTTAAATCCTTGTTTATAATCAGATACTTTTTTTCTCTTTTCCTCTAATCCTTTTTTTTTTTATTTTTCCTCTTTTTTTTTTTTCCTTCTTTTTTCTATACTCTTTTCTTAATACTTTTTGACACACACCATGTCGGCCAAACCTATTAGAGAATACGATGGTAAGCTGTTGTTGGCTTACCATCTGTTGCGTTCACCGTACCTTGGCAAAGAACAATCTCCTTCTTTATTCACACCGGCCGCTACCAAGCTCGCTCAAGTCAACGTCAACACTTCGTTATTGCATGATGAACCGGCTTTCAAGGCCGCGCTCAAGCAACAGTTGGACGCACTGGAACAAACTCATCCCTGGTTACTCACCGATAAGCTCGTGGCCAAACCTGATCAATTGATCAAACGCAGAGGAAAACACGGTTTATTGACATTAAACAAGACCTGGCCCGAAGCTCGACAATGGATCGAGGAAAGAGCTGGCAAAGACATTCAGGTAAAGTATTATCTACCTTTCCTTTTATGGGTCTCGGAAAGAAGAGGAGGGGGGGGACAAGACATGGCGGGGTGGCGCGGGGAGGAAAAAAAGAGAGGGGATGTTGTCCTACACACAATGAAAAAAAAAGGAACAAGAAGATGGGAAGCCAAAAAAAAAAAAAAAGAAGGGGGTTGTCAGCTCTTGTAGAGTCCAGGGGTTGATAATTTTTTTTCTTTCACCTGGGTTTGAGGGGTGCGTGAACAATTGAAGTGGCGCGTCAAGATGGGAAAGGGAATTTTTTTGTCTTGCCTGGATAGGCTTTGGACACGATAGCCTTGTGTCTTATCCATCAAGATGGGCAAGTGACCATGAAAAAGAAAAGAGAGGACAAAAAAGGCAATATAAGAGACGCATCGGTGGAAAGAAGCAAAATATTTGGGTGGGACAAAAAAAGATCTATGCGACTTGAATGCACATTATCGGTGGGCGAATAAGGTTGATTGGGTTGGGAAGGCGGCGGCGGGGGCGGGGAGGGGAAGAGAGCAACAGTGATAAAATAATCTGATGTTGGGATGGTGATACCCGAGATATCGCTGAGTTTGGTTTGATTCTAATCTTCGATTATCTTTTTTTTTCCCCTTGTCCCATCAGATTGAAAGAACGACTGGTGTTCTCAAGACCTTCTTGGTTGAACCGTTTGCTCCTCATCCTCAGAATACCGAATATTATATCTGTATTAACTCGGTCCGTGAAGGCGATTACATCTTGTTCACTCACGAAGGTGGTATCGATATTGGTGATGTCGACGCTAAAGCCCTCAAACTCTTGATCAAGGTCAATGAAGATATTCCTACCCCCGAGGTCATCAAATCGACTCTGTTGAAGGATGTGCCCGAATTCAAGCAAGATGTCTTGGTCGATTTCATTACCCGCCTCTACTCTCTGTACGTGGACTTGCATTTCACTTACCTTGAAATCAATCCCTTGGTGGTCACCGACCCCTCCGAAGGTCAAACCCCTCAAGTCATGTACCTCGATTTGGCGGCCAAATTGGATCAAACCGCCGAATTCGAAGCTGGTCCCAAGTGGGCCGTGGCTCGCGCTCCTCAACATATTGGTATTGCCGGTGCTGCTTCCAACCAGCAAAACATCGATCAAGGCCCACCCATGGAATTCCCTGCTCCCTTTGGCCGTGAACTGACCCGCGAAGAAGCTTACATTCAGGAATTGGACGGTAAGACCGGTGCTTCGCTCAAATTGACCATTCTCAACCGTGAAGGTCGTGTGTGGACCATGGTTGCCGGTGGTGGTGCTTCGGTCGTCTACTCGGATGCCATTGCCGCTCTTGGTTTCGCCGACGAACTTGCCAATTATGGTGAGTACTCGGGTGCGCCCACTGAAACTCAAACCTACGAATACGCCAAGACCATTCTGGACTTGATGACCCGTGGTGACGCCCATCCTCAAGGCAAGATTCTTTTCATCGGTGGTGGTATTGCCAATTTCACCAATGTCGCTACCACCTTCAAGGGTATCATTCGCGCTTTGACCGAATTCAAGCAATCCCTCATCAACCACAAAGTCCGTATCTTCATTCGTCGTGGTGGTCCCAACTACCAGGAAGGTCTTCGCGCCATGCGTCAATTGGGTGAAACTCTCGGTGTGGAAATCCAAGTGTTCGGTCCCGAAACCCACATCACCGAAATCGTGCCTCTCGCTCTCGTTGGCAAGCCTTCGGATCCCAGTGCTTTGACCGGTAACCAGGCTTCCGGTTCCTCCGGCAACTTGTTCCAGGATCAGATTCTCGGTACCAGCGCCACTCCTTCCGGTGTCAACAGCCCCAAATTGACCGTCGTCGAGGACAACGGTACGCCTTCCAACCCCAACGAACGCATGACCTACTTCCCCGAAACCGCCTCTGAAGAAAAGCCCGAATGGTTCCGTCCCTTCACTGCCAAGACCCGCGCCTTGGTCTATGGTATGCAACCCCGTGCTGTTCAGGGTATGTTGGACTTTGACTTTATGTGCAAGCGCGATACGCCTTCGGTGGCGGCCATGGTGTATCCCTTTGGCGGTTCCCACGTTCAAAAGTTCTACTGGGGTACCAAGGAAACCTTGATCCCCGTCTTCACTTCGCTCAAGGAAGCCGTTGAAAAGTTCCCCGAAGTCGATGTCGTGGTCAACTTTGCTTCTTGCCGTTCCGTCTACGATTCCACCCGTGAAATCTTCACCTTCTCTAACCAGATCAAGACCATTGCCATCATTGCCGAAGGTGTGCCTGAACGTCGTGCTCGTCAGTTGCTCCACGAAGCCGAACAACGCAAGGTGCTCGTCATTGGTCCCGCTACCGTTGGTGGTATCAAGCCTGGCTGCTTCAAGATCGGTAACACCGGTGGTATGATGGATAACATTGTCAGCTCCAAGTTGTACCGTACCGGTTCCGTCGGTTACGTTTCCAAGTCCGGTGGTATGTCCAACGAATTGAACAACATTGTGTCGCGTACTACGGACGGTGTGTATGAAGGTGTGGCCATTGGTGGTGATCGTTACCCCGGTTCGACCTTTATCGACCACTTGTTGCGTTACGAACAGGACCCCAACTGCAAGATGTTGGTCTTGCTCGGTGAAGTCGGTGGTGTGGAAGAATACCGTGTGATTGAAGCCGTTCGCAACGGTACGATCAAGAAGCCCGTCGTTGCCTGGTGTATCGGTACTTGTGCCAAGATGTTCACTACCGATGTTCAGTTTGGTCACGCCGGTGCCATGGCTAACTCGGATCTCGAAACGGCCGATGCCAAGAACAAGGCCATGCGTGCTGCCGGTATCATTGTCCCCGAAACCTTTGAAAAGATGCCTTCTGCCCTTGCCGAAACCTATCAGAAGCTTGTCAAGGAAGGCATCATTGTTCCTCAAGCCGAACCCGAGATCCCCAAGATCCCCATCGATTACTCGTGGGCCCAGGAACTCGGCCTTGTACGTAAACCCGCCAGCTTTGTGTCTACCATTGTCGACGATCGTGGTCAGGAATTGTTGTATGCCGGTATGAGAATCACGGATGTGTTCAAGGAGAACATCGGTATTGGTGGTGTCTTGTCCCTTCTCTGGTTCAAGCGTCGCTTGCCTGATTACGCCTGCCGTTTCATTGAAATGGTCTTGATGTTGACCGCCGATCACGGTCCCGCTGTGTCTGGTGTAAGTAAAAAGGATAAAAATTTGGGGAAGATGAAAGGCGACAAATGATGTTAAGGGAATGTTGTATACTGATATCTCTGTTTGATTGATAGGCTATGAACACCATCATTACCACTCGTGCTGGCAAGGATTTGATTTCTTCGTTGGTGTCTGGTTTGTTAACCATTGGTGAACGTTTCGGTGGTGCTTTGGATGGTGCGGCGACCAGCTTCACCAAGGCTTATGACAGCGGTTTGTCGCCTCGTGAATTCGTCACATCCATGCGCAAGGCCAACAAGTTGATTCCCGGTATCGGTCACAAGATCAAGTCGCGTACCAACCCTGATATGCGTGTGGAACTTGTCAAGTCGTATGTCAAGAAGCACTTCCCCAGCACCCCCATTTTGGACTATGCTTTGAAGGTCGAGGAAATTACCACCAGCAAGAAGGATAACCTCATCTTGAACGTGGATGGTTGTATTGCCGTTTCCTTTGTCGATCTTTTGCGTGAGAGTGGTGCTTTCACTCGTGAAGAAGGTGAAGAGTACATGCGCATCGGTACCTTGAACGGTTTGTTCGTGTTGGGTCGTTCCCTCGGTTTCATTGGTCATCACTTGGATCAGAAGCGCTTGAAGCAAGGTCTTTACAGACATCCTTGGGATGATATTTCTTACCTCCTTCCCTCGTTGGATCCCGAAACCCTCGATCCTCGTCGTGTCACTGCCCGCGTGAACGTTCAACAAAAATAATCAAGCTTACAACTTTCTTTTCTCACCATTATCAAAAGAAAAAAAAAACCAATTCATTCGTTAGAAAAAAAAAATGAACCAAAAAGGGATCGGAAAAAAAAAAGACTTCAAGAGAGTCAAAAAAAAAAAGGAAAAAAAAGAGTTCTTCTATATCACCCGCAATCTTTTTTGTATTCACGCATCTTCCCCTTGGAACCTCTTTTTTTTATATCTTTTTTTTTGTTTGTAAAAAAATAATAATAATGTCATTCTATTGTCGATATGCAATTTTCATCCACTGCTATCACCTCCCCTTGTTTCTTTTTTGATTTTCTTTCTTTCTTTTGTTTCTTGAAATTTTCATGTTTGATTGACTCTATTTTTATCACTTACTTTTTTACTGTTCATTTATCCTGAATAAACAAAAAATTCATAGATCATCCATCATTTATACCTTTGTTCACTTTATCTTCGTCTAATCGTCATTTTCATCATCGCATGGCGGTTGTGAATTACAACCGTGTCAATTTCAATAATCAATTCAACGTCTATTATTTACCATATTGAACAAAAAAGGAACTCGAGTGCAATTAACAGGGAAGATTACAAAAATACAAAATAATACATGTTGGGGCGGGATGTGAGGTTGGATATACGACTTTTTTTTTTTTGGCCAGGATGAAATAGTGAGGCTTTAAAAGGTTTTGTAAGCATTGGCATCATCAATTTTAGAGGCGATGGATGGACTGGGAACGCCTTGTTCAACATTGTTCAGTAATGAATCGGCCTCTGTTTCACCTAGACCAAAAAAAAAAAAAAAAAAAAAAAAAAAATTCAGTCTTCCATTCAAACTTTTGCGCGAGACACTCAGTTCATTTACCTGATGATGTGGATGCACTGACGTCGTTGGATCGATTGTCTCGATGAATGACAAGACAGCGAATACCGAGATAACGACAAAATCCATCAATGACCGCCCATGACCATACACCGTACCACGTGAAAAAGACGACGCATAAAACGCACAATATACCGTATTCCATGCCCGATGTCAACAGGGTTCTACAATAAGAGTGAATAAAGTTTGGACATGTGCAAGATAAGTCAAAATCAAGTGACGCTTACATTCCAAGAATAGAAGGCATATTGACAAGCAAACACATGATCACGATCGGTGCGACCAACCACCAAAGGTTCGGATACGCCGATTTGGTGAGATGAGCCAAAATCACATTGGAAGCAATCAATCCAAACAATGTGCCCGTGGTCAGCAGAAACAGTACCAAATGTTGGTCACGAAACACAATCGAATAAGGCGACATTAACCACGCATAGTCGGCCAAACAGAACACGGCAAAAGGCACCAATGCATTGAGACCGGCCTCAGCAATATCCAGCGATTTCGCGCGACATGCCAAATAGACGGAATACAACACCACAGGCAAATGAGTAAATACGAGAAGCAAGGCCGTGCCCCATACAAAAATGGCGGCCGCTGTGGTATTTTCTGGCACCATCCAACTCAACCATGACAAACTCGGGACATCTTGGATGGGGACGTGCCAAGATGCGACGCCGTAGCAACCGGACCAGATAAACGCCAAACATGTAAAGATGATGCCTTCAGTAGGACCATTGATATAGCCTAGATACAGCACGCCCGTGTAATATTCTTCGGCTGTCGATAGGTAGAACCCGGCCATGGTAACCACAAACAGCACCGCCGTCAACTGAGTATGGCCGAGCCCCAGTGCTGCGGCTTGCAAAAGAGAAACATAAGTGGTGTTCAGAGCATCGCAGCCGTGATCAAACAGTTCACCCAGCGGGGACGAGGTATGTGTCCGTCGCGCTTGACGTCCATCCACATTATCAAACGTCGAATACAGCCATAATCCTATGGCGAAGCTGAAATACAACCAACTGGGGCCTTCGGATTCCAAATCGGGTACAATGAGGGCGACAAAAATGACATTGGTCACCATGAACAACAAGCCAATCAAGGTAATCAGGTTGGGTCTATGGTAAACGTTAGTCATTGTGTCGAGGATTATCAACGATCTTTGAGCCTTTTTTACATACGCAATCCATAGTGGAAACAAGGTAATGGCCCAATTCCAGTAATGACGAAGCACATGTTGACTAACGGGAGATTTGTCGACGGCAGCGTATTTGTAATATTTGAGGTTCTCCAACTGATCTTGGGTCGGGAAATCGAGACTTTGTATTCTCTGCAAGAGTGACCGATGAAGACTCTCGAATGTCATTTTTCTGCAAGAGCCCGAGGTCTCCGAAAAAACACAATAGCATTTTCCACTCCACAGCGCTTTTTTGCCAATGAAAAAAAATCAGAAACATGAAAAAGCCTTTTTTTTTTTTTTTTGAAAAACTCCGTCTTATCTTTCTATTGCCTGTCAAAAAAAATTAAAGATGCAGGCACGAAACAAGGTTTACTTTACCATGGTCCATTCATTAACAATGCAATAGACGCTGGATGCAACATTCCCGCTTTTTTTTTTTTAGTTTTATTGCCAGACGAAAGAAAAAAATGATGGTAGCCCTTGAAAAGCGGCAAACTGGTTCGAGAACAAAAAATGAAGTCAATTCGAGGTAATTATTAAATGCGTGACACAAAAAAACCGTACCTTCTCATTTCGATGCTTATCCGTCTTCCAAATTGCCCCAGCCAAAAATAAAAATAAAAACCACCTAATATCACCATACCCAAAAGTTGCCATGCAACAAGTCGGATCTCTTTTTTTCGCTCGATCCTTCCGTTTGTATATTTCGACTTGCCACCTGAGTCATGTGTTTGATTGCGCTTTGATCACTTCGGTCGCTTCGGGAACCCACGGTTACTTTCCCGAAAACCTTCTTTCTATTTTGTGGCTAAAAAAGACAAAGCCGCATTCATTCGGTCGATCGAATTGTATACTCGCGCACGTTTTGTCGAAAAGAGCTCGGAATATGGGGCGACACTAGAACTCGATAGAGTACGGTTGGATTCACTTGTTGCCCAGGGAGTCGTCTTTCTTTGTGAGTGTTGCCCGGTGGCATGTTGTCTGTAAGTCAACACCAAGTTCTGGTTGATTAAGGGGCTCTCTTTAGTGACCGAGGTGACTGGGCTTAGATTGAGGGGATCGCCTTGAAATGCGGAATGCGGTTGTTGAAAAAAGAAAAAAAGCCATAGTGCGATCCTGGAAACGCGACAAAAAAATCGCATGGCCCATCCATAAAAGACATAGATCAGTGGAAAGCTGTTGCTCGGATACTCGATATGGTAACCATGATGCAAAATCGCATCAAGATGAAAAAAAATAATAATAGTAACTCAAAGTAGCATATCATATTGTTGATTGACTGGCAACATGTGTCAAGTGAGCGTTGCTTGCTTTTTTTTTTTATCCCTTCTTCCTTCTTACATCGGCATTTTCACTTTTTTTTCACTTCTTTTTTTTTTTATTTGCATTTGATTGTTGTCTCATCATTTTTTTTTTTAACTTTTTTATTATTTCGCTCACGGCACTCTCAATTATTCGAGGCCATCTGCATCTGCATTTTTTTTTTTTTTTGTTGTCATAAATATACCGCATGGATCATCACCCTTCTTCTGTACATACGATTCCTCGTGACTGTGAAATGCAATCGTCGTCGTGGTCGAGCCGGTCCAACCGTAGAATGAATAGAGGCTCCATTGCCTACGATGGCGGACCCATTCCCGATGTTGTCAGAGATAGTTATACAATGCAACGGTTACCTGTACGAAAGCAAAGTTTGGCCGCTTACCGTGACCATGGTGTCGCGGTTCCAACGGCATCCTCGGTTGACTCACTTTCCTTGGCCTCGCCGACCAGTTTAAGCTCCAGCCCCAAATCCGCCAAATCCATGTTCGCCAGTAGCTCACTACAAAAGGCCGCACGCTCCGCCCTTAAACTCGCCCGACACAGTCGAATTGATCCTACGCCGAGACATCGAGACGACCTAACCGTAAGCCCTGAATTTTTCCTTAAAAAAAAAAAAGAAAAACAAATAGAACGAACATGACTGGTATTCAACTTGTTTTTCTCTCTCAAAAATAGTCCAGTCCACCGGAGATTCATGTAAGTCTAGATGAAGAATCGTCCCCTACCGATACTGTGATGGCATCGCCTTTGGAAATGGAAAATGAGTTGGACGGACCTCGATTCACTGCATCATGCGATGGTAGTAAAAAGGATAAAAATGGAGATGCTGAGGGAATTTGGGAAATGGAAGAGGAACCTGTGCAACGTCGATCACGTCGATCGAAACATCGTGGTACTGCAGGTACGAATCATCACAGAGAAAAAAAAATTGGATGATGAAAAAGAATTGGCTTGAGGATGAGGGTGACTCATGGAACCAAAATTGTGATCTTTCCAGAAATGAGGCCAAGTAAATCGGAATCGAGTCTCCACGTTCATGCAATACGCACCGACAGCCTTGTACGAGACAGTGATCACCATGCTTCCAGTGACGAGTTACTGTCGCCCAGTTCGCTCACCAAGCTTCGTCATGTGTTATTTCCACTTCTGCATCTGCAACGCGACGAAAAGTCGGTGCGAATGAAATCGCCCGCTTTGATTTATCCTGCTTTGCTCTCGTGCGTAGCCGCGGAACTGCACCGATGCTTAATCACTGGTACCATGACGAAAAACGACATCATGTATCGCGACGTTTTCACCGGCGAACAAGCTGTTGTATGTAAACACCGTGGTGGTGGCGGCGTGGTTGGGGCTGCTGCTGATCTTGACTACCTACAGTTAAAACAAAATATGATTATAGGATTGTCTCCTTCCGATTATCCGTAGCCGCGATCGGAACCTGGCCTTGCTGGTCGGGCGCGCCTTGGATCGACAGGGATTTCTCCATGATGTCAACTACGAACATCGTCTACGGGACTCGGCCCACGAACTCTATCGTTTCCATGATTCCCATCCATCCATTCACCATACCAGCGCGAAAGGTATTGCCTTTTTCTATGGACAGCTCGATCGCAACACCAATTTTTAATCCTTGTGATATACAAAACAGCAGATCGATCCGATATGAATGGTGTTTTTACCGTTTTGACGGAATGTTATGCACCTACATGTACTCGAAACACGCCATGTTACAGTGTGCATTGCCCCCGAGCTCTCAAAAAGGTATGGGCAAAAATCACAACTAAGGCCTGTACATTCCAGACAGCACACCACTCATTTGGTAATGGACGAATTACGTAGGATTTATGTCGTGCCGAGAGTCAATCGTCTTTGCCGGAAAAGAAGGAACCGGATCTGTGGATGCATTCGGTTCCCAAAGAAATTGTCGAAGCCACCGATCCACGTGAACGTAAAAGGCAAGAATGTATCTTTGAACTGATCTATACCGAGCAAAACTTTGTCGAAGATCTACACTATCTGCATGAAGTAAGTACCCGAACACCGTGATGACGGAAATTATGTACGATGAATAGCTTAATATATAATGTTGTTTTGTTGGCGGGGTAGAACTGGGTGAAACCATTAATTACAAGCGACATTATTCCGGAAGAGCGGCGTGAACTGTTTGTGCAAGAAGTGTTTTGGAACGTATCGGATATTGCCAAAGTCAATGGCGCATTACTGGAAGCGTTGACCAAACGTCAGACGGAGCAACCGGTCATTAACGGTGTAGGCGATATCATGGTCAAATACGCTCATCAATTTGGTCCCTTTGTCGCCTATGGCGCCCATCAAGCCATTGGCAAATTCATGTTTGAACTCGAACGCAAGAAAAATCCAAGATTTGCCCAGTTTATTCAAGTAAGTATCCTCTTTTGATTCACCGCGCACGCGCGCGAGAGAGAGAGACAGAGACAGAGACAGATAGTATGCAATAGATGGAGGACACTGGAGTGGCATGAACCAATGATCAAGGGGTTAAGAGGGCATCTTTGCTTAACATGTTGACAGGATACCGAGCATCGTCCTGAAGCGCGACGATTGGAGCTGAATGGGTACTTGACGAAGCCGACGTCGCGTTTAGGTCGCTATAACTTACTGTTACGCGAAATTTATCATCGTACGACCAAACCCAGCAATGACGCAGAGAAACTACAGCAAGCCATGCAGATCATCACTCATTTTCTCAATCAACTCAATACCGAAGTCGGACGGTCGGAAAACATGTTCAATTTGCAGCAAATAGCGGAGAGGATTTATTTTACGTGTGCCGAACACGACGTGGTAAGCTCAAACAATTGTCGAATTTCAATTCAATCCAGGTCACTGACGTGTTAATGTTAAAAAAAAAAAAGAATCTCAGGTTATTTGAACCGGAGCGACGGTTGATTATGCAGGGTAGAATGAAGCGAAAAGACAGCAGTTTATCCGAAGCGTCCGAAGCTCAAGTATTTCTGTTCGACCACTATGTTGTTTTTGCAAAGATTCGCTATTTCGATCATTTGGAACGATATAAAGTGTATCGAAAGGTAGGACAAAAAAAACGATGTCTCACTCATTCCACTGCTGTCGTCGAGGACTTGTATATTAAAACCATTATCTGTTTTTTCGTGGTAGCCGATTCCTTTACAAGATCTTTCCGTGTCAGCGCCGCCATCCAAGGCGATGCGAAAACGGCGAGCATCGCTTTTATCTTACAGCAAAATTGGCAGTGCATCCTTGACGCCATTGAGTGGAATAGCAGGAGGAGTAGAAGAAGCAAGTCACCAAGTGAATGAAACGGCTGGGTCCCTTTCATCACCTATCTCAGGAATTGGTGGTGGTGGAGGAGGTGGAGGAGGAAGCAGTAGTGGTCACGCGATCACGTTTTATCATCATGGACGCGGAGGTTCTTCTCCTATCACGTTATATGTTGCTTCCGAAACCACTCGAAGATCGTGGATAAGCAAAATTAATGAACAAAAACAACTGCTCCTATCGAATGGAAGTATCAGTAGCAGCAACAGCAGGACCCTTTCCACCACGTTGTAAATAGTCGACAAAGGGAGGACAATGAGATCTCACACCTATTTTTTTTCTGGCCTTTTTCGTTCATCTGAAGCCCTGGCAAACATACCATGGTGGAGCTTTACAGTGAGCGCCATCAAAATACATGTTGAACCGCCCAAGACAAAAAAAATTGCACATTTGCATTCACTAGGGAACGAAACCCTATGGCAGCCGTTAAAAAATTGATTTGTTTCAGTGGACCAACCTCCACAAAAAACAAGGAGAAACACCCATGTATACATTTAGAAAATCATGTACAAAGAGATACAAGAAAATAAACATGGCATCAAGCCCAACCAAAACTACATACTATATTTACAGTCATGCTACAGTCATGTTCATGATCAAACAAAAAAAATCAGTGGCATTCATGCACCAGGCAAGAAATAAAGACATATAAAAAAAAAGAAGAGCGAAAAACCATGACAACCCACTGACGACGATCTTGGCAACAATGCTTTGGGTTGACGGAAATCAGGCGACGGGCGGGTAATTTGGAAGCGGGGATATCGTCGAAGGGTATGGTCCAGACAATGCCGGTTTGTTTTTCAGTGCTGAGCATGCGGGCAGTGTTCTTCGTGAACAAACTGGGATACATCGACTCCACATTTCGGGCAAAACGAATAGCAGGACCGTTCGTGACATACCGAAGGAAACATCGCAGGATTTACAGAGAACATAATGAAAAGCAAATGCAGAGTCGGAAAGGTTTCCAAGTAGAGTAAAGAATAAACGATAAAAAAAAACAAGACAAGCAAAACCAAAAAGTGAAGAACTTTAAAATGACCCAAAGGAGCAAAAAAGGCGGGAAGTAGGAGGAAATAAGTAAAAGCACAAAGTTTTTCAAGGGAAAAAGACTTACAGTTTTTATAGGGCGGGGATGAGAAACTGCCATCTCTCGTTTTTTTATTAACCTTGAGGCTTCTTCATGGGCACTGTCAATATTTGATTTGTTGCTTTTGGGTGCATTTAACTTTATTCGGGTGCCGCCCATATAATAATGGTTCATGTCACACGATGGCGACTCTTGTCCATTGGATAGTTTTGACTCTGCGTAATTTGGTCTTCATTACTTTTGAGGAGTGGTATTCCCTTGCCCCAGTGTCTGTTGTTGTTTTTCCATGTCACACGCAACATAATAATGACAGGAGAAAAAAAAAGGGAGATCCCAATCATGGCCGGTGAGGAGACATCCAGCCAAAAGTGATGGACTTGCAGAAATCCTGGTTCTTGATTGGGCAAAAAGGCTATACCGTTGATTCAATAGATTCCAACCTCCTTCAGAGTCAATAGAATATTGATGAGTTATTTTTTTTTTCCCACTGTGCTTTTCATCAAATAGCATATCGTGGTTTATATGCCTCATATTTTAATGAATTATTGGTTTCTCTTCTGACATCACCTTACTTTTTGACGCTTATGTTCAGGGCCCAACCCGTCCTATTGGCTGGAATGGAGGGAACAATTTATTTAGGCGTATCGCCACCCATGTGCCACAGCGACCACTTGGCGTGCAGACTCCGAATTTGGGGTTTGGCTGGCAATAAGAGGTAGGACAAAAGGACAACCAGAGAGGGTCACTTCCATTTTAAGGTGGGGCGCAGTCGGTGAATACTGTCATAGACAATATGTTGCTCACGTTTTTCTGATATTACTTTCTGCACCATCAGGGTTTACGCTCTCACAAAGCGTAACATTCCATGCTGATTACAATTAGGCTAGCGATTGGCATGTGAACTCCGTTTTCCCCTGAACCAAATCTCAGCAAGCTGTCAATTTTCAATGAAGCAATAACAACTGGTCTATTCATCAACACTCTCGCAGACAGATCTTATCGTTCAATGACCATCATTAAAAATTATAAGGAACATCATACCGTGACCTACGAAATCATCATTATGGATGAACATCTTTTTCTCAAAGCCATTGACTTTCAACATGTCAAAATTTTGTGGATGGCTGTGAACTTGATCCTTTTACAGCTCAAGAACCAAGAGAGTTTTCTTTATTTTAATGAAATGGAGGGGGTGATATATATGATCGTTCTTTTGAGTTAACGTAACCCGTTCTCGGGTTCCCATGCCATAGCTCGCAAGCTAGACTGAGATGGCGCGGTGGACACGTTGTCAGATGTCACAGTCGTAGGAGTAGGAGCGGCGGAGTCGGGGTCAACAGAAGAAGAAAGTGGAGGAGGCAAGGTGATGGGATGATCAGTGGATGCATGGTTCGTTTGGGAAGGGAGATTGCCGACCGACTGGATCGAACCCGATGGCGTGGCGGTGACTTCGTCTTCATCTATATCATGTAATGACGGCATCAACGAATCGCTGGGATCATCCGTCGAAGGCACTGGTGAAGACATGGCCGACAACGTCATGGCTTCTGCGGTTTCCTCGGTTCCATTGACGGCATCAGTCAACGGTAAACCATTGGCCCCGGTATATGATTTCATTGCCTCCTCATACTCTTCCATCTCTTTTTTATACATATCATAATATTTCTATCAGACAATGATCAAACATCAGCCGACTTTTTGTTTTGCTCGATAGCTTTGATCAGCAACGGTTTACCTGTTTTTCTTCCTTTGACAGACTTTTCCATTTCTGGCCCAGTAATTTGGTGACTTCACCGAGATTTTCTTGCGGGTACTGATCTTTGATCTTGTCTCGTTCAAGGCGACAGTACAGGAAAAAGACGTTGCCCGGCCCTTTCGGTGCATTGGGATCCTTCTTTCGTCGCGGCGGCTTACCCGCGAGCATTTTGTCTATTCGACCACGATGATGATCACCGTGCTTTGTAGAATGATATTTCTACATGATGGCTTTTAGTATCGCATCTCCTGCGGATAACCCGTCGACATTTGCGGGGAAGATGGCTTACCAAATCGATGCCATCGTGGGTTTCAATATCGGAGCCCATATCTGAGTGATCGCTGTTAGGCAGCGAGGCACCATGCACCTTTTCCATGCGATCCAGTAAAAAACTACCATCATGCATGATGAGCACTTCCCCATTCAGCGTTGTGACCATCTTGACAAACACTTACGTTCTCTCTAATTTCAATTGGCTAATGTTTTTACGGGCTTTATATAACCGAATATGAAGAAGATCGTTTTCCTAATGAGAAAAAAAAAAGGAAGGATGACATAGCCCGTAGCGTAGCGTGGCGTGATTAGAGTGGTTCCTTGCATAAAGTTGTGATTGATGGGGAGTTATGGGTGTTCCATCCACCTACTTCTTCAATATCTCGGATCCGCTTCTTCAATTCCCTGTACTTGTTTCTATACTTGACGTCTAATCCAATCAAAACGATGAGACAACTACAATACCAAAAACCCTACGTTTCGAAATAGACGCGCTTTTCTTTCTTCCCTTTTTTCTCTTCATCACTGACATGCGTACCTTCGATCATGATGAATTTAAAAAAAGTTGGAACTGTTGTGAAGCGGTAGAGTGGGCAACACGAGAAGAAATATATAAAATGTTCATGATTATAAATTTTGGCATGGCAATGAATGAGTGGAACAGTGTCAGAAAAGCAGATTCGCCAGCAGTCTTACCTTTTCGGTAGTGGAAAAAAAAATAGAGGAAACAAGTGGAGGTAAAAAAAGAAAAAAAAGGTTTGAGGAAAAGAAAAGAAGAGAAATTTGAACAGGGAGAACAAGGGAAGTGTGGTATACCCAAAGTCTTAATGTGAATTTTTATTTTTTTATTTCATTCGGTTTCATTTTGAGGCCGTCTTTTTGTTTCGTGGTGGCCTTTTCGGGCCACGGGGTCCCAATCGGGCCAAACGCATTTTTGCCCATTTCCTTCACACAAAACCTTTTTTTTTTTTTCAGGGCGCACTTTCCCGTCGGACATTCAACTCGCGTTTCCGCCCTCGCCCACAGCTCATCTAAATCAGTTACTTAGTTGGTAATGAGCCTTAGTAAAAAGAGCCTTTTATCGTAGCAAGATTATCACGGTTGTTGGACGTAATGTCTGTGCTATGTTAGTTGGATACATTGCTATTGTTGGCGTGCTACTGAGTTTGTATTCAAGCCTTGAATGATGAAATGCAAATGTACCGTTGGTCAAATCAATTTGGTGCGTTATCGTCATTTGAAAAATAAAACGTATGCATCAATGCAATTCTATTCGTTGGAGCCATCGGGTTCGCTAACAAGTGGGTTTTGGGGACATTTTATTGATGAACAAAACTCAACAGATTTCGTTTCATGACCACATCGTATTTCAAGCTTGCAACGTCCCATCGTCTAGTCAAAAATTCTTACTTGATCCAATTGATGCAAAAGATTTGGTCAGGCATATCTTTATCATTGCAAAGGGAATAAATACCACCTCTTGAAGTGTGGAAGATCGACTTACAAAACATCGTTCTTTTATGCATTGACTTGACCTTGATCCAAACACGAAGAGATTTTCTCTGGATATTCGTAATTTTAACATGTGTCAATGGTCTGCATATCAATGCTTAACCGTCAATGAGACCATGTTCATGATATGACGAGAAAAGTAAAGCAGGTAGGGTTTGCAGGTGCCAAAAGAAAGAAAAAAGGCTTTTTTTTAATGCCATGTGCTAAAACCAAGCATGATGTGTTTAGCACGATTTTTTACGTTATTCGGAGTTTCAAAGATTTTTGGCTCGGTGAGTTGATGGGGGAATTCCTTCTCTGGCGGCCGAAGCCGTATTTGATCCCACCAGCGCCAATCCATCCATCCCTCCTTTTTAAATCATCCATCGTCCAATATGGGTACGTATGCTAAAATCCATCAGTATCCATCATCTTTATTCATCATAAAACTCACCTTTGGATGATTTTGTTTGTATCTATTAGCTGTTGGCAAGAACAAGTAAGATCGCAAAAAAGTCCATTACACTCTGATGAATGATTCTTCATCCTTTTAATTTCAATCTTGCTTACCCCTTTCTTTCCCCCCCGTCATTGTATAGGCGTCTTAGCAAAGGAAAGAAGGGTTTGAAGAAGAAGGTGTAAGTATGAGCATTCCATCATTGGAGAAAATGGGGAGAAAGAAAGAGAGAGACCAAGGAACATTAGACAAATGGAGGCGACATTAGATACCTGGTTTTGCAACACCATTGAAAATTGGAGAATTGAATGATTGATTAATGTTCTTGTATTAATGCAGTGTTGATCCCTTCACCCGCAAGGACTGGTACGACATCAAGGCTCCTTCGATGTTCGATGTTCGCCAGGTCGGTAAGACCTTGGTCAACCGTACCCAAGGTCTCCGCAACGCCAACGACTCGCTTCACGGCCGTGTTGTCGAAGTGTCGCTCGGTGACTTGTCCAAGGACGAATCGCGCGCTTTCCGCAAGATTCAGTTGAAGGTGGATGAAATTCAAGGCAAGAACTGTCTTACCAACTTTTACCGCATGGACATGACCTCGGACAAGCTCCGTTCCATGGTCAAGAAGTGGCAGACCACCATTGAGGCTTTCGTCGATGTCAAGACCACCGACGGCTACCTCGTTCGTCTTTTCACCATCGCCTTCACTGCTCGTCGTCGCAACCAGATCAAGAAGACCACCTACGCTCAGACTGCTCAGATCCGTCAGATCCGCAAGAAGATGTTCGAGATCATGACCGAAGAAGCTGTTGCTTGTGACTTGAAGGAACTCGTCAACAAGGTCACCAGCTCTGCTTCCAACTCGGCTCAGGATGCTATTGCTGTCCGTATCGAAAAGGCCTGCCAGGGTATCTACCCCTTGCAGAACACCTACACCCGCAAGGTCAAGATCCTCAAGGCTCCCAAGTTTGACGTCTCCGCCTTGTTGGCTCTTCACGGTGGTGCCGCCGCCGCCGGTGACGAAGTGGGTGCCAAGATCGCCAAGGACTTTGTCGAACCCCCGGTGCTCGAAAGCGTCTAAATTCCATCAATTATCAATCATCAAACGGAAACCAAAAAAAAAAAGCCAAGATGATTGGTTTGTCTTCTATTTTGTTGTTGTTGTCCTAACCATACATCGATTACAATGCACAATAAAGAGTAAAAATATACAACATCATCTACACACTCTTTATCAATCTTTACACTTCTCTTACATTCATTCATGAGTTCACTGCTGATCATACTGCAGGAGGTTTGACGTGCCACACTTGCCTCTTTTGATTTCATGCTATTCAAACAAGATGGGGGTTTTATTGATGCAACAACTGCGCGAGTCCGGGATAAATGAACATGAGGAATATGGCTAACAAGGTAACTGCAGGTGAAAACAATAAGGGTAACAAGATGATATTACAACAAGTCGAGAGACGTCAGGTTTTCAAGGGGAGACGGGCGGCGAGATGGTGGATCGTGCGGTGGGGTCGGCGGCTTGGATGACGACAATGCTCGCTTGAACACCCATGGACAGTATGTCGTGGGTCAGGGTACCTAGAGCGGCACGGACGTCACGGTTGTAGGACGAGCCATTGGAAGGGTCAGTGTCGGCCGGATGGTTGGTCACTGACAATTGACGTGACAGATCGTTGACCTGAGTGACTTGACGACCGAGAATGACCAGATCATGTCGTCCCAGAGGTCGGGGAAGCGAAGCAAACATGTCGCAGTTGCCCTGCAACGGTATCTGGACTTGCTGAAACGTCACATTCACCGATCGTGCGCCTTGTTCCTCGAGCAATAAAGCGAATGGGTCGGTTTCACTCGCGGCATCGGAATCCAACAAGGCAACAATGCCTGCGTGAGACACAGCAGCACGCGCTGGCGAAGCATTGTTGTGGGTATACCGCAAAATTAGCACATCCACGTGGCGATTCATGTGCAGTCGTAATGCGAATAAAAGCGCGGCATTATCGTCCGGTCCGCCCAGGTACGGGATGATGACCTGGAATGCCGAAGCCGACGTCAAGCGCGGATCACCATCTTGAATGTGACCGAAACCACGGTCGATAAACAGGCCCACCGTGCAGTGACGAATAGCAAAAGTTTGGGTGGCAAAATCGACATCGCTCGTCGGGTACGAGGACCATTCGCCAGCCAAATAGTGTTGTTCCAACGGATGGCTGGAAGCGTCCCACTGAAGGTAACGACTGCTGATCCACGGTAGCAGGATCAAGTCCGCTTGCACTTCTTCTCCGTGGTGAGCTACCGTTTGCACATACTCTGAGAGTGGGCAAAAGTCCAATCGTGTCTGCAACGATTCCAACCCGATCAAGCTCGCAAACGTTCGAAGCACATTCAGTACCGGGTCTTGACGCGTGGTTTCGCGTGAATCTTTGATTTTCATCACCGCCGACGCACGTTGCGTAAGTTCCAGTAACCGTAACGCATGAATCTCAATATGTCGCTTGGGTTTCTTCTTCTCGCTGCTCCCTCCGTTGAGGCTCTCTTGCTTCAATAATCGAATCAACGCCATCATGGATGGAATCGCATCAATTCGGTTCAGCATGGTCACAAGACAATACCGGTCATCGGGGATCGTCTTGCCGGATAACGGTTGAATGCTGGGCTCTTTCGGATACCCTTCTACCAGTCCTTCCTGGGTTTCCGTCGCCACCCGTTTCTGATAAGAAGGTGGATAAAGCCAAAGTACCATGGGCGTCGTCATAAACGTCGTAACTAAGGCCTAACATCTCTGTGTAAACACATGCATCTCGCGCCAAAAAAAAAATCCAACTCATATTGACAACGTACCATGACAACCATGATGACGAATACTACAAGTACAAGTTAAAAAGTAAGCATGGCTGCTGACCGTCAACCACCACCATAAAATGACTTACTTTGATCATTTAGGACGCCTGCGTCATGGCCGATATTCAAAACGATCAATTCTACCAATCTAAAGTTTGGGGGTTGCCCCGTCAGTAGTGGGCCCGAAGTTCTTTGGCGGGATGGCAATGGGACAAACTTACCCTTTACAGTTCATCAAAAAGCCTACGGCAAACGATTCACGGAGAGTCATTCCCAGTCCTTTGGCAGCCAAGGTACATCCTACGATTTTTCCAAAACAAGCGACAAAAATAACGAGGACCACATAACCCCAGACGGTGCCATCGTCCAGCAATCCGATCTGGGTCTTTAGACCTGACAGAGTAAAGTACTAATACACTCTTATTTGAGAACAACGCACACCATAAAATAACAAAAAGCGGTAGCACTTACCAGGGGCAAGAAAATAATGTTGACAATGTCTTCAATTTTCTCTGTAATTTTGATCGCCAGATCCCCTTTGTGAGGCACGATGACGCCGGCCAAGAATCCGCCAAAGATGGCATGCACACCAATGATATCGGTGACAAACGCAGAAACCAGTACCGTCAGTAAAGTGACAGTCATTAAAAGAGGCGAAGGCCCATGCTCAAAAGATTGGGTATAGACGCAAAGGCGCTTGTAAAGTGGAGCGACGCCAAAGATCAGAAAGAGAGCAAACCCGACCGTGGTTAAAAACACCCACAGCGCTTCCAAACCCCCGGTGGCATTCAACAAGGCGACAACCAAGGCCAACAGAATCCTATCCATTTTTTCATTCATTCATTAAGGGATGAATGGTTATTTCTGTTGACAAAAATATAAGGTTACCAAGCAGTACAGTCGTTCAGAATGCCGGCCGCCATGGTGATGGCGCCGACTTGAGTCCGCAACAGTTTCAATTCCGCCAGAATGCGGGCCAAGACGGGAAACGCCTAACAGATGTTCATCAACTTGAATAAAAAACTTGTTCCTGTCGATACTGCATAGCCGTTAATCTGGAAGCATAGTTCCAAGTGCCTTACCGTAATGGCCATGGCCACACCGAGAAACAGTAAGAAACTGCTGAAAGGCACACTGGGATCGCCTTGCAGTTTGTATAGACCGACACTGACAGCAATTCCCAGTCCAAATGGAAGTGCCATTCCGGCAATAGCAACAAGCACACTTTTTCGCCAGTCGCGTCGAACGATATCCAAGTCGACTTCCAAGCCGACCTGAAACAAGAAAAACACAAGTCCAAGCGTGGAAATGAGATTGAGAAACGGCAACGATGGATCAGGAAAAATGGCGTCCTTGAATCCGGGAATCCGGCCCATGACAGAAGGACCCAGGATAATCCCGGCCAACACTACAACGCATGTCGTGAGCGAACTCCATTAATCTACATTTTCTTTCATGGGTGGCGAGATTCGCAAGGCGTGCATAAAGTAGAATGAAGGAAAGAGTAGAGGGCGTTTGATCGAGAAAGGGACTCTGTGTCCAACTTACCTTCTGAAATAACGCGCGGCTGTCGTAACCAAGCCAATGGGACAGCAAGCGCACGGCAGAAAATCAGAATGATAGTCGCCTGGTTGCATTGTATAGGAAGTGTGAGATATCATGGAATACTTGTGTCGGTCAAAAAAGATGTAGGAGATTTTTCAATATTGGTATGATTTTCTACCTGGATGATAAACAGGACAATCGGATTGTTCGCATTGAATTGAGCTGGATTTAATCCTGAAAAGACACCGGCTTGAGGAGCAGCCCCAGTTTCCATCAAAAGAAGAGCAAGTCAAAAAATAAAAAAAAATTGAACAAGATACAAGGAGATACAGGGAGACCCGACATCTCCATTATTTCCCGCAGATCCGGTTCTGGAAAAAAAAAAAAAGACTCGGATTCAAATACAGCAACCACACCGGCTATTTGTCGCCGGTCAATGGAAACAATCATCCCATTTCTTCTGACCATTCATCCTGGTTGCTATTGTTAACTTTTGATAGATGAGCAATGATAAAATAAAACAACAATGATTAATAATAATCAATATTTTCAATAACGCTCTGCATCAGAGAAAAAGCCGTTGAAATAGAGAAACCATGTCAAAACATGTCAATTGAATAGTTTATCAGATGAAATAATTTTTAAAAAAAAAGTCAGATTATTTCTATTCAATCGTTCAATGTTTCAATGGTAATATTGCAAAGAGACAAACCTTGTTCTGTGAAAGAAAAAAGACAAGATGATAAAATAATGAGTCATGATCGATTATTGTATGGGGATGAAAAAAAAGAAAAAAAAGAAAATAGATTCACAGGGAAATACAGAAGTATGGACATCTGTGGGAATAGGCAGCAAAAAAAAAAGGATGAGAAAGGGAGATGGGAGTGGTGGATGTAATAGAATCAAAGAAACACTGAAAGAGAGAAGAATCAATTTTTTTCTTGGAAGAATGTGTCTACATGATGGTACAGTCATCCGAGGCGCCTGACTTTTTCTTTGTTTTTATGGATTCTGATGATTGCCCTTGCAAGCGTTGGATGGCGCGTTGGTCGCCGTGGGCTGCCGCTTGATGATACCAATGCATGGCCGCTTCGGAGTCTTTAATACAGCCGATCCCCACTTCGGTGAAATAGCCAATGGCGTATTCTGCTTTAGGCAGCTCTTTCTCCGCCGCGCGACGGGCCCAAATGTACGCTTCCGCATCCGATTGAGGTAAGATGCCCGGCGAACCTACCAGGTACCATGCTGTGAGAGCAAAACAGGCTTCTCGGTGTCCTTGTTGCGCGGCCAAGGTGTAATAGTGAATTGACAACTGAGGATCCGGAGAACAGTTGAGTTTGCCGTATTCAAAACATTCACCCAGTCGAAAAGCTGCTGGCGGATATCCCAAATCGGCCGCTTGCACGTACAATGACACGGCATATTCCAGATCGATAAACACAACGTTTTCAATTCCTCGTTCATGCAATACGGCTAATTCGTGGATCGCGTGTGGGTATTCCAACGTGGCCGCTTCTGCAGCTCGTTTCAACCATTTTACTCCATCACGTGGGTTCTTGGAAATGCCCAGTTCCCCATTCACTTCCGCCACTCCTAAGCGATACATGGCACCGGGATGATTTAACGCTGCGGCTTTCCTATACAGGCAAACAGAAACCATGCCATGTTACTTCTGGGTTCATTTTCGACGTTCAAGAATAGGAGTGAAAAAAACTCGGTTTTTAATTTGGATCCCATGATCCATATAATGGAGTTATTTTCGGATTTTTTTTTTTTTTTTTTTTTTACCTGTAAAATTGGATAGCTTTGCCGTGATCTTTCCGTGAACCGAGAGCATCCTCATAACACTTGGCAGCCCTAATCACAACCAAAAATTAAATATTTGAGATTTGAAAGGAAAAAAAAAAAAGAGAGAGACAAGCGGAAAGCAGCCAAGTAGGGAAGAGAAAGTACTTTTTTGCACGAGTTTATCGTGATAAGAGATGATAAGAAAAAAAAAGAGAGTTACCTGTAAGAAGCATCGGCGTGATGATGTTTGGATGCTTGAATGAACAAGGGGAAAGCTTTATCGAATTCGTTTTTACCCTTTTTACTGAGTAAGCCCGAGGCATAGATATTGCCAAGGTAGTATTGAGATTCAGCGTGACCGCGAGCCGACAACTGTTTGAGCAATTTTTCAGCCTCAGCCAAATATTCCCAGCGATTCGAATCATCCTCCGCCAATGGTTTGGCAGCTTCGACCATGAAAATGGCGAAATCGCATTGAATGTCGGGACTATTGGTTTTCTTTGCATTTTCTCTGTACATGTTGATGGTTTGTGCATACGATAGTAAAGACGCGTGAGAGCCAGGCTTCAAGTGGGAATGGTCTAATAGTTGATCACCGGCAATGCTAAGAGCGGTACTGGATCGATTATCCGATGGGGTTTGCGAGGAAGGGGTGGGGGGACTGGAGTGACCTGGAGGACATAAAGAAGGCACCGATTCGTTGGTGGATGAAAACATGGTATGTTGGTGTTGTTGCTGCTGTTGTGATAGTGGAGGTGGTGCTGATGATGATGATATTTGGCTGGCTGTAGTGGAAGAGTGAGGGGGTGGTAGAGGAGAAGGAGACGACGACGATAACATTGACGAGGGATCCGTGGCAGGTGCAAAGGATCCTTTCAATGACAAGCTCATGGGATCAAAGTCGGACAAGGCAATGGAGATGGGCTGGTCATCAGTGGGAAGAATAGACATGGTATCAAAATAATGGACATCCACACACACACACACTAGCAACAATGAAGAAGAAAGATAAAGAGAAATAACAAGAAACAAAAAAAAAAAGGAAGATAGAAAAGGGCCCAAAACAGAGATAGATTGAATAGTGGACCCTGCTTCCATTTTTAAACACCACCTAATGCTGGCAAACACACTGGTGGTGCCTGACTTCCAAAAGCAGACAAGCTTGCTTTATCCATAACTCTACGCTTTTTTTTTTTTTTGGTTGGGTCACGAGAAAAAAAAAATAGACTGAATCAACTCATTCTGGTAAAACCCCGTCTCCCTAATTTTGCACTTTTTTCTTTTGCTCTTTTCTCTTTTCTTCCCCCCAAAAAAACCCTGTGGTCCTCCATAACCCTAATTGGTTTTTTCTATTGCGACATATAATACAACTTACCGCTCATTGTCCCCCATTTCCATCATGACCGATCTTGTTGGCTACATTTACAGTGGACTTATCTTCACTGGAGGAGCTATTGGTTACTTCAAAGGCAACTATTCCCAATCTATCGATCATTACCCACTGATAAAATAAACGAGGCACATGGCAAAAACCCCCCAATAACCATCATCATTATTATATAATAATAGCCGGTAGCACCGCTTCTCTCCTGGCTGGCACCATTTTTAGCGCAGCAGCAGGTCTCGGTGCTTATCTCGCATCCAATAATCCCAAGAATGTGGTTTTCGCGTTATGTATGTATTTTTATTACAATCTCTCTTTTTTTTTTATCAATTTTACCATGGAAACATCATGAAAAGTTTAAATTTTGTGCTTACATGAGATTATGTGCGTAGTGGTCGCTGTTGTCCTTCTCATGGTGATGGGTAGCCGATTCAGCAAATCCGGAAAATTCATGCCTGCCGGATTGATCTCTTTCCTAAGGTAAGATTTTTACAGTTGTTCTCTCCCCTTGCCATGTTTCTCTCCCTCTCTTCCCATCTCCTCCTTCCTCCGCCTCACACCACCTTTTCTCCCAACATTTTTAACGTGTAAAGGGAAAATACAGGATCATCGATGACTAATCTATTACTATTTTCTTTTTCTCAATCTCGGGGAAAACCCTAATCTCCAATTTTCGCCCGTTCGTAGTTTGCTCATGATCATTCGCTACGGTCTTCGTCTTATTCAATAAAACTCAATTTGTCACCTTTTTGTACATAATTGTGAATCACAACACACTCATCCAACGCATGAAACGTTTCACCGCACTAGGAATGATCGGCATAGCTACCTTGCAGGATGGTATAATGAATTGTTGATGGAATCACATATATATAACAGCCATTTATTCGTTCGTCAAAATGCTGACACCTTCACTGGCCTATTCTATGGTGGGTTTGTGTCTCGCAGTATAGTATCACTTATTTGAACGGTGGAACAGCCAATAATACATCTGCCGAGTCTGCGCGAGCTATCCGGTTCGCCTTGTCTTTCAACTGCGTGATCACAGCGTTCTAATATGGTCTTGATTCACATAGTGCAGGACTTTTCGCTGTAATGGCTTATCACGCGTTCTTCATTGAAAAGCCCTTCTTTCTTTTTCACGCCCACGGATTGAATATATCCACCAACAGTTACCAAGCCAAGTGGCAAATGCCACTGACATTGTCACGAAAGGGCCAATGTCAAAATTACCGAATCACCGCGCCTTTGATCCACTTGCTCGGAAACACCAACACTTTGTGTGCCCGATTCGCCGCTCAGGGTTTCACAACTCCGCGCAGAAAAAGAACAACACAACACTGTCAACACTGTCACTTGAGCGTACGGAAAAGCAATTGCATTACGCGCTTTAATTATTTCCATAACGCCATTGTCTGCGTAAAACTGGCAGAAAGTCATGCTATTAAATTCGCGGTGCCAGCGCGCGTATCTATGTGCCAAATGGCCATTGCCCCAAGTCAAAAAAAAAAAAAAACGTAGAATACCTATTGCTCGCCTCTGGATGATGGATATATTAAATGAAACATACATTCGTTTGTACTTGAACTTTTTCTTTTGTAACATCTCGTCTCACACAAGGTAGTGGATCAGAAGGGAGGGTATCGCTGCCAAGTGACGCTGTAGATCCGCCGCGGAGTTGACAGTTGTCAGTGCCGCGGAATAAGCAGATGACATCTATTTACAGTGTTGCTTCTTAAAGCTGCTCGATTACACATTGTATCGCCAGACATGTCGCCATCCGCATTTATCGGTTTTGTGGATATAACAGCCAAGGTATTGCCGTTGCCCGTAATTGCAGCTCTTGTCGATATCGATAAAAGATGGGAGGAAGAAAATAGCAGTTTCGTGGAAACCGACCGAAGGAATCGTAAAAGGACATTCCAAACAGAGTACATTAGTTGATTAAGCGTAGTTATTATAAACCGCATAGGCGGTGACATGCTCAATGACGACACTGTAGCTTTGTTGGACGCTGAAAACGAAGAACGATAGCATGCTTCCCCTGGTTCCGGGACATCAGCCTTGGAATTCGCGCTTCTGTTTTGTTACTGTTCTCCTGTCGATTTTTTTTTTTTTTTTGATTTCCTTCCCCTCCCCCCACTACAACCCCCTGCTGTCTACAGTACTTCCATGGGTTCTCTCCTTTCCAAATTTGAAATCAATTATTCACGTTGTCTGTTGTCTCTAAAAATATCCTTCAAATGCTTTATTCTATAAAAAAAACGAGAGAACAATATCTTTCCCCTCAACAGTGCTGATCGATCGTCAATGAAACACTATGAGCAAAAGAGTATATGGAGTTTCAATCAAAAGCTACCACAATCTAGGCCTTTCTCCTTGCAGAACCCTTTTTACTTGGATTACATCAGTATCTCATCTATATCATGAAATACAACTCACTGTAAGCTTCAGCTTCATTGTTTTTTTTCCGTTTTCAGTTCTATCTTTTTGGGAACGTAAAATAGTTGACACAATGACGGGATCCTGTCAGAGGCGTCAAACTTGCCAAGTGCAATGCATGCATATATTTGAGGCAATATGAATGATTCCGCACAAAAGCGCAGCAAAAAATCGGGTGAACGCACGTGCTGTAGTGTGCGTGTGCCGCTCAAATCCCATCTCTGAAAAAAAAAAAAAAAAAAAAAACTCAGCCTACATTATCAGATGCGTGTTATTTCTTGTTTTCACGCCCGTCAAAATGACGATCAGACATGCATGAAAATAGATATCCTTGTTGTGAGGAAATATAGTCGTTTCGCAATTCTGTCTGCCCGTCCGGTATCCAACAGCAACCATGCCGACGGGACGCTTGACCGGCATGCTTTGTATGATCTGACATTCAATTCTTGGACCATGACTACTTTTTTTTGGCTTTCGGCTGAATAATGAATTTGTCATCGGATTCCACGTCACTATTCCATTTCCATCGACTTTAATAACGTCAAATCAAAATTAATACTGTTAAATCGAAAATCAATGGATCTGTGTGTCATGGATACGGATGCGACTGCCAGATCCTTCTTCTCTCGTTGACGTAATTCGTTGCCATTGGAACTGGCACTCTAGTCTTTAAAACCACCCTTCCAACCGGCGTGTTGCTCGATTGTTCCAAAATACTCCATGCGGCACAGCAATTCCTATGTCACTGAACCTTCTTTTTCTACTATTATTTTTGGTTATTACTATATTTTGGACACGAAATGTGGACCAAAGATTTTTTTATGGGTTACAGATCGTGATCGTTCATGCCACGGATACAGCTGAGATGCAAAAAAGCTTGGATTCACGGATAAATGTTCAAGAGCAGGCGGCTTGGATAGACTAAATAGTGCTTATATGGTTTAGCATAAACGCAATTGCTTAAATTGATGAATCACCATACCCCAGACAAACCATGTTAGATCCCTGAACGCCAAGCAACACCATTCCATCAGAATATGGCATTTAAAGTTTTATGTAATAAAATATTTACTGCGGAAAATTACGTTCCCTTATTAATAGCCTATTAATAGCCCTTCTAAAAAGATCACAATTTTGATGAAAGAAGGAATGCCAAGGCCCATTGTGCGGAGAGAATAAGAAAAAAAAATAAGGTGGGTTTCAGCTTTGGTAAACGGATGGTGACAAAAAAGAGCACGCTAGAAAGAAAAGACCAAATTTCAATGTGGCTGAGTTTTAAGAAACCGAGTTACTTTTTGGGTGTATCATGAAGGGGCAACAAGGAACGTGGCAAATAAACCACGCTGGATAAACAGACGGGCCTGCCTTTCTGTGCAAGGGAATGTCGGCACGTCAATTGAATCGTCCAATCGCAGGCTCGGGATCAACTTGAGCCGAAAAGGGGAGCATGTGCACCGCATTTTCCCAAATGCTAAACATAAATCATTTGCCTGGATCAGAAAAGGGGAAGCGAAAGATTCCAAACCCCATCACGGTAAACAAAAACAAGCACATCATACCATTCCTCACTTTCACCATCCCCACTTTATGGCACATGGATAGGCTTGTCTTTGCTCCACTGGGATGGCCACCAACTCTCTCAACACTTACCAAAAAGTTAATAAAGTGTCACTCAATCGAGCCCGAAAGTAACGAGTCGAAATTGCTAGCATTATTACGTGTAGCTTAGTCAGACGAACCCTTCTGCTTATAATTCTTTTCCTGTTTCGACTGGATAACTATTTTTGAAAAGTACATGGTTTTTTTGTATCCATGAATATGAAAAGATATGCCCGTTGAAACACACAAATAAAGAGAAAGTTCTTTTTTCTTCGGGTTTCCGTCGGTATAGACATCCTGCAAACGGGTAATTCAATATCAGATCTCTGTCATCGAATCTTTTCCCCAATCCATGGCCATAAGTCACTGATAGCATAATTCGACGGGATCAGGATATGTCTTTGTCAGTGAGCGGCATATTGTTTGAAAAGAACGTCGATGTCTTAGTGATGGGCTGGTTTTGTGGCGGCGATGAAATTAGTGATTGGATATTGTCGTAATTACCTGAGCTCATTTTTTGCATTTACCCGAAAGCATACAGGGCTGGCGCCATGATTCATCCGCTGAAATAGAAAACAAAAAAAAAGGCATGTCACTTTGCGAATTTGGATCCATAGAGTATTCCACCGAGAGAAAACCTCACCATTTGCATCAGTTATTTGGTGCAAGAAAGAGAAAGGCTGTTGTCATTGAGGATATGGAGAGACGAGACGTGATGGTTCGAGGATCACGGCAAAAGTTATGGCATGTCGGTTACGTGCGAAAAAAAGGAAAATGAGTAGACGGATAGCTGGCATGGCCACCGCAGGAATGATGAGAAGGGCCATGTTTAGCCGTATGTGTAACCCGAAAAGAAGGGAGGTCATCCGCCAAGGATCAGAAAGCCACCCTTTTCCGGCAAGTCTTTCAAGTTTTTATTTTTTTTTGTTTTTGTGTCTGTGTTTTTTATCCATCCGACGCACTGAATAATCTTGATCTGGTAAAAATAATCATGACGGTTGGCCGGGCCTTACGCCTAAAGGCTCCCCCTCCCCCTCCCCATAGTTTTTCCCTTACCATGTCCGACCGATGGTTGGACCCCCCATTGTCGTCCGTCTGTCCCCCCACATACACAATACATACAGCACATATAATACACTCAACTACTCTGGTATCTAATCCATCAATCCATATAAATCTAACCCAACCACATCAGCTACCAACTATAAAAACCGCGCCATCATCGATTGCCACTTTTTCTTTTTTGTCTCTCTTCTTTTTTTTCTTCCTTTCTTTGTCAAATCAAGAACACTTTTTTTCTTTTTTTTTCCTCTCTTCTCTCTTCCCTTTTTTCTTTTTCTACTTTTTCTATGCATCAGTATTAAAAACGAAATTCATTGTAAGTAACATGTTTCGATTCTCTTCTTTTTTTTTCGATCCTTGGCTCGCTTTCTCTATTCTCGTTCTACTGTTTCCCTGGTGAATCAGGAAAACATGTCAATGGCATGACAACTACGAAAATAATCGCCTGGCTTTGGTTTCTCGGGTTATTTCTTGTGATCTTTTTGATCCATCAGAAAACCGATCATGATCTTTTTTTTTTTAAAAAAAAAAAAAGTTGTGGGTTTTCCCTTTTTACTTTGCCTGCCTTTTTCCTTTTTAACTCTTTCGATCCAAGAATAAATATAAAGACAAAAAAACCGAAAGAGAGCGAGCCGAAAAAAAAAACCAGAGTTCGGTTTTGGTATGCTTGTGATACTGATGAAAAAGATGGTGACATCTTTTTAGATGGATCTGCCAACATTGACTACACCTGCTACGCCTCCTTATGAATACAGCCTTCCTGATCATCATCACCATCAAGACGAAGTATCTCGTTTAAATTCAACCTCTGCATCACCTAAAATCGACCAACCGTCATCGAATTCCTACTTTGAAACCACTTCCACCATGCATCCACCTGTTTCGCCACCTTCCATGCATTCTCCTTGCGATCCGATCGAACCACACCCACGTACAGGGTTTCGTCGGGTGGTGCCTCTTTCCATGCCTTCACCTCCGGAATTGCTTCATGACAGTGAAGAAGACGATGACGAAGGATTATTCACGCCTTCCATGCATGAGTCTCGGCATAAACATTCTTGTTCGTCTTCGTCATCCGGATCCTCGTCAGCTGCTGTGATGAAACCCAAGCCCCGAGCCTCGATAGATCATCGTCGTAAATCAATGCCTCGTCGGTCGCCTTCGGTGATTAATGATCCTTTCCAGGTTTCCGCAGTCGATAAGAGTGTGGTGTTCCAACTCAATGTCAACGTCCACCCTTCTTACAACGTGACGTCCGAAACATACCCTGATACCACTTCGGAAGTGATTTGTGGTGAGTCGTTGCTATCGGCTTTGCGCAAACGAGTGGCTGCGGCGCGACAACAATCAAGTCACCGACGTCGACTTTCGGCACATCGTCCGAAGCAGATGATGCGATCCCCCACCCGTGTTGAAATCCGGAAATCCGTTCACTATCGATATCCATTTTCGGACCCTGACTCATCCACTTCCATGCCTCGTTCTCCCACACCTTGTTCCGCCGCCATTCCTTCCCATCCTGCCTCGGCCTCCGCCTCGGCCCCAACCTCCGCCTTCCATGTGCCATACACCCAAGATGGGGCTTTGCTGAATGACAACCATGCTTACTCCCACCCTCCCCCTGTTTCCTCGTTGGAGCGGTCGTGTGATGTGTCAAGAAACCATACTCGGGCCCTGCGTCCGTGGATGGAAGAATCGGAACCTGCTGCACCGTCGTTTTCCATGCCAAAGTTCTCCACCGCCTCGAGATCATTGCAAGACGGCGCGAAAAGTGATGAAGACGAAGAAATGGCTGAGAAGCCTCGAAAGAAATCGACGACCGGTCGGCGCAGTACAACGGGCGGTCATGCCTCTTCTGGACGTCCGTCTCGTGTGAAAGGGCCATGCCAAGCATGCCAGGAAACCTCGGATGGATGCATGCGCAAAGCATTCAACTGGCCATTCCCCACAAGTACCATTTTCAATGACAAAGGCAAACCATTTGTCTATCTCTGCAACAAGTGCGGTCTTCGGTAAGTCCACACGCCCCTCGTGACAAAATGACGGGTCATCGCGACGATACTCAAATCGATACTCATTATTTGTTTATTGTTTTCGTTATGTATAGATACAACAAAAGTGGCGGTAGCGTGTGCCGACACTGCCGATGGGTGTTTTGCAAAGAAGAGAAGCGCAAAGCGATGCAGCATATCGAGCAAATGCGACGTTCCCGTCCTGATGGAAAAGTGGATCCCAATGAAGACATTGAAAACTTTGTTTGCACACCCAAATACTGGACGTGTGGTCGACCATGGAAAGTGGGCTGGGTCCTCAACCACCATGGCGAAGACGACGAAGATGACGAAGACATGGATATGCATTCCCTTTCCAGTGATACTATGGCGGTCGATACGGCTTAAGATGTGCCTTTTCTTTTTTATCTATTTTCTCTTGTATGCTCCTTTAGATTTACTTTCTTCCCATTAGACTGCGTGTGCCTTACCCCCTTTGGCTTTTTTTTTTCATGGCGGTTTCATTTCTGTTTCTGTATGCCTTTCTCCTACTGTGTTCTCTTTTTGTGCTTTTTCTTCTTCTCCTTTCCCTTGTTTATATGGCAAAATATTGTTTTATTTTTTCTTTGTTGTTCTGCATGAATTCATTGCAACTGTGATGATAAAATGCAGAAGAATTTCTGTTAAACTTTCTCCCTTCTCTGCTCTAGTTCTTTCCTGTTTCTTTTTCTTCCTTTTTTTTTCTGTACATAAACACTTGCTGATTGAAAAAAAAAATCCAATGTTACAAAAGCCAATGAAAATAATAAAAAACAACAGTTGAAACTGTTATATGGATCAATGTACGACAACGAAAAAAAAAAGGAAAAATGGACGGATTGTCATGCGAGATTTTCTCTTTAGAAGCCTCAATGTCTTGGCATTCTTTCAATCATTTCGTATCACGCATTCGCTACTTTGAAAGTGGATCCAAAATCAAATCAGAAAGCATGGCAAAACCAGGCGCCGGTTTTCCCATGTCAGGCACCGGAAGAACCGATCAACGCAACGATGACCAAGAAAATGGGGCTTGGCCAGAAAAAAAAAGTGCAATTGTGGTAGGAAAAAAAAGACTTCCATGGCGAGAACGGGAAAAAGTAGAGAATTGTGTGGAGATCTGAAACGATACTACATTAGATGGATCGGTAAAATGGTTTATTTCTTCTTTCGATGTGAAAGAGACCATTAGCGTTTCGCCAGCATGCCGTTGCACAGGTTCTTATCGGAGTCCACTTTTTCTCATCAAGGACGGTTCCCAATGACCTCATGGGCTTTTACGTACTGCGGGTGACACATTTTTTTTATTGTAAAAGCGCGACAAGTGAAATCGAATCTAAATGGTCCTAGATGATACATAAAAAGGATGGACTCCTTTGGAGTGTGAAAAATAGGGTCTGCTCTCATGTATTTTATACACTCTGAGGGCCCAATATGATTTTTCAAATTTAGAGTTTAAGCTTTGTTGATTTTAATGGTGGCGGGACCTTGGATGCCTTTGACGACCAATTTGTTATCGATGACTTGGGATTCCCCTTGTCCATCGATATGGACCTTGACACCATTGGGATACATTTTACGGGAAATGACCCATTCACCGCCCCCGGTACCGTCCAATTCGATGATATGTTCACGCTTGCCGTGATCAAAAGTCTCTTTCTTCATCGTGGCAGTGCAGCTGATGGTGTGAGGCGGGAAACCATATTCTTTGATATACTCCGCCACCTTGCCAGCACACAGCGGAACTTGCAATTGGATATTCTTGAGGAACGACGTAGGGATAGAACCAGCTAAATCCACTTGGGTGATGTAAGTTAAACCGATTCCACCTTCGGTCTTGTAAAACTTCCATCCAGAAACAACAATGTGACCACGGACACAGCCGGACACTTCAGGAATCATTGGATCCACCACGGACGACATGACGACGAAGCAAACATCGTCACTCAGATCACGGATGGCCGTACCTGCAAAATCGCGAGGACTGACGGGCCATGGTGCCTTCAATTTAACCCAGAAAAAGGTTTCTGAGGGTGTATACTGTTCCTTGACTTCCGATGTGTCATACTTCTCATCCCCTACGAAATCAAGACAAAAGAAAAAACCGAAAAGCCACTGTTGTCAGTGATACCTTGTTTCATTCATGCATGCATGCATGCATGGATGTGCACCAAAAGATGTACGATTTGTGACTTACAAATTTTTCGTGCACCAGGAAGTGTGGCCACGGAAGCGACATCGCGTGGCGTGAATTCAGTCGTTTGTAAAACGGTATCACCTCGCACCATTGGCATGGCGAGACCTTCGACTTGTTTGGTGTATAGTTTGACGCCATTTTTTTCACTGGAAAATTCCCAGCCTTCCAAGGACGCCGAAAGATCTTTTAGGTATTGCAAGCTTTTGCGGGTGTGCTCAGCGTGGCGATTGTTGGACTCGAGGACGACCATGGTGGATTGAAATAAGAAAATGAAGAACTCACAGAATAGAAAGATGGAAAGGAAAAGAAAACGAGGAAAGGGAAAAAAAAGGGATAGATTGAAACTTGATTATATGTTGCCACGAAGATGGCGAGGACTGGCTTTTATAGATCAAAAAAAGTCCAGGAGGACCACTATCGTCGGTCGGTGTAACATGAAGCACGGCTTTCCCATGTGAAAAATTATAAAGCAAAGAGCCCTTTGGTTTTCATTCTTGTTCTTTTTTCATATGGGTTTTCGCGGGCTTCCAACTAGAAGGACTTTAAAAGATGAAAAGACACATTGAACCACAATAAAGAAACAGCATGGTCGTCAAGATAAACCCCCCCAATGGGAAACAAATAAAGAAGCCTCTTTCTTTCTTTTTGAACTTTTCTGAAATGAAATGGTACACATTTAGTGTCATGGTTCTTTAGAATAGGATATGCTTTGTCTTCATGGGTTGATAAGCTTTTGGTTTTTCTGTCTTTCAGTGAGAGGGATTGGCAACATTTGTGTAGGACAGATGTGATACCAATCGATCAAATGAATGATAGGACCATTTCCCCGCTTTTTTTAATTGAACGTTGCACTTGCGCGTGACTGAACTTCGTTGATTATCAACCTTGTTCTTTTTGCTGTCATTTGTTATATGAATTTATATTGGTAAAAAATATGAGGTCAAACAATTCAGGAAACCAAGCAACCGTGGAGTTCAAGAAGAATGGGATCGCCAACTACAGCAAAGACGAGATAAGAATAGAAATAAATCGAATCAATAGAACAGAAAAAGGAAAAAATACTAAAGTAGAGAAACATGTGAAGAAGAGGAACTAAGGAACCGATAAAGAATTTTTAAGAAGAAAAAGTAAGAGAGAAAAAAAAGGGTATTAGAGAACACATTTACGTGAAGTTAAAACTTTAATTGGGCTTTTTTTTGGTTTTGGTTGTTGTTGTTGTTGTTGTTGTTCACAGCAACGAGATGAGAAAAAGGCACCAATATGAGGATAAAGATGAGGTTTCCTTTTTTTTTTTCAAAGGGACGGAGAAAACAAAGAGTTATAGAAGAAAAAAACAAGTAAAATAGTAAAAAATCAGGAAAGGATGGTGGTGGTGGTGGTGACCAGCATCAGAAAAAAAAAAGAGGGATGATGGCGTTTTGTTTCAAAGAGGATCCATGGCAGTAGCGGTCAGGGATTGAGGTTCATCATAAATATCGGTTTTGGTGGTCTTAAGATTACCGGATGGTTGAGGGACCACCGGCGCACCAAAAGCTCCCCATATGCGAGAGTACATGCTGGATCGTTTATAGTGCTGTGGACTGGCGTATGACATGGCGGAGGTCGTGGACGACGCAATACTGTCGGTTGATTCTCTAGGCTCTCTGGGCGATGTGGGTGTACTGCCTCGACTGGCTAACATGGACAACGAGGTGGTCGAGTTGCGTTTCAGATACATGGAGGTACGACGTTGCTGTTGCAGAGATCCACGAGGGCTAATGGGACCTCCAGATTCGTATTCGGCTAATTTCACCTTGGTTTCTGCCAATAGTTTTTCCAGTTCGCGGCAACGAAGATCACTTTCAATGTATTTTGCCTGATATTCGTCCTGATACTGGGCACCTTGAGTGTTGTCATGCGATCGGCCAAGTTGCAAAGTATGTCGTCGGTTGAGCGAGGTACTGGTGGAGGATGACGACAAGGCAGCAGCAGCAGCACGGTCACGACCAAACAGTAAGGAGTGAGCGGCAAACACTTCTTCGGAAAACGTGCCGCGTGGTTGCAACCATTCTCGTTTTTCGTTTTCAAGATCTTGGACACGGTGGGTGAGTTTCTCGATTTCGGCAGCGAGTGCTAATTTTTCCAGTTGAAGTTCAGAGGCGGTCTTTTTGGTGGCCATGGATTTATCAAAGAGCTCCTCATTCTCCTTCAGAAGCTCCTCGTGCTCCTGCATAATGAACTCCTTCTCAGACTGATGCTCCTCAAGCTCGGTTTGGAGCGCCATGGTTTTCTGTAATAAGCTGCGTTCAGCATTTTGGGCGGTTTGTAATTGATGAACCGTGGCTTCGTACTTGTGGCAAAGCTGTTCATACTTTTGTCCCATTTCAAAGTTGGCTAGTTTGATCGACACTAATTCCGACGTGATTTGGTGCAAAGTGTCGTCACACAATGAATTGGGAGGAGCCGTGTTATCGTCGTCGCGTGCCTCACTGACGGCGGTAGGCAGTGTATCTTGGGTCTGTTGACTTGTCTGACTGTCGCACGTCCCCACCGATGAACGCCCTGAAGATTGAGCGGTGGAAGGATCCAGATTGTCTTGTGCAAGCGCCCCGGCCACGAGTTGGCCAAATTGACCGCTCATGCGGAGTGTGTTGACGAACGAGTTAAATTGTTGATCCTCCGACAATGGAGAAAAAGAAGAAGAGCATGACAAATGTGGTGGGGATGTCACGGCGGTCGATTCAGTGCAGAGTTCCTGTAGTGCGATGGTGGCCAATTTTGTTTTATACTTCTTGACGCGCTCTTTCAGTACGGTGTTACGTTTGATGAGTTTGGTGCGTTCGGTTTGATGCATAATTTCTCGCTGTTGAACGGTTTCCAACTCATTGGAGAGACGTGCATGGTCTTGCTGGAGTTGTGATAGAGCGGCCACGAGATCTTCCACCTTGCGATGCATTCTTTCTGTTTTCGGCTTAGAATCCTTGAAAAAATTATTATTTTAGTCTTACGATCCAATTTTTTTTTCCCTAGTGGGGAATTCGAAATTCTCGAACACAGTAGGAAACTGGGGTGTGCCTGACCCTTCTTCTCGCAAAAAAAAAAAGGTCTCCAAAAAAAGAACAAACTAAGGAGACCAAGGATATTCTGAAAGTAAAAAGAGAGAAAGAGAAAAAAATAATATGACATACCGATTCGAGGAGTGGCGATGTTACTACTTGCAACGGCGACACTGATCGGTTGTTGCGTGGCGCTTCTGCCAATGACGACTGTTCTTGCATTGGTTGTTCTGGTGATGGGTGTTCTGCCAATGATGGAGATGAGGGAATGTCGCATGTCAAAGTAGCAACGGTTGGTGTGGCAGGCGCGGCACTGGGAGTGGAGTGGGTATGATCTTTTTCCATGGTATATTAAGCAGACAGAAGGCGGACAAAAAGCGGAATAAAAAGGTTTGGATGGGCAGTCGAACAAAAAAAAAAACAAATTGGGGACCAGAAAGGGACGGATGTATAATCGACGACCAAAACGAGACTTGAAAGACAAGTTAAAGTTGAGGCACTATTGATACGAAAGTACACAAAAAGAAAACAAAGAGGTCAACGATCCAAACAAATGTGTAATGTAAGTAGAAGAAAAAAAAACACTGCCCAATGTAGTGGAATGGTTGAACTTTTTGATGATTTTTTTTACAAACATTATTTTTTTTTGACTTGTACAACACTCCGTGTCACCTTCAATTGCGATCAACCCAAGAAAAAAGTGAATGCAAAACCAGACTTACCAAAAAGTGAAAACGACCAGAAGGCAACACTCGCAGAACGGAAAAATAATTGATAAGGAAGAGAAAGAAAAAGAGAAGAGAGAAAACTAGAAAGGTCAAGAAAAGGGAAATGTTTGGCGAGAAATAAAGTTATTGGAATAAATCGCTAATGTGGATGCACTCCTTTGAAGAGGAAGGGATCATGTTCTCCAAGGAGGCAGGGCGGAGTCGACATCACCTTTGTTGTCGTTTTTTTTTTCCAATTTTCACTTGGCGCTTTCTTTGTCTTCTGTTGATGGCAACACCAGTTATTCCACAGGCATTTTTTGAAGAACAGAAAAGAAATGTACTAGATGCGCATTAATGATTACCCCAAGTGGCCTCCACGCTGCTTGAATAGAAAATAACTGCACAATATCTTTTGAAACATGCAAAAAGAATAAGAGTAGAATGAATCGATGAGATGAATGAATTTTTATGAATAAATTCGTATAAAAAGATGTGATTGCGTGCAAATGATACATTATGGACATGGAAAGAAAGAAAAGGAAAATAAAAAATAAAGAGAAACTGTTTTGTAGTCTGGATCCCATCTAGCGATAGCAAGCCCAGCCCATTGTACAGCGTCAAAATACCAAGCTGAAGCATACCACCGGTTTTCATCATCATTTTCTCGTATCGCCGATAAGATGAGAGAAAGAAAAAAAAAAGATTGCATATACCGTGGCAAAAGGATGAATTGACCAGCACCATCCCAAAGCAAACTGTATCCCACCAAAAAATCCAAGGAGTAGAGGAAATAATTGCTGCTGCCCAAGAAATAAAAACGCAGATGGAAGAAAACAAGAAAATATAAGAAAGGAAAGGACAAAAAGGCAATAGATGAGAAAATTACAAGCAGCTTATGCAAAAGTATATGCCAGCCTCCCTTCCCCACCCCTACCCCAACTCCTCCACCCAAAACAAAAGGTAAGGGAAGCAAGCATCCAACGCTGGGTAACCGTGCTGGAGGCGTTTTCCATTGCATCACCATCACTGTCCATTCGTATCTTTAGCGGGGGATTCAGAACTGTCGGAAGATAGAAAACTAGAGATGTGTATCCGCCGATAAGGTGCGGTTAAACCGGACGAAAACGGTGGATCCGCTACATCCGACGAATTCGTATCGGAGGTGGACGACGTTGTCTCCTTGGCGGGCGACTCTTTTTCAATCTTTTTCTGCACGGTCTCCTGAGGCTGCGGTTGTGGATCTCGTTCGCGTGTATCGGGAGAAACAGTAGCACTGGTGGCAGTGGATTCGACTTGACTGGTGGTGTCTCCATCCGACGGCGATTTGACATTAAAAGAATGCTCATTGGGACGTTTGATACGTGTGCCTTTACGAATGGCAATTTTGATGCCTTGTTGCGCGAAACATCGAGAGAGTGCCGTCGATTCTACCGAAAAAAAAAAAAATGAAAAGAAAATTTAAGGTTAAACAATACGTTGGAAGCTATTGAAACAAAAAGCGGATGTTTCTGGAAAAAAAGAAACCGTACCTGTCATCCCCGGAAACGTTTTGGCGGGATAGACGGAAAAGGGTCTACAGAATACTTCATCCAAAACCATGGTACTCATCGTCAAGGGTTCTCTATATGTCCAAATAGGAATCAATTAGTCATTGTGTTGCCATTGGGAACATGGAAAGAAAAGGAAAAAAAAAGGTCTAATGGGTTACCCAGCTGACAGATCGATGAATATGAATTTGAGACAAAATTGACCTTCAGTTCGCACGGATAAATCAGGAAAGACAAAAAAAACGCCATTTTCATTATTGGTATCCACTAGTTGATAGGCGTTGGAAACAACGGTGCCGACCAGATTGCGGGTACATGTGGGCTCTTGAAATGACATGATGGTGGAGAAGGAGCTTGGGTGAGTGGGAGACGACGAACTGGGGGAAGGTTGGACCGTGGTGGCGTCGGCGGCCGGGGCCGTACTGGAGTTGGAGTAATTAATAGACCCTGGGTGGTATACAAGGTTCCGTTTTGACTGTTCGTCTTCGGAATACAAATCGCACTGAACGATGAAATGCGTCATGTTGTCGGCATCGCTGCAAATGATAAAGATATGTATATAAAAAAGAAATGAATGCAAAGATTTAGTATTATTGGCATCGCCATGACAAAAGTGAAAAAGGAGAAAAAACGGAACGAGCTTTGGGTGTTTCCTTGCTGCCGTCTCATATGAATTGATGAAAAGGGGATATCTTGCCTCACATTTCTCAATACCCCGTCTTTGGTTTCGACGCATAACTGAAGGATAGGAGGAGGATCAAGCGGTCGTCTATCTTTTTCACCAAAGCCACAACATCGAGCACGGATTGGATGTTGCCTGATCACTGATAAAGAACAACAAAGGGGAAAAAGCCAATAAAAATTAGAAAAAGGTGCTGAATTAATACGTAAACAAAAGAAGAAACACCAAAAGGAACATTGGAATATCATATACAAAAATAGCCAACGCCAGCAACAGGCACATACACATGAATGAGGATAAATTCTTTCTTGGTTACACTCACCTAACCGATATTGAATACTTCGACGACTGGGACGACCGAGTCCCATAGGAGGAGGTATGACTGTACTCATACCGACATGCACAACTTGACCCAATCAAGCAATTTCCGCTGATTCGCTAATTGCAGATCAGAATGACCCAATGGTAAAAAAGTAGAGGAAATGGTCCCAATGGCCACCAAAAAAAAAGTGCAGGAGTAGAAAAAAGAAAGGGGAGAAAAGGAAAACGAAAAAGAAAATGGCTTATTCGGTTGAGTGCTTTGTGGTGCCTTATTTCGTTGAGCTTCGAATAAGTTATTGTAGCAATAATAATAATAAAAAAAAGAACTACAAAAGTGAGTTTTTTGGCATGTCCCCCCCCCCACAAAATGGAAAAGTGGATAAAAAGGTAACAAAAAAAAATTACACAACCTTAAAAAAAAAAAAAAGTACGATCGATAAAAAAAAAATTGGTATTTGAATTCTATGTTAGGGAATATTTTTTTCAAATACGCTTATGCAGACCAATGATGAAGAATCTTTGGAAAGGGCTTCAACATAAGCATTATAAAAAACCAGGTGCAAAAAATAGATACAAAGAAGCATTCATAAAACCCCGAGATCAAATCAGTCTTTTACACACCCAATTGTATCCACAAGGTTCCAGATATTCGGGGCAAAAAAAAAAAAATCGGGAACCTCGATTAAAAAAAAAATTTTCTGCTGGCTTCCACTGCTTTCCTTTTTCGTCAAAATCACTTTATCGGATGTATCTGTTTACATCCTTTCTCATATTTCAATGGTTCAAACCATTTCAGGACGACAAAGACATCGTCAGTATCAATTGAAAAAAGCTCGATTTGATGACCTTTTTTTTCTGCAAAATAGCACGGATGAAATGCCGCCCGGTTTTCCAAAATAAAATGGTTCGATTTTGACTCGGCCCCTTCATTTTTTCTTCTTTTTGGTTGTATATCGGATCGATCGGAATGATAACAATGAGATCGATCCATTAAACATCAAACACCTGCCCAAAAAGAATGTATGTAATTTGTCTGTTTTTTTTGGAGAAATCAGTTATTAGGAAACAACAGCGCGAAAAGAATAAAGAGCCAAAAGGATAAAGATCGAATGATTTGCATCTCCGCCCAATTCCCATATATAAAAAAACCTTGATTTTACTTGTCGAGGATTCAATCCAAAAGAACCGTCCCAAATAAGCGATCGGCGGAGTTAGCCAGTTGAATTCCGAGCTTCTTTGCGTCCAATTGGTTCACCCGGTCACTTTGTTTTTGATGGGTCTGTGGCGTGGCACATCTATTCTGTTAGTCTTTTCCACCAGAAAAATGACCGTCATTTTTGAGTGCGGTGTTGTTTGGCATACACCCCTTTTTGAAAAGCTCAGTGGCTGTATCAGTGACCAGTCCAATGTTCTGTTTATTTTCCATTAAACCCAAACTCACCTGTCATTCCCGGAAACTTGGGTCAAATTAGCAGTGAAACCAATCATTTCATTTTAGTGGTGTCAGATAAATACAAAGAGCGCGCTTTAACTGTGTAATCCCCATCTCTGTAACGTTACCTTTTTCGCCAATTAAACCGTGAACAGATTGGAAAATTCTTGCGCAATCAACTTAGGATTTAGCATTAGTCTAAAAAATCGGAGCTGCGATTTCGTACCACATCACGAAAGGTTCAAAAAGCTAAGAAAAAAGGCACGAGCTGGCGGAGGAGGGTTACACGTACTTGATCCATTTCATCCACGTGAATCGTACCTGTACTGTTCTTTGGTGCGGATACTCGGATCCGGGATTGTGGAATACAATCTATAATATTCTTGTGCTTAGCTCAATTCACATTCGTCCAGACCCTTAAGAAATGGAATTTCCGGGGGAAGCAAATCTCTGAACACTGAACCAGGTGTGCTACTAGCACCACGGGGAGATGTGGCATCATTAGTTTCCCGTGTCACCTTTGAATATGTTTTTGTCCTCGCGCTATGTCAACACAAGATCCCTTTGTCACTTTCAGAGTTTGATATTGAAAACAATTACTACATTTTTAGATGCCCACGTTTGGCACGAGCAACCATTTCACCACCGGCTGCCTATTCGTCAGTCTTTCCAATCCAATGGACAATCAGAAGATCTTGGTCATTCTGTAAACTCCTAACCTTGCTTACTTACTACCTCTAATTTGAATGCTGTTGACGTTTGCCAGTAGATGGATTGCTTTGAGTTTTGACAATAAGGATATCCATCAAGGAGACTGCTATCAACTTCGCTAGCATGGGTAGAAAATGTACAAATCGTTTTTCTATGCAGGATTGACTTGAATGTATTCAGTTTTCAGCAAAATCAACAAATCCATATTGCATAGAAGCGCATGCAAGAGAGCAAGGATTTCTCCCATTGGAATTTTTTGAATCTGCAGAATCTGTATCTCACCGAGCTACTGTCGTGGTGGCTTTCAATGCTCAAAGCTTTTTTCCGGCGTGATTCAACGTTAACGAACCGATGCTCAAGATATAATCCCCTCATAAGTCAAATAAATTGCATAAATCGCCTAACATTCTTCAAACTGTCACAGTTTACATGGCTGAAACCAATCAGCTAGAAAGGGAGATACTTGTATGTACAGTCTGATTGAAAAAATCTGGGTAAAAATTTACAAATCAAAATTTTTTAAGAGGCAAGGTAATGTTGTTTTAGTAAGAGAGAAATCCAAAGGATAAAGACATACAAAAAAAAAAAAAGATGGATGCATTAGACAAGCCACACTTACTCTTATTTTGTTTTTACTTACAAAAAAATTGTTGTCACCGCATTGCGGGAGCCGCCACCGCACACCGCCAAGGCATGGGCTTTGTTCATTCAGTTATTTAAACTATAGAAGCACACAAAGCAAGTGAGTGATTTGGCATAACACTCAAGAAAGCAAGGAAGGCACTTGAGCACAAATACATTACCTTCCAAAAACAAGTTTCTTTGTTGACCACCAAAAAAAAAAAAAAAAGCTTTTCGGCGCGCAGGCTATATGTAGAGGTTCAGTCGTTTTGATATCACAGTTGCGGTCATCCTAAGTATATTTTTACAGGATAGGTGATTTGAGCAAATGTAATGAAAAAAGCAATAGAAGATATATGGCGCGATAGATGGATGGTTTTGCGCAAGAAAAGAAAAAAGAAAATAGGTGTGCGATGAAGAGAAATGAAAATGGATGGAAGATACGTCGTCTTCTATAGACATGAAAAAAGAGACGATCCCTCGTACTGTAGCTAAAACCTTTATTGTCCAATAATGAAGAAGGAAAGAGACGCCATGTGTCTTTTCTTATCGCTTCATGCCATATTTATCCTTTGATAAGAGAGTGGGGCCTCATCGCATGAAATAGCTGCATGAAGTAGGTCTCAGATAATGTTAGAGAGAGAGAGATCGGGATGTCTTTATTCAAGTGTTCTTGTGTTGGCTGATCGGATACACAGGTGCACATAACTTTACAGACGTAATGCATGGCTCGTTAAACTATCTTTCAGCTCGTATTATACACTTTATTGAAAATAGAAAGTCATCCTCGTCATCCTCATGAGGATGGCTACTTCTTTTTGATGAACAAAGTCGTCAGTTTCAGCGAATTTCCCCATCAGGATTACGCAGCTATTCTGCATGGCCAAAGTAATATGAGAAGATCCACCTCACTCCTACCAGTAAAGGACCAAGTCATGATTTTTGCTTCCTTGCAGTCTATTATTTCTTCATTTCCCGAGAAAATGAACTGAAAGATGAAAAAGACATTAGGGAAGTCAACAAATTTATTCGGATTATAAAAAATTTTGCCAGGGCACTGGTACTACAGTACTGTACGTACAGGAATAAATGGGGGAAGAAAGAGGTAAAAAGATAAAAAATACAAACCATTCAGCGTCAGTAACACTTGCTCGCTAATAAGTAACAAACGGAGTGCCAGTGTTGTTGGCTTCCGGTATGCTTGTCATCGCTTCATCTACTGGAATAACTTGTAATCCTTTCTTGGCATAAAACAATACAATGTCGCCTGTATCTTTGACGAGCACAAATGCAAGTTTCCCATGCCGAATGCCGTATGTAATCGTATCGTGATCATAGGATAAGCATATGTTTCGTGAGGACACGGCACGTAGGCGAATACAATCTCTACCACGGACTGAATGGCAGACAACATTTGAGCGACATGATCTGCGTTCCAAAAGCATGCAGATCTTTTTTTTTTTTTTATATATCTGCAGCTTAAATAGCATCATTGCTAATCATCAAGAATGCCCTTGCAAAGTCCTCATTTGTCTCTTTTTTCATCCGTACCACCTACAAGGCTGATTGAGTGGGCGGCAACGGTGATCTCCATTAGCTCTCTTGCATCGCTCTACAATTCCGAAGATATTCGTGAATACCATCACGTAAATGGACAAATACGATCAAGTCCTTGTGTACAGAGGGTGTGTGATAATGTATTGTAATTATTGCGTGAAAACTTGGGAATGATGTCTATTCTGCTTTTCCGATCAATCCTCGTCCCCAATTTTTAATCACCCGTGAGCATTGAGTATGGATATTTTTTGATCGCGGGCCGTACCACAGTCCCAAAGCTTCCAATTGTCGTCCGTGATGTACGCACTGTTCCCAGAAAAACTTGGAATAGAGTCGGTCTTCAATCACAGCCTACCATAAAATAACGTTAGTGTTTCATCGTCACCGCAAGATATGCCCATTTTGGTGTTGACTGAGACTTACATCTAAAGAAGAGAGAGTCGTTGGTTTTGTTGGCGCTACTTGGACCACGAAATCCTGTGGTAATACCCAAAAGTCACCTCCTGCCAAATGGTTGGAAAATAAGCACGCCGATTTCCTATCTAAAAACCGCTCAGCACACCTTTTTGCCCCAAACAGTGATGCCAGAAAAAAAAAAGAGTAATGATGAGTTCTAATGTTGATAATAATACATTATAGGCATGCGCAGAAAGATCTTACCAGGGCTGAACAAATTTACTTTGAATCACGATGGGCTCGTAATGTAGGTCATATTTCTCGATGATATAAGGTTGAGTGGCCATCTCCCAGTGGCTCAAATTGGTGGGCCCCTGATTGAGTTCAAAGGTCGGATCTAACAATCCCATCTCTCCTCTGCGCACGAGATCCAGTAATCTGGATTTGTGGTTCGGGATATTGCGCAAAGATGGTCGATTGTTGCCGACAAACAGTGGTAATATCAGCATATCACCGTTTCGAAGATAATCCCCGTAAACATTCTTGTTGCTGTCGAGCATGCGTCGGAGATCTGTTGCAGGAATAACGTTGGATGGCAACTCGCAGATGTAGTGTGTACGTGCATATAATCGAGCGATATTGCGCTCCACGTTACGAGATAGCAAGACTGAAGGCGATCGTGAAGTAGTTTCTATTAAATGAACGTCCACCGATTGAAAACGAGATGCGTGTTCCTGATACGCATGACGAATTTTGTCTTTGATCGTCACTCCGTCTTCTTCGGTTCCGATATGCAAGGTCGCTGAGATGGGACCTACATTTTGTGGTGGAAAATTCTCACCTGTCATTTTTACGAATGATTTTGGTTGGGGGGATCCTTCAATTTACCTTGCCAATGGTCTGTCAGACGAACCAGATCAGACCATGATTCGGGCGTAATCATCACCATTAAACTTAGTCCTTCTGGATGGATCTTTTGCGCCGTTCTTAACCAGTACGGTTGAACCTTGGTCGTGGATTCGTAGTCCGATTTATCCAGCATTTTCGCCATTTTCAAACCGTGCGGCATCCCATCCAGTAAAGAAAAGGGCTCATCTACCAGATAAAAAAATAAATGAGCAAGTACTCCTCAATGTGAAATATTGGTTGTAGTTTCTCTTTTATCTATTTGGTGCGTATTCTCGTAAAAAAAAAAAAAAAAGCTAGTGGTGAGCCGTACCTTGTGCGTATGTCCGTTTGGGAATCCAATCTTTGAACACCCGCGGACTGGATAAGGAACGATGGGTTACACACCAGGAGACGACGTGAGTTGCTGATAGAGCAACGGCAAAAATAATGTAGACAAGGATAGCGTAACGGATCAAAGGAAGACGAAGGAACCAGGGTTGGGGCGGCGCTCGAGTATCTTGTGGTAGAACAGGCACAGAGGGGTGGATAAGGCTTTCTAGCCAAGCAAAGTGATGCCGCCATGGCGACTTTGGACGATGTCGCTTCGACAGTGAGAATTCCGGTGTATCCATAAAGAAAAGTGAAGAGGACGAGAATAAGTATAGCAAGCTAAGAAGACAAGAGAGAGAACCAAAGGGGGGGCGGGTAGCAGGGATAGGGAGTCGAAAAAATCGCCTACCTTTCCTACCATCAGTACCAAAAACGGCTAAGCCAATCAAAATGCTTTACAGCAAAACGGGAATCTTTTTTTGACATGACCGGAAGCAAATAGAAAGGAACAGAAATAGGTCCAACTGCCTCCTTGCCCCACTTTTGGCACTGTCAGTTCATCTATCCCTGCCGAACCCAACCTTACTGATGATACTCATCACTGGGAATCATTGGATCTAATGTCATCCTTTATAACTGAATCTAACATATCGTGCTAAAATCCAAATGCGTTCTTGGAGTTGTTCATTGGCGTACTTTTAAAAAATCAAGGACTTTTTTTTATTTTGCATCATTCCTCTTGATAGACTTTTTGTTACGATCAATTTAATGATGCTATGAATAGTCCACTTAATCATCTAAAATTAAGTGGCGATCATCGCGCCAAACCCTGTGCTATCCTATTTTCGGCCTTTAGCACAGTAACAGTGATCTGTTCAATCTTTTTTGCCCACTTTTTTTTTTCTTTTTTTCTTTTCTTCCACACCATGTATATGGCTATGCAAATAAAGACATCACCGCAGATTCTTTGAAAAGAGTCGCCTGTAACCAAGAGATTGACGCCACGAGCTACACCAACAAAAAAAGTGGTCCTAAAAAATCATGACGCCAAACATACGCGCTTTCCTTTCTAGCGAGCAAATTGTCATGGCGTTCTCAAAAAGCAATTCCCATCGAGTCGCAATATCATGAGCACGTCGCAGAAGCAAAAGAACTTGGCATTTAACTCGTTTTATGACACTATTAAAATTAATACAATTCACAGTTATTTAATGATATTTTTACACTCGTGTTCGGCTCTCGCGCGGCAAGACCTATTTTGCATACTGTTAATTTCCTTGACAATGAACTATCCGTCTGAATGCTAACGTACTCGGGATATGGCTGGATGACAAAGTATCGGTCCAATGATAGGTAATCGTTTCAAGAAACCAAAGATGACCGGGAAGAAATCACTGTGCCAAAACAAAAGAACAATCAATCCAAATTAATACTCAATCATCACGTATGTCATTCCTCATCACCGTTTTCCCTTTTCCCTTTTGCGCTTTTCTTGACAAAAACAAAATGACATTTTACCCGAAAAGGTTCAAGAAACCAAAGATCTCCAAAAGAAAGCCAAAAATGGGCCATTTTAACAGGACAAAAACGATTCCTCCCACAAAACAAATCGTGCCTTTCAGCTTCTCTCGTCTGGAAAAGAAGACAAGCGTGCTGCGCGGTCCAATGATGGCCGTGATGCCACTTATAAACAAGAGCTACAGTGAATACGTGTGAGTAACAATTCTCAAAACTTCCAACTCGGTCATTCTAAGACTCTACGTTGCCAATCGCGAGTAATCCAACATCAAACAGCATAAAAACGCCCAACGTCATGAAAAACACGCCGAAAGCGGTTAATCCAACCCCGATTTCTGCACCACAAATGGTCAGTCAAATTACATGGTATTCGGTTTAATAGCAGAAAACTTACTTTGCGTATCACTTAACCACATAATCTCACCCAACAGAAGAAAGAGAGAAAAAGCGAGAACAATGAAACACTGGATGGAACACCACTGGCAAATGAAAGACTTCCAAAAAAAGCAATCGGTTGGGACTGTTTCTTTTTTTCTTACTATTTTTGTCGGTCTGAATCACCGACCAGGTGGCCATTTTTGATTTGATCTTTCTTTTTGCCTATGCATGATTTCGGTTTATTACCACTGTTCACATTGTATCGGCCACTGAGTACTTGTTATATTACAAAGCTGAGCTCCGTGAAAAAGTGATACTGTATGCATCTCATTTGCGCTTGCAGAGTCGAGTGCGGTACATAGTATAACGAGCCACACGCTATCAATTCGCGCACAAAACAGATCAAAAGGATTCGATTCAAAGAGCGTCAATCAAGAAAACTTTTTTTAATGAGGGCATATGAATATGTATGGGATTTTGAGTAATATGAGGATGCAATTTATGCTACTTCTACAGGTTCTTCGCCAAGCGTCGTTTTTCTTTGACCTAGTAGAGAGGAGAATAACTCATCCGTCATCTCCTCATGCCAAGTACCGGCTGGTATCGGAGCCATGAAGTTCTGGATCTTTTCATGAACATTGAATCTAAAGGAATAATCATGTTAGCAACTTGTCAAATGCATGTAAAAACAATATACCATCGATTCAGAAATTTACGAACCTTAATTTTCTACCCTTGCTCGCCTTTGTATCTACCGCCTTCTTCTTCTTCTTGCCTTCTGCTTGTTTGCGTGCTGCCCATCGCATACCCATAGCAATGGGATCTTCGGTATCCACCATACGTGATTCAATCAACTCTCGTAGTAACTGCGAGTAAAAATCGTGATCGTCAAAGATTTCTTCATCGTATGTCGTCAAATGACGGTCCGCCTTGCGATCCTTTGCATCTTGGTCTGCCGACTCGCTTTCGTTTGTCTTGTCTTCCTCGTCATTTTTGACTTGTTTTCCCAAAACGGGATAATCGGATCGTTGCAACTGAGTGCGCTTCACCAGATTCGCTTTATCCGCCATCAAATGGTCGATCTGTGTCATGATATTCTGATCAAACGCCTTGAATTTCTTGTTCAAGCGAACGCCCGACGCAGCTTGCACTTTGTTGCTCCATTTTTCCAAGGTGGAATTCCGGAAAGGAACAAACACATTGTTCACTTCAGAGATATCTTGCCACAAACTCTCAAGATATCCCTCGTCATCATCATCGTCCAGATGACGTTTCCGGCTGTTCCATGAGCACTCGCTCAAATCCATAGAATCATTCTGTTCCAGTAACGCTGTACGCAATTCCATCAATTCGTCCGTCACTTCTCTTAATTGCTCCTTGGTCGCTGCCAAATCCTCGTCAACGTCTTCCTTTTCAACAAACGCAGCCCATGTATCATGCTTTGAAAATACCAAAAATCAGTACCACAAAAAAGAATCATTGCATATCAGATTGCCAAACCTACCTGAGGCAACTGGTTGGCTACATCGACCATTTTTTGAACCCGGATACGGCTTTCCAAAAAGTTTTCCCACAGTGTCTATCATGATTCCTAGTATGTTAAAATCACGTTTTGCAAGAAAAACCCTATTTCCCACTTTCATGCTTACCAGCTGTTGACGAACATGTTTTCCTTTCTCAACGTCGCTTTGAGCGCTCTTGGAAATTTGTGAAATCATTTGTCTACCGAAGTATCTGTCAGCGAAGCCCTCCTCCTCTTCATCTTCATCGTGTTCGAACAAAAGTTAGATCCGCTTACCTCTCGTCTTGTTCAATCTTTCGAAGTTCATCTTTGAGAGCTTCGTCTTCAGAAGCCTCTTGCTCTTCCACGACATCGTCGTCGTCGTAGTCGTCATTTTGATCATCCATGTCATCGCCTTCGGATACTTCTGATGCTTCGTCTTGATTCAAAGCCAATTCCAACTCATCGTCGTCCGATAGTTCGTCGTCGTCGTCGTCATTGTCGTTCTTCCAATCGTCTTGCATCACTTCTTCATCCGAAGAATACAGTTCCTTACGACTTGTTCGTTTGCCCGAATATCTTGGATCGTCGAGCAAAAACTGCTGATTGCGTAACGCACTCTTTCCAACACTGACATAATGATCTCGGGCACCAGAATCATCGTTTTCTTCCCCTTCGTCATCGCTGGCAAAGTGGTCGTTTAAGGGCTCGGTAATATCCTCGGGATCAAAATCTGCAAAGGAAAGACTTTTGATTAGCGAAATGGACTATGGTCAAAGCAAAAACTCCACCACGATCAACTTACCCTTTGGTGCAGTAATATCGAGATCTGCAATTTCATCGGCCAATGATTTTTCTGTAAACGACAAATCAATATGAGTTCCAGCTATTTAATTCCAATTTTCATTCCAAATTCACTCACTTGATGGCATGTTGCCTTTATACGTAATTCTATTGAGAGATGTGGATCGCAATAATAAACCAAAGGGACTTTTTCGGTTCAAGCGGGTCAAGTTTCATGGTGGCTTGGAATTAATTTGTGACAATTTTTCCTCACATCACGGCGCGCTTAATTGCTAAATTACCCGAGTGTCTGGTGACAAACGTCAAACAATCCATCCGAGACCAAAAAAAATAACCATGAAACAACCACCCGCCCTTAACGCGAGCTGTTTTTTTCCTTTCTTCTTTATTCCTATTTTTTCATCTATTTATTTTGGCATTTTTCAATAGAGAATTCGTGCGACTATGATGGATTCAACAGCAGATGGTCGCTTAACAGGTCTCGATAATTTTTGGCTGCAGGTGGAGCATTCACGTCGATTGATGACTGTATCGAGTACGTGGACTTTTAAGCAACCCTTGGATTCGTCGTTGGTACATCAATCACTCGTCAAGCTCTGTGATATGTATCCTCGATTTAAAATGGTGCCTATGCATGGCACAGCCTTTCGAACCGCTGTATGGAAAATCGCGCCCGGTTGGCGTCCAGAAATGAACGTCGTCCATCACACGCTGAGTGAACCAACAGAAACCGCCTTGAAAAAATATATCGCTGCAGAGGCAAGTTCGCTTTGACCATGAAAACATGCTTATAAATAGCAAATGCAAGCATGGTATTACGTCAGGCAAAAAGTAACACAGTTTGGTTATAAATAGACGGTCAAGGCGTTCCAATACAATAAGCCTTTATGGGAGTTGCACGCCATCTCGGGACTTGAAAATAATCAATGCGCGTTCTTCTGGAAAGCCCATCATTGCATGTCCGATGGTCAAGGGTTTATTCAGAGTCTATTGACGACCACGTCTTTGGGTGAAGCCATTTTCAGTTCACCTTCGGCTTTTCGCAAAAAGACACCTCAAGACTCACCGAGGGACGACGACAGTAAAACCAGAAAGTACCGTCCAAGCTTCAAGCAACGCTTACCTTCATCGTACGATCCAAAGACGCTTCTGTTCATATTCGTCGGCTGGGCTCAGGCACTTCTCGCTTGGACTTGGTGGGCTTCAAAGCAACTGCAACTGCTTTTCCATATACTATCCCACGATTTACGCGTATTTCTCGTCTGCTTATTTCCCTTTCAAAAGCGCGACCTTTCCTACCCGGCTTTACAAAGCTATGAAAAGGAAATTTCCTGGTCCAATACGATTTCTCTTCGCGACATCAACTATGTCCGCAAAGCGTTTGGCGGCACCCTGAATGACATTATGATTGTGGTGATTACGCGATGTATCAAGCACTACTTGGAAGAACTAGGAGCGCGACATGATGATTACGCCAAGCTTCTCATTCCCATATCGATGCGTGCAGCAAATGATTGGAGGTAAGTGAAGCAAAGCAACCTCGCCAGTATGCTGCGGTGACTCATGCTTAGCTTTTTTTTCAGATTCCAGAATATTGTGAGCGGTACGTGGGGATGGTTTTCCATGGGGGAACTCGATACAAAAACATTGGTGCGTCAAGTGCAGCAAGAGATGCAGGCCATCAAGGCTTCTTGTATGCCGCGGTTTTTGTATACCATCATTTGCCAAAAGTTACTCAAGATGTTTCCGGGCGTGTTACCACCTATGCCAATTGTCAATCTGTATGCAGCTGTTCCGCACGGCGTGTTCACCAATATACCCGGACCTCTGGAACCGGTTAGTTTTGGTGGACAAGAAATCCAGTCCTACCATGTCTTGCCGCCTCAGTCAGGTAAAGGCACACTGGCCATTGGTCTTGTATCGTATTGCGGCAAAGTCAGCATTACAGTGCTCGCCGATGTGAATACGAAGTATCCCCAACTTACGGAAAAGTTGTGTCAACGTTTCACCAAGGAATTCGACTTTCTTTTAAGCGAAGCTTCTATGGAACTTTCGCGTACCCCTTCCGTAACGTCTGCTCCTTGGAACTAAATAAATATAAAAGAAAAAATTCCCCATTCTGTGTGCCCCTTTTGAAAAGTGAGATCGGAAAAAATTCCGGAACCATTTTCTCTCCATGCAAGGAGGACTACGTGTTCAAATCGGCCGAGCATGAGACAAATGAAAGAAAAAGATTTCTCCATGTGGGGTAAAAAGAGTTTCGCAATTTTTTTTCTTTCTCTTAACCCTTGCAGCTGAATTTACTAGACAGAAAGTGATATCTGTGGGGTCAGCTGTCAGAAATTCTTCTTACGGTTCCACACACACACACACACAGGCATCCCTTTTTTTTCCAAAGCTGAAGATGCATCTTGGTCGGTTTACGGTTGCATCATACCGACACTCAATACCATCATGGTTTCCACTTTTGGATAATGATGTAGCTTGGATCATGATATGCGCTAGACATGATGTATAGCAAAGAGAACAAAGAGTATCCAATTGAAGGCAGAAAAGTAATTTAGAGGCTCGCTTCTCGTGGGCGGGGTTACTTAAAATGGGGTTTGAATTTATCCAATGAAATCGATCCTTGCCATGGTTCGTTGGGGAACAGCCCCAAATCGGGTTTTCAATTTTTTTTTTCATTACTGCATTCTCTGCTTGGGTAGTGGGTTTCGCCTTCAGAAAGGGAAAAAAAAGCCTTGCCCCATCTTCGGGCGTTTTTTTTTTTTTTTCATATTTGGATTTCATTTCCTTGTCTCTGATTTTTGAGTTTTTTTTCCTGCTTCTTCATATATTTTTTTTTTTTCATTTACACTTTTATTTTGATCCTTTTAACTTTCTAAAATCATATTTGAATATTTATTATAAACCGAAAAATACTATCACAGAAAACGATGGCATCTTTTATTGAAATCCAACTTCCACGACTAGCTGGATCGTATACGGGCCATGCTTCGTCGCTGCCAAGTCATTATGAACAACCTCTGTCATCGCTCTTGGCAGGTAAAAAAATTTCGTCTATTCGGTTTAAATTATGCGGTGTTATATTCATCCATTCATGTTTGTTACGATTCTAGTTTTCAACTCGTGCAAACGAAGTATTCAGGATGGATTTCGTCTTGAAAACCTGTCTTGGCGGTTATGGTATCGCCAATTTATACTGCGCACATCGACCTCGTCAAGTGCCAAACTGCCTCATCAAATCCAGTTAACTTCAGCTCCAAAGTCACCTCGTCTCTCACGTACCCGCTCTTTGCCGTCCTTTAAACCATCGTGGTCATCGCCTGTCGCACCATCGTCGTCGACTGTGGTCCCTTGCGCAGCCTCCACCGTTTCCACTGTCTCCATTGCTTTTTCTCCTATTTCTGCCCAACCTCTCCATTCTTCTCCAGCCCACTACCACGAGGTAGCCTCCCCATCCACCAAACGGTCCAAGAAATTCTTCATTGATGACGACGATAACGAGGAACAAGAACCCATTCTATCCGTCAAACTACAACGCCGATGTTCCGATGACCGTCGTCGTCCCGTTTCTCTTTTATCCACCATGTTAAAGCAATATAATTCTACTACCACCACTACTACGACTACTACCTCCTCCTATGCTTCCAACCACGGTTCCGCCAATAGCTTGCGTCGATGTCAAACACGATATCATTGTTTGGATCAGCTGGTTGCTCTGAACGCCTAATCTACCACTTCCACCTCTATTATTATTCCCCCTCTTGTACCCTTTATCCCTCTCTTGTCATACTGTTTTTGCTTCCTCTCACACATATAAAAAAATAAATCATCCTATTTCGTCATGTCATTAAGTATTATATATTTTCTTCGTCGTCTGACAACAACGGCAGTCGATAAATAGGGAAATGAGAAGAACAGAAAAAAAAAATAGATGCAGAAAACAAATAAAAAACATGGCAAGATGATTGGCTACATTCATAGAGTTACAGGGGAGAGATGCTTTTCATCCCTTCGGTCCATGTGCTTATTGGTAGGCACAGTTAACGGGTGGCTGCACGACAAGGCAGCATTTTTTTCTTAACAACAACATGCTTCACAGGTTTCTTCCGCACAGCAACAGCACAATTCTTGAAGAGCACAGCAGGCTAAACATCCAAAAAGACATCCCATACAACCGCCCCGGTCTTGTCGTGCAGGTGGAGCTTGCATATACACGGTATTCGGTGGAGGCTGCGGTTGGTAGTAACCTACAACAGATTTATCACTGGTCAGTATTCGGTCTTGCAAAGGTCGTATCCTTATGAGCCCGTCATAAAAGAGGTTCAGTTTAACTACACACCCTGTTGTTGGCCATAATAAGCCTGGGGAGGAGGTGGCGGGCTATTGTAGTATTGCTGGTTCATTGGACTGTGGCGAGGATATACAGAAAGCGAAGACCGGAAAAGAAACGATCAAATGCTATAAAAAAAGGGCTTTGCAGCTGCGTCGATGGTTTGATTTATATTTATCTCGGGAGAGCGAGAAAAGAGGGATCATGATGAATCCAACTTAAACCAAACCGAGTAAAGCGTGATGTGTGTAAGCTTGGCATTCGCCTTTTTTGTTCGTTTATTTTTATGCTTTTTTTTTAATATCCGCCTGCCGTGGCGAGTGATAAATCACCAGCGCCACACACAATACGTGAAGTTCTCCGTTGGCTTGGCAGCCGTCGGTTCTTTCTTTTGTTTCAGGTTCATTTTTCTTTTTTACACAAGAGAGAGGAGATGAAATAAAAAAAGTTCAAGATGAAATTGAAAATAACCTTTTATGGAAAATTCACCCACATGGAAATCGGTTTTAATGGTGTGGTTGAAAAATAGTGTGGCATCGTAATTTTTGTTTTGTCTTTTTTTTTCCCTTTGGAGGTCAATGCCAACTTACCAATCCTTCATCGCTGAAATACGGCAATCGTCATGTGTAACCGAGCTGAGATCCGTATGGACCTGAGCTGCCCATGCTGCCGTCTTTATATACATGTCTTGTTCCTCGCCAATCAAATAGTCCATGCGCGTCAGAATCAGCCAGTCCATAAATGTACGTGCATAAGCTTGTTTTACGCGGGCTTCCTTGGATTCAATAAAGGATAACGCATTGCTTGTTCGTGTTTCCAATGATTCATGCAGATCATAAAATTCGTAATCTTGTGACACAGTATGTACAATAACACGGTAGGTTTTCTTGGCCTCATAACGATTCACCAGCGATTGTAACCGTTTCAACTCATCGGATGAAGGCGCAGACAAGAATATATGGCACTCTTTATTCCAGGCCACCGCCTGGTCACACACATTGATCGCATGCGACACCATACATTCGTCCGATCCTGAAGTGGCCCGAACGCCGACCCGAAGCCAATGCCGAATGTGAGGAGCAACCTCTTTTCCTGGATCGTAAGGCGATAGACTTTCCGAAGCATGGATGTAACCTCCCATTAGATCACGATGCGGTTCCAGCTGCTTGGCTAACCATGACGTTGGATTGGAAAATAAAAGCTGACTGACGATCCAGAACCATTCAGACTGCGTGGCCAACCGTCCCAGTTGGTATTTGTCTCGTTGCTTTTGCATTGAGGGATTCTTTTGCATGTTACTCCAATCTTCCCAGTGACTGGATTGAACGATGCGCACGTTTTGCGATCGATATGTATCAACAAAGTTGTCTTTGGCGAACGCTTCACGTTGCATGGTGGGCACGGTTAAAATCGACGCGGGATCGGCTCGTTCCAGATAAAAGTTGGCTTGGTCGGTGTTCATGGACATGTACGAAGGAAGCGATTCAAAATACCAATCAAATCTTACGGGGGATCTCATGTGGCAAGCAAACGCGGCGCCATCCCAGAACATGGCGAAGAAATACGCACTGGCGATGGACAATAGCCGATCCTGGAAACTGCCACATTGGGCGGCATCATCCGTGCAGCGGTAAAGTACAAGTAACGGCGGCGTATCGTAATCAGGCGTTCGATTGGCTACGTAGCCCGTTCGAATGTGAGCGAGGGCCGATGTGAGTTGCGCTTGTCGACTTTTATTGATGCGACGAAAACGTCGGTCTATTGGCGGGACCTGGGGTGGTTCTGATGAAGTCGTGTCGTGTGTTTTAGATGGGGATGGCGACGTGTGACGAAACGAGGTAAAGAGGTATAAAAAGATGAACACGACAATGGCAAGGATCCAGCCTTTGGACCTTAATGTGCGTAGCAACGTCATGTTCCACTTTAGGGAAGAGAAAAAAAAACCGCACCTTTTGGATCACAGAAAGCTCTTTTTTCCCAAAAGATCCGGTCGGAGTTCTATTCTCCCGCAACCTACCGCCGTCTACCTTTTTTGCTCCCTCCAAACTGTAGCATAGTGTCTGTGGTGGTGGGGTGTGTTGATGTGTCTAATATCATGCTTATGGACCTGAAAAAGGTTGATCCACCGACTTGCTTTGCATCGTGCAACATGATTTAAGCGGACCGAAAGTTGAAGCATGGATCACCTGCAAAGTCTGTATTCCATCTGTTTCAAAACGGTAACGTGTTTGAGTGGGTCAACTGGAGATCAGGAGATTTATCTCCAGTTGACATGGTCAAGTAGTTTTATCATTACATCCAAGCGTCTAGTATTTAGGAATTTTGGATATTGTGCTTTGTTCCGATTCTGGAAGCATGAGGAAATTTTTAATATGAATCAACCTGATACCTTGCAATATATGCCTACCCATCGTCGCAACTGATAAATAGTAAAGAGTAATATGCAGTGTCGGTTCCTGCCTTGTTGGATTGACGTAACAGTGCGAAAAAAAAGGAGGAGGAGAAAAAAGCAACAATAATGTGGTTTTTCTTGTTCATGGGATCGCAACCGCCAACTCATTGTTCTTGTTGCACAACGTGATTGACATTTCTTTTTGATTTACAACCGTCAAATAACTGCTTAATGTTTGTTGCAGTCAAATACATCCATCGATAGGATACATAGTGTCTGCTTATGTCTAGACGGATTGAATGGTTGGATAGAACTTAAAATGCAAAACTGCGGTGCAGAAAACAGTAACACATTCCCATCAATTATCCCCTTGATAATGGCCCTTTTACAAATTGTCAACTTCCTCGCATTCTTTCGCTATCCCTGAGCGATCGATTCTTCGGTAGCACTTTTCAAGTTTCATCAGACGATAATGATATTCGCAATTACAACTGACTTATAAAAAAGTCCGGCGTACTTTGGCAGTGGCCCATTTGGCATTCAGGCTACTATAAGAAGAAAAAAAAAGAAATAATTGAAGAATGTGATTTCATCAACTTGTCCATTTTTGTTACTATCGCTCCTGGTGTTAGATTTCTGCGACTCTCGACTTGCATCGACGACACATGTAAGGGACAACCAGAAATGTCCGTGGCTCATCGAAATGTTAGCAAGAATATACCCTGCCAAAAAAAAAAAAAGAGGGGAGGAGGTGATAGTTTATGTACAGTTTAATTGTTGTGGATCAAATCCTCTGTATAATAAATTATCCAAAGCCGTCATGTAACTTTTGTTGTGGATCAAAGCCTCTGTATAATAAATTATCCAAAGCCGTCATAAACTTCGAATGGTACATTGGCAATGCAGTGGGATAGTATTGTGATAGATTCCAGGTCCACAGAGTTTTCAAAAAGTCATCAAGTAGTAAAAATTTCGATCGCTGCGGCATCGCTACAATGACATTGTCACGGAAATAATACAATCATATTTTGGACTCCTGATGCGGCAGGTGCCTCATAACCAAAGCTAATTGGTGCCTTGCTCGTCGGATTTTTTCATCTTGCCTTGATGTCGTAAGCGGTGTACCTTGAAGAAAACAGAAAACGGATGTGACAACAATACGTGCATTACGGATCGCACTGGGAACCAACCATTCAGGGGTTACATATGCGCAATTCTACAGGCAGAGAGCCAGGGCAACGGCATCTGTCAATATGAGAATAATCCATCCAGTTCGCGACCCACTATATCCCTTTAACATCATAAACTGAACGTGCGGTCACAGCGACTGTCCCTTTTTGGATACATTTTATTTTCCAATCGAGAGTCTCATGCAACCATTCGACGACAGCAACCGCTATATAGGATTAGCATCCATTGCCAAAGTATAAATATTCCGAGTTTGATCCGGCAAAAGCCAACATAAACCCAGTCGACTTTTAATCAAATCAACCATCGCTATGAAGGCCACTTTCTTCATCGCTGTTGTCGCTGTTTGCGTTGCTACTGTTTCCGCTGCCGGCGGCCAGGATGGGGGCAAACGTATCGATACTGACCAAAAGCTTGGTGGCATTGGCAATGAAGGCCGCGTCAGTGGTCTCGTAAGTTGATGAGGAGGCCATCCATTAATATTTCGCCTTTTTAACGACTTGTATTATTTATCATTATTTTAGGTGAACAACCTTCTCAAAGCTGGCATTTTGGCTGACGACAGCAAGGACTTTGGTGATTATCAGGATGCCTTCTAAGATTCTTCAATCCCTTTTTCTTTATGTTGGCCTGTTGACTTGTTTGCTTGTTTGACTTTTTTTTTCCAATATATCATTTTCGCCACCATCTTTCGGAATTTCCCGACTTCTTTTAAATAATGACTGAAATTATTAAAAAGTCCTTCCCCTTTCGGACGGCGATGGAGCACAGCGATGCTCCATGTCCTATATGCCGCGATAATGCTGATATTATATCCTCCTTCATTCATCTTTGCGGTGTGCCCCTATACAGTAAAGGATACGCTAAAAAAACGGTTGAGAAACCGACGCACACTCGGGAGAATCAAACCAGGGACGGTTGGTTAGGCTTTCTGCCCATGCCGAAATTGATGCCCAGACAGCAAGTCTGGAACAATAATATAATAGGTAACCTGGTTTCTACTGCACCTTTTCCCTTTAAATATCCTTAAAATAAACTTATGTTCACATCGTTGGCGTCTTTTTAATACCGTTCATTTTCCAACCGAGTGACTTTCACTCTATCGTTCGCCCAAGAACAGCCGGTATTGTATATACATGTGCCTTCCTGCAATTGAGTATAAATATCCGAGATCATTTTCGTCAAGTTCAACATTATCTATCCATCCTCTCCAATCAACTCAAATCCAGCAACATTATGAAGGCCACTTTCTTCCTTGCCATTGCCGCCGTCTTTGTCGCCACCGCCTTTGCTAGTCACGATGACGACATTAGAGTTCACCAGGAAATTAACGGCGTCGGTGGCAGAGGTCGCGTCAGTGGTGTCGTAAGTTGAACTCGGGAATATCATGTATACCAAGCTTTTGGTTCTCATCTTATTCGCTGCATTTTAGTTGAACGGCCTGCTCGGAGGTGGTATCTTGTCGGACAACAGCCGGGACACCTATATTAACCAGGATGCCTTCTAAACGGACGCTTGGCCCTTTTTTTTCTTGGCTTGCGAACTCCATTCCTATATCCGCCATGTCAACCATCCGAAATTGTTTACTCATAAAAAATATGAAAACTATACCAAATTAGTGTAATAAGATTTATCCGTGTAGAATTGATGTTGTGTTGATCTCTAATTTTTCAATACATCAATTTCACTACCACGTTCTTTCTTTTGAATTTTGTGAACCGCCTAATAGAAAAATTGAACACATGATTTCGAACCACAAGGGTGAGATACTGCGAGTGTGGAGCATCAAAACACTTTCTTATGGTATATCCGTATTATAAGCAGTAATCCCGCATAGAATGTGAAAACACATGAAAAAAGACCTCAAGACAGAGCGCGCGTTACAAACCCAACAGGGGATGGCCATCAAAGGGGCTTCCACATTCGCCAAAATCGATAGACCGACTGTTATTATTATCAAGCCTGGCACAGATTACCCATCCCGCAATCTATTTTATCCCTTTGGACAAAATTGAACTAACGATTGTCCGTTTTGGATACATTTCATATTCCAATAGAGACGCGTATCCTATCAATTCTGGTAAGAGCGGCCGGTGTTGCCGTATAGGTCCGCCCGACAAGTATAAATACTAAGTGTTGTCATATCGAAATCATCGAAATCATAATTTAAGCGCTCATTTTCCGTTATGAAGTCTATCCTTTTCCTCACTGTTGCTGCCGTTTTCGTTGCCACTGTATCTGCTGCCGGCAAGGGTGGAAGCCGTATTGACGTTGACCAAGAGCTTGGTGGCTTCGGTAATGAGGGTCATGTCAGTGGTCTCGTAAGTTGATTATTCATGATAATCATCTTCCATCATTTTTATATTCTCGAGTGACTCATCTCAAATTGCCACTTGCTGTATATTTTTAGTTGAACAACCTTCTCAAGGGTGGCCTCTTGGCTGACGCCAGCAAGGGTTCCGGTGGTTACCAGGAAGGCTTTTAAAGGTTTATGCTCATCTATCTCTTCACTTTGGGTCCACTATGTCGCTCAACGAGATAGTTTTACTCAGAATAGCCATCTAAAATTATCTAAATGCAGTTTGTTTCTGCGTAGTACATATTCATGTTGAATTTTTGTGTGTTTTTTTCAATATATTTGTTTTCACTATCATATATCTATCTTTCTTGGACTTTTAAGTTGATTGAAAAAGTCATTGCGCGTCCCCCGTTTTCCAAGTGAGCAGATTTGTCAAAAGAAAAAGGAAGCTACATTGGCACAGGATATTAGCTCGGCCAACCCACGTCGATCCGCCATGGTGCTGACAATATGCTATCACATTTTCTGAATTTCGTATCGTTGTCTTCGCACAGAAACCGGGCGCGCCCAGAATAAGAATGAATCTGAAAACAGATAAAATTAATTGCGGAACCCGGTACCCGGACCCCGCCCTGCTGTGGAAACAGATGAGTAGCAATGTGTCCTTGACGAGGAGCAATGTGCCCTTGGCGACTTCAGTGCGGAACGAATCATTTAATTAATGGTTTCTAGATATGCTCGCGTATGTGCATACTGATAAGCTGGCAGCCAAGTTTCATCAACAGTTGGCAAAAATGAATTAAATGGATTATTCTACGCCTGATGCATTGTATCCCTGTAAAAACTTAATTAAAAGCCGACGTGTGCTTCCACTACCTTGTCCTTATCGGGATACATTTCATTTTCTAATCTATGATTTCCATTGTATGTTTACCGTGATAGTATAGATTGGCAACCATTGAATCTGAGTATAAATACAGCAAGTTTTCGCTTCATCCAGTCTGATATTATCAAATCATCTTCTTCTCAACTTTAATCAAATCAATCATCGCTATGAAGGCCACTTTCTTCCTCGCTGTTTCTGCTGTTTTCGCCGCCGCTGTCTCTGCTGCCGGTGCAGGTGGAGGAAAGCGTATTGATGTTGACCAAGAAATGGGTGGTGCTGGCAATGAAGGCCGCGTCAGTGGTCTGGTAAGTTGACTTAAGGATGGCACCATCGTTCGCTTTGACGTTTGAAGTAACTCATTCCAATTATATTTCAGTTGAACAACCTTCTCAAGGGTGGTCTTTTGGCTGACGCCAGCAAGGGTTACGGTCTTTCCCAGGATGCCTTTTAAACGATGTCTTTTCTTCATCCTTTGGGTTCACTACGTCCCCCATACGCATAGTTTCTTCAGATATCCATCCAAATCTTAATCAAATAGGTTAATTACCTTATCATTTTTGTATTGATTTGTTTCCAATATATTATTTGACACCACTACATAATTTGTTCTTTTTTTGGAACTTCTCGGCTACTTTTGAAATATGACTGAAATCACTGAACACCCTAATGTTTTTGAGGTGGCTCGGACGCACTATTGTACAAATTGTCCAAAACAAAAGACAAGTGGTATACCAGAATCCTTTTGAAGGGCTAGGTCATGCGATGTGCCGTAATTGTTCTTAAAATGGCTGAAGCTATTGCTTGACGGTCCAGATTCTCGGTTGACACTGCCTTGTCAAAAGAGAAAAAAAAACACCCAGAGTTATACAAAATATTGTTGTGGCACGCTTATCCAATGTGTGCGTGATGGTCGTCACTGTATGACGTCTCACTCATTCGTAGTAATGATAATATGATGTCTGATCTATTAAATTCCTCGATGGGTCTCCGTGCTGCAAAAACAATATATCCTGACTTGAATGAGAAAACAAACGAGAAAAGGAAGTGAGACGACAGGATGCATGTGTGGGTGATCCACGAAGGAACGAGTTATTAAAGGGGGATTGCTACATATGGTATATCTACGCATATCGATAACCCCGCAACAGTGTTGTCAAAGGTGGCAAAATCAAAAATAATAGATTAACCAGTCCCTGATGCATTTTTATCCCTGGAAAACGTAATTAAAATGGACGTGCGTTCACAACGTCGTCCTTTTTGAGATGCATTTTCATTCAATGTTCTGATTACACCTCGGACTGTATCGGTTCACCCAGGAATAACGATGGTTGTTAATAGACTGACTCCCATTAGATTTGATTTGATTTGATTTGAGCCTAATATATATGATTTAGATCTAGTATAAATACAACGGTTTTCGTCTCATCCAATCTGATATTATCCAAATCATAATCTTTTTCTCTAGTCAATTCAAATAATTATCACTATGAAGGCCACTTTTTTCGTCACTATTGCTGCTATGTTCGTTGCCGCTGTCTCTGCTGCCGGTGCCGGTGGAGGTGGAGGAAAGCGTATTGATGTTGACCAAGGCCTTGGCGGTGTTGGCAGTGAAGGTCGCGTCAGTGGTCTCGTAAGTTGACAGCAATACTATCATCGTTCGGTTTTTACTTTCTGTTATGACTTATTTCAAACTGCATTCTAGTTAAACAATGTCCTCAAAGGTGGTCTTTTGGCTGACGCCAGTGAGGGTTACGGTGTTTCCCAGGATGCCTTTTAAATGGTGTCTTTGCCTTATCCTTTGGGTTCAATTTGTTCCCCATCCACATAGTTTATTCAATAGCCATCTAAATCATATCTTACTAGCTTGATTTGTAGTTCACTTTTGTGTGACTTATCTACTTCCAATATATATTACCTGACGCAGCCATACAACATCTCTTGAGAGAATGACTGAAACCACTGAATTTGCTACCTTTTCGGGTTATACTGATGCACACCGACAACGCCAAAAAAAAAAAAAAAAAAAAATAGAAAATAGAAAATAATTTAATGCAGCAATAATCACAGGCTGAGATATGTTATGATGGGTGCTAGTATGATTTTTCACTCATAAGTGGTAGGGTCATTGTGATATCTAATTTTTAAATTCCTGAATGATGTCTCCGTACTATAAATAACCTGCTCTGAATCGAAATGGGCAAACAAGTGAGTAGACGGATGCGGAAACATTGTGTATATGAGCCATTCAATGCGGAACGACTTGAGTAGTCGCTACACACATGGTTTCCTTTTCATCATATGGATTTGGCAGCTACTTCGCTTGGTGTTATTTATTCATTCAAAAATGTTGGAAAAAGTCCAATGACATGGGAGAGCTTTCTGTAGAGGGCTATTGTCAATGTCAATCTGGTGTTCTTCTGTAGCATTATTTAATTTGACTTCGTCAGTAATATGTGTGCCGTTCTACATAATATGCTTCGATCTGTGTAGCTCATCATTCATGAATGAATAAGGTGACTTTCGTTTCATCCATGGGAACTCATTATATTTTGTCCCCAATTTTTTTCTTTTTTCTTTGGTTTTCTCTCTTTTTCCGTTTGCCGGAAAAGCCCTCACTATCATTGCATCCTCACCCGCATCCGCATCCATCATCCATCATCCATCATCCAGACCTATGGTTTATCGCGCGTGTATCTGTAACCGGTCAAGTCGATTTCTGTAAATATCAAAAAGGTACCTCTTGTGTGATGTGACTATCCATTCTTACAAAAAAAACTTATCTGTCCATTTTCTCTATCCTTTCTTTAGCTTTTGGTTTTCTCTCCCGTTTTCTTTTCGCCTAGCAAGCCATCCATCCTCCAAAACTTTCTACTTTGTTCGCGCTCAAATGTGGCAAATCCGATTTTGGTCGTCAAAGGGCATCGTCGGTGGTGTGGCCCTCTTTTTCGTCGGCAACGCTTACGCGTGCTCCTCAGGTTCCTCTTCTTTGGATTACTTCCCATGGTATTGTCTTCGATATTTCCTCCCGACCATTTTACTTTGTAGTTTGTAGTATGTACTTTGTATTTTATTCGATAGACTTTCTTGCAGTCTTTTCCTCCTTTTTTTTTTCCCCCGGGGGTTTTTACGGGTTTTACAGACGCACCTATTGTTTTAACTTTTTTTTATATTTGTATCGTTCCTTTTTTTTTTCCGTCGGGAAGCTCTCAATATCTGCTGCATCGAATAACAAAAGGTAAAATATCTTGACGACATTTGAATCAATCAAAGAGCTTACTATCTCATTTTTTTTAAATACCCAACATTCCCACACATCATTTTAGATCTATCAATAACCTTGGGCGGGACGGGACTGAAGGGTCAATAAGTGCTTCTGCACACATGTTTGGAAATCATGACTATACGGTATGCCAGAGTATCGACGTTAATATACAAAGCTCCATCAAGAGTCTCGCCCAGGTTATGCCGTATTGTGTTAGGCTTTTGTCTGACGGATGTCGCTCAATGTAAGGGGGCGACGTCCAGTAACAGGTGGCATCCATTGCACAGCGGGTGGACGGCTTGTTATGTGAATGTTAATAAAGATATCACATGGTATGAAAGTGCGTGGTACAATATGGATTACCTACCTGTATACATGATTCATTTTACTCTTATTTTGAAAGGGATTAAGGGGGCGTTCATAGCGTTATCCTTTTTTGGATACATTTCATTTTCAGTCAAGAGCCTATCTTATTGTTTTGCGAAGGACATTGACTGTTATATGGATTGGTGTCCACTCAATTTAGTATAAATACAACGATCCTTGCTTCGTACAACCGAACCTTATCAGCTCAACTTCTCTCAAGTCCAATTAAATCAATCATCACTATGAAGGCCACTTTCTTCCTCACTGTTGCTGCTGTTCTCGTTGCCGCTGTCTCTGCTACTGGTGGACATCACCGCTCAGAGGTCGATTAAGAAGTTGGTGGTGTTTGCAATGAAGGTCGCGTCAGCGGTATTGTAAGTTGACTCATCGATCTCTTTGAACTTTTGTGATGACTCATTATGATACTATTCTAGTTGAACAACCTCCTCAAAGGGGGTCTTTTGGCTGATGCCAGCAAGGGTTATGGTGTTAACCAGGATGCCTTTTAAATGGTGTGCCTGCCTCATTGTTTGGATCCGCTATGTCCTCCATCGTCACAGATTATCCAAATAGTCATCTAAAATCATATCCCATTAGCTTTGTTTTATTAACGTTTTTGTGCGTTGACTCGTTTCTTTTGTTTTCAATACATTATTACATACGCTACCATACAACAAGTTTAATTTTGAATGTCCTCGGATAGTTTTGAAAGATGGTTGAAACTTTGAACGTTCCACATTATCGGATGATATTGAGGCACAAAGCCTGTCAAAAAAAAAAAAAAAAAAAAAAAAAAATGATAGAACAGCATTATTGATGTGACAAGCTCATGTTGATCTGCCGTGATTTTAAAAATGACTGATCGAGAATCAGTAAATCCACAATTTTCGAAACCAGTGTAGGTACCGCTTTTATCAGACATAAAAAAAGGAATTAGTCTAATACAAGTTTTTATTCTGACGCACCATGATGGTGCCAGTATAATGTCTCATTCATTAGATTCCTTCAGGGTGCCTGCATGAAGCAGACTGTATATCCCAGATAGTGTGAGAAAACATATGAGAAAACAAGTGAGAAGACACACGGGGAAAATACGCATATATGAGCGTGCGCGATCCAATGCGGAGCGAGGTATGACGGGGTCGTTATATGTGTTATATACGCCATATTATGAGTAGACAGCAACTGTTATGGAAGTAGATGGCAAACTAATAACAACACAGGTTAGCTGACCCCTGCTGCATTTTTATCCCTTCATTTTAGGGATTAACGCACGTCCGATTCAGGGTGCTCAAGAGATCTTCTGAGATCTCCTCCCAGCAAATTTTCCAAAGATTTGAGAGTACATCGGTGTTCCTTTTTGGAATTTTCCATTTTCTAGCTATTGCACACCATATTGCTCGCCAATCGTCACCATAATATGGCATGGATTCGGCACCCATTTTATTTAGTGTAAATGCAGCAGCATTCTCTTAGTCCAATGCAACATTATCAACTCACTTCCTCTCATACTAATGGATGCCATCACTATCATGCAATTTCTTTTCGAGATTCCTTGGATCCTTTTGAAAGATGACCGAGACCACTGAATGTTCCACATTTTCGGATTGATTGACGCACTATTATCGAGAAAAAAAATCGATACAGAATCGTTACTTTTCATCAAGGCCTAATACTTGGTTGTTTTTTATTTTCAGCTTTTGCTTTATCTATTCATGCCACTCACATGAATGTGTCGTGATGACGCCAGTCTGATGGATCATTCATTCTTGATAAATGCTAATATTAAACTCCTAGACGTAGTCTCCGTACTGTAAGCGGCATGTTCCTAATAGAGTGACGAAAAAGAGATCAAACCAAACAAAGTGAGAAGGAAGAAAGGGGAACAATGCTGTATTGGCGAGCCAACGCAGAAAGAGTTATGAAGGAGTTGATACATGTTCTATATGCGCATATCAATAGATAGACAGCAATTGTTATGAAATGTAAGTAGTAAAATAAAAGAGTTATTGATTACATAGCCCCTGATGCATTGTTCCCATCAAAAGTGATAGAACCGATGTTCTTTTTTTGGACACATTTCATTTTCCAATCGTGTCTTCAACTGTATCGTTCGTCAAAAAGCCACTATCGTTGTATTTAATTCATTATAAATACAACAGTTTTCGCTTCTTCCAACCAAATTATCAGCTCATCTTTTCTCTCAAATCTAATCAAACCAATCATCACTATGAAGGCCACTTTCTTCCTCACTGTTGCTGCTGTTCTCGTCGCCGCTGTCTCTGCTCAATCAGGCTCCCATCAACACGCTAACGGTGGACACCGCGCGGATATTAATCAGGAAGTTAATGGTGTTGGCCTTGAAGGTCGCGTCAGTGGTCTCGTAAGTTGACAAGGGTATTTTGTTCTGACTTTTCTCGATGACTCACTCTAATTGCATTCTAGTTGAACAATCTTCTCAAAGGTGGTCTTTTGGCTGACGCCAGCCAGGGTCACCATGTTGGCCAGGATGCATTTTAAACAACGTTTCTCTCTCATCTTTTGGGTCTACTATGTCCTTCATCACCATAGTTTGTTCAAATAATCATCCACATCACATCCAACGAGTTTGGTTGCTTCTCATATAGTTTGCTTTTGTGTTGATTGCTTTTATTCCAATACATCATTTATACTATTACTGTATGCGGTTCCTTTTTTCTCGACTTCCTCGGATACTTTTGAAAGATAACCGAAACCACTGAATGTTCCATATTTTCGGATAACGCTGACACACTACTATTGTCAGAAAATGGCAAGTAAATGCATATTATGTTGATATGTCACTGTTTCCAAAGGCGATTGGTCAATATCATTTAAGGACCCATATTTTGGGTGCCATTGACGCACTGCATAAAGACGCGCTCCAGAATTCTTGATGAACTCTTGCTAATATGTCGCGTTTTGCAGAAATGAAAAAAAAAAATCACGACATTCTACACTTTCAGGTAGCGCTGACACACTACATTGTCAAGAAGAAAAAAAAGGAAACAGAAATTTTACTGTTACAAGCTCATTCTGATGTACCACGATTTAAAAAATGACCGAAACCATATAATCTCCCACATATGCCGTGTCAGTGCCACTGTCCTAGCTAAAAGCACAGAAAAATGACGCCAATAGTGTTCTTACAGAATACACATCAAGGATGTGAACAGTCTCGCTATATGCCGTGAAGAATGTTAGTATAATGTCTCATCCTACAAACTCCTTGATGCTATCTCTGCATTGTCAACGGTACACCCTGAATAAAATGAGAAAACAATATGAGAAAACAATAGAGAACACACGGGGAAACAATGCGTCTGTGGGCGATCCAACACGGATCAAGTATGAAGGGGTGCTACATATGTTATATATGCACATATCAATACGTAGACATCAACTGTTATATTAGAGAGTGGCGAAATAAGAATAACAGATTACGTGGTCCCTGATGTATCGACCCCTTAAAGCGGACGTGCGCTCACTTTGCTGTACTTTTTTGGATGCATTCTTTTTCTAATCAGGTACTCACATATCGTTTGCGAAGAGTAAGTACTACCATTGCTTGTACAGATTTTCCGTTTGTTTAATTTAGTATAAATACATCAGTTTCGCTTCATCCAATCCAACATTATCACTCATCTCTTCTCTCAAGTGTAATAAAAAAATCAATCATCACTATGAAGGCCACTTTCTTCCTCACTGTTGCTGCTGTTCTCGTCGCCGCCGCCTCCGCACAATCAGGTTCCAACCAACATGCTTCCGGTGGACACCATGCCGGAATAAGACAAGAAGCTGGTGGCGTTGGCAATGAACTTCGCGTTAGTGGTATCGTAAGTTGACAAACGATACCGCCATTGCTCGGTTTTACTTTTAATGAAGTCTCATCCTAAGTATATTTCTAGTTGAACAACCTCCTCAAAGGTGGTCTTTTGGCTGATGCCAGCGAGGGTCACCATGTTCGCCAGGATGCCTTTTAAACAACGTTCCTCCCTCATCTTGTGGGTCCAATTTATGTCCTTCATTCACATACTTTCCCCACATAAGCTTCTAAAACATACCCAAGTAGCTTGGTTAGCTTTATCATATATTCCACTTTTGTGTTGATCTGTTTTTCATCCAATACATTACTTTACATACATCACCATATAACTGCCTTTGAAAATTTTTCGGATACTTTATAAAAAATGAGAGAATCCGTTAAAGGCCCACATTTGGATCGTCCGGTATACTACAATTGTCGGAAAGAATTAAACGCAGAATTCTTGTTGTGGCAAGTTCTCATGCTAATATGGCGTAATTCACGGAAATGCTTCATATTATTCAACGTCCTACGCTTTTAGATGGCAATGGCACCCTAATCATCTAAAATAAAAAAGTAAATACCAAAATCCTTGATGTTGCAAGCTCATGTTGATGTGCCACAATTTAAAAAACGACCGAATTCTTACACTCTCCCGCATTTGCGGGTGCCAGTAGGGCGCTCCACCTGGCGAAAAGAATAATTAGAGAATAGCATCTACGAAGTAACGGATTTGATTCAGTCGATCCTGGGATCTGTTGATGATACTTGATCATGTGTGTGTGCTGAGAGGATAGCCTCAAAAAAGTATCATCTAAAATTCTTGAATGTAGCAATCTCGCTCTGACGCACCATGCTAGTATTGTGTCTTAATTCAATAAACTCCTTGATGCTGTCTCCGTACTGTAATAGGTATGTCCTGAATACAGTGATAAAAACATATCAAGATAACAAGTGATACAGCAGACGCGGAAACAGGAAGGAAACCAATGCACACATGTGCGATCCAACGCCGAACGAGTTATGAAGGAGTTGTTACATACGGTGTGTATGCACATATCAATATATGACAGCAAGTGTTATGAAAGGGATAGCAAAATAAAGAGTTAACAGGTTACGCAGTCCCTGACGCATTCGACCCCTTAAAACGGACGTTCGTTCACATCGTATCCTTTTTTAGACACATTTCATTTCCAACAGAGGATTGACTGTATAATTTACCAGGAAGAACTATCGTTGCTTGTACGAATTTACGTTCATTGAATTTAGTATAAATACAACAATATCACTTCATCCAATCCAGCATTATCAACTCATCTTTTCCTCTCTCAAGTCTAATCAAAACAATCATCACTATGAAAGCCACTTTCTTCCTTACTGTTGCTGCTGTTCTCATCGCCTCTGTCTCCGCTCAAGCAGGTCCCGGTCAACAACAATCTGACCATCACCACGGTGGACAGCGCCCGGCTGTTATCCAAGAAGCTGGTGGTATTGGCCTTGAAGGTCGCGTTAGTGGTATCGTAAGTTGACACAATCATGCTGTTATTGTTCGCTTTTACTTGTCGAGTAAACTCACTTTAATTGTATTCTAGTTGAATAATCTCCTCAAAGCTGGTCTTTTGGCCGACGACAGTGAGGGTTACGGTGTTAACCAGGACGCATTTTAAATGGCGTTTCTATCTCACATCTTGCGGGTCCATTTATGTCTTTCATTCACATACTTCCCCCACATAAGCATCTGAAAACATACCCAAGTAGATTGGTTAGCTTTATCATGTATTCCACTTTTGTGTTGACCTATTTTTTCATCCAATACATTATTTTACATACACTACCAAACAACTGTCTTTGGGACTTTTCGAATACTTTTGAAAAATGACAGAATCCCTTAAACGCCTACATTAGGACGGCGGCTGTAATACTGCAATTGTCGAAAAGAATAAGAAATAAGGCAGAATGCAGAATGCTTGATAGGACGAGCTCATGCTGATACGGCATGATTTTTGAAAATGGCTAAAATTACTGAGCGTCCTATGCTTTGAAATGGCACTGACGCGCTAAATCGTCAACAAAAAAAAAATACAGGATCCTTGATGTAGCAGCTCATGTTGATCTGCCATGGTTTAAAAAACGACCGAAATTCATACAATCTTCCGCGTTTTTGGGCGTCAATGGGGCGCTTCTAACGGAAAGAATAGAAAAAAGACGCAAACCTTGTTGTACAGAATCCTAGTGTGACAGGTTCAGCTCTACGCCGTGAGGAATGTTAGTATGATATCTTTTCTTTTCAATTAACTCCTTGATTCTGTCTCTTTACTGTAAACTGTATATCTTGAGTAGAATGAGAAAACATATGAGAAAACAACTGAGAAGACACATGGGGCAACAATGCGCTCGTGTGCGATCCAACGCCGGATGAGTTATGAAGGAGTTGTTACATATGTTGTGTATGCGCATATCAATATATGACAGCAAGTGTTATGAAAGGGATGGCCAGATAAAGGGTCTATAGGTGACGCAGTTCCTGATGCATTTGACCCCTTAAAAGCGGACGTGCGTTCACATCATACCCTTTTTTGGACTCATTTCATTTTCCAATAGAGCATAACTGTATTGTTCGCCAATAGTAATTTATTGTCGCTTTGTGCAATCTACGTTCATTATTTGGTATAAATACAACAATTTTCGCTTAGTCCGATCTAATATTATCCACCCATCTTTTCCTCAAGCACAACCAAATCAATCATCATCATGAAGGCCACTTTCTTCCTCACTGTTGCTGCTGTTCTCGTCGCTGCTGTCTCTGCTACTGGTGGACACCACCGCTCAGAGGTCGATCAAGAAGTTGGTGGCGTTGGCAACGAAGGTCGCGTCAGCGGTATTGTAAGTTGACACAGAGATACTCTCATCGCTCTTTTTTGAAGTTTTGTGATGACTCATTATAATACTATTTTAGTTGAACAACCTGCTCAAAGGTGGTCTTTTGGCTGACGCCAGCCAAGATCACCATGTTTCCCAGGACGCCTATTAAATGACGTTTCTGGTTCATCCTTTGGGTCCACTATGTCTCATCATCGACATAGTTTGTTCAAATAGTCTCCTATATCATATACAACTAGCTTGATTCGTTTCATCATGTGTTTCACGCTGTGTTAACTTGTCTTCCTTTGCAATACATATTTTATTCACTACCATTTTTTTTTCCTTATTGGAATTTGTCGATTACCTTAAAAGGTAGTGATGTGAGGGAAAAAGGTTGTTTGAAAGATGATCGAAATCATTTGGTTTCCAACATTTTTGGAATGGCGATGGCGTACTATTGTCAAGAAAGAGAAAAATAGAAGCGTATTATGTTGATATGTCGTAATTCTAAAGGCGACCGATCGAGATCATTCATCTCCCACGTTTTTTAGTGTCACTGAGCCGATACGGTTGTCAAATTGCAGAATTCATAATACAACCTCCAGCTATATGGCATGTTTCCAAAAATGTCTGAATTTATTGAACTTGCTAAGCTTCAGGTGACATTGACGCCCCTACATTGTCAAAAAATAAAAATAAAAAGATACAGAAATCTTACTGTTGTAAGCTCATCTTGAGACGCCATGATTTAAAAAATGACCGAAACCATACAATCTTCTACATTTCGGGTGTCAGTGATGTGCTCCTACGAATGAATAGGAAAAAGACATACATTCGTGTTGTACAACATCCTTGATGTGGACAGGCTCGCTCTATACCGCGAGGAATGTTAGTATGATGTCTCATTCTACACACTCCTTGATGTTGTCTGTGCATTGGAAACGACATATCCCGAATAGAATGAGAAAACAAACGAGAAAACAATTGAAACGACACACGGGGAAACAATGCGTATATGAGCGATCCAACGCGGAACAAGTATGAAGGGGTGCTATACTATGTGCATATCAATAGGTAGACAGCAAGTTTTAGGAAACAGAGTGGCAAAATAAAAGAATAACAAATTACGTGGTCCCTGCATTTGACCCCTTTAAAATGCCATGAAAATGGCCGTTTGCTCACTTTGCGATTCTTTTTTGGATACATTTTATTTCTCTAGAGTGCTCACTGTTTCGTCGCGAAGAGCGACCACTACTATGCTCATATAGATTTACATTCAATTCAGTATAAATACAACAGTGTTCACTCCATCCCATCCGACATTATCAACTCACCTTTTCCTCTCAAGTCTAATAAAAAAATCAATCATCACTATGAAGGCCACTTTCTTCCTCACCGTTGCTGCTGTTCTCATCGCCGCTGTCTCCGCTCAAGCAGGCCCCGGTCAACAACAATCTGACCATCACCATGGTGGACAGCGCCCGGCTGTTATTCAAGAAGCTGGTGGTGTTGGCATTGAAGGTCGCGTTAGTGGTATTGTAAGTTGATACAAGTATACCGCCATTGTTCGCTTTTACTTTTCGAGTAAACTCACTTTAATTGTATTCTAGTTGAACAATCTCCTCAAAGGTGGTCTCTTGGCCGATGCCAGTGAGGGTCACGGTGTTAACCAGGACGCCTTTTAAATGGCGTTTCTACCTCATCTTTTGGGTCCATTATGTTCTTCCATCCGCATACTTTACCCACATAATCATCTAAAACATACCCAAGTAGATTGGTTAGCTTTATTATGTATTCCACGTTTGTGTTGACCTGTTTTTTCATCCATACATTATTTTACATACACTACTTTACAATTGTCTTCGAAACTTTTTGATATTTTTGAGAACTGACGGGATCATTTAAAAGGCCCACAGTTATAGGTGGCGCTGTAGCACTATTACCGTAAAGAATAGGAAATAACGCAGAATTCTTGATGAGGCGAGCTCAATGCTCATACACCATGATTTCTTTATGATTTTTGAGCGTTTTAAATTTTTAGACGACACTGCCGCGCTACCTTGTCAAAAAAAAAAAAAGATAATAGAATTCCTAGCTTACCGTTGCAAGTTCATCCTGATCTAGCATGGTTTAAGAACGGACCGAAGTCATACAATATCCTGCAGTTGCAGGTACCAGTGAGGTGACTACGTCTAACGAAAAGAATGAAGAAAAAAAATTGCAAATTGTCGTACAGAATTCCTGATGTGACAGGTTGGCTCTGACGCCGTAATGAATGCTAGTATGGCGTCTTAATTCAGTAAATTCCTTGATGCTGTCTCCGTATCGTAATTGGTATGTCCTAAATAGAGTGAGAAAACATAGACATATATGAGAACACAAAGGTATACGGCAGACGCGGAAACAGAAGGGACAACAATATGCGCGTGTGCGATCCGATGCTGACGAGTTATGGGGAGTTAACTACAGATGTTATCTATGCGCATATCAATATATAACAGCAAGTGTTATGAAAGGGATGGCAGAATAAAGCGTTAGCAGATTACGCAGTCCCTGATGCATTTGATCCCTTAAAATGGGCGTGCGTTCACACCGTTGTCCTTTTTTAGAAACATTTCATTTTCCAAAAGAGCATTGACTGTATTATTTCCCAAGAGTAACTATCGTTGCTTGTGCAAATCTACGCTCATTTACTGGTATAAATACCACAGCTTTCGCTTCATCCTATTCAACATTATCGACTCATCTTTTTCTCAAGCCTAATTAAAACCAATTATCACTATGAAGGCCACTTTCTTCCTCGCTGTTGCTGCTGTTCTCGTCGCCGCTGTCTCTGCTGGTGGACATCGCTCGAATGTCGATCAGGAAGCTCATGGCGTTGGCAATGAAGGCCGCGTCAGTGGTATTGTAAGTTGACACAATGATACTCTCATCGCTGTTTTTTGAAGTTTTGTGATGACTCATTATAACATTATTCTAGTTGAACAACCTGCTCAAAGGTGGTCTTTTGGCTGACGCCAGCCAGGATCACCATGTTTCCCAGGACGCCTATTAAATGGTATCCCTGCCTTTCCAATGGGCCCACTATGACATTCATCCGCATAGTTCTGTTTAAATAATCATCTAATCATATTCAACTAGCTTGAATAGTCGTGTATTTCATTTTTTGTGTTGTTCCTTTATCCAATATATTATTTACGTATACGACCTCTACAACTGTTTCTTTTTCGAATTCTTCGGACCGTTTTAAAAAATGGCCGAAACATCGAGCGTCTCAATTTGTGGGGGCCGTTTATATGATTTCTAAGTATACCATGAAGGGCACTGGAAAGCAAAATCATTCAGATTGCATGAAATGCCTGATAACTATGTGTAGTTATTTTATTGCATAAATTTCTAAATGAGACTTCATTCGTCGGCGATAAAAGTATGGAAAAAATGAGACATGGATACGATAAGTTGGATAACACTATTGTGATACGCGGCTTCTGTTGCGGATTAATGAATATGGCAAAAATTTGAAGGCATTGCAATGGTGATATGGCGTTTGAGTACTCAATTGCAAAAGACTGTCTCAGAAAGAAGGTGCAGGGAAATTAAATTGGGTACATCAAAAATTTTTATCAGAATAATATGCTCATACCAGAAGAAGCGGTAGAATGCCAACAATCAATACATAACTTCACATGCGATTTAACGTTGTTAATGATCTAGGCCTTTGTGACAGCGGCGGTCAATGGAAAAAATCACATACCAAGCAAATACTGTTGCAATAATAATCTCTGCTGGGCATAAGCGGCGCTAATAATGGAGTATTCGCATTACCAATAATAATTCACTCCTTTGTTTCCCTATCCGCATCGCTGATCTGATCCATCTTCGCAGTATTCTTCCAATGATATATAGACACCATTGACATGATAACGATAAAGTAACAATGGAAAGCAGACATTATTACGACTGCAGCATGCACCGAAAGGGTAGAAAGTATAAAACTATTCAAGTTGAATTTTGAGGGGTTAATATAGTAAATTCAGTGAATTTGAGGGGTAGGAAATGCATTAACCGATCACCCATTTTCGCAAGGTTAAAAAATAACCTTGTTTTTATCCACTTTTATTGACAGTTTCGCAGTGAATGCGATTACGCTAATACATTTGGGTTAGGCCATAAGGAAGCATACAGTTGATGCCTATCAGATAGTGTTTTCCTTCTTGATCATGAGGTACAAGCATTTCAGTCAACTTTAAAATCGTAGTGAATATAATGTATTGTGGAAACAGTCAACACAAAAGTTAACTACATTGAATAAGGCTGATGAAACTAATTTACGTATGCTCTAAATAATTACTTGGCGAGAGGTTATTCGGATGCCTGATATAATGGCTCCAGATAATGAACGTGCAGAAAACAAGAAGCAAGTGAATGGGATGACAAAGAGGCCATTTAATGGGCATCCTGAACAATATGAGTGGACTGGCTGTTGTCAGCCAAGATACCGCCTTGGATAGCGTTGTTCAACTACAAATACAATAGTGAGCCATTAAGAATGTAGAAAATCGTGAATAAAGATCAACTTACGACACCACTGGTACGTCCTTCATTACCGACACCATTAATTTCTTGGACGATATCCGACGAGTGATTATCACCATGGTCACAAGTTGCAGAGACGACAGCGACAAAAACAGCAGCAACAGTGAGGAAGAAAGTGGCCTTCATAGTGATGATTGGTTTGATTGACTTGAAAGAAAAAGATGAGTCGATAATGTTGGATTGGATGAAGCGAAAGCCGTTGTATTTATACTAAACTGAATGGAAGCTAATTTACTCATCTTGGCAAACGATAAGAGGCACTCGACTAGAAAATGAAAATGTATCCAAAAAAGGAGAACGATGCAAACCCACGTCTGTTTTTAATTGCATTTGAAGGGATAAAAATGCACCAGGGACCACGCAATCCGTTATGCTTTATTTTCCACCTTCTTTCATGACACTTGCTGTCTACCTATCAATATGCGCGTATGTAACATATGTAGCATGCACCCCTTTCATACTCGTTCCGCGTTGGATCGCAGACGCACGCATTATTATCGCGTCTGTCTTCTCATTTGTTTTCACTTGTTTTCTCTTACATGTTTCCCCACTGTTGTTTAGAAGATACTGCTTACTGGGCGGAGACAGCATCACGGAGTTAATGAATGAGACATGAAACTAGTATTCATCCCGGCATGTCAGAATGAATACGTCACATCAATATTATGTACAAGCCAACTTCCGGTTATTCCTTTTTTTTTGACATCAGCAGTGTCCTCAGTGACGCCCTCTATGTGGGCTGTTGGACGATCTCGTTCATTGTATAAATCAGATCAACTGACATAGTTTGTATTACCCTTTTTTCTTTTCTTTGGCAATAGTATGTTGATGCCACCCGAAATATGGAACATTCAGTGATCTCGGCTATATTTCAAAAGTATCCGAGAAAGTCCAAAAGAAGGATTGTATAGTGTAAATGATGTATTGGATGAGAAACAAAATCAATACAAAAGCAAACTATATGATAAAGCTAAATAAGCTACTTGGATATGATTTAGATGACTATTTGGGCAAACTATAAGGATGAAGGACATAGTGGGTGCACACCATTTAAAAAGCATCTTGTCTAGCGCCGTAGCCCTCGCTGGCGTCAGCCAAAAGACCACCTTTGAGGAGATTGTTCAACTAGAATGCAATTAGAGTGAGTCATCGAAAAAAAAAGTTAGGAACACTGGTATCCTTGTCAACTTACGAGACCACTGACGCGACCTTCATTGCCAATACCACCCATTTCTTGGTCAACACCCGCTCGTCCACCAGCAGAGACAGCAGCAACGAGAACAGCAGCAACAGTGAGGAAGAAAGTGACCTTCATAGTGATGATTGCCTTGATTAAACTTGAGAAAAAGATGAGTTGATAATATCGGATTGACCAAAGCGAAAATTGTTGTATTTATACTAAATCGAAATGAACATGAATCTATCAGACGGTAACTACTTTTGACGAGCGATACAGTGGGACTCTGTGTTGGAAAAATTAAATGTATCCAAAAACGAATAACGTGGTGAACGCACGCCCGTTTCTAATGACATTAAAGGGGTGAAATGCAACAGGGACCATGTAATTCTGTTATTCTTTTTTTTGCCACTCTCTTTCCTAGCACTTGCTGTCTACTTAATGATATGCGCATATATAACATATGTAGCACCCCCTTCATATTCGTTCCGTGTTGGAACGTCCACATGCACATATTTCTTCTCTACCTGCTCTCTTGTTTTCTCATGTGTTTTCCCATATGTTTTCTCTTTTTATTCAGGAGATACCGTTTACAATGCAGAGGCAGTATCAAGGAGTTTATTGAACGAGACATCGTACTAGCATTCCTCACGCTATAGAGTAAGTCTATCACATCAAAAATTATGTACGACACCACTTACGTCGTTTTTCGGGGGGGGAGGAGAGGGTTGTTAAGAGTGTCTCACTGACACCCGAAACTATGGAAACTGTATGATTTCGGTCCTCTTTTAAACCTAATATTTCACATGAGCTTGCAACACCAAGGATCTGTAGTTTTTTTTGTGACAATGTAGTGCGGCAGTGCCACCTGAAAGCGTAGGAGATTCAATAATTTCAGCCATTTGAGGAACCAAGATCCGTCTGTAGGAGCTTGTCACATGAGGAATTTCTGCATCATCAAAGACAACAGTGGCTCAATTGTACCCAAAAATGTAGGACGTCGAATGATCTCCATCAGTCAGTCATCTTTAGAAACCATGACATATCAACATAATATGATATTATTTTTCCGTTTTTTACAATAGTGCGTCAGCGCCATCCAAAAATGTGGGGCATCCAAGCGTTGTCGATCATCTTTCAAAGTATATGACAGGTTTCAAAAACGAAGAAATTTGTGTTGTAGTATATGTAATATGTATTTGCGAGAAAGACAAGTTAACACAGAAGTGAAATACATGATGTAACTAATCAAAGTTGAGTATGATGTAGAAACTATTTGAACAGACTATGTGGAACAGGAGGCATAGTGGGCCCAAAATGAAGCAGATCACATCATTTTAAAAGGCATCCTGGGAAACATGGTGATCCTCGCTGGCGTCAGCCAAAAGACCAGCTTTGAGGACGTTGTTCAACTAGGCATGCAATTGGAATCAGTCAGCACACAAAGTCAAAGCGAGCAAATGATGATATCCCTGTGTCAACTTACAAGACCACTGACGCGGCCTTCATTGCCAACACCACCAACTTCTTGATCGACACCTGAGCGGTGTCCACCAGCAGAGACAGCAGCAACGAAAACAGCAGCAACAGTGAGGAAGAAAGTGGTCTTCATAGTGATAATTGGTTCGATTAGACTTGAGAGAAAGATGAGTCGATGATATCGGATAAGACAAAATGAAAACTCTTGTCTTTATACTAATTCAAAATGGACACGAACCTATAAGACGGTAATTACTTTTGACATGCGATACCGTGAACACTGGGTTGGAAAAATCAAATATATCCAAAAACGAATAACGCTGTGAACGCACGTCCATTTTAATAAGGGGCCAATTGAACAGGGACCACGTAAATATATTGCTCTTTGTTTTGCCATTCTCCTTCCTAGCACTTGCTGTCTACTTATCGATACATATGTAGCAACCCCCTTCATACTCGTTCCGTGTTGGATCGCCCACATTACACACTGTTTTCCCCGTCTACCTCCTTTATTGTTTTCTCAATATGTTTTCTCATTTTATTCAGGAGATACCGTTTACAATGCAGAGATAGTATCAAGGAGTTTATTGAATGGGACATCGTACTAGCATTCCTCACGTCATACAGCGAGCCTGTCGCATCAAGTTCTGTACGACACTATTTTGCGTCTTCTTTTACATAACTCTTTTGTTGGGAGTGCCTTACTGACACCCGCCAATACGGGAGATTATATTATTTCGGCTCTTTTTAAAATCATGATGCTTCGTCATGAATTTGCAACCTCAAGGGTTCCGTATCTTTTTGACAATATAGTGCGCCAGTGTCATCTGAGAGTGTAGGGCGTTTATTCAATAGTTTAATCTCATTTGCAGAAATCAAGACACTCCAGCAGGCGCTTGTTGCATCAGAAATTATGCGTTATTTTTTGTTTTTGACAAATCATGTGGCTCAATGATACCCAAAAATGCAAGACTTTAAATAATCTCGATCAGTCGCCTTTAGAAATAAACCTTATTAGCATAATATGCTTTAGTTTCCTTTTCCCTCTTGACAATAGTAGCTGGTTCGATCATATTTCAAAGTATTTAACAAGTTCCAGTAATAAAAATTTTGTATCGTTGTGTATGTAATATGTATTGGAAAAAAAAAGCAAGTTAACACAAAGTGAGGTACATGATGTAACTAATCAAGCTAGTTGATACGAGATAAAAGGCCATTAGAGCCGACTATGTGGATGAGGGGACGTAGTGGGCCCAGAGGATGAACCAGAAAAGGCCATTTAAAAGGCATCTTGTCTAACACCGTAACCCTTGCTGGAGTCAGCCAAAAGACCACCTTTGAGGAGATTGTTTAACTAAAACACAATCAGAATTAGTCAGCATGAAAAGTCAAAATGAGCGTTGATAGTATCCCTGTGTCAACTTACAATACCACTGACGCGACCTTCATTGCCAACGCCATTAGTTTCCTGATCAACACCCGAGCGATGTCCAGCAGCAGAGACAGTGGCAACGAAAACAGCAGCAAGAGCGACGAAGAAAGTGGCCTTCATAGTGATGATTGGTTGTATTAAACTTGAGAAAAAGATGTGTTGATGATATCGGAGCGCATGAAGCAAAAATCGTTGTATTTATACTAAATCAAATGCACAAATCTATAAAACGGTAATTACCTTTGATGAACGATACAGTGGACAATGGGTTGGAAAAACGAAATGTATCCAAAAAAGGGTAGCGAAGTGACCGCACGTCCCTTAATAACATTCAAAGGGATAGACATGCATCAGGGGCTAGACGATCTATAGTATTGCATTTTGCCACTTATTTTACATGCTTGATGTCTACCTACTGATGTGCCCATGCATGTATAACATATGCAGCAATCCCTTCATACCTTGTTCCGCGTTGGGGCGTGCAGGCACGTATTGTTGCCCCATCTGTCTTTTCCCTTGTTTTCTCACCGTTTTCTTATTCAAATTGAGAGCATACCGCTTACAGAACGGAAGTAAACCATCAAGGATTTTATTGCATAAGACACTTCATGCTAGCAGTTACCACGGCACGTCCCGTCACGTCATACCTAGCCTATCACACCCAGAGATTGTACGAGATTACTCAGCCTTTCATTTTTCTTTCGCTACTAACAACCCAGTGGCACCTAGAGATATAGAACATTGCTAATATTGTTTCGGTCACTTTGAAAATAACGGCCGATCAACATGAACGTACCATGCAAATTAAGGATTATGCACATGTCCTTACTCTTTATGATATTATCAGTGTCTCAAAGACACCCAAAAAATGTAGGACTGTAAATGATCCCAATCAATTATCTTTAGAAATCATAACATAAATCAGCACAATATGCATTTATTTCCTTTTTCTTTCTGATAATAGTAATGCGTCAACATCACCCGGAAATGTGAAACAGTGATGATTTTTGGTCAACTTTCAAAAATACCCGAGGCATACCAAATAAGAAGCTGCAAAATAGGGTAAATGTATTGCAATGAAAGTAACAACACAAATGCAAACTATATGATAAAGCTAACCAAGCCAGTTGGGTATGATGTTGGATGACTATTTGAACAAACTATGCGAATGAAGGACATAGTGGACCCAAAAGATGAGAGAGAAATATTGTTTAAAAGGCATCCTGGCCGACATGGTGACCCTGGCTGGCGTCAGCCAAAAGACCACCTTTGAGGAGATTGTTCAACTAGAATGAAATTAGAGTGAGTCATCGAGAAATATCAGAACGAAGTACCCTTGCCAACTTACAAGACCGCTGACACGACCTTCAATGCCAACACCACCAGCTTCTTGAATAATAGCCGGGTGCTGTCCACCGTGATGATGGTGAGATTCTTGTTGACCGGGGCCTGCTTGAGCGGAGGCAGCGGCGACGAAAACAGCAGCAACAGTGAGGAAGAAAGTGGCCTTCATAGTGATGACTGGTTTTGATTAGACTTGAGAGTAAAGATGAGTTGATAATTTGGATTAAATGAAGCAAAAAATAGTTGTATTTATACTGCATTAACTACCGTGATAGTGGCTTTTGACGAACGATACTGTTGAACGCACGGTTGGAAAATGAAATGTTTCCAAAAAAGGATAGTGATATAAACGCACGTCCGTTAAAGGGATCAAATGCACCAGGGGTATGTAATCAATAACTTTTTATGTTGCCACTCACTTTCGTAACACTTGATGTCTACCTATTGATATGCGCATATTTTAACATGTAGCAACCCTTTCATAACTCTTTCCGCGTTGGATCGCTCACACAGCATTGTTTCCCCTTCTTCCTTCTCATTTTGTTTGGTTTGGTCATTTTTTCCTCGCAATGCTTTCTCGCTCTATCAGGAACATACCGCTTGCAGTACAGACAAAGTCAAGGAATTTAATGCATGAGACACTATAGTAGCACTCATCAGGAATGAACGATACATCATACTGGCATCAACACAGCACGTCCATTTGAGTGAAATAAATAGAATAAACCATAATGGAACGTAGAAGACAGCTTTGTATTGTGACTCGAATGAAAAGATCTGCATCTAAAATGCCTTTGGGTGCATCTCTAAATTCACTCTGCGATAAAAGATTATTGTCAGGCTTAATGACGAGACGATTAGATTGAACGGTCAATGTAAAATTTTCGAACTGGCTGTCATGGATGCACAGTATTGCGCGTAAGTGGTGTTTCTGTCTTGGCTCCTCAGAACCCTGATACTACATATTAGGCTGATTCCGTACATTCGCCACTGGGCGCGCCGCAATGACAACCGACATGCAGCATGTTGAAAGTTTTACATTTAAAAATTGCGACCAATCAGCATAAGCTCGCAAAATAAGGTTTTTGTATCGCTTCATCTTTTGTTTTGGCGATCATTCGTCGGGCCATCCGAAAATGTGGAACGCTCAGTAAATCTTGGTCAGCTTTCAAATGGCCCAAGGAATCCGCTCCCCTACCCCCCCCCAAAAAAAAAAAAAAAAGAATTGCAGGGTAGTGGAAAACACGAAAAGTCAAAAGAGAACAAAGAGATAATTATTTTGAAGAATTTGCCATTGACTTCCACTACACCCAAATCCCTTACTTGATCACCGTCTTCATTCGTTATATTACCGTGACCATCCTCATTATAATCAAAGCCTTTGATTCCGGATTAATATCGAAAACTGAAGAGAGGGAAAGGAAGAAACAACATCAAACTTATTTTACTGACGTCTGTTTGTTATTCAACAATAATCTATTGATCCGCTCCGTTAAGAATAAGGACATAATTACAACCGTGGCCACTTCCCCTCTGTTGAAGGATGAGGGTGCGCCTCTCTGTGATTGGCCAATTTCTCTCTATTGACGAAAATATGGGTGCACCTCTCTGGTTATGCGCTGACTACGTACCGGAAAGGCCGGTTCAACTAGACAGGAGGGTGGTGTTAATTACTTGCAAACGGCAATGGCAAGACAGTACAAGAATAAGAATAAGAAAAAGAACAAGGACGAGGACATCAAGGAGAAACAATAGCTAGGACAAGAAGCACTATTCTTGATTGAGGTATATTCATGGAAAAAGATTTGGAAATTCATACTAAATGATATATAAAGAGCAGATACGATAACAGAATAAATAATTGAGATGCAGGAACAGCATGAGATGACATATGGATCAACAATAGGGAAGAGCATAAGAGCCAAGCATAGGGGCACGCGCATGGGCCAGCATGACACAGCAAGGACCGTGCTTTGGCCATTAATACACATGGTCGTGCATTATGGCCAAGACAACGTGTGCGAGGGAATGGTCATGATGTCATTCTCCCTACTGTTGAATTATGTGCGCCTCTCAGTAGTGTATGTAACAAATATGGATACATACAGAAAAAAATCTCGGGAGTGCAAATGTGATGATGATAGGTCATACGACTCGTACACACACCACAAAAAAAAAAAAAAAAAATTATTTTGTAGAGTGTGTTTTCAGTCATCTCCTCTCCATTCAAACAACGATGCCTGATGAAGGACTGCAGGCGTCTACAGTCACTGCGAGCTCACCGTAGCAAGGGTCACTCACGGGAATTGCTATTTGAAGTTGGACAAAATGGTAAAAACAATCGTAAAAGAATAAAACCAGCGAATCTGACGCGGTTTTCGTGTAGTCCTTGTGTCTGTAATGCGGTTGAACGGGAAGTTCAAATATCCACTTGCTAGTTGTGGCAAGCAGTACACGTCTGTTGACACGTTTCATCAGCACTCCGTTAGAATTCACCACTTAACATAGTATATCTTCCTGAACAGCGATGATTACGATGATATACCCAAGAAGTCACCAAAAATTGCAAAACATGACGAATTCACAAAAGGTCGCAGGTTTCATTTGGGCTTGAAGCTGGATTCGGCCAGACGCTCAAATCTGGTGTCTGAAGCATATGACTGTGAAGCAATTGCCCTTCATCTGGAGCACGAAACAATGGAGGACCCTGATACCGTTCGTTGTCTTACCCATGCTGACGAACTGCACAACGCGTGCCTCAAGCTCCCATTCTCATCACGGACCACCACCTTGCCCATGACGCGCGTTTTGCAGGTGCACAAGGATGACGATACCGCAGCGGTTCCCCATCAATCCCAGGCAATGGCCACAGTTCCCGACGAAACAGTATTCCATCTCAAACAGACAATATGCAAGTCCTGGCTGCCAAATGTTATGGACAGATTGGATGACTACGAAGAGCCATCAAACGAACTTCAAGCTGCTCTCAACTTTGACTCCCGGCAAGGCCCAGCTCTTATACAATCCGTCGCGAAGTTGTTTACCGGTTCGCTGGTCGTGGATACCGCTATAATATTCATCATTGTTGCTGAAGCTAACGGACGTTCAAAAGCGGTTGATGTACACAGTGAAACAAGTCTTAAATCGCATCCGATCATTGCCAACGGCGTGTACTCATAAATGTCCATTGGAATTTTGAAGAATCCGACGGTTTCGGTATCAAGAATAAACTCAAGATAGCGTCCAAAACTATGAATGTGCTATATACAATGTCCGTGGATATGAATGTCGAGCGATTGGTAGACATAGGACCAGAGACATCAGCACTCATTACATCTGTCCTGCCGAAGCAAGCAAGGATCTTCCTTCGCGCTGATGCTGTCAAAATATTCATAGAAGCGTACAACAACCTGATTTCACGTTTCCAAGGGCCACCGTGTCTAACCTCCGACAAATTATGTCTGGCTTTGATGATGTGAGCACTTACAAGTCATGGAGAGCCACCATTGAAGTGAAAACACTGTAATGTATTGGAAGAAAATAATATCAACCCAAGAGCAATCTACATGGTAGAGCTAACACGCTAGTCGGATATGATTTGGATAAGAATATGCGGATATAAGGGACACAGTGAAACCCACGATGCGACAGGCATATGATTTAAAAGGCATCCTGGGAAAGACCGTAACCCTCGCTAGAGTCAGCCAAAAGACCAGCTTTGAGAGCGTTGTTCAACTAGAATGCAATTAGAATGAGTCATCAGAAAAAAGTCAAACGAACAATGATGGTATGTGTCACTTACGATACCACTGACACGGCCTTCATTGGCAACACCACCCATTTCTTGGTCAACATCCAGACGCTTTCCTCCACCTCCACCTGCACCAGCAGCAGAGACAGCGGCGACGAACATAGCAGCAACAGTAACGAAGAACGTGGCCTTCATAATGATGATGTGTTTGATTAGTTGACAATTTGCATAGCTAAAAACACTCCTATTTATAATGAACAAAATGAACATAGTTCTATATAACAGTCGCTACTCTTGGCGACCGATCAAAGTGAGAACTCGACTGGAAATGAATAAATGTATCCAAAAAGGGATATTGCCATGAACGCACGTCCGTTTTAATTGCATCTGAAGGGATAAAAAATGCACCGGAGGAAGGACTAGGTAACCTAGTGCCTTTTTATTTTACCACCCACTTTTGCAGCAATTGTCGTCTACCTACCGATATGCGCACAGCCACAAATGCTACGTATGCAACGTATGCAGCAACCCCTTAGCAACTCGGCCCCTGTTCGATTGCCTGCATATGCATTATTTCTCCATGTGTTTTCTCACATTCTATTTAGGACATCACTTACAGTACAGAGACAACGTCAAACAAAGAGAGGAAACGGAAGAAGGCCGCAATGCTAACGTCGGCCTATACTGTTATTGTAAGAAGGTTCAGTACGTCCCCAGCCACCCGTGCTAAAAATACTGGGGTGCTAAGAAGAAACGGCAGCGGGGCGGCCAGGATTAGAAGAGATAGAAGATTCTGGGTCTGTCTTGTTGCCCGCCAATATGGAAAAGCTCCACATACAAAAGCAAGAACGAGCATCAGTGGGCCCCTGGTAGACGCAGGTGCGAATAGTTCGTTCGTAGAGAGCAATTCATCAAAAAAAAACCTCAATTTCTCTGTCAAAACTAAAAATAAACAAAAAAAAAAAAAAACCGCTTGGCGATAGCTAATAAAAGTGTGAAAAGTGATAGCACGGTTGAACTCCAACTACAATATATGGAAAAAACGTGTGTTCACACATTTATTGTCATGCAATTGCTTTCAAACTCGTGTCAGCATTGGTTTTAACCTCAAGCAAAAACTAGGAAATCGGTCTCACAAGTGTAGCCACCCTCATGGGATGATCAACAGAGAGGTTCCTCTAGCGATATTCCAAATGACACGCCCGAGCCAAACTATTCACCAGCAGGTCCTGCTACAGAAAAGGAAGCTATTCAACGTTCACTAGATGCAAATATGAAGAATCCCAATACCCCCTTTTTTTTGCAGAAATCCGGAATCTGCAATCTATCAGGAGACAACCTACAAGTGCTTCTTTGTACCGTCCGTAATATCCGTTGCCTGTTGTAATAAAAATGAAATCCAAGGAGCGATCGATACATTGCTGAGAGATGGAACTATCGAACTGGCACCAACGAATACACCTTGAAATAGCCCTGTCGCATGGGCGATAAGTATGGCAAATACACCGGGATCCACGCCATAACAACAAAATTCTTGTTGAGGAGGGTTGCTATAACACTGCCACCCAAGATCCCTCAAATGAGCAATGGACTCCCGCGGACGTTAGCTCAATTATCCGTAATAATAATAAAAAAGCCTCTCATATTCTTTAAATTAAATTTCAAATGATGACCATAAAACGCGTCTTGGAAGCTACTGAACATTTTCAAAAACATAGTGTCGTGGCTGAAGCGGATAACGTATGAAAACGGTAATCAGCTTAGCATCTTGCTAAGTACAACCATCCTTTTATCAAAGTTTTAGCCGCTCAGCCATTATCCTATTTAAGAACATAGACCGAATAAGCACATATAAATATCTCCTTATAATTGACAAAATAAAGCGTTATTTTTCCTATCCCTAACCCTCTTGTTTCCCACTCTGGTGATCTTGCCGGTATATCTGTCAGATTTGAGTACTCCTTTAGAGTTCAGTTTAAATCTGTAGTTTTTTTCCTTCTTTATTTCTACCATAACATGGTCATATTTATATTTTCTATCAAGATCATTTTTATGTCTACAATCTTCAGGAAGGTTCTCGTCAACTTCCTGCACGGTTTTCTATTATTCCGAAACATAACCAATCAAGAAGTATTACGGACCACTTTAATGCTAAACGGATTCGGTCTATATTTCTTCCGTTTTCCAGGCAATACCTTTGGTATGCCTCGTTCATCCATTGGTCCTTCATACCTTCTCGAAGGTTCCTCCAGACATCGATCTGCGGACGAGCCAATGCGCTGTCTTCCGTATTTGCTAAACTTTGGTATAGCAAATCTAATCGGCGCAAAAGAAGAACCGGCGTAACTGACATATCAGATCCGAGTGAAGTACGACAATAGCGAAATACAAAATAAATAAAAAAAAAATCCCGAAAAGGGAGAACAAAAAATGTGAAGAGAGTGGGATTCGAACCCACGCCTCCGAAGAGATCACGGCCTTAACGTGACGCCTTAGACCAACTCGGCCATCTCTCCACTGTTATTTTGGAATCTTGAAAGGAGTTGATAATTAGTAATGAAGTCACGTGATTCGACCAATGGGGTGCCAAGGATTTTATAACGTGCTGGAATCCCGATCAGGTTGAGCTGCTTGAAAGCTCCAGTTTCTTGATCCTCTATCATATCCTTAATACCCTGTGGCTACGTGGCGTGATTGGTCGCGAATATATCTTAATTTTTATTACTTTTATTGGTTGAAGACTAAAGTATACCTTTTAGCCATTTCATGATATAAGGTTCGGCTTTGATCCTTAGATTCTCAAATATCATGCGTAACATTTTTCATGCATGAGTGCGAGTGGTGCGTTGAACGTCGAGGTTGGTCTCTCGCACCCACTACAGTTAATATTTTGAGAGACACTGCGAATTTTTTGTGGTTCAGTATTGTGCAAGCATCCCTTTTCTAGACTAAACTCTTTACTTTGGACGAACTTTCTCATTTTGGGTGATCACAATATTCTGCGGAGTACCAACAGGAGGTAAGCGACAGGGGAAATGGTCCGTGTAGCTCCTCCTTGATCTTTGAATCAATTGTTGTAACTGGTAAATTGTCTTATCGACGCAAATTTTACTGCTCATGCTGTCAGTGCTTTTAACGCTACTGGCACTACAAACCGTACTAACAGGAGTACACGTTCTACTACTACCGGTTATGTACAAGGTCACTGTGAAAAGTGTGCTTCTCGATACTCTTCAGGTGTATTCGTACATGCACAACAAACCGGGCCACAATGTGCACAAGATATGAGAACTTCGGGCTTCGCCACCTTCATTTCCTCCCGCGCTTGACGATGGTACGCTTTCGCTGATGCCAGTAATCTACCATTTCGGCATTCATACAATCGGTAATTATGAATATTTCAAACTGTCAAATAGGTTTCCAGTCTTTACTTAACCTGGATTTCTTTCTTTCTTCCTGCAGCAATTTCACTGTTATCTGGCAGTTATTATTTGACAACTGCTATTGACAAAACCTCTTGATGTGAACGACATCGGTCCTGGGATTGTGCCTGAAGCTGCGGCTGATGATTCTGGTGCCAAAGTCGTTATCGAGGATGTTATCGATGAAGAAAACTTTTATTTATTCATGGGCCTATCTGACGACGATGACTACATTCGGCAAGAGCAGGTGAAGGAGGACCACGAAGAAATCCTGCCGTCGAGCTTGGCCAACTGGCTTACCTGGATCGTCATGACTTGGGGTCTACAGTTTTCGTACGAAGTCTCTGCCGAAGGCGCGACCGAAACAGTTGATGATGGGCATCAACTCTATTTTTCTGATATGCAGGATGGGGTTTCGATTCCCTGCTGAATTGTCGACTCTCGCAAAAATGGTTTGTACACCTGATAGGGTCAAGTCTATCATTCGTTTTGTGGTCTGCCCTATTTGTCATAAGACGGAAAATATTGGTGATTCTGCGGTTCTCCAGGACATTCGCTCCTACTCTTACATATTTCGACTGGCCGCACGAACATCGGTTTACGCACGGTCAACCCCCGCTTCGGTGCCCTATCAATGCCTATTGGGACGGTACAATGATCCTGTGGAAGTGAACTTCGTCAAGGTGATCCGCTATCTCCGATCCTACTTAACCTGGCCATTGAACTTCTTTTGTGCAGCATCATTTATGATGCTGCGTTTCTCGGTGTTCCACCGCAGTTGCAAGCACGTAGAAATTCCGCGGCATCCGACAGTCGATGAACTCCAGACATCAAAGTCGAGATGACGATCTATTTGGAATTGGTTGAATTGCTTCGCCGGGTGAACGAAAATACAGATCGGCGAACCCTCAAAATCCAACAACAAACTCTACGAAGATGCAAGCAAGGAGAACGGAATGATCATCGAGATGTTTGTGGATTTGGCGACAAGGCTACCTAATTTTGAGCGACTGACTTCTGTCGGAGAAATGGAGCTCACGGTCAGTTTCCTGGACTCCATTCTCGCCCACCTATTTCATTGCCCCGATTTAAACAGGCACCTCATATGATTGAATCGTCAAGAGGAGAGCACCAAAAACTGCAGGCCGGATGCCACCATGGTGCGTTCCCACAGATAGCGGTCGATGTAACGTTAGGCTATGTGGAAGTCAAGCCCTCTGATACATCCATCGATTCAGAGACAACCCTTCATGGACCTGGTTCGTTTGAGTAAATCTTCTCGCAATCTTATGCTGAGAAAATCACGAAAAGTCATCACCATCCAACGTGTGGCCTATAAACTGGTATTCTATTTGGTGACCGAGCGTTTTAATCGAGTCACCATCATGGCCGAGATGTTAACCATCAACGCGCCAAAGACTATCACAGAGATCGGAGCTTTTCTGTCGAAAGTCGATGATCTAAGAGGTTATTGACTTTATATGAACATGACATGGAGCCACGTTATGCAAATACAAGACCGCATGAAGATGATGCTCTGACAATGGAAATGGTGCCCCAAATGTCGAACAACAAGACCTTGCAGCTCGCAAGGTGGTATCGGGTTCTCCACAACAAAATACCATGTCGACAACTATTGTATCGACTCTATTCTTTTCACTTCGCCGCTTCGACTTGCTCTTTGTGCTCGGCCCATGCCGAGTCCTCGCCCTGAAGAGAGAAGCTGCGTATCGAAGCGTCGTTCAAAACAAAGCGCAAAAAAAAGCGAAAGAGGAACAAGCAGCCGAGGGTCACTCGAGAACTAACCGCGGCCTTCAGAGGAACCGCCTGTACTTCCGAAAAGAAATATCATTAAAATTGCGAAAACGATTTGACACGTTACGTGGAGGAGGAAGATCATCAGAAATGAAAAACCCGTCTCTACCACTCACAAGTGCGGTTGGGTCGTCTCTTCTTGTTTTTTCATTATGTTTTCTTCTTCCTCTATCGAGTCTTTAATTGTAGACATCAAAATAAATTGGACAACCCGTCATACAACGCTTTTTCCCTACAAAAATCCTTTGCTTTTCATTGATGTTGATTATCTCGTTTCCTCACTAATGGATTTGGTGCAAAATATATTATTGAAGCAAGTCTTCAATTTGGCATTATGTTTTTGTTCATGTCGTTTCAATGTGCAGTGACGGCAAAGGACTTGCAACATATCCATTGACAGTATTAATAATGGTCGTGCTTGGTGATGGTTGCGAAGGCGGTGGAATGGACAGCAGTGCAACAGAAAGTCCTAATTCAAGGATTTCTGGTGCCTGTAATACTGCTGTCTATGATTCGCAGGTTTTGCCAGGGCCTAATAGGCGACCTCTTTTTTAGTAATGGCGTACCGGACTTACTCTAGATGCGCGCCGAAATGAAAAAAGCCTTTTGTGGTATTAGTATTGGGTTGCTGTTTAGGAGCTTGTCCTTTATTGGTGGTTTTTTCGCGGCCTCAACGGTATCATTAACCGCTTGTTGTCCTTGAAATAGGCGACAAACATTATCCAATATATCCCGATTGTTCTTGCCTCGACTGAATCGAACCTTTATTTCCGGTAGAGGGCGACACTATACATCGAACAGCAAAGCACTTGCGTTCTCAGTACGTAAACAAGGTACTTCCTACTTTGCACGAGCTTCGTGCTAAATCCCCTACAGGAAAACATCCAATATCCATCAATCTAGTATCTCGAAAAATAACTTGTCCGAACAGTCTCCACATTTCCTTTCCACGTTCTTCACACTATACCCTCAAAGGAGGATACGAATTATACAACCATGAGCAAGCGGTAGCTTGGTGAACAGAAGGTTCATAAGATATATCTCGGTCGTTTCCGATGAATAAATCTCTTTTTTTTCATTTGGCTTTTTGTTTAAATATAAGAGGAATGTATACTTATTGACGAGCACAGTCAACCATTGCAGAGATCACCGTGCAGATATAAAGTATATATCTCTCTACTGTTACCGCAGGAGCTGAATATTTTCCATCGGCTAGGCTGACGCTTCACCTTGATATCCGTAACGCTCCAGTAACATGTAAAGTTTAGGTTAACGAGTTAGCGAGGGTCCAGGGGGGATTGGATTTTTATAGAAAGAATTTTTTTTTTACGCCTGTGACGTTGGAAATTGCAGGGGCCACGAAAAAAAATATAATAATAGGACCGATGTTTTTAACCGTCTTAGAAGAGTCGGGTATAAAAAAATTTTCTAGAGTGGCTACGAATCTTTTTTCTTTTCTCCAGAAGAGGTGACAAGCTTACGTGTACGGATAAACATACGAAGAGACTTGTTCTCTATCTCCATCCGTGGGAAGGTCTGAGAAAAACCAAAATGCCTTTGCCGGGCGACTTGTGAAAGCAAGTGTGAGCGACCAGAAGTACCTGGCAGGTTGGACTGTTTGACCGTTGACGACATCTTGTCGGAGGGAGGTTCAGCTTTGTCATTTAAACTGCTTGCGGGTGGTAATGCTATGCAGTGCAATACGTAAGGCTGGCCTTTGTGTCAGTAACTCGATTCAGACTACTCTGTCTCCTCTTCTTCTCCAATTTGAACAAAAAGTAAATGAAAAATAAATTTGTTATTAACTTTCCAAGAAATATGGAAAAGCCAATGAGCATTCGCGGTTAAAAGCTGCAGTGCCATCTCATATGGTTAATGGGTAAAAGATGAGCTCAATCATCCTTGAATCAGTCGTTGATGCAGGGTAGAACTCAAAGAATCGGTGTGACCAAATGCCGTTTGGCTAATAATTTTCCGGTTATTCGTTCTTTGCTTCTATAGTTATAAAACCATCCAATACAACTGAAAAAAAATTCACGTCGCGCGAGGAAAAAGTTTGTTTATTGGCACAATCTTTGTCATGGCAAATTGCAATAGTTTGCCCATCTGGGGAAAGCATTGAGTCGTAATAGAAAAAGGCGGATTTCGCTGGCATGAAAGGATAGAACGTAAACGAAAAAATGATTTCAGGTCTACGCCATTCAACTTCATGAATGATAAATATAAACAAGCCCTTTTTGAGGCGATTTCTTGCGCATACACTGCGTCATGAACATGAAACGGCAATTTTGCAAGCACATTTTTCTTCAACTGTTTTTTTTTTCTTTTTGTTTTTGTTTTTTTTTTGTGGTGCCCCTGGCACGTTTCGAAAGGGATTAAAGTCAGCAGCAAAACAAGGCTGGCTTTCTTTTCGGGTTCTTTTGGAAAGGAACCGTGAAGAGTAAAGTTTTCCTTATTTTGTTGGGAGCAGCGTCGGTCTCTGAAATCTTGCATGGGATCTGTTTAAGGAAATCCCGCTCGATTGGCGTCTGATGTTGGTGTGTGTAGTTTCTTTTCGGTTTACTCATTTATGTAAAGAGAATTAAGACGGAATTGGAGGAAACCACATGTAATACTGGTATGCACGTCATGGCTCTGTTTTTTTCCAACTTGATAAACCCATTTCTTAATTGATTGCAAGTGGTAAAAATAGAATCATACGAGGGCAGTGCCCTCATTCGCCATGACTGAGAAGAAACAAATATTATTTAGTCTCAAGACGGAGTTCATGGTTTTTTTCAAGCACAGCATGCCATGCTTTCCTTTTTTTTTCGTCTCCTGGTTATTTCGGTCTCTTTTTGCTGGGATCATCGCTGTTGGCACCAAAAGTGAACGATTTCCAAGCAGAATTGCATTGGATAAAAGTTTTTCATGTAGCATTTAGGTTGAACAGTTTCCATATATCAATAAAAAACAGGGCAAAAAAAAACCCCAGAAGAAATAACCTAGGATGACAAATTTCACAAGCTCATCCCATCGTTCATCCGAGCGTTTTTTCCCATGACAATAAGTATGAGATGGCTTCAGTCGGACTTGATAGATGCTTGATGTACTTTTTATAGGATTTTTAATTTTTTGATGCGAGTATTTCAAAGAGTCTCCTCTGCAAATAAGGATGAACCTTGTTTACTATTGGTTTTTCATAAATTTCTCGGGGATAGCGGGCATTTTGCGCGCATTGAATCCTGAAAAAAAAATCTCATCAGATGTCAGCTTCTAAAACTTTCTGATTTCTCAATCTAAAGCGAAGCACACCGATTTGATCAGTCGATAAAAATGCCACGATAAGTTTCTTAAAGCAATTCTTGATTTCTGATTTTACCATCGCCTTTTTTTTTTTTGGCATGGTTACCTAGAATTTTAAACGAATGCTGTACAAGGTACGCACAGACAGCATACTTGGCATTCATTCAGGATTCACAAGGAACAAAAAAATAGGAATCGAGGAAGGAATGGAAATCGGATGCAAAATGAAAACCGGAGGAGATTAAATTGTGGCCATCGGAATCGTCTGTTTGGAGCAGAAGCGATTGCTTTATATGGCGCGTGCGTTTGGTGATAGGCTCAAATGAAGTGACACACTTATCGCGGGCATTGAAGTGCTTTAACTTGTGTGTGACCATGGGAAAATGGGGATTCATTTTTTTTTTAGTTGAAAAACGAAAATGGCTATGGAGGTTTAGTTCTTTTAGCAGCTGATCTATCCGAATGCACAAAGTCATGCTCGTGATCGCGTGGCAAAAAAGAAAAAAAATTCTGAAAAAGGAGGTAAACTGTAACAAAAAAATAAAGACCATAATACGTTTTTTTTTTTTTTTTTTTTTTTTTTTTTTCATGACAAAGGAGGTGAGTTGGAAGAATATCAATCTCCACTGTTGTTACAATATTGGTTCGAAAATAGAGAACCAATGGTTAGGTGGTACAATCAATCCCATTTGTATCTCCGTCGGCCACTTGCTGTCCCGCTCAAAGCTCCACACCGGTCAATCTGCAGTGCAAGTTATGTTTGCCAAGGAACACAAGAGCAAACTTTGGTTTCACTCAATGTCGATCATTTAGAGAAAAAAAAAAGCAAGTATTCACGATGATCCTTCAAAGCGGCTTCAAAAATTAAAGCCTCCAAAACGGATTCGTATATCTTCAATCATCCTTTTTTTTTTTGACACGGTAGCCCGTCTCTGCCTCTCAACCTTATTATCGTCCTTTTCATTTTCCGACTTGGGAGAACCCATATAAGATTTTCAAGATAGTATTTTTTGGGATGTTTCCCAGTTTCTTCTTCTCTTCTATTTCTCGCTTGATTTGGGAATTCCCTTTCGGTTTTTTTATTATTATTTTTATTATTTTTCCTTTTTTTTTTCAACCGAGATCTTTGACCTTCTTTCTCTCGCTTTCCAGTTGTATACCCCAATCTACGTTTTACTATGAATTCGGTGCACGACACAAAGGAGTGGCATTTGTCCGAAACGCCTCTTCAAAACTCCCCGATGAATGATTGCACCACCCAATCTTCTCCACACCCCACCCAACAGTACTCGCCTATGCCGACAATGGATCAAGGCTATGGTCATCCTTATCCTCCCGGGAATCTTCATCCAATGTAAGTAATTGGGCTTTTTTTTTTATCTCCATAGTTACTGTCGTCTGTCAATTATGCGTACACTTCGCTGTTTGGTGCTACCAGTACTACCACAGCTCCATTTGTCCCCTTGCAGTGTCATATGAAAAAAAAAAAAAAAATTAAGATGAATGGCAACACAAAACGCGTTTCCTTTCCCTTCTTTTTTCAGTGGCTAGTTTACTCACCTTTTTGAAACGTTTTCGATTTTTTCTTTTTCTTCCCAAAATTTAGGCATCCCTATCCACCCATGGTTCCTAGCAACTACATGTCGCCCATGAAACCGGAATCCGATCCAAGGTTGCCAGGGTAAGTTTTTCGGTTTCCCCTTTGGTTCTGGTTTTTTTTTTGGAGGGGAGGACAGTTTTGGAACTAGTTGGCATGGTGATTGGAAACTGGCTTCGTTTACTGATCGTTTTTTTATGTTCACTCTTCTTTTAGTATGATGGCGCTTTCGCAACCTGGTACACCGCGTCCTTCGGGATACATGAACGATCTGTCACCTGGAAAGAAGAGGGAAGGTCCTTACATGAGTTCTTTCCACGCCACGCCTTATCCATCAGCCATGGTGGCTCGTAAGCGTATGAGAAATGATCCGCTTTTCCTTTCCGAGGCTGGCCCTTTTTTCAGTTCGACTAAGCCTTTCGACAACTTGTATGCATTTGACCGAACCACTTTGTAAGTAAATGAAGCTCTTGTCATTATCACTCTGTATCGCATGATCTGCATGTTTTGCTTATTGTCCATTTTCAAACCAAAAAAAAAAGGTTAACTGCGCGCATCCATTCCAAAATGGATCGTGGCTTTTTCTTGGCTGACAATGACTGGACCTGCTATCGTCGCAACTATTTCCAGATTAGCAGCACGCTTCAATTGCATGGGTATAATCGATACTATCTTGAACAAGGACCTCAATGCTATGTTCAAACCAGTGAAGGCACATTTTTGTCGGTGCGTCGGTTCCTCATTGGTATCTCGGCTCGTGTAGCGAACAGTGACAAGCAGATTGAGTTGGTGCAACACACTCCCAAGCGCGATAAAGGTCCTCAACTCAAACCGGAACTGAAGCCTATTACCCCGGGTGGTAACCTGAATATGAGTGCGGTGGGAACCAACCAAAATGTCGCTACATTTGAACGTATTCAATTCAAAACGGCCACAGCCAACAATGGCAAACGACGAGCCGCCCAGCAATACTATGTATGCAATGTGGATCTTTACGCTGAAACAGAGAATGGTAACATCAAGGTCGCCTCGTGTCAATCGGCTCCGCTCGTGGTGCGTGGTCGTAGTCCCGGCCATTATGCCGACAGTCAAGACAAGTACAAGCAAGAAATTCATCCCGATGCTGGCATCTCTGTGCAACCACCCCACGATGATCGATTTACTGCTGCTCCATTCCCACGACCTCCCATTACTCCTCCGGGAATAATGGCCAATGAATACGGCACCTCGTATCCTTACTACCACAACTATGGTCATTTTGCTCCAGCCCCTTTACACAACCAACTTCAACCGCCTACTTCCATGGTCATGACCAGTGGTCCACCTACGCCCACCACCGTAGGTTCATCGATTTATAACCCATCACACCCTGCTTCTCCCCACCACTATATGATGCCCAATCGTTCATCCGCATCCTCGTCTCCTGTCCTCTACCACGGCGAATTTGCCCATCAGCAGCAACAGCATCAGCAGCAACAATCACCTCATCCCGTGCCCAATCAACCATCCGAGGACCCTAAAATAGCCCAGCCACATCCTAGCACCCCCGGTCTGAACATTCACATTCCTTTGGACGCGTCAGCTACCGCCGATTGGACACGCTCCCGATACCATTCGGCCGAATCCTCCGTTCCTTCGCCTGCCCCGGATCAGGCCCAAAACTCTTACTTTGCACAAGCGACACCCGCTCTCTCTTCCTCTTCGGCTTCCCAAATTAGTGCCTTTTCACCTACTACACCCACCACGCCTTATGCTCCTCGCAAATATAATCCAGCTCCGGCCATGGAAAACCAGCAAACTTCTTAGGGCTGCTAAAAAAAAATCATGGATCTTGCAACTCAGTTGCAACCGCGACCACAAAATCCAAAAAAAAACTGTTCTTTTATTACCCATAGCTCTGTTTCCAGTGTAATCTTACTGTTCTTTTTATTTCTTCTTTTTCTGTACACGATATAGCACTCTGCTTTGTTTTTTTTCTTTTCACACAAGATGCCTTGCATTGTTTTTATGTAATAGTTTTTCTTTTTTATTCTTTATTTCGATACATCTCTGTTTTACGTTTCTTAAATTTTCCCATATATCACTTTACAGCACACATGTATAAATATATATTATATTCTTATCGTCGAAAACTCTTTCTTACCCGTGTTGATTCGGTTTGTGTATTTGCAAAGAATAGGTTGATGGGTGGTGGGTTCAAATAAACCTTGCATGAGAGCCAAACCAACATTGACAAGGTCAATTGCCCCCATCTCTCAGCACTGTGTGGTGTGGATCCATTTTATACAGTCGTCATCTCCATGTAATGCCATATTTTTATTTTCCCGTATGTATAGATACAATTTGTATGATTTTGTAATTACACCACCACTTTTATTATTGCGGAGCCGTCGAGGTCGTTGCTTTGGCAGTATCTGTCTCATCATGACCCGATTGTTGTTGTTGGAGTGCCGCTTGCATTTGGCTTTTCTCTTGTTCCAATTCGGCCACCTTTGTCTTGAGCTCATTCCAACGTGCTTTGTATGCGTGCGCAAACTGACCAGTCTTCTTGGCCTAAAACAGAAAGAAACGGTTACTCAACATTGATTTTCCCCCTTGTCATCATGCTCTCTAGTATTCACATACCTGAACCAACGTCAACTCCAACTTTTCCTTCAATTCCGCCACTTGCGATTCTAATTCTTTCACCTTGTCCGCTTCGGCAGAATCCTTCGCCTAAGTGGAAAGTTGTCTGTTAGTCCGGAAAAAAAAAAGAACAGCTATCCATCACAGTGTAATATATACCGCAGGTTCCGCCATCAGTATTTCTGCTTGCTTTTTATATGTTTCGTAATTGGTCCTGAGATTATCGCGTTCCACAGTGGTTTGCAATAATTGCTGCTCTACAGCCCGCAGTTTCGCTATCGATCAAGAAACAGAATATTTCGATTCAGCAACCAATCAGTTTTCTTTCAGAGGACATCCACATTTACCTGAGATGGGGACCAATTCAGCATTATTGACAGATATCTCATGCTCCAAGGCACCGATGCGTTTGTTCAATTCCGCAATACGCTGCTCTTGTCGGCTGTTGGCTTCCTTGTAAAAGATCAATTCGTTATTCGCCTTCATCTGCTGATCCGTCGAGACATTGCTCTCGGATCGTGCATTCTCCAATGCTGCACGAGTGGACTTTAACTTTCTCTCCACAAACGTGAGTTCAAAGTGAATGGCTTCATACTGCTTGTTGATCTCAAGGTAACGAGCCCGCCACTGGATATTGTCGCGCGTGAGGAGTGCATTCACATCACGTAATTCTTGAAGTATGTCAGGAGCAAACGATTTGAGTTTACTAATATGATTCTCCTTGTCATCGTCCGCTGTTGTCGCCTCCTCTCGTTTAGCAAGTTCGTTTTCAAGACGCTGGAATAACGATTGATTCGAAGCCCATAATTTCTCCAGACTATGTTGTGTAAGAATTTTTTTTTCAGATCCACTAAAAAGACTATCACTATGCATTTATCCACCCTTACCTTTGCTTAACTTCACTTTGATTGGTCTCCATTTGTTCTTTTTGGCGAGACCATGATGTTTCGGCGTCTTTGAGTTGCTCATGCAATCGTCTCGCATCGGCTTCTTTCTCGGCAATATCTTGCGACAGTTTTTTGATATCATCGCGAAGACCTTGAATACATTCGGCATCTTTACTGCGTGCGGCCGATTCTGCTTGCAATTTCGCTTCTGCCACCTGCACGAGATTGATTTGATGTTCAATTTCCTGTCGCAGCGTGGCTAATTCGGTTTCCTTAGCTTCATTTTTGCGCGCTAAATCTTCCTTATCTTCCGTCAAGGTACGTTTCTCTGCCAACCATTCGCTCTTGGCTTCTTCGATCGCTTTCTCTGCCGCTTCGGCGGCTCGTAGTGCATTTTCGGTCTGGGTTTGGTTTTCAGCAATACGCGCTTCGCGAGTCGCCAACTCTACCGCCAGTTTCGTCATGGACTCCTTCATACGCGTCGTCGATTCGCTATGCTCCTCGCTCAGTTTGGTATACTCGGCATTATGACGTTCTAATAACCGCTGGTAATTCTCCACGCGTGTTTCCAGCTGCTGAATCAATGCTTCAGCCACCAACAATTGATGCTTATGGGATTCACAATCGACGGCATCCGCTGAGAAGACCACTTTGCCAGAAAGTAAAGCTTCATGTTGCAGTGCCGTGTCACGTTCTTCGTTGGCTTTGTCCAATTGCTCTTGGAGAATTTTCTGCGACTCTTGCACCGCTTCCAGTTCCTTTTGCGTTTCAACATATTTATCTTGCCATGAACGTTGATTAAACGACTTGAATTCGTCCAATTCCTGTTGCGTTTCCGCCAGCTGATTCTTCAAACGCGTCACTTCTCGTTTCTGTTCCTCATTTCTCGTCTTCAGATGCTCAAGTAACTTCATCGAAGAAGTGCTCGAAGCCGTGGTACCAGAATGCACTTGATTGATCAGATCTTTCAATTGACCCCGTTCTACCGCCAACTCCTCGTATTCCTTGAGCAATTTCTGATAGTCGGTTGTCTTGGCGTTCAATTCGGCCGTGGTAAGGGTATTTTGACTAGTTTGGGAATCCAAATGACTCTTCAATGCTAGCACTTCATTGTTGGCTTTTTGTAACAAATCAACACGCGAGTTCAATTCGTCTTCCAGCGTACTGATGCGTCGACGCAAGTCGTCTACCATACGACTGTTCATATCGCTGTTGTTCTTTTGCTCCAGGCAAGCCAGCTTCAACTCCAAAATTTCTGCCCGGAATTGATCAGACGCTTGTTCTGATTTCGTCAAGTTGGTTTGTGCTTCAGTTAATTCCGCTTCCATTTGACGGATATATAGTTCAGTCTCTTGACAGTAATTCTTGTGACGCGCTTCCAATTCCTTGATAATCGTGTCATTTTCTGTATGTTTAAGCACGTCATCAACGCCGGGTATGCCTGATGGTACTCTATCTTTGAGCGTGAGGACTTCGTTTCGATAATATTCGGTTTGTCGATTGGCATCTATCAATCTGAATAATAATAAAAAACGACATTGATGAGCCATGGCAGAATATAAACAAAAAAAAAGTAATTCCTTTTTACCGTGATCCCAAAGATTGCATTTCCTCTGAAATGGTCTTGAATTTAATGTCCCAGTCTTGGTGGTCTTGATCGTACTGTTGTTGGAGCTTATCAAGCGCTTGCGACTTTTTCTGCAAGTTTCCAGATAAATCCCTCACACTATCGAGCAATTCCTGGTTTCGTTGTTGCAGTTCCGTCACGTTTTTGAAAATGACTTGTTCATGCGACAAGGTAGGTGCAAACACCGGTGCTGACAGTAATTCTTCCGCATTCGTCACTTCAGGAGGGAATGAACCGTCGCGACTCTCAATATCGCGCAGCACATATCGTAGCTGATAAGTGGTATCATTAAGTGACGCCGTCAGTTGGTGGTTCTTACAATGGGCATTTTCTAGATTGGCGCGAAGCTCTTGAAGCTGCATAAAAGGAAGAACAATGAGCTCTTTTTGCCCTGATTTTCGATTTCCCATTTGATCGTTCTTCGATTTCCAAGATGACGCGGTGACTTACCTCCTTTTCATTTTCACTGTAGAGAGCTTCATGTTTTTCAAGACGTTGGGTGCACACTTTGTATTGATTTTGAAGAGTCTCGAATTCTTTCTCCATGCGTTCATAATACTGCTCTTTATCCTGTTGAGCACGGACCAATCGCTGATACACCTTGTGCATGTCTTCATTTTCCGCGCGCAATTTAACGTACGAAGTTTGTAAATCAAAGAACTCAGGATACACATCGACCCAAGATTTTCCAGAGGCTTCATATTGTTCGATCATGGCCAAGACATCACTGTCCGCCGCAGAAACTGCAGTCGAGCTTTCAGCCTGAGCGCCGTTTGTGTCACCATTGATCGATGACAGGAACTGTTGATGCGCAATTTGCAATCGTTCCGCGGCTTCTTTCAGTTGCGTCTCCAACGAAGCGTTCTGTTGCTCAAGATCCTGCTTGGCAGCCTCGAGAGCCGTTTGTTTTTCCATCATGTCCCCCTTGATGCTCTGGATCTGCAATTTTTGATATGCTTGCTGTTGATCGTAGGTTTCAATCAGTCGTTCGTGAGCAGTTTTGGTGGTTGTAAAAGTGGTTTCTAGTTTTTGATATTTGGATTCCATCATTTTGATGGTATCTTGAGCATCGCTGAGATCGATACGGTATTGGCTCATCTGGAACTTCAATTCTTCGTTGGCTTGCGTCAATTGGTCAATCATCCGTTGATACGTCGTTTTACGGTGATGAAACTCCTTGCCTTCGACATCCTGTCGATGAAAAAAAAAAGCCATCAGCACCCTTTACCGAGGACAGTTGTCCGTTTTCTTGTTGTCTACTAACACTCTTTTCGCGAAACTCATTATAAATGCGTTCAAGTTTCAGTAGCTCGTCTTTGGATGTGGATTCTCGGCGCCGGGCCATGGCTACTTGAGTCTTCAACGTCTCGATTTCAAGCTGTAGGATGCATTGAGTAATACGGTTACTAACGCCAAGCGACTTATCCCCACCTTTAACGCCACATTTTCATTGTTAACTCGTTCGGTATCGGTGGTAGCCGCGATCGTGTCCATTCGTAGTGATGTGTTCTTTTCTCTTAATTTCTGAGCATCATCTATGATTTCCAAGCGTGTTAATGGAATGACTTAAGGCATATAAACATTGGGCAATGAAATTGTTTACTTTGTGCATTTTTAAGGGCTGTGTGGAGCTCATGAAGGAGTGCTTGATTGGGATCGACAGTGACAATTTGCTGTTCTCTTGCACGCTGTTCACGGACTTTGGCAAGTTCTTGTTCTGAGAGGATAAAAAAAAAACATCGATAGGTGGCAAATGAGGCTGGATTAGCTAGAGTGCACAAGTCATGAGTGAATGGATCAGAATAGTACCGAGTGCTAAATTCCTTCGTGTGGCTTCTTCGTATGATATTTGTAAGTCTTGGTGTTTTTTAACTAGTTCTTCATGCTGTAATGCTAATTACAATCCAAGTCAGTGACAGTGTTCTCGAAGGGAAAAACTGAACGGAACTTTTTTTTCCAAAGAGTACCATTGAAGAAATTATTAGCTTCCGTTACGGTTGCCATTTCTGCGACGAACCGAAGGGAAAGGATAGAAAATCAATGCAGAACAAAGGAACCGTCAATAAATTTGACGGAAACTCAAACGCTAAAATTAACAAAAATTGATGACGTTGACTGTATGAAGCACATATTTTTCATCAGCGATGGCAACGCTACAGGCATAAGCACATAGCAATTGCTTCAGTCTTCTTTATATTCGTCTTCTTCGTAAATACTCCGTAGCAGTAATATTGTCTAATGAAAGAGGGCGCGCTAAATTGTTGCGCACTATACATTGCATAAAATTATCCGTGCAATGACAACATATCCATGCAGAGCTACAATTAACATCTTTATTTCCATTGCAGATTTTATGCTGTATTTTCGACTTGTCCATTATTTTATACGGGCTTTGCTTGCAATTGCCTACAAAACATCACCACTTTTTCCAGAGGCTGCCATATGTGACCATGATTTGACGCAGTCACATATTTTGTTTTCTATATCTTATTTAAAATCACACAAAAAATGTGGAGAGATGGCCGAGTTGGTCTAAGGCGTCACGTTAAGGCCGTGATCTCTTCGGAGGCGTGGGTTCGAATCCCACTCTCTTCACTTCTTTTTATTTTTGCCGCCAGGAAAAACCTTTTTACCGTGACGCCTTTTTTAACTTTTTTTTTTTTTGTGAAGCGATTTATAGACAGGTCATGTTCATATTTTTTAGTACCTGTATTAGGAGCCTGCCAATAAAGGCAGTATAAAGTCAGATAAAAGATTTTTCTGTAGTAAGGGTGAGGAACACGCGTTTGTTGCGAAAGTATTGCTCGCCATAATATCTATGGCAAAAGATTCAATTGAAAAATATCACTTAAAAAACAAAGATAGAAAGCGCGCAGAAAGCGTGGGGTGGCAAACAGCCGAAAAATAAAATAAGATAAAAAAAGAAATAGTGTTAGGCTAGTTTTATGAGCCAACGTAAATAATTGGTGCCGGTAAGGCAACATAATTGGTGATCCAAAGTACGATACGGGATATAAATGACTTTCAGCCATTCATCATACCCCTCCATAAGAAGTATTCCTATCAAAATAGTGTGGTTAGTTTTATTTTTCTGTATTCCATTTTATGTATCCAATAAAGGGATCCGGAAATGCGGCCCTCTTTTTCAATGTTCTACCGTTGCGGATCATTGCGACCGGAAACATTCCAGATACGTAGATCATATGGTTACTGATTATGATGCTAAGATGAAGCAGATCGAAAAGCCTAATATGGCGCGCGCAACAATTGAAAAAAAAATATCAACAGTAAAACAAGACGAATTGTATGAGAAAAAGATGAATGGTATTATTTTCGGTGACCAATGCTATGAATTAATGTCTGGATAAGATGAAATGTTTATCTAATCGATCATTTGAAGATGCATGGTATGAGGTGGTCGAACCGAATGCTTAGTTGGCGTGCTGGTTGGTGCCGACGACTTCGCTGTTATCGGAGAGGATACCGGCCTTCAAGGCGTTGTTCAACTGGAAGAAGCGAAGTAGATGAGTAAAGAAATATAAATCAAACTAGTCATTGTTAAGACTGTTGTGGTCAATTCAACTTACCAAACCCTCAACGCGGCCTTCATTGCCGAGATCGTGGGATCCTTGTTGGATGTTAGCACCCTTGGCAGCACCAGCAGAGACGGTGGCAACGAAGACGGCAATGGTAGCGATGATGATGGAGAACTTCATGATTGTAATGATTGTTGTAGTAGTAAGAGATGCAAGTGAATGAATGAAGTTGGGAAGATGATGAACCGCCGTCTATTTATACAAAAGATCATGAATCGATCTCCACACATTCAAGGTGAACCCATATGTCCTAAATTGGTAAGCAATAGGTCGACAGAAGCAGACGTTGGGTATTAGTCCCAGGACCCTGAACAGACGCTCGCACTTACCATGTTCCTAGGTATGCAAGGGGATGCATATTTGCAAGTAATATTGTGTTTATCTTTTTTTTTTTTCTTATGACGTTCATGGAGAGACTGAATTGATCCGCATTCATACTCAAGGGGATACGACCGTCCATTTGCAGGAATGATTCAGATAGGGTATATTGGATAAGATTTTTTTTTTCTGTACTACTTACAGCTGCGCAATCCACCAAACTGATCCTTCTCATCTTGCACTGTTATTAAGATGATCCCACTACATATCCCTGAAATGCTCTATGATCTGACTACCAAAAATCCCTTTGCCGCATTTTTTCCCTTTTTCACATGAATACGCAGAATTGAATTGACACTCTTTCTCTGAAGAGCAAGAAAAAAAAAAAGGGATGGTTATTTGCAATTTTTTTTTAATATTATTAATATTATCATTTGAAATACAAAAACTGCCATGATCGGCTCATGCGGGCAATGATTTGGACTTTTTGGGCGGTCGTGAAGTGAGGGTTCTCCAAATCGCGAATATCTTCCATGAATATCTCACGGACGGAACGTGCGGTGGGGAGTTGACGAGCGTACGACCGTAGGAGGTGCACTTCGCACAGCAAGTTGCCCTGATTTTCACAAGCGACACGCAGTGCCGCGGCATGATCATCGGTGCTTGATCCCTGCTCATTATTGAACAAACGTTCCACGCGTCTAACATGTCGATCAGAATTTCATGCATGCATTGGAAAGATCAGCATTCATCCATATTTACCGCATCGCTTCACGGATCGGTTGACCAATCTGCTTCACGCGTCGACCACCCCGTGACTGATAAACATTGCGGATCCATGCACACGACGCCCAAGTAAGAAGCATGGAGGGAGCGACAGCTTCACAGAAAAAAAGCGAATCCGGTATCAGTATATCACATCAAAGCATGGTATTTGGGAGAGGATTCATGACTATACCCAAAAAAGCGAAATTCAGTTCATTTGATTTGAGCAATTTGTCCAAGGCGGCCATGGCCAAATCAATATCGACTTTGGTTTTCTGAATTTGGATAAGAAGTGCCTGAATCAGATCGCCTGTGCAGATTGTTGAAACGTGGCGTTAGTATCATGCATGATCCCTCTTTTCTTTAAGCATTCAAACCTTTTATGGCATTTTTGAGTGGATGCTGCGAAGATCAAAAAAATAAATAAATTATATTAGTTTTGCAGGCGGCTAGCCCGAGTTGGCGTTATTATGGTCCCTTTACCTTGATTTCGTTCTCATATGCCTTCAACACAAGTGACATATCTCCATCGCGGATTTGTGTGACTAGGGCCGCCATATCGGACTCCGAAAGGTGGTATCGATCATGCGCAAATTGCACCACCATTCTTTGTAATGACTAAACTCTCTCACCTTGAGTATTCCAATATCATCGTTGCACCTTGTGCCACAAAATAAAAAAGACAAAGAAAGAAACAAAAACTTACTTCAAGATCGCTGCGTAGTCCATCTTTACTGAGAAGGCTTAACCGTTGATCTTTGAGACGGATGGTATCCCACACTTCTACGAGCGGATCCCAGATCCAATGTATGACAAAATCGTGCGCAGTAGCGGCCAGCTCCTGACCCCATGCAGTAATCTCATATTTTCGGTTCGATACATAGCGAATAAGAGCATTCCCCGTGAAATATAAGGTCAATGTAGGGATCCAATACCGTTCGAATCTTGACAATTGACCGTAAAGACGATGAACGGCATCCAGATTTTTTTGGCACGTGTCCCAGTCGTTGATGATCTGTTGAAGTGTTTGTGCTATAGCTGCAGCATCATAGGATTGTTCTATCATTGAAGATTCCAATGATCCTAAAGACGGAAAAAAAAAGCGGGAAGTAAGGGGTTTCCAGAAATGACGATCAGCTTCCATGACTGGGTCCTCTACGGCAACCACCAATGGTTCTGATACTTACCAATAGCCTGATCGATCTCCATATCGCCTACTTCAATACATGCTTGCGCGTCGTTATTGCGGTTAAGAGGTTTTAACAATTGTTGCATGAGCTCAACACATCGAGAGGTGTCGTGGGCCACCGATACAGGGAAAGATGGATCGTGTTCTGACTCAGCGGAAGCATCTGAAAAACGGGGAGCAGCATCCAGCAACAGACCTAATCGAGTGGCTTGCTGTGCTCGGAATTTCTGCAGAGCCTTTTTCTTCTCTCCAATCTCTTCGTGGATCATGTGGACAAACAGGGGCCGGTAGGATAATTTGCTGAAAAGTTGACGAGGTCGGTATCGGTTCGCCAACATTCGACCCCGCACAGGAAATATATTGCTGAGGATGTGATCCGACGAGGTCATAACCGCTTTGAACGTCCGTTGTTCTTTGCGGACCATATGCAAGGTACTGACAGCTAGAGTAGCGATACGCGTCGGTGCAGCTGTCATTGTTTTCGTTTGGATCAATAATCCAGCGTAGGTATATGATGTGTGGGGACCAGTAATAACTTACTTTGAAGACCATAATACAACTCTTTCAGTACGTTTCCGTAAATACTGTCCCAATACGTCATTGCTTCGGTAATAGGCAAGGTGGAATTCAGGATTTTGGAGAAGAGGAATCCGTAGATTGCGATGGTGCATTTGGACACAAACAACCATTCCAATGCTGGATCGGCGGTGGTGGTGAAGCTAGTGTAGAGATTTAAATATTCTTGCACCGTTTTAATGGAGGGTAAATTGGTTGTGGACAGATCGATGGCCTGGCTCGCTAGTGACAAGAACCGAGTCTTGTCGCCCTGCTCATAAGCAGTCTTGACACTGTTTGTCTCGGTGTGAGACACCGAGGCGGCTTCAAGCGAAGGTTCATTCTGGAATATATCAGATAGCGAGGCATTCAGTCGGTTGACTTGCTCGCTAATATACGTCGTCATAGTTGAAGACTTGGTGTGTACGTCGCCGACGCTGAGAATGCATTTCGGGATTTTGGGTCCTGGAAGACTGGTCGATCTTCAACAGTCACGGTAACACCAGGTTAAGGACTTACATGAGATGCATTTTGCACACACTAAAAAATTGGCAAGTCTCTGGCTTCAAAAGAACCTTTTTGTTTTTCATTATGAGAGAATAGTAAATATTATTATGCCACGTGTGGCGGATAGAAATCTTGTATAAAGTACTATTGTGGGGCAATAAAAGAGTTCTCTGACGAAGAGATAAAATATGCTTGACAAAAATAAAACTTACCGGTTTAATCAAGGGTTCAAATCAGAAACCATCAAAAGTGGCGACACTGTAGTAATTGTCGATTTTTTTAAAATGCATACCGCGGAAAGAAGTTTATCTTTTGCTACTGAACAGTTTCTCACCACTTAGGTATTCGTATTCATAAGCGTTGTAGCGAAACAATTAGGATATTCAGTGCAAATGAAATTGCAAATTGGCAAGGATCCTTGACAATAAAATCTTTATTTATTTTACGTGCAAAATAACAAGATTTTTTAGACAATTTCATAATGCCATGGGTGTAAGTATGCGTAGACTAGATGAGACAGCACATGGGAAATCAGTTGAAGAAAAGCCCACTATAAGAATAGGAACAAAGAAAGATTCCCAATCGAGGTTTCGGTTTTAATTGTTCCAAAATGTTGGTTTATTTTATTCAGCATGATTAAAAAGATAATTTTGTAAAGATTGATCAAAGCTATAACGGTCTATTTTAGTTTAATACGCGTTATTCACCATGTGAAAAATCCATTGATGAAGGAATACAAAACGGAGACCGAGAGTAATAGCGACTTCTAGAAGAATCGACCGCATGCTGTTTTATCATGATAGAGAATTCTGCCGTGAAATGAAAATGCAATATTTGATAAACAATTTTCAATCGCTTACAGAAAACAATAGTGATCTTTTAGGTTTTGCTTTTGCTCATAAGAATGGAAAAAAAAAAGATATTCCTGTCTGTGCTCATATGCCATTTGATGGCACGAGGATGTTCTTTATAAGCCCATTTTAAGACGAGTTTTGTATTTTTTTTAATGCTGAGTTCATTTAAATTCTGGTGGAATTGGACAAACACAAACAGAGATGAAATGATACTTGTTTCAGTGCGACGACATTCCAATACCCACGGTAATTTTAAATGCTTATCCAGGGACGATTGTTCATATTGTGATATGAACGTGTTATAAAGGACTGACAGGAACGTAGCATTTGCATCCACTTTCAGTTCCTTTTCGTGTCACCGAATCCAAAAAAACCGGCTGTCAACTTTCCTCTTTTTCCGACCCTCGCACGCATGCGTGTATCCACCAATGTTTCTCGGAGCTGAAAGCACCCAAGCTCCGAAAATAGAAAAAAAAAGGCCCAAAAACCTGCCGGAAAAACGCCCTTTCAGTTTTCCCCTATATCTCTTTTTCTTATTTCTCACCCTTTCTTTATTCACGCGTAATGAGTCTCGATTTCGACGCCATCAAGTCCAATATTATCCCTCACAAGATTGAAGGCTTCAAGTACACTTATGGTACAGCCGGATTCCGCTCAAAGTAAGTTCCATCATTCCTTTTTCTTTTCCTACATTTTCCGCTCACGGTCCATCCTGCAGGGCCGAAGTGCTCGACTCGGTAATGTACAAGGTCGCCATCTTGGCTACTTTGCGCTCCAAAAAGCTCAATGGCGCTACCATTGGTGTCATGATCACCGCTTCTCACAATCCCGAAGAGGTAAGAAGAAACAGAAAAAAAGACCTGCCTGGCTTAAGTATAACATGGGCTTTGATAATTGAGCTTGCATTTTTTTGACCTTGCGTTATCTTGCTTCTTTTTTTCCAGGACAACGGTGTCAAGTTGGTGGATCCTCGAGGAGAAATGCTCGAACAGTCCTGGGAAGGCTATGCCACCAGTTTGGCCGTGGCCAACGACGGCGATGCTTTGGTTCAAGTTATCGAACAAATTATTGCAGCCAACAAAATTGACATCAACATCCCTGCTTCCGTCATTTATGCTTATGATACTAGGTAAAAGGAAAACTGGACAATTCATGTCATCTCAGTCCCTTGCTGACCTCAGTTCTTGGGATAAATTAGACCCAGTTGCGCTGAACTTGTAAAGTGTCTCGAATTGGGCTTGAAGGTTTCGGGAGCCAAAGCGGTGAATCACGGTCTGCAGACTACCCCTATCCTTCATTATCTTGTTCGATGCATCAACACAGCCAACACCAGCGATGCTTACGGTGAACCTACAGCCGAAGGTTACTATAAGAAACTGTCAGAGGCATTCAAGACTGCTGTGGTATGTGTGATGGCTCTGTAAAGTTCCAGCAACGCTTGCTGACGTATGTTGTTTCCTCGAACAGAAAGGAAAAGCTCGTCTTTCACCTCTGCATGTGGATTGTGCAAACGGCGTCGGTGCACCCAAATTGCGCGAACTGTTGGAATACATGCCAGAGGATGTATTGTCGGTCAAAATTGTTAATGAGGATATCAACACCAAGGGCCAGTTAAATAAGAACGTACGTAAAGTAGTCATCATGGCTCCATAGTGACCGGAAGAGCACCACGCTGACGTTTTTATCCTTTGCATTTTGTAGTGTGGTGCCGATTTTGTTAAAACTCAGCAACGGGCTCCCCCTACTGCAGACATCCACCCAGGTGATCGATGCTGCTCCTTTGATGGTGATGCGGATCGTATCGTCTACTACTACGCTGACAAAGGTAAAAATTCCTTCATCTACACAGATGAAATGTACTCACGTGTCCCTCTGCCCCCTGTTCTGACCCGTTGTCGCTAACTGTGTGTGCTCTATCACAGATTCTGTTTTCAGACTTTTGGACGGCGATAAAATTGCTGGTTTGGCTGCCATGTTCATCATGGAACTCGTCAAGGATGCTGGCATCGATTCCATCAAGGTCGGCGTGGTCCAAACTGCTTACGCCAACGGCAGCTCCACTCATTACCTCACCAAGGTTTTGGTAAGTTTTCTTTCGTTTGTTTTTCTTTTTCGTAAGAAATTCATCTCTTACTGAGAATACTGATATGGATATGGGGAAATTGTAGAATGTGCCCGTGTCCTGTGTTCCTACGGGTGTCAAACATCTTCATCACGAAGCCGAAAAGTACGATATTGGTGTTTACTTTGAAGCCAATGGTCACGGTACCGTCTTGTTCAGCCCTACCGCTTTGAATACCATCAAGACATCTGAGGCGTAAGTGGACTGGCAACATGGATCTAAATAACAAAACTCTAATGAACGGTGTTTGAATCTCATTTTATTATCTAGCAAAACGCCTGCTCAAAACCAGGCTCTCATGCAACTTCGTGCATTGACCGATTTAATCAACCAAACTGTGGGTGATGCTATCTCCGACATGTTATTGGTGGAAACTATTCTGACCAACCGTCAATGGAGTCTTGAAGAATGGGATCAAGCTTACACGGATCTGCCTAACCGCCTTGTCAAGGTTGTCGTGGCCGATCGTCACATTTTCAAAACCACCAATGCCGAACGTCAATTGGTTGAACCTGCAGGTCTTCAAGCCGAAATCGATGCCAACGTAGCCAAATACAGCAATGGTCGTTCATTTGTTCGGTAAGCAAAATACAGATGTGTTATCACGTCGTTCGTCAACCGAGAGACTCAACCAAATTGTTAGTGCTTCCGGTACCGAAGATGCCGTTCGTGTGTACGCAGAGGCGGCCACTCGCTCGGAAACCGATGAATTGGCTTACAAGATTGCCCAAATTGTTTACGATCGTGCTGGAGGTGTTGGCGCTCGCCCCTTGATGGCTTAAAAAAGTAGCTAGTACCATTTTGTTCTTCTTCTAATTCATCAGCGTGTCTCCATGCTTCTATATCGCCAACTACATTTATATAAAGAATTCCATCTTTGTCATGTCTCATTAACATGATGACTGCCGTGTTGATGAAAAAAAGGCAGTAACTGAAGTTATTATTGTATATTATTCAAGCTGTCATTTCGCATCATGGAAAAGACGCTTAATCAGCCCGACGTGCCTTTATTTTTCTGATCAGCGTTAAATACCAACTTTCTTAATTTATTGTAAAGAAAACATCTTCATTAAAACTCATGCGGTCGTCATGGGCCCTTCAGATCGATGCACGACCGATGTGATGAGAAAAAAAAAAGGAGTAGTGTGCTCAGATCGGTTGTGACGTTAATGACATAAAAGAACTTGAGTAAATTATGCAGTTTCCCAGAAATACAAAGTGGAAAGTTCATACAAACGAGTCCGTGGAAGAGAATGATATCACGGAATGAAAGACCGATGTGATTTTCTTCATATTATGGCCTGCAAAGGGTCGACTTGGGGTGTTTTTTTTTCTATTTCCTTTTTGTTCCATACGGAATTTTCTTTCATGTGGATAAGCCCAGGATCCATCTCCGAAATAGAACTACTAGCCACTATCGGAAGTCGTATCTTTTTGATTCAGACAACCAATCAAGGCGTCTCAGCTGCATAGGAAATACCTGTATTTTTAGGGCAATGTCTGTGCGTTTGGTGGTGAAAATTGATTCGTGTTACTCTCTTTTTCGTTTTCGACACTTTTCATATACCTGCAAAATACTGATGGATGCAAATGGCCATACATGTAAGTTATCGATATTAGGCCGTTATTTGCAGTTCATTGGCTAGTTATTTGGGGGTAAGGCCTTATTGTTCAAGCGATATTAACATTGGCTGTTTGCATTAGCTTCATTGTCATCACCGGTTCGCTTGGCGTCAGGTGTGGAGATGCAGACAAGATGGACACCACAACCGTCAATGACAATGATGAAGACTGAAGATACTCCTCGACTCATCGAGATGAACCCTTCAAGAGGCACACAAGGCACTGTAATTACGTTGGTGATTCAATCGCTGCCTATTCATCACATCTCAGATATCAAAATTGCTTTCAACGACCTGGTACTTGATACAAAACAAATGCAAGCCCAAGGGATCACATCGCTGGTAGCTACGGTCCCACCATTGATCCAGATAAACACATCTTCTACCGTGGTGCCCATCTCCATTTGTCTCTTGAACAGGGACACCGTGATCGAAGCGTGGCCCATGGGCGAATTCACGTACTTGGTTTCCAATAACTCCGGCACTAATGATTTTCACCCCACACCAGGTAAGATAAACACGGGTATATTTTTCAAGTATACCCTGTCAAACTTAAACGAAGTTTGACTTCGATCTGACTTGGTTTGTTTTTCTTTTTTTTTTTCTCCTTATAGAAGAAAACTATTTTCTGAATTCTCCGTCGGTGTGTGAATCGACTTATGTCTCGCCGGTCGGCGTGCCTTACCGTGGCCAGCATGATTCTTTTACTCGAGGTAGGAACAGAAAGCAAAATTTATTTTTCTCCAAGCGCTTAATGTATAAATTATGAATAGGCACAGATTACTATCAATCGGAACAAGGTCCATTCGACCGTTCAGCGGCAACAGATTATTCTTCCTCCTTCGGGGGAGTCGCCGCACCTGATCCCGGGTTTACTCAGATGGTTTCCGCTGACTTTCAATCGAATCCAGCCCAGCGGTCGACCTATCCGATCAGATATGATACCAGCCAACGGCCTGGATCGTACATCCCTCCGAGCTCCGTCGGTAGTTACCAGCCGTATTCGCGCTTAGTCAGTCGGTCTAGTCTCCGGATCGAAGGCGACATCGATAGCATGATGGCCAATTGGAGTCCTGAAGAATGGAGCCAGCGTCGTCGACTAGTTCAGTTCTGGCGTGAATCGTTCGCCAAAGGTATACGCTGCAGCTTCCATCCTGCAACTCCCACCGGTGAAAAAACCATAGGAACTCACAATGACGGCCATCGTAACGGACCATCGATTATTGTCTCCTGCATCTATTGGGCTGAGCGAAATGACTGGTTTATTACGTCCGTCGATTGTCTCCATCTGCTGGAAAGTTTATTGAACATCCGTTTCAGCGTGGAAGAGAAGAATCGGATACGAAGAAACTTGGAAGGATTCCGCCCCATCACGGTCAGCAAGTGCAAATCAGACTGCACGGACTTTTTCAAATTGATCATGAACTTCCCTAGCCCCAAGCCACGTAACATTGAAAAAGACGTCAAAGTATTCCACTGGAAAGCCTTGCCCTACGCCCTCAAAAAAATCGTCGCAAAATATACCGCCTTCGCCTCACCCACACTGCAAGAGAAACACACCGTGATTACACAGACGCCACCACGACAATCTGAGACACCTCAGACTATACCAATGTCGCAACAGGCCCCCTCCCCGCCCTCCTCGCAACAAGTGTACTCCTCGCAGTATTTGTATCCTACTTCAATGTCTCCCATCAGTCGTATACCGTCGGAATCATCGTCGTCTTCGGGATCGTCACCGTACACTGTATCCAACGATCATTTGCACCAAAGCTACGGCGCGGCGGCCTCGTCAGCCTATACATCTCCTCCTTCCAAGATCCATGTACAACGAGATCCAGACAATGAATCCTATGCCCAAAGCTTCCCATCTTTCGTCGATCCAATGCCTCAAATCAAATCATTGGAAGAAGACTATCATCGCAGAATTGCTCAGCAGATGATGGCTAACATGCGTTGAATGAGATAGCTTACCAATTCGTTTGGTCTGTGAGAATTGTATATACGTAGTACATATCTTTTGACTATTTTACTATGTATCTCTTAGTTTTTGTTCTCTTTTTTCTTGTTATAGATTTATTTGAATCCATGTATATTTTATAGATTATATTTCAAAATCTACAATAGACCCAGTCTTTCGTAGAGAATAAGGTACTGACTGATCCGGACACTTTTCTTTTAATTTTATGCAAACACCCAGAGGGAAACCATGAAGCACCTTCAGGATATTTTCCCAATATTCACCGTAAAATTGAACATGTTTTTCTGTACATGATTTAAATCGTGATGCATGTGATGCCACCATAGTCATGTCCATATACGGCAGCGTGCAGGCATGTTGATGGCGTAACCGAAACCCCGCGGTCGGTGAATATGATTCTTTTGGTAAGAACTAGCGCGGATCATTCATAACTGGCCTTGTCCTGATTAAGGGGGTCCAACCTGTCAGAATCGCGGATGATAAGCGGATCATGAACATATCGTGAACTGTCTTTGAACGATGCCTTCAATGCAACATTAACATATGGTGTGATCTGGCCAATCAGAACTTTTAGTGGTGGCATGTTCACAAAGACCCTATCGAGGCGGTGGCGTTGACAAACCGGAGTCCGCACAATTGAAGACTTTTTAGAACCCAAATTAAACCAATGATATTCCTGGATATCTTCAATTACCAAATTTTGGGCTCCAAAAATCTTCAGGAGCCAAAGAACCGGCCACTTGGTTATTGAAATTCCGAATGGCATGATCCTTCTATTTTCTGCAAAGCCCTGAAACTCGCTAGTTTCACCAAAGTGAAGCTTCCATCAACGGCTAAAGTTTATTAAATGAAAAAAATGGGGTTTCCAACGGAAGCTAAGCGCGCATTAATCCCTGAGATAAAATATAATAAAGATCTCACACAGTACGAAAGATGTATTCTAGTAAAAGCCGATTATTTCTCCTGGTCGATCAATTTTTACGGTAACGATATGAAGAGTTATGTGATTGCTGTGTGGATAACAAAGATCCCCCTTAATGTCTCCTAGCAACACAATGGAATGAAGGTAGATGATGAATTTTTGTTTTGATCTATTCCCAACGGTCTCGCCTTGGTTCCTTTTTTCGTTTTCCACAGTGAAACAAGAGAGAAAAAAAACCGATCGAATTTTTCGAGAAGATCGGTTGAAACAACCAATTGCAAAAGAAACTATCTTTTTCTTTTAAGGAGTGATGTGCATTCGTTTTTCTAGACCGCTATTCCATCAACTTTGACAACTGGTTTCCTATGTTGGAAGGTATCCCGACGTAAAAGTAACAGTCACACCGATCTAGCGACGTCTGACTGAATCCGGTATCATGGGCGTTCCATTTAAAGAGGTTTTCTTGGGAAAATAGTTGGCACCATCTATATATATACTGCTGTGGTATAGTCGGTAATAAAGGGATAATGTCACTTTGTTCGACGTGTAAAAATTATCCAGCTTTCACTCCATGGTCCAAAATTGGGAATAATACAGACAGGGCTGCAAATAACCAATCGGTGAAGGATTTTGGTTCTTTGAGATCACATGTGAGGAACCTCGGATACCAAAAGGGTTTAAACGTTCAACTTGGAAATGCAGGTGACAACAACGATAAATATAAGTCCGCATTTTCGAGCGACGGCTACGTCACCTTGACATGCCGAAAATTTTCGAAACTAGGCTTTTTTCTTTGGCTCGATGTTACTGAGGAATAAAGTGGGTTGTCACCTGAATTTTTCTTGTTAACGTGCTTGCTATTTACAAGTGACAAATGTTCTATTAATGTATCACGTCCACTTGCCAATAAAAGAGTAACTTGATTAAGAGTCCTCTATTCCTTTGATTGGATTTTCTATTTTTTTTTTTTTTTTTTTTTTCGCCTGACAAAAAAAATTGGATGACACTGTTTCAGCGTCTGGGAAAACGATGAACAACGTTCACTTCACGTCGCATTTGTTTTTCCCTTTTTTTATTATGATTCTTGACCTCTTTTTTCCCACTGTCCTTTTTTCTCGTTAGATCATTTAAAAGAAAATAAAATGACAGCCGCATTATCGTGTATTTTTACCGGCGCATACCCGCACTCAGATAACCAAGGTACATAATGCATGGAAAAAACTCGCATAAAAGAGTGGCACCTTAATATCCGAACGCAATATTGACAGATATAACTATGAGACGGGTTCATCACTATATCGCACGACATCCCGAAGAATTTGTATCCATCGTACACACCCAGTCGGCCGATGCGCATCCTCTGGATTTGAAAGTGAGTAGTACAGCCATCTTCTTTCAACAGACCGTGATCAACTTATTGAAAAATAAATAAATATTGAAGCCTTCTCCAAACGATGCCGAAACTTGGATCCAACTGCTAACGCTTGATCAAGACCGGTTTTTGGAAGGCTGGGCTTCGTCTAGCCAGAACGCATATCAGCAACTATTTGAGCAATATTTCGATCAACCCGTTGCTATTGCCAGAATTGTTCAAGATCTTCAATCCAGTGCCAAGCAACCACTGATATGGTTTCCCCCTGCATGGTTTCAGTATCAGAAATCAATGGTTTCCGGACGCAAGGGACCGGTTTACCGCACCCGGTGCCATGCACCATGGGGAGACTGTGGTATAACGCTACGACAATTGCACGTACCGTTAACCAAGGTATTATTTTTCAAGTAATTCGATGAATAGCGTATGAACATGGACACTCACTGCCCTCACTGCCAACAGTGTCCTCAGGAAACCGTGGGGATTACCGCCTTTGAGCAGCACCTCATGCTGGTGAGCTACACTGCAACAAATTTAGAAGAAGCCATAGCGCAAATGGATCAACGCAACTTTAAAATGATCTATCGTATGGCCCTTTTGATGGCCGGTGCCGTCCGCGACCTCCATCGTGAAAATCGAGTCCATCCCAACTTGCAACCACGCAACTTTTTCTTGCAACCGAATCGCGAAACCATGGCACTCGTCGATACTGACGATCTTCCGACCACCGCAAAGGGACTGATCTATGGAAGATGGCCTTACATTGCCCCTGAACAATGTCAGTTGGGCGGTCCCACCACTTACGAAGCCAATATCTACTCTTTGGGAATCATGCTGTGGCAACTAGTATCGGGCGTCGTGTTTCCGAGCCACATTCGTGCATGCCCTCAAGTGTTTAGTCTGTGCCGGTTCAAAAATATTACCCCAGCTTATGAATCCATCTATCTTCGCTGCTTATCTTCTCGTCCCGAAATGCGTCCATCAGCAGAAGACGTTTCCAACGAACTGGTATCCATTTTGATGGACGAGTTAGCCATCGGAAGAGTTCAGTCAAGAGCGAGCCGATCCATTTCCGATGTGCGCGAACGACAAATGGTGATCGCCCGATTCTTTGCTCGTTGTCGCTCCACTGTGGCCAAAGAAGCCTTGGACGACATGGTGCGTGGGGCTCCCGCAGGGAAACGATCCGTGATCCTCATGGCCGCTTCCCTCGAAAGACGTCTATGGTTGCGCAAATGTAAACAACGGAAACCATCTTCGCGCTGCCCCCGATCAATCCCGCCACGCGCCCCTATTCCCTATGAAAAATCATGGGAAACCTTAGACTCTCAAAACAATACCAGCAGCAGCAGCAGTCAACATCCTTGCGGCTTTAGTCTGGGTGATATGATGCAGATCGGCTACGCATGAAACACCCTGCCTCTCTCTTTTGTGATACACAATATACCCATGATGTTATACAAAATATACCATCTTTCTTTGTTTATCGTTTTGATGCAGCAGAGATTCATCACCGAAACATTGATTCAAGCGATGAACAGTTTGTTGATGACTTGTTTCCCTGTGTTATAAACAAAAAGCCTAAATTATGAGCGCCACCGTGAAACATGGCGAGCCTGCGCAAGTGAGAATTCTTGTGGGGAAATATCAATATGGGGAGAATGCGTTGAACAGTGAACAGTGCTAGAAATAATCTCCCCTCCCATAAATGAAGAATAACTCCAAGTTGCAACGAGCATAATGACATCTTGATTTTTGCACAATACATACATCAACTGCCGCGTGTAACACTGCGATGTTGATCTCGCGATGCGGTGCAGGAAGAGACTTGGCTTTCAACCGAGGAGGCCGAGGCCATCCAAGAGCCAGCTTTCGTGGTTACCAAGGACTGAAGCAAGTTGCGACTCGACAAAAAGAATTGTTGATGAAAGTCATATTTGACGTTTGAAGAATGAATGATGATAAACAACGAGGCGTGAAAAAAAAAATCGGGGGTGACAGATGCAGGATGGAATAATAATAATAAAAAAGACGATCATGCGTTTCTAGCTTTTTTCGTGGCTCTATTGGAGTGATCTTCGCGGACCACGGGTACGGTGGATTTGGCAGGTTTGAGATTGTTATCGTCTTGGGTGATTCGTCGTAACGGATATTCCACTCCCTGTTGAGCTAGAACACTAGATGCAATAACAAAATATTAGATCCAGCTGCAAGATGGTATTGAAAAGTAGGATTAAAAGTTACTTCATAATAGGTTTGGGATCTTCTTGGAAGTAAGGATGGTTCAGCGCTTTCTCTGCCGTGATCCGTTTTAATGGATCGTATTCCAGAAGCGCCGACAGTAAATTAAACCCTGAATCGCTCTTTGCTCCAGGCATCGATTGGTAAAGTTGTCGAAGATTGTTTGAGCACCTATGCCGACGATTAGAAAGGCAGGCTAGCAAACAAACCAGACTTTGAAACGCGTGGGTGTGTGTAGCAGATTACTTACTGTGGAAAGGAGCTTAGATGATGATAGTCTGGTAACTGGTCTATGGTCGGCCAACGTTCCTCTAAACGATTGAAAGAAAAAAGGGTATCATCCTATTGAGGTCGAGTCCATTTTTTCTTCCTTCCCATGTCAAGCGACTTACTGTTGGGCGTGCCGAGAATCTCAAAAATCTTTGTGAGCTGACTTCGTTGAAAAGGGACGTTCTTCTTGGTGTCCATTTTCGCTTCTTCACCCTTAAATATTGGTTTCAGCGCTAATAGTTCCCCATAGATACATCCGACAGCCCACATATCGATCGCCTTGGTATAATGCCTTGAACCAAACAATAGTTCAGGGGCACGATACCAAATAGTGACAACGACCTTGTCGCCATTAAACAGAGGTTGCAATGGCCGGTTAAACAATCGTGCCAGACCCAGATCACCTGTAACGCGTTAAACTAAATTTATTTCTAGCCACATCAGCTCCGGCTTACCTGTTTTGACCACGCCCTCACTTGTTAAAAGCACTAAATGATTCTATCCATATGAGCGGGAAATATATGAGCCGACTTGTTTTGGACATGGATAGATTACCGTTGGCTGGCTTCAGATCACGGTGCAGGACCCAGTTTGCATGCAAGTAGGCCACCCCATTGATGAGTTGCCACAAGAACGATTTTATCAGGACTTCTGGTATCGGTTTTCTTTCGGTATGCAAATGATAGTGGATAATTTGCTAGACATGCCCATAAGCGATGGTGAGATCATGGAAGTTCCAAGCATCGTGAAAAGAAAAACAAAATTTACCAAAAAGTCATGTTCCGCGTATTCAAACACCATAAAGATGGCTTTATCTTCTAAAATGACTTCTTCAAGACCAACAATATTATCGTGGTCCAATTCTCGACAAAGCTTTTTCGTTTTGGAACAATATTGATGTGAGTATGTGGTGCACAAAAGCAAAAGAAGTACTGCATACCGCTATTTCTCTGCAAGCCGACTGGGAAATGCCCACATAATGATGGCTTTCGCCTTCACGGTCGGGTTTAAACTTTTTGATGGCAAATTCACGTAGGTCGTCTCTGAAAAAGATGAAATTGAAGGAAAATGTCAGGGTTACTGTCGAGTAGATGATGGATGGGTACTATGGAGAAGGATAAAAATAACGTACTTATTCCTTGAACGGGCCTTGTATACCCGACCGTAGGTGCCTGAACTGATGAACCCAATGATTTCGTACTTGTCCAGGACTTTGGGACGACACGCATCCCTTTTTAATTTGTATTCGGCCATCATGATTGCTGTATAAATTGCTTGGAAAAACCCACTTGACGGCTTATTCACTGTTCCACTTTTTTTTTTTTCGACTCTTCGGGCTTACAAGTGGTGGGTTGGGTCCATGACTGTCTTTTTGCATGAACCGCGCATTGACTTGTCATGGCTACCCTACCTACCGACTCCTCGGTTCATGTGGTACTCACGTTCATCACATGATAAACAGGCTTTTAAGCATGTATCCATTGGCAGATCAGCTTTTTATCTGTCGTTTCAGAACCATCCAGCTGCTGGTCATCACTTTGTAAAAACCCATTTAGTTTTCCATGATAGCTTTCTCTATACACAAAAATAAAGCCCGTTCTTTGAGACATACATAAAAAAAATCAAAAGGGGATTGAGGAGGGAAAGGGGAGGCTAATTTATGTCATATCTCGTCCGCTGCCAGCGGGGGTCTGAACCCAGTCCAGACCAAATCTACAATCTGGGGCTTGGTAGTTGTTCAATGCCTCCAAGACTTCCTCTACGGTGTTGCACACCTTGAAGATATTTACACTGCCTGCATGCACGAATTTTTCTATAGTAACAGTGCGTAAAGAGTTAGTTTTGGATGTCATTTCATAAAATACCCGAGAAGAGTATCGTATGTACACTTGCCTTTGACCGCGAAATCAATCCATTGAATAAAGACATCATAAAATCCATTGGTGTTCAATATAATGATGGGCTTGGAGTGAATATTCAACTGAGACCAAGTGACCATTTCCATCATTTCTTCCATAGTACCAAAACCGCCAGGCAAGACAACAAATGCGTCACACTAAATAGACAAGGAAATGGGATTTGAGTTTATGATCCAGAGGCACCCGCTTCCTTTTTTTTTTTTTTGTTAAAAACAAGCCAAAGTTACCTCGTCGCCCATTGTCTTTTTGCGGGTATGCATATCGGGCACCACAATCACTTCGGCAATCTGCTTGCTACCACAACGGAAAAGAGGTTCAGGCACCACCGCTTTGGCTTTTCCTCCACCTTCAATGACAGCTTTGGCCACAGCTCCCATCAAGCCCACCGATCCACCGCCTATGCAAAAGCGCCAAAAATAAATTTAAGTCTCATGCGAGGTTCTCCCACTATCCGCCTATCCGTTGTCACGGAAAGAAACTTACCATACACAAGCGTGTACTTTTTCTCGGCAAATGCTTTGCCCAGTTCTACCCATGTCGAAAATCCTCATGTTAGGAATGGAAACGGCGATGATCCCTGTAAAACAATCGTACCTGTTGCTTGTTCGGCATAGGCAGGGCTGGCACCATTGGAAGAACCACAAAATACACAGACACTCGAAATGGTCTTGGGAGTACTGACAACTTTATTCAAGAATGGAAGTGTGGTAGCCATAGAATTTACAAAAATAAAAAAAAAAGATGATATCAAGCCGAATTGACTGCAGCCCGGTTTTATTTCATTACGTTTTTTCAGTTTCAGTCGGCGATCGTGTGAAATGTCGGGCAAGCTGCGGTAAACCTGGTCTGACTCACGTTATTGAGTCATCATCACCAGATCCAAGAAAAAACAAGCTCGTCCCGTATTCTCCAAGTGCACAGCATTACCGTTGGTAACCGTTTGATGAGAGGTGGACTGATGCTGATGTGACTCTTTCTTCCCTACATCTATCCAAAAGTTCGATATCCTTGTTCGTACCCACGACAAATCTCCATGACTCCTAAAATAAAGTTTCATTAATCCATTTGCCATGGACCCGGGATCCGGTGATCCCAATGCAAGGTTCACAGTCCACAACTCAATACATAAATGATAAATGTACCTTTTTACCCCAATACACTCTTTGCGCCAACCGTCCACCCACCATGTGAAAAAAGGTTAACAATCCATTAGCTTTTGAGAGTATCGATATTTCTGTTACTGAACGTAGGCTTTTTGAGTAGGCAAAAGAGGAAAAATGACCGATATGCAGTGTTCCCGTGGCATTTGAAACGAAGCCCGATGAAGCAAATGCCAGGAGCATTACAAACCAAATAAGGGTGGCATGATTCCTTTTGGTAGCCTTTTTATGGAGACGAATATAAATATACGTCATGGCATTCACTGATAATCGTCGCATTGTTCGTCAGTGACATAAGTAAGAGTTTCACACTTGAATAGATTGTACGTGGCAAGTCAGCGTCAGCCGTTGCATGGAGACTATTCATGCAAACCAGTTTTCCTTGTTCCTTTCTTTCTTTGATTTTCATTACCATTTTATCCTTCTTTATGATACACGCCATACGCTATACCGGCTTCTTTTTTTTTTTTTTTACTATGAGATTCATGTCAGAAAAGAAATGATATGCAGTAACAAAAAGCAAGGACCTTTTATGTAACGAATTCAAGCATCAATTTTCAATTTTGCGTGACGTGAAAACCGAATTCGATTTCCTTTTCGCTTGTACATCTAGACAGTTTGCAGCACCAAATGAAGTTTAGGCAGCAAGGTTCATTTTGGTGTATAAGCATTTGAAAAACTAAAGGGATACTGACGGTGAATATTTAGACCTCACCACACTTATGGTGGTAGGAGCCTTTTGGTGCGTCGTTCTCATAGGGATTCCTTTCTGGTGGAAGACGACCGAGGTTTACCGTGCCGATTTGCCCATGGCTGAAATTGAGTCGTGGCAATCCTCCAATGTAGGCCGATTTTGCTTTTGCGTGAAAAATATTTTGGAATCGCTGAATGATGTGGGTATCGTAGACTCGTCGTTTTGTCATACCCACTACTATGCACATTCATTTACCCGCTACTCTGGAACACACTGACCATCACTTACTCGACTCTCTCCAAACCGTCCTGGAACATCGTTTGACCGAGCTTCAACCATCGTCCCCATGTCTCGATTTCACGGTATCCGTTAGAACCGCCTTTTGGCAGAATCAAGGTGATATCCCAGAACTGGACCTTTTTTTTGCATACAAACCCAGTCGTTGACACCGTATCGCTCGCTTTGGCAATTCTTAGAGAATGAGGATGTGTCGCAACTATTGGAACGACATAAGGAGGGTCATATTGGAGAGTATCATGTTTATATGACCACCCTATCGTCGCCAGCAGATACCGAGAAACACCATGTTATCATTGGAAATCAACGTACAAGTGTCATTGAAACATCCGTGCTGACAAAAGGTGCCTGGTAAAATAATCATGAATGCAGGCAACGCAACGGCTCATTTTTTTTTTTTTTTACCTTTTTATAAACAGACACGGTGATCACTACTGTCTTGCAAGTGGTTCCCAATATTTTCTTTAAAGAGTTTGACTTGTTGAGCAAAACTGCATGCGGGGAACAAGACGTGGTCAAGGTGACATACAGCCAGAGTCATTCACGCTCGACAGTGATAACTGAACACATCTTCTTTATCTTGATTAGAATGATGTAGACAATATGCGTCCTTTCAAGTACTCATCACGATACCAAATCACGTTTAGCTTGATGAACAATAATCCCACTGGAACCATTGTCGATTGGGATATTCGTCGTGCCGTCAATAGTAAGCAAATGATCAAACCATACATCTCAGTCAATTCACAATCGAGTTCACATTTCTATTTCACAGATTATCTTTATCCTTTCCTCAACGAACTATCATGTCTGTACAACTTTACGGTGGATTCTCAAATTCAAAATTATGCGTCGCTCACCATGACTCCCAAGTACAAGCAACGACAGGATAAACCAAGTTATTATTACTTTGAACCCCAACAACTTCCTCATTTTGTCAATTCAGCAGAATGGAATCTAGGTAAGCAAGCCGTGTTTCCCATGGCCTATGATGATCCGGAATTATCACGGACTGACATCTTTACGAAGCATCTACCATTTCATCGTACCCGACCGTCAACTTTATTCTGTATATTCCATCCACTGAAGAATCGCCACTTCGTATTCACGATGCACAAGGTACGTCTCCTTAATTGGGTGCGTGTGCGTGATGCGTGAGAAGCAGGATAAAGAGACAATTCCGGGATGAATTCATGGATAGCTTACTCGATTGAGATGTCATAGGAAACCCACTGTTGAGCAATGCGTTTCTGATTCCTCGATGGGGTGGTATCGCTATCAAAAATGTACCAAGCTCCGCGCAACATGGCGACCATTATCAACTAGCACTCAAAGACTTGCAGCCCATTATGAAAGTATTCATTGCGCAGTTACGAGGGTTGATGGGCATTCAGGAATTGAAAGCAGGCACGGATGACATGGTAAGATATAAAGTGGGCGACGGGCATGGTCATTATGGCGCCGTATTCAATGTCCCATTTGATAGAATGTCAGTTTCATTCCCGCTCGGCAAAGTGGCGTCACGATTTTGGAAAAGGATAATTTGATTCGCAAAAGAACGATTGAAAATGTAGTGAATGCCATTTCTACATTAAAGTCGTTGGCGCAGCTTGTGAATGAAATTCCTAATATGGTGGTGTTGGATCATATTGATCTCCAGGTACGTGGTACAGACATTGGGCCACATGACAACAGTGGGCAGTAACATGTTAACCAGGTACGGCAATCGTTGCACGCATTAAATCGCGTGGGAGAAGCACTCCGTCTGGGTGATTATGCAAAAGCGCTCCGAGAATCCATTGAAGCGGTTGAACTCTCGGAAAAATCATTTTTCGATCCTACCATGGTCTCGATGCTTTATTTCCCGGACGAACACAAATACGCTATTTACATGCCGCTCTTTGTCCCTGTCTCGGTTCCCCTCATCATGGCCCTCATCAAACAAGTTAAAAAATTGCGTGGCTCACCCAAAGCCAAAACCGAATAGACTGCATCATTTATGTCGACAATAAAAACTGCTTTGTTGGTGTGAAAAAGAAAAATGTACGTCTGTGCTCAGCGTTCATCTCAGCTCCTGCCCCAAAAGAAATTTTTTCCTTCCCAGCTGGAAATAGGCCCGACATAAGAGGACTGGAGGGCATCATTATTTTTTTCCTCTGTAGCTGTAGAAATACCAGATAACCGGGTTTAGATTAGACGTACCTGCATTGCGCAATATCTCTTCTTCGGCTAACTTGTAGAGAGTGGCGAAAACACGATCCGGATTTCTAAATTGTTATATCATGATAGGAGTTGGAAAACAATGACGGCAATTTAGAATCACCGGCCATTGACGATCGATCGTGCTTTACCATTGTTTCCATGAGCATCTTTGGATGTTCCTGACAACGTAGCAACATCATGCGTCGAAATAATAGCATGACAGTTTCAAGCCAATGATCAGCATCCGTAACGCTATTCCGGTTTCATAGACCCCACCGGTTATGCATGAGTCAAACCCTCCGGTTGGGAAATAAAAATTTCATTCTGTATCCGAAAATAAACGAAAAAGAAAAAATCCAGTTACTTTTGTTTCATGATTCTTTTTGCCGGATCAAAATAATAGTGAGTAATGTCCATTATGGTTTCTTTTTGGAAAGAGTCAAAGAGCCAAAGAGTGTGGTATATTATATTTCAATGCAATAATGATGACTATTATTTCTGTATATGCATAACATGTAATGGTGGTTTCTATATACAATGGGATTATATAAAAAAAAGACCGTCTAGATCCTTTTTTAAAGCGCGTATTCGGGTGTCAGTGTCATTCGAATCGTACGTTCAGGATAATGGGTAAGTAGACTTTCGAATTCGCTTGCTTTGGTGGAAATGGTGGAGTCGTCCATGGATGACAGCGTAGAAGACGATGATGATCGACTCGAGGCAACGTAGGCCGATTTGGGTTTGGCAGCGTTCAGTAACCAAGGAAGGGCCTTGTGGAATGGGTTACGATGAGGTTTTACGGAATCCTTGTGGAGATCACCGAGGATAATATCGTTGTCATCATGATAGAGGTATTGATGATCGGCAGAATGGAAGCTTGGCATGTTATTTAAGATGTGGAATGTAGACAGCGAATAAATCTTCGTAGTATTAGGGAATTATAGAAGCCAGCAAGTTTTGATAAGTCAAGAGTTTTTATATCAGTGATAGAAAGAAACTGATCGAAAACTATCGAGCCCCTTTTATATTATCAAAAAAAACTAGCCTAATTAGAGTTCGGAGTAATATTTTTTTTTTTTTTTTTTTTTTTGTCTGTGCGGGTGTGTGTGTGTGTGTATTATAATCGCATCGTAACCATGACGAAATTTTGAATGAACCAGGAAAAAAGAAGTCTTGATGTCCCGTTGACTCCTATTCTTCTTATTCGCGAGAAAATCCCTAACTTCTCCTCCTAAAACCCCCTTGAGTTTCCCGCCTTGATCCTCTCAGGGATAAGGCATTCAAAGAAAAAAAAATTCACTACTACACTATAAGATTTACGCCAAAAGACGGCTCGGCTTGGCGAACAAATGATCTCACCCGAGGAAGACAATAAAAAAATCCCATGAAACCACATGGTTGCACAATGAACAATCAAAAGATTTCTCATCTTGTGACCGCATTACTACTATTCAACAAGTGGGAGAACCCAACAACAATAAGAGAACCAAAGGAGGAGGGTCGTACCCATTTCTTTTTTTCATTCATATCATCCTCAAGGGTGCATACACCATGCGTGCATGAGATGCGTTTTTGTGTACGAGGTCCATCTGCGTGCGTATCTGTAGGGTAGATGTGTGGGTGATTCTCCTTCGTTAGAATATGCTTTATTTTCATAACTTCTACCAATCATCGTGTCATATTTCCCATTCAACAGCTGATGTGAGCATTGGAGGTGTACAGTAAGCCCGATGCTTGATTTAGGAACAAGGTTAACCACGTATTATTTCATCGGTTAAATAGACCCCTTTTTTCAACGCATTCTAATATATGCATGTATCAAATACATGGTGCATCTCCCCGACGGCGCCAGTAAAATGAAAGCCGCTTATCGGGACGTTTCTTATTTATCGCTCATTCAATCGAAAAGAATCATTTAAGATGTGTTTATTATATTTATCTTTAGCAGAGAATCCATGGGGTCTTCATAAGTAGTACAATTAAACAGAAAAGCAAAAGAACACCTAACGTCGGATACATCGTCTATTATAACATTGAACGCCGGGACCTAGAATAATGTTGTTAATTATCCGTTAAAAGCATCCAGGAAACCAAAAAAATCAACCTACCATAACGCGAATAACAGTCCGCGGATGTATTACTTTTTTTTTTTTCCAAAAAGAAAAATAAAGAATTTATCAATATCAAAATATAGACCACAGTGTGCGTTCACAGTTGAATATTTACCATAATGCTTGTCCTGATCCGCGATAATAAGATCGACGTGTAAGACCTGACGCCAGACCGACGATTAATCCAATGAGGATACAACAGCAAATGACCGAGCAACAACGACGTTTCATGCCCAAAGAACGATTCTCAGGAGGTGCATAGAACGTTGTAATTGGATTGCGACGTCCATTTCGAGGTTCAGGTGGTGGACCACCAGGTGGAGGTTGCGGTGGGGGTTGATAATACTGCTGTCCCGGTGGATTATTATTATTATTCCCTTGCTGATAGATAGGAGGTGGTGGGCCTGGTGGAGGATCGTAATCTGGATGGAGAAAAAAGAGCAACGTTAAAATCACACCAATCCTTTTTCGATTCCGTTGGTGACGTGCTCGTGCTTACTTTGACCTTTATTGTTCATGATAGCTTTTTTGTGTGTGCTGTTGGATAGATAGTGATAAGCAAAGATGAAGTGAAAAAAAAGAGGAAAACAAATAAAAACGAAGATCACTAAAATATTATTTATGTGTATACTTCCGAGACCATCAATGACGAGACCCGTCAACGAGTTGCATCATAAATCGCTAATGGCTGCCAATGTGACGCGTTTTTTATCCTTCCATTTGTTCCATGCTATTTACAACTTATGCTCGAATTGGTTGCTTTTTCCCTACTATTACTATACGATGAGATCAGTCGATCGCTCTATTTTCCAAATAGATACGCAAGTCGCTGTAATCATTTCTTTTCTACGATTTGTGCATTTAATCTTTCCATTGACAGGCATATGAAGTTACCAAAATCCTGCGAGGCGAGATTCACCACCTCTCAAACCATTTTTTTTGTTTCGTTCCAGACTTGAGCTGAGATCAGCATTTTGTGTGTCGGACAACAATAAAGGCAGTGCGTGCGGCACGTGTGCCTGATGACGCTGATCGAAAAGTAGGACAAGGCGTTTGATCTTGGGCGATCCAGCAACGGCTGAATGGGACGCTCGTCTTGAAACTCAGCTATTCAACCTATCCTGCCTATCATTTTGACAAGTGGCACGGAATGACAGCACCCAAGATTTTTTTTTATCAAGAATAAGTGCTGTTGCCAGGAAGCCCTCTGAATTTAGGGCAGAATTGAGACTATGACCTTAGGCGCCTCTCTTGCCTATCAAAAGGATTGGCCTTGGGTCAGAGCCTGGATTACTCCTTTCGTCGCGACAAGTCTTGTAAACGCAAATCTTACTGTTCCTGTTCAAAGCTTGTTTCATCCTATTCATAATTCAGATTCCCTTGTAGCGTTCCATCTCGGAAGACCGGAAAAAAAGCAGCCAAAAGAATGCTTTATATAAAATTCTTGTTGGGACGCCACGTAAACGTATGATAACTAGGTTTCAGTTCTTGTAGTTTTCCTTTCTTATTTTCCCTTTTCCAATACATCGCTCAAAAGGTACCATACGAAATACACGGAAACAGTTGAACTCTGTTGAAGGGGAGAATATTCTGAAGAAATTCTTCTCCATCAGGCAATTTTTCATTTATTCGTGTCCAGCAAGCTCATGACACGGAAAACGAGAACACAGTGGTTAGGGAGTTTGGGTAAAAGATAAGAACATAAGCACAAAATAAAACTTCCGCAAACGTAGCCGACGAGTACCGTAGCAGCAGCTGCCGCGACCAAAGCGTTCAATGACAGCGAACACAAAAGTTTTTTTTTTTCTGTCACCATTGTCGTCGACGCGTCGTGGGTCCAGACTGGCTTTCAAAAGCTCTGAGCAGGATGCCATGACCTGCTGCTGCAACGAATACGCTGTTTTGCTCGCAATAAAGTACGGCCAACACTGAAAATGCACTTTTAACCTCGACAAGTGTTGTCTCTATATGCCACCCTATTAGTTCCTACTTGTTCGTCGGCTGTTATAAAAATGCAACGTCGAGGGTGGGTGGGTCGGTCGGTGAGTCACTGATCAAGCGGAGCCATTTTTTTTTTGCCCAAAATTCCTTTGAATTTTTACGGTCTCATGGACTGGTTTTTTTGCGCGAGCAAATTTTTTTCTATTTCAACACCCGAGGAAGAAAGAGAAAAATTATAAATACCCCTGCAACCACGGTTGTATTGGATCTTGTACATTCATCTGTTTCTTTTGATCTGTTGTTCCGAACAAGGTCACCTTTGGTAAGTTGTCTATTCTACTATGGCACGCATCACGTGGATCTTTTGTATTCTTTTTGAGAGGATGATTCTGGCATTTGGCTTTAGCCGTCTTGGCGCTGATGACAAAAAACAGCTACCTTATAAATTTTCTACTGAAACTTAAAGAATACATTATCCTTCGTGATCTTGCTTACTTGTTGCTATCCAAGGTATCATGATTCTAATCGTTCAACGTTTTTCTAGATTATCCTCCATCCGTATAATCAATGGGACCTGTTTGGATACATACTTAGATATAGTATTTCATTGAATAAAACTATACTTTGAAAAAAAAGAAATTCTCAGTTCTTTACTATGATAGCCAGAAAGTTTTTATCTGTGCTGATTATTTTGTGTTGTGGACAGAGTTCTTGTCAGAAACGCTACGGCAATACATTGGCAAACCCATTCAGTGACAAAGTCTGTTTGGCAACGACACCATTACAGAAATCCGTTGTGGAAAATTTTTGTTTGAGACCAAGCCACCCGATTTCACTTTGTGCAAGCATCCACCGACATGCCCGTTTTACATTATCACGATGTCGTACTACACGCAGAAGTAAGTTATGCATGGAAGCGGGAGTCGTGACTGTAGACAAAAAAGGCTCAAGTGAATGTGAAAAAAGGATGTGGCATCTTTAGATGAAGGGCAATGGTTGACGGACAGCATCATTGAGTTTCATATGGAATATTTGGAGCGTAACCACCAGACACCTGGCAACGACGTCGTGACACTGTTGCGTCCAGGGATGGTTCAGCTATTGTCGCATACGCAAGAGGACGTGACGGCGTTAAAGCCGGTTTTGCCACCTTCTTTATCTACGTCGCAAGCCGTCTTCATGCCCATTAATGATGGAGTTCCAGAGTCAGCTTACAGTGGCTCTCATTGGTAACGTGGAATATCCATGGCAACAGTGCAAACCAACCCACGAGGCACAAGGATATTGATGCTTTTCCTCGTGATGTAGGTCGCTTCTCGTGTATTTACACCAAACACAGAAATGCTATCATTATGACAGTATTCGTGACAGTAATTTGGATCAGGCACGATTGACCGCTCAAAGGTTGAGCAGTCTTTTGGAACTCCCACGACCCATCAGTGTCATACCCATGGCATGTCCTCAGCAAACCAACGGCGCCGATTGCGGAGGTAAATATATCATAATAAATCACAACCAAAAGAAAAAACCTCATCTAAGTTATGGCTGTATGTAGTGCATGTCATCGCGTTGGTGGATTATTTTGTTCGAAAAATTCAAGAAACATCGGATATAGAGACATTAGTTTCTGTGGATTCCGATGAAATAGCGGCCACCTCAATGGTCAGAAAGCGTCTACTTTCAGTGATCAAGGATGAAAGTCATGAGCGAAAATTTCTCGACCAATCATAAACCGCGATTTGAAAAAAAGCCATTTTTTTTTTGTTTATGTTGTCGGGTCTCGTACACTTTCCTTCTTTCCCCCTCTCACTTTCAGTCGTTGGAATAGGTGTGTATCCTCGTCGTTTCTATAGTCAAAATGAGGTTGTCATTGTGATGGTGAATCTTGGAGAAAACAAAAAAGACGTGTAAAATATGCGCGTTTCAAAGAGATCATCATCTGTGGGTGGCTTTTCTCTCTTTTTTTTTTTTTTTTACAGATGGGTTCATTGACATGTCCGTTTTTTTTTCTTTTCTTTCTCTATATCGTTTTTTCGCTCGATAGCCCGATTTAAAAATGAACGCCGAGAAACTCGCTAAGCTTCAGTCCCAGGTTCGCATTGGTGGCAAGGGTAGGTTTTTTTTTTTGCGTTTGCTGGACGTGACTTAATGACGAGATGGAAACGTGTCTGTTCCGTGATATTAAACGCTTTTTTCTTTTTTGTTGTTAGGTACTCCCCGCCGTAAGACCAAGAAGGTGACCAAGGCTTCTGGCAACACTGATGACCGTAAGCTCCAAGCTGCTCTCCAGAAGACCAATGTCCAGCCCATTCCTGGCATTGAAGAAGTCAACATGTTCAAGGACGACGGCAAGGTCATCCACTTTGCTGCTCCCCGTGTCCAGGCTGCCGTCAACGCCAACACCTTTGCTATCCACGGCCGTTCCAGCGAAAAGGATTTGACTGAACTCGGTAAGCATGGATTCTTCTCATAAGCCGCCGCTTTTTTGTGTGATATGTGTATGAAGAGAGGAGAATGAATGACTCATGCAATTGCCGTTTTTGTTAGTCCCTGGTATCTTGAACCAGTTGGGTCCCGACTCTTTGGAAAGCCTCCGCAAGCTCGCTGAAGCTTACCAATCCGCACAGGGTGGTGCTGCTGGTGAGGACGATGACGAGATCCCCGATTTGGTCGAGAGCTTCGACAAGGCTGAAGTTGAGGATAAGAAGGAAGACGCCAAGGAGGAGGCCAAGGAAGCCACCGCCTAAACCCGTTCAAACCCTTTTTTTTGATCCCACAGAAAAAAAACTCACGTAACAACATAATAAAAAAGCTTAAAGCCGAAAAAACAGATCATTTTGTTGATAAAGTAAAAATGAGCCATTGAAGAAGGCATTCTATTAACAGAGCAATTGGTACGGAACACATCTGTCATTTTCAAAATAATGACGATTTCTGTCCATTTTGCTGTGGGTAAACAAAAATGTTTTTCATATTTCTATGGATACAAGCAGATGGGGGGTAGAGGATGATGCGATTTTTTGCTTTCATCTTTCTATGCTGTAATTATGGTGACATTGTAACTAGAGGAAGAGATAGGTCTAATGTTTTCTGGTTTCCTTTGTCGTGCGACGATGCTTTGTCTTGAGCAAAAGCAGCTGCGAAACGGCCATCGGGGGATGATTTGTCTCTTTTTTTTTCGATATTTTCATGCGTAAATTATCGTGGAGGGGTTGAATTTAGGCTTCACATATTGGTTGAACAAAAAGGTGGCAGCCATCACGGATCGTCATCGTAGATGGAGAGGGGCGAAGGGCATCCCCAAGAGGGCGGAGAAACGGGAGCAAGGACAAAAGGACGTTTGTGACAGACGCTGGGCTTTTCATAAAACGAATGAGGCGAGTTCATCAAAGGCGACGACGGTGGAGACAGAGGCATATACACAGGTTCAAAAGTTTCGCACGCTATGTCTTTGCGTTCACAAACTTGTGAGCAGTACAACTAAAAGGAGAAAAAGCAAAAGAGTGAGCACACAGTGTTCGTTGGTCCGTTCTTGGTAACTAGGATGACTTACGTTGTCTTCTGTGCAGTGACGATCGCAGATAATGCACCAAGAGAGATCCATAGTAATTAATTTATGATAAAGAGAAGCTGTGTTCACAGTGATGATACATGAATCTTGCGGGTTTCACCCATTATATATGGGCATGGCAACGGGTGGCTGCCTCGAAATTAGTCACCGACAATTTCAATCTCAGTCGATGAGCAACATGGAGACGAAATGACACATTTTTTCTCCAGCCCGTGCCGATCCGGTGGAAGACTCAAAAAAGAAAAAAAAATCACGCAACAATGTTCACCCTGAAATTTTCCACCCTGTTCCGCAAATCTTCGTGCATATGAGAAAAATAAACATGTTATTTTATTTCTACGGTTTTTCCGAACAGAAAAAAAAAAGGTACGACAGACCAAACCATGATCTTTCTATTGCTCCTTCTTATCCGATGAGGAAGGAACTCCCAAAGCGTCCAATCTCTCCGTCAAACTAGGGTGCGATCGGTTCCAAGCCGAATGCCAAGGATCCACGTTGAAACCGCCCAGATTCTTCACACTCAGTTTGATCAAAGCATTGCGAAGAGTTGAAGCATAGCCCAATTTCAAAGCAAAGGCGTCTATTTTAAGAAACATTGGAAAATCAGCCTATCATGACCCTTTCCGGCTGCTCATGCAAAAACCGATTGATCTAATTTTTTTTTTTTCCACGTACCTGCTTCATATTCGTTTTTACGTTGATACACGTGCATCAAAAAGCTGATGACGCTGTCAACGGGACCAAAGATGAACTGGAACAAAAGGAAACCGATCAAGGTTGGCATGGTATTAAAACCAAAATCGGCATAGAGACGCTGATTGTGGATAAAGAACGAGAACATCCAGAACAAGTTCAAGAGATAGATTTGTTGCACGATAAGAATCTTCAAAGTGTGGCTCATCGACCAATGGCCCAATTCATGCGCTGTCCCCCATTATACATCAGTTGGTTGGCCCTCCGTTATTTGTATTTCTCGCTTACCTAATACAGCACAGATTTCATCATTGGTGGAATGGTCGATCAAGGTATCAAAAATGACAATATGCTTGTTCTTTCCAAATCCATAGAAATATGCATTGGAATGACTGGATCGCTTGCTGCCATCAATCACATAAAGTTTCTTGAGAGGGAAGTGAATACGAGCCGCCAACGTTTCAATTTGAGTACGAAGTTCGCCTGTCTCCAACGGAGTAAGTTTGCTGAACAATGGCTGGATCACCGTGGGGTAAATCGTAATCAGGAATAACTGGAACAGAATACTAATGGAAACATACAATCAGTGTCTGATTCTTTGCTCTACCGCCGTCCATCTTTTTTATATTCGATACTTACAACATCACCCACACGTAAAAGAAGAATTGGTCGCCGGTGGATTGGATGATCCATAAAAAGGCGGATAAGAAGGGGACCATAATGACGGCAAACACCAACTGGGATTTGAGTAAATCCGTGATAAAGAGACGCAAGGTTTGATTGTTGAAACCGTGACGCTGTTCAACGACAAAGGTGGAATACAGCGAAAAGGGAAGCGAACTGACCGTGTTCAAGAGATTGAAGATAACCACAAACACAAGAGAGTGGCAAATCTACGGTTATCGAAGAGTAAAGCCAGTGAGTGCCACTGGTGACAGTTGACAGGAAGCCCGTTTTTGCTTGTTTTTCTTACTTCATAATCGGCACCATAGCCAGTGTATTTGAACAACATTCTTCCGGAAAAGTCCCAAAGCCAAGGAAGGACATCATAATGCAGAGTGAGGACGGTTTCCAGTTGCTTGTACGCATTCTCCACGAAAGCGAAACGCGACTTTTCGAGATTGTAAGCTTGCGACTTTTTGAAATCCTCTTCGCTGACAATGTCGGCCAAATCCTTGGGACGATCTTTCAACAAGTAGCGACGATGCTGACGATAGCTACGATGGATTGAGTACTCTACTTTGTCTAGCCCGGCCGACGTGGAAAAAATGCCTCGCGAGACGCTTACTTTAGGTACTGCTCGAAAGCATACACGGCACAAGAGAACCCAAGTACATATTGCTTGTAATTGACGGCATCCAAAGATGACAGGATCTGAGGGAGGTCTGTCATGGTTGGATTGAAAGATACAGGCAACACAAACGCTCGTCAGCAACCATGAGACGAGTTTCCTTTGGCGTCGCTCCTGCAGTGACTGTGAAAAAAAAACCGAGTCCGCTCAATTACCATACGCCGTACGCATACTTGCAGTAATAGCCATACGCTCCTATCAACTCCTTGACCACGCCCCGGTAGCCGCGAGCTGCGAAAACCATGAGAGTTTGAGATCCAAAGGAAAAAAAAAGAACAACTAGACCCTCTTCAATATTGGTGCTGCACTTTACAGTTTGGAAAGCCGGTTCCATGATGAAAATTATTGCTGTTACCATAGTTTTGCAGGGTTCTCACAGCTACATATCATTATCATAAATCAATGAGCAACACTTTGAGAACTTTGCACGATGAATAATGGTGGCCAAAAAATAAATGCTTGCATAAACGCAAGAGGAGCCATCAGTCTGTGGGGGGCGGCGGCGGTTGAATAATGACGGACATTGGCCAAAAAAAAGTGGCCCAATGTGGATTCGATGCTTTTCTTTGCTGATTGCCTCGAATGACAGAAACTTCATGTGTTTACGGTCTTCGACATCAGGTATTTACTTGAGCCATTGAGACCAGCGTTTCGCGTGTTGCTGATACCAGTCTCCAGGCACGATGTCTGACAGCCGTGACAGCCAGCAATGAAAAAAGCCAATTTCTTGTCGGCACGGTCGGGGTGAAAAACAACATTGTATGTCTTTTAGAGTACGATGATGAAAGCAACGAAGTGATACCCACCATGTACGAACATGCCGACGAAGTATGGGACATTAGTGTGTGTCCGACCAACCAAGACCGTTTCTTCACAAGTCACAGCCCTGGTAAGCGCTATTTCATCAACTGTAGCATAACATAGGAAACCAGCGCTGATCGATCTCGCCTATTCTTTTAGTTTCAGGCAATCCATCGCATAAAAAAGCAACGTTGTGGCAAAAATATCCTGAAAACGCGTCACTGACCGAACTCGTCACTTTGGAACCCACCGGCGTCCAACGGTACGATCATCAGACCTTTTTTTTTTCCAGTCAAGCTTCTCATTGTCGTACGCAGTGTGCTGTGGGATCCACAACGCGATCAATCACAGGTTGCCTTGATCAGTGGCACTAATATTTATCATATCTCTTTGGAGGCTTCCCACCATCAAGCTTCCGTAAGTATTCCAGTACAGCCATTTAGCAAACAATCATCCTGACCTAGAAAATGGGAGAGTATAGACAGTTTTATCCATAGATGCTTCATCAATGTTTCAACGGGATCGCAATGGGGCCGGTTTCAATCGACTTCAAAATGCTGTTTGGAACCCTCATCAACCTGAAATAATCGCCGTAGGCGATTGTTGTGTGGCTGGCTGGGATTTACGATCGGGCGATAGAACATTTATGCGAAACGATGCTCACAAAGGCACCATTCGAGCCGTCGACTACAATACCAATCAACCCTATCACCTAGTCACGGGTGGAGACGATGGTCTTGTTCACATCTGGGATGTGCGACAGTTGGATCAGCCTGTATTGGATATCCAAGGACACACACATTGGTAAGGAGGATCCACCACTCATCTGGGAGACGAAGACTCAAATTTGATGGTGATTGGACGTTTTTGTTGTTCGTCGCATAGGGTATGGTCCGTTGCACTGAACAAATTTCACGACCAGCTTTTGCTTTCTTCCGGTTCCGATACGCTTGTAAATCTTCACAATGCAGTATCTGTCTCGTCAGCATCTTATATGGGCAACGAGACATCCGATACAGAGGAAAGAAACATTGCAGATCATCCTTCCTCAAGGTAACCCACGTAGCAGTAACAGGGTCAAACAACGCATGCTCAATGACCTAACCGATGGTCTTGATATTGTACATACAGCGGTCGATCATCGGACGGATTAATATACACTTACGATCAGCATGAAGACAGCGTCTATTCAATTGCGTGGAGCCAAGCTGATACTTGGACATTTGCCTCATTGTCGTATGCCGGACGAGTAATTATCAGTCAGGTGCCTACCAGCGAAAAATTCAAAATTCTTGGTGTTTAATTTCATCATTTCCTCCTTTTCTTCCGTAAACTTCCATAAAAACTGTATATTGTATTTCTTGTTTTATTGCTGTATATGCAAAATCCATTAAAAGTAGTAAAAATGAATCAAGTGATGATAAAAAAAAGAGGCCAAAATTGGGGCAATTGTTCGCCAGCGAAAAACCCGTCACAATCGCCTACTGTTCTTTAACACGTTACTCTTCTTTTTTTTCGGTTTTTCGCTGCAAAGGACGTTTCCGTCGGATATAGAGATTCGTTGAACCATGAACGCCAAAAGGGAACTCCCGCCCAAAGAAAGCGCCGTTTTCAAGAACATTTTGGTAAAAAAGACGTTTGCGTTGTAGTTTCCCATGGGTGGGGGCGCGGTGGCTAATGTTCAGTGATAGAAAAATTATGAACTTCGACAGTACAAGAAGGGCTTGAAACTTGCCGACTCCATTCTGAAGAAGTTCCCTGAGCATGGCGGTAAGAATGAACAGGACGAGCACGGGATCTCTTAGGATGCTGATGGTTTTGTTGATTTAGAAACCTTGGCCATGAAAGGTTTGTTCCTCAACAATCTCGACAAGAAAGAGGAAGGTTATGACCATGTGAAGAAGGGTATTCGTCACGATATTACCTCCCATATCTGTAAGTGTAAAAGAAAAACCATGACAAAAGTGACCGGTTCCTTTAATCGTTGTCTTATACGTGTGTGTTTAGGTTGGCATGTGTATGGTCTTCTTCATCGCGCCGACAAAAACTATGAGGAGGCAGCCAAGTGTTATACTCAAGCACTCAAGTTCAACAAGAACGACATTCAGATTCTCAGAGATTTTGCTCTCATGCAAACTCAGTTGCGTCAATACGATGGCTTGGTGGTAAACTGTCAATGAAGTGTTTTCTGCTCACTTGTCATTCACCGATTCACTGACTTGAAATGGGGTCGCTATGTTTTCCAGGAAACTCGCTCTCAGCTTGTGCAATTGCAACCCTCCAATCCTACCTTTTGGTTAGGCTTGGCTATTGCTTACCAGATGGTCGGTAAACCGGAAACAGGCGTGAAAATTTTGGAAAGCCATGAAGAATCCCTCAAGGTAGGAACCATCTTATCCGACAATACGACTGGCAGTAATAGACTTAAAAAAAATGATGGCTGTGTGTAGACTACGCCTCCCGCATTTGAGTACTCTGAATTGTTGATGTATCACAACTCGTTGTTGGAAGAAACCGGGGACTTCAAGGCGGCCTTGGAACATCTCAACAAGATTGAACCCAAGGTTACCGACAAGAGAACGTTGAAAGAAAAGCGAGCCTTTTACTTGTTCCGTCTTGGTCAATTGGACGAAGCCGAATCAGGTTACCGCTTACTGATCAGCGAAAACCCATTCAATGGTCGTTACATTGAACGTCTCTTGGAAGTCAAGGGTCTTGGCCAAGGTAAGTCATACGCGAGGGAAAAAATGGTGAAATCAAGTGCATGCTATTTAACGTGGATGTCGTGTTTATATAGCTGATAAAAAGGCGGAGACCAGCGAACTTTTAACGGAATTATTCGCCCAGTATCCTCGATCCAAGGCCATTGAAGATCTTGTGCTCCGTTATGCTGAAGGCGAGAGCTTCAAGACCAAGGTGGCCGCGACCTTGCAGAGTGCGTTGAGAAAGGGTGTGCCTTCTTTGTTCAACAGCATGAAGAAATTCTACGGTGACGAAAGCAAGCAAAAGATCATTGCTGATCTGGTCATTGATTACGGTAAATCCCTGGAAGCCTGTGGCAGTTTCACTGGCAGCGAAGGTAAGTGATTTGCGACAAAGCAAAGAAAAAAAAACAATGGCACAGGTGGCAGGGCAATTGACCACAATGATGGATGCTTCCAGATACCAAAGAACCCGCTACCGCTTTGTTATGGACGCTCTATTATCTTGCTCAACATTATGATTACCATCGTCAATTGGATCAGGCTTTGGAACATATTAACAAGGCTATTGAACATACACCTACTGTCGTGGAACTTTACATGACCAAAGGCAGAATTCTCAAGGTACGGCGCAAGTGCTAGCAAATCATGGCTAAAAAAAAGAGAAACAACGCTAACCCGTTATCGTTTTCGATTTATAAAAGCATGCAGGCAAGTTTGAAGAAGCGGCTCAGGTGATGGATGAAGGTCGCAAATTGGATTTGCAAGACAGATTCATCAACTCCAAATGCGCCAAATACATGCTTCGCGCCAGTCACATTGAAGAAGCCGAAAAGACCATTGGCCTGTTCACAAGAGTAAGTTGGGACATGATGACCCGTCATCTTTTGGAGGGGCTATTGAACTGACCCACCGTGATCTCTTTTTAGAAAGACGTGGCTCCTCTGCAGGATTTGTTGGATATGCAATGTCAATGGTTCGTGACTGAGGAAGGTTTTGCATACATGAGAAAGAAGAACTACGGCAAGGCGTTAAAACGATTCCACGCTATTGAAAAGTTCTACAACGATTTCTATGACGATCAATTTGATTTCCATACCTACTGTTTGAGAAAGACGACGCTTCGCGCGTACGTGGATATGCTACGTTTTGAAGATCGTCTTCGTGCCCATCCTTTCTACTTGAAGGCAGCCAAGGGAGCCGTGGAAGCGTATTTGGCGATTGCCGATCAACCCAAGGATGGCAGTTTTGATCCTACGGGTATGACGGAAACGGAGGTGAAGAAGGCTAAAAGCAAGGCTCGCAAGGCGGAACTCAAGGCCCAAAAGGAGAATGAAGCTCGCAAGGCGCTTATCAAGGAAGAAATCGCCAAGCAGCAAAAGGCAGATCCCAAGAAACCTGTTGATCAGGACCCAGAGGGAGACAAGTATCTTGAGACGGGCCATCCCTTGGACGATGCTCTGCAATTCGTCAAGCCCTTGGAACAATTGGCTCCTTCCCTGATAGACACACACACCCTGGGATTCGAAATTTATATTCGTCAAAAGAAATGGTTGTTGGCTTTGACCGCCATTCTTAAGACTTCGCAAATCGATGCTTCTCATTCCAGCATCAAGACGAACTTGGACCGATTCCAGAAACAAGGTAAAGACCACACATTTTAATGAAACCATCCAATCGAGCGACATACTTACACTCTATTATTTTTCTTCGCAGTGAGTGCCGCTGGACCCCTGGACCCTACGGTGCAAAAAGTCATTGATGAACAACTGCCCAAGATCAAACAAGCTTAATCTGTGAGCCTCAATTTTTTTTTTTACAGCAAAAGAAAGGAAAAAAAAAGAAAACCAGTACATTTAGATTTGTCTATTGCTTCAGCATTCGTTGGTTTTTAAAGGGTCAAGGCATGTTGAAAAAAAAAAGGAAAAAAGCCCTCCGCCTCCATCTAGATTAGAAAGCAGCGCATTTTTTGATAAAAAATGTAAAAAAAAAGAACCAGCATGCATTTTCGCTGATTCGTTTTTGTCTAAAATTAAATTCGTTCTATGCCCACTATAAGAAAAAAGAAAACAAAAAGGTTAATGAACAAAGTTAACAGGACAATGGTAATTGCGACTTACCAGATCACGAAGGTATTTTCTAGTATTCATCCATTCCATGAGTAATTTGTTGGCTTCAAGAGTATCGAGGTTTTGTTCCTGTTTCAACATATCGACAAATGCTTCATGAACACCCTTGGCCATGCCTTTGGCATCACCACACACGTAGATGGCGGCGTCCTTGTTCACAATAAAATCGTACAAGAGGCTCGAATCCTCGCGCAACAAGTCTTGCACATACGTTTTCTGACCGGGGATCTTACGGCTTTCAGCGAATCGATACCGGTTCACAGTACCATTGCTGACAAAGGCTTCCAACTCGTCCTTGAAGAGGTAGTCCTTGGTCTGATCTCTAAAACCATAGTACATCCAAATGTCACCAAACTCGCGTCTAATATCGCGGGAAGGATGGGAGGTAACACCGCCCATGGATTGACGGATTCGGCATTGTTCCTGACGGTGTTCCAAGAAACCGATAAAGGGGGCCACACCGGTACCGGGACCGATGAGGACAAGAGGTCGCTTGGTGTCGGAAGGGAGAACGAAAGCATTGGTATTATGTTTCATGAAAATAGGCACGGTGGGGCGGGGTTCGGTCAGCACCACGGTTTTGCCGCTATCAAAGGGAACGTGACCTGTCAATCGATCCAACCAAGGGGTGGCAACCCCCTTGCGACCAATTTCGCCAATTTTGTAATCGACAATGTTAAAGGCCACTTGCACCTTGCCTTGGTGTTTCAGGGGGGAATTGGCAACGGAGTAGTAACGGGGCATATGGGGCGGAAGCACATCGAGCAAACGAGCGACAGGAGGCTGGCACGAAGGGAAAGTGGTAAGGAAATCGAGAAGGGTAGGTGATAGGTCTCGCAGAGCATTGAACTGAGCTACGCCTTGCTTGCTACAAATATACATGAGCGCGGTCTTGTCGTGATCATCCGTAGCATATTCGGCCAATACACGCAACAAGGCTTTGCGAGGCGTGCTGGTCAAATCGACGCCGTAGCGAAGCAATTCTCCCAAGGTGACCGAGGAAGCTTTGTGCAAATGGGAAGGCAAATTGTCACCTTCAATCTTGTACAGCCTATTCAGTTGATCGGGCGATGACAACTTGGCCAACAAGGCTTGAACCAGTTCTTCATTGTTGGGGGCAAGGATTCCGATGGCGTCACCGGGCTGAAAATCGATCTTGTCCTCGACTTCCAATTCAACGTGCAAGGTTCGCTTTTCGGCTTGCTGCGACGAGAGGCATTTGACCTGGGTGACGGGAGCGTCAAACAACGGGCTCGGGGTGGCAACGAAGTCAGGGACGTGATCTGGTCGTGTTTCGGCTTCACCGGTGGGAATCAACTGTACCACAGCTGCCGGCAATCGAGGGATGGCGGTCAGCTTGACATTGGGCTGCAGACCGGAAAGATCGATGGGTAACTTGTGACCGACAGCAATGGCCGGTGTGTCCACCAGCGAATTGGGTAAATCGGTGTATTTCTTTACTGGATCTGGCAGCGTCGTGTGGCGTTCACTCAGCGAATAATCGTTGACCTTGGATTCGTTTTGTTGGACCATCGAATTTGGTTGATCCACGTATTTGGCGACTTCTGGCAACAGCTCGTTTTTGCGGGCCGTCATTGAATAGGGGCGATCTGCCACGTTGAGATTCTGCACGCCCGTGGTCACGGCTTGCACGGACGGTTCGTCGTCGACAGCGTTATCGGAGGAGGCGGTGGCATTATCGGATTTGGCGAGTACTTTGGGTAATTCGGCCCACAACTTTTCGATCCATGGGTCCACCACAGATTCCAGACTATTTAAAATAGAAAGATGAATATTTTATCGCAATATGGGATCGCCTTGATCTCCAGCCCACTCACCCTTCGGCGTCATCGGCGAGGCCTTTTGGATAAAAGACAGTAGCTCCGAGTTCCTTGACCTTTTTCTCGAGGCGTTTGGCGGTATTATTAAAATTGCTGTAGTTTGTATCACCGAGACCGAGGAGGGTAACTTTGGTGTTGGCCAAATAATCCTTTTGTTTCTGCCGTCTAATGAAACGCCAGAATTTAATAGCATTGTCCGGAGGATCGCCATCGCCGGTATTGGATGCCACTAAAATCAGGACTCCAGCTTTTTCGAGATTAGACTAAAAATTCAACAATTCCGTTAGCAGGTGCAACGAAAAACAGGTTGGCAAAAGTTGTCACTGAAACTGACCTTTTCCCATTCGTCCATGACGAAACATTCTCCCGTATAGCCTCGTTTTTGAGCCTCACTATGGATATTCTTGGCAATCCACTCAGCATTGCCAGTCTGAGAAGCCCATAAAATAAGATATGACGAGGCAAGATCGGACATTGTTGACCGAGAATCAAGGAAAAAAAAGGGGGGTGATCGAGATGGAAAAAGAGGTAAGAGACAGATCGCTGCCGCAGCCGATGCCGATGCCGATGTGACGGTCAATTTGGAGATCTCAACCAGAATGCCATGGCCCTTTGATTGATAAGGTTTAACAACAAGGACAACATAGACCAATAGAGATACAGCTTTTTGATCTTCGCTTAACAGTGCCAGAGATTGGGATAACAGCTCAATCGAAGAATGCGTGTGTATGCGGCATACCAACAAATCGATAATAGTTTGCTTTAAATGATCAAGTAGATCTTCAAAATAGCCTCGCTCTTGTGCTTTTTTCAATAGCCACATTTATATTTCTTGTGAAATAATAGCTTATCGCATGCCGGATCGCAGCTGTTCATTAAAAGATAACACAAAAAATGTAACAGAGCACTTCTTACAAATACAGTAACATCCATTTTGGGTGGTCGATAGCGCTTTTGTGGGATGGAAGAGTGGCGCCACAAGAGTTGTAATAGGCTAATCAATAACACGAGGGGGGGGGATCATCCTTATCAAAATTGAAAATATTGTATATTACCTTGCAGTCAGCCATGCTGTATACACCGCGAACCAAGGTGGCGTTGGCATGACCATCTTGGATTTTCTGTTCATCAAAAGCACTAAGCGCATCCTGAGAGAGAGGGAATGATGGAATGAGAAAAGGGCTTAAAATCAAATGATGGGCACCAAGGTAAAGTGATGAGTTACCTTTAACCTTGAATTTAACCCTGTTCGTGCTATCCTGTGTGCATTAAGTGCAAATATAAATTTGATAAAAAGCAAGCACCATTCATTAAATGGAGGGGAGAGGGAAATTAAGGAAGAAGGATTGTTGCACACAAAGGAACTGAGGTACCGGACAGGTGGTACATCAGTAGTGCAGAAAGAAACGAATGGAATCATTAAGCGAATCGATGCACACGGCTGGAGTACCAATCATGCAACTGGTGGGAGTTGTCGCAGCTTTTGATGCATGGGTAAATGACATGGTACTATTGTCATCTTGGTAAATGCAGGTGGCACAAGATCCCATGATAAATCATCTGTTCGAGAACACCCACACCCACACACGATTATCGACATTCTTGCCACTGAATTCCATGCAATCATGGTACACCATGACGTGAGATGCATCAAATCAAAAATAAACACCTCGTCTAGAATAGGTGCGTCCGTTGGATGATGACAAATAATGAGCTTGATAGATGGTCTGTGTGTACTGTACCGTCGTTGATATGTCTGCAAAGCGCTGGTTGTGGCAGTTCCTGTTACTCTCTTCAAAGGACAATGCAGACATAGGATCGACAAAAGCCTCCTAGAAATAAAATAGACTCTATGCATAAAATGGCGTTTGATAGTTATCTTTATTTTTTTGTTTTCTCAGCTGAAAAGATCTGCACTAAGGTTGCTTTTTTTGGAACATGTCATTCAAAAAACACAAACGCATCATGCTTTTTTTCAATTTTTTTTTTTTTTTTTTTTTTTTTTTTTGAAAAGGGATATTTTCTTTCTCTGATGAATCAATAATCATGAATCCATTCAACGTTAACCATTCATACTAATATTGTTCACAGTCTTATTGATTCGAATGATGGAAAAGGGCTTGTTCGTCATCACAAGGACGGGTCTTAGGGGAGACGGCCTGTTATGGCATGAAAGAACCTTATTGGTTCTGAAAATCAATTATCCGTTGCCATGAAAAAAGAGAGTTTCCAAACCCTTCTTTTCATATCTCTGTCCTCCCCACTCCTTTCTCTCTCTCTCTCTCTCTCTCATTTTTTGTTATCAACTACCGTAATTTTTCTCTTCTCTTTTTCTATCCTTTGGCTTCTTTTATTCATTTCTCCAACGTGGTATACTCGTCATGTCGACGACGTTGTCGTTCACTCAATCGGATCCTGTCCCTATACCCCATGCCAGCGACCAGTTCTCCTATAAAGAGCTCATTAAGCAACTGGCGTCGCAAGCACCGACACCTTACGGAGCCATTCCGCCTCTGCTGAAAAAACGCAAAGCTAGAAAGAAGAAACAACTAGAAGCGCAGTTGAAAAATGCATCTAAACAGCGAACACCAGTGCGCCGCATGTCCCATGTAGAGAATTGGGTCGCCGTCGACAGTAAAGAGAGTCTGCCAGATGAAGAAGAATTGGTAAGTGGAATGGACATGGCTCAACATGGGACGGTGGTTAAACGGACAATGAGGAACATGGGGGAATTCCATGGCATGAGTGTCTCATTCAAAAGGGAATGCACTTGGACTTATTTTTTCTGGTGCATAGGTACGGTCATCTCCGTTTCTGAATTTTTTATCAGCCGATTTCTTGACCCAAGTGTTACCGCTCCACATGCCTCCACCATCGCTCAGTGATCCATCGGCATTTGATCAACAAGGCGAGTTACTGTCATTTATGCAGCGTGACCACTCAATGCGGGATAGCCCCAACCGCGATGCATTAGCCCCGATGCCGGTCCCGCGTATGGACAAACGACTACAAGAGGTGCAAACGGCTGATGAAGCGCTGGAGGAGGAAGAAGACGACGACGAGGACGATGAGGACGAGGATGACGACGAAGAGGACGATGGAGAAGACGATGATATGGCAAGGTCATTAAATCCCGCTCGCACTCGACGTGGACGACGACGAAGATCGAGTTGGAAGAGCGAAGGTGAAGATGAAGAAGACGAGGAAAACGAAGAGACTACGCGAAGAAAAAGTTTGATAGGGCGACGAAGTATTCCTTCCTTTTCAAATGCACAAACCCCCTCGACCTCCACCACGACGTCGTATGCCATGTCGTCCTCCCCGCCTCACCACATGGAAACCCACCGTGCCAAATGGTCCCAGACCATTGCCCAACTTCGGCGCTCGCTTGTCCAGAGCACGTCGCCACCTACACCCCCACCCTCCTCCTCCTCGTCGTCGAAAAAAGATGGTTTCATTCCTATGCCACCGCCACCGCGTCGTCGGTCCACATCGAAGCGTCGACGTTCGGAAGCCACGACGCAGCCACGGTTTAATCCTGACACAAATACATACACTAGAGATACCCGGTCAAACCCTGATCATTTACGAATGATATCCGCGGAACTGAATATGATGCGCGCTCACAAACTGTTCAGTCCTCTGAAACCTCGAGGATTCTTGCCGCGGCGAAAGGATGCCTTTGTACGCGGAGCTGGACGCCGCCAATCTCGTTTAAGATTTGAAGACGCTTCAGAAACCGACGATCTGAGGAGAAAAAATGAACTCGTCCGTGTTCCATTGTAGAACATAATGAATCACTTTTTTTCTTGGTTTTCACGTCTTTTTTTTTTTTTTTATATCGCGATTCATTTCTGTTCTTTTTTTTTTGCGAGGGGGGAGAGGAGGAAAGAAATTCTTCCGACCAAGAGACGGCGTCGATTTCTTCTGTACATATCACCACTTTTTTTTTTTTTTTTTTTTTTGAATTATTCCACATTCTTTCGTCCATTCCAAGCCAGGCCAAGCCAAACCAACTCAACCCATACAGTAATAAATACACACGCACACACACATTACACAAGAGACACGCCAGCACCATCCTCCGTCAAGAAAAACCAAGAATAGAAACACGACCCATTTGAGATGAGACAGCAAATGTGTACACGAAGCGTGCATACAATCAGATAAACAGATACACAATTTTTTTTCGGCATCACCCGTTTTGGTCATTGCGCCGTAAATAAAAGGAAGCTGACAATATACATCAAAGTAACAAAGTGATACGCGGGAAAAAAGAAGAGGGACTAATATAAAAAATTTCAGGTCAATCAAGTAATGAGCAACGACTTATAAAAGCCTCAAACATCGACCAGGCCAACTACCGACGGTTTTTACCAGTCAGAAAAATGGTTTCCAACTATTTGACATTGCTGTCAAGGCTTGTAAGCTGAGTTTGGAAACTGACATTCATAAACACGAGCAGCAGTAGCCGTAGCAATAAAAGTTCTCTACCAAGGGGGTTTATTGCTATCAGCAGTACAACTAAAATGTTATCTTTTTATCCTAAAGTGGTTTTCCTTGTCAATACTCGAAACACGTTACGTCCTTCAATCTCGTCTACGAAGTCCATCAGCCATCGAATCCCGTCTGGCTTTGCAGTTAATACACCGCCAAAGTGAATAAGCCATCGCTTTATCGCTTCTTGTCCCCTTTAAAAAAGCAAGAATGAATGCATCATCTCTTGTGCAATGGACAAGAAAAGAAAAACGAAGCACTGGGACTATTAGCAAAAAAATGTAAATATAAGATACTTGTCAAATGTATGGAAACCATTGAACGATTAGAAGTGTGAAATATTAGGCCGACGCTTGGTCGGGGCAGCACCCCAGCTCATATCATATCAAATCATATTCAGGCACAAAAAGTGATTTAGAACTGAATTTTGAGGTGCAGCAAGTGTTGAACAGATATTTTCGAAGCTACGTATATCCGATAGTAATCAGTAGCAACATGCCATCAGATATGTCGCCAAGTCCTGTACCGAGTGGAAGCTTGTGGTAACATCACTTCAAAGTATTTCTGCGGTAATGAAGGATATTCATTGGCAGCAGCTGGAGCGAGTGAGCAGATTAGGTTATCAATTCAGAACCTCAGAGCCGATGGTAAAAATGAACCCACATGCTGTTGAATGCTCAATGTAGGTTGAAAGTATTAAAAAAAAAGGAAAAACCATCCACGGATTGATAATCTTGGGCACGCATGGCAGACGATATTTCATTAGCACAGACGCGTCGCTGCAGGGATCAGCGACGGCTTTGTCTGTTTGACATTGATGCAGTAAGTTGTGAACACTTTCCCTTGAATCAAAGCCGATCAGCTTTTTCTTCCATCAGAATCAAAGATCGATGTTCCACCGCTCCACACTATTTTTCCTGTGATCGAGAACTCCGTTCAAAAGGCCGTTTAGAAGATCTTTAGCACGGACGCCCACAATGCATATACCAAAAAAGTAAAAATAAAAAGCCCAATTAGGGATATAAACATGGGTGATGTAAATGAAGCTCCCAAGCGTTTTTCAAGCTTCATTTTGAAAACATTTCTCTCGATGCCAAACGACTGAGCATGATGCTTTCAGGTAACACCGCATCTATTTCCGGCAAGGTTGTATATAAGGGCACTGCACTTTTTCTTTGTGGAAGGTCCTCCTTTGGCCAACATATTTCTTTTTTTGATAGTCTTTTACTGTTTACTATTCACCTGGTATACTTGACGGACATTCATCACTCTGAAGATATTTCACCTCCTGCGACTCCACCGAGCTACGTACCCACGGGATCTGGTCACCATCAATTATCGTTCGTCGATTTCCCACATGGAACACACCCGAAAATACAACATCGCGGCCGCATGGGCCCAGGGAGGCCAAGTTAAAGTCGTTGAAGAAGGATTTGCCGATGGACTAGTGACATCACTTCAATTTGATGAGAAATTCATCGTCGTCGGTTGCGATAACCATCGAATCGAAGTTTTTGATACTAATACAGGACATAAAGTACGGACGTTAACCGGCCACGAAGGAGGCGTCTGGGCTCTTCAGTTCATGGGAGGCACATCGCAGGATCCCGAAAGGACATTGGTGTCTGGTGGTTGCGATAGGTAAAGAAATTGCCAATGGGCAGTGCTTACATTGCTGCGCGGAAGGGGTAGCTCATGATTCAATTTTATTTAGGGACGTGCGTGTGTGGGATTTGAATACCGGTCGATTACGGCATGTTCTTTCAGGCCACACATCGACGGTACGATGCATAAAGATGAAAGACAAGGAAATTGCGGTGACGGCTGCACGCGATGCCACGTTGAGAGCCTGGGATATTCGAAACGGTAATCTGCTGCACGTTTTTCTTGGTCATCAGTCCAGCGTTAAATGTCTCGATATTGCGGATGATTTGATCGTTTCCGGCTCGTACGATTCAACAGCACGTATATGGGATTTGACGACGGGCCAGTGTCGACATGTGCTGGTGGGCCATCTGTCCCACATTTATGCTATTGTGACCGATGGATACAGGGTCGTTACGGGATCACACGAGTCCCACATCCGCGTGTGGTCGGTGGAAACGGGCCAATGTCTTGCCACGCTGTATGGGCACACCTCTTTGGTAGGACAACTGCAGCTGTCCGGCAATGTGTTGGCGAGCGGCGGTTCGGATGGATGGCTACGCATATGGGACCTTCAGCGGTATGAATGCGTCCAGCAGATTTCGGCCCACGATAATTCGGTGACTTGCCTTCAATTTGATGATCGTCGTCTGGTCAGCGCGGGCAACGATGGCCGCATCAAGCTATGGGACATGAAACAGGGAAAGTTAATACGCACCCTCACCCAGCCTTCGAAAACGGTATGGAAGATCCAGTTCACCGAAACCAAAGCCGTTGTCCTGATGCAACGGCGGAGATCACCCGAAGCCGAAGGCGCGAAAACGGTCATGGAGATTCACAATTTTGATTTTGGCAATTAATCCCTCAAAAACGTGCATATCGCAGAAACATGATGAACATCGATACCAGCTTTTAACCGCTCTACTTTCATCAATCTTGTGTCCTCTTTTCCGTATTTCTCGTACTACCTCATCCTCCTCCCGTAGTAGTCGTCCTAGTCTACTGATATTTCTATGTTGTTACGAGAAAAACCTTACGCTGCTGCTGTGCATCCCCTGAAAACTTTTCTTTCTCTTTTCTGAATAGCCCACTTACTTTTGGTCTGCATGTATAGAACATGTTGTTCGTATTATGGGTCAGTTGGTCAAATCGCTGATAGGTGCTGCATTTGTGGGAATTGAGAAATAAGGTTCATCAAGCCAAGTAACGTTGTATCCTAGATCATTACTATATTAATGATCATTATCGACGCACCATCTGCTTCAGCTCTGAATCTGTACACATTGGGTATTTACGCGTGTGCGTTGATAGGAGCAAGAGTGGAGGCGTGCTCGAACCAATTGGGGATCACCCCATCCTCCTTGCTTCATCCTGTTTGCCTTTCGCGAGTTTATTGATCTTGCATTGACCGTAATGCTGGCAAGCAGACAAGGTTTCCGCTCGCTGTGATCGGATGATACTCGAGTATGATACTGAACTTCCATCCATACCCAAACGACAGTGTCGCCAACGTCCGCAGCTGAATTGGTCCTTCGCGCAAGGTGAATACAACCGTGCTCGTTCACTCGCACGGGCTCGTCAAAACGTTTCGATGACAGTAATTGAAGCGTTACTATTGCCCTTTCTTTCAGCTGATGTTTTCCACTTCGTCGTTCTCTGCGGTTATGGTGTCCTGGCGACGACTGTTCCCTTTGTAATGCAGTCTTTCATACTTCCCTTCGCACCTGTTCCCTCTTTTTCCCCAGGTGTTGTCCCTCTTCTCTCCTTCTGGTCCCTTCGCTACGCTATTCTCTGGGACAACGTAGTCTAATAGGTTTGGGTTTCCTTGTTTGGTCTTTTTTCCCAACCTTCGTCATTACAGCTTTTAGACTTCGATAATTTCCCCTCCCAAAGGCCAGATAATAAAATGCCATTCTCAAGACATCATGACTGATTATTCTTTATTGGCAAGTGCAGTGTGTATTGCCCAGTGTTGCAGATAATAAGGGTATAAATTAATTTTGTAAGCAATTGGTGCATCATCTTGTTACCGACCAAGCGCATTTCTGGCATTGCGAGCAATGTCTGAAATGACTATGTGTACAGCATCCGTGGAAACAATGAGTCTTTGATTCTTGGTCGTCGACTACGGCCACTGCCGCTCCTGTTCGTATCTTGCAAGAGTATCTGATTGTTTGTTTGTACATGCTGATGATAAATTGCCCAAGGTAAGTTTTGGCTGTATCTTCCAAGCATGGAAAACGCCAACACCCGCCATTGCAAAAGTCGGTTTAAGTAGAAAAACTTTGACCACGCCGAGATCCAATGAAAACAGGGGGTTGAAGCTAGGAGGTGAAAGCTGAATGGTGGAGGTTCTGCCTTGATAGTGTTTGGAGGTAGGATTATATTTGGTCTGCCACATCCGATGCTTGCCAAGCCAGCGGGTGGTGTTGAAGCGTTCTCCTTTGAATGGATCGGAATAGACAGACTGTAGCAAATCAATTTTCCAACGTGTTTGCTTAAATGAGTGTATGCCGGTCGTAAAACAAAAAAATTGGAGGACGATCAAATGTTCGACTGATCGATCTCAAGAGTTTGGTAGCCTTGAGTTATTTCAGGTGAATTGCTAAATCAAGTTATTGATGGTATTCTGGGTGTTCCGCCCTGTATCGATCTATTCTGTACTTGATCGAAGTCCCCTTTTTTCTTTCTCCTCTGGTCAACCCCTGCTGGTTTTTCATTATCCTCTTACAGTATCTCTTATCTTTCATTTTGCAATTCTCTTAACTGACCAATACCAAATCCCCATGGAGCCCTTGTTCAAACATTCAACATGCCAAACAATGTATCCATTGAGCAGGAAAAAAAGAGCAAATGTATAATTATGACATAGATGGGATAAAGGAGTGAAATGAATGGAGGGATAGTGCGAATGATAAGAAACGCTTGAGTGGTTGCCTCTTGGCTTTCAAGTTCCAAGGAAATAACCGTTGGGGCTGATGCAAGAAATACAAAAAGGACAAAATAGCGAGTGCCGCCAGGGCAAAAAAGTACAATGATGATTGCAATGGACATATGATGGAGAAATAAAATAAAAGGAAAGAGGAGAAAAAAAAGCGGTATCGTGATGGACTATTTTCTCTCCTTTTTCCATTCAAAGCAAGAAACAAAAACAAAAAAAAGTCAAAAATAAACACAAAACAGGAATAATGAAAGACATCAACGTCGAAAATAGAACAAAGAAAACGTATTCAACAGGGCGAGTGAATGAAAATAAAGAAAGAGAGAGATGAGGAAGCAAACCAGTGCCAAAGAACCCACAGTATCCTGTCACTGTTAATGACAAGCGGTAGGGATCAAGGCCGGAGTGGTCGCCCACCAATTTTCGGCTCGTTTCGTTTCGACCAATGGTTTGCCATGGGTGGATGAAATCTCATCTAACCATGTTTCTGTGGGCCAACTTTGGTTTGGCGACGACCGCTTTTTCTTGTTGGCTCGTTGAATCAGTCCAGCAAATGCTTGGAAAGCATTCGATAACGTCCGTTTGGGAGCCGTTCGACACTGCGAAGCATGATGTGTGTTGATCGAAACTGTTTATCGCATACAGTGTGAGATTCATCATTTTTTTCTCGACCCGAATGAAAATAAAAAAATAAATAGAGGGTTACCTGATGGTGACACGGGTTTCAAGGTTGGATGAGACACACATCGTCGGGGAGCTCTTCGGATCGACCATCGAGTGCACTTTTTCAGACGGACCGACGAGGCAGGACCCATGCTGTGGCGCGAGGTATCGACAAATACCTCGGTAAATCGGGAGCCCTGCAACATACTGAATCGAGACGATCCCGACCGGGAAACAAATGGACGAGTCTTTACATTCGTCGTTGTCGTCGTCGTCGTCGATGAAGTCGTGGTGAAAAGATGTTCCAACGATTCGAGAACAGGAACTTGAGGCAGACACAGCGTCCGAGTTTGGTATTGCTGTAAATGAGGATCAAAACTCGATACTTGCAGAACGCCCTGATGGAATTCGATGGTAGGACACATGATAATTAAACGTTGATAAAGTTCGTGATGATGTTTCGTAAGTCGGTTGAGGGGAAAGAAACGAATAAAGGCGTATCACAAGAGATAAGGAAAGTAATGGGGAAGTTTCAAAGATGAAAGATGGATGAACAAAACCATGGCCAAATGAAGCATGATGTATTTATACAAAAAAAAGAAAGTCCAAGTAGACATGAGAAAACAAAGTTCACACTCACTCATCTCTTTTTAAGGGGTCCGTCCAAAGATGACAAAATGAAAAATTTCTGCATTGGAGACCTGCTCCTTATCCACCACACTCTTTTTTTTTTCTTTCCCAGTCTCCCCCTAATAGTTTCTTTCCAAGGCTTACGTGATGGCCCAGATTCCTGTAATACTTGATCCGAAAAAGCAAGGAAGATCCATGCAACCAACCAAGAAAGAAAAGTCTCCATTAGCTTGCTTGCTTGCTTCGTTGCGCATAATCTTTGTCTTGCAGAAGAACGAGGAATACGCAATTTTATTATCCACAACAAAAAGCCCATCAAGGTTACCATTTCCCCCAAATATGGCTATGGCTTTATTTACTTTGTGGACGGAGTGGAAAGGAGTTGAGGGCAATCTAGAAGCGGAGACCTTTTGGAAAGGAAATTGAAGGATAAACCAACAGTTTCTAGACCCAGGGTCGATTTTCTTTTTCATATGACAACGATGAATGTGGTCTGACAGGTGCTTTGGTACCCGTCTCAGCTTCTTTTTTTGTTCCCTCCGCTTAGCTTCCTCTCCTCATCTCCTTTTTTTACCCCAAATAGAGTATATCCGTACAGAGAACGCATTGCCTAAGCTTTATACTTTCTTTTTTTTCATTTATACATACAGATGGCGATTTGTTCAAGGCCCCAAAAAAAACCATTTCAGCCCCGTTCCGCCTGATGGGCTTGCCCATCATTAGTTGATATGTCTATCGCTAGTATGAATATTCTCGGGCACTAGTGTCAGATATCATGTAGCTACTTATTTACCAGTTTTCTTTAACGTATATTGCTTGCACTCTCAACATTGAACCATGTGTTGGCAGGGTGACAGGTAATGCATTGCAATACATGGTAAAACGCCCTGTGTACCAGTATTCCGCTTTTTTCTACTTATGGTAAGCCCATCGCCGTATTATCAAAAGCGAACCCATGACTCTCTTTAATCAGCCATACGGAAAGAATAATAGACAGTTCATGCTCTGTTGCTAGATCTTCGAAACAGGAGAGTTGATCAGTGAATGTTTTCCTTGTTGGTCGTTGCTATTGCTGCATGCATTACAGCGTGCTTGAACGCATAAATGTTCAATGTAGGATGATCGGCCAAATTTCATGATATGGGAAAAAAGTGGCACCGCCAGTCAGGATGATCTCCATCATCATCTTACGACATTTTTAGCATTTCGACTGACCATGATATTTTTAGAATAATAAACATTCGAAGCAAAGAGGATCGGATAATGCGTTTCAGGCAAAAAGTACTGGTCATGAATCGGAGTCCAGCTTTTTAGCGTAGATACTTTCCGCCATGACTGAGTATGGCAAGGAGGAGGTGGCTGATCCGGACTCGATGAAAAAGGCAATCCGATATTCATCTCGCAGAGCAAAGTAAAGCAAAGCACGTCATGCCAAGTCTTGACAGATGATCGGAGATGCCATTTAACTAAAACAGAAAAAAAAACCAGCTTTTTTCAAGTCACTCGCGTGCCGTACCACGGAACCATTGCAAGCCAGCCGCCGTTCCGGTCATGCTTTAATCGGTAGTAATTTCTCATGTCGCATCATAAAAATAGCAAGGCTCATCAGATAGAGTAAACTGACATGAGCTAGGGATGCGTATCGCATTATGAAAAGCAGCACACTGCATGATCGGACGGTAGGTTGTCGGATTCGGGCTACCGCAAATACAGTAAGCATCTTGTGCAATTATTCGACAAAAAGTTTCAAGTGATGATAAATGCAGTTGTCCACCATTTTTTTCCTGCCTGCGTATGAAATTTAGACTCGAGGTCCAATTAATATACGATTATGATATTACAAACGGCACTCCGTCAATCCTCTGGCTTACATTGTATTTTTTCTATGAGGATTGTCCGCATCAATTCACTTTCTATTCTCACTTTACTCAGCTGACGCGTAAAAAAAAGGTCATTATGGAAGTCAGGCCTGCCGTTAATAATAGTTGCTGATACTTGTACATCAAATGTACCGGTACAGCGATACCCAGTTCTTTACCTTGCGCATAGATCGACCGTTTGAAACAGTTGGTCAAGATAGTCATGCACGCAAGTAAATAACGATCCAACGTCTTCCCGAGTGTATGGCATGGAGCAACTCGCGTTGCTCATTTTTCTTTGAACGTCTATGCTGTACAGAACGGTTGGATTTATTGACCCATGAGTGTTCAACCCAACATCAAAAACCCTGTTTCTTCGTTTACTCTGTAACCAACCCAATCGGAGCGCAAGTAGATGCATTCTAGACATGGCAACTCATTCACTGTAAGTGGAATAAACTCATCTGTTTCGAACTCTTTGGAATTGTGAGATAGTCCCATATATATCTTTGACCTAGTAACTAAGATATTCTGCAAATAATAATCTCTTTGGATTGAATATAGCGGCGGTCTCGCGTCCTAGAATTAAAACCTGTGCCGTATGCTATTGCAATACAACATAGAAAAAAAGTGCAGGCGATTCCAGGACACAGGCCTATAGAGGACATGGTCAGTCATAAGCAGCACGTGCAATGCGGATAGTGGATACCGAGGAGTGCCGAGTATCCGCGTTTGGCTTTTGAAAAAGGGTCAATCGATTCTTTTGCGGCAAGATCTCGATCTTTACTTTTCCGACAGGTTTACTGTAGGCCGATCCATCCGGATATTGGGAGCCACCAACGAGGTCAATTGACGTAATATCAATACATAACCATACCCGTCATTCAGTACAAAAAAAAAACCTTGTTGAGATAAAATCCGTCTTCCCCTTATATCCTGTTCATCCCACCCTAGGAAGATGGGCGTCATTTACCCATGCTTGATTTGTGATGTAGGAGTTTGAAAACCCAGACTTGCCAAGCAAAAACACAGTGATACAAAATCAAAAATCTGTTTCCGGGGACACAAAGCGCTGACCAAAGTATGGCTTCGTTGGAGACCAATCTTGAATCAATGCAATATACTTTTTGTTTTTGTCAGGCAATCTAATTCCGGTAACCACTTCCATTCCGGTCACCATGAAATGAGGACTCGATGAGAAAAGGAGCGTGTTATTGCTTTTCCCCGCCCTGGCAAAAAATAAAAAAATAAAAAATCCACCCATCACTGCTGAGCCTTTTTTTTTTTTTTTTTTTTTTTTTTTTTTTTTTTTTTTTTTTTTGCTTGAATTATGTACTGCCTTGTAAGTTTGTACATACCAAAAATAGACAATGTCACCGTTTTTGTATCCTAGCTATTACAATGACGACAAATGTGCTACCTTCCCGGTCAGTGGGGAATGGCGGAAAACCTCTTCGTGGAGTACGGACGGAGTCCTAAATTCCAGAATTGGCACTAGCCGACTGACAAGCTGATGTATTCCCTCACTCCCAATACGAATTTCGCTATAAATTTTTTTTTTTTCTATTCTTCTTGCTGGCTTTATGAATTGAAGAGATTCCGCAAATGGGGTTCTTTGACTACTTTAGATTGCATGAAGTCGGCTACGGAAGAGTCCCCAATCCGACGACGTACGTGCGACCGAAACGATGGCGTATACTGAGCATGTTCAAGTGGGCGGTCGTTGTAGGAGTGTTGGCCGTTCTGACATTCTTCGCCATTTGCAATCTGCAACTCAATGTGCGTATCTATCTTCGTAATTGGATCTCGCATTCAGACAATTTGTATTATCGGCCACTGGCGGGCTGCTTTGACGGATTGCCACCCGACAGTCCTTACCTTCGCGGCGACGGAGGCTATGAAAACGATCTTTCGCCGGGCATCAGTCTCATGGAGGATTACGATTGTTATGATTACGCTGCTACGTTGCAACCGGTGCCTACGACGAGCCATCAAAAGACCATCTTTCACGCTTACTGGCGAGCGGATTTAGCTCCGGTGGGACCGAAACAGTTGGCCACGTTACGCTCCTTCTTTGCTACGCAGAACCCGAATACAACCATGATTTACTTGTGGTCCAATGGCGATCTGTCGCCGAGTCCAGTGATCAAGGAAATTCAATCCCACGTTGGTGATCGACTTCAGACCAAATTGTACGATCCGAAAGAACTTTCCAAAGGCACGCCAATGGAAGGTTCGCCTCATCTTGATTTGAACGATGCAAGTGGTTACCTGGATGGCGACCTGCTCCGACTTTTGGTCGTCTATCGATACGGTGGCATGTGGTTCGACATGGACTCCCTGTTTGTTCGTGATGTCTCACCGCTCCTGGAGCAGGAATGGTTATCGCAGTGGGATTGTTTCTTGCCCAATTCATTTCCATTCAACGGTGCATTTATGCGATTTCACAAGGAGTCTCCTTATTTGTGCGAGATGCTGAGTGAAGTGGCGAACGGACCACTTCCTCGTCCAAACACCATTGACTGGGGTGGCTACATGTACTATCGGATCTATCGTCGTCTTTTGCATCACCGTATTCGCCCTTGGACAGTGCTTCCATGGTGTTTTACCGATCCCATGGTTTGCGCTCCCCGAAATAGCATGCCCAATGCTTTCATTGAAACCGAGTTCCCCGAAGACCGATTACTACAGACGTTTGCCTATCATTGGCACAATCAGTGGAAAAAGGAACCGGGCTCCTTATTCCGATTTCTGGAAACTAGACATAAAAACGTCACCGGATGGTAAACCCCATAGCATCATCCTTCTTATTTTTGTTTTATTTTCCTCCTTCCTTTCTCCTGTATCCACCAAACTTTTCCCTATTTTTCATTTTTCATCGCACCTCTTATAGTCTATAATGAACTAAACTATATCCTATTTTCATTTTTACACCAATAAAAAGCTTTTTGGTAATTGTCCTCGCTGTGCCTATTTTTATTATGCAAGTGCCCCGGCTACAACATGTGTCCAAAGCGCAACCCCCAGAACAAAAGGAAAACGAGGAAAGTGCATAGGATGAAACCATCCCGTTCATTGATCTTTTCTTATGCGTGTGAACAGCAAGATATGATAGGCAGTTCATTCAAGGGTTATCAACAATATATATCGCGACGCGGAAGAATGTATGTTGGTGTGCATGTTTGCGTCCAATGATTAATTTAATTATACAGTAACGGATGGATTGTGATTATTTGTTCAATGAATCTGGATGAGATTACATCTATGATCGCCTCGAAGAGGAAGCGGATCGGGCTATCCAGGGATGTCTGAAAGCTTCATCGGGTTTCATACGGAGATCGGGGTCCCACCGTAAACATTTTGAAATGAAGTCAATAAAGTTGGCATCGGTGCTTTTAAGAGCCTGTTCCAGCGTTTTGGTCCCGGGTCGTCGCTTTCTTCCTTTTGAGTTCGGCATGATACGAGGATTTCCAAGAGAATCTGAAAAAGTCCAGGATGCATTGGGCATCGGTTAGAAGTTTTCATCACTTTTACAATAAATGGTCAGGAAATTTCTTACCAAAAAATAATTTACGTCGTGTGCTTTTCTCGACCAAATGTTTTTGAGGAACACCAAGAATCTCCATAATGCAAGCTAACTGTTCTTGTTCATTCTCACCAGGAAACAGCGGATAGCCTACGCCCATTTTTAAATGTGAGTCTTTGCCTGCTGCATCTTCTAGTAGTCCTTGATCTCTTACCGGTGTAAAGTTCCGCCAAAATGCACCCAACACTCCACATATCAATCGCCATACTGTAATTCATTCCTACAACAAGACCATTCCGGATTTAATACGTGAAAAATATAGAAAAAAAAAGCCCAACACCAACTTACCCAAGATGATTTCGGGAGACCGATAAAATCGACTTTGAATGTAAGTATATACTGAAAGAACATGGTCAGTTAGCACTTTGTATGTTGCACACACGTATAATTTCATGACATACCTTTTTCGGTTTCCAAACATGAACTACCAAAATCAATGACTTTGATCGTACTTTTCGAAGGATGTTTGAGCAAAATATTCTAGATAGCAAAAGAGTGAATACCGGGAATAGCCACCCTGTGGTTGCCAAGTGTATACCTCTGGTTTCAGATCACAATGGATTAATTTATGCTTATAGAGTAGTGTCAAAGAGTTGAGAATTTGAACCGTAAACCTATTTTCATCATGAGCAAGTGGACAATAGGTTGCGCAGGATGGAAACTAAACGATACTATACCTTCGGATCAAGCCCATGCTAAATCCTTGAAAATTGTTGGTCTTGATAAAATCGTATAAATTGATGCTTAAACATTCAAATGCAATGCACAAGTGATTGCGGAAATAAAAATGTTCGGTCATGCGGACATTGTTATGTTTGTCTTCAGGATCCTGTAAAGCAAGCGTTAGCATGAGATGGGCAATCTTTGTTTTGTCTTTATTTTTCTCATCCATGTGTACAGCTTACCCATTTCACCAGATCTTCCAAGATTTTCACTTCTACCAAGGCTTGGGCATGAAACCTCTTCTTATTCCTAATGAGTTTCACTGCCACCGTTTGCCCCGATTTGTGATCAAAACATTTCAGCACTTGGCCAAACGATCCTTTGCCCAGACCATCCAAGACTTCGTAACGATACGCCAAATGGTCGCGCAGCACCACTTGATAGTCTCCACGATCATCGTCATAACCATGATTACACGTCGTTTGTTCCAAGGTCGCTTGACGTTTTTGAGCATGGTTGCCCACAAAGTACACCTTGGAGTACTCCAGCACTTCGGATTTCTCATATGGCGTTAGTGTCGAATGATACAATTTCAAAGCCGCTACAGAAAGATCCCTCATTAGGTATATATTCCGGTGGACCGCATGAATGCTTTCTTGTTTTTCTTTACCTTGCGGACTCATAGCGACACGCACCGGTACATCCTTGTCGTAGAATGGTTTTCCAAAATCCTTGTTGTCGGTACGAGAGGCTATGTCATCTCCAAGATCACGTCCACTGCCTGCTGTACTCGTACTGATACTTCCACCGCCGCGGATGACGATTTGTTTCGTGGACGGTTTGTCACGACCCTGCGTTCCTGAACCCCATGCGTTACTGTCCTCCACCAAATTTTGAAGTCGTTCATGGAGCGTGGATCCCTTGCGTCCTCGCTGACCATGCACCTCCGTCGTACCCGTCCCATTTCTGTCACTTGAACCATCGACGATGGTTTCCGGTAAACTCATCAAGCCGTGAGCAGATACTAGATGAACTGCCATTTTAGCATTGGTCTGCAATGATATCTCGCCCTACTCTGCAATCTATTGTCACTTACCTGTGCTAGACGTCGTTTTGGCAGACGAGGACATGGTGAGCCCAGAGCGAGCCGACGTGGTACTGATTTTCCGCGTCCGGTTCTTTGTGCCATGATGGGTACCTGCCGTAGTTTTGGTCGATCGACTCGGTTGCGTCGGTTTAGACACCGTGCTAGAAGACGCGTGCGGTAATTGGGTTTTGTTTTCTTTTCCTGAGCGACTGCTTTTGGTGCTTAGTGAACCAGATATTAGTGTGGATCCCGAATACACTGCGGTGGTCGGTCCGACTTTGGCCGATGGAGGCCCGGTTTCATTTCGTTTTATCGACGACAGCTTGATGGTAGGTTTTTCGTGACTGACAGGATCCAAAGTATCATCTTCATCGGTGCTGTTGGACGCTGAACCATCCGTCTCTTCTTTGGTTTGCTTGGATGGTTTGGAAACTGGAAGTGGAATACGAGTGGGGGTGCGTGCTTTGTTCCGTGGGTTGGTATCTTTTATCTTGTTGGGTATATGCAAACTCAGCGGCTCCAATTTCATGGGAGGTAAAGTGAGCGCGGTCACCACCGGAGGCACAGCCAAACTTCCCGGAAGTGTCTAGCAGGAGAATGTATTTATTAAGTCAACCACAATAGCCTGCGTTTCTATGAAAACAAAAAAAGCTGGCTTACCTTGCCTCGTTTTCTGCCCGAGCTTGGTTTCGTCAAAGACCCAGTCGATTTTTTTTCGGTTTTTGGGGTGTGAACGGTGGGCACGGCGGTGGTGGAGATCTTGACTTGACGATCGTGATGAGGTGCACCATGTGTGGCATTGGAGGACGTTTTGGGTTTGTGGGATGACGGTGAACGATGGGCATCGACGACCGCTTGTTTAGAATCATGGTCTGAATGAGGAGCTGATCCGAGATAAGGGTCGAATTGCGCAAGGTCATGGTTGGCACGACCGGCTCGTGGTTGGCATGTCGACGATGACATGGTGACTTTCCGACTGGCCGCTTCTTTGGGGCTTTTATCATGCTCGTTCTGACGCAGGGTCTTTGAGGAACCCGGTTTTCGTAGTTGCTGGGTTTGAGTCTTTGGAGCCCCCGTGCGGGAACGAGGCGACGGATGGTCCGACAGGGTATCGATAGAGTTGGAACTATTGGTACGTACAAGACGAGAGGATGAAAAACTGACGGAGCGCGAAGGGCCGGGCGATGGCATGATGGATCGTGGTTGCTTTGATAACGGAGTTCTAGAATCAAGCGACGGTGCGCGATCTGTATAACTTAAATTCTTTCGCAAAGTACGGGGTGTACTACTGGTGCTTAATCGTGGTTGATCTATTTTCGGCGAGGCGTTGGCCTGGGTCGAGTGAGTTGCCGCGATACCGGACGGACCACTGCTGTTCTCCAACCATGGAACCGATTGCAGCTCTTTATCCACCGAAGACAGCGTCCGTACACGTCGACTGTTGGAACGAAGAGGCGTCGGTAAGCTTTTGCGAGGATGCGTCGTCGATACGCTCGACTGAAGCGCCGTTATCGGTGTGGGAAGTTTGGTGGGCGTTTTCGGTGACCCATTCATATTCGTCTGATCGTGATCGTCCAATCGCGGCGTCGCTGACTGCCCCACCAATGGCTCGTTTTGATCTCTCACATGATTTCCCGAATTTCGATAAGAACGACGTTTTTGCACCGAAGCGTTCATCTGCGAATGAAAGGCATCATTCAGCAATGGATCAAATTCAGCCAATGACCCGTAAGCCGATTCCGGTGCCGTGGTATCAAAGGAAGAAGACATGGGCGGGCTCTTACAATGGCTCCAAGACCGTAGTTGGGACGTGGATGGTTTTGGTGCAGGATGATCGGGACTGAAGGGATCGGTCGCCGCATGGTGCTTGGAAGCGTAGTTGGCCAAGGTGGAAGCAAACTTTTTGGTAGGTGAGATCAACGTATCACCATCGATCTGTGTCTTTTTGAACCCTTCCTCCTCTTTGGTTTCCCCCGCCGGATTTCGATCATGTCTTGAATGCCGCGATGAACCTGCGCCTAGCAACTCTTTTAATCGACCAATATCATTCAGTTTCTGGGTTCGACTGCCGATGGTGGCGGAACCCGGGGTGGGAGCGGTGGTGGCCATGGGGCCATCGGCGGCTGAAGTGGAGGATAAGGTACGACTTCGAGTGTTTTCCAACTTTAATCGATAATTAGCTAATCGTTGTGCGGATGCAGCAATTAACCCTTCCAAATCCTCCAAACTGGCATCACGTAGATCCATTTTTTCCCAAGTTCGAACGGGTGAGGTCGGTGACAGCGTTCCTGCAGATGATGTCGACAGACCAGTTTTTTTCCTCCCGTATCCTGCATGATCCTTTTCATCCGTCATCTCCAGCTGACCGTAGGCCGCGGTTCCTCTAGATGATATCCAAGTATCCGAACGATCATGCAGATCACTGTTCATGCTGGGATAACCGGTGATTTTCGATCGTCGTTTCTCTCTGACTTTATGGAGGGTGGTATCGTCTAAATCCTCATGAAAGGAGGTTGGACGGCGTCGGTTAGGAGGAGTGGAAACCAGCTCCTTTCTTCGTTGATTCCAGTTGGACGCATTGGCAACTTGCTCTTCAAGTTCCCTTAATTCTCTTAATCGTTCTGCTTGCGTTTGTTGGCGTTTGGCGGCATGCGGAGACTGCATCTGCTGCCATCGATCCAATGTGGAGGTAGATGAGGCCGTGGTGGAAGTTGAATGAGAAGCGTTGGGTATAGAGTCGAAGGAATGATCAATAAAACTGGAGGAATTGCGTAAAGGCGAACCTGCCATAATAATACAATAATCTATACCACCATCATTGAGCATTACTTAATAGGGCAGAGCTAGTCACGCTTTTTCACCCAATGATTGCCAAAAAAGAAGTACCTGACTACCGATAAAAAAAAATCGAAACACAGTTGTTGGCACCATGTAATGAAAACGATTCACAATAACGTGGAGGAGGGAGGGGCGGACGCAGCAATAGCAAAGAGAGAAAAAGAAAAAAATGGACCATAAAGAAACATATCATAGGTGAGATATACTGAGAAAAAAACCGAATAGGGCCCCCCCATCACGGATATATACAGAATCTATCTATATGCTCTACCTGAATGAGGATTTATCTGGTTTGGACAATGATACAACGATGATGAACTGGCATGCCTGGATGCTTTTTTAGAATGGTCAATGATTAAGTATGGCGGAGGAATAATATAGAAAAGGAAAAGGAAAACTCTGCAATGGTCTAATGTCAAAGAGGGAACAAAAGAAAAGCAGCCTGCTGAGAATGAGACGGGGTTTCTAATGACACCGAAGCAGAGTAAGTTACAATATGGAAGGAAAAAATGTCGAATATCAAGGGTGAGAGAGAGAGAGAGCTATGGTCTCTTCGTATCGCAGCTCTTTTTTTCTGATTCCTCCTTCTTCGACGATGCGTTGAATGAAAGTGTTATGCGAACTGTCGAAAAGAGGACAGGGAGACAAACCAAGACCAGTGACTGATTGGATTCAGTAAGGCGGGATCTGAATCGTGTCAGGGCGGACGTCACTTGACAGACAGGCAACCGGTTTCCGCATCTTTTTTGGATGCATGGATGATGAGGACCAAGGCGGGCCAGATAACAATAAGCGAAACAAATGGCAGGCGATCAGATAGGTTTGCAGAGAGAAACACTGCCTGTCATTTATTATTTTGATGTAGTTCTTGACAAACCAAATGATTATCTATGCATAAAATTTTGAAGGGAACAACCGCATCCACCAATTTCATTGCCTCCATACTACCATAGAATGCAGGTGTAAAAATCATTGTTCCACTTATCTCATCAACATGTCATGCTCCTTGACTATCTGCCATTTATACTATAACAATTCAAAATAATGGTATTCAGGTGCCGAGATCATTACGGCTTGCATGTTGTTCCGCCTCGAGCAACCAGAAAGCTCGATGCCTATCGTGTTGAAAGGATAATCCATGGAAAGAAAACTCCAAAGTCATCAGATGGCCCTCAATTCAGCCGTATACTTGATCCTGGGACATTTATGTTTATAAGTATCAATAATTCGCGCATGTAGGTAATGAAACAATAGATATGCGTGTGTGTGTGTGTGTGTGTGTGTATGGATCCAATGCATTTCTCCGGCAACAGCTGCGTGTTGCCAATCGGTTCACAAATCAGCTCGGGGAAATGTCAATTCTACAGCACTGTTTACTTGCCGAAAGTGGATGTCCGAGACGGAAAAAAAAAAAAAACCAAAAAAAACCAAGTACCAAGCACCAAGTAAAATACACAAGGGAGGCAGCTACAAAGCTGTGGTATGACCTAAAATGCAGGCTACAATGGCACGGAATAAAATGGGTATCGACCCGATAAGTTTACTGGAGATCAAATGCACCACATCAACCAAGTTTGGCCGATCGCATCGGATCAATCTTTGGCTTCATTTCAGTTTGGGGGCAAGGTCAATTGTAAACTGTGTTATGAAGTCTTGGCATCTCATTCATGACATTTCCTTGCGCATAAAAAGTTCTTGGAAACCACGTTATTTAGCCTCTTCACAACCAATCCCGAATCAGAGAACATCGTCATTCCACGTGTTGGGTACTAATCAAATGAGGGGCAAAGGCGGGGGGGGGGGTTTGGTGAGGAATCTTTGGCCGAAATGAAAAACCCGCGATACCTGTATCATAACATTAGGTAACTTGCAGTCATAAATGACATGCATTTCATTTTCGTCTTGTTCTTTTCTGCTATCAAAGAACGCCGAGAGTTCACAACGTGGGATGTCTGCAAAGAAGAAGAAAATTCCCTTGTTACCTGTATGACTTGGTGTATCTAAGCATGATCAACCAAAAAGAAAAACTGATTCCGGTCAGAAAAAAGAAACCAAGCATAATCCGCTTATATTAATTTCCCTTTTTTGTGCTTTTCCTATGTGGATCGGTTTTGGAAAAAAAGGAACCCTTGTACCACCATGGTCCATTCTCAACAGGAAAAAAAATGGCGCGATTCCGTTTATGTTATGGGTGGGCATTGGCTCTTACCCAAGGATATGACCATTTTTGCTGTGCAAGATATAACAAAAAGAAAAAAAGGAGAAAATGGAGTCGTAGAGCAGGAAGAAAAAAAATTCTTGAAGAGCATCTTGTCGCATGCTTCGTTAAGCCGACTCAGGTAAACATATTATTTTATCTGTGTAATCTCTGTGCCCACAAACAGAGGCAGTAACGAGATCGTAAGTTTAAACCCTCCCGCAAACAATCGGATACGCAATGATCCTCTTGCATCTTTCTGACAACGATACAAGGGCCCCACTCCCCTTGTCTACTCTCACTCTCTGTCACTCATTCAAACACTGTTCCTCCTTCATATACTCATAATTGACGATCCTCATTGAAAGAGATTCAATCAATTATTATTCTTTTGTTGAGACTGCAAAATGTATCAGAATCAATGCTTATGATGGCATTTTTGATAATAGCCAAAAAGGTTTTTTCGATCCATACATCGGTTGGAAGCGCCTGTAATATTTTGGTTAGTGTTTTAATCTGATCCAGGATCTGAAACTGAGTCCTTCACGCCAATGACAAACAGATGGTAAATACCATCGGTTTCGTGTTTTCGTCTGGGAACCACGATGGCAAGGTCCTGATTCGGAACGCAATGTACAACAATACGTCACGTAATGTATACTCGATACTTTTTTTTTTCTTTTGTGTTCGAATGCGCCGAACCTCATCAGCAACGACCAAAGCTAACCAAAGGCCAGTATAACCCAAGTTGAATCACAATCACTTCACTATAGAGACGCAAAGATTTTTTTGATCTTATTCTTTGGAACCTCGAAGAAAACAAAAAATCATGATGATCATGCAACTTTTTCAGCGTATGAATTCAAACTGTGTTGCAAAATAGAACAAGGTATGTTTGATGCCGAAAAAATTATTCGTGAGGATCGACGCTCCCCTCTCCTCCCCCAAAAGACTTTCGGGTAACGGACGCATGGCGTCTGTTCTCATTGCCTGTTTTTGCTTTTTCGCAGATGATCGGACTGACCACTTTTTCATAATAAAGAAGTGACCTTTTTATTTATATCGAATCATCTATTACACCGAAACTTTGGATCTGTTATTCATTTCATCACTAAAGAGCCTACAGGATACCATTTTAGGAGTGTTGCAATGAGGCTTTCGCCGTTCCCCTGCGATTCCCCTTCATCTTTGTGTGCGTGTGTGTGTGCGTGCGTATGTCTTTTTGATCTATCCTCGGCATTATCGCGTGGCAAAAAATGTTCAATTGGCATCAATCTGCATTCTCCTCGTGCTTTATTCTTTTATAGTGTTACGTTGGTCCATGGCCACTCTAATCTTTTTCTGGTTAGACAATGCTTCCATGGAAACAAGAAAAAAAAACCATGTTTTAGTGGCAAGGATCTGCATTGATCTACCGCGTTACAGCGTCAATAACAGTAGCAATTCATTTCTGCATATTGCATATGTAGGATCGCCCGACATTTGTATCCACCTGGTACTGATCTTGTTTACTTGTTTTTTTTTTAATTCCTTGCAACAAGATAAATATATAAAGGTTCCTTTGCAAATGAAATCAAACAAACAATTAGCACTTGCTTTTTTTTCTCACTCATCCTTTTTCGCCTTTTCACTGATACACATATATAAAACATAAAAAAAGTTTCTTCTTTATCAAATATGGCATCCGTTCATCAACCACCTATGCTGACTACCTGGTCCTTTGGCAAAAGCCCAATGGCCTCGCCTCCTTACGAAGCTGCCAGCCATCGATCGCCAACCGAAGGTCAATGCGACAACTTCAACCTTGCCAGCATCAATTCGTGCGGTTCCGGTAAATGTACCTGCGATAAATGTTCCGTCAAGCGACAATGGGAAACGGCATCTCCGCCGACCAGCACACTTCCGTTGCGACGATCCAGAAGTATTGGTGCTGATTTGAATACTTCTCGACGATTGAGTTCGGGGTCGGCTTGTGAAACGTGCCGCCGACGCAAAACAAAATGCGATGGTGGTCAACCTTGTGCTTTCTGCATTTCCAAGGGCATCGAATGTGTGCATCGCGCTCCTAGCCGAAGAAAACGATCGCCAGCTTTCGCCAGTGCCAATACATCACCCACCAATGAAACGTATACGGGAGCCGGGATCGAAATTCACCATGATCGACCGAGTCTGATGAAACAAGCCAGTTGCCCATCGTTTATGAATGCTCGATATTCTACTATCACACCTCCATGGACTCCTCCATACCAACCTTATACCAAGCGAACATCTATAGATAGATCAAAATGGCAAATCCCCAGCATTATGGGTATGTAGGATAACTAGTATATTGAAACGTTCTCATCAGAAGAAAACTGACCTTTATCTTTTGTTTTTAGACCAATTATCTTGCCACACCTTCTCAGCTACCGTAATGGCCGCAGGCATGACCGATCATTATCCTCTGGCGGGCTCGTTCCAGCGTATTCATCATGTTCAACCGTTAACCCCTATGAGTGATTAATATCTCTCTTTATTTCTGTTTCTCCATCATTTCTATGTATCATCTTCATTCGCATTCCTTTTCTTTTTGCATATTCTTTTCCTTGCATGATATTCATCCTATTTTTTTTATGTTCAAAGTTTTTGTCTATTGTTATTGTATGCCCCTTGTTTCTTCCATCCTTCTTATGCATATTATTTATTTTTCATGTATTTTGTTCTCAGCTTTGTTCATTATTCTAGAGTCTATTTTTTTTTTTTCTTCACATCCATCCGAATCTTCCCGTTAGAGAAGGCGAAATCTATCATACGTCCCGATGTCACCATTTTTCTATCTACCAACCCTATCAATTCATCTGCCCAACTGACCTTTTACCTATTCGTCTCCCCTTTTTGTTGCCTTAGTTTTCTGAAACCCTAGAACCTCACTTTCTTTTTTTTTTTCCTACGCTTTATATACCGTCGAATAGTAGAACGTTAGAATTACACGATACATCCTCAAATTTTGCTACCAAAAATGAGCATTAAAAAAAAGACTCTGCCATTTATCTACTGTTCCCTTGATCCTTGAAAAAGAAAATTCATTTGTTCGCGATCATAAACCTGAAGCACCCTTGATGGACAAACCGGTTTTTTCATTTACGAATAGTAAAAGATTTCTTTTCCTTTATTCACTTGTTGCAAGTAGGGAGGGATTGACGCCCAAAAGGGATTTTTTTTCTTGTTCAAAGCCGATGTTCAGATTCAGGATAAGTTGAACCTCGAGTTGATTGTCCTAAAATTATGAATTCAGTAGGCAAAATCAGGGATATTACAAGGGATCAATTACCTGGAATGGTATGGTTCACCGCCAAGACCTATGTCAATAATCCATGAATTACCCATTTGACAAAATCTTTTTGCAAGGGGAGCACGGTATCCTTTTTCAGAGATAAACAAGACGAATGAATGACGGGTTCCTAAAGCATCAAATGGAAAATCTTGACTATCTGTATACCTATTATGATCCCCGCGTGTTGTTCGATAAGCTTTCGAGAAGCAACCTGTGGTTGGATTCTTAGTATTGTCTTCATTCTATTCACTGAAAAGTATACGAAACAAATTAAACACACAACATTTCACTAATGGTAAATCGATTCCACTTACTCATTTACCGTTCTGTGATATGGCCCTTCGAGATTGGTTTACCAGTATTCAAAACCGCAATGCATCCGACAGACTACACGTAATCGCAGCCAGCACGATGCTGGGGCTCAAAATGAGAGAAGATCTTGATTTTTGACTCTGATCGATGAAGAGATTACTGGCAACTTTCACGAATACATTTTAATTTATCGTGTGCACAAGCTACGGAAGAGATTATATAAGCTAACCTTTGCGGGCTAAGCTCGTTTGAACAAGCTAATCCTGGGTATCCACATCCATCGGATCGTCAGAGTATTCGATCTCTACACTACAAGAAGCAGCATCCCACCCTGTGCTTTCTTGAGATGCTCCAGCGCTGAGGGGCTCCTGAAAATTGTATCGTATTGTATCGGCATCGGAATCGCCTCCTTCATTCTCCATTGTGTCGAATTGCTCGGCAGGAGGAGGAGCTCCGTCATTTTGGCTAGAGGGATCAGTCAATAAAACAGGCCTCATCCATCATTCCCAGAGCCTGGGCATACCGAATGATCGGGAGTTGATGTGGAACAGTGTCCAGACTAGCGTTGACCCACTGGTCAATGGCATTCATTACCGCACGTCGTTCAACTGCACTGGTCATGTGGACCGACAAGTCGCCGTTACCAAGACATAATAAGAATCGTCATCAGTCAATGTTGATTTACCGTTCAGAGGGCATCACGGCTGAAACAGCGGGAGCGGGAGCAGCAGAAGAATCATCAAGACGCATTAATGCAGATTCGCGATTAGCCATGGTTGTAATGTAAAAACAGAAAAAGATGTTGGGTCAAAAGGACAACGAAAGCGAAAGCATATGAGGCGTGCTGCGCTTATTATCATTTGCTACGCGAGACGTGACGTCTGCAGCAATGTTTCAAATGGTGCTCTGTAACTCTTTTGATCCATATTTCACCATGTATGCCTGTGCCCATCAATGATGCTAAAGTCATACCGTAAGGAAAAGTGGGTTGCAGCATGTCTCTTTTTAAAGTCGTAGTGTTACTTTTATCCGCGCATGTCAATGTCATTTTTATGTCGGTGAAATAACGTGCAACAGTCTCAACATAAACAACAAGCGGGAAATTAACACAGTCATCGGAAGCACTATATTATTAATAAGTTTCTGTAATCCAGTTGATGACCTGCACACTTGTTGCAATGGTGAACGCTGGTAGATCACTGACTGTGGACTGTAAGAATGCATATAATGTGCAGTTCTCCGATAGTAACTCCGTTCCAATACGGGAAACATGCTAATAGACGTTAATCCATGAACCCAGGAACTACACTTTATGCCAACACCACAGTTGTCAAGTCTGAGAGGTGCATCCCCTTTGACACATAAGATAGTATACTCTTGTACCATACCACAAGGTCACTTGGTAGCACTCATTGCACCGTAAGTGCAGTGTATTTATTTCGGCAAAAAACATGATAGTCTTGCTATAGATACACTGCAATAATCCAGCCTAGGTATCAAGATTAATATCGACTGGATTATGGAAGATAGTTGCGTAAGGAGACCTCAATAAATGGTATGTTGTATCATTGATGTTATATACTGCATCTGATATCAGAGGACCGTGTTCTGCCAGACAATGGGGGACTTTCTGTCCAAGTTCGGCTCTGCGGGAAATAGAAAAACAGATGTATTTTCGAACAAGCAATGGCAAAAAAGTTCTTCCTTATACTTGTATCATATGCTCTTATTTATTTGCCATTGAACATGGAAAATTCCTGTTATCGAGCTGGATTGTCATTTTTTGGGGAAACCCACATGTTACTGCAGGTAGAGCGACGGCTCAGAAATCCCCATGAGCCATTCCTAAACTTCAGGGTATACTGGTTCTACAGAAGGTTCTCTCTAAGAACCTGAATCATAAAAAAAGTTGCCAAGATCGCCTAACCGAAAGTGCGGGGACTCAATGCCGATGATACGTCAATGATACATAACAGAGCGGCTTCACAATAAGATTTCCACGCGGAAAATCTTTTTTCACAAGCGTGTGAATCCCATCATTATCCCTGTCCCATAACCAGACCCTGCTTTGAGAGTCTTTTTTTGAGAGAAATATTGGCTGAAAATAGCTGGTTGACGCGATCAAATAGATAGTGTAACAGGAAAGAAAACGAGACGATTTTCTTTCTCTGTTCAACGATCCACCATACGGGGTAGAATTATTCACCGACCGTTTCGGCCATGCTCCGACATCGGAAATTCGCGCTTTTCGCGCATGATGTATAAAAACCAACACGCTGCACGGACGCATCTATCGTCACTTGAAAGAGAACACTTTTTTTATTGTTCGATATGGTTTTCCTGACTAACGCTATTTCTGATGGTAATAAGAGATAAAAACCCAAGGCAAATCGCGTCACAAGGAACATGGAATTGCTAACTGGACCGACTCTTTGCTTCACCATTAGCTCGCCTCGATAAGATAAATGAAAATGGTGAAACGCACCATGAAAGTGTCAATACCACAGTATATGGTACCCATTGGGCCTCCACGGATATTCCACGGTAAGTACTTTTCGAGCACCATATGGATCCATTTTCATCGACACTGACCGAGACGATCAACTGCATGGTTTCTAGTTATGACATGCCAGAAGTAAGCTCAATATCACACACTTATTATTTAATAAACGCAAACTGATGGTTTTGTTGTTGTGTTTTTCCCATTGCCTGCAGGAAGAAATGCCACCAAGTATGTGAAAAGGAAAGGAGCCTTGGAAATAGCCTTGTCAACTAATCCGGGATATTTTTTTCGTAGATGTCGCCTATCGATTAATCAAGGATAGTTTGGCTGTAAGTTGGCGCAGAGAAAACTGCCACATAAACCAAAATCTTTGAGTGTTTACAAAACTTGTTAGTTGGACGGCACCCCTACCTTGAACCTTGCCACCTTTGTCACTACGTTTATGGAAGAGGAAGCTGAGAAACTCATGACCGAAAATATGTCCAAAAACTTTATTGATTTCGAGGAATACCCTCAAAGTGCCGAACTTTCTGTAAGTACCGAACATTTCAAAACCTTGTGTACCAATGTATATCGACTAATTTTTATTTATAATTCTTCACTGTTATTGTAGAGCCGTTGCGTGAACATGATTGCTCGATTGTTCCATGCACCTATGGAGAGCACCACCGAGGAGGCCCTTGGTTGTTCGACGGTTGGTTCGTCCGAGGCGGTGATTCTCGCAACTTTAGCTATGAAACGTCGCTGGCAATTGGCACGTCGAGCCAAAGGCTTATCCACCGATAAGCCCAACCTGGTGATGGGGGCCAACTGCCAAGTCGTCTGGCACAAAGCCGTTCGATATCTGGAGATTGAAGCACGCGAAGTAGAATGTACCGAAGAATTGCTGTATATGGACCCCAAAAAAGCCGTAGACTTGGTCGATGAGAACACCATTGGTGTTTGTGCTATCCTCGGCTCCACGGTAAGTTTGAAAAAGGATTCAATAACCTCTGCAGTGATGGTTCTCATCATCGAGTCGCAGTACACCGGTCATTATGAGGACGTCAAGACATTGAACGAGCTTTTGGAGGAAAAGTGCGCCAAGGAAGGCTTGGACGTCAGTATTCACGTCGATGCTGCCAGGTAAAACACAAAAACAAAAAATGACGCCTAGATAATGTAAAAGATCACTTATACCGTATTTGCAGTGGCGGTTTTGTTGCACCGTTTGTTGTGCCGGATCTCGAATGGTAAGAAAGCCGTAAAAACAGGCATATTGACGCAGTCATTGATCACACTTTATTCCAGGGATTTCCGCTTGAAGCGTGTGATTTCTATCAATACATCCGGTCATAAATATGGATTGACTTATCCAGGTATTGGTTGGGCTATTTGGCGTAGCCCAGATTATCTGCCCAAAGATTTGATCTTCAATGTTAACTATCTCGGTAGCGAGCAGGTAAATTGAAACATGATTGAAATGTAATACCTCCCCTTTATTTTGCTCATTTATGGCTGCTATGACCCGTGATAATAGGCTTCATTTACGCTCAATTTCAGTAAAGGCGCAGCTAATGTGATTGGCCAATATTACGTCCTGATCCGCCTGGGCCACAGTGGATTCACCAAGGTCATGAAAAATTTAACAGCCACTGCCGATCATTTGGCCGATGCTTTGATTTCCATTGGACGGTTTGAAATATTGAGTGAACGTGGCGGACGCGGTTTGCCCGTGGTGGCTTTCCGTCTCAAAGGCAACAACACATTTGATGAGGTAAGCTCAGCCATGGCCGATCATACTCACTGATACCGAATAATAATAATAATAATGCTAACATGGATTGTAACTAGTTTGATTTGGTGGATAAACTTCGCGAACGAGGCTGGATCGTTCCCGCTTACACCATGGCCCATCGTTTGGAGTACATGAAACTGGTGCGTGTAGTAATCCGCGAAGACTTTTCTCGCTCTCGTTGCGAGATCTTGGTCAGAGATATCGTTGCTGCTCTCAGTCTCTTGGATGAATATGATGAAAAGATGATCCAAAAACGCAGGTAAGGGTTGGATGGGTGGGGGAAAAGGGAAAGAATGGAAAGTCGTGTTTCATTGCTTGGAAAGATAAGGGAAGAAAAGAACAAAAAAAAAGATCACTTACTGAAGAGGATTCTTTAGGGAAATTCGTGACAAACATTCTCATCGTTCCAAGTACCGTCATGCTGCCATGCGTATTGATAAATACAGCAATGAGAACCAAGAACCTTCCAAGAAAAAGGGGCACGTCTGTTAGATCAGGTTCAATTGTCATTGTCTTGTACAACCATGTATGATTGTTTTTCTTTCTTTTTCTTTTCTTTCACTGTCGGAGAATAAAAAAGGGCAAAAATTTTGTGACGCTCAGTTTCATTTGACGACCGATCCGCGCCTGGGGACTTTTTGCTGACCTGCGGTGACCCAGCCGGTTGTTTTTTTTCCCCTTTTCTTTTTTCCTTGCTTGAATGTAACAGAGCGTTTATGCCCATCTACGAGAGAAGCCACCTTCTTTCATGACCATCTTACATAACTCAACTACTGCTCATACAATGCAACGAAGAAAACGCAGAAAAATGATGACACGGCGGGTCATAAACAAACAAAAAGAAACTACAGTCGCGTCTCTCGAAGTCGAAGCATGGCCGCTCAAGAAACGTATTTTGGCCAAGATCAAGAATGAACAATTAGCCAATGAAGCTCGCAAGAAGCCGGAAGATGACCCTTTACCTACAAAAGAACGGCTTTTTGAATGTACCTTGTGCCATCGCATGTTCAATAGACGCTACAATCTGAAAACTCATGTCCGTACTCACGATAAGACACGTCAAAAGAAGTATGCTTGTGACCAGTGTGATCGAGCGTTCGATCGCAAACATGATCGGGATCGTCATATTGCTTCTCAACACCAAGGAGTGCGTGCCTTTGCTTGTGACTACTGCAAGGCTACCTTTACGCGGCGGGATGCTCTGGGTCGCCACATTCAGTGCCACGGTATTGAGGCTTTGTCAAAGAAGAAAAAGAACCATTCGTCAGCTAGAGCGAAAGAATCGGAGCAGGTCTGCTATTTCTTTTTATTTTTTGCTGCGGTCACTGGCCACCATATACTCATCCCAATTTTTATCTAGTCAAAAGCCACGTCCGCAACAAACACCGCCACAGGGGATGACCAAACAGACGATAGTCATAGACAAGCACCAGCATCATCGTCACGGGAAAAGTAGTGTGTGTGTGTTTTCCTTTTTTTTCTTCAAGGTATGTTCAAGGACTCAAGTCAAGGAAAAAATCAGAAAAAAAACAGCAAAGGAAAAAAAAATGACCGCAACAAAAGAAAAACAACTGTACAAGATGACGCCATGATCGACCTCTCCGCAGCAAACCGGCGTATTTTTTTGTCTGCACCAATTTGTGGAAAAATAAGGCCTTTTCGTATATTCTTTATGCTCGACTCAAAAATCGACACAACCCACTACGCGCACACACACTTCTTTTCTCGTTTCACACTGAAAATTACGGCGGATACATGCTTTCTCTTTTCGTCCAGAATGACGCAGACCTCAAAATACTCAAAACACACACGCACACATACACACACAAACACCACATGCATCGTCTTTTCCTCAAGCGACTATACCAATGAAAATTATGATAAACATTGATTAAACAATCAAACCACCGTCTATATTCAGTACCTGTGATGAAAAAAAAATTTAATGTTAATCAATGTGAAAAGGGAAAAAATGGGAAACGGTAATCTGAGAAGCAAAAAAAAAAAAAAAAAAAAAAGAGCCAAAAAACTGCGCCCAAAAAAAAAAATCGGCAACGAAGAAAAATGCTTACGTGACCGTGAAGATACTGAGATTTCGCCACAAACAGAGCCGCCTCTGCCACGTCGTCAACTTGACCAAACCTCCGTAAAGGGATGGATTGCAAAAGCGTGTCGTGCTTGTCAGAGTTTAGCAGATGCGCGGTCATATCTGTTTCAATAAAACCGGGAGCAATGGCATTCACTCGAATTTGAGAAGGGCCTAGTTCTTTCGCTAATGACTTTGTGAAACCTGAAAAATAATGATCCTCATCATTTAGTGTGTTCTGCTGAAAAAACTCTTCTCCGTGCGGCAACCATGTTCACTGCATTACCAATGAGGCCCGCTTTGGATGCACTGTAGACTGTCTGTCCTACGTTGCCGTGAATACCAATGACACTGGCAATATTGATGATACAGCCACCTATAGATAGAGGGTGTTGAACTAGCGAATTTATAAATACTATGGGTTATGCGATCTGATGCTTTACCTTTTCGTTTACGAAGCATGGATTTGGCGACATGCTGGGTGATACGCATAGTTCCCAAAAGATTGGTATTGATCGTATCATGAAGATCCTCCAATCTCATCTGTAACAGTAATCCATCACGCGAAATACCTACGCATCGAAAGCAAGTTTAAATTCCTCTAGCCGGCGCGACGCCCGTTATATTTTTGCAAATTTCACCTGCGGCGTTGACCAGACAAGAGATGGATTCATCTTTTGTAAGGGTCTAGTTTATATGAGGATATAAGTCAATTGTATTGGAGATAAGAAACCGACGCTGTCGGTTTACCTTTAGCACGCTATCCACTTGTGTCATGTTGCCCACATCCAGAACGACGCCTCGGTGATGGTTGCCATAATGCTCAATGAAATGCTGTTCTGCTTTTCGAACGTGTTCCGGATTACGACCGATTAAAATGGTCTGTGCGCCTTGCTTGGCAAAAGCATCGGCAATGGCAAACCCAATGCCACGGGTGGCTCCCGTAATGATCGCCGTCTTTTGTGCCAAACTCATTCAAAGGGACAAAAAATACAAAAGTAACAAAACCAGGAGGAGATACAAAATAAACCATGTTAAACAAAAGCAGTCAATATCTGCAACACAGTGAAGAGCCACACACAGGAAGCAATTAACACGATTGGCGTGAACCATTTGAAGATGTGCCAGTAACAAATAGGATAACCGATACAGGTTACAATGGAGGCTATAGTAGCTATTTGTATCGTCTGTCGCGTCCGTCTATCCTGTTGCCAATTCCTGTACGAAGCATGGATCACTTGTAGATAGATAAACGTTGAACATAATATAAAAAGAGCCAACGTGGATATGGAAAAGATGAACCCGCTATTGTGCTCGATATCGCGTCAATAACGTATCTGCGGAGGATGGTTGAATCTCACCTGCTGGGACGGATAGCGGTGCTGGCATGATAAACAAAGAACAACACAGTAGCAGTAGAAATAGCTAATTGCGGTATACAATTCAGAATACGATGCAAAGGATTAGCTGTTCGCGGATGAGCATGGCCTCTCTTATTGTTCATTGCACGTTTCTCTCGCTCCATTCGCGCGTTGGCTTGAAGAAACTGCCCCCTTCCCAAATGCCCGCACTGAAGACCGGAAAGAACCCAGTTTAAATCCCGATATCCGTATTCACGGATTTTTTGACAGTTATTCTTTACAGCCAGTTGAGGTATTTTTTCATTTATATTGATTCAGTCAAAGTCATGCAATATTGTTTGACCGCTTTTACGATGGGTGGATCCAATTTGCATGAGGCATCATATATTGCCGGCCTCAAGGTTCCGTAAAAGATATCTATAAGGATAAGGTTTTTACAAGTGCATATGATGCGGATTAATGCGTATGGTGGCGGATGAAATGCTTCCAAAGCCAGAATGATGTTTATTGTTATTTCACATTGATTTTAAGGTTTTCTGTTAATGATGGCTGTTATCGTATGATTGATATAGTTTATGCACTGGGTTGAAATGCTGTATTGCCGGAATAATTGCGCACGGTCATGGAATCGGACAAGATAGTGTATTGCCATCCTGTCATTTGAGCTCTGCAATTAAATAAATGCGTTAGCTCTCATCGTATGCTTATTCTTTTTCTCGGCATCGAACAAGAAAATTTACCTTGATCCAGACTGAGAGGGTGCAACCAAGAATACGCGATCAAACGAATAACGCTGACTGGTGCTCACTAAAAAACTTGGGATGAGCATTTTCGCTTCCTTTTATGAAGCCCTTTTTTGATAGTTGGACTCACCTTCTGTGAAATCACCATGTACCGTCAGGAATAACAAGACCGGATGCGTCTGTGATCCGGCGGTTTGCCATGCATCCGTCATGAAATTATCGGCACGAGACAAGTCATGAATTGTAGGTGGCAAAGACGCAAATCGCTTCATAATAGCCTCATTGCCGAGAGAAATCCGTTGACCTAGGCATCATTTCTAAATTTTTAGTGAAATTCTCTTTTAGGTTTGTCCCCGATTGCGCTTTTTTACCTTGTCCCCACGTATTTTGTGCCATAGACATACGACTTGCCACCAAGGAGAAAACCGATTGGGGATCATACAGATCCATTAATCCTGCTCGATTCGTATCGTAAAGAGGGAAAAACCTACAACAAACGGGGATCAGAATAATGTGAATAAGAAAACAGGTGTGGTGATAGTTCAAAATTGTATGATAAGGTACCTTGATAATAAGTCCTGTGCTGCTTGTTGCGAAGCATTTTGATCAAAGAAGGCCGATTTCACCGGAGGAAGCATAGGATTGTTCAGTCCAACGGGAGTAGGTGAGGGAGCTGGAGAGTTGGGGTAGGATGACGGTGTCAAGGAATTGGCAAAAGGGGTGGGTGTATCCATTTCGTCAATAGGCAATTGATCAAGCATCGTGACGGATGGGAAACGTCGTTTGATCTCACTGATGGGATTGGAAAAGGGGAATGATTTACTGAGGATTAATATACTGCATTTGCCGACATTTTTTTTTCAGCCCAGGACTGTACCTTTTATATCGCTGACCGTTGTTGTTGTTAGCTAGTGGATTGCCGCGCAAAATCAGTTCTGTCAGTTGCGGTAGTTTATTGTGGCCTAAAGAATCCAAACTACGGAACTCGGCAATGTCATTATCTTCAAACGATAAATTGCGTATGCCCGGAAACAGTTCCGCTATTTTAGCGACCGGCACGAGAGACCAGATCTTGTTTCTTGCAAAAGACAATGTGATGAGCTATAGGGTCCGTGTAAGAAAGACTGGTTAGCCACCGGATCCAAAAAAAGGACGTTCCTTCATGTCACTGTACCTCTTGGCCAAATAATCGCTGTGCTTCCATGAGTAATCGCGAGGCTACGACAGTAATACTGCGTGAAGTAGGGGGTAAATCGTCCAAATTAAGATAACCAAGCTGTGGATCCCAGCGCTCTTGTAAAAATTCTGCAAGTGCATTTGATCGATGTGTAACTTCCGTTCTTGGTGGTCCACCAGCAACACAAGGTCCGTTCCCACTGATGTTCTCAATTGTAAGCTATAAATGGGAGCGCATGTCAGCAGATCAGAAAAAGCCGTAAATACCACTTCCAGACCAAAGAAACACTTACTTGAGAAGCACCGAAATTGTACCCGTTCATACGACATAAATTGTCTGCCACATTTTGATCAGCTACTGTGATGATCATTTTACCCTGTTCGTTTTGAACCTGCATTATCATTCAACAAAGAGTCAGAAGTCATTGAAATTCGATAGTCTATGCCTCATCGTACGTACGTGAAGTGGTTCCCAGGTAACTTTGGCTTTTCTATTCATAAATCCCAGTACTTTTTCTTCTGATCCCGGAGGGTAGCCAGACACCTAAAGACAGTTTAGAAAGAACGGTCCATTTTGCTGTAAGGCAGCAACTCACAGCAATAGCAGCTTGTCCAGGGGCACTATTGAAGATAAAATAGTTTTCATGGTTTGTTTAATTCCAAAAGAGATGAACATTCAGCGTGGCATACGTGCACCTTGAAGCAGTACAACAAAAACAGAAAAAGAAAAGACCTTACATTGTATCTGTTTGCATGTCAATATCTTCATCTGCAAAATTGCGAGTCCAATTCGAACGACCTCCACGACCTCGTCCTCTGGAACCAAAAGTTTGATTTCTGCCGCGACCGCCTCCTCCTCCTCGATTCGCATTAGGGGCATTGTCGTTGGACCATTGACCTCGGCCGCCACTGATACCGCGAATTTGCAAGCCATTTCCTCCATCGCGGCCTCGAGGGCTAGAATTATTGAACATGGCGTCGGATGGAGGCGCATTATGTTTAGGACCCAGTCGTGCAGTAATGGGAAGGTCGGCTCCTCGAGTATTATAGTTGTCATTATCGTAAAAATCGTCTTGGGCAAACCGATTATCGTGATAATGGCCTCGTCCACGACCACCACGTTGATTGCCTCGGTTGCCACGTCCACGACCTCCTCGATGCCAGTTGTCCATGAGTAAAATCCAAAGAAATGACGGTTGATTACGACACTAAAAGACAAGAAGAAAAAATTCACCCGTCAGCGATTTAAAATGAAAAAGGCGAATTGTGCTCTCTCTGTCTTCGGCGGGAGTGACTTTCAATTTTGGGCGTTCAAAAAGTCCCGCAGTCGGTTCCCATTTTTGGGCAATACGGTCTACTTTTTCATTGCTTACCGTTCGTTATATAGGGCATCTTTTTTTTTTTTTTTTTTTTGGTCTTTAATACCCTTTTTTTATACACTATCATTTTATAGAACATGAATTACATGAATGACTTTAGGTGACATGCATTTATCCTATTCGACCGTAGAGGCATTTACGTCACAAAAATGACAGTCGTGTAATGACCCGTTTCTACAACTAAACCTTGAGTATTTTGACAAGCTGCCATTTTTTGTTGTTGTTATATTGTACATTATGAATGCTTTATTCTTTCTTTTTCTTTTTAACTCTATGAAACAAAAACAGCAAAGGACAAAGAAAACCAGTGGACATGTTTATCGTCTTGGTCTAGGCTTGACAACGAATTGATTGGGTCTCTTTCGGGTCTTGCCACCCTTGGCAAGCACACCCCATGGTGATCTCGGATCCTTGTTACCCTTGGATTTACCTCTACCACCACCGTGAGGATGGTCTACTGCGTTCATGGCCATACCACGCACGGTAGGACGAATACCCATCCATCTTGATCGACCGGCTTTACCAAGCATCTCGTGCTGATGATCAGGGTTGCTCACCGCCCCAATGGTCGCACACGCATCCACAGGTACCAAGCGCACTTCACCGCTTGATAAACGCACTTGCGCGTAACCTGTATCGCCGGTTTGAATCAACTGTGCGTAATTGCCCGCAGCACGAGCCATCACAGCCGGTCCGTTGCGCTTCAAACCAATGTTGTGTATAATGGTACCCACAGGAAGCATCTTCAAAGGCATGCAGTTGCCGACATCGATGGCCGCTGTACGGGTAATCGAGTCATCTTCTTGTTGAGTGGCATCCTTGGCCACACTACGGTAGCTGTACAATGTGTCGCCAGCCTTGACACCGTTGGGAGCAACAATGTAGCTTAATTTACCGGTCTCTTGATGTTTCAATAAAGCGATCCATGCTGTTCGTCCGGGATCGTGTTCAAGGCGTACAACGACATGAGCGCCGGCTTCTTTACGGTGCCAGTCAATGATGCGAATGCGGCGCTTGTGTCCACCACCGCGATGACGAATCGTAATGCGACCGGTATTATTACGTCCACCAGAGCTACGTTTGGCGACCGTTAACGAGCGCACCGCTTTGCCCTTGTACAAATGATCACGAGGCACTCGCTTCAACCAACGTTTACCGGGAGTGGTAGGCTTGTATGTCTTGAATTGAGTGGAAGGTGTAGCGGAAGCGTGGGCACTGGAAGCGCCGTGACCTTGTGTGCTGAAACCGGTAATAAAAGAAGGCAATTCTTCGGTGGTGGTTGTCTTGGATGGAGTGTTGGCAGGCACTTTGTTGGCAAAAGAACGCACAGCGTTCCAACGAGTCCACATGGTCGCTGATGGAATGGTACCGGAAGTGACGGTCGTCTGTCGAAGGCATGTTAAAGGCGCCCTGAACGAGGTGTTCAGCAGACGTCCAATTCCAAGTCGCAACATGACGGGAAACAAGAGCAGACTTGATAAGGAAGGAAGGTTGTTACGGCCAAAGAAAATTTCAGGCTCACCCCTCCCCTTTATTTCTCACCCGTCAAAACAAAAAAAGGTCCATCCCAAATTTTAAACGAGTCACAACAAAAAATCACGTGCCACTTTACCTACCTACCAAAAATGTCGACTTCTCTCCCGCTGATTTCAACTTTCTCTCAGCCAAAAAGAGAAAAAAAACGTCAGCCAGTGAGTCATGCTGTGCGATACTTTGCCCTTATTGGCACAGTCATTGAAAACGATTCGAGATAAACCTGTATACGCCGGACGTATCAAGGTAAAATCACTTTTCTGGAATCATGTCCTGTATAGAGGCGTACTGACTGCAAGTTGTTCCTTGGTGACAGAAACTATACGAGGCATCCGCTCGCGTTTTTCGTTCATTACACCTCCTTGACAATCCGGTCCATCGTGCTTCCGCCGTCGACGACAAGTAGGCTCTAATTGAACAATGTCCCTTGGTAATCGGGCTAATACATTTGTCGTAGTAAAACACGACCATCCAATACCATTCGTACAGCAGCTGAAGCCTACACCCGAATTCTCTATGATTACGTCTCTCGTCTGAAATATGTAGGGACATTATTCGCAAGATAAAACAGATTTCCAGTGAATGTGTCTGACTTGGCGAAATATATGTCTAGGAACGTGGCAAAGAAGCGTTATCAGAACGATTCAAGTTTCAAGATATCACCGCTGTCTGGCACCTTTTCGAGATTACACTGTTGCGAGGCGACACTTCCGCAGTACAAAGTCGGCAACTCATGGATTGGCTCAATAAAACGCAAAGAGGCAAGTTTATTTGACAGGGATTGACTATAAAAGTGAGCAGGCTGATAACACTCGTCGTATATACAGCCGATCTGTTAAAGTTTGATATCCAAGGCATCTTCAACTGCTCCGATCCTCTGAATCATCCATTTTTCTGGCCATACGTTTACAAGTGAGTTGATGAATTCGTTGGCCGCAAAAAATATTATCATCGAATGGGTAACATTTCTAACCTGTTGCTGCTGCGAAATTGCTCTAGGCTCGTTCTGCGGTCGGAAATGGATAGCTTAGTACAACTGCTACATGTAGCTGAACGGCGAGCAAACCCATCGCACGACTCACCGTGTCATACACTAACATGGATCATCACGCACATGCCTTCTACACCAAAATATCGGCACAACACGGACGATGAGGCTTTTCTCAGCGAATTCGATACATGGAAGCAAGAACTTGCAAAGACACGACAAAAATATCAGTCCATGTCGTTTTCCACTCCCCACTTCCACTCAAGTCTCTATGCCCTAGACATACTTTGCGGAAATGCGGATGTCATACGAGCATATGCTTCCTCCAGTTTAGAGGCCCTGGTGGCCATCCTCTACTATGGTTACCCTTTATCTACCATCGATACCATTTACCAAGAATATCCTCTTCAAGATGAAGTGATGATGGAAACCAGGTGGAAAGTGTTTGACAAGCTGTTTCAAGGCGATGTCTATGGCGTATTGGAAGAATGTACCGGTTTAGACCCATGGTTGCTGGCTCATATGTGTGATTTACTGGCGTTATCGGGGCAATTGACGGAACCTATTTATCTTCACAGCCAAGTGGACTTGTATCGGCCGGTCAGTATTCGCTCCTTTTTCATCATGGAATATGCTGCGTCTATTTGCAGTCAATCAATATGGCCTTACGCGTTTGATTATCTGCGCACGTGTAATGATATCGGCCAAGAATGCATGAACGAGGTAAGACATGCTTACGCAATTGCAGAGGATCTGGTCCGAGGTGTCTGTTGCTTACTCCAAGTCTTGTTGTTGCAGATTATCAAGTGGGTTCACCCCTCGGACGGGGGCGAAGAAATGTTATTACAACGGCTCTGCGAGGAATATGGTTTAATACTAGACCGCTCGTGATATAAAAAAAATGGTCTTCTTTTCAAATGTAAATATCGAATAACGTGTGAATTTGAACACTTGTAAAAAAATAAAAGTAAAGCCTTCGTTGGTGAATGAAACAATCGCTGCTGAATTTGTGGTCACCGATAGCAAGCTTTTTAACGAGGCGGAATGGTTACATGATTGTAGAATTTGCTATCAGGGTAATGTTTTATCTCGACTTTATGCGTGCACGGGCAGTAGTAAGTATCTGGGATTGAAAATCTACGGCAACGGCTTTGTCATCTCGTTGGGCAGGAAATTGCCGCTCCAAAACCAGTGCGAATAATGCGATTTGACCTTTTTTTCCCTCTCGCTTCAAAAAATGACATCACCAGCTAAAACGAAAAATATCCTAGTTGGAGCGACAGGCAGTGTTGCCAGTATAAAGATTCCAGAGCTCGTGCGATTGTTTAAAGAGGTACACCAACGACTCGTGTAAGCTAAACACATGTTACGTGATGTTGATTCATTGATCGCTCTTTTTTCCCATTAGGATCCCACCGTGGATGTGAAGGTTGTCCCGACTGAGGCAGCACGCTTTTTCTTCAAAGCAGAGGATGTGGACGCAGATATGTATACCGATCAGCAGGAATGGGAGGTGAGCTGGACTGCGGGTCAGAGTTCGAATAGATAACGAGTTATTCATGCTGTCCTATTTAGATGTGGAAGAAAAAGACCGATCCTGTTTTACATATTGATGTAAGAACACAATTACATGGTGATCCCTTGTGTATCAATGCTCACATAAATGCAACAGCTTCGTAATTGGGCAGATATTATGGTGGTGGCACCCTTGGATGCCAATACGTTAGGGAAACTGGCAAACGGACTGTGCGATAATCTATTGGTAATTAAAATGAGAAGAACTGCGACCCTACAGACTTCAGACCATACTGATTCGAGGTTTAACAGACATGTGTATTACGAGCGTGGGATCCGTGTCGCCCCGTGGTTGTGTGTCCAGCTATGAACACAAACATGTGGAACCACCCTTTCACGAACAAGCATTTGGATGTATTGCAAAAGTCACTTAATTTCAATGTTATTGATCCTATCAGTAAGCAATTAGCATGTGGCGATATTGGTAAGTGAAAGGATCGAGGTGTCAATGCAATCCCATTTCATGACACTTGGCTTACAGGTATTGGCGCGATGGCTGAACCAGCTTGCATTGTTCGTGAAGTACTTGCACTTTTGGACAAACCCACCACGCCCAATCTCACGGAAGGTGACTTGATATGATAAAATTAAATGATCCAATGAGGTATTCATGTTTGATACCAAAAGAGGACACGTCTTCTTATTGTAATATATAAAAGCCCCATCTACAATTACTGGATGTTTTTCTTCTTTTCCAAAAGGAAATCGAAAAAGGAAAAAAAAAAAGTGCATGACGTCAGGTGAATTTATTTTTTGTGTGCATTTAGGCAAAACCCACAAAACCCTTTATCCCTACGGCAACACTATCTTGTTCATCACACAATGGCGACCATGCCGAAAATGGTGGCTCTTTTCGATTGCACGGCCGATGATGTCGGCGAAATATCGTTCAAAGAAGGCGACATTCTGGTGGATGTCGTGAAATCGGCCGAAGAAGGATGGTACGAAGGACGTGTAGAACGGACCTCGGAGCGTGGACTCTTCCCGTACAATTATGTAGAGATTTTGACAGAACCACCAGCGTCCAAGCCCATCCCGAGTTGTACATTGTCTGATTCAATGAAGAGTACAAACAGTCCAGCTGCTTCACCTCCGAATTCCACCATTTCTTCGACGTGGTCTGTCGTTTCCGCCAACCACACAGCCAGCAATGAGGCGGACAATGATGCTACGCGAACCCTTGATACGAATAAACCGATTTCAAGGACTAATGCGAGTCTTGATCCATTCGATGCTATTGTTGCGCAAATGCAGTCGCCGGTCAAAGGAAGCAAGCTCGCCGACAAACAACCGCCGTCCTTATCAGTGAACCCCAAACCGAAAGTGTCGGTGGCCAGCAAACCGATCAGTGCAGTGAAAAAAGATCAGGAAACCATCTCATCGACATTTGAACGACCCATGCTGAAATCGGTAGCGTTGCAGCAACCTAACGCGAATATGCGTAGTCGGTCACTGTCTGCTTCGGTTGGTGCGGCGGGTAAAGACAAGCCTGGGGCGGCGCAAAACTTGGAGGCAAGGAACGCTTTGGAGAATGCTCTCAGCCGCAATTTTTCACCGGCTTCCCCTCGGTCGCTTCCCGATATGAACAAGAATGCCGTTGTGCTTAAAAAGACAGGTCTCAACTTGACAGACACCAAACCCACGGAGCATGAGGAGGATGGCGAGGAAATCGATGGATTCCAGATTGTCAAGCCTTCTCAGTTGTTGCAGCGAAAGAAATCCTCATCTACCATGATGACGCCTAAAGTGTCCATCTCGTCGCCTTTCTTGCAGCCCAATCGGTCCACGTCGACCACCTTGAAACCGACGCTTAACTCCAGTCAAGGCGGCTCTCGGCCTGCCGACAGCGACATCAAAACCAAGACATCATCGAAGTTGGAGCAGTTATCGAGCAATCCAGCCCCACGATTGCCATCGAGACCTAGAGCGAGTCGGTCCAATCGAACATCGAAACCAACCTCACGTTCTACGACGACGGATTCCATGTCGAGCACGTCTCCGAAGCCAATGCCATCATCAGCCTCTACGACTTTGGGAGGAAAACTCTCCTCATCGCCACCAAGCACTGACAATTTGGCACGATCGCCTCCTCCTCCTCCCCCTGCTGTCAAGCCAAAACCATCTCAACTGCTACAACCTGCTCTTCCTCAACGTCCTAAACCGCGCAGCTCTTCCAACCCCATGCCCGTTCAACCGAAACCCGCCGAGTTGGTGGGAAAAGCGTTCCCCTCCAAACCACTCTCCATCGCCACGACAAACGGAACCTCGTCCTCTTCTCCGTCACCGGAGGTGAAGGTTATTCGCCCTGTTACCTATAAATCGACCTTTCACCAGGAACCGTCTGGCATCAAACCATCAATGGCTGGACCGGTCGCTTTGCCTGGATTAGCGTCGAGCCAACGCCTGCCTCTCAAGCTAGCCCCCGCAACCCCCACGCGGCCTATCGTAGAGAAATGGCACGCGGCTGCAAAGAGCGACGATGCCAACTTGAAACCCTCGGCGCTGTTGAACAGAGCCCGTTCCGCAACCACATCTGCCCCTTCCTCATCCCCATCGATACCTACGAAACCTGTGGACTTGATCGCTTCGACTGCGCCGGATACCAAACTGAATCTATCGACCCTGCCGGCTAGATCACCCAGTGCACCCGCGGAAACAGTGACCATTAAGCCACAAATGAACGGCAAAGCCATCACCGATTCAGCAAAACCCTCTTTACCGGGTCCAAAGCCGATTGTGAGCGTTAAAAGTAAGAGCAGCACGGCTCCTCGGCCACCTCCTTCGTTGCCACCTAAAACCACGAAACCGGCCGCCGCTGTGTCAACGCAGACACGCTATGAAATACTGTTTGAGGCCATCCATGATGAAGGGTATGTGGATGGAGAAACTGTAAGGATTCTCTGGCGCCGCAGCAAATTGCCAGATGCTGTTCTTGCGGATGTCTGGCGTCAGTGTGATCCTGAGCAGCGCGGTTTACTGGATAAACAAGCGTTCATGGAAGGAATGACAAAGATAGATGGTTTGTTACAAAAAACCCATTAAAGCATGCATCAAGTTTTGTTTCTAGCTCTATTTTTATCTTGTTTTTTTATTATTATTATTTCACATTTTCTTGTTTATCGTTTATTCAATGGTTCTTATGCAGTGGAATGAATTAAGTTACAGAAATGGGCCAAGGAAGACGAAAATTTAGCGCTTCTTGGTCTTTACTTGAATGAATAGTTGAACATGTTTTTTCAGCGCTTTACTGATCTGTTCACGGGCCTGCGCAACTACTTCATTGATCACTGCGCCCTTGTGACCGACAACGATTTTCTGCTGGCTGTCACGCTCGACGTATACATGCTGTTCAATACGCAATGTACCATTTCGTAATTTGGTCCAACCCACATTTTCCTAGAAAAGCAGTAACGTCAGTTCTGTATCCGTGAAATAATTTATCCACTGACAAAGACAGACCTGTTGGAGCATATAAGGTATATAATGATGTAAACGTTTGTAAAATTCGACACGGATCAATTCCTCGACGCGCATGAGATCGGACATGTCGCTTTTCTGATCCAGCGCAAATTCCCATGGCTTTGGCTGAGCAAACGAGAATAATTTCGCCTATCATTCCCACGGTATCAATCAATCATAAGTTGCAATCACCTCCAAATTCCTTTTGACAGGGTACCTTTAACTTGTCCATGTTGTGATCGGTAGTGGCAGAAATGTACAAGGCGTGTTTAATGAAAGGGTAGGATGCTCGATAACGATGAGTGACTTCTTTCAAAGCAGAGTGCTTGTAATCCAACAAATCCATCTGGTGCCAAACATGTAACGTTAGATACATAGGAATACTATAACAATTGTAACTATCGTCTGCGAAAAAGAAGTACCTTGTTGAATACCAGGACGCTAGGAATACGTAAATCTTTCAGTTGCGATAAAAGATAGTCTTCAACGGGTCGAGATCGTTCGTCCAAAGCCCAATGACCATCCACCAGAATGATAGCTGTATCCTTCATATGAGTCAAAGTGTCATTATAAGAAATCATGATCTGCAGCTATTTACCAAAATCGGCTTCGTCCAAAGAGCGTGACCAGGATGTGGCCAATGTTCGGTTCATTCTTGCATGGTTGTTATTGTGAATGATACCAGGAGTGTCAAGGAAGATCTATTGTTCATTGATTTAGGTTGAATGCATGCTTATTTTCTTCGAAGGATAAACGGTTTTCCAATTACCACTTGATAGTTATTCTCTGACAAAACGGCCAGAATGCGCTCGCGCGTGGTGTGTGCCTTTGAAGAGACCACCGAGACCTGAAGATACGAATCAGTTATCGACAATCATTGTTTATCCTTTACAAGAGGGGATTCCACACTTACATCTTCGCCAACGAGATGATTGACCAGTGTAGATTTTCCGGCATTCGCCGCACCAATGACCGCCACCTTGAGAAGGTGTGGATTTTCAGGCTGTTGGACGTCTTTGGCAACCTTGACTAATCGCTGTTTCATTCCTACGCTCCCAATATGCTTTTCTTTAGCAACCATACATCTTTTTCACATTGTCATACCGTATCTCACCTGCAGGTTTCACCATTTTCAACGGCTTCAATATACTCAACAGACTATCCGAATCTTTTACGATGCCCCGTTGGACACTTTTAGACTCATCCACCTCGCTGGTAGCCTTGGTCTCCTGACTGTCAGACTGCTCGTTTGCCGAGGCTGGTTTAACAACGTTATTGCCGTTGACAGCAGTGGCCACCGCTGGTGCTTTATGCATTGAGCCATGATCGACAGGTCGAGATCGATGACTCGGTCGATTGTTCTCGATTTGTTCGCGAGCAGGACCAGTCGTACGCCAGCCCGACCGGGGCTGTTTATTGTTATCTGCATCTCGAGTGGTTCGTCGCAATGCAGGTGTTGATCGATCGTGCGGTTTTTCAAGCGGTATACCGGCCTGACGTTTCGCTCTCGACATGATCGCATAAGATCGTGAGCAAAACTGGATCGCCACTACAAAGATACCCAGTAAACCATATGCGCCAAGCGAACTCCATGGTAACAGCACTTACTGCAGTTATGCAAGCGTCCATTGCCACCGTGCAACCACTGTATTGAGCGATTCATTTTTGCGCGGATTAGCCAAACAAACGCAAATAATCAACCGCAATTGCTTTGCAAACTTGGATGCGGACATTAAAAATTTTAGCAGACAGTGCTTGCAATTCTTTTGACGAATGAACTAAAGCAGCACTATTCACAGGGTTTTAAGACAGTCGATAAATGCTTAAACTAATAAAGTTTATAGTGTGGCATGTGTTTTATACCATGGAAATTTCTAGAGAGATATAGATGCGGTCTATAGTGAAATGCAGAGAGTAATGTGGGTGGGTGTAGGTGGATGAGTAGGGTGGGAGTGGATTATTTTATGCAGAAGATGTTACTTGCTGTTCTGGTGGAGTAGGGGATACAGGTTTCTGTGCAACCACTTTCTTTGGCTTGGCCGGTTTGGGCATTTGCCATAGCTCTCCTCGACCACACAGTGTCTCGAGTCCTAAACCGGGGCCAATATCCATGAGTGGATACACTTGATGCATTAATGTGTCCATTTCAGATGGCGTGAACTTGCTGAGTACATAATCAGCTACAATATCTGGGGATCGGTTCCCAGCATCGGTCGGTGGACGACCAATACCTATCCGTACTCTTTTGAATTCATTGGTTCGTAAAGACTGAATGACGGATTTGACGCCGTTGTGTCCATTTGCTGATCCACCGGTTTTGATCGACAGTTTACCCAGGACCCGTTCCATATCATCGTGGAAAACATAGATCTCTGATGCTGGAATCGATAATTCCCGCACTATAGATGATTATATGAGTTGCATTGAGCGTTTGCGTTCATATCCACATCCCAAATTTGTACCTGCTTTAGCAACGCTGGGACCACAGACATTCATCAACAATCGAGGCTTTAACAATATTAAGGAAATATCTTCGTAATGGCTTTCCTTATTCTTGGTTACTTGAATCGTCAATTGTGTCTGTGCCATGTGGGCTTTCCAAGCTCGATGAAGTGTCCAGGTAAGATTCAGCTTTGAAGCGACATGGTCGAGCATCATCATGCCCACATTATGTCGGGTATTGGTATGTATATAATTTCCCAGGCCAACAAGCTTTAAAAGCAACGGTCAGTGGACTGTTTATTGCTTTTTTATAAGGTCCCCCAACCAGAACTGCGCTTACCAAAACTCGCTTTGAATGCATAACTACGAGACAAAGAGGCTGGTTGCCTCAAGGCACTTGATGCTTTTAATGATCATGTGGCTTGTGTTGCCTTTTTTGGAAGTTCCTATTGACCCCGATCTCACCAGATACTGCCCCTTTGATCCCTGCACCGTTGCCTCCATTGAATACACTACCACGTCCTGTTAAAAAAAACAAAGACCAGTTTATTACAAGGATGCGTATGCTAAATGGTAAAATGATATCACTTATAGGCAACCATAAAAAACGCAGCGGGGATCTTGCCGACCCAACATCCATTGTAAAGTTATATTATTTGAAGCGTCTCGGTTACAGTTTTATAATATAATGGACATCATGACATGCTTTTGAATTTCATATTCAACTCATTGGTAGCGAGAATAGTGATACGTGCAATGCGGCATATATATTAGATTTTGACAGCTTCGTGTCGAGGAGTTGAACGGGAAAAAAGTTTTGTGCTCCGCCGAGAGAAACAGTCACGACGTCAGTGCTGGGTCGTCGAGAAGGTGGTCGTCCACGTTTTCTCGAGTGGTCTCAGCTGGCGTTTTGAACCGATATCCCATACAAGATGCAGGCACCCGTCATCGTAATGAGTAAGTCGACGATTCTGCTGTGGTATGTTATTACATCCGACTTACCGTGTGTTTGTCAGACACCAACATGGAGAGAGAGTCTGGCCGTAAGGCTCAGCTCTCCAACATTACAGCAGCAAAGGTAAACCAGATGAACACTCATCTTGCTTCGGGGGATGAGTAAAAATAATACATGCCCGAGAATCATAACATAAGTAAAACGTGTTTACTCATCACTTTTTTTATTTAAGACTGTCTCTGATGTTATTCGTACATGTCTCGGTCCTCGATCCATGCTCAAGATGCTTCTTGATCCTATGGGCGGTATTTTGTTGACGAACGACGGCAATGCTATTTTACGTGAGATTGAAGTGAGCCATCCTGCTGCCAAAAGCATGATTGAGCTTTCCAGAACACAAGATGAAGAAGTCGGCGATGGCACTACCAGTGTCATCATTCTTGGTAAGCTGTCATTTTCCGTTTTTTGACACGTACAGGTCGAGATGAGGAGCTTTTTTGGCTTTCGGCTTTGATTTTTTTTTTTTTTTGACACGTAACTAAATTTTCCCAATCTCCTCCTTTTTGCTTAGCTGGTGAGGTTCTTGCCCGTGCTTTGCCTCATATTCAGAATAATATCCATCCGATCGTCATCATCAGTGCTTTCAAAAAAGCGTTGGAAGATGCCTTGCAGATTGTGGAAGACATCTCGGTTCCTGTCGACGTCACCAATAACGAGGAAATGTTGAAACTGATCAAATCTTCCATCGGTACCAAATTCTCAAACACATGGAGTGAATTGATCTGCAATCTCGCCTTGAATGCAGTCCGAACTGTTGCCTTCAAGGAAGAAGGTACAGGCCGAACTGAAGTGGATATCAAGCGTTATGCTCGTGTGGAAAAGGTAAAAATGAGAATAGTCTATTGTTGCGTCTTTTTATTTTGGAGGAGGAGAGTTCTCTTTGGCATGTTGTTGCTGACAAAAAATATGATGCGTCCATAGATTCCCGGTGGTGAAATCGAACAGTCGGAAGTACTTGATGGTATCATTCTGAACAAAGACGTCACGCATCCCAAAATGCGTCGTCGTATCGAGAATCCACGTATCGTCCTCTTGGATTGTCCTCTTGAATACAAAAAGGGTGAATCCCAAACCAACATTGAGATTTCCAAGGAAGCCGATTGGAACCGTATCCTTCAAATCGAAGAAGAACAAGTCAAAGCCATGTGCGACAAGATTATTGAATTGAAGCCTGATTTGGTCTTCACCGAAAAGGGTGTTTCTGGTACGTTGGTGACACTAGCCACCCAATTGCGTGACTCAAAATTCGTTAACATGTCCTTTTGTTCTGGCCCATAGATCTTGCACAACATTACTTTGTCAAGGCCAACATCACAGCCATTCGTCGTGTCCGCAAGACCGATAACAACCGTATTGCACGCGCTGTGGGTGCTACCATTGTCAACCGCGTGGATGATTTGCGAGAGTCGGATGTCGGTACCAAGTGTGGCTTTTTCAATATTGACAAGATTGGCGATGAATACTTTACTTTCTTGACTCGATGCGAGGATCCTAAAGCCTGTTCCATCATCTTGCGTGGTCCCAGCAAAGATATCATCAACGAAGTCGAGCGTAACCTGCAGGATGCCATGTGCGTCGCGCGTAACGTGTTTTTCAATGCCAAGTTGGCCCCCGGTGGCGGTGCTACCGAGATGGCTGTGTCTGTAAAACTTGAAGAAAAGGCGAAATTATTGGAAGGCGTTGAGCAATGGCCTTACCGATCCGTGGCCGAGGCCATGGAAGTGATTCCCCGTACTTTGGTGCAGAACTGTGGTGGCAATGCTATCAAGATCTTAACACAACTTCGAGCCAAGCATGCCGCTGGTGAGCATTCCTTTGGTATTGATGGTGAAGCCGGCAAGCTCGTTGATATGAACGATTACGGTGTTTGGGAACCCAGTGCTGTCAAGGTACAAACCATCAAGACCGCTATTGAGGTAAGCGTGCCTTTAAGAAAAGACTTGTCATCCATGTTCCTTTTTAACACTGATTTTTGCCTTTCTAGTCGGCATGTCTGTTATTGCGTGTGGACGATATTGTGTCTGGTATTTCAAAGAATAAGGGACAAGGTCAACAAGGTGGTGGCGGTGCGCCAGAGGGTGCTGAGGTAAGTTGGAGATGGTTGTGCAAAATTCATGATGACGATTTTTTTTTAATTGAAAGCAATCTTATGTTTCACAGATGATGGAATAAACCGACGATAAACATAAAAAAAGTACAAGCGATTTCACAATAAAATAAAAAAATTGGGATTCAGTTTTTTTTCATCAGTTTCAGATCTCTTTCTTTGCCCTTTTTGTGCAAGTTTTCTAAAAGAGGAGAAAATACGCCTAAAGTCATCCTCCCTTCCCTCGTTTCTCGCCACTTTTCAACCCAAATAGAATGAGTCGCAAATACGACATTGCTATCTTTGGCGCCACCGGTTTAACTGGCAAATACATCGTCCAGCATGTGTATGAACTCAGCACGCAACAACCCGGATACTTTGCCGCCAACTTTGAGTGGGCCATTGCTGGAAGAAACGAATCAGCACTGAACAACATTATCGATGAATACTCGGCCAGATACCCTCGCGCTTCAGTTTCCCGTCCTGCAGTATTGCTTGCTGACGTGACGCGACGGGATTCGCTCGATGCCGTAACGCAGCAATCAAAAGTACTCATCAATGCCGTCGGACCTTTCCGCTTCATGGGCGAATATGTAGTCCGTTCATGTGTCGAGCAAGGATGTGATTACGTCGATATTACTGGTAATGTCCGGGGCCCCACAGATAATGATATGGCACATATGGAGTGTAACTCGGATGGGATTTTCTAGGTGAGCCCGAATTTATCGAGCGCATGCAACGGACATATCACGATCAAGCAAAAGCGAAAAATGTGACCATTGTTCACGCATGTGGCTTTGATAGCGTAAGACTTGGCAATAACGACAGAAAATGGGGAAAAAAGAGATGCTAAGGGGGAGTTCGCTTTATAAATAGGTGCCGAGTGATATGGGCGTGATTTGGCTCAAACAAGCGTATCAGGCTCGAGGTTGGACCCCTACTCAGATTGAAATGTTTCTTCGCATCCACACGGGTCCCGCCGGCATGCGAGGTGGCTATGCCACATACGAGTCAGCCGGTAAGTGAATGAGGACAGGTTTGGGCGCAGAGTAACAGCTAGTAGCTGATCGATTTTTTTTCATGGTCAGTGCATGGATTCAGTTCAGTGGAGCTGCTTCGAGAAATCCGAAAAGCATCCAATTTGGCTCCGTTACCGCGTGTCAGCCCTGATGACCGTCTGAAGTTTCATAAAAGCTTAACATTTGATCAACGATTGGGATACCATGTCCCTTTTATGTTCGCCGATCCGTCCGTGGTGCGTCTGTCGCAGCAACTCTTCCTAACCGGCTATGCCACCAAAGAAAAAGACAACGATGCCTTGCCAACCGTGCAATTTGCCGCTTATCTTTTGTTACCGTCACTCTTTATTGCCATCTTGTACCATATCTACGGGTTCATCTTTTCACTCCTGGCCCCCACCCCATGGGGACGTCGCTTGCTGCTAAAGTATCCTGAACAGTTTTCCGGTGGTCTATTTTCCAAACAGCACCCTACCGAGGACCAACTGAATCAAACCAGTTTCGAAATGATCTTGCGTTCCAAAGGCAAGACTACGAATGGATCCCCGGAACAAGTCAATTTACTTGTACGCGGCCCTGAACTTGGATACGTGGCAACGCCTCGTATTGTATTACAATGTGCCTTGACTATACTCAATGAGAAATCAACATCCATCTCGGCCGGCGTACTCACTCCCGGGGCCGCGTTTTGGCAAACCGATTTAATTCGACGCCTTCGCACCGTTGGCGTCACCTATGACGAACAATGTCCTCCTGTATCTTGAGCGAAAATGCGGTTTGCTACTATTCCATGCATGTGTCAAGGACCCGATCCCATTATGAAACAATAAAAAAAAATGGATAAGCAAACTACAAAGTGACGAGTGTCCTTGGATTGGGGGTTATGCCTCCGTCAAAAAGATTTATCAGATATTTAACATGAATCCATGCTGATACATTGCTCGATTGTGCTTCATTAACCCAAAGAAGCTGATCAACTACGCCTTCATTGTATGGATGGTTTTTTGGGACAATGAGCATCGCGTTTTGCAGAGTTTTTGGATTTTGTTTTCGAGAACACGCTGACAATACAACAGGTAAACTAGGCAATACCATGGTAAATGGATCAATCAAATGTACTTGTCAGGATATAAGACGCTTGTTTAATCTGGGGGACAAGTCGTATCGGCCAATCAGATGGCTTTTGCAATGTCGAAAACCGCAAAGTGCATCTGTGAAACCATCGAGCACAAAAAGTGATGCTTAAATCGAATTTGCTTTAGCATACAATATTATAATAAAAGTGGGAATTAAAAATTATATAAAGTGACTCCGAAACTGAGCAATGTCATTAAGTTAAGTTTCTTTTGCATCAACCGCACTGGCAGCATTTAATCGATCACAAAAGGTCCCCAACCTGATATCGTGAAGGGGAGCGGAGAAGGAGAACTCAATTTTCAAGAGGAGACAACGCTGATCCTGCAAGTCCGTTTATGCGAAAATACAACACATCGTAAATGATACCCAAGCTAGCGGTGCTGTCAACTGCGCTGACGCGTGTATGCATCGTTTACATATCCATAAGAGCATCTTTTGGCGCAGCCAAAAGACATTCTTTTTGCGGCATGCTCACATGTGTCGCAATGGCTTTGGTCATTGCTGACTCTGACTTTGTCGCCATTGCAACATGGAGCATTGAAACTGACACCCTGGTTTCTTGGAGTAAAATGTGAACGTTTATTGTCACAGCAGTATTGGATACACGGTTTTAAAAACAAAACTGATAAAAAGGGGCAGGACAAGGTAGAGAAATTTTCTACCATACGAAAATAAATGAATATGTGTAAAGACTGAAGCATTTCGCAATCAAGAGTCAGCCATAGTCTATACTGCACGCTATAGAGTGACTACAGTGCACGTGGGTTGCTCATGGCAGCATGAGTAACATGGCGCAGCTCCTCTTTGCATTCCTTACGCGAAAGAAGAGTGAGGCGCTGAATTTCGCGAGTTTTGTTGCGGGAATCGAGCCAATGAGGTGCATTCGCGGTCATAAAGCAAGGTCACAATCGAAGGTCCTCGAACGATTTTTGAAAAAGATATAAAAAGGGGGCGTTTCTTCTCATCTCTTTTTTTCTTTTGTGCGCCAGTTCGGAATCAGGGGCTGCTAGGCTGGTGGTTACTGGTAATGATGAACGCTCCGGTTTTTGGTAAAGCATTCGGGGTATGGCGAAAAATCCGAAAACCATCCTCTAATGATAGGATTGGCCATCCTCTGAAGAAGATTGTTTTCGTTCCCGTCGGCTCTTCCCTTTGGGCGCCTGACTAGTCATCAGCGCGGTCATTGTGGAAGGTATGTCGGTGGGTTTGCTTTTTAATCGCAACAAAGGTAAATGAAAAATAAAAAAGGCTTTTTGCCTTTATTATTCTTTTTCTCAGCCCTTTGTGGGTTGAATAATAAAATAAAAAGTGGGCTTAATGTCCTGTGGACTATGCCACTTCATGTAAAACTAAAAATAAATGAAAAAACTTTGCTTTTCCTTTGCAGTACGGTCATTTTCGGCTGGTCCATTTCTTGGCTTAACAAACCGCTTTGACGTCGCTTTGGGCATTCAAATGAAAAGAAGGCAGATAATTGAAAAGGAAAACGACTAGCTTAGCGTAGAAAGACATACAGCAGGATAGACCTTTTTAATTTGTTTGTCGTTCATCTGTTCTCTATTGAATAAAGACGTCCAATAACCCCTTCTTGTCCAAAAACCGTCCTTTTTATTCGTGTTATCTGTCTGCCGCAGCTCACTCTCGACCAGGCCACTTGGTTCAGTTAAGGTCAAAGTGGCCTATTGCTGATTGTTTCAACAGAGGGAGGAAGCTCTTGGCACCATTATCGTCAAAACGGTGGTCCCGCAAACGCAAAACTGAGTTGCCGGCATTAGCTCAACAGAAGTACTCGCCGATTGCCTTGAACTCAACACTGTGATGATTGTCCTCATTGTGCTGGCGGTTTTGGAGCACGACGCTTGTGTTGTAAGGATAAAGTATCATGTTTCCAAAAGGCTAGACAATAAATTGAAGGTGGAATCAACAGCTGCTGCATAGGGATGTAGCTTTCAGGCAGCGTCTGAGATGGCGTTCAGAAGAATCATCAGATGCAGGTCTCCTAATGATTCTCATTCCCATGAGAGACGCGTTTGCTCAGCAATTGCTACCAGGTCAACATGGCAGCTAGAGATATTCAAGGTCATCGGGGTTCCTGGTGGTGATGGTTTAGAGAATGAAACACCAGTCAAACAAACTTTCCACAAGGTTGGATACGGAAGCTCTTTGTTATGGCTATTGTGTAATTACATGTTGCGCCGTCTTATATGATGGATGGATAGAGGGATCGTATTTTCGTTATTCATTCTGTCAAGCAACCGGATCCACAAAATACGAGACACTTTGAGCCACGACAATCATTGGCATCCCGAACAAATTGAAAAAGGTAGCCTAATATATTTGAATCCCGGGAAACCAGACACCCTTTCTGTGTCATGCGATTGTTAGCTAGCTTGAGAAATAAACTTTCTCCAACGGATAGATGGGGGCTTCTCCTTCTACGCCTAGCCTTTTTGAAAAGAACTGATGCGAAAATCGATTCACAGGCCGACAAGCAAGATTCGAAAATGATATTTGGACAACGAGTCCTACCATCCGAAAGAAAACGTTGTTTCGGCGCGAATAGATAACACGACAAGGCTAAAGGCAAATGTTGAGCAGTGTAACCCCCATAACGCTTCGATCCATAAGCATTACCACCTGTTTGGATTCCTGATAATGTAGGCTGTAAAGTACTTCGAATTTTCCAATATTACCACGTACAGACCGCTTAGGCAATACGCCATGAATTTAAGTTTATGGCTAACTATTTCTGAATGCTACGCTTGGATTTTTTTTTTCGAAACTCCTGGAGAAATCGCAGGGCGGTTTGTGTTTCGCTATATGCTTCAAAGTTTAATTGATCATGTTCCGTGAGGAATGAATTCAATTCAGTCGAGTGAGCTAATATGGAGCATGTTAGTTTGATATCAGTAAAAAGAAGCAGTTATCCAAATCCATAGCACGGTATGCAAGACTTTCCAAACTGGTACTGTTACTGTGGCTGTGGCACCCAAATATGGTTTATTTTACCATAAACGGCAAATAGCTTGCTTAATTTTTTGCTGCATAATGGTCAATAGGATTATGAAACCATTCAGCACGGTAAAAGCTTAATTATTTAAGCTTGCTAGGTCATAAACGCATTAACTTGGGCAATTAATAGCTTGGCAGCCGTTGATGCGGTATACTTCAAGTCCAAATAAAGTTCTCCAAATTTCACAGGCTGTTACCAAATGTTGCCGATTCCCTTGTCTCTGTCGAATCTGAGCAAGCTGGGTGAGAAGCTGCACATCCAATTGTAATCTTGACGCGTAACTGGTGGCAGATCGAGAGATCGATATTGAAAATCTTTGCTTTTACAACATTTGGGCGCAGTCGTTCAAGTGAGTAACCCGCCGCTTGGGTGCAGTATTGATTCAATCCGTCCCGAAAACGCTCTTTCCAAAATTATGCATACTTTTGGCATCAACATTCCTGATGAAGAAAGGAACCGATTTCAAATCTATTATTTTTTAATGGGAGCAATTGAATGCATTATAAAAAGATAGAAAAACTATGTGGCGCAGACTTCATAACGTCTACTGTATGGTAAATTGTTAATAGGGATAAAAGAAAAAAGAGAAATAAAAAAGGTTTATAGAAAGGGACAAAGGGTAGTAAGCGGTGATGGTGAACGCATATATACACAAAAAAGCGCAGAGGGATAATAAAAAATAGAGAAAAAAAAAAGGAGGTTTTTAAGGGCAATTGTCGACCAACTTGTCAATGCAAGAAGCGACAATCACATTGCCCTCGACGTTGCCAATCTTCAAAGCAGCTTGCAAGATAGCCGAGATACCTTGACCAGCAATCATACCACCAGCAGCACTGTACATGAGATTGTCGTAGCTGTTGCGTGCGAATCGTTTCCAGATCTTGCCAAAGATCCAACCCAGGAGCATGGACAAAGGCACTTCGGGGCTGCTGTTGATCATGGCAATACCGATAGCGCTCATGGAAGGGAAGAAACGATGATACTTTTGAGGCAACAGGAAGTGACGGAAGAAAGGACCAATCACCGCCACCACAGCACACACTGCAGTGACAATGATACAAGCACGCGACAAAGGATCACCACCACCGGTCAAGAGCTGAGTCACCTTGAGCCAAGCAGTCACGGCAATAAGACCGAATTCACACTTTTCCTCGACACCCGGAACAGGAATGGACGTAATACAAGGATAAGCATCAGCGAAAAGAATAAACAGACCGACGGCGATACCAATAGCGAAGAAGGAAGCGATAAATTGAGCCCAGAACTGGGAACGAGGCGAAGCACCGACCAATTGACCCGTCTTCAAATCACCGACCATGTCGACAGCCTGAGAAGCGGCCGAAGCAGAAATGTTACCGGCCATCAAGTTGTTCTTTTGCACCTGTTGGAGCGAATCGGCCGGCATCTTGGCAAACACAAGCTGGGACATTTTACCAATACTACCGGTAGGATTGATATCCGTCTCACCAGCTGCTTGAATACCGACAAAGGCAAAGATAAAACCAAGAATAACTGCTACAATGGACTGGTACACGGGCATACCAAAGTATTCACCGCAAATAGCGCAAGTGAAGATAATGGAAATGAAGGTACCGAGAATCCACCACCAAGCAGGCACCAATTCGCTGTCGCTGAAGATTTCATCGGGATCACGCTCCATCTCGGTGTGCTTTCTGTCACCATTCTGATGACCCATCAGAGATCTGACCTTGTAGTAGCAATTGACAGAAGCATCACGAAGTCCGAGAATACCGCCCTTGATACCACGCCACAAGGTGTCGTAACGAACCAACATTTCCGCAAACGAGGAAATGACCATCAGAGCAATACCGGGCCACAAATAGAAGGATTGTGCAGTATCACCTTCATCTGTGAAACCATACGCTTTGACGAAATGACCTTGGACAACCATGACAGGACCGATCACTCCGTACAAAAGAAGGGTGGCAAGGAAGAATGTCACACATGTCGAACCGGGAGTCATGAGACCAGCACCCCAGAATGGGAAATCGAATTTGAAGTTCCATCCCCATGTGGCATCAGCACTGATCAAGGGAGTATAGCCTGCGGCGTTACCGATATACCAGAGAATGTGAACTAAGATGACATGGGAAAATGTTGTGTGAGTTGGAGCGGATCGGAAAAACAAGGAAAAAAAAAACATTTAAAAAAACGCGGCGGCGATCGAATCGGTGCCACAACACTTACGGGTATCAAAGAAAGGAACAAAATAGGCAATCAGGGTCCAAATGAATGAGATGGCGAACCAGAGAGCCATCCATTTGGCTTTCTTCATGGCTTCCTGTTCACCTTCGACGGAATTGTGGAGAGAGATAATGGTGGTGGCGGCGGCACGAGGGGTAGGGAAAGTCAAGTCCTGCTTGACAACGAAATGGTTACGAAGGGGAACGGCGAAGAACAGACCGTAGAATGCGGCGGCGATGGTGAAAAGGACCAAAGCGGCAGCGTCTTCACGAGGCGTGGTCATTAAACCCAATTTGTACATGGCAGGAATACCGGCCACAAAACCAGCGGAAAGACCACCGGCTGTGGTAGCGGCCGACTGAGCCGTACAATTTTCCTTGGGACCAAAGTAGCCTCCGCCCCATCGAGGAGGGAGGATTCTTGACATTGGTTTGAGGATGGCGAAAGAGAAAATGGCACCAAACAATGATGCACCGAATGTCCAACCAATTTTCAAGCCGAGGTAGGTGTTGGATGCAGCTAAAAAATAAGAATAGGCATGAATATCCATGGCACCCGTAATGGTATTACAAAACTGAACGTACCAACAACACAGCCAAGCAAGGCTCCAACAATGGAAGATCGCCATGTAAATTGACTTTCTTCAATGAAATTGACACCGAAAGGTTGATCGTCTTTGATCACGACTTGTTCTTGGTGGTCGACGACGTCTTCAGGCGTTGATCGCACTTCATATTCGATTTTTTCATCATTATAGCTGGCAGGATATTCTTCCTTCATGGTGAAAGAAGAAGAAGAAGAAACAGCAGAAGGAACCGGACGATGGGAAGGTGAAGGAAAAAAAGTTGCAGAGAAAAAAAAAAGGAAAAGAAAAGAAAACGGTTATATAAACAAATATATAAAAAAAAGAGAGTTTGTGTCAAATAGAAAAAAAGGCGGCAAAGTGCAGATTATATATACAAATGTATGCGCATGGATTCTGGTCCGACTTATCAGAAATCACAAAAAGGAGATCTTGAAGATGCCAAAAAATTGTGTGTCATTGCACCAATCAGCAACTGACGCCGTTTGATGGTAAAGACCGTCATGTGATAACGGGTGGTCAACCCATCTTGAAAAAGTAATTTTCGCACGATGGTGTGCGCAAAAAAAAAAAGGTGAAGCATCTGGATTTCCTTTTTTGGCTGTTCCCTAGCAAGGAAATTCTGACCGTTTATGGTATTTCCTCCGGTTATAGAAAAAATATTGAATACCCGAATTCGTACAAATTCTTTCAAAAGAGGATGGTATGGAAGGCAAAGAAAACCATTGGCAGCAACGCACACCATTTAGCCCAATTGAACGGGTGCTACCATAAGTGGACCGTGTTGCCAACGGTTACTTTACCCTTTCCAGCTTTCCTTCACCATGGCTCAATGGGAAACTGGTCGGTTTCCCTTTGATGACTCATTTTCCCAGTTCAACACGGTCCGCTATCTTCAAGTAAGAGGTTGGTTATCGGACCCTGGATTTCATGTCCCGGGTTCCACATTTGGCACATATTTCCCCTTCTCGTCCGATCATGTCACTCAAGGTTCGGTCCACGCATCACAAATACTGAAAAATATCCCACGCAGAACCGATCCATAATACCTCTTGAAAAAATCCCTCCTGGCTATATGCAGTAGTATTGGATCAATCTCATTTTAATCACCCAACTTTCTTGTCCTTTACTAAAATACTATATACTTCCATAAATGGCGATTGCCTTGTCTCGGATTCGCGTTCATTTGTCTTTCGGGATTTTAATGACTAAGAAAATTCAGGAAAATAGGGATTTCAGGATTCGTCAGGCCATTTCAACGTTTTGAGGGAGATCGAAACCATCCGAAAAAAAAAAAAAAAAAAAAAAATAAGGACGAACGACGCTAGTCCTATTGTCGCTAATTCGATTTGACACCGCCATGTGTGATTCGTGTTCGTTTGTGAAATTTCCTTTATCCGAAGAATTCATTATCTCTTTCCGGCACGGATTCGGAAGAAGAGTGGCATGTCGTGGAAATAATAACCATGTTTGTAGAAATTCGTCGATCGCATTTGTCTCGGTTAGTGTATTACCCTGTAGTAACAGGTAAATTTATCTTGTTACGGTAGTGTTTATCATTGCATTGCGTGAAAAAAACCAAAAACAAGACACCTGAGAATCGTAACGTGACGCCAATCGTAAAAACCGGGATCCAGTGATAAAACGTTGAACAATAAAAAAAAATTGTCGGCAACTCGGCACATGATCCTTGGGTAACTGAAATTTCCTTTTTAGATCGATTGATCGTATCTCGTTATCTTTTTCACTCTCCTTGGTTTCTACATCTATAATGTTTATATCGGTACCCAATCATATGAATGCTTTCGTGACAATACAACCACATGCATGAACGCTGATAGTTGGACTTGGGGAACACAGTGCTTCATTGACGTTGCCCAGCATTCCCAGCCTCTTTTCTTGTGACACGCCTCCTATTTTGTTTAAGGGTGCATTGACATTCATAACCAGAGTTATGAAGGATGGGTTACAATCTCTTCTTACATCCGCTGTTTCCACTGTCCGTGTCCTCGGTTCGAATTTCCCCTACCCTTACATAATGCGAGTATTGACAGCTTCGAGGGTATTGATGATTTTGAAAAACCATTGCTATAAGCATTGCACCTCAGGGCATCTATACAGAAAAATTTGATGGTGATTATAAGTATAGTGAACAGACGTACTGATTTTAATTGGTGAGTGTGCTCTTTAATCTGCAGGATTGTGACTGTCTTTTCTCCAAGGACGCCACCTGCAATGCGGCCTAATTTTTTTGATCGAGGCGTGGAAAGTGTTGGCTGGGAAAGATCCGATTACCTTCCTTTTTTTTCGATTGGGATCATGAGCGCTGAAGATAAAGAAAAGCAAGATTTGTTTGGATTGGAAGAAGAAGAAAGTGATGTCGACTCGACCGCTGAACAAGACGAAGTAGAAGATAGTCGTTTTAGTTCGCATCGATTACGATCACAAGCATTTGGCAGTGGTGGCGAAAGCGATTCGGACCTTGATGATGATTCCGACGCAGATCTTGAGCACGAGAACATGGGTGAATCGGGCGAAGAGTCCTCGGACGACGAAGGAACCGAGGAAAAAGCGGATGACGATGCATCAAAGACTAACGATGGACATGCTGACGAGACACAACCGGGAACGGCATCCAAAGATAAATCACGTAAAAAGAAAAAGGTCAAAAAACTGACCGCCGAAGAACTTGAAAAGTTTGAAGAGGAACAAAAGAAAACTGGTGTTTGTTATTTGTCTCGCATTCCTCCGTTTATGACCCCACACAAGCTACGTTCACTTCTCAGTCACTATGCGGAAATCGGCCGCATGTATCTTGCTCCTGAAGGTAAAATCAGCCTTTGCTAAGCCTAGGATCTTATAAAAAGTCGAGTATGGATATTGACGCGTGGTTGTAAATGAATAGATCCTAAAATTACAGCTCGGCGAAAGAAGTATACAAAGAATCGTAGTGTGAATTATACGGAAGGTTGGGTAGAATTCAAGGACAAGAAGCGAGCCAAGGCACTGGCTTTATTTTTGAATATGAAGCAAATCGGTGGACGTCGCAAAGATCGTTTTTACCATGAAATGTGGAACATTAAATATTTACCAAAGTTCAAATGGAATCACTTGAATGAACAGATGGGTAAGTTCAATTTTCCTTGAAGTGGCATGACTAAGTGAACTCACTTTCTTTTTTCTTGCATAGCCTATGAGAGAATGGCTCGTCAACAGCGACTCCAAGCCGAAATTGCGCAATCGAACCGCGAGAACAAGACATATATCCAGAATGTGGAACGGGCAAAGATGATCAATCGATTAGAAGAAAAGAAGCGAAAGCGTGGTGAAGAGGAGAAGGAACTTCGACGAACATTCAAGCAGCGTGCCTTTGTGGAGCGTGAGGTTGATGCCGATGCTTTAAAGCAACGTGGCAATGCCGGTAAAGAAGCCATGAATCGTGTGGATGCTGGTGTGAAGAACGTTCTCGGTCAAGTGTTTGGTAAATAGAATTGGAAAAAAAAATAACTAGATAGCATGTAGCATACCACATTCTTCTTTGTCCAGAGAAGGTGTCTTTTTTTTTACTCTCTTTTTCCCTTGTTTTTGGACATAGTTTTTCCCTTGATCAAAATATTCATGTTTTCCAAAATAAAGAAGTTTTCATTCAATCATTCTATGTAATGCGAGTGTGACAGAAATAGGGCTCACATGAACCAAGTCATTGAAATGTATCAGGGTTCAGTGAAATCAAAATCATCGAAAAAGATGGCATTATTTTTGATACAAGGAATAGCGTATTTGATGATTTTTATCAGTTAAATCCACCTATAACCGTAACTCAAATCGTTTATGGGTCAAAATAGGGTCTATTAAATCAATCTTTACGCATATAAAAAGATGATTGATTCAAAAGCAGGGATCACCTCTTTGTTTGAGGGGAGGGAGCATGGGAGAGAGGAAGAGGTCAACTGTGGTTGTAAATGACGCAAATTTTTCGTACACAGCCGCTGTGGAGTCAGTCATTCACCCAGCATCTTTCATTTCCCCAGCAGCCAAAAAAAAGAGGCGACTTCACTGGTTAAAAGTTGTCCGTTCATTGCTTACTGCTGCTAATGTCTTTTCAGTTACGTTTACTTTTACGACATGGAGCGCAGCCACGACGGTTGCCCTCGGTCCGGTTATTTTCCGGTGCAAGATTAGTCCAACAGTATCATCAACCCATGCCGGCACCAGTGCGCCCGCCTCCTGAGATGCCCAATCGAGCAGCAGAGTTTCGTTATTTTCGCCCCATAGCTTTTGGGCTCGCAGCTTCCGCAGGTATATACGTTACAGCGGCGGTCGTATACGATAATGAATCGCAGAAGAGTTGGCTTCGACTGCAATATATCCGTGATCGATTCCGACGTTGGTCCTTCAGAGGCGGTCAAGTAGACGAAGAAGGCCTCATGGCCGCTCTTTGGCGGGAAAAAAGAGACATGTTGGACGAGAAATCGCGGCTCTTCATGAGAAAAGTTCGACGAACTTTGGACAAGCTTGAACTACCCCCAGCACTTGACGATGCCATCACCATGTTAGCCGACAAGTATGCAGGCTTTTCAGAAGCAGACAAGACCATGGCAGCCCTCATTGCGATCAATCTCGCTGTCTTCTCACTGTGGCAAATACCAGCAATGGCACCATTCATGACACGTTGGTTTACGCATCACCCGGGCTCGGGACGATCCATCACCCTACTGACCAGTTGCTTTTCACACGCTTCGTTCTTCCATCTTGGTTTCAATATGCTTGGTCTTTGGTCGTTTGGCCCTCTGGTGTATGACGAACTCGGTAGAGAACAATTCCTGGCAATGTATCTCGGTACCGGCATTGGCGCCAATATAATCAGCCATATCGGTAATTTGAGGCTGCATCCTCGACGAATGCTGGCTCCCAGTCTTGGTGCGAGCGGGGCTCTCTATGGTTTACTGACAGCCACCGCCATCATTCATCCTCACGCCCAAGTGGCCATCGCCTTTCTGCCTTTTATACCTATCACCATAAGGTGGGTTGTTACTAAGAAATGTATACATTTCTTAAGGATATGTTGAACTAACATTTTTTTGAACCTCTAGCACCGCTGTGGGGGGTTTGATGACCATGGACGCTCTTGGCATTATCTGCGGATGGAGAGCCTTTGATCATTTTGTGAGTACCGCGTTTTTTATACATTAATAATTATGTGTGCCTTAATCATTCGTTGTTTTGTACGGTTTTAGGCTCATTTAGCTGGTGCAGGCATCGGTCTTGGTTATCTGACCTTTGGCGAGCAATACATGTGGCAACCATTGGTGAGAAAGATCCGTGAGATCCGAAGCAAACGTCGAGGAGGAGGAGGAGGAGGAAGCGGAGAGCCTCAACTACCTTTGGAAATGCAAGCCCGCTCTCGCTTCCCGTGGTGGTTCCGAGGCAATCCATCCAAAGAATAAGGCATCTTGCTATCCCATTCCGTCCATCATGTAGATTATCTGTAAATTATCCTAGACCTTCCCTTTTTTTTTCAAAAAAAGAAAAACTGTACTTATCCATTAGAAAATCTCTTTTTTTTTGCTAATTGGCAAACAAGGAAGGTAGCATAATATTGACAAGTGCGGAGTCAGAGGATATATTTATCTCCTATAGTGTAGTATAAACGACTGGTAAAAAGTAAAGAAAATGGAAAGGAAGGTCAAACTATCCATTCATGTGACAAAAGTAAGAAATGTATCAGAGAAAATTGCTGCAATTTTGCTGGCCGTTCGGATTCAGTGAATAGGATGGTCGGCAGCGGTGTGCGCGGTTGAGATATAAAGCGAGGAGGCTTCCTCTCTGGGGAATGATAAGAAATGTGGTCCCCTGGAAACATTGATTTCAGTAAAGAGAGCCCACCGTTTTTCTTCAAGGTGTGTCTATGGAGCGTGTTCGGGGAATCACGCGAGTAATCCGTCCCAAACATTTGGCTTTGCCTTCCACAAAGAGAATCTGAGCATCGGCATGGAGGTAGACAGGCTTGTAGAGGAAACGAAAGATGCATAGGGCATGGTGACCTGACGTGGCTGTATCGCCGTCCGTACTTTGGGTCCGTACATGGGACGATCTGGACGATTGCACAACATCTGTAGACGACGATCCGCTGTAAAAAGTCGGTGTAGAAAGCGAGGTATGCAAACCGGTCTCGGCCTTTTCGTTTTCTTTATGGGCAATGGAAATGCTGGTAATCTGTGCCCGTTGTCGGATTGATCCCATATGGATCATACCCGAGGTGCCTTTGGTGACGCCGGTGGGATGGTAGAGCACAATCATATCGGCCTCGAACTCGAAATAACTTTCCGGCGTATCCATGCCAAGTAACGTCATCCCTTTACTGACAGGCCAATGGACCAGATCAGGCGATTGGATGGCCAGCGTAGCCGTCTGACCACAGTGGATGTAATGGCACGGTACTCTGTGGCGATGGATCGACGATACTGTCACCCTAATAAAGTGACCTTTGGCATCCGGACCGAGATGGTAGGTGCGTTGCTCTTCAGGTTCCTTGATATTGATGCGTCCTTTGCGCAGCATGCCACCTATCACAATGCCCACATCTACCAACAGATTTTTTTTATCATTGGGACAGCTATCTAGATTCACATGGAATCATTCATATCGTACCTGGAAGGGAATAGACTTCTTCAATTTGGAATTCCACCGGTTCTTCCAGTAGTTGTTCGTGGGCTCGGGCAGGTTTTGGCAGCAAGTTGAAGAACTGTTCCACATGATGAATGTTGTCGCTCGAGACATTGGAAACAAGAAAGATGGGAACTTCAGGACCATGGCGGGCAAAATGCGGAGCACTGAGCATGACATCGTTTTTGGATCGAACAAACAATGGAATTTTCCTCATCCACGGCGCCTTTAACAGACCCAATAGCGATGTCAAGGTATGGCGCAATTGATCGGGCGTAGCGATATCGATCTTGGTAATTACCACAAAGACAGGCACATCCAACATCACGGCGAGCGACAAATGTTCACGAGTCATGTCTGATAATCCTGCTGTGGTGGCTGAAATAACGAGACAAGCGTAATCAGGAGCGTAGCCGGTAAGGCCGGCAATGGTGGTGCGCAAATATTTTGGATGGCCGCATGTGTCCAAAAAGGTGATGATTTTGCTGCTCAGCTCACAAATATGTTCCCAAGAACTGACATTGTTGGTGGTGTAGTTGATGGTGTTGCCTTCCGAATCGTAGCCCATGATCTCGTGCGCAATGGACGACGTCTTTCCTGATTCGATCTCGTGACGGTGCCGCAGCAAATTCAATCGTGCACGTCCTCGGCCATTATCGTTAATGCCATAAGTCAATCTTCCTAACAACGACGATTTACCAGCACCGTCCCCACCCACAATGGCAATCCGGATATCCGTGAATCTGTCCAACTTGTCGGACGGTCGCTTGCGTATTAATGCTTCAATCACCACATACCCTGGGGTGGGCTTTTTTCGCACCACTTTGGCTAAACGATCGAGCACAATCTCACGCACAATGGACACATCGGCATTCAGTGCGTCGGCCATCTTTCGCAGCGTTGCCAAGGAAGCAGACATGTCTTCTCGAGACAGACCTGAACACACACACCCAAAACAAAATTGTCAGCAAATCTCGATCTCTCTACTGTATCTCCCTATTTTCTCTGCCTTATTGTTTTTCGTGTTTTGTTCGAGGTTCTCTTGTACGTACCAATAAAAGTGCCGTCATCGTCGACCCCAATTTCATACATGGCTTCTCCGTCACCTTCTGATAACCTGTGAGAAAAGTCAGAAATGGCAACAGCAAGACAGATACAAGTGGTCAATTATAACAACCATTTACCTCCACTTCATTTGGGTAATCAATTGTTCTAATCGTTCAAAGGACGGATTGACCAGTTTTAACTGTTCAAAAGTAATTGGACGGGTTGAGTATGAATGGAGTTACACTCTCAAGTTATACACTGCGAAAAAAATAAAAATACCTACTTTGTATTCAATGTTGCCTTCGTCGTCGACTTCTGGCGGCAGAGCTCCTAACTCGGCACTTTTGTTCCAAAGTGAGTTTGACCAATCCCTGAAATCGTGACGCATACTAAGGGTGATGGGTGGAATGGTTGCAAGTCAGTTTCCTGAAGGTGCTGGTTTTTATGCACGTCGTCAAGGTGGGGAGACGGACTGCGGTCAAAATGCATACTTGTCGGAGTCAAATATCGATGGGGGTTATTGAGGGTCCGAAAAAGCAAAGCTAAAGAGAGACAAAGTGAGTCATTTTGTTTCAAATTCCCTAAAAAGTCGATATCGTCAACCGCCAGTAAGAGTAAAAAGTCGTTAATTTCTAAGCTGATATCGTGCAAAAGGAAAAAAAAATTCGGTGTCCAACAATAATGTCGGACTGATCCAGCAATCAAGCTGTATTCCGCCAAGTGAATAAATGTCGAAAACTAAAAAGGGAGCACTTGTTGTTAAGCACTTTTGTAAGCAAAAGGCTTAGCACAATGTCGGATAAACCTCTTAACAAAATGCTTAGGGAAAAGAAAAGCACACATTGGTAAAATAACTTCTGATTTTTGAGCTGATATTTCAAAGAAACATGATCGTTTGCGGTCTTGGGATGATGAAAAAATCCCTTCGAAGGCGGATTGTTGAGCGATGTCTGCCAGGCATTGCTAGATTTACAGACGGCCTGCAGATACGATCGAAAGTCTCAAGAACGCGACAAACGCGAGGCATATCCATGATGAGCTTAGTTAAATCATCCAAGCAGCTAGGGATCTTGACTTTCTCCAGCTCGTACATGACATAAAGGCCCATCGATGGCAAAACCAAACGTAGAATGTAACCATTCTTCCGATCTGCTGCAGGCCCAGTACACCTTCCATGCTTTGCGTATCGAGCGCATTCTTGCAGAACATGCCAACACGAAGTAGGTCCCCGACAAACTGAATAGTTGTTGCCGCCTTGGGTAGCTGACTTCGATTCTCCATAGCCATGGTGCGAGATCCATGTCATACCGACCAAAACGGCTTATACATATACCTGGTCGTTTTGGTTGATAGATCCGCATGTTGTCGAGCTTCCAAAGTCATTTCATTGATCCATCGGAGGTAGATGCCTCCGCCTGGATCATGAATAAACCTCAGTCAAGAATTGTGCTTCTTTTGTCCTTGCCCTTGTCCTTGCCTTTGTCCTTGTCCTGGCCCTTGTCTTGCCTTGTTCTTGCCTTGTTCTTGCTTAGCCTTGCCTTGTGAAATAACTTAACACTACCCCTTTGTCCAATTGCATTGACCCTCCGTAGCCTGTGCACAACAGGGAGATCCAAATCCAAAAGATGCGCAACGGTTGATAGCTGTCCCCATCAACATTGGAAGGCGTTTAATGCCATATTTTGTCTCATTCCAATTGATGATGGCAATGAGATTGTCATTGCTGAAATATGGTGCCAGATCTTCTGGGTACTGGTGTCGTGAGAAGAGCAAAATATGACTGGCAGCCATGGTGCAGTGGATGTGGTTTTCGAGTGACAACTTCCATTTGTGCTGAGGTAATAAAAGCTGCAGCTTATGGAATGCCATTGTTACATCGAAGTCTTGTACCAACAGATGATAACCGTGATCAAGAGACGGAAACGATAAGCATGATGGATCCAGCAATTCAGCAAGGACCTTGCTTGAGCGTCGTTTGTTAGACTGGTCTTGACTGCTGGAGCATGGTTGATCCCCTGTCGCTAGTTCTTCCTGTGGTGTGGCCGTTGATTCTTTTGGTAAGGTTTCTACATGGCTGGCATAATAGTGGGCCTTCAACTCGTCGATTTCCCTACAGTGAGGGATGCAGGTAGGGCAGCCGATGTGCCTGTGGGTTGGTAATCTTAACATAAGTATATTGTTCGTTATCATATCGTCTGATTCCTGTTATACGGGGTGGCAACTGCATATTGTGCTTCTCCATGTGTCGTCGAAGGGATTGTGGAGTGCTGTATGCTTTTTGACTTTCAAACACGGGTGAAAAACGTAACAAGTTTTTGTTTTACGCGCCATAGCATTCATCCCAGAAATGCCACAACTGGATAATGATGATGGCGATTGCGGTAGGCACGTACTTCAAAACAAGAATATACTTGAAAGAGGGAGAAATCAACCAAAACAGGTGATTCACCAAAAAAAAAAAGGAGCACTGTTGTCGATTTTCACAATGAAGTCGTTCAACAAAAATGTGTGCTCAACAAAGTGTTCCTCTTTTCATTATTCTTTTGTGCAGAGTAATTTTTTGCACATAAGCTCTTGTTTTAAACACATTCTTTTTGTCAAGGTACTCTGTTAAGCACTTGCACTACAAAACTATGCCATCGATTCCAGGCCGTGGTATAAACCTCAACTTATCAACCAATAGGAACGGGCTTTCGTGAATTTCTGACGAAAGGTGTTGTTGGATGGGCATGCGGTGTGTCCAAACTAATAAATTGAACGCAGCCACATTCTTGGACCTTTTTTTTTCTGACTGCGTTGTCCTTTTCCTTTAGACCAGGAACAACGGAGAAAAGCCATCTTCGTGAGAAAGAGGGTTATTTTTGGTCTTGTTGTTACACAATAAGGTTAAAAGGGAGATGGATCGACATGGTCGCTGTTTTTTTCAGCTAACAGATCGATCATGGTTTTGATTGGACAAAAACTTCATACTGCATTCATTCCAGACAAAAAAATTACGCTTCACTAATGAAAGTGCCAAAAGCCTGGTTTTTTTTCCCTTTCTTGTTAAGCGTGGAATCCTAGGTGCCTAGAACCGCTGTGTCCCTGCTTTTTGTATCCTTCCCTTCCTTTCATAATGGGCGCTCCCAGCAATGGTCTTGGCTTTTTCTCTTCTAGAACGGCCATTTTTGGTGTAGGCTTGACATTTACTCTAGTTCTCTTCACCATCTTGACCCGACTGTTTTACAGTAAGTGCTTTTATAAACGATCGCTAATTGTCGTAACAACCTTTTTCTTTTTTGGACTCATCACTCACCGTGGCAATCATCAGCTCCCCAGGATCCTACCCGATGTCAAAGTATGCTGAACTACGGATGGTGGCTGGACGATCGGTTTAGTGCCTGGCAACCATCCGCTTGTATGATGCATACATATCAACCCAAAGACACGGCCACTTGTCTTCAACACTCGCACATATTGTATATCGGCGATTCCACAGTCAGACAGCAATACTTTGCATTGGCGAAAATGATGCGTCCTGACATTGACCTGGAAGGCGAACGACACAGCGATCGCCATTTCACCTTAGAAGAACATCATCTCAATCTGGATTTCTGGTGGGATCCTTACTTGAATTCATCCGCCACTATTGACTTGCTCAAAGCACAAGGATCCGATCGTCGACCTAGTTTGCTTGTCATGGGCACGGGCATGTGGCATATGCGTTACCTGGGCAAGGAATTTATGGAAGATTATCGGGATGCCATTGATCGCGTATTTGACGCCGTGCAGCGATCCAGCCGTGTAGCCGACGCTGTCATGTTAGCTCCCGTAGAAATGCCTCAGTTCGATATGCTTTCACCCGAACGACTACGATTAATTACCGAGGCCAAGATCAAAAGAATGAACGACTATATCTATGAAAAGGAGCAACTCGCTTCTCCTCTTACCCCATTTGCCGTCCCTTTTGTATGGAATCTGATTACGACCGAATCTACGAATATGACAGAGGATGGCCTTCACTACTCGGAACCGGTGACGCAAATGCAGGTTCAGATGGCACTCAACTATCGCTGTAATGACCATTTGCCCAAGGCGTTCCCCATGGCCACCACCTGCTGTTCCAGCTATCCTTTACCAAAATGGTACCAAAACATCTTTTTCCTGCTCTTTCTCCTGTGGGCTCCCATCGGTTTCTATGTTACCGAATCAAGTAAGTACAGATACATTATTATCATCACGGAGTTGCAAGAAATACTCACCTGTTGCTATTTTGATGTTGTAAAGAAGCCATGGCCCAATTCTTACGCCGTTGGTATCCGTCCGAATCTGTTCTGAATGCTGTCTTTATCTTTGGCCTGGGAGTGATTTACATGTATTTTGGCGACCGAACCCACATCTTTGCAAAGGCCCACAAACATTTCGATCCCTTTCAATTTGGCATTCTCATGACAGCTGTGGCTGTGGCTGGGGTGGCGACACTGCGGATCAAGAAGGAGAAGGATAAAGGGTTCCTCAACCGAGATCAAACCGATGAGTGGAAAGGATGGATGCAGATCATCATTCTCGTGTACCACTTTACTGGGGCTTCAGGGACGTCGGGAATCTACAACGCGGTTCGATGCCTTGTCGCAGCATATCTGTTCCAAACGGGTTACGGCCATTTCTTCTTCTTTTACAAAAAGGCCGACTTTGGTCTGGCTCGCGTGCTCAATGTGATGGTACGGCTCAACATGCTAACGTTTGTCCTTCAGTATCTGATGGATACGGATTATCTGAGCTACTACTTTACCCCTTTGGTTTCATTCTGGTTCTTTGTCATTTGGATCACCATGTATGTTTATCACTCGGCGAATCAACATACCGGTTTTATGCTGGCCAAGATTGGTGTCGCTTCCATTCTCACTGCGGCCTTGATCCATCTCCCGGGGGTACTCGAAACAGTCTTTGATGTGTTGGAATATTTGTTCAACGTTCACTGGAATGTTTCGGAATGGCGGTTCCGGCTGGGTCTCGATGCATACATTGTGTATGTCGGTATGCTGAGCGCTTTGGCGTATATCAAGTGTATGGAGCAAAAGTGGACCGAACGCAGCATGTGGCCCTTAGTCAAGAAGTCAGCCATAGGAGGTTCGATCGTTGTCATGATTTGGTACTTTTGGTTTGAGCAATCGCGACCGAATAAGCTGGTGTATAATCAGTATCATCCTTATATTTCGTGGCTACCGATCCTTGCCTTTGTTATACTACGAAACGCGACGGTTGGATTACGCAATACGTCGTCGCGGTTCTTCATTTTCTTTGGCAAGATTTCGTTGGAAACGTTTATTGGTCAATTTCACATGTGGCTCGCTGGCGATACCAAAGGATTACTGGTGGTGCTGATGAATCCAGCATGGAATCGCGGGCTTGGCTGGTGGTTGAATTTGACACTGTCGAGCCTCGTGTTTGTTTTCATTTGTTATTACCTCAGTCAAGCCACGGCGGAATTAACGCAATGGATATGCTCCAACACCATTCCTCCCTCCCCAGGTTCACGTTCCCAGACCTCACCACCATCGTCGTTGCAAGTGGGCGGATATCAGCCGGTTCCCCTGTTACCCACCAACAATCAAGACACCATCAATCAGTCACCTCCCGATACAGCCATTTCACTTGACCAACTCAACGTACCATCCCAAAAGTCCTCTTCCTCCTCACCCTCATCCCACGAAACCACTGCTCTGGGCCCCGAATCTTCCTCCAACGCCGATGCAGATGCACACCACCAAGCGCCACACAAACCATCTCTGCTTAAACAAGTTTTCACGGATGGTCGTGTCAAAGTGGGTTTATTTATTCTTTCTGTGGGTATCCTGAATCACTTCTGTTAGAGCCTTGAACGAAAATTCCTTTTCTCTCTCCTCCATGTAATAAAGTAATAACTACCATCAATTCCCTTTATCAAAGAATTCTTTACATCTAAATTATCCATCTGCTGTTACTTTACTTGGAGTTGAATAGCGAATAACGCTTACTGAGCCGTTCATTTTTCAGGCAAGGATTATCGCCGCGCCAAAAAGCTTTTTTTTCCGGTCATCATGCTCAAATTTTCCAAGCTTCGGCTGGTAGCGAGAATCTCATACACGGGGCACACATGCTAGTGTATTTTTTCCAGTAACCTTAAAAAGAAGGCCCTAGTGCTGTGACGCAGAGAATAAATTCAGGGTAATACAATTGGTTGATTCATGTCATCATATAAACATCATTTTGCTTCCTGAAATGCGGTATGCAAGTGGCTGTAAGATTTTTTTTTGATCTGAGAATGTGAATGGGGATTGTTCATAATTTAGAACAATTCAGTTTTATTCATAGCAACTATGCCACATGAATCATTGGTAATCAACCGGTTCTCTTGACAAATCTTAACCATTCGGTTTGCCGTCACCAGAAATACAATATAAAAAGCCTTTTTTTTATTACTATCTGTTCAACTGGAAAAAAAAAAAAAAAGGTTTACCAAATTTCTTTTTTTTCTCTTTAGGCCAAAAAGGAAACGACGGTTTCATTCCGCACGATAAAACTTGTATAACGAATGGAAATTTGAAGAAGCAAAACATAAAGTATTGCAACCATAAAAATATTGACGTGGGTCAGATATTTTTCAAGATAAACAAATGGATCGAGATCATCTTTGAGTCATTCCCGTTCTCAAAAAGATTTGTTTACTGCAAGAATAGAATCGGTCTCAATAAGCTTTAGGAAAATCGATGTCAATACATCAATGCATGTCACACCAAACACGGATTGCTTTTTTTGAGCATAGGCCAGACAAACTGGACATGCTTTGACAACAAACATACGACCCACATCCTATCGCATTGCATCTTTTTTGGGTGATAATGAGAGTCAATATGAAATCATCCACTTCAACTATATTAATACTCTCGGCATTATGACAAATCACAGAAAGACTCATGATGAGAATTCGGTGCTTTACAGTGTTTCTTTCACCGTTCCCATCTAATAAGGGAATACAAACAAATTTATCAACACCTTTTTTTCTCTCGTTGTGTTCCAATGAGGCGAACTTTATTTCGCCAATTATTATACTTTTTTTTTCTTTCGAAAAAAAATCTTTGGTTCAAATCTATTGATCACTTTTGGGCGCACAATAGTCTATAGTTACTAACATGCGAAATGTGCGCACAAAAAGGACACCCTTATCAACCAGTGCGAGCATTTTTTAGACTCAGTAACCAGGCGGCCTTCAAACCCTTTGCCAATGGGACCCCGAGGCCCGTACCGAAACCGTCAGACCCTTTCTCGTGTTCTCTTCTCCTCAGTTCCCAAAAGCGATATAATTCGCATCAATTAGGTCCTGTTTTAGTTTTGAGCTGGGTTTTTTACGGTTCTGCTGAAAACTAGCGGAGAGGATGGATAAGAAGCTACGCAGTGAATTGAGTTGTGGAAAGATCACTTTGTCAAATGTTACACTATGTCGACAAATTCGAGATCCCACAAATGGGCATTTTTTGACACTATTTTAGTTGATTGACTTTAATAGAAAGATCAAGCGAGAAAAAAGGGTCAAGGAGAGTTATTCCATGTCTTTCCATGTCGCATCATGATGTTTGTTGTTTTTCTTCATTTACTTCATGGCAGTCTCGAGGACTCGGTTCGTTTTGAACGACGCAATGGGGTACACATGGGTTGTTTTGCCGATCCACTTGATGCACGATGGGTACACACAATTTTTTTTAAATTGAAATCATAACCTGTCAGTTGCAAGACAGCCATTCTGTAAAAGGTAAAAATGCAGAACTTGGAAGTGGCCACCCATGACAAGCAAGTGTCACCGCATGCTTCGGGAGTTTATCAGAAAAGCTTTAACTTTAAAAAAAAAATGGTTGCCACAACGGCACTCTTCCATTTTAAATGTCCGTCTTGCCTTTTAGTTTTTGGTATCCACCTTGTTCCTTCCCCCCCAAAGATGATGATGATATTGATAGATTCGCATGGCAATGGCCACTTTCATTGGTTAAAATAGTTTTCCGCGCGACTATCCGTACCTGATCATTTTCGTTTTTGATCCCTCCCTTCCGTTGTAACATGTCATTTTTCCACTATATCTGTCATTCCGCAACCCCCCCCCCCCTTTTTTTTTTTTCGTTAGATTGTCTCCCATTCCCTTTGCCTCCGAGCGCCCGATGAGCATAACGCACAGATGGTATGGCTGCCGAGCGCACATTTATTTTATATAAATATATACTACGTTGGTCCAACTTTTTTTTTCCATTTTTCTTTTCTCTACAAAATCATTAATTCCAGTTCAACCATTTCGGAACCATACTTGCCTTTTTACATATCGGTCAACATGTCATTTGCTATCAAACCTCTGAATTTGCAAGGCGGTCAATGGTAAGTGAATCTTTCACTTCACGGCATGGTAGCAGGAACAGTAAACTGATACATTGATCTACTTAGCTCTTGGTGCGGAAAATATGGCCACAAAAGACCTAGCTGTCCTCTCTTGAAGTAAACGCATTGTTTCTTCGAATCCAACATCACACTTTGTTACCCAACCATGGATATCCAACAAAAAATCACAAGCATGCATCACTTCCCAACTCGTTTCCTTTCAAGACTTTACAACACCGGGATCCATTCATTATTACCATCATGTTCTTTTCTTTTTTCTATCATTGATTGTACATATACATCTTTACTACTGGCCATCACTTGAATTATCATTTCATATTTCTTTCTTTGTGCGCACATACACAAAATTATCAAAAAAAAAAAGTTTCTCCCCATGCCTCATTTTTCTTTTTATGAATCTTATTTTTTTTTTCTTTATCATTCAAAAAAGTTGTAATTTGCTTTTCTTCGCATTTTTTTTTTCATTAGGTTTATATTAAAAAAAAAAAAACATTCAAACTTTTGCTTTCTTCACTTACAATGTTGTCCGATTTTAGTCTCTCTTCTGTTGCAAGACTTTTGTGGATGGAAATCTAAAATCCGTTAATAGGTACCATGGCGAAGAATGATCTTTTTGCTTACAGATCAGTCGAGTGATGTGCAAGATATAAAAAAAGGGACATCATGTTGAAGCCAAATGTGTTTATCACGAGAATGGTGCTGAATATCCTAAATCGATCCGTCTTTTTGGGATAAGCCGAAACAAGCATGACATTGCATAGCCCAGTCGCCACTGTATGCTGTTATCGTACCAGGGCCTTCAAAGGCGGCCCAGTATTTGGATTGCACCTTACACAATCGTTTGACGTTGTGTGCTTCTTTTTAGAAAATCAGATCGCCGCCGAGCGTAAACACCGAGTCAGAAGAAAAAGTTTCCACAAGTTTCCATCGGACTTGTTGATGTTGCGTCAAAAATAAACGAAAAACCGATGATGGGTCAATGCATGAAAACGGCCAATGCAGGGATAAGATGGCCGATAAGTTGCAGTTGCCGTCGTCTTGCGTGCACATACTAGAGCTATTTACACCCTAGGCCCAAAAAAAAAATTCTTATCACGGCTAGAATTAGAGTAGTTTCAACGCATTAGTTCCGTTGGTCAAAGGCAAAAGATGAGAAAAAAAAAGGATCCCATGACAACCAGGCCCACCTAGTGCGGGCCTAGCCTAGCCTCATAAAGATTGACTGAATCGGAACACTCGGATGAGGAAGCCCGTTTGAGTAACAATCATTACCTGGTGCAACACGCATGGTGTCAAAGTTGTGTTTCGTTGCGAAGCAATTTTTTTTTTTTTTTTTGAAATAGGATACACTATTTTTTTATATATTTTATCCGTATCTTTTTCCCTTTTGATGAAATCACTATAATAGACATGGAGGCGAGACTGTGCCATCAGTGAACCAACGGATTTTTAATGGGGTAATTTTAGTGATGTTGCTTTTTTAAGCCTGGATACGCCCTGTTGCTTCGTTTGGCCATAAAGTGTCACACACGTCTTTTTGGTAGACCCATCGAATTCCAAGCATCGTATGTGTTTTTTAGTTACTAGACTGTCCTTTTTTTTGGTCTCTATTTTATTTTCATTTTCTATCTTCAGAATTACTATTCGTACAGCAAATCCGCTTCTTCGACTTGCCTCATCCATCTATCATTGCTGTAAGAACGTCTTGACACAAAAAGGCTAGCACCAACTACTTGGCTGTATAGTGCATGAATGATATTGTCCGTGCTGACAATCGTCGGAATTGAGTTTAGGTCATTTCGTTTGTGTTTTCTTTTTCCCTTAGTGTGAGTTTACATTCTCTGAAAGGTCCGTGACCAAAACATAGAGACCAAAAGTCGTTTTATTACAAAAACTCGTCATCATCGTTTGTTTTTCGGAATACATTGCTTGCTTTCTTGTTTATTGTTGATATTCGCATCGTCGTCATCTACTTTGCGTAAACTGCCTCGTCAGTAACCACATGTTCGAAGCCAGAGCAATACATATAATTCCTCGGTTAGCTTCAGTCCTTTTCCAGAGAATTCAGGTCCACCAACTGATCCACCGTGGGCCGTCTAATAGTCTACAGTGTGATCGTCGGCCTCCTCCCTCTTTATCGTTGATCACTGAAATGACAAGCCACACGCCGGAATTTGAAATGATGGGGACATTCCCGTTTGTCAATGACACTCACTTGAACGTGGGCTGTCTTTTTCTTTTGGAAAGGAAAAATGTCCAACGATGAAAGCATCTTGGATATTGGTCAACGTCCTTCTCGGCAACGGCGTCATCTTCCCATGGCAGTAGATACGTTGAAAAAAAGCACGTCAACTCCATCGCGACGTGTCAATGGTCAACGATTGAGCTTGTTCAGAATGACCTACCGTGACAGTGCTTCTCCTGTGGGCCGTGACATTGCTCCTCCCATTGTCGACGACAATGACAATCTGGACAGTCAAGTAATATCATCAGCACGGGCTAGAACCAAGTCGCTCAGAAGACGACATGGTTCGTCGCGAGTTCCTGACCGTTCCTATCCAGGGTCTTCGTCGCCACGTTGGTCGCCAAAATTCAACCCACGTTGGTGGATATGGCTTGGATGTATAGCGTGGGGTTTATTCTTGCTGATTCGGATTGGTGTGAGTTATTCAGAAGCCAACTATCATCAATTAAGCATAGTGCAGTTTCTACTGAATACCTGGGGCCGATTATTCAACATGTAAAAAAAAAAAAAAAATCTAATCTCATCATCCTTGGTTCCATGCACAACCAGGAAACAAAATATACCTGAAGTTTCTTCCAAACCACGAGTTCATGAGGAAGGAGAACCCGTTTATCATGCATTTTGGCGTGAGGGGTTGAAGGAAAAAAAAAAAGACTGCCATGTGATGGTTTATCGAGAGGTAGAATAAAAAATTTCAAGTCCAATCAATCAACAGATGACGAGGATGATCAAGGTTCCCACCCCTTTTTTCTTTGTTGGATTCTTTTTTATAATGATTTTCCCTTGATGTAAGCAATAAAAATATCATCTTCAGTGAAAAGTAATCAAACCGTGATGGTTGATATCCATTCTAGTGAATAAGAACAATCATATTGCTATCCAAAAATAGGACGCCTGGCTGGGAGGGAAAATCAGGAGGAGAATATAAAATAAAAAACGATGGGCACGGTGGTAAGCGCGGATTGACACGATGCCGCAGATAGCTCTCACTACCTGCAACGGCAATTCACAACGAGTTTGAATATTCGATACCAAGTCGATGATGATCCCTGTCATTTCAAATTTAATGACTTGGGAAAAAGAAAAGAAAGGGGTGGGGGTCATTTTTTCTTTATTCGAAGGAGTCCATTAAAGAACGGTGCTTTTTTTTTGTTTTCATTTAGCTAAGCGTGTCTGACTGAATAATCTATGCAACGCACGAAAAAGAATACTAGGAATATGAACCTGATATTTTGTTCGAAACGCGTTATTATTCACTGGCTCCATGTAGACCGGCTGTTCGAAAAGTGAAAACGACCCGTGGCGTTCTTCTTGCCATCAGATTAGATAAGCAATCATTATGCGCTCGTTTATATTGCTGTATTATCATCTTCTTTTTCTTCTTGTTCATTGTTTTCAAGTTTTTTTTTACTTTGCTTCTTTCTTTTTCATTCTGTTGTCATGTCCTTGGATTAAGCTCAATATTCAGGGGCAAATTGTTTCAGTCGATGGGGATAGCCAAAACCAATATTTCCACTACCCCTGACTCATCGCTTTCTTGAATCAAAAAGATACAACTGTGCCTTTCAATACAACCAGTAATCACAGGTTGCAAGATAAAAATTTACATTGTCATTCCACCATCGCATTATCGCTTTTTTTATCTTTGCTTTTCTCCAAAGGGGGCTATCTTTTCTTTTTGATATGGGAACACAGCATAATAAAGCTCGGATCACGCACCTTTTTTTTTTTTTTTTTTTTTTTTTTTTTTTTTTTTAAAAAAAAGGGGTGTCACACACACATCATAACCCAAAACCCTCACCTGTCCCCCAAAAGCGGTCATTTTCCTTCGCTTCATCCCCTCTCTCCCCCCTTTTCTTCTGATGGAATGTCATGAAAAAAAAAGTTAAGGTCGACAGGCGTCAAGACAGTTGTGAGTGACCAGCATCAATCTCTCATCGTTTGAAGTATACAATCCACGAGCTCATTAGTGGATGGTCTTTTTTTTTGTGTGGTCGGTATGGTTGATGAAATAGGGTCGTGGTCTCATCTGACGCCATCCGTAATCGAATGAATCACAGGAGATGCACTAATTGGAATAGATCTGCGTAAATGTCCTATCCCATAATTTTTTTTTCGCAAGCCAAAACGCTGATACTGCAAGACAATAACAAAGAAAACTAATCAAAGGGATGCTAAATACGGAATTTTCTGTTTCTACGTGGGAAAATGAAAAACCAGAAAGGACACTTCAATAAATGAACAAAAAGACAAAAAACAAGTGTAAAGGAAGTAAGTTATGACCAACCAATCATCCTCATCAGCTAATGTCAAAACTTCGCTATTTCTTATCACACGAAAACGCAAAAAAGGTTTTCGTTAGCATAAGCAATCATACGAAAAAAAAGAGGATCCTATTGTTTAGATACGAAATCCCCTATTTCTACTCCACAAACAAAAGGAAGACCAAAAGAGAGAGAGAGAGAGAAAAAACATTATAAAACGGGTTGAAGCGACGTTTTTATCTCCTCTCTCTCTTCTCTTCTCTTTTTTTTTCTTCTTTTCTTATCTGTGAATATCCCCCGCCCTTTCTTTTTTTTTTCTTTCCTCGTCAAGTTTTCATTTATATTGTTTTTAGCTTTCTTTTTTTTCATACACGTACAAAATATATTATTTTCCCGCATTCCTTGATTCCGGAAAGGAATGCCTCTTGAAATACGATGACGTTTGAACGATCACAAGATAATCACCCTACTGCCTACCATCATCCTCATTATCCTACCATGAATCCCGCGTCTCTGGATACCGATGTGCGTCTAGACCCGTGGCCAACAGAATCCAGTCTTATTGATTATGACCATGTGCAAGCAGCGACAGCCACGATGACACCGCCGGCGGTGACGACTTCAGCTTCATCCCTGTTGGCACGACCCAAAGGATCGCTGTCTTCTTCCACAGCCGCGAGCCCACCTCTGGACCCGTCTAAACCATCCCATCCAGAATGGGGAGTCATGAAAGAGCAGGATTTTCATCCTCTCACTCTCAAGCATCAACGCGATCTCGAAAACCTATTTCAATCCGGTGCATCCATTGCCGACTTTTATTTCTGGCAGGCCAACTTGGGCGGCTATTGTATGGCGGATATGATTCAAAGTAAGTTGAACTGGTTATTAACGAGTTTAAATCACGCTTGAACTTCGTTGATGATGCCATACAAAAACAAAAAATCTGCCAGCTTGCATTTTTTTTTTTTTTGAACAGGAGTGCAGTCATATATGAAATGTTTTTGATCCTGGTGGGCTTATGCTATTTTTTATTGTAGACATGGTGATTTCATCGGAAGGTGTGTTCGTACTGGTACGCCGCATCGTGGAAGGTGCTCCTCACCCTGGAAGAAGAAAGAAGAAGCGTACCACGAATTAATTGTTTGACAAACAGGAAAATCCGATGATTCCGTTCCCCTTTTTGAATCTTGTTTTCTTTTTTTTGTTTTTTTTTTTGTTTGTTGGTGCTCATCTGCTCTTCCCTTCTTTTTACCTTTTTCTTCCCTCTTTTAAAACCACATTCTATAACCATTTGTATTGTGAAATGGCTTAAAATTTCTCTTCCTAGTCATTTATATCGTAATTATAAGCTCTCTGTGTTCTTTCGTTACTCGACATTAAAGCTGTCCCCTTCTATATCTACTAAACAAACCAATCTGTTTGCTTTTGAATATGCACGTTCATCATTTTTTTCCGGGAATCTAATAATTTTGCTTGAGCAGAAATAAACTTGGTGTCTTGTGCCCAATAAGTATCAAGTCTAAAATACGCACGTCGCTTAGCATCACTGTGTCTATCTCGAAAATCCGAAAAACGTCTTTTCTGGATTTCAGGAAAGGATCCATGTTTTCTCTCGACAAAAGGGCGCAACAACCACCCTTGATTCATGCAAGAAATGGGTCCTTCTGTTTTTGAACCTGACACAGCCATTTCAGAAAATAATGTTACTACCTTTTGTCGTGACATAGTGTCTTCATCAGATGCCAGCCATATCATTAGAGTACGCAGGCGGATCCGTGCCACTGTGCCATTTGATTCTGGTAAGTATATTTATATTAGAGAATTATGCTTTATTATCTAATCGGGGCCTTTGAACTTGGAAAAGCTTTCTTCAATAGATTAAGAAGGGTGAGTAGAGGGGGCAGGAAGGGCCATGTGATGGCTTGTAGTCTTCGAGAAATCGCCTTGTTACTTGAGCATCAAATCTGTTGCAGAAGCCATTTCTTTCCCAGTCGATTGAATAATGCACAAGGCCTTGCAAATTATGTGCCCAATTTTCACCGACGTAAGCTCCAGTTGTTGAATGGACCGGACAGCTTGGCAGCATGGGTTACATTCGTACCAGCATGTCTTTGGGCAATTACATCGCCAATTTCCTTTTGGATAGCTAGCATAGCATCTAGATGACAAGCATCTCCTGCAGGTAACCGCCCATCGTGTTCTGGACTACAATATTCTTATTAACCTGGGCATGAAATCTTTGGAACGAGAGTCTTTATCATTTTCGGCCTGCCTTCTTTTTATCCTCTTGTTCCTACTGTGGCGCGTTGTGGCCTTATCTCGAGTTGTCATGCCAAAGTTGGTGAGTGGGAAAAGGTAAAGCTCCAACTTTCTATAAAAATGAGGTTATCGGTTATTAAATCAAAAAGTGGAATCTGTGGCAGTTGGGTCAATAGGGCCAGATATGAAAAAAAGACAAATAAATTGTATTCAGCGGCATGAAAGTTCACTGCTCACCCCACATGCGCGGACTTAGCTCAGGTTTCACCAGGTTGAATTGAATTAGCGACGGCTTGAAAAAAAAATGTTGATTCAAAGACCTGCCCTGCCTGGGTTGGAATTTTCCATTTGTTCCCTCTCTTCATTATGATTATTGCCGATACCCGATTATCCCAACTACTTCATCGGTGGAGCAAGGAAAACCCTTACTTGTCCGTTACCGCTGCAGCTGCAATTGTATACGCCACTTGGAAATTGGCACGACGTCAGCGATCCAAAACGACCGTCGATTCGGCTCTCGTTCCTAGCCTTGTTCCCGGCGGTGTGCCGTTTTTTGGCCACATGTTGGCCTTATCCAAGGACCCCGAAGGATTTATCAACAAAGCAACCGCCGACTATGGCAACGCTTTTCGCATTCGTATCCCGGGACAAGATCCATACGTGGTATGTGGACCGCTCGTTGCAGAAGTCCTGACATCGTCTACTCGATTGTTAAGTTTCAACGACGGCATCCAAACCGTTGTACCCATGTATCGGGTCATCCACACTTGCTATGACCATAAATTTATCGGGGAAGGAACATCGCCGCGAGAGAAAAATCCAGGTATGTCTCCAACCAGTTCCATTCATAATTTTCCATCTGTTGCCTTTGTTATGCGCTAAACTTTCCCATTCCCGCACGCAGTATCGTACCCTATCAAGCAGAATTTCAAGCCCCATCTTCTTGGCGTGTTCACGGAACGAATGCAGACGGCATTTCTCAACTATTTGAATAAAGAGATTGTGCTTGCGCCAAACGAACAACGAACCGTTGACGTGTGGCGGTTTTTCACGCGAGGTGTATCGCACGTGTCGTGCCCTTGTTTTGCCGGTAGCAAAGTGGGCAACGACCAGGAACTGATTGAATCCATGGCGGTTTTCACGCAAAAGATCGTCAAGGCAGGCTTGATGTTGTCGTTTTTCCCTACCTGGCTGGGCAATTTCGTGGTGAAACGTTTCTATTCCGTCGAAGGCGAACTGGATCTTATCATGAAATTGCTGCTGCCTGAATTGCGTCGTATGCGCAACAATCCCGACCACGTCAATGACGAAGTGTCATTTGCTACCATGACACTGAATATGCGAAAGAGCGACGGATCGTTAAGAACACCGGAAGATGCGGCTTTCTGGTTCAAGGATATCGCGCTGGCCAGCATTCACACCACATCGCATTTTGCCACATTTGCGCTTCATGAACTCGCTTGTCGTCCTGAACTGGTGCGTGCGTTGCGCCAAGAGCTGGCCAAACTCGACGTCCGCACCCCGGAAAATGTGGGCGCCATTCCGCTGATGGATTCCTTTATGCGCGAAACCTTGCGTTGGAATGGAGATTATCTCGGCCTGCATCACTTGGCTCTGCAAGATGTCGCTTTATCGAACGGTCAAGTCATTCCCAAAGGCAGTCTCGTGGTACTGTCGGTCGATCAAATTCATCGCGGTGATTATCTGGGAATGTCATCGATGGAGAACAAGGACACTAAACCTGCGTGGGTGTTTGACCCCTATCGCTATGTTCATGACGACAAACCAAGCGCTGTGCCCGACACGGGTTATATTGCCTTTGGTCTAGGCGCACATGCTTGCCCGGGCCGCTATTTTGCTGTCAAAGAGATCAAATACATGATGGGCGAAATCGTTATGCGATTCGATTTGAAGACCCAGTCTGGCCAACGCGCCAAAGATGTCATTGCTTTTGGCATGAACCGTTTCCCTCCCACCGAACCTATCATTTTTACCGGTATCAGCACTCCATCCACATCCTGAATTTTTTGATTCACAGCTTCCTCTTTCGCCGATATAAGCATTGATCCTTTCTGTAGCATGTCCTCTCTGTTAATCTGATGGATATGGCTCACGTTCCCTTTCCTATTCCCCTTTCCATCTTAAACCAAAGATCCGATGATCCTTTAAATCATCTTTGTCTCTCCATGACATTACAGCTACTGAATAAAACCAAACGGTATCTGCATTTTCAAAAATTTGAGATCGAGCACGAACTTGTCGTTGGAGTATACTTCAACTGGATCGGCTCTCTTCTACGTCATCCCTACCAATAGCCTATGTCGACTAGCCAGCAGCCACTGATAATATGAGAGAAAGAGATGGAAAAAATTGACACAGTAAGAAAAAAATGACATGATTCAGTTGCAGCAAAATGGTAATTCGACAATTACAGACAATTAACCCAAAGACGGAATATTGAACAAATGGTCACTGTTCGAACATGCGACAAAAAGCTCAAAAAGGCCGAGCGGGCAGACATGTAGCTCAATGAGTTCAGGAGAAAAAAAAGCTTTTTAAATTAGCTTCTTCATCCCTGGTTTTCGTTGTATGCAAATGCACAGAGGTTTCCAACACCGCTCACACCACATGCTTTAAGAGACTATGATTGCAAGTTGAAACGTATCCATGATACGTTGCCTGGAAAACTAAGCAACAATTGTAAATCACGTTTATTTTTTTACATGCACACAAAAAGCAGAGCACTGAATATTCATTGGTGTGACCCAGCCGCGCCGATCACCTGCGACAGCTTGTCGCCTTGTTTGGTCGGGCCACCATATGCAGGTTGGTTTGTGGCGAACAGAAACCAAGGGGCAAGAGATGGAAAAAGAAAGGGGTCACTGGTGCCCGTTTTTTACTTTCGTACGAGGTGTCATTTAAGAATGAAGCGATAACAGATTTGCGATAGAAATGAAAACTCTGTTCAAAGAACTATCACATGGAATGTGTTCATGATTGTGTGACAGTGCGCTGCAGTGAATAGTGAACCGGTGGCGGGGTTTGAATAATTTTCAGAGAATGGGTAAAAGAGGGAGAAATGCCCAACTTTAAGTTTTTCACTGACACTTCTATTTTTTTTCTTTCATCATGGCCAAGTCTGGATTGAGTTCGTCAGCTCTCACTCGGCTAGCTCAGACGAGCCGTATTTTGGATAATCCAAAATGGAATCACCTCAAGAACATTGTCTTTTTTCTCGTCGTGATCAACTACTGGTGCAAATTCTACTCCAAGGTCGTGGTCGGTGGGCCTGTCCGGGCAGTCAAGGACTTCAAAGCCCATATCATGAGTGTAAGTTTTCTTGTCATTGGTGATGGCCAATGTTCACATGACAGCATTGTTAAAGAAACCCACGCTCTTACTTTTTAGGTATTTTTCAGACAACTCCGTCGTCTTCCTTCAGTGCAAGCCAAGATCGATGCCGAGCTTAACAAGACATTGGCGGAAATGGAGCATTCCATGACATCGCGAGAAGGAGATATCGTACCCAATTATAAACTTCCTCTTCACGGTCTGCAGAACGATCAAGTGTTGGAACGTCTTCAAGCGTAAGTAGCCAGTGTCCTAATGGATTTGTTCTTTCCCATCGAAACCTTCATGCTTACATAACAGTCATGCTCAATTTTTCCTGCTTTGTTTGTTTATTCGGCAGATTGAGAAAGATGAAGGCAAGGGACTGGGAAGGTGGCAGGGTCTCGGGCACCATTTATCACGGTGGTGAAGATTTGACGAATCTGTTGGCGGAAGCTTACCGTTTATTTGCCGTTTCAAATCCTCTGCATCCCGAAGTATTCCCTGGTGTGAGACGCATGGAGGCTGAATCGGTAGCCATGGTCTTGAGCATGTACAATGCCCCCGTCACCGGTTGTGGTACCATGACCAGTGGTGGCACCGAAAGTATTATTATGGCTTGCAAAGCGTATCGTGACATGTATAAGGATTTGAAAGGCATTCGATACCCTGAAATGTAAGTTATTTTCTTGGGTAACCAACCCTGCGTCGGAGGTATAATATCGGATGATCTTACGGGTCGATGTCGTTTTTTTTTTTCCATTCCGTTAGGGTGGTTCCCGAAACGATTCATGCTGCTTTTATGAAGGCCGCAGGTTATTTTAACATCAAGCTGATCATGGTTCCCGTTGATCCAGTTACCTACAAAGTGGATGTAAAAAAGATGGGACGAGCTATCACACGCAACACAATCATGGTAAGAACCACAAAGATGATGCGACCTGTGAATGTCAAAACTGAGAAACAAGCGGTCACTGTTTTTCTTGCTTGTTTAGATTGCGGGTTCGGCGGTGAACTTCCCTCACGGTATTGCTGATGATATTGTGGCTCTGGGCAAATTGGCCAAGAAACACAAGGTCGGACTTCACGTCGATTGTTGCTTAGGCAGCTTCATCATGCCTTTCCTCGAAAAGGCCGGTTTCCCTACCACACCATTTGATTTCCGAGTCGATGGCGTCACTTCGATTTCATGTGATACACACAAGGTAATATAGCACGCACACACTCACACGACAGGGTATGCACTCCATTCATCCATCGTATTAATTATATTTTTTTTTCTTTTTTAGTATGGTTTCGCCGCCAAGGGATCTTCTATTGTCATGTATCGTGACAAGGTGATCCGTAAATATCAATACTTCCTTTGCGCAGACTGGACCGGTGGTATTTATGCATCACCCAGTGTGGCGGGTTCAAGGTAAGATGATGTAAACATCTGATTCTCACGACGACGAGATAACTCACGCGAAATGTAGACCTGGTGCGTTGATTGCCGGTTGTTGGGCAGCATTGATGAAGATGGGTGAAGATGGTTATTTGGATTCCTGCAAAAAGATTGTCGGCGCTCGAAGCAAGATTGAAGCTGGGTAAGCATTGTTTGAAGGAAGGCCAAAAAAAGAAAAAGGCAAGGTATTGATTTCGTCGCGAATTTCAACAGTATCCGAGAAATCCCTCAACTTCATGTCAAGGGAGATCCCATTTCATCTGTGGTAGCATTTGGTGCCAACGACCCGATCAATATCTACGATGTGGGTGATGAATTATCGAAACGTGGATGGGATGTGAGCGCATTGCAAAACCCCCCGGCTCTTCATATTTCCGTAACGCTTTTGTGGGTGCCTAGCGCAGACCAGTTTGTGGAAGATTTGAAGGATGTTGTTCTCCATTTGGTAGCTAACCCCACCGGCAACAAAGGCAGCACCGCGGCCATTTATGGTACCGCAGCAAGCATACCGGATAAATCAATCATCAACGATGTGGCGGCTGGATTTATCGATCTTTTATACAAAGCATAAACTTTCTTTATTCTTTTATCGTTTATTTTATTATAAAAGGGCAAACAAACAAAAACAAACTTCTCGGATCGTTCATCATTCTTTTCGATGTGTTGTAGGTTATCGTTTCATCATTGTTCTCGGCGATGGACTGTACGAGCATCGGCTTGTTGGGTTGGGAATACTATGATTGATGATGAGGGACGCGACTTCAACGGCTTGGCGAAAAGAGATGTCAGACTTACCGAGCATATCGCAAATATTGACGTGAGGAGGTCGTGAAGCAGTAAATGTGATTAGTTCGGCAATATCCTGGCCCACCAAAGGTTCGACGCCTTTGTACACGTTGTCTGCTTTTTCTTTATCGCCTCGGAATCGTACGGTGGAAAACTCGGTGTTGACTAATCCAGGGCATATTTGACTGACACGTATAGGTGTATTCACTAGTTCATACAGCAACGCTCGGCTGATTGCGTCTACGGCATGTTTCGAAGCTATGATAGCGTTAGTCTTGCTGTTGTGTGATGTACGGCAACGGGGAATGAAAGAATATTACCGCAGTAAATACTACCGCCTGGGTAGCTTTGTTTACCAGCAACAGAGCCCAGGTTAATGATATGACCTGTCTGTCGAGCTTTCATACCCGGTAATATAGCCTGAGTGAGGAAAACGAGTCCTTTGACGTTGGTATCCATCATCGTGTCAAATGCTTCCTCCGACACGTCCGCCAGATGATCCACGCCAATCACCAAGCCGGCATTATTGACTAATACATCAATCTTTTCTTTCAAAGGGATGACAGCACAATCGATATATTGCTTTTTACTAACATCCAAAGCGACTGTGTGGATATCAATGTTTCCATATTGTTGTTTCAGCTCCTTCTTCAGGTTCTCCAGGCGTTCCAATCTTCTGGCGGCCAGAATCTGTCAAAGACGAACTTTAGAACGAGGTTCAACCAATCTCGATATTGAATAAGTTCTATCTTTTTACATACAAGATTGGAACCCTCTTTAGCAAATTCGCGCGCACAAGCTTCTCCAATACCTGACGACGCTCCTGTGCTAGCACACGTTGAGTGATCGCTTGGCCGCGCGTGTAGTTTTGCACTTGTCGGCTTACATCAATACATTCTTTCCCTTCAAACGGCCACCGCTGTAATCTCGCTTGCTAAGGAGTGCAAAGGCAGTGCGGGAGGTTCGGTGCAAGAGTCGTTCAAAAAGCATGATAGTTTGACAAGGAAAAAAGTGCAGTGTGAGAAAAAAAAAAAGAAACAGCACGAAATTTCGTTGTGCCACTCGACGTGAAGTTTTCAACCGCCGCCTGCCATCCCCGCCCTATGCGCGCTGTTTCCCAAAATGGAAAATAATGATGGAACTACAGCGTTGCGCTGGGGAATCTATTCCCAATGTCGGCACTTTGCATTCAATCATATCCATTCAACGGTCACAGCAAAAGCAAAAGATCCATCCACAAAGATGTCCAGAATAACATCAGCAAGCTTTGAAAAAAGAAGGTAGTTCGTATATGCTTCATGCTGTATTTTGGACTTTTTTTTTGTGTCTTCCATATATTTGGGTGGTACGCTAAACGAACAGACCTGTCTGTGCGAATCAGGCCATTTGTTAATGGTCAAAAGAGAGTTACAGCCAGTTTTCCCAAAAAGGATCAAATATATATCATATAGTAGTCATCCTACCGTCAATAATTCACGGAAGATGTAAATTTTTTATAGATTAACCTGTCCACGACTTTGCTGCTTGCTCTTCAGGAGAGAGAGGAAACAAAAAAGAGACACAACGAAGGGTTGGTCAGTGTTGGTCGTCAAAATTTCCACTGGAAGAAAGTTCAAAAGACAATGATTGGTTATTTGTTCATTCTCCGCCGTAGATACCTGAGATGATGGGCTCATGTGAAACTGGGATTTTTTGTCAGCAAGAACGATAAAAATTTATTATACCTGTAAAAGTTGCCCCACACTTTGTACGCCCGCTTACACAAATTCCTATTCTCTTTTTTCCCCTCCTTCCTTTTCCACCCTTTCTACTTTTGCTAAGCTTGTGAAGTTCATCATGCGTGAAGATATGATCAAGTCTGCCGTTTCCTTCTTATCGGATCCGAAGGTGCAGTCTGCGGCCTTGGCCAAGAAGGTCTCATTTTTGGAATCCAAAGGCATGACATCCGAAGAAATCGAAGAAGCCATGTCTCGTGTCAGCGGCAAATCCACCGGCGCATCCACTGCCGTAACTACCACAGCAGCGCCTGGAGGAACGCCTGGCGCAGTCACCACTACTGTTCCCGGAGGTATGGTCGTGCAAACTGCTCCGCCGCCCGTCCCACAGAGATTATCGTACGATTGGCGTGATGTCTTTATCGCTGCGGTATTAGCCGGTGGCGTCAGTTACGGTGTATGGACTTTGGCCAAGGTACAGTTAATCATTCACCTGCAATCAGTACGGTCGATAGCTTAGGATTAACCTTTGTTTCCTATTTTTTTTTTTTCAGAAATTGTTTGGTCCATGGTTCAAGGTGCCTACGCAAAAGGAATTGGAAGAAGATAAAGAAAAGTTGGATGCTCAATTCCAAGCTGGTAAGTGGACCAACAATGCGCTGCTAGTGGGATAGGCAAGACTGATGCGGATGTGATCATTGTAGTGGAGGATTCTTTGAAAGACATTAAAGACCAGACCAACGAGGCATTGACGACGGTATCGAGTCAGTCCAAGAAGGTGGAAGAATCATTGGAAAGTTTGGAAGGTGTATTGAAGGATCTCAAGGAAGGTGATGCATCTCGAGATAAGGAATTTGAAAAGGTCAAGGGAGATGTTGATTCTTTGAAAGAATTGGTACCAAAGGTAAGCAATAAACCGGATTATCTTGATGAATAGAGACTGACATCGAGAAATTGATGGCAGATGTTGGACCGCAACAAAGAAGCGCAGGCAGCTATCTTGAATGATCTCCAGAACGAAATTAAATCGCTCAAATCATTGATGTTGAGCCGACGACCTACCACGCCCGGATCTTCGTTGCTTGAGCAGGGATCAAGCAGCAACCCCATCCAGTCCCCAAGTACCCCCGGTGCAAGCACCGATGGCTTGTCTCCTCGATTGGCCGCTACGTTGAACGCTGGCAACCGACCGGGTATTCCCGCTTGGCAAATGGCCGCAGCCTCCAAGGCCAACGCCACCGCCAGTTCCGAAGCCAACAAACCTGCTGAATCAACCGAATCCGCCGAAGCAGCATAAACTGAGACTGAAAAGAAAAGGATATTGCAACTTGCTACAAAAGTAAAGCCATTTCTAAAATAGATTCTATGGATACCAAATCAAGAGGAATAAAATCGATGGAATGAAACTCTATAAGAATCAGAAAAAAATACCAGTTTATATGATCATTTCATTTCTTTTCAAGCATTCATCCTTATGCTTGTGGCTTTGAAATATAACAATCTCGATTTTTTCTTTTCCCGCTTTTTTTTTTTTTTTGTGCCCTGAATCTTTGCTCATCAACACAGTAGATCTATACTTGTATTCAGTATGGTTAGGTAATGCGGTTATATAAACTTATTACCTTGTAAAGATCTTTGGGACTGACTTTGTTGATGACAGCTTTCAATGCGATGCTTGCAGCGACGTTATCAAGAAGCCGAAATTGAAGTTTCATCAACAACGTTGTCATGCTACTTTTACTTGCATTGACTGTTCAACAACTTTCCAAGGAAACAGCTGGCAACAACACAACTCATGCATCACCGAAGCCGAAAAATATCAAGGTGCCCTGTACAAAAAGAAGGTAAGCTCTGATCGTTTGCCACATCGTCGCCATGGTGCTCACGGATACGTCAGGGTGCCGCGGGCAAAGCTGCAGCCAAACAACCCTCAAAGCCTGCAGCACAAGCTCCAGCACCAGCAAAAGCACCCGTATCGCTTATAGCGGAATTGAAGCAAATGGAAGCTAAAAAGACGGACGAATCCGATAAGAAACGAACATCTGACACTGCCGATGAAAAACCAAAGAAAAAGTCCAAGAAGGAAAAGAAATCGAGTGCAGAACAAAGACCGTTGACGGAATGGAGTGACACGGAGATGGAGAACGATTTAGACAAAAGTTTGGCATTGGCACTGCAAAAGGTGCTCAAAGATGGGGTATGTGCTTATCTATTTGCTTGGATTGCCCATGGCAACAATAACACACAATTAACGTTTAAATATGATGGACGCTTTTTCCTTTTTTAGAAATCGCATACTCTTTCGAAGCTTCGACGAAGCATATACAAGATGCATGAAAAACATCCAAAGATGACAGCAACAAAGGACACGAAACAGGTGCTTAAAAAGCGTTTCGATGAGGCTTTCCAATTGCGTTTGGAGAATGGTGTCATTGTCTTGTCGTCAGCGACCACCGATAAATCTTGAAAAACGGTCCGAGCTCCATTGTATGTTTTTCCAGGCGGCTTGAAACAAATATGAGACATCTGCTATTGAGACAAGAGGGAAGAAACATTGCTCCAATTTTCATAAGCTTTAGACCTCACGGTATTCATAGGATGTCTGTAAATGATACTACCATAATTCACATTTTGATAAACCATTCCTTTCATGATCCTGACCATGCGGTGATATTTCAAAGGACATGCAAGTATTGGGGTGCTAAAGACAGTGTTCAGATGATAAAAAAAGGTGATGACAAGTTGATTGTAACTCTCCGTACAAACAAACGAAAGAGTATCAGTTTATCCATGATAATTTAAGAATAGCCACATGAAATCAAATAAATCCTCTTTTTTGGATTTTCAGCTTCATCACTGCTTGTCAACACTACGAGATGAAAACCTTTATTTTCGGCTGCATGCTGGCCTCCACAAGCATGCTGGCCCAAGCTTACGCCAGCATGCAAGCGACTCACATAATCAAACTAAAAAATACTGTTAACAAAACTGCTGGTGAGTGCTCAATTTTTTGCATGATAAAAAAGTTTTTTTTTGTTTGGTTCGTGTCATCTCATCCCTGGTTAATAGCATATGATTTCATTTTGTCGCGTCATCACGCTTACGTGCTTGCCACGCACGCCAAGAAGATGGAAATGCTGAATGCCACATTGTCACCTCGCGATGCCATCAATGAGGAGGATGGTTACGTGCATCAGAGTGCGGAAGAACTCACGTTGATGGCGGACAATCTGGGGAAACAACTTTGGTTGGACTCCATCGACATTGGCTCTGAATTCGTGGCGGTCTCGGGTGTATTTAACGACGGCAATTTCTTCAACTATTTGAATGAACAACAAGAGATTGAATACGTCGAACCCAATCAGATTTACAAAGCCGCAGTCGTGCTTCCTCAAGAAAAATGGCAGTGGAACGATAAACCGACGTGGACTCAACAACTCGTTCGTTCCGGCAAATCCTTGTACAAGCGAGCCGTCAGCAAAGTGGCTTCTCCCAACTGGGGATTAGCCCGCCTTAACCAGCGCGAGAATGGTCATCTCGAAGAATACAGTTTTGATGAAGAAGCCGGGTAATTAATTGTTCTGTATTTTTTGAATTCTTTATACATATTGAAAATTCAACTTCCGAACTGTGACCTCCATATTCTAACACTTCTTTCTTCTAAAATGTAGTGCGGGAATCCATGTGTTTGTCCTTGATACGGGTGTTCATGTGGAGCATGCCGACTTCGAAAACCGTGCGGTTGTTTCGGCTAATATGGTGGCCCATGAAGACGATACCGATTTTGGCGGCCACGGTAAGAAAGTTGGCCACTTACTTCGTTTTTAACTGCAATAACGGTTACTCAAACTCAAATGAATAGGAACTCACGTTGCTGGCAAAGTGGCCGGTAAAGTGTATGGTGTGGCTAAAGCGGCATCGATCCATGCTGTCAAGATTTTGGATAAAGCAGGTGACGGAACCACCAGTAATCTGATCAAGGGTGAGATTTTTTTTGGATATCAATTCATATGAGATGATGTGGCTGACGGCATGTTTCTTGTTTTATTTGTTTAGGCATTTCGCATGTGATTCAGGTCGCTCCACGTGGCAAAAGCTTAATTAATCTGTCACTTAGCGGACCGAAATCGCGCATGATTGACGAAGTGTTGAGCAAAGCGGTCAAGGAGTTCAACATTCCTATTTTTGTCTCGGCGGGCAATGCTGGTAGTGATGCTTGCTATTTCTCGCCTTCTTCCAACGGTGATGTGTTTGCTGTGGGTGCTACAGATATTAACGATGAAGTCCCTTTTTACTCGGATATTGGACCATGTGTTCGTCTTTACGCACCGGGCTCCGACATTAAGAGTACCTGGATTGGCGGTTTAGACGAAACAAAGACCCTGGATGGCACAAGGTAAATTTGGAATTTGTTTCTGCCTCTCTCCCTTTTTTTAATACGATGAGCGCTAACGTATGACAATGACTAGTATGGCCAACCCTCATGTGGCTGGTATTGCGGCGACTTTGATGTCTCGCAAAAATTATGCAACGGCCAGCGAGTTATACAACGATTTGACGGCCTTGGCCACCAAAGACATTCTGGCCTTCCGCTCCACAAGACCCGACATGCCAAAGAGCAACAACTTGATGGCCTACAATGCCGTTGGAAACGAATAAGAGTTTGAAATCATAAAATGTACACTTCTTTCTTGATAAAAATATGTATGAAAATAAAATAAAGGAAGTTCACTTGAAATCATTCAGTTATTTTACTTGTTCACTTTGGAAGTATTGATCAATCTCATATAAAGGCTGTGCGTCCCGAATCAAATAGAGTGATGTACGTATACTGTAATGCCGATTTAGATCATTCTCTTCTTGGAATCAAGAGAGCAAATATAACGTTATCTTTCACACTTTTTCTGTTTTGCTTGTTTTTTTTGTATCTGATGATCTCCATGGTTGTCTATCAGACACGGCTGTCTAGATTTTATGTTTGTTTCTTATCTCTTTTTTTAATGGTTTCTCTGTAGCCAACATGGAGACCAATGCGGGCGATCATAAAGAGACGAGACCGTGGCTTTTGTTTATTCCGGTGAGAGTAATGTTTCGAGATGGTCATTTTTCAACCTGAGATCGGTTTTCTGGGCGTGTGTTTGCATTTTTATTTCGCCTCGACCAATAAACCGTTTTGTGTCGCAATTATAGAGAAAAATGTATCGCCGTTGTTTTGATTGCAGGAAGGAGAAACGAGGATGATATTCGATTACATTTTATTCTTCTCATTCTATTTTCCTTTTTGTTTCTCGCTTATTGTTGTTCCAATCGAAAAAAAAAGAAGATAGTTCCAATTCACCTTTTTAGCCAATCCACCTATTTCGACGGGTCCTTTTTCCTTTCTTGTTACGAATCATGCCGACTGTAGAGGTTGCTCGCAGTCCTACCATATCTGAACACACCTGTCGCCTTGTCGAATGTTCATGGCGACGGGTGTTAGCCATTGCCCAAAATCACGTAGACGAATATGAGCGCGAAGAAGAAAATTATCGCCAAATCCGACAACAACACTCTGAAAGTGGAAGCTTGCGTCGATCGAATCGGAGTACGGCACGCCAAAGTGATGAACGGAGGCGGTCCAGTTATGCACCGTCCACCAATGACAACGAAGAAGAACAACGCGGGTCTCACGAATTTTATGACCGAGAAAGGAAAATGATTTATGCCTTGGACTCGCTCTTCTCTCTTGCGTATGAAGGTAGGCTTGCAAACCTACTATTGAGAGATAACAACGAAAAATACTGATACTGCTTTTTTACTACAACGAAAAGGATCCGGGTATTTGGCGTTTATTGCCACCATGACCAAGCTTCTGGATCCCGATAGTCCAGTGGCTATGGCCTTCTTGACGCACATCATTGACCGCTCGGCATTACCTTCAAGGACCACCATGTCGCGTGTCTCGCTGGTCATCTTGAGCCGACTCAGAGGGTCTACCGGCAAACTGCAGCGTATTCTTACCCTGGGCCGCCACAGGATAGGACGGTTAAAAAAAACCACTCAGCATTCCTGGCGAGCACGAGGAAACCATACCCGTTCAGCTCGCGACGCGGATGAAATGAACGACCATGGCGATGACGCTGCTTCGATCGTCCACTTGAAGTTAAACGCGACTATTCTCTGGTCTTTATTAGCCGAGAAATTTGCCGGTGATATGTGTCTCAGCCTGTGGATGAATGAAGTCGGTGACCTTTTGCTGCGAATGCTCGCCGATCCGAACGAGGATCTCATGGTCCGAATTTTATCCCTGCTCGCTCTCGAGAAATTCGCTTTAACAGGTAAAGAAAAGCCTTTTATCATCTCATACTCTTACTCATACTCATACCCATATTTCCTTCCAATGTAGGTGTCATCAAAGACATGATACTGGCGCATCCGTTGGATCTACGTTCGATACTGATGAAAATCATGGAAGAATGTGAAATTGCCAATTATCGCATTTATCTAATGTCAAAATATTCGAAAGAAAACGAGCTACTGTCGCTTCCTTCGTCTTCAACGTCTCCGTTTCGCGATTACAGCAGATTCACGCAACCCTCCGCTTCTTCCTTTAGTCAGCAAGATCAATTCTCGTCACAGTCTTCCCTGCCAAGCCGGCCGCCAACGGCAGACAAATGGAACGACATGTTGCGACACTTGTTCAAGAAGCTTACCATGAATATCACGGGTCTGTTGAAATCACGACGGCCACACGGCATCGAGAGTTTACGTGATGATGATGTGCCAAGTACAACCACCTCGGATTATCCTCGCATCTGTGTGGCTCTGGAAGAACGGAAAAAACTCCACAGTCCTCACCATTGGTCAGACGCTCACAAGCTTAGTGACACACTCACCACACTGGGATCACAACAAAGCGAGAATGATCGATACAAAGATGCGGCCTTTGCCGGGTTCTCAAGTATGAACAGTTTTGTTACCGGCTTTATTCCACCTGAAGGTCCTATGCGAGACGAATGGACAAAATACATGCAGCTCTCTTTTTGCGTTCGATGGGCCTTGGATAATGTGTTTGTAAAGGAAAATTCAAAGGTAAGACAAAAAGTGTCACAGCTAAGCTGGGTGTGGATCAGAAAAAAAACTCATCAATGGCTCTCATTGACAGCCCGTGTGTCCTTGGGATTTGTCTCATTTGAACATGATTATGAACCCATTCGATGCAACTCCCAATTGGAAAATAAGCAGTAGCGGATTGGAGGTAATTTAACAACAAAACGTTGGACAAGATGCACGTTCACCATAACTGATAATGGGATTTTCGTCTATGTGCTTAGGTGCGGAATGATCGACCACATTTTGAATCAATTCGATCCACCGCTTGTGTGAAGTCCGGCAAATGGTACTATGAAACATTGGTGTTGAGCAGCGGAATTATGCAACTCGGCTGGGCCACGACACGGTGCCGATTTACCCCAGAGGAAGGCTATGGCGTAGGCGACGATTGTGTAAGTGGATACTTGGGGCGACGCCTCCCAATGGCAAGCCAAAAGCAACAAACTGAACGCGCTGATTTAATGTTAGAATGGTTTCGCCTTTGATACCTATCGCACGGCTGTATGGGTAAGGAGATACATGAAAACAAACAAACAAGCAAAAAAAAAAAAAAAAAAAAAAAAAAACATAATTCACTCACACTGATTCAAATCACGTTTATTTTCAAAACAAACACAGGCGGATGGGACGGCCGTTTATCCTCAGACCAATGAAAAAATCCGTTGCCGAGCAGGCGATGTATTGGGAAGCTATCTCGACTTGGACAATGGACTCTGTTCTTACTTTATCAACGGTGAAGAGATTGGACTCACGGTTGATTTTGAGAATCCACAATATACACATGGTAAGGCTTCTTCCATCACAGAAACTACCGACCAAATCCCCGTGGCACCGCCTCCACCACCGCCTCCCTCTTCACCGTCCCAGCAGCAGCCTTCCTCCAGCGACATCGACACACTATCGACATCGGATCCTCCTGCATCTGCCACTAAACCTTTGGGCCTGTATCCGGCCATCAGCCTGACAACGCATCAGCATTTACTGCTGAATTTTGGTGATCATCCTTGGCTATATCCTCCGCCTATCACGGCTCACTATCGTGGTATTGCTGAAGCTGGACGATTAGATACCGCCTACAAGCGACGAGTCATTCGATGGGCGTACAAACGCGGTCTAAAGACTCCCAATTCTTTCAACAAACCACCGCTACGGCCCAAACCCGCTCACGGGGACGACCATCATGATGATGCGGAAACACCCACCAGCGATCTTAGTGATGAAACCGAAGACAGTCGGATCAGCGACTATGACTGGGACGGGCCCTTGTGCACCATCTGTTTCTCCGAACCCAAAGATGTCATTTTGATGCCGTGTCAGCATGGCGGATTAGGTCAGCAGTGTGCGGAAATATTGGAAACTTGGTAAGTTGCCTAGGATCTTTGAGAAGTTTCTGGTATGATACCCGAATCACTCAATCGTTTTTTCCTTTCACAGCCCCTTGTGTCGAGCCCAAATTGATGAACGCATCGTCATGGAAGACGTATTACAAAGTAAACCGCGTAAATCCGTCCGAGCGTAGAACCAGCAGAAAATAGCCTGAATCTTTTAGTATATCTCTAAATCTGTATCTGTGGCAGACATATCATTCAGCTGCCTTGTATTTTTGTTGCATCCCTTATCCAAATCGATTAAACAAAGGACCCCTCTGAATCCTCAGCCCACTACCGTCGGCTTACTGCTCGGCTGTACACGATGATGGAAATAGTACCCTGATTTCGTGGAATAATATCTGAGCGTTTATTGTCATGCCATGATTGCTTGTTGTTTCAGGTGGAATTAAACTGAAAATTAAGCGGCAAGGCAAAGGTACGGAAGCTTGCTATCAACAGAAAGTGAAAGACAATATGATAATCCGCAGAGCAAGCCAGCTATGTCTTTTACATTACCCATCCCAACTCGTATACGGTGCATGATGGTGATATGTAATGGAAGCACAGGTGAGATGGCGCGAGAAGCTCAAAAGGGCGCATCCTGGGGTTTTTGTGCGAGTCCAGTCAATGAGGTGGACTGTAATATTTTCCTCCAAAGGTCACGTCTGGATATGATAATGAAGGGTTATATAAAGACCCCACTGTTGTGGCTGAACTAGAGTTCTTTGTCTTGTTGTCGACTAAGCAAGAGTCGTTTATTGTCTTGCATTGATCTGATCAATCTTGATAGCTTTAACATGCCACTCGTAGCTTGCGGATGGGGGGGGGGCTGCTAGTGGGCGCGCTACGGGTTTTTTCATTTTCCTTCGGGTTCGTTTTTTGGCTAGCTTCCCTGGGTAGGCCGAAAAATAGGCAATTGAAAGATAAAAATTACTAGCTTAGCTTAGAAGACATACAACAGGATAGCCCTTTTTCTAGGTTGTTGTTCATTTGTCCTCTATTCAATGAAGTCGTCTAATGGTCCCTCGTGCCCAAAAACCGATCCCCTTATACATGTGTTCTGCCCCCCGCAGCTCACTCTCAACTAGTGCCGTACACAACCACTTGGCTTAGCTAACGTCAAACACATGTTGCTGATCGTTCTTTATTTTATAGTGACCATATTTAATGCTGTTACGGCCAGAGACCATGGACCGGCGGACCTTCACCTTGCGGCGGAAATCTTCCCAATACATCGTTGCCGTGGCTTTTTCCTCATGCTGGATATCGAATGCTTCACCTATTTAAATCGAGCCTTGGAATCTCCCTTGTCTCCCATCGTTATTTTCGCCACGAGGCATGTGACTGCATGCAAGCATCCAAAAGACGCGTCTGTTCCGCCGGCTCGACAGGAACATTAGTTTAACACTCATCAGTGCTTTAAATGTATTCTCTGGTAGTTGTTCTCACAGTGGCTGCCAATTTTGAGGTACAGTAGGGTGCTTGTGTGATGAGGAACAAACATCACGAATCGGCAAATACTTAGTCAGTGCTTCTGATGGCGACCCACTCGAAAGTGGAATCAGACACTGTGGACTAGGTACACGCTTCAGTGGCCTGATACAGCGTCGCGGAAGGATTAGCATATGCCCTTGTAGTAAGGGATCTTCTCACACCAGATAGGAAAGCCAAGGCCCACTACTAATGTCAACAATGTGGGGAAGTTTCTGTTTAATTCGTGGCTGTTCGTTTCTTGAAAATTATAAAATGCCCGCCAGATACCGACTTTCTGAAAATTTGATTCCGCTAGGATCCATATGCATCGACATACCAATTTGCTCAGGATAATAAGGCGTTACAATGTAGTCTTTGCAGGCAATTTCTTTTCGCGGACATGCCCAGCAACGGTACGATTACTAAACAAAAAAAAAAGATCATGAGCTACTCTACTGTGATTATATTTTCATATATGTAAACAACAATGATCATAAAAGGGGAACTATTATTTTGGGTCGCTTGTCTGCGCCATGGAGTGATAATGGTGATGTTCTAAAGAGATAAGAAGAAAGGGTGGGAGAGTTTTCGCGAAGTGTGGCACGGATGGTATCTTCGGGTATCACGGCAATTGCGTCCTGCCCCTCCTCTTCCATGGCCTTGTAAATCTCCTCCTGTTCTTTCAAACCGATGAATAGGTAACAAAGGATTTCAAAGACCTTGATCCATTTATTCCTTCGAGCAAATGCTGTTGGAATTTCTGCAGAACGCACTTCACGATAATATGAAACGACCTTCTTCATTGAACTGAACCTCCGATAAAACGATGTTGGTTTTCATGGTTTAAAGGCCAAATACTTTAGCTGCAGAGAGTGTTGTAAAGCTTGCATTCAAATGGGAGTTCGCGATGCCTTTGAGGGTTGCCATAAGAGAATCGAGTTGTATGAGACTGTCATCGATGGTCTTCATCACAGACGCTTTGTTTTGGCCCGATGATCCTTCCATCGCTGTTGATGTCATAGCCTAGGCCGTCAGCATATCGTGGTGAAGCTTTCTCAAAAAGAAGTCGTCCATAACTTCTAATGCATGGTGAGTGGTTTCAACTTCGCACCCGTCAAAACCAAGAGTCCCGGTTTGATTTGCAAATGTCTGGAAGATGGGTACCATCTGTCGAACCCACCACGTCCGTTCGTAGTCGGTGCAAGTCTTGGTATCGATGCCGCTGATGCAGCAGGTGTGTGCAACGCTGATCAGCACAAGCTTGACAATGTTACAGAGCTGCTGTTCTTCCCGGATATTGGTATCAACCTGCTGTATCCAGAGTTATCGTCGTAAATCATCGAGTGCTTGCTTCAACCCATTGCGTAAAAGTGTTTCTACGGCTGGAAACTTCTGCAAGGATTCCAAGTTCGTTTCATTCGTCATACTTGGGAAATTTGGGCGTGTTTTGTGGGTTCAAATATGAACTGCTGGAAAAACTGATAACAGTATTTTTGTGCCTGCAGGCAATGGTGACTGAGTTTGTGCGTTGGCGTTTTCGATTTGACGGCGATGGGTCCCCGGTTTGTTCACTCTCGGTAGGCAATGTAGAGATGTGGGTATGTATATGAACTTCATATTCATTGATCGTTTCAAAGTGTTCCAAGCAAGAAGGGCAAGCAAATCGTTTATGAATAGCATCATGGCCTCCATGGCCGACTTTCTTCACAATTGTGTATTCGGAACTATCGCGATGGCGTTGGCCTCGTCTTAATCAGGGTACGATGATATTGTGCTTCACCAGAAAATGCGAACGCATGTTACGTCCCTCGATTTTGATTTCAGCACATTGATGGCAAGCTTAGACAAGGGTAATGAGGAGAGGACTTCCGGATATGTCCGCCGTCGTTGCTGTGGCAGGCAGTGCCATGGCGCCACGTTTATCCGATAAAACGATTTGAAATGACTTGAAACGATTTACAACGATTTACAACGATTTGAAACGATTTGCGAACTACACGCGCGAAAAATCCAATTAGTGTGACGTGATTTTTTACCTCTTTTTTTTTTTTTACTTACCGTGCAGAAGTGAGACTTAACAAAGGGGTTCGTCGGTGATGCTTTCCATATCAACCACATTTATGCCTATTGGTATTTAAGGCTAAATCGACCTGGTAGAACTGTAGAATCCTTCGCATGATTGATCCAGCATTGATATTCCTGTTCCAATCTGGGACACATATAAGCTCATTGACATACAATCAAATATGCATAAACCAGATTTGCTTAATTACCAATTGTTTGGAAGGCTGGAAGTGTGGGCACAGTCAGACCGGATAATGATGCTCTTGTAGGAACGACCTAACCGAACCTAAGATTGCTGCTGCACAAATATTGCCACATTTGTGTTTACCTACTGGTCTTCTTTCTGTGCATTCGGACGTGAAGCATAACACGCTTTTGCCTTCTTCAAACATCTTTGCCAGGCTCTTCGATCCAGGCCCTTCTCAAACGCAAGATTTTTTTTTTTTTTTTTTTTTTTTGCTGTCAGTGAGTTTATTTCCAAAGAAAAGTGTAAAAGTTACCTTTGTTTGCAGACAGTAGTTTGTTCGCCACGAACTTCTACCGTGGTAGCATCACAATTGGCTACAGACTTTGCCGGCCCGATAATCTTCTGAGCGAGTAATTTTTTTTTTCTAAAGCGCCGAAAATCCTTATTTTGTCAATATAAGGTATGACTCGCTGATAATCTCGACATACCTTTACGGCAACCCGAGCGTCGCCTATCAAAGAGCGAAGATCTGCATCACCGAAAGCAACAGCTATTTGCCCATTTATGCCTTTTAGTTGCCCCGTGGTTTTGGACGTTTTCGCTTTCGACAGTTCAAGCGCCCATATTTCAGATGGCTATGGTAAAAGTAATACGTGTCAATACAATCCACAGGCATCATTTATGGCTTCCTTTACCAAGCGAGCTTTCGCGGGATCTTCTAAAAGACTATCTGCCATCTTACTTAGTATCCTCCTCTGCTGAGATTGCAGACGAGCGCCGCAGTTGAACACCTGTAATCTAATACCAATGAAATCAGAAACATATAGCCTTCTGGAGAACAATAATTTACCTTATGTGGATCTTTGAGATTGGCTGTCGTTAAAAGCGATCTATTTGGCACAGAGATAGGAGACCTGTTTCGAACTGTTGGGTGATGCATAGCCAGGGGATTTTTTGATCTGTTCGTGGCGAATCGGTTGAAAAACCAGAGATAAAGGGTACTTCTCGAGTTGGGCTATTAGCTTGGCCTTATGCGACTGAATAAATGCTAATCCAGACATCTGCGAGCGCGTTGTCAGGAAATCAGCTATTTGTGAATTAACACGCTTGTGGCTAAGTCGAGCTTGGACTTAATGATTTGATATTAAAGTGGCTCTCCAGAACTGACGTTATATGCTATTCTTAATTTCGTAGCTGCATAACAGTCATTGCCACATCTACGCTTCCTTTTTCAAGCCGTTGCCATCATACTGTTTTAAAAACGGCTTTGTTGATTTCGCGTCCAAAGTTCTAGTGCTTTACAGAGATAATCTGTTACGGCATAGTTCACCGCTACAACTCGCTCATCTGCAACAAGGTCCACAGTGGTTTTATTTTGTATCAATCGGCAAGAGCTTACGACAATCAATGCGGCACCGCAATTTCATCATTGCTTTTTCCCTGCTTGCTCATTGGGCTTGAAGTCATGTGTTTTTAATTTAAACCCTTCCTGATTTTAGATCGACTTCAAGATCGATTGGAAGTAAACGTCTGCACGCGACTTTCAAATAGCTTGCGCGGCCGATATTTTGATATGGCTGATCAGTGTAATGCATAGTTTTGGCAGTTTCAAGATACTTTGTAAAGGATACGTATTTGGGGGTGTCTTCAGTAGTAAGCAGAAAAGATATTTTTTTATTAGACTTATGGAATTTACAAATCAAAGAGATGGTACACAAAGTGTGTCTATGACTAATTACTTCGACGCGGCAGCGGTAGAAACAGACTTGGATCAAGCGGCGGTGTGGAGACCAGAGAAATGAAAGCAGCAAGCAGGTGGCGACGGCGTCGATGACAAGCGATGGAAGAACGAGAAGATAACCAGTCGTTGATGATTGATGACAGACTTAATCCCTTTATTTCCATGGTCCCAGAGCAATTATTGATGTATTTTCTCTTATCTCTATCACAGGTCTCCCTGGCTAGGCGAACGACAAACATTAAGGATCCCCTGTGACATCACAGAGAAGATCCCAGTGTTTTGACAAAGAAGGCTCTGGGGCATTATCCTGTGGGTTCACCAGGATATGTCTCATAATGCCACGGAATCTCCTCTTGAAGTCATAGGATGGATGGTGCGAGGCGTCCAGTGAAGCCATAGGATCCTCGTGATGCCATAGGGGCTCCCAGTGGTATGAACCTTTCAGCAAGGTACCACCACCACCATGCCGGCGTAGGCTTAGGTAAGTTTCACGGTTTGCTAACTTTTTTGGCTCATTAGATTGACGTCCACAGTACATCACCGGTTTTCGATTGTGTAGGTAATTTTTTCTTTTGGTTCATTGTTTTCCCATTTTCATTCCGTCATTGCTCGCCTCAACGTCACCGTTCTCTGATTGCTGCTTGGATCCCCTGGTCTCCAAACCTACGCTCGATTCAAGTCTGTTTCACCCGCAGGCCGCTTCAAAGTACTTAGTCATAGACCGCTTTTTGTAACATCTCTTTATTTGTACATTCCATAACATCCAGTAAAATATATCTTTTCTGCCCACTATTTAAGACACCTTCAAATAAGTAGCTTTTACAAGATATTTTGTAATCGTTAAAACATGTGCAATATTGCTCAGCAATGCCAAAATTTCGGCTGCGCAAGACGACTCTTCCACACAACAAAACGATACGGAAAGACTTCCAAACAAACCATTGAATTTTTCTATATAGTCGAAATACAGGGTAGGTTCTTCGGCCCAAATGGTATCTTTTCTTATATCTTGTAATGTTGGGACATTATGATGGAACAGTTAACCGGCTTGCTCTCTAAGGTATTCCTTGAAGTTTTTACAGTTCGAGCTACTTTACTTTCAATTAGTCAACGTTAGACTTCAGTACTATTATTAACACCTACACTGCTTGTACATACGGCTTGCTGTGAGGCTTGACAAAACGGAAACAAGACATAATACAGAAAGGGTTTTAACTGCACGTCGCCTTTTACTGTCCAAAGGACGTCCTCCAACATCTGTGATATATTAGGCACTTTAGAACAAAAGAAGATAATGAGAATGAGACTGTTGGATATATTTAATTCGATTAATGTGATCTGCTTAATAATTTAGTCTTGAGTCGAAACGTATAATTAGCAGTGAGCAGGTTCGGTTATAAGGTGTTTTTAAAATAATCCTCCTATTCTTGTGTACTGCTGTTGCAGCTCACTCTCAACCATGCCATCCACATACACTTGGCTCCATTTAAGACCAAGTGGCATATTGCTGGTCGTTTTCTGTTTTAGGGTATCTGTATTTACTGGTTCAATGCCAGAGACGATGGGCTTACAATATCCAGGAACATAAGTTTACTATGCTGGCGGCAACAAAATACTCATCGATCCTTAAATTGGTATCTTCTCGCAGTTGACCTGATCGCGCTAATTCTTAGTAGGTCAAAGGATTGTGAAATGAAGTTCAAACATCACGATCCTGCACATGGGTAGATGATGGTTACAATGCCCGCATTGCCCCAGTCGAAGATGGAACCAAACTATTGCCTAGGTACAAGCAAATGGTATGATCAACACCATATAACTTTTAAACGATACAGACTTGCTTCTATCTACCCTGAAAAGTGTCATTCACAAAATGCTTATGTGAGCTTTCTATACTCTTTGTTTAGGCGACCAACTGCAGATTTATATGGAAACGTGTAGTATCAGTCACATTCCATTTTAAAGTTTACAGTGGTCAAATCGCTTAACGATCATCATTCGTTTCAATGCTTGCGAATAATAATATGTACTTCCTCCGTGTATGGGCAAATTTTAATCGGATCAAAAGTAACCAAACTTGCCATATTGGGTCATTTCCTGCGTCTTTTCGTATTTCAAAAGGTCTGTCTGGGCGCAGATGAAGCCTCGTAAAATCATGTCGCAAAAGATGTATCATGTCTGCGGCTAAAGTTGGAACAACACCATTCTGAAATATCTTGGCTTTTTGTGCATATTCATATATCTTGGAAACGGTTTATTATAGCGATCGTGATATCTCCTGCAAGAGGTTTCTAGTGCAAATGTAAACATGAAAGTGAAGTGGTCATAACAGAAAAAAGGCCCAGTCTCTGCTTTCTGTAATCAGCGAAGATCAATTTGAAAGTCGCCCATGGTGTTCATGAGCTCGTTGAGGTGGTGAGTCTGATGCAGCATGGAAGCTGTCACAAGTTTCTGACAGGCATCTTTGTCGATCGATTGACCTTGTCGCATGCAGTGTAGCATACCGTATAGTTCTTTATCCGCCACAGGATCGGGATTCAGTGATTCTAACAAGTTGCGCATATCAAGATCACTGCAGTGGGCCACTTGTTTCCAACGCAACAGTGATACATTTGAGTTTGACGCGTTTCATCGTGTCTCCGTGGTTGATCTATGACACCCAAATTACCTTCTCCCAGTAGGCTAGCGTCAGGAACAATCACCGGATTAGAGTGAGTGCTCGTTGGATCATTGAGAGTCATGGCAGATGAGTAGTGAATTGAGAAAAAAGGAGGAAAAAATACAAGAAAGGGCTACATTGGCGTTGTTTGCTTTTAAAAAGACAAAAGTTCATTGTGGACTATCATGTGAAAATTTTGTCACTTTGTGTACCATTAAACGAAATAGGATGGCACAAGAAAAAAAAATTCTATGCAAAAAAAATCGTGCTTTAATTAAATAACTTGCTTCCAAAGCTTTCAAAGAGAGCTTTTCTCTCCTTTTTCCTGCCATCTTTTTTCTTTTTGTCAGTCACAGGTAAAGGACTGTTGCGTACCGATGCCACGGCACTCACGTCAGCCTCCACTGCAGACGATCGCACCGCATTTTGGTCAACTACATTGGTACTGGCCATCGACCGCGGAGTCGCTGGCGGACTGTGAGACGGAGTGGATCGCATCGTTGAGAAGCTGAAACCTCCCATGGACATCATGGATCGAGACAAAGTGTGGTTGCCATAAGTGGATCGACCCGTGAACGAAGGTGTGCGACTTCGATGGGTGGCCGATGTAGGTGAATTGTTACCGGTGGAGCTGTTGCTTTGATACGATGACGGGGTCTGAGCTGGATCATAGACAGACGTTCTTGTATGCTGTTCAAGCGCCGGGTATTGTTGCAAAAACGACTGAGGTTGCGTAGAGGAAGACGATAATGCAGGCGATGGAAATGCCGACGAATAATTGGAGGTGGATAACGAGGCTGAAGGGGAAGGCGTCATCGGTATATTGGAGGATGGTAATTCATTCGGGGTCGATCGTGTGCGTTGTCGTGGAGTCATAGGTTCATGTTCCATTGGCATCTGCTGCTGTTGTTGGATCATTTTTCTTGCGGCAATCATTAACTTCAAGGCACGAATCTGCAAACTCATTTGATGCGCCAGAGCCGCGGTCTCAAAGATCAAAGGCGCCGTTGACATGTTCAACATTTGATGCAGTGCGTGGGTGGCCACTTCCCGTAAGCGCGGTAAATCATACATATCAGAAAACAGTAAAAGCTGTGAAAGAATGTGTGGCTGGTATTGCTGAGCTGTCAATAAATTGTCGGTGTAAAGGAACTGCAGTAATGCAACAATGACTGGGTAAGGATAAGGAAAGGCGATGAACCGTTTCTTGTTGGTCGTCAAATAGTCTTCACTGCTGGGACTCGGCAGCGGGGCCAAGGGCTTGTTTAACCCATCGCTCGATAAACCCTGAATCGATTCAGGCGAATCAACTTGGGGTGTGTTGGCGGTTTCCATCTGTTGCGATTCTTTTAAAAGAGAAGCAAAGTAAGGCCAGCGTTGCGATACGACGGCTGAATTGACGGGAATCACTTGTTTTTCACGAGTAATAATGTGGACATCCGAGACGGCCGGTTCGTTCAAAAGACGTAACCCCATCTCTTGAGCGAGCGTCGAGCACGTTGTTTTCGGTAATCTGTAAATACCAAAGGCTTCCATATCGACGGTGACAAGGTGGTTGAAATTCACTTGACGGTGGTTGTAGTCATCCAACAGGTTGCTCCCTCGATGTCCAAACACGATCAATCGATTGGTCTCTTCATGCAATACGGCCTTGTTCCATGATCCAGAATTGAATACGGGCCCTGTTTCGACCCGTGCCCAGACCAGCGTGCTAAGATTGAGGGACCACACAGTGTAAGACTGCACTTGAGGCGAGAGGTAAGTGCCGGCGACAATGAGATGGTTGCCAAGCACGTAACCGGTGGGAAAACGTAAACCGGGCGGCATGACTGAACCGTCCATCAGAGAAGAACATTCTTCAATGGTGGATGAAGTTGATCCCGGCGAATAAATAAGCTGGAGTTCCCGCTTGACGTCGGCAAAATTGTAATTGGTATAGAGATAAATCAAACTGCGATCTGAAGCTGATGCCGTCGGGTGGTGTTGCTGCTGTGGTGAGTGATCGTTTTTCTGAGGGCTCGGTGGGACGTCTTTGGAAACGCCTTCGGATTCATAGCCGGACGTTTCTTCTCGCGGTGTTTTATTTTTCATTGGCAGTGAGAGATGGATCCCTGGAGGGGTGGTGATGGCAATCGATCGATAGGCGCCGATATGTTTATCCAACGATTTGACTTGGATCCAATCCCATGTTTCCAAATGCAGTACATTGATTTCACCAAGGTAACCATTATTCATGTCTTGACCGCCCACAATAATAAGGCGATCTTCACTGACAGCTGATAAATGCGCGTACCGAGGTCGGGGGGCAAACAGCGAGGGTCGAATGGTACAACTTTTCCAACACATGGTTTCGACGTCAAACACGGCCACGTCATCGAGGACACACAATCCGTCTGCCGAGATTCGCGAATAGCCCATGCCACCAAATATGATGATTTTTTTCTTATATACACTTGCGGAATGGAAATAGCGTGGTTTCGGTGGTTTATCGCTGTCGGGAGAAGGAATGTGACGAGTCCAGGTGAGCGTTTTCAAATCGAGCACATAAATATGGTTGGTCATTTTTCGAGAGGAAACGAGTCGACCGGCAAACACAAAAACGAGATCGTCGACGACCGTGACGGAAGCTCCCACCAGGGGAGGCGGCACTTCGCCCATCGTCCCGTGCGTTTGAGTGATGATGCCCGAAATGGACTGCATTTGCATTGTGTGCGGCATGGCCGTTGAAAAACCTCGCCTTTTTTTGGGGGTTCCAGCAGGCTACGTTCGAGGGAAGAAGCGGTAAAAGAAGGTAATGAAGAAAAAGAAGGATTGGAAAAATAAAAAATAAAAAAATAGGAAGGAATGCTTAAATTTTTCAGAAAACGACACTCTCAAAAGAATAACTAACAAGACCCCAAGAGGAATAAGTCAAAAGTTTTTCCCTCACCACCGACCAAAGCACCCCTCCCTTTTTCTTTTTAGGCGGTCCACTATGAATATCGGTTGGTGGGACCGATTTGCCGCACACTAAAAAACACATTTACTATGAATAGCAATGGAAGAATACATCGTCTCCCACTTGCCTTATTTCGATATCGGGCTCGTGATGATAGTAATGAGATTTTGACTCGATACACACAATATATCGGATAAGATCAAGGCGTTTTCAACGAGTTTGACTTTACCCATCAGTAGCAGTTTTTTTTTCTCACGCGGAAATTAACGTACGTAAGCCTTCTTTTTGTTTTTTTTTGTTTTTTATTTCTACCAAACTACAGAGGAGCGATAGTCTGACTGGTTGGATCCGCGGGGAACCTATGCACGCAGCGACATGATGGAAAAATAAAAAAGCGACAGTAGTTCACGTCACACAGAAACATCGATGTTTTCAAATCTGAGAGCTTATTGTAAGCGAGGCTAGTGTGCATTTTGCATCAAGTGATCTCGAAAAGCAAGGAAATGAAGAACCTTATTCGTATCGTCATGATTTGCCCCACAAATGATGCACACCTAAGCTCGTCTGAAGAGCAATCTTTGAATGGATTGAAATGATAGAGCCATTGCTCTTCCGTTTCTTTGGGTTCTTTTCGTAGAGAAGCACAATGATGGAAAACAGCGTGATGCAACGAGAATGATATTGTATGCGATTTGCTATCGTGTGGAGCAGCTAATTTTGCTTGTTCTTTTTATCAACGCCGTGCCTATATCATAGCACGGATGCCAAGTCATATTTCAGGCGCCGAAACTCATTCGAGTTATCCACGCACGTTATTCAAGAAACCTCAATATCGTGGAAAAAGCTTTTCGCTTTCCTTGGAGAACAAGCTTAAACGCAGAATAGGAGACATTTTGATATTTCTCAGTAACCTTTTGAGCAGGAAAATGCAACTCATTCTTTCCTGTTTTTTTCAATTTGACACGGAGATATAGTTCATGTTTTGCACCCGTCGGAATCATGGAAACTCTTCATGATTGCTTTGATAGAATTACATTGGTTCGCTGCCACAGATAGATCGCTATTATATGCGCGCAATTAGAGTGTCTGTGTGTACAGTTTGTATGACAAGCTTACCTTTTTTTCACAGTCTGTTTATGGTAGGTGTCATAACAAATGTAACAATGACAATGAGAGGTTTATGGACCTTGCAATAATAGCCATTCCCAGAATACCTCTTGATTGCCTCCACTTGAAACAAAAGAGATGGCGAACCTTGCAAGCTTGTACCATTCTTGGTATACAGTAGGTTCACGTTTGATCCTTGATCATCTCAAAATGATGGGACTGTATATTTGAAAATCTGTACTACCACATGGAAGATCGACGTAACGAACATTTTGATTGAGTGCCGTTTTTGGTTTCATTAATAGCCCTTTAACAATCAATACACTGATGTTATCTTTCTTGCCGTGAGCGTGTATCTTGCGAGATTCACTTGTGAATATGTCGCAAAAATCCAAATTGTATTTCGAGCAGATTCACTGTCAACAGACTGGGCTTGTAACTGATTGCGGATATTGGAATAGACAGAGCATTTATGATACGATCTTGCTCTTGAATGTGGGTTTATGCAGTCTTCCGTTTCTCCGGATTACATTGTAAGATCGTACCAAGGTATAAAAAATGCAATGTGATTCGGCCTACATTCACCACTCGATGTAACCCAAAATTTTAAAAAAGAGATGTTTCAATCAAATCGCTCTTAGGCCATCTGCCAAATTATATGTAATCCATAACTTTTTCCACTTGTGCCGTCTCTTATTGAAACCGTGCAAATTGATCTGAACGGATACGGTCCTTCGAGAGGATGGAAATCGTTCATATCTAGTGCACTTTGAAATGAAACTTGTTCAATTGCCATACCAAAAAAGGCTTGAGCACCTGCAAGAAGAATACAGAACCCTTTGAGAGCAGACCACAATATTTTCAATGTATGCTTATTCTATGCGTAGCTTCAAATAAAGCCACAAAAATGGTTAACAGAAATAAGCGCTTATGTGCAAAAACCTTGCATTGGTCAAACCGGGATTTTTGTTATTTTCCATGAACACAATTACACACCCAAAATTAGAACCTTTCTTGACCTCTTTGACTTCACAGGCTGCAAATCATGTACTTTTATGGTGGAAAAAAAAATCAAATCGAACAACGAGCTGATCCGTTCCGAAGTGATTTTTGATCTTCTTTGATTGGTTAATTAATTCAATTTCCGCCATGGTGGGCATCGAAACGTCACAAATCGTCGATGAAATTTAGTGAAAGTTTCTGCAAAAAAAAACGGGTGTGGCAGCGACAAGTGGGCTGGTCACTTTTTGTCCTTTTCTCTTTCAGACTACAATGTATAACGGCATTGGTTTGACGACACCTCGTGGTTCAGGTAAATTCTTGAAATGGTAGAGAAAGAGTGATCCTCGTAAATTGATTTGTTTAAAACTTAGGAACCAACGGGTATGTCGTGCGCAATTTATCCTATGTCAGACCCCCTCCCACCGATCGGAATAAGATGGCTTCTTACGACGACTTGAAAGTCATTCCTGCAGCCAAAGCACCCAACAAAGATATCTTGCTTCATGATCGTAAACGCAATATAGAAGTGAAATGTATGGAACTCCAGATCAAGCTCGAAGACGAAGAGTAAGTCATTTGCTCACTCTATCCTTTTCTCGAACCCATTGTACTTATGGTCAATTATCATAGTGTGCCCCTCGAAGAGATTCGAAAGCAAGTGGAAGAACTGCGTGAACGTCTTTCAGCCGACATGGACAGTGTACAACGCGATGTGAAAAAGTAAGCAGACAGATGCCCGAACATCCTGAGGCTCCATACTCAATTCCGAAACTTAGATTGGCAGAGCATGAGACCCATCAACTGAATGCTGCAAAAGAAGTTGAAAACAAGGCCATGATGAAGGCGTTGGGAATCAAAGAAACCGAATATGTCGAAGGAGCGGCTTTTGATCGAGAATTACAAGAACAGAAGAAACAAGAGAGATTAGCAAGTCGAGCCGCTAAAATGGAAGCCCAACGTGTACGTGCCGAACAACGTGAAAAGGAACGATTACGTATAGAGAAAGAAATGAGAAAGCGCAGAAGATCCCTGGAAAGAGAACGTCATCGCCGCAGTCCCAGTCCTAATCGTCGTGGTCGACGTCGTCCCAGTGCCAGTCCCGAACGATATAGCCGTCGTCGTCGCAGCGTGAGTTCTAGTGGCTCAAGTCGAAGCCGTAGCCGCAGTCCAGATGATGAGCGTCGAGGACGACGTCGTCGTAGCCTCAGTTCAAGCAGTCGAAGCCGAAGTCGAAGTCCTAGTGTAGACCGTCATCGTGGTCGTCGCCGTAGTCTCAGTTCCAGCAGCGTCAGTTCTCGAAGCCGCAGTCCGACTCCCGACCGCCGTGGACGTCGTCGTGGTCGCAGCATTAGCCGCAGTCCCAGTATTGACCGTCGTCGACGTCGTGGCAGTGTCAGTTACAGCAGCTCAAGTCGAAGCAGAAGCAGAAGCAGAAGCAGTGCCAGTTCTCGTAGTCGCAGTCGCAGCCCTTGAGCCGAGAAGTAGATTGGTTAGGACCGAGATTGCGGGTGTGAGGTTTTTTTTTTTTAAGGAAGGAAAACGTTTTATCATGATCCCGTCCTTCTTTTCTCTTCTACTTTTATTTTTTACATGCATACTTTCATGAAATAAAATATCCTTGTGTGAAAGAAGTGTATGAGCTTTTTCTTGACTATTCTACAAAGAGTTAATTAAAAATATTCTATCATTTTCTGTGGATAAAGATGATGCTGTCATGGCTTGTCTGACTTGCAATTTTCTAGAAGCGTCATTTTCCAAAGCGACACATCAATTGTCCCATTCATTCCTTCAGACTTGTCCAATGAACACTTTGGCTATTAATCGGCTAGGACTTTGTCGACGTCTCATTTCGCCCTGCCGTCTCCTCCCCTCGACACGCTCGTTTGCCAGTCAACCACCGTCTGTTTATCGACCGCCCCAGTCCAGCAATGAATACCGTCGCTTCAAATCGTACACCCCATTCTACAAGTCCAAACGCATGTGGGTATTTACAGTGACAGGTACCGTCATGTTTGGCGGTTACTATGTCGCTCATCTTGAAAAAGTACCCATCAGTGGGCGATGGCGTTTTGTCGATGTCAGCCCTCGATTAGAAGAAGGTAGGCCATTGTATACCGTCCGATCACCATTAATACACAGTACTCAATTCATTTTGATACAGCCATGGCCAAACAAGCTTATAATGAAGTCATGCATACGTATGGTCATCGCATACTGCCTCATAATCACCCTTACACTGCGTTTGTGGCCCGTGTAGGACGGCGACTTGTCCAGGTGTCGGGTATGAAAGATATGCAATGGGAATTCCATGTGATCAATTCACCAGAGCGAAAGTAAGTTTTGGAGCCATAGGCCCGTTTGCAGAGGAGTGGCCACTCATTCCATCCTCGATATTAGTGCATTTGTTCTCCCGGGTGGCAAGGTGTTTGTGTTTACGGGGATTTTGCCGATCGTACAAAATGACGATGGTATGGCGGCGGTGCTCGGCCACGAAATCTCGCATCAGTTGGCACGACACAGTGCAGAAAAATTAAGTTTTGCCAAACTTCTTTACGTGATCCGAATCAGGCTGCTACTACTCGGCATCGATACGTCGGTGTTCTTTAACCGCTTCACCACAGAATTTTTAATGATGATGCCATTTTCACGCAAATGCGAGACGGAAGCCGATGCTATTGGACTGCAACTAATGGCGCAAGCATGTTTTGATCCCAATGAAGCCATCAACGTCTGGAGACGAATGGAATCGGCCGGTGGAGCGTCCGTACCGCAATTCGCCAGTACCCATCCCAGTCATAAGAATCGAATCCAATACTTGCAGAAAGAGGTAAGCGGCATAATATGACAGAAAAAAACAAAAAGAGGAAATAAGTGCTCAATTCTGTGTTTTATTCAAAAAGTTACCATCGGCTCTGGCAAAACAAGCAGAAAGCGATTGTTCTTCAGAACTTAGGTCGTATGCGGATATGTTCCATAAGACGTGGGCATCTTGGTAGAAAGAGAAGAAGCATGATTATACCACTGAGCTCGCCACTACCTTTTCAAACAAAGCCAGTATTGTGAATGGTTCTTCGGCTCCTACGAGTGTGTACTTGTCTGCGATCTTGATATTAGGTACACCTTGAAAATTATCTTTCTGGGTGTCTAGCAGCAGATCCTGGATAATATCCACATTTTCATCGCTGTTTAGATAGTCTGTCGCCTATAAATATAGAGAAACAAGTAATAGAATGATGCTGAGCATGAAACAGTGGATTTAGGATGCCTTGTTTTTCCCCTTTCAAACCTTTTGAGTGTCGATGCCCGCACGCCGAGCGGCCATCACCAAGGTATCCAGGACACCCAAATTTTTCTCCTCTTCAAAATACAGTTTGAAAAGTTCTTCCACGATTTCGTTCTGCTTGCCCAAGGACCGAGCCCAGTAAATGAGCCGGTGAGAGTCAAAGGTATTGCCGATATCGCCATTGTAAGAAAACTGAATCTTTTCTTGTCGGCCAACTTCCTCCATAATTTTTTGAATCTCCAACGATTTCTCAGGTCCAAATTTACGACGGTAATGCTCTAATTTGGATCGACCTAGCTTGGTCATTGTGGAATCCAATTGGAACGGATGCCAGGTCACGTCAAACTGCACGTTGGGGTGAGACCGGGTGAAATGTCGAATGGCCTTTTCAAGACGACGTTTGCCGATAAAACACCTAGCGGAAAATCAGTACTCCGCTGACTGTATCATGGTAAGCATTCGTTCTTACCACGGACAAATTGTGTCAATGGTGACCGCGACGTTAATGAGCATGATTAAAATTACGAAAAACGAAAAATTGGGAAAAAGGACGGGAAATGTCTATTCATGATTTTTGTGCCCACTGGTGCGCCACACAAACAACGCTGTTCTTGATCAAATAGTTTGATGTCAGTGATTGCCCATGTATCTCGACAAGACTTTGCGTACTTTATCACGGCATCATGCAGAAGTGTAATAAATTCGCTTTTGTCTTTTTATGATTGATCTAGAAAATGTGGTGCACAGGACATAAAGATTTGTTTATGCGCCTGCTTGTTTATTTGCAGTAAGATGAGGATCATTGTGTGGATCTCTTTATATTTTAAGCAGCGAAAGGTGAATGCAACTGGATCATTTGTTGCCATAGTCCGAATAAGGAAACTTGATAGTGGATATTCTCTGAGAAAAAAGGCGGTTGGGCTGCTCTTGGCCATTGACCTAATCCATCATGGTTGAACATCGTTTAACCCCTTATCTACTGTTTGTCGTTTTTACTATCACTCTGGTACGTTGACTTTATCTATTGTGACAGGTATAACGTATACAAAAATACCATGGGCTGATGATTCCCCTTTGAAAAAAAAAGGCCGCTTTCCAGTATGGATATCATAATGGCGAACTGAATACCCCTCAATCCATCATCACGCAATGTCGCAATAAGCCCGGCTTCGTGGACGCTGTCAAGAGAGACTTGCCCGATTGTTTGCCAATGGCAGACGCGCAATATTCATTGGTGGTTTCCATGCTTACGGCAGGAGGTCTTTTGGGCGCTTTATCGGCGTCTTATTTCAATGATCACTATGGTCGAAGGCTGACGTTATTCGGGACCAGCATTTTGCTGGGACTGGGCTCGGCCATTATGACCTTGGCTGCGAGCGCCCAAGTGCTGATGCTAGGACGATTCATTGCAGGCGTCGGCAGTGGTATCGTAACGGTGGTGGTTCCGGCGTACATTGCAGAGTGCGTTCCCAAAGCTAGCCGAGGGTTCTTTGGCAGTCTGAATCAACTGGCAATCGTCATAGGCATCTTGGTGTCCCAAGTCATCGGCATGCAGTGGTCCACGTTGGCTTCATGGCGATGGATCCTAGGTATGGGCGTGCTTCTGGCCGCCGCTCAGCTGATCTTACTGCCTTTCTGCGTGGACTCTCCTCGTCATCTTGCGTCGCAACCGGGCGGATGGAGTCGTGCCAAGGCCTCCTTGTTGCGCCTACGAGGTCCGCCCATAGAGAAAGTGGAGGAAGAAATCAGCTTGTGGCGTCGCGAATGGGCCGCCGAGACCGACAGCGATCGAGACTCGGTTGAGGAGACCCCAGCATCGTCGGCTTCTCATCGTGTCGTGGAAGTATCCCATGTGCAGAAAGTGAATATTTGGAAGTTCTTGACCGGACCTCAGTATCGTCGCCCATTGTGTATCTTGCTACTATTGCAACTGGCTCAGCAGTTATCCGGTATCAATGCCGTGATTTTCTACTCGACTTCCATCATGTCAGCGGTGGTTCCTGAATCTTCCAGTGTGATTACCGTGTATATTTCCGTGGTCAACCTTGTGATGACACTTGTCTCTGCGTACCTGATGGATCGTGCAGGTCGTCGCACTCTATTCTTGTGGTCGACGGCCTTGATGGCTTTCATGTCCGGTTTATTGGGCTGGAGTATGCAACATGGATTCGATCGATTATCGGCTGTGGCCATCATTGGGTTTGTGGCGGCTTTCGCCATTGGCTTGGGTCCAATTCCATTCCTCATGATCCCTGAAATTGTCGGTACTTCGGCGGCTTCCACTGCCGGTTCGATTGCCCTCGCGAGCAACATGATCTCCAACTTCACTGTAGGTGCCGGATTTTTGGGCCTTGCCAGCCTCATTGGGCAAGGCCAGGTGTTTTATCTGTTTGCATCCATGTTGGTCGTTTTGTGGTTAATCGCGTTGCGCATCCTGCCCGAGACAAAGGGTCGCAGTGCAGACGAAGTCGTTCAATCAGGATGGGCCATTCACTCACCGGACTACCAGCTTTTATCTCGTCACGATGAACCCTAGGTCCGCCCCAATGACCCACATCATCCGAATAACCGGTCTACTTGGTGTACTCGTCAACGGTCGACGGAATACAACCGACACAGGAAATCGACCCGTTTTTTTCAATGGATACAGTCCAGTATGAACGATCCTCTGTTTGAGTTCTTATTACCTAATCTTTGAGACAATAATAAATTTGGTGTATTCGATGGTAGCTTATCTGTTGAGTCTTCAAATAAGATCGTTATACAGTACGAACAGCAAAGTGATATTGTGCAATATTGATTGATATTGAAAATGAATCGTGATTTTGTTCAATGGTAAATATCACTGTTTAAAGTAAATAATAGAACGGGCACCCATAAGCTCGTTTTTATTCCAAAAAGTACCATTTGAGAAAAGAAAACGTGTCTTCCTTACTCGGCGATTATTGGTTCGAGCATCCATGCTTGCCTCTATCTTGGCGCACTGAACATTGTTAGTGGCGTGCTTACTAGGTGTCTGCTGTTCAGATGTTGGCCTATGACATACTGTATGCAAGAGCGGAATAAGGCGCTGTATTTACCATTGACGAGGGCAGGTACAATATGTGAGCTGGCAGACACTGATCGGAAGGCGTTTAGCCGGTGGAACTGAGCATATTTTCAGGGGCCGACGAGAAATGTGCGGCACTTTATTCTACGCGCATTTGGTTTTTCCTTTTTCACTTCCGCCAAGCTTTCTCTTCTTTCGCTTGTTTTCCTTTCTTTTTCTTTGTCTTTAATTTCCTGCACTTGGTGTTTTTGCCTATTGCTTTGATATACACAACATGGTGGAAGCTACCTACTCAACATGGAGACAAAAGTAAATCCCATTGTTCCTTTCAGCGTCTTTTCAATTCCATCTTTAGCATGGATAGACCTACAAAAACTCACCCAATTGATCGTTCACAGGTATCTGCGCGCCTATCAAGACGGCTTTTACGTCTACTACAAAGAACCCAGCGAGAATCTGCCCGAAATGACCTGTTCCGAGGCTCATGGTAAGTTGGGTTGGCTTGAATTGGGCATGATTGGTCTTTTTTGTTTTTCGTTTCGCCAAATGAGCTCATCATTAAATCTTTGAATTTTTGGGTTTGTGCAACAAGGCTATGGCATGTTGATTTCTGTATTGAAGCGTAATCAGATGGATTTTGATGGTCTCTACCGATACTTTATGCGATTCAGAAACCGTAAAGGATTGATGCAGTAAGTATCCCCAAAAACACTTGTATCTGGAAAATCGAATGACCAATGGTACCCTTCGATGACGGTTAGGTGGCAGCAAAAGTCTACTCGTTCAGGTGAATTCGTTCCCGGGGATGAAGGCGGCGAGAATTGTGCCACCGATGGCGATGTGGACATTGCCACTGCGTTATTTTTAGCCGCAAGGGTTTGGGGTCGAGGTGGTCCGAACGGGGAAATCGATTATAAAGCTGCAGCCATTGCTCTGGCGGCTTCCATTTGGGAACACTGTATTCATCACGAAACGTATATGCCCCTCATCGGTGACTGGGCCGATCCCGGTGATGATGCTTTTCTCTTGACCCGACCTTCCGATTTTATCTTGAGTGGTTATTTGATCTTTTATCAGGTAAAAATGAGGACTCTCCGTACATCAACAGTGGTATCAATGCAGTTATGGACTTTTTTTAACTCTTGTTTTCTGTGGTTGACAGGACGATGTAGAACGTCAACAACTGTGGGCGAATGTGATTTCGGCCATTGTCAATACGACAAGCGGTCAATTGCAAATGAATCCTCAGACGGGTCTTATTGCCGACTTTTTGAAATTGGATCCTCAGTCACGATTATATTATCCTGCGCGTGGCGAGGTGTTGGAAAGTGAGCATGACGGCGATTACAACTGGAATTCGTGTCGTGTTCCGTGGCGCCTTGGTCATTATTATATGCTGACACGTGATGAACGTCTTCGTCCTATTTTGGAAACGCAAGCGCATTTCTTTGCAGCGCAATTGGCCCGCGGAGGAGGAGGAGGAGGCGATTGTGGTGTAAAAGCCGGATACAATCTTCACGGACATTGTTATGTGGATTACACGGATATGGCTTTTGTGGCTCCCGTCAGTTTTCTGTTTTGGGTGCTAGGTTGGACAACCCAACTTCAGCAAATTCTGCAGGACATGAACCAGATGCAGGAAAATACCTATTTTGGTGAAACGATTGCCATGCTATGTTTGCTGGAAGCGAACGTGCCATTTTAGAGATCGGGGTTCAGGAGCGAGCGACACTCATCGTTTCGCTGCAATTTGTTTTTTTAGATCTATGCCACCTATAAAAAAAAAGCATCATGCTTCATACCATCTTACTCTTTCCCACTTTGATTTTTTTTTTTTAGTTCTCCTTTCCTGTTCCTGAAACTAACCTTTTTTTTTTCTTCCTCTTATCTGTATTTTGTCTCTTTATTTCCCCTTTCTTTTGGTTCTCTGTTCGCTTACTGTATTATCTTGCACCTTAATTTTTTTAAAAGAAGTCGTTTTCCAAACATCATGAGGTATTGGATTATCGGGCTTTGTTACTTTATCGGTTGGTGGGCAGCGACGGCCGCAGTGGATGTCATTGTGATCAACCAACCTACACCAAATCAAAAGGTGGTCAACCGACAAGTGTTGGCCATTCAATACACAATCATTGGAGCTCAGACAAGTAATCGATCATCCACATGCTTCTGCGAAAATTAAGACGCACTGAAACCAGTCTCATTTCCATAGTAAACCCGCCGATAAACGCCCTCTATCCAAGTTCTATGGACGCTACATTTCACTGGCAGCAGCGACAGACACCGTCCACAAGTTTTAATATTTCGGGACTCTCCAACTTGAATACCGATCCCTATCCTGCGGGGATCCAAAATCAAATCTATACAGCTCATTGGAAATTGCCCAACTGCCATTTCTTTGCTCGCTACAAACCGACTGACTGGGATTTCACCCTGGTTTTCGAACTAAAGTATCCAATCAACCCAAACAACCTTCCCACGCAACCTCCTATCCGTATACCATTGGCTATTGAACCCGTTGGCAACGACATCACCCCAAAATGCACCTAAAAATAAAACAAAAACCTTGTTCCTCCCGTCATGTTTATTAACCTCGCCTAGAACACTAGACACTGCCTTGTCATGATTCGTTGATCCCACCTGGAAAACCCACTTGAAATTTAAAAATAAAAATTTCGCTGTTGCTGCAGATCCATGCGATTACAAAAGGTGTTCCTCTTTTAGTTCATGCAACTTTTGCGCTATGATACCATCGATTTCAAAATCAAACAAATCCCAAATGCCTTTGGTGTTGGGAAAATCATTGTGAACAATGTTCATCAAATACCATTCGTTACCGATAGTATTCAGTAGTTGATACGAAGCGCTCTGACGGTCGTAAATCTGAGCCCATTCGTGCCATAATGCAAATGCTTCATCTTTCCATGTATCAAAGGCTGTTGCATCCACCATGGTCGGTTGGATCACTTCTTTCCCGGGAAAGATTCCCCACGTCACCACATTCGGTGTCTCTGTCTTTGTGTTCCTTCGCCAATCTCCCTGCCATCCAAACAAGCGGTTAATCAATACTCACGAAAGGATAGAGAAAAGTCTCCTGAATACCCGATGAACCGTACCTGTTGATTGACGGCATAATATGTGAAAGAGGATGGGGACATTTTGATTTTATCAATCAGTTTATCCAGCATGGACGGAGATACGAAGAACTCTAGGTACGCTTTTTGATACACATAGCCGTCTTTGGGGCCCCAGCCGTAGCGCGGATCGTCACTTTTCGCTCCATTGACCGCAGGTTGGGAGTTGATGGTCAAGTAGCCCAGCAAGTTCAGAGCGGCTAACCGTTGACGAATGGTATCACTTTCGGCGGCCAATGATTCTTGACTCCACGGTGTCATGTGAAGCGACCCTTGACAGTACCGAGCAAATAGAACGGCCACATCATCGATTCGATACGGTTCTCCCCACCACATGCGACATTGTTCCGGAGAATACTTTAAACTTACCCCCCAGCCGCTTTCCTGTTCACCAAAAGCAGCGGAAGAAGCGTTTCCCCATCGTCCGTTTGGAAACTCGTCCCACGATTCAATTTGTCTGTAATGCTGTATCTTATTCATCCAAACATTGTGGTGCGCCGCATTATCGCATACTTGGTGAGGGCGGTTCTGACATGTGAAAGAACAGTGAGTGAGCCGGGATCATGCAATGATGTGAGCGCAAACGGACTTACGGATTTCCAGAAAGAGGTACCTCTTTCTTCGAGAAGTGGTACGAGGCGCAGCTTTTCAAGAATAAGACGGGAACTTTTTTCAAGGTTAAAGGTAAAAATATGGAAGCCTGGTATCCCTGTTTCTCTGAGCTCCTCGATAAAACGAACGGCCAGATCAACACCATATTCCTTGACGAGGTAATCGTCGTTTTTGATGGGTTCTAAAGCATCCCATATCCGTTGCGGCACATGATTTTGGTTGAGAGCGACAATCCGCTGCAGGCCGTGATAATTCTGGATGGGAAAAATGCCAGGCAAAATAGGGCAATCAATTCCAATCTCGCGGCAACGCTTGACAAAATCGATGTAAAAGCAGGGATCAAAGAAAAGTTGCGTAATGACAAAGTCAGCGCCAGCGTTCACTTTATCACGAAGACGACGTAAATCGTCTTGTCTATCCGGGTTATCGGGATGTCCTTCAGGATGACCCGCTACAGCAATACAAAAATAATCACCATAGCTCTTTCGAATATACCGAACCAAATCCTCTGCATGTTCAAGAGCATCCTCGCCTCGTGCCCCGGGAGACCGATCTTTGGGTGGATCGCCCCGAAGTGCCAAGATATTTCGACACCCACCCTCTTTCGCTGCCTACCGTAGACCGAACACAGGCGAAAATTAACGGCGACGAAAAATAAAATACATAATATGCAGCTCTAATTCAGAATATTGGTGATTATGAAAAAAAAAAAGGCGTTTTACCTTGAGTGCCGTGTCAATCTTGTCCAGTGACATATTGGTACATGTCAAGTGCATCATGGTTTCCAGTCCATACACCGATTGAGCTGTCGTCACAATATCCACTGTCAGTTCGGCGGTGGAACCACCGGCACCCCATGTCACATCAATAAATTCAGGCCCCAAAGTCTGCATTCGTTCTATACGCTCGTACAGATTATGTAAGCCCTGGAATTACCGAAATGATCAGCGGTCATGTTGTGGTTCGCGTCTTTTCTTTACATTACCACCGATGTCTTGGGTGGAAAGTACTCAAAAGACCAGAAAAATCTGTCTTCCCGTTGGGCTTGGTGTATTTTATCGATGATCTTCATATGAAGCGACTACTTTGACTGAGAAAATCGCGGTGAAGCAATAACGGTCATGCGACCTTTATTTTCTGCATGAATCAAAAATGTCGTTGAACTTTCAACCACCGCCCGCTCCCATCATTCACCATGACTTTCCTAATGGCCTTGTTGCATAACCCCACCAAGCAATCACCGAATGATATCATATAATGAAAGAGAACCATATTCTCGATTTAAAAGAAGATTCCTCTTCAAAAAAGAAGTCGCCAGCACCCCCCGTTTTGAATCGGCATCGGTGATCATGTGGAAAGACTTCCCAAAATGCTCTGATATTCTCGTGGTCTGGCAAATTAGAGGATCAATGACCACCGGTTCAGGATCTTTTTCACCAGATATCTACGTACTTTCAACTTTCCCTCACGGTACTCTCCAATATAATTCAATGCATTAGAACTTAGCCTTAGAGGAAAGTCCCCTATAATTCAGGTAGGTCCATATTTAATCCACGGAATACACCCTCATGCAATGTACAAACTGCATCACCTCGATGGAACGATCCACAAAGGTACCACTCACGGAAATCAATTACGCATATACAACCCCCAATGTTGAATACCCATTTCGTTACTATACCGTTCTATTTCGCCACTACTTCGCTATCATGTTAACTCTCAAGCATCCCATGAACTCCTGCACACTTTTCCCTCTCTTGACCAACGAACATCTTCATCTGGAGCCTCAAAAGCTACAAGAAGTCGAGGATAATGGTGTCCACATAAAGGCTAAAGCAGAAATGGATAAACTTAAAGATGACCTCCGGGACAGCTACAAGGCCTATGGACGAGACCTACTTTGCACAATGGACAAACGGATTCTGAAGCAGAATCCGCGAGGTGCGAAACGAAGTCGAAAACCTAGGCGGAATCGAGCCGTTGGGAAGATCAGCGAATGGCAATTCAGCAGCCATAGCTCACGATTCCAGTTCTTTGAGAACTTCGAAGAATGAAGAAGCCTGGGACAAGCTTGATCGCCCTCCCAGAATGTGTTGAGAAAATTCTCATCCTGCGGTTTGCGGTCCGTCGGTGCCTGAATTTTTCCTGTTCCCCTTTTTCTCGTTTTTCCCCTTTTACCTTTTTCGCCATTTTGCCCTTTTTGCCTTTCTCGTTTTGTTTGTTCACTTTCTGAATTTCAATCTTCCGCTCTTTGCACTTCGCGTGCATACTTTAATTATTCGCCTAAATAGACCAATCGCATATATATAGACCGATATTCTTCTTCTTTGAATAAAACAGAATTATAATTCACTTTAGTCTCTTACTACCTTTTATTCTCCTCATCCAATTTCGTACACATAACAGAAGTATTCCTTGATGTTAGATTTTTTTGACATTTTGTGATCTCATCAATTCTCTGTGCGTTTCTGACCACCCTTCGATTTGAGATAAACGTTAAGTATATCTAGTGCTCGATCAGGAGCTTTGGGCCTACCCGGCTGTCGTCGTATGGTTATGTGAGTTTATCGACGATCCCGTTCTGGTCTCTTTCGCTCTTAAAGACTTCTCGGTCCGGTGCCAAGGTGGTCCAGCAATCCCGCTCGTTTTCTGTCTCTGAAATTTACAATTTCCACCTTTCGCCCTCTGCACAAAGATTACAGGACCACCTAGTGGCTCTGTTCGTAAATTTGGAATGACAATTTCTGGTAAGGATATCGGAGGCCGATGACGTTGTCGATGTATTCTCTCAAGCATTCTTACCAGTCAGTGTTTTCTGTCATGCCTTAGTTCTGGTGCTTTTTTCAATGCCCTCACCACTTTTAGAATTCAGCATATAAATAATCTCACTGTCAACAAAATAATGGACAGCATCTGTTTCACTCCCAATCTCTAACTGAAAGGCGACCACAGTTCTCCCCAAGGGTCATCTGAAATATAACGTTGCCAGTCAGATGACATTCGAGGGTATCGTCCGTAGGGTAAGAGTTTTTTAAGGCGCGCAAAATTTGCGACGAGTTTTTATTCGTAACCACGTCCTAAGGGGATGTGGAGGGAATGAGGCGAAGAAAAACTACTTTAAGAGAAAGGTAGCTGTAATTCAGCGATTCGTCGAGTGATCAACTTATGGATGCGGTTGATTACCTCGCCAGGGTTGAAGGTTTTGTGACGGAAGATAAAGGCCCAGTGAGCCGACCAAATCCCGTGAAGGATGGCCTCAATGATTATAACACTCTTACAGTTTGGAGGATCCTAGGAAAATCGAGCTCATAAAGAGCCTTGAGAATCTGTGTTTCAGTGACTGGGAGGAGCAGTAGATCAGGCCATACACTTTCCCAAACGACTCGTTTAGAGGGACATTGGTATATAAAGTGAATGAGAGTGTCGATCAAAATCGTGCAGATGGGGCACTGGCCTGTAAGATGGACGTCTGGAAGCACTCGGTGAAGGAAGGTGCGACAAGGCAGTTTCAAATAGAGAATTCGGTACCACAAGTTGCGGGTCAATGAGATCAAAGAGAGAGACCACAATCAGGCCCAGGACGTCGAGCTGTGGTAGAGGTCGCATGGGGGCAACTGGCAGCCAGAACCTGACGGCGAAGCATTATCGGATGTAATCAGGACGACGGTCTTCACTCTGTCTGTTTTCAACTTCCGGAGCACCTTCGGCATTAGTTTCCAAGGTGGATGGAGACAAAGGCCTGTCTTTATTCATTGTTGTTTCCATGCGTTCTTGGCTTCCGCTTGTGGATCTGGATGTAGGCTTCAAAATCTGCGTAACTGTGTATTCGCTCTCGTCGCAAAAGCGTCCAGTTTGAGGGGACCCCACATGTCTTGAATCTTCGTGAAAAATCCCCGAGGGAGTTCCCACTCGTGAAGGGGCTTCTTTTGTCGCCTCAGTTTGTCGGCTTTGATATGCTGAATCCCTGGGACGTGTTGGTAGAGGACGTGAAGCTGATATGAGGCGATCACTTCTTGAATCCTCAATGTGAGTTCTTGCAGCAATGGGGAGGCTGTGATACTATCTGAGTATATAATGATCATCTCCCCTGCGAACTCTTTTGCGTAGAGTTGTAGGCAAAAAGTATGGTCTTCAGTTCCCTCACATTGATCGATAGGTATTCTTCTTGGGTATCCAATATGTTGCTGTCTCGACGTGTAGAGATGCTACTCCCCAACCCGTGTCTGAAGCGTCGACATATCTCTATTTTGCTCTCCTTCGGTTGTTCTGACCATGTTATTGATATTTCATTGAGGATCCGTGCTTGTTGAAGCCACCATGTCAGTTCCTTCCTGCTCTCCTGAGTCAACCGGTATGTCTTTTCCCAGTTTTGGTGCTGTTGGCGAAGACCCTTGGCAAAGTCCCTCTGAATATATCTCACATGTAATAGTGCCTTGCCTCTTGCCAGAATCATCGAATGAGCGGACTGACATTCACATGAGGCTACAAGTTAAAATCGTCTGACAATTCCAGCACCAACAATAACAGACAATTGCGCGCGCTGACTAAAAAAAATTAAGCTGTCCTGATGTAACGCGTCAGGTTTGTGTGTCCGCCGTCGCGTAACGAAGCAGATTTCAGGTGGTTGCATGTCGAAATAAAGCTGCCATCCATAGTTTAATAAAAATACCATAAGAAACCGTTTGTATATGAGACAAAATACAAATCGGGTAACAAAATAAAGTGTTGTACTCACTGTGCTGCTGGATGAGTGCAATGCGAAAATTTGAACTGGCTCAGCTTTGACTGACGTGAATGACCCGAACCGACCCGACCCGGTAAGCAATGGTTGACTTTTTTGCACTCTGTCATGTTCTTTGTTATCCTGACGCTGGTGCTGGAATGTATCACAGATCCTGCGACGTTGAGTGACGTGGACCAGAAAATAGACGGCAAGCAATTACTAATTCGAGTTACAAAACCAAGAAGGACAGTTCGATATTGATATAATAGTAAAAAATGTTCAACCCGTCGCGCTTTTATGTTCCTATGTTTTTCGATGTTTTCAAGAGCCACTCATAAACAACTGCTTGTTCAAAGCATTATCGGAGGTTGCCAGCCGGATGCGAAGCTGGCGGAAACTTGATAAAACGTCGAAAACTATAAAGAAAAACCCAAAAGGCTGACAGCATGCAATGGTCACAAACCATCAATTTATTCAAAGCATCACCACGAAATTGTCAATCCATGGGAAAAATAAAATAAAAGACACATTCGATCAGGCATCCGGCATAAAATTTTCATTCTTTCTTTGTTCTTGTCTCCTCACATTGTTATGCGTACCAGTCACCGGTCATCCAGCAGCCGATACTACAGCATGCCAGTGTTGCATTCCAACTTGATCAGTTACATATCCGGCAGGGACATAACCAATCCGACCTCTCTCGTTTGACATGAAATACATCTTCTGGATATCCCTCTTATCGGAACTCGCCTTTAGAAACGGCCACTCAGGAATTATATGAATACTTGTCAGTGTTCATCGTGGATCCTGCTTTTTCGGCCTCGTTAACATCTTGGTCTTTACACCCATGGGGACAAGTCACGGGAGATATTGGAACTCACTCTGCTAGTCCTCCAATCAACAAGAACCGAAAATGAATCGAATCCGATAGGGCGAGAAGCACTGCTCGAAAGCGTGTCCATGCGCGTATTGAAGCGCTTTCGGTTGAGGATATCTTTAGAGAGATATCAACTTGAGCCCTATTGATCACAATCATTCTGATATCATTACAATCTTTCCTATCCAAACATTGCGATCCAGTATATCAGACTGTCCCAGAAATCATCTTGTTGAAAAAGAGAATGAAAGGGCAAGGTGCGTAATACGTTGAATACTAGAAGAGAAAATAGCACGACTAACAGAACAATAAAAGTTTGTCAAAGTTGTAGCCAACAAAGACCTAGAGACGCACGCCGTCGATATTGTCAGCACAACAGTAAGACAACCTTAAATTCGCTTGTGCATAGTGATCTCCATTCTCATGGCTTACAAAGATAGAAGGAAGCGCACAAGAGAAGAACAGCAAGAAAAAGAACGACGCGAACAAAATGCGCAACACTGTAACAAGCACACCGTTGAAAGGCATCTACGATGTGGACAACAATCCACACTCTACCAGTCGCAGCTTTTGGGGCGCATATCGTGAGTCATTCATCGATAAATAGTTGTCGGAGGGGCTCCAAGGCCGCTACCATGCGATTGGTGGTCAAGATCCGCTTGGCAAAAGTTCTGCATCTGCCCCAGATGCCGCTCACCGCTTCCGTCCTGAGGTAAACGGGCCGGCAGCTTGGTGCGAGAAGTTGGCGTCGAATCTATGCTCTTCGCTAATTACTACCCGTTGCATCCCTTGGAAGATCCCAGGAATCAATTTCCGGTTTATTCTAGACAAGTTGATGGTGGTACATCTTTGCTGACGACGTTGTCAAACGTTTTAAGACCAGAGCGAAGCTTTTTTGCCCGAGTTCGAATGGTTTTACTGGTAAAATTCAGGAACAAGAAAGTATATGTAGGGTTCCATTATTGACTAATGTGACTGGAATAGGGTCTCGATCACTGTCAAGCATGGAAGCTTGCTGGATATAATTACAATTGCATGACCCCGACGCCAATCGACTCGCCCAATAATATAGAGCGAACCCCTGCCGTGGGTATCGTGGTTTCTGCCACTTTCCAAAGGTCGCCCAAGTACCGTTAGTTGCCGTTGAAGTGCCAGCTGGGATCCTGTCAGAGGTGGTTTACCTGGAATCTCGGAGATGGATCGCTCGGTATTGATGAAAGCCGAGCATCAAGGTCTGCTCGTTGTTGTACCTTTAAATGAAGCGTACACATCAAAGTAAGTTCGTGTTACACATTCACAATGCCAAAATCTGACTTTCCTCGTTCAAAGGTGTGCCAACAAGAGCCAGGAGAGAACACTGCAGCCTGTTCGTGACGATGAAAACGAGGAACTACATTCCATCTTGGTCTGCAAAGAGGCATCTTGCAAGACAATGTGGAAGCATGATGTCGTCGCGAGCAAGAACATTTACCAAATGACCGCCAGTATCGCATCAGGCGAAGGGCGGCCTGAAATATTCCAACATGCGCCGTTGTAAAGGCGGTTGCAGTTGACGGTAAGATCCTCTCAATGTTTATTTTGGTACCTGATCAAATGTCTGACTTTTATTCAATCCGCACTTTCCTCAACTCTGCTTTGTCTGCCAAGTAAGTTTAGTGAAAAAGACCCTGTTTACTGATTGGCGTTTTTTTAGTTCGTGAACATTACGCAAATTACAGAAAAGAACCCTGTAATCGAACGCGTGAGGTGATTTTCAGAATGAAACTTCACCATTCAGTTTGAGACATTGCTGCAGCCAATAAAGATACTCTACTAAAAACGGAAACCCCGACTTCCCGCCCCACATTTTTTTGCAGATTTACCCCGCTTCCCCGGAATACAGCGGGCGTCTGTCAAAAACAATAACAACAAGGGATCTTCCAAATACCACGCAGTCCATTGACACAAGAACAATAATAATGAACTCCAACGATGACAGTATGTGCGGGTCTTCGTTTTTCCACCTCCATCATGAGATACTTCTTTATGTCATATGATTCCTTCACAACAACTTCCCACTGGATTTGCTGCCAATAGTGAACTCGAAACATCATACCATTCGGGTGCCAACGGTCGCTCTTTGCTTATATAAACAGCTCATCGTGAGAAAAAAAAACAAGTCATCGGTGTTTAATCTGCGCACCGCGGCTCAACTGTCTCTTATAAAAATGACGCTCGTTCGGCCCATGTGCAACCACCACCCTTTTTTACCCTTTCTTTCGTTGAACCATGTTGACTGATATCAATAACGTGCCTATTGACCAAGCCTTGAAGGAGCAAGGATATGTCATTGTTGACAATCTGATCCCTGAAGACCAGTTTGAAAAGTTAAAGGAAGCATGTGACCGTGTGGTGAAGAGGGCAAGAGATGGTGATTGGAAGTATCGGTAAGTCGACCCTTATTTCCTCACAGTGCAGCGGACCCTTGAGCTTATATTTATCTTTTCTTTTTTCTTTTAGCCGCTTGGTAGGCACACAGTTCCCCCCATGGACCGAAGGTACCGACGTCTGGGGTGTGCAGCATTTGATCCATCCTGACTTGCAAGAACCCATTTTCTTGCAATGGTATGGCTCGGAAAAGCTCATGGCGGCCGTATGCCAGCTGCTCCACACCAAGCCCGAAGATCTCCAAATGGGTAATGTATTGGAGAGAATTAGGGACTGATTGGCCAACAGTAGCATCGAGAAAAGCTAATGATTGATGTGGGATTTATGTAGAATTGTTCAACCTTCTCATTAACCCTCAGGATTCCGACTTTGACTTGACATGGCATCGTGACGCTATTCCTGCTGAAACATCGGAGGAAGTAGAAAAGGAAAAGCTCACCATCCCTCACTATGGCACCCAGTGGAACACGTAAGTTGGTGATAAGACATTGCCAGGGGTTACTGGGATATTAATTGTTGCATGTGTTGTGGTGTAGTGCTTTGTATGAGGACGCGTGTTTGTACGTTGTGCCCAATTCGCACCGTCGTGTACGAACGGCTGAAGAGCGTGATGTGACCATTAACGATCCAAAGAGCCACAACATGCCCGGTCAATTGCAGGTACGCTTGAAACCTGGTCAGACGGTATTCTATGACAACAACATCTTGCATCGTGCTGCCTACGTCTGCACGAGCAAGAGAGCAACTTTGCATGCTTCCATGGGTACCATTGAAGGTGGTCACCATCGTGCCGCCACCATCTTCCAGCACGGCCTGGACTGGATGACCGACGATCGCTTCGTCCAAAGCATTCCTGATTCCCTGAAAAAGCCATATGCCAACGTCCGAGCCATGGCTCAAAAAGCTGGTCTCGAAAAAATGGAAACCAAGCCCATCCATTAAAAACCCTCCCCGCACCGGCTGCCCCCTCTCGTCCCCCTCAAAAAAAGAAGCGAAGAAATACAAATGTAAAATACAACCAAAAACCTACGATTAAGTTAATAAAAATGATTTATTTTATCCACAACGTTTTGCTCAAGGCCACCGTTGAAAACGGAATTTTTTCCTCTTGACCATCAATTATTACACTCATATGTCTGGTGTTACGGTAATGAGAAATCAGCATAAAATTTGAAGCAACAGAGGTGTTATTTTGAGATGAAGCATAAGGTGCGAGGGACTTTGGCATTAATCATTTCTGCATATTGAGAGCGCTTGTGAAGCTTTCGCTTTTTTTCTTCTTATTTCCTTCTTTCTTTATCATCATTCGCTCTTGGCCATCAGCTCACAACAAGCTGACATATAGTAATTTCCAGATATGATACATCACCTTTTCTCCTTTGCCTCTTCCACTACCGTTATTCGCATGCATTCATAGACCTGCAGAAGAATTTTGCTATTATTTGATTTTATTTCGGCCGTCCCTTTCGCTTGGCGACAGACTTTAGTCATTTTAAAGGGGGATTGACTGAATACGCCTTATGTGATTACAGTGTTTGATTTGCGATAATTAATGCGAGTTTTGAATGGTAGCTTTTTTCGCATAATGAACGAATTGACCGGATGGTCCACTGGCACACAATCCATATTTTTTGCCTCGTATCTTCGTCGCTGCCCACTGATGAACTTAAATGCAACCTTCGTTTAAAGAGGAAACACATGTTCTGCTCATCGTAATTTGATTTGGTCCTGGTTCAGCTTATGTGTTTGCATAGTAGTACTTATTTTACATTTATGTTGTGACTAGTCGATTTCAATGGAAATCGAGTTGGTGTGACGGGAATTCTGTATAAAAAGTTGAATCGACGGCGGAAAAGCGGATTGTCTCTCCTGCCAAACTTGACCAACCCTCTCATTGGTTTCCCGGCATTCTCGCTTGCCAAATTTGCAGAATGATGTGGAACAGAGATATGAACGCAGCAAAAAAAACATTTACAACTTCGCTTATAACGCCATGTATGGCGAGAGTCATTCCTGCTGCGTTCACTCGGGAACCGTTTATATTATGTATCGCCGTCTCGCACACGGTTTTTTCTTTTCTTTGGGAAGAAATTTATATATATACAGTCTTTGTTGTACTATAAATAAAATGAACATTATACAGATCGCGTAGTTTGTCTTGAAGGAGACATAGTGGGAAATCGAATGGCAGAAAAACAGTCAAAAGTTGTAATCAAGTTCACCTTCGGAGCTCTAAAAAAGCATTCGTTCATTAAATCTCTCATCGCACACTACACGAATTTGAATGGGCGACTTTTTTTTTTCTCACTTACATCTTCATCTGGTCTACAGGTAGCAATCAGCATAAAAGAGAAAGACAAAGGATTGGATTAGTAATCAATATATTAGGGCAATACTATTTGACTTACATATCTCCGAGAACGGTTTGAAGTTCTCTGACGCGTTCTCGCAAGGTATTTTTGGTATCGACGAGTTGCCGTATATAGTCGGCCGCTGCGGTGCAACCCTACCGTTAAGACAGTTTTGCTGATTAGGTAATGACAAATCACTTACATTTTTGCAAAATCAAAGATTCGCTGCGATGACAATGACTCAGCGATGGAACAATATCCACAAGCTGATCAAACCCGATCCGGATATTAGCACGCCGTTTTTGTTCGGATGCAATATGATTCGCTTTTTTTTGCTCTTCCGTCAGTAATTCATGCGGTGGTTTACGCCCTCGCCCTGGTCGCGAGGCGACGGCGGAGTCTTCTTTGGTATTCCGTGAATGATCGGTCGCCGACGAGGTCGAACTTGATCCTGACAGTTTACGAGGACGTGAGCTGTTGTCATCGGTTTCAATGCCTCGATATTTCCGCTGATCTTGCTTTGATTTGTCACTCCCCGTTCGTCTCTTTTTTGAATGGGTATGATCCGTGACAGGTAATGGACGAATTTGCTGTTGACTGTAAGTGGCATTTTGATTGAAAGGAGATGATAGCAAAACAGGGGTAGGCGAATCTAACAACACGGACTGGTTCAAAAAAGCCCATGTATATTTGCGTCGGTGGAAATGAGTTGACTCACTTGGAGGACGAGAGGGACGTCGAAAAGCTTCGTTGTTGGGTGGAGAATCCATGTCGTCGTCTTTATCCAGGCCATCCAAAAACGTTTGAAGCTGTTTCTGCTCTGCATCCGAAAACAAACTATTGTTCATATCACTGTAGCCGTTTTGTGGTGGACCTATGTTTTCAGTTTTAATGTATTCTAGTACAGCCACGGTGCCTGCCATTCAGGGAATGAAGGTTATTTTTCTTTTTTCTCATTTACCATGAGGTTGCAATTGAGAGATGGAAGGAGAATCTGTTCGCATAAGGACGGACGGGATGACTAAGGTAGGAAGTACCAGCGATGAGGTCTTCTTTTTTTTTATCAAAGAGGGGGGGAAAGAGGGTGAAAAGTGAAGACAAAAGAGAAAACAAAATGTCTTGTTAAATCTTGCTTTCCTTTTGAAAAAGAAAAAACATGAAAAGCATGTGAAAAACAAAGGGATAGGTTACACATAAATCACTGCATTTGAACCCACTTTTCATTGGTTTGTCACGGCCTGCAGACAACATCAACTTTGTTTTTTTTTTCTCTTTCCTTTTCATCAAGGTGCAACTTGCACTATCATTTCTTCGGTTCTATTTGATTATTGTAACCTTTTTTCCCCCTCAATTTATCCGGATAGTGCTACGGTTCCAAAATCGACGAGTTTCTACGACGAGCTCTTCCGCCCTCGTTTTTTATTGGTCCGTCATTGGCGTGACGAAACATTCGGTCGTGACTCGCTTTCCGCGTTCAAAAAGGGACAATGCATTTTCGGGTTCAACACACAGGGTCAAGACTCTATCACTCTTTTTTTTTCTATCCATGGCAGAGAGTATTCTAGATTTCAGCAAAGAACTCGACGTTGCGCTGTTGGACCAAGTGGTTATGACCTTCTTCGGAGGATCGGGTCAAGAGGTAAAGGATGCCTACCTTCTTTATTGTTTCATGATCGATCCATTCAGCTTACCCATACCTTGACTTTCTGATGGTTTTCTTTTCCTTCTACAGCAACAATTGGCCCAACAGTTGTTGACTCAATTTCAAGATCATGAAGAAGCATGGACACGTGTAGACGGAATTCTCGAGCGCTCCAATGTTCCTCAAACCAAAGTAAGGATTTCACCATTTGTCTCAAAATCCAGGAAACATGGCTAAACGCGTGTCTTGTTTTTCCATTCTAGTTCATTGCTCTTCAGATTTTGGAAAAATTCATTCAAACAAGGTGGAACACACTCAATGCCGATAGCCGCAATGGTATTTCTTTGCTATTACTCTTTGTTTTTCCGTGGTTTCCCACGGCCAGTTCATTCATGGTTGCTAATTTCTTTCTTCCTTTTTAGCTATCCGTTACTTCATTGTGAATGTGATTGTCAAAGTTTCTTCTGATGAGCAATCGCTCGTCAAGGAACGCACTTATATCAACAAGTTAAATATGGTTTTGGTGCAGGTAAAAGCCTCAAAAAGCTGATTCTATTTTCATATCCGCAGTCAATGTTCCATGACAAACACGTCTTCTTTTTTTTTTCTTTTTAGATTCTTAAACAAGAGTGGCCACGAAATTGGCCTCAATTTATCCCAGAAATCCTCGCTTCCAGTCAAACCAATCTTGCCCTGTGTGAAAACAACATGGCAATTCTCAAATTATTGAGGTATAATTTGCTTTCTTGTCACCGTGAAAAACTCGATTGAATAACATTGGGTTTTATGGCGGGTTTAGTGAGGAGATTTTCGATTATTCAGCAGAGCAGATGACCCAATCAAAGACATCCAACCTCCGAAATCAAATGTGTGGCGAGTTTTCTGATATTTACCAGCTGTGCACTCAAGTCCTTGAGAAGGCTACCAAACCCAGCTTGATCAAAGCGACCTTGGAAACCCTGCTCCGATTCTTGAGTTGGGTCCCGCTCGGATATGTCTTTGAAACTGATCTCATTGACACGCTCCGCAGCAGAGTAAGTGTTTTCAAAAAAAAACAAAGAGAGCACCATACCCACGGATCGCGTTTATTCACCTCCCAATTTTCTCTTTTGCCAGTTTTTTGAAGTGCCTCAATTCCGTAACATTACCTTGAAGTGTTTGACGGAAATCGGCAGCTTAAATGTCGACAACCAGTACGGTGACAAGCTTGTGTCCTTGTTCACCAATGTAATGACCGCTATCAACACAATGATCCCTCCCAATACTGGTAAGTCAGGCACATATTCCCACCGATTTGACGAAACTCTGATTGTTTCATGGGTTGTCCAATCTTTTTTAAAGACATTGCCGATGTCTATGAAAACAGTAGTGATGATGACCAAGAATTTGTTCAAAACTTGGCCATCTTTTTGACCAGCTTTTTAACCGCTCATGTCAAGGTAATGTTTGAATCCCGGCCTTATTCCCGGAATAAGACGGATGGATGAATGCATGAAATTTATTTTTGGTACTTTTACAGATCATTGAACAGTCACCTGCCAACCACGGTTTGCTGGTCAATGCACATTACTATCTAGTCAAAGTATCTCGCGTTGAAGATCGCGAAGTATTCAAGATCTGTCTCGAATATTGGGCTCAGCTGGTAAGTGAAAAGAAAAAAAGGATACACAAGAAAAGACTGGATCCTGTATGCGATGTCGTGCTCACTCCCTGTGTCCGAAAGGTCCAAGAATTGTTTGAAGAAGTTCGTGCTATGCCTCCGATGGAGTCGCCATTGCTTGATCTGTCGGTTCCTGGTGGTGGTCCCTTGGGTAATGCCGGTTACCGTCCTCGAAAAGTATTGTATGTGGATGTCTTGTCCAATCTACGTGTGGTCATGATCGAACGTATGGTGAAACCCGAGGAAGTCTTGGTGGTGGAAAATGATGAAGGTGAAATTGTGCGTGAATTTGTCAAGGAGAGTGACACCATTGTGCTATACAAGAGCATGAAGGAAGTCTTGGTCTACTTGACCAATCTCGATGTGGCCGACACGGAAGAAATCATGACGACAAAGCTCGCCAAACAGGTAACATATATGCCTTCTTTTTTTTATGTGCGTGAAACAATTTTTTGACATCAATTTCCGGGGACACAGATGGATGGAAGTGAATGGTCGTGGCAAAACCTCAATAAGTTATGCTGGGCTATTGGTTCCATTTCCGGTGCGATGAATGAAGACACCGAGAAGCGATTTTTGGTCACCGTCATTAAAGAGTTGCTCAGTTTGTGTGAAATGAAACGCGGTAAAGATAACAAGGCGGTGGTTGCTTCGAATATCATGTATACCGTCGGTCAGTACCCTCGTTTCTTGAAAGCGCATTGGAAATTCCTCAAGACCGTGGTCAACAAATTGTTCGAATTCATGCACGAATCGCACGAAGGTGTACAGGACATGGCCTGTGATACGTTTATCAAGATTGCCCAAAAGTGCAAGCGCCACTTTGTTGTACAACAAACCGGCGAAGTCAGACCTTTCATTGATGAAATACTGGAAAGTATCGATCGTATCACTTCCGATCTTGTTCCTCAACAGGTAAAAAATAAAAATGCTTTTGATCGAAGGGCGTGTAGCGATAAACAGAGTGTGTTCTGACCTTGATTGTAGATCCATACTTTCTATGAAGCTGTTGGTTACATGATTTCCGCTCAATCCAACAAGCCGGCTCAGGAAAGATTGATGGAGAACTACATGGCATTACCAAATACGGCAGTAAGTTGCATGAATTTAGCGTGATTATCCTTTCAGGGTATTGATCCTTTGTCTTTTTGTCTTTTTTTTCTTAGTGGAATGTCATTATGAGTGAAGCGAATCAAAATGTCAATGTGTTGGATAATGCGAATGAAATCAAGATTCTTGCCAACGTGTTGAAGACCAACGTCGCCGGCTGTCGATCGGTTGGTCCTGCATTCATCATTCAGCTGAGCAAAATTTATGCCGAGCTGTTGACATTGTATCGCTATGTTGGCAAGCTGGTATCACAGAATGTGGCAGAACAAGGTATGTATCGTTCTTCTTTTTCAATAGCGTAGGTGGACCATGGCTGATAAAAATTTGAAAACGTAGGTGTGATTGCGACAAAGACACCGAAGGTGCGAGGTTTAAGAACGATCAAGAAAGAAATCTTGAAATTGATCGATTGCTACGTGGAATGTGCCGAAGATTTGGATGCCGTGAACAACAATATGGTCGGACCCTTCTTTGAGGCTGTTCTTTCCGATTACAATTCGTCGATCGATATCGCCCGAGATGCCGAAGTATTAAACGTCTTGGCCACCGTGGTCAACAAACTGGGAGTAAGTTGTGGCACCATCAATCTTTCTTATGGGTTGCTCATGAACTATGTGTCTTGTTCTCTAGTCCCTGATGACCCCACGTGTCCCCGCCATTTTGGAAGCGACGTTCGAGACGACGTTGAACATGATTACCAAAGACTTTGCAGAATTCCCTGAACATCGTACAGGATTCTACAACTTGCTTCGAGCGATTAACCAACAATGCTTCCCAGGTAACTAACATGTGAAGCTTTGTATTGCAGCTCATCCCACTAACGTGAATGCGACTTGGTTTTTTTTTCTCAACGATTTAGCTTTATTGGAACTGGCCCCCGGTCAATTTAAGCTGATCATTGACAGTATTGTTTGGGGTTTCAAACATACCATGCGTGACATTGCAGACATTGGCCTTCAAATTTGCAAAGAGCTTATTGATAACATTAGCCGGACCGATCCTTCCATTGCCGGTGCATTTTACCAGTCATACTATCTCAGCATTCTTCAGGATATCTTTTTTGTCTTGACCGATCGTGATCACAAGAGCGGTACGTCCACAGTAGATATTTCAGATACTTGGAAAACAACTGGATCCTTATTCTGCTTTCTTCTTGGTGATTAGGTTTCAAGGGCCAAACTGAGATTCTGGCACAATTATTCCATTTGGTCAGCAGTAACCAGATCCAGGTGCCATTATACGAACCATCCCAGGTCTCGGATCCTAACATGAGCAACGTACAATTCTTGGAAGGTTATGTCAGTGCATTACTTCAAAATGCCTTCCCACATCTGCAAAGGTAGGCTAATAACTGGAACTGTTTGATATTGTCCGATTTAGTCATGGATTCATTGGTTTTTTCTTTTTTCATTTTATTTCATAGTGTGCAAATCAATTATTTTGTCAGCGCCATGTTACGTTACAACAGCCAACCTGCGAAATTCAAGTTGGAAGTACGTGATTTCTTGATTCAGCTCAAGGAATTCGCAGGCGAGAATGCAGAACTGTACCTGGAAGAAAAGGAGGCAGAATTAGAAGCCATGCGAAAGGCAGAAAGAGAAAAGGCGCTGAGTGTTCCCGGTATGCTGAAGCCTTCCGAAATGGATGAAGATGAGGATCTTTAAAATACACTTTGATCCCACCCCAACCATCCCATTTCCCTCCCAATGGGTAACACTTGTTCTCCCTCACTAGCACACTCTCAAAAAAAAAAGTTGAAAAAAAAATTCACTTACTAAAGCAATTTGATCTATCAAGATAAAAAATAAAGGAAATATTTCATTTTCAAGCTCAAACTATGGCTGTTAGGAGGAAGAGGTCCCCCTTTTTTTGCGTGACTTGTTTCGAACGCATAACGGATTTTGTATGCCGCGCCCTATTCGGCTGTTGTACATCCCTTTCGGCATCTGGTTGACATTTTTGCTTATTCCAACATGACCGAGGTGAGCGAGCCGGAATGCCGTACGTTGCGTCGTCTATACCGTGGCACTCGAGTAGAGGTAGAGTGACTACTAAATTGTCAAATGTCTGACTGTTGCATGTTAACCAGTCTATGTGCCTGTGTGCTGGGGGAAACAAAGTCCGCTTATGCTTGGCCTTTTGAACGGTTGGATGAATTGGATTCATCCTTCAATGTCCAAGAGTACTTGCAGCAGCTGATTCGACAGGATAAAAATAATATTGACCTACTTATTGCGGTTCCAGAGAGTGTGGACCAAGAAATATGGCAATACGAACATCTTCGGTAACGAGTTTGCGAATCAGCAGAATAAGGACAAAAGTTGACGTTTTTTGACTTGCAGACAAGTGTGTCTCGAACTCAATCTTTTGGTGGTCAATTTGGAAACTGAATGCACGAAAGAAATATGTCCAGAAATGAAAGCCGACGGATGGTTGTATCTATGCGCAGCGCATCCAGGCACGCAATCAGTACGTTTTCACATGCTTGGGCTCCGATCCCTTGATTGAAACCACACTCACTTTTTTTCTGCCCCTGCGACCAGTGTTCAGCTATCGATTACACCATTCATACCTTGGACGGTGCCGCCAACTTGTTAAATAACTCTAAATACTTTCCTAGTCGGTAAAGTTGGAGATTACCAAGCACATACAAGGCAAATTGTACTAAATCGTTCGTATCTAGGATACACGTGCCTCCCCATTCACTGAAACAGTTTCAAGCCATTGCTCGGCGATTATACCGTATTTTTGCTCACGCTTACTTCCATCATCGAGAGATATATGAAGATTTCGAGGTGAGATCTCCTTGATCTTGTGTCCCAGCCTAATGTATTCACTGATTCCGTTACAGAACGATACTGCACTGTATGCTCGATTTCTAAGACTTTCGCAAACCTACAATCTTATTCAGCCTAGTCAGATTAATATACCACAACATGAATCGAACCTAGAAAACGATGATATTCCACGAAATACCGATGCAGGACCCCGTCAACATCTCGATTCTAGTGGATCAGAGTCCAAAAACAACAAACCTGAAATAAGCAACGACGAAGATGATGATGACCAAAGTATTGCCAGTGCGATTCACATCAACGACGAATAGTTCTGCGGCCATTTTTGTCCATGATTTATTTAGCCACGCCAACTTTTACCGGATCTTTTTTTTTCACAATACTTCGTAACCAACGCGCACTGCATTATCTTGCAGCGTTTAAAAAGACTCTGTTCCATCTAATTATGCATCGTGGGTCTAATAATAATACCTATTTTGTTTTTTCGTGGTATCATTTGCCAGCGCGCATATCACACAATAGATTCTCATCATGTTTTCCAGCAAAAGACAATGGTAATATAGTAGTGAAGGCGCTTCTCTCTTTTGAAGTATGGTCTGGATGACTTTCCTCTTTTCATGTTCGGCAAAATCGAACTCATTGGGCCAGGGCATGCTGATAAACAAAACTTTATAATCATTTACAAGGAATTGAGAAAGATAGGTCATTACAAAACACAATGACTTTTTCAAAATACAGGAGTAAAATAGAGATACAGGGAAGAGGGAGGGAAGTGGGATCAAAGCAGATGAACACAGGAATGGAAAAAGATAAATAAGAAAAGGCAGGTGCAAGTTAAATAATAGAGAACAAGGAGAATATCCACAGGGTACGTATCTAAACGATGTCATGTCTTGATAGCGAGAATGTACGTGGTGAGTAGCCTAATGCTGACGTCTCATTGACCGGATACTCTGCAGATTGATGGCACAGGGGTGCACTTCTTGCAATTGCCATGGAACGGATTTTCCAAAAATATCAGATTCAAAATCACATCGCAGTTCCGACTTGCCCGCACGAATGCCACAAATCGCCTTTTCTCGACATTCATCATCGCATTCGACATGTTGCGGAGCCGATTTGCTGCGGAAGCGCCAGTATTTGTCGAACACAGACTTATCGTTTTCCATATCCACAGTGACGTTATGCCACCATTCAGGAGAAAGCGGAGAAGTCGGTGAAGGTAGTTGAGCATTGGATGAATTGAATGCTTCTCTTGCAGAATATTCTGCGTGCCAATTCTGCGCAATAATGTAAGTCAAGGCAAAGTTTGAATCAAAAAGCAGATGAGCATATTTACCGGTCCACTGGTCCAGGTATGGGCTTGATCCAGATCGGCGATATAAGTGATGGAATCGACCACTTCAAATGTCTCCGTATCAATTTTATAGATTCTATATATCAAAGAGGTCAACGGCACAGCTCTTGGCATGTCATTTGTCCGACCGAACAACTCACCTGAATCCAGGATTGAGATCAAGGAACGGTGTAATGGACGGCGCCACATACGCAGTAGAGATGGCTTCGCTGGCATTGCCTCGACCACCGCGGTAAAATATCTGAAGTTCGTCCCTATAATGTGGCCATAAATAAACTCGGTTTCATGACGCGCATCGGTTGAGCACTTACTTGTGTGTATGCCCAAAGAATTGACCTGCAATGACGTGCGGGGCATAACGTTCGACGATTTGATGATAATAGTTGGAGTAATCATGGAAGCAAGTACTATCGCCTGGTGCAATGTGTCCGATAATCCACACACGTTCGCCCTCATCTTCAGCTTCCTGGAGTTGTTCGATCAACCACGCAAAGACTCCATTAGGGTCCTGTGCAGCGGAGGTGGTTAGATGAGTCAAACAAACAACATCACGAAAACAAGGAAAACGAATGAAGTCTGTCCTACCTTTTCCATGGGATGTTCATACAACCACCAATTTAGGGTATAACAAAAGTTGGTATTGAGACTGATCAATTTCAGTCCTTTGACGGGCCGGGCCACGTAACTTCCTGCATTCTCTTCTACGTCTTGTTGCGTGAGCCAGCCTTTCCAGCTTTCAGACAAACTCTTGTACAACCAAAGGAGCTTCAAGTATTCGCGCTTTTCTTCAATGGGGATCTTGGATGTCTTGAGAGGGAAAATGTTGGTCGGCGCCGACTCATGGTTGCCCACCGCAGGATACAGCATGGAATTCAGTAGATGCGGCGAATCAAAATGCGCATGCAGTAATTGATACGATCCATCCTGGATCATCTGGGTTTTGAGGAACGGCAACGTCGACCATACCTCATGGGGTGGTACGTCACCTGTCAAAATACCAAATGATATGTCAGGTGCCACACTGGGGATAAATTCCAAAAGCGATTCTATCAATGTCAAAGGCGTATCGCAACTGTATTCACCTACACAAAGAAGGTCAGCTTTCTACTCAACATCACTCATTTTCTCTGGCCCATAATTGTTGGATAGAGGGGCGACGATGTCTTGTTATTCAACTTACCCCACATGGATGCAGGTCGTGTGATATTGGAGTAATCTGTATACGCCGAACGGCAGCAAAAAGGCTTGTCGCATACAGCTTCGGATCCGGGCTACGTCGTCATCAAAGAAAAAAAAAAAAGATAAAAATGAGTTTGCAAAGGAAACATGGAAGAATGCGGTGCTTCAACGTCATACAGTGTATTCGGGATCAACATGCCAATCGCTCAGTTGGAGTACGGTGAAGGTCTTGCCGAGCGATTTTTTGGTCTGGATCACGTCTGGCTTGGTTTTTGGAAAAGCGACGGTCCACGGTTCAATGTCTGACAGACAAAAGAGAAATATCATTAAGCGTCCTAAACGAAACCATGGCCTAAAAAGGATGTGGTGCAACCCTACCTGGATATGGGCATGAATTTAACACAGCAGCGCACATGAGATGTCCGTCACGCCCAGATACCGTCATCGTCTAACATACATAAAATTCATTAACATTATCCAATGCAAATGGAAAAAAAAAAGAACCCATCTGCAGGGATCTCCTTCTTACTTTGAGCACTTTGCGAAAAATTGGAGCCTGTTCTTCGACGACGCCTTTGCACTACATAAAAAGCATAGAATAGGACAACAGTGAGACAAACCGGGGGTGACAACAAGAGGTTGACAGCTAGAAAACGACATACGACATCAGGATCTACGTTACTCATTCGGTTGCAAACTCTTGTCAATGCCGCGATCAAAAGGCCTTCCGACATGTACGAAAGGTTCTTGACAATTTGCAACATTGAAATACAGCTACTGCAAGAACTGGTTATGGATTCGGCATGGAGTAATTCGTCGGCCACTGAAACCAAATGATCTTGCATGGCTACTTCTGGAGGACTAAAGACATGCTGAAAGTGGGCAGACGATAGTCCAAGCGATACACAGACAGTAGCTATTAGTGCTGACAGACGCATCGCTTATAACTGGGTTGTTAAACGTTAGCGGGGGCAGGAAAATAAAGCAAAAGGGAAAAAATACAAAAAAAAAGAAGAAAAAATAGGAAACAAGAGCCAAATTATCCGGCTTCAGCTCAGCATCGACATTTAGGATTTTTCCTTCATCACCATGACTTATCATGCGAATGGTATCTTTTTTTTTAAAAAAAAAATCATCACATGCCGTTCAGGGGGCAAATGATGATGTTGGTTTTATCTCAGTGATTATTATGGAGCTAAATCGCATATGTAAGGGACAACGGAATAATGACCACCCAATCTGTCACAATTAACGCTGGTATCACATCAACACCGTTCGGACATGTCTCTCATGACATGAATGTTAATGTTTGTTGTGACTATGAAATAAGATGCAGAGTGCAAGAAAGGATGCCTTCACCATCCTTGCCGACGGCCTGCGCTGATACCATGGTGATGGCGGGAGATTCCGTGAGGTAATGCGATAATTCCATATCGAGAGCTGACATTGAAAAACCGGTCAATGAAAAAAAAAAAATCGGATTTCCTTTACAAGAAAATTTTATATCCAACGTACCTTGTCTCACACTGTTTTCTGCAACTTGTTCGATATAAAATAATCGCATCGACAAGACCGACGACCATGATTGGTCGCAAAGACGTAAGCTCTCATTTAACCCACCAACCAGATCCTTGACAATTTCCTCAACCGAAATGGACGATTCTATATTAACATTCGCCTGTCATCAGTATCATGTTACATCCCCTCAGAACAAGCACAACTCACTTTTCGAGGATAGCGTGGCAGTCACCATCGTTGCACGATATTTGCCTTGCAATCGTAACTCCACCATCGAGTTATCATTATCTATCCGCTTATCTATTGAAACCAATTAGACCTAATAAAATCAAGGCGGATCATCCAATTAACTAGAAAAATTTACCCGTTGCATATACGCCAAGTTGCGCGAGGTTATTTGTGGAAATTTTGTTATCATTCGAATCGTTATCTGTATCGTCGTCGTCGTCATCATTGTCGCCATAAAGTGCCTGTGGCGGATCTGCATACAGGATGACTTGCCATTCAACCATGGCGCTTTTCGGTAATCCCGATACAGCCACATATACAGTAGGTGGGTTGGTTCCATCCTTGAAATGACAGATACGGACCTTAGATAATGCTTTACGTTGCTCCTACCATGTTATGTCACTTACTTCCATATAAGCTTTGAAGCCGGCTTCGGCCAGAGGAAGAAATTCGGGACGACTGACGTAGCAGTAACACAGCATGATTTGGGTTTTGAGTGATAGCTTGAGTGTGGTGACGATGGATTCGAGATTTCGTAGTGACAGTGATGCTTCCTCTGCAAATGATCGTGGTTCAGGTAGACGGAGCGATGATGGTTCCAAACCGATTTGACCAGCAACAAAGACATGATCCGAGACCTTGTTTTCCATTAAAAAAATGGACAAGATGGCCGCATCCAATATTATCTACTTACCACCACACTCTGCGAATACGGTCCAATGTTGGCCGGCGCCCAATAAGAGATACCTTGAACGTGCATCGTTTCCCTTGGGACGCCTTTGGCCGCCGTTACATCGATCTGTAATTGGGCAGGTTTGCATAACTGCGTGGCCACAAGTGCCCTATGAACAATGTTTTAACTTAATACTGAGCTTGTCATCGGCCATCATGGTTAAACCTACCGCGGCGGGGGGTTGATACCGAAGAATTTGTTATACAAAGCATTGACATGTTGGAAATGTTGCATATCAGCCACGAGGACATTCACCATAACAACATCACGCCAGTCAAGACCGGCAGCACGCAATTTATCTAAGAAGGAGCATATTGGCTTAAAAGAACGCTTCATACAGCTTGATTAAAATGCCGAGTTTATACCTTGTACTGCTGTCATGCATGCTTTGGTCTCCTCTTGGATATCCGCAAAAATGTGTGATGCATCGTGATCATAAGCTGTTGTGCCGGCAATAGAATAAAACGGTGCTCGTTCACGTACATCGTGCAGTGAATGAATGTCGTCCGAGGATTCAGTAGTCTGTGCATCGATCTCCTTGAGCCGGCCCTTTTCTTTTAATGGCATGTTCTGGACGGCGGACTTGACGGTTTCATAATCTGGCCACGCCTTCCAATCTTGAACCGTTACATTTTCCGGATGGGCTTGTCTCTCTTCTGCTGTCTTTTCTACCACAGAGCATCTCAGGAACCGCAGATACGCTACAGGAGCAAAAGCGTCATCGGAATGCACAATCGTTTCGGTTTCTTCACTATCAAAGAATGGATCAATCGCGGCAAGCGGGTTGATTAGATGAAATCATGCTACGTACACAGAGATTCTTTTTTTAAAAAGAGGACAATCAATGGTGAATGTTTCGTACTCTCCACCTTCGCCGCAGATATGCAAATCGTACTTTTCATTCTAATCCAAAATAAGGATATTACTTCACTTGTGTTGTCCATCGTATTGAGCGTTGCTTTACCATGGCGCAAAGCATCGGAAACATCTGTCCGATGGACTTCCCCAAATGGACAGGCTTCAACCCCATCGCAGCCACTTTGATCAAGATGGCATTGACCCTGATAGCATATAATCTCAGTACCATGCCACCAATGAACCGACCCATAAATATATAACCTACCCTGCACTGGCCATTTCTGCCAATAATTCCTTTTGGTCGCGTTGCCATAAATAAGCGAGCGACGTTAAACCTAAACGATTGCATCTGCATTGAAAAGAAAAAAAAATTGTCAAGCATGCTGTTTGATCGCTTGCAAAACGTCAGGATAGACGTGGTTCCCACTTACACATGCTCGACGCGGACGCGCTGATAGTTGGAAAGGATTGCTCCGACAGAGACACCGCGTACTTCAGGATGATGATTCTAAAGATAAAAATATAAATGATACGTGCTCACCAGCAAATGTGAAAATCGCCAATGCATACCAAAACATCTTTTAAAAGAAGATACAAATCTTCGGTTTCGTCACATTCTGTCTCAACATAGTCCGATCCTTGCAGCAGGGATTCCCCTAGGATTTCCCGTCGATACAGTGGAACATCCATGCAATCCGAATAAAAATGGATGGCATCGTGGCCGACGGTTTGGTACATGAAACTGTCGAGTTCATCTGCACGCCATCGTTAGCTTTTTGCATTGACGGTCCTATTACCAATGACCATACCCTTGCCCGATTGAGCTGGCGGTTTAAGGTTCGCCAAAGCTACAATTTCATGTCCGTTGGCGACGCATTGCATCATGTTGTAGCAGCTGTCTTTGCCGCCACTGTGGATAATCGCATATGAGTTACAATCCACTCCCAAAGTTCTCTCGGCGACATAACTACCTAACAAGCGCCACGATCTTCATGTTGCCCAAAATTGATCACTTGGCTTCCCTAGATCGGCATCTTTTTTAGGCTTTTTCGACTTTTTTTTTTTTTTTCTAATTCGGACTGCGAAGTTTCACTGTTGCCAAAGACCATAGAGCATGTCATCCATTTGAGATTATCAAGAAGTATTTACAGATTTATTGAACCATGATAGATGCACAAAAAGCTATTCATCCTATATATATTGTCCATCGTTGTAATATATGTATGTAAAATATTGGTTTTCCTTTCAGATCAGCCAATCCATTTTACTGAGTGGGCTGTTGAGTACCGAATCGTTCAGCGCGTCTTTGGGTGTCTTCGTTGGCTCTTGCAGCAAGGGAACCTTCTTCACCAGTGTTACCCTGGGCCTTGATCTTTTCAGTCATTTCGTTGGACTGCAACTTGTCGGTACCAGTGGGGTTGTTTCCACCGGAGGTTTCGTCGATCTTGACTTCTTCCTGCTTGTTGGGAGAGAAAGCTTGAGTGAATGCGTCGGCAGCGTTTCTAAGCATATTGATTTTAGATGTGTTGTTGAAGATTAACATGGTCATATATTCCCCAATATGCCCTTATATAATGTTTTTAGAACTCTGGTTTCTCATCTATCATGATGACTGAGGCCTGATATCATAGTCTTTAACTCCGACATCGACAAACTCATTAGGCTATGCCGATTGGCTCTATCCACGATATTATGTTGGAAAAAAGAAACATCGTTGCTGACGTTCCCCCCGCTCCCGCTCCCGCAATTTTATATGATGTCATTTGCGTAAAAGACTAAGTCCACCTGTACATACTCACTTTGCTATGCCAGCAACCGAGCGTAAAATAACTGGCCCCGACAAATGTCCGTTTATCTGTATTTTAAAAGAAAAACAACGTCAGTGTACGCGATAACGCATTCTTTGATATAGTTGTTCAAAAGTCATGGCTATTCTATCATTTTTTTGGTTTTGCGAGCAAGGATGTGCAAGTAATTTTTGATTACAAATCTTGAGAATTTAGCACACTAGTATATGGATATATCGTGTGTATGACTGAATAGATGATTTGAATGAAAAAGATACGTGACATGAACCGGTAAATGTGCACAAATCTGCATATTTCTGCTGTTGCGTTGAAGCAAAACACCTACGTGACGTGGGATTTCCTAATTTGGAATGAGGAATCGATATTGGCGAATCAAAGAACAGCTGGGCAAGCGCGGTCAACCGCGGTGCTGAATGAACACGGCCACCGGAAAAACACACAGAAGCATCCTGTAGATTTTGATTCCCTTCATTCCTGCGTGGTCATAAAATATATCATAATGAATATCGATGACATATTCAAGGTATATAAAACAAATAGTACCTTGGTACATTAGAGCACAATCGCTGAGCAATTTTGTTGGACGGATCTAGATCCCGGCTATCCCCAGTGGACGCAACAAACGTAAAATGCCGGCCACACCGGATCTGCAATTCTTGGATAAATATCGCGAAGCTTCACAAGCTGCTGAACATTCCCAAGACGACAACGCCGGTGAATCTTCCAGTAAACGTCGAAATGTCACTATTGAAGAGGATGAACAAGTCTACGATGCAGCTGCCGACGATCAACTGTACGGATTCAATGATGAAGACGAAGAAGGTCGCTTCTTTGGTGGCGGATTGACCGAAGAGCAGAGTCAACTCCTGGATCTTGTAGACGAGTACGATGTCGACGAGGTAAATCTGCAGCGAGCCATCGGTGACCGTGTGAATATACTGACCATTGTTGCTGTCATAGCCCGAAGCCTTGACGGCGCAAAGTGTGAAGAAGATGATTTTGAAATTCGAAAAAGCTATCAACAAAAATCAAGAGCAACGCATGCGATACGCTGATGACCCAACGAAATTCATGGAATCCGAAGCTGATCTCGACGAGGAGATCAAGAATTTGCTAAGCCTGACCCAGGCACCGCATTTGTATCCAGAGATTGTGAAGCTCGGCAGTGTTTCTTCCTTGCTATCGCTGCTCAGTCACGAAAACAACGATATTGTCATTGACGCCATTGATCTTATCAACGAATTGACGGATGAGGATGTCGGTACTTCCGAAGATGAATTGGAACGTAACCAGGAGGCTACCCAAGGCATGAAAGCCTTGGTCGATGCACTGGTAAGATGTCATGGCTGATTCGTTGGCGCATAGTTTTTCCTTTGTTGTCTCACCAATCAATAGTTGAAAAACGAATTATTAGAATTGTTGGTGCAAAATCTCGGACGGTTGGATGAAAATGAGGAAGCCGATCGTCAAGGCATCTTCAAATTGCTGGGCATTTTTGAAAACCTCTTGGCATTGGACCCTTCCTTGGCAGAACGCATTGCGCTGAAAACCGATCTTTTACCATGGTTGTTGAAACGCATCCAGACAAAAGGCTTTGATTCCAATCGAGGCTATGCAAGCGAGATTTTATCCATTTTACTACAAGAAAGACGAGGTAACATTAACCGCAATACCATCACAGATCAAAGCCACAAAGACGCTCACAACGGATCTTTCTTTTTGATTCAGATATCCGATTAAAGTTGAGCGATTTGGGCGGTGTTGACACCTTATTACGTGCATTATCAGTAAGTGTTCAGGAATGGAGCCATCAGGGTGGTATACATGGATGGCTGATAGATAGAGATAGGCCTATAAACGCAAAGATCCCCAAGATGAAGATGAAGCAGAGATGGTTGAAAACTTTTTTAATGCCCTGTGTTCCATGTTGAACGAGCCAGAAGTCAAGCAACTATTCTTGGAAGCCGAAGGAGTGGAATTGATGCTCATCATGTTAAGGTACGCGGAGATGCAACGGCTGACATTATTGGTCGGAAATAACAGTGGGTTGATTTGATCTTTCTTTTTTATGATTCCATAGAGAACGAACATTGGCGCGTATCCGTGCAGTCAAAGTGTTAAATTATGCTCTTACGGGAGAAGCGGGAAGAGGCAATTGTCTTCGACTGGTGGATGCCACAGGCTTGAAATCATTGTTTCCTTTATTCATGGGCAAGGTAACCAGTACATTACACAGTCTACCGAAACAGAAGATAACTAAATGAATTTTGTATCAAGGGTGCCAAAAAGTTAAAAAAATCTCACAAGGAATATGTAGAATCTGAAGATGAAGGTAGGCTGCAAAAAGAGGAGAATTAGCAAGTCGTATGCTGATGGTTTTTCGAATATTTACAGAACACATTATGTGCATTATTTTATCGTTGATGAGAAATCTGTCACAAGACGATCTCCAACGTATTCGACTGATCCGAAAATTCATTGACGACGACTATGAAAAAGTGGACCGTTTAGTAGAAATGAAGGAGCAATACGAAGCTCGCGATCAGAGAGTCCTAGCGGAAATTGAAGAGGAAAAGAAGGATATGGATGAAGAGGAATTGGAAGAATTTGGAGACGAATTCTATATTCGACGACTGGATGCCGGGTTATTCACGCTACAACGAGTGTGCTTGGTGATTGCAGCATTGAGTATTGAAGATGTCGGTATTAGAGACAAAGCCATGATGTTGCTAAAACGTATGGGATCGGATATGTCCAGTGTCACCCGCATCATTGAAGAAGAGACAGCACTATTGCAAGACTTTGTGTATCTCAAGAATGTAGCTACCGGCGGAGCCACAGCTGCCACGCAATCAACCGAAGCGTCCATCAAGATGGACTCCGCGTCCAACCCTCCTCAAGAGACCCAGTAAATCCCAATCATTCCCCAATCATTACTTTGTTTTTCTCTAAAAATAAATCAATCTCGTCGGCATCAAGCTGCACACCAGCTTCACAGATTAGAGAGCAAAAAAAAAGATTGAAATGAATCATGGATAAAAGCATCGTCGTATTTTGGGTTGAAATTCTGCTTTATGGCGTGATTTTTTAATACAAGAGGATGGTTGCAAAGGTCAATGGATTTATTTCTTGCCAGCAGAAGCCTTGGACTTCTTGGTACCACGGAACTTCTTGGCACGGTTCTTCTTTTCCTTGCGCTGCTTGCGACCACCCTTACCGGGCTCGGCCAAACCAATTCTGGCAAGACGGTACTTGGGTTCGAACTTCTTGAGAGCTTCGACGGAATCGTAGATCAAACCGAAACCAGTGGTCTTTCCACCACCAAAGTGGGTCTTGAAACCAAAGACGGACACGACTTCCTTCTCGGCCTTGTACATCTTGCCAAGCTTCTCACGGATTTGGTCCTTGGACAAGTTGGCGAGACCAGGGTGGATAACATCCACCACCATTTGCTTGCGCTGGAGCAGGCGGTTGGTAAGGAACTTGCGAGTGCGAATGGTGACAGTCGAAGCGTCGGCCTTTTATAGAAGAATGAAGAACAATGACTTAGTATTCCAACGTCGTTTGATTCCATTTCGTCTTTTGCCACATAGTGCTAACCACCCCAAACCCCATCCCCTTTTTCCTCTTCTCCCTTTGGCCTTTTCGCCGTCTTGCTGGCGTTTCGTTTTTGCAAAATAGTTTCAATATTTTTCTGCAATAATTGGCCCGTGCAATTTCGCCATGTCGAATGTCCGCAGAAGTGTACGAATGTATGATGACGAGGTAAAGAGGATGCATCGATTATCCATCAAAGCATCCTATCATCCATCCGACGTTAAAGGCGGATATTTCTCGTAAGTCGCGATGAGTTGAACAAGTATCGTATTGGAATATGTGTAGTTCTTTATGAGGTGTTCGTCGATCATCCGTGTCGGTCAAAGCTCGATGGTGGCGACTTTTTTCCGTTCATCTGCTGGTTTCCCTTCTCCCCGCATCCATCCATGCACCTCCCACCCCATCCTTCTATGCCCCTCCACGATATCAATATAGAAGGCTACGTACCATACTGAGCGAGTCAAAAAGAGGGGGATTCAAGATTCGCCGCAACCTCTTCATCCATATCAAGGAGTCCCTTTGGCGGCGATTGAAATCATCATGAACGCTTTGTCCGGGCCGCACCGCCGACCCTTAAAATTTCAGCAGCAGAAAGACTTTTGGGTGTTGGTGCATGATTGGGTTTACACAATCAACGACGACTGGATCCACAGTTCCATTCCTTTTTTCTTCTCTGACATGGATGTAGATTTTTATTTTGATGGTTTGTCTACTTTAACAGCGGTCCAAAAGGCGCATTCATACACATATTTCAGCATGCCTTGAGGGTTGGAAGTATAGGTCGTAGTAACCATGGATTCTTTCTAAAAACGACGAATACATGTGCGATATGAGATAAACACGTTCCATAATAACAAAATGATACTTTGCTTTACCTTGAATTCAAACCCAATTTCTCGAGATACCCGTTTCACTTCTTCCAAGCTTAATTCGACAGATGATTCACCTGGGGTATCTTCGAAATGATACAGTAAAGGACCTGACAAAGCAAGCATGGTTTTGAATACACAGCAGCTAGGCCCGATTAAAGCAAGCCAAACACTAACCGATGTTGATCCACATGCCACCCTCTTTCAATGTTCGATGAATGACCTGAATATTCTCAAGAATATTTTTGGCAGTATCAATAAAGAAACAGGTGACAACCACGTCCCATGCACCTAATGACGAGTTAGTAATGGATATTTCATGACCAGCGTATGTCACTCTAACCTCGATTGTTCTCTTGTTCACCATAGACTTCAAGGAAATCGCCGGCTACCATGGAAAAATCGACCGTGGGAGGTAGATTGGCAGGCAAAACATCAGGAATCCGAATAGGCGTCAACTGATCGTCCGACGATTTGATATTGGAGAACGAATGGACGAATGGATAAATTTCATACTCTTCCGTCTTGCTCATTCTGATTCAATAAAGACCGAGGTAAGACGGGGGCTGCTTTTTCAATATCAAAATGAAGTTAAGTATATAGCCCTCTTTTTACCTGTTTAATACAAAATGTGAGGCCAAAAGCTAACGGAAAAAAGGTGTTAGATATTAATAGCGCAACATCAGTGGAGCTTCCTTACCATATAAAACGAGAACTCGTTGCCTGATGACAAAGCGATACAGATAGCCATTAGGTGTTTTGTTTCAAGTGAAGATATCATTTGGATCAAACCACGTTACCTTGACAGCTGAAGCCTATGGGAATGATACAACCGAGGTGTGAGCATCGGAATACTTCAACTTTTGACCGCGAAACACGTACCTTTTCGAGCAATATCAAAAGCCAATCGGCCCAATCCAGCACCTGGCACAAGCACGCGAATAGCACCTCTACAGAATCATTAGTACGCCTGATCTTCAGGAACGATGGGGTTTATCATTAATCGTAATACCTGTTCTCGACTGATACATCTTTGAAGAGCGATTCTAATTCTTCAATGACAGGTCCATAGGTGACATCACGCTCGCCTTGACCCTAGATAACCGGGATGAGCCTTCCCTCGCCTTCCACGAGCATTTCAAAATGATGTACCTCTTTTGCCCAATCACGGACAAACTGTTTAAGCGTGCTTCGTACTTTGTCCATATCCATGGGAGATACCGGGGGTTTGTTTCCCTATAGTTTCGTGTTATTACATAACACGCGTAATACTAACCACCGTATCAGAAAGAGCCCCTTACCTGGACCTTGTATCCTTCGGCCATAAGTGCGATGGGATCTTCGTCCATAAACATGTTGGCTCCGCGTACGATTTCTCTCAACATGACCATGTTTGTCTCAATGCATTCATCGACCTTGTTAATCTTTTTTAAAACGTCCGGGATAATCTTTTTATGCTGTTCCGGTAGAGCCATAAAGTCGTGTCTCTTGCGATGATTATGATTGAGAGCATGGCGACGATAATAGGCGAAAGCTGTCAATACTTTACGAAAGTGAGCGCGTTCGGCCTGAACGGGGTCCTCCTGTTCGTGTTCTTGTTCGTGACCGTGGTCGTGGCTGTGACCGTGACCGTGGTCGTGGCTGTGGCCATGGTCATGGCCATGGGTGTGGTTGTGGCTGTGCGAACGTTGAGACATTTTTGACAAGTGAAGGGTGCAAAACGGGGCTCTTCGGATGACCAAAAATTTCGGATCTCCTTGCTGTCACCGGAGTTTTGAACGTTGTGTTTTCCTGATGCGATAAAGGCAAAAAAAACATTGTACCTTCTCGACGCATTTTTTTGATTCTACCACGTTGCTCTCCATAGCGAAACGTTAATCGCACGATATCTGATGGTTATTTCTGACGGTCTATCGTCTCATTTGATGGAACACTTAAAGGCATCAGACTGCTGATAGCTAATAACCCACCTAATTAGTTTGTTCCGATACAACTTGATGTTGTTTTCTTTCTATAAAGGGCTGCGAGTGTCAAATTGAAATGAATACAGTCTTTTACAGCTGCCCATCGCTTATAGCTTGAGAATAACAGGGAAAAAAATTGAGAAAACGATCCCTGAATGATCAGTAAATGCAGGTATAGAAAAAAAGATGCGCTTGCAGCAACAAGGTGGCAACCTGTTTCGCTTGGCCTCGGGGGAAAAAAAGGGTGGTTCTACACTATCCTATAGCGTTCAAACTCATGTATTACGGAGGAGGATGGACATTATCAGTATGCATCCTTTATTACATGAGATTATGCGGCGAGAATAAGGCAAGATAACGCACACTTTCTCGCAACCTTATGAGTAGATATTACTGTTGACAGTAGCATTGGTTATTGATCGATGGTGAAGTTCCAGTCCCCAACATTTTCGTGCAGATACACTTGTTCTTGTCTTCTGTCATTTTGGATTGTCGTGTAATGACTCATGACATGCTTAGCCATCATGAAACGGTTATGCAAAATGGTGTCTATCAGCAGGTCAAAGGGTAAGAACCTGAAAATTTCTCACCTCCAAAAAGATCGCTAAAAATACATCATTTTATGCATGTTCTTCAGCCATGTGCATGCATGTCCGATATCTTGGCTGCCATCGCATCGCGTAATTGTACCTATCTTTACAGCGGGTTCATGACTCAGTTCCCTCGGATGTGATGCGCCACAAATAACGGTTTCAAAATGACAGGCTACCGCGTATGGTGTGCGGATGACAATCCTATGCATCGGGCCAAGAGAAAACTAGAGGGACTTTTTTTTTCAAGGCACATGAAGACAGATCAATTTGTAAGCAGCTGTGACTAGTGGGTTTTCTCAGCACAAAAGGGATCAATTGTTTCGAGCAAGGAAAATTTGATGATTTCGAGGTATTTAAAGGAGTGATAGGGTACGTCATTGAATCGATTGCTTAAACGATTCAAGGCAAAAAACATGACACAATTGTTGTTGACGAGAAAATACCATAAAAGTAGATTACGCAGTAACATTCATCTTGGAGAAAAAAAAAATAGATGGTAAGTGCAGTCGGGCTGGTGAAGAATGATAAAGTGTCTTTTTGGAAAACAGCATCTCCAACCCGTGAACGATGGCCGTCACACCAGTGGGCATCCCGCAAGCCACATTTAATACGTTACAAATAATGTAACAAATCATTGCTTTTCCTGTTTCTTGTTCTTTGTCGTGTCCATGGACGCCAAGGAAACAAACTAAAAGGTGGGAAATCGTGAATCAAAGTCCGTTATGGTTCATAGCACACAGACGTGATATTGGTACGATTTAGATATTCAAACAATGATTTTTTTTGCATGGAACTTTTTCTTTTCCTTCACATGTCAGTTTACTGTAACATAATGGGTGCACTTGGATAAGCCGTCATATGCGAACCTTATCCAATGTAAAGCCCGCGTGATATTTGATTTTTTTTTCCATCTCTTGCCGTTTCGATGCAACAGAAATTCTTTGGATTGGCTATCTCCGCTTTGGCGCGTGATTTCTGTAATTTTTTTTTTTTTTTTTTTGGTGATGCTACAGTTTCCCTTTTTTTTTGGGTAAATTTGTATTTACATTTTCTCTTTCGCTTGCTCTTCTTCCTTCTTCTTTCTTGGCACAGTTTTTTCGCTCTTCCTTCACCTCATTATTACTTTGTGCTTTTTCTTTTGAGCTTCCTTGTTAATATACCCACTGCAACCACTTGTAAAAAAAGAAAACCTCTTTTCTTCGTGTTACATCTGAAATCCTTGACGGCTGACTGAGTGGAAAAAAAAAAGAATCATGGAAACACATAGTGATTATTTTGATATGGCACAGCCCAGGAGTACTAGTCATCGGACGGATCGCCGTAGAATGCATAACACTGCTTGTCGGAACTCAATTTCCGTCCCTGGCAGGATCTCATTTCTGTATCGCCGGTTTTCTTCGACCTCTCAGCCTTACGATTCCCAGACAATGTATACTTCCTCTTCAAGACAGTCCACGGCCGTTGAACTGATTGTGGAGCGATTGGTGGATGCGTTAATATTTACGTCCGCTATCGCCATCACCGCATTCAATTATCTTACGGGCGGACTCGATAATCCTAGTTATTTTGCCAATCCTGTGCCTGCAGTGTTGGATATCAAACAGTGGCGACAAATGCATGGACAATCGAATGGATCCCCACAAGCACCGGTCGACCCTTTAGATGATGCACGACGACAACGCACGTTGATGTGGGCAGAATCCATGGCACAACAACAACAACAACAGCAACAACAACAGCAACAGCAGCAGCAACAGTACCCATCAACTAAACATGCGCATCCGTCCTATGTCACAAACGAAACTCCCATTTGTAGACCGCAACGAACGCAGTCTATGCATCTTCCTACCTTATCGGTACGGGTTTTCTAATTTTTCCTTTTTGTTGATTTCTCAGCGACCCATGTTGACTTATATAAAATATTTTAGGTTGAACCGACCAGCCATCGGAAATCGGCCGTGTCCTCAACCACCAAACAGATGAAACGTGATAAGCGACGCACGCAATCGGTGCCGCACAGCAAATCAGATACTGACAATATCCTGATGGCACAACAACGAATGGAAGAACGTATCCAATCCCTTATTCAAGAAGGTCAAGCGGCTCTACAAAGCACCGTTCAACTGTATGAAATGGATGCGAACGAGCTCGCCATGCGACATGCTTTTGCCAAATCTAAAAAGCGAAATCTCTAAAAAAAAAAAGATGAACCTTGTTTTTTTCAATTTGTACATTTTTGTAAAGTTAACTCGTATGTTGTGCTGCCTCTTTTCTTATCTTGATAGGCTTTTTCTTTGGCAAATCATTTTTTTACGTCTTTCTCATATTTTCCATTAACCCAAGCTCATTCTTCTCATATATAATTTCTGTATGCCTCCCAAAAAAAAACCAAAATAAACTTCAGTGAAAAGACCATCCAACCAAGCTTTTGAATACTATAAATCAATGACATCATAAAAAAATCGAGAGTCGCGGTGACAGCCTTTTCCACTACTCATTTTTAAATCCCAAAAGCGTGTCGTCTCTCACCACCGGATTTTTCTTATTCTTTTTTTTTTTCCTTTGCTTTAATGAGTGGAGTACTCTCCAGACGTTTTTCCTTGCTTCAACTCTCTGCCAAGTCGTTGCGTTCAGTTTCCTGGTCACGATCGCTTCCATTACTTATTCCTGCTCAGCGACGTGCGCTTAGTATGAACACCCCCTTTGCTGTTGCTAACAAACGCTTGACACAAACCCAGACTTGGCTTGCTGCACCAAGAAAACAGGTAAGGGTTGTCACCTAATCGACTTTAATGGCCAACCCACGACACCATTTCCTTCTTCTTCACCGTGACGCTACGCCCAAACCTAACCTGCTAATGTCAATCGATTTAGATGTCTACCTCGACGGCTGCCGTGGAAGAAGCTCAGGTAAAATAAATGCCATGTTCGACTCCTATTTTCTGATAACTCGTCCAACTAATATGACCAACTTTGCTTGTATACCTGTAGGCCGAAATTTTGCACCGAAAGAATTTGGCGGTTCGAGAAGTGATTCTCAACCGACCCAAAAAATTGAATGCATTGAATTTAAGCATGATTCGCGCTATTACACCTGAACTCAAGGTATGTAGGATGGGGTTGCTGGGCTGTTCCTCTTTTTTTGAAGGACATGTCATGCTTCACGATCTTTGAAATTTAGAACTCTGACTTTCAAACCTTGTTCATTAGGCGTGGGAAAAATCCGATTTAGCCAAAATCGTCTTACTCAAAAGCAGTGGCGGAAAAGGTTTCTGTGCAGGCGGTGATGTGAAATGTAAAGTATTCTCGTTGGACAACCTATCGGCTGGGGGAAAACCAACTGGATTTTGGGGTGCTGATTTTCTTTTTTTATTCATGCAGCGGTCGTTGATTTGGCCAAAGCCGGTGACCCAGATGCTGCGACCTTTTTTGAAGAGGAATATCAGCTCGATCATTTCATTGCCACCCTCAACACACCTTATGTCTCTGTTATGGATGGTATCACCAGTAAGTTTATTTGTGGAAGCCCCGCTCAGGTCTCCTTGCATGTTTGGGACTTATTGACTCAACAAGTGGCATGTTTTCTTCGTTTTTGATGTGTAGTGGGAGGTGGTGTTGGCCTTTCGGTGCATGCTCCTTTCCGTATTGCTACCGAAAATACTTTGTTTGCCATGCCTGAAACCGCCATTGGTTTCTTGCCCGAAGTCGGTGGTAGCTTTTTCTTGTCCCGTCTTGATGGACAATTGGGCGTCTACCTCGGTTTGACTGGCAAGCGCTTAAAGGGAGCCGATGTTTTGTAAGTGATCCGCGCGTTCTATGAAGCCATATCATCTTTTTATTTTCGGAGATGTCTAGACTGATGAACGGATTTAGGTATGCTGGTGTGGCAACGCATTATGTTCCTTCAGCTCGTTTGCCGGCCTTGGAAGCTCGTTTGGCTGAACTCGAAGATGCTTCTCATGACGTTGTCAATACCGCCATTGAGGAATTCTCGGCCGAAATGGAATCAGAGAAACCATTTTCATTGGGCGGTGAAGTCCGCGCCGCTATTGACAGGTAAATGATTTCTGGATCATTCAATGTTAAAGTTCCAAAAATTGATGAAAGGCGGATCTGTGTGTAAGATGCTTCAAATACGATACCGTGGAAGAAATTGTGGAAGCTATCAAGAAGGAAGACTCTGAATGGGGTCAAGAAACCTTGAAACTGTTGAACAGTATGTCGCCTACTTCCCTCAAAGTCACATTGCAGCAATTGAGAAATGGCGCCGACCTCTCGATTGCTCAATGTTTCAAGATGGAATACCACCTGGTCCAAAAATTCTTGGTAAGCCATCTTTCATACCTTGTTGCTCACTCATCGTCGCTGACGTGTTGTAAACGTGTTGCAGGAGGGCCACGATTTTGCTGAAGGCGTCACTGCTGTGCTAGTGACCAGATCCGAAGCGAATTGGAAGCCTGCTTCTCTGCAAGAAGTGGATAAAGACAAGATCAAGAAGGAGTATTTTGATGCTCCGTCTCCCAAACGCTTGGAATTGCTTTCGACCAAAGACTTTTCCCAATACCCTCACCGAAAGTACATGCTTCCCTCGGAGGAAGAAATCAAGCGTGTTGTCACTGGTGAAGCCCCAGATGTTGGACAGTATGCATTGACGCGTGACGAAGTCGTAAATTACTTTGTCACACGACGCAATCACAAGCAAGGCGTAAAATCCAAGGTGCTCGAAGTATTGGATCGCAAAACTCGGGTCAATGAAAAGGATGAAGGCAAAAGCTTAAAATGGTCATATTAAATCTGTTGTCCAAAGACATTGGTCATGATCAATAGATCAGTAAAATACGAAATAAAGAAATAAAAAGGAGAACCCGATTTCGAGATACGACTCGACACATTAAAGTATTTTTTTTATTGTCCTTTATGCTGCGAGAGTCTATAGGATGATTAAAAAAGACTCGATGCATCTTCATTACCTTCAACGATTGATGTGTATATTATATTGATTTTATAAGGATGTGCATGTGTAATGAGAGAAATAGAATGGGAAAAGGGTAAGTAGGTATTAATCATGTCTCAGGATGCATTTACAATATCGCGGACCATGTCAACAATCTCGGATCCTTGAAAGCCCAATAATTTTCCCGCAGCAATGAGAGCAGTCAAGCTCTTCATCATTAAAACACGACCTGCTTCGCGTTTTTGCTGATCCCACAAGGACACATTGACGGCAGACGCTACATCGTCCACCTTGACTGAAGATGCTGGTTCGGCTGTGGTGTTGGTTTCCTCTTCTGGCTCGTCTACAGGATACGCTCCGGGAACATGGTATGACTGAGGTGCTTCAGGTATATCCCTTGGAGATTTTGGCATCTTGAATCCATCTGCTGACAGTGGTTGCGACTGTCGCGAATGTTCTAGTTCCTGCTCTTGTAGTAATGCGGCTTTAGGAAGAGGGTTAATGGCTGACATGGGTTGTAAACCATTGATGCGTCCGCGTTGGCCCGGCAGCGATGTTTGTAGCATATGAGTGAGTTCGGCCAGCGCATTGGTGTGAGCATCCATGAGGTTAGGTACGCTGGGAACCGTAAATAACGGATTGTGCGACTGATCATATTCTTCTTCCATTTCTTGCTGTTCCGTATCCAGCCCAAGCACGGTATGGGATTGTAGTATCCGCGTCGGCATCTTGCTTCGTGGTTGTGCCGGCGGCACCTCTTCATCCAATCCAGGTGTCAATGTCCCGGGATTTTGGCTCCATCGTGCATAGTATTCATCTTCCGAGTCCGCTTCGGACTTGGCCCCATCCTCACGTACACCGTGCGAACGGGACGCTGTACCGGATCCTCGCCCCGATCGTTCTTCGTCTTCATCCGACGACCAGTCTCCCCAATAGTCCTCTGGCGCATTGACCGTCTTGTTGATCTATACATTTGCTTGGTCAGTCATAACCGCATCCAATTGACTCTCCATTCCCCTTCTTTTCACACACTAACCTCCGGCGTTTCTGGCACTTTTTTTCGTTTTTCTCGTGTTACTTTAGTCAAAAATTGACGCTCGGCTTCCTCCAGTGATAAGGACCAATCGGTCAATATGTCACGATCCCATTCTTCTTGAGAAATCACCTTGGTATTGTGGTATTTAAGCTCAGAAATATCGCCATTGCCTTCTTCCAGGATCAGCACCACAACATAATGCTTCGTGTCACGACAAGCAAACTCCACCACCGCATGCAACGTTTCGGCGTCAAGACGTTTATAGTACACAGGATTCTGATACAGATCATCCCGCCCGGAACACCCATCCGTCCACATAGTTTCAATGATATCGGGACATTCGTCTTGTTGCCATTGCACAACCGAATTCCATTCGTTGGCATCGGTCTCCGATTTGGGCCCGAGAAAGTGGACCCGTTGCCGGAGAGAATGAGATGCAATAGGTAGCAAACCCACAAAACTGTGTTGCTGTCGGTACTCGAGAGCCATATGAGCTAGGGAACGCGCAATATTTTCATTCGCATAATCATCGATCGCTTCCATGGAGGGCGTTAAGAGAATAAAATAAAAAGAACCGTGGATAGTTGCGTAGATTTTCTGTGGGAGAAATCCAGAGTCTCCATTGAGCGGAGATTCAATATGCGTGGAAAAAGAAAAAATATTCATCAGGCAACATTTTGGGTTACAGTTTATTCAAACAGCGCGCGTAGTAAAACCACACCGTTACAAAAATAATCAAGCGAATGAAATAAAATAAAAAAAAAGATAAGAAACGAAAAGAGTTTAATTTAATTAGGTGTGGACGGCAGCTAGCCGAAAAAAAGTAAGCTAAGTAAGTACATAACTGTAAGTCTAGATCTTGCCTTGAAGCAGTTCAGAGATCATGGCCTTGCCGGTGATACGGAAGGTATTGTACAGGGTCACATAATCAATGGTGGAGAAGATCATATCAAAAGTACCAAAAGGCAACATCAAAGGAATCCAACCACGAGCATATTCAAGAGCCCAAGCGCGTTCAGGGATCTTGTATTGCTGAACAACACCACGAGCCATATGGTGGCTCTCACCAGGACGATACACCTATAAAAATTGCCGAACCAGGTTACTATCGCTAGGCAACACCCAACAAGTCCACCATCTTCCAAGGGCAATCACTTACATCACGATCTAATGCACCAGCCTGATAAGCCCACTGTTCACCTTCCAAGATCATAAAGTAGTCATCGGCAAAGAAACGACCAGTGTGACCTTCGGTACCGACGGCCGTACCAAAGATGATTACATATTCGGTGAGGGACGCGTGCAAAATCCACATGGAACCCATGGCGCCACCAGCATTGTTGAACACCCAGTCCTCTTTGATGGAAACATGGCCAGGATATTCCTTGGCAAGGTCTTGCGCAATGGAATTAATAAGACCGCGAGTATCGTTCTTTCCTTCATATGCCTCGATGTTGCGTTTGGCAACTTCGTGCAAGACATTCTGATCAAAAATGTAAAAGCGATCAATCACCTGGTCAAAACCAAGGAAGATGGCAATAGCCAAAGTAGCGATGAACAAGAACTTCATCAAGCAAGAACAGCTTCCGCCTTTCTTCGTTGACATGGGTGGAATGAGGTGAAGAAGAAAAGGATGAACCACTTTTTTTTTGAAGACTTTGCCCCTTGTAGAAAAAAAAAAGCTTCTTCTGCTGAAGGTAAAATTTTAAGTGACCATCACTTTTTTGCCCTTCAGCCAATAATATTGCAGCGAAGTTGGAATACACGGACAGAATGGCAGCAATAATGCCATTGTCAAGGGATCCCAAAAAGCTTATTCGCTGTCTGAGATAAGACACGATAAAAATGGGCAAATCATGGTGCCATAATGTTCATTTATCTTCAAATGTCTCCCCTTTTTTTTCGTATACAAGCTATTGGAGTGTTCCGCTTCTTCTTTCTGGCTATTCTTAGTGTCAGGTACTATTATTACCCTCGGACACGGCGCCGTTTGGCTTTTCTTGGTTGGCGTGTTCCTGATCGGTATGCTCCTCCGCGGCCATTTGTTGCTTTGCTTTCTCCAGTTGCCGAGTGTATCGTTCAAGCCCAGCCGCCGTCACTTGGCGCTGCCACGACTGGACCATTTCAGCTGATGGCGAAGCGGTATGAATCGCGCGATGATATCTTTCCATGCCCGTCAACTCCATTGCTTTTTTGAAATAATGGTTGTGTTTCACGTGGCTAATGACTCTTTCCACCTCGTTCTCTTCTCCTTGTTGATACGACGTGGTTTTCGATGCGTTGGGTATATTGACAGGGATTGTATACCATCCTTGTTCGGTTTCCTTGACGGGGAACCCTTCGCATATGGCGCCATAACCGGAAGCCTCGCATTCTTGCTGTGTCCAGTATCGACCGTGATAAGTCATTGGACTGGACCGCGCAAAACTCCATACCGTCCAGCTCAAGATTGCCACTGCAGCGAGCAATCGGATTTTTGGCCCACCACGTAATGTGATTAATTCTACACCCACAGCAAAAAGACTACTGCCATAGTACATGCTGGGAAGAATATCGGCCATATTCAATGTAACTGGGTTAGTGAAAGTGAGTCCCAAAGCCTGAATGATGACAGCAACGGAAAGATAATTGAATGTTCGTTCATACAGCTGTTTGTGCACATCATAGTTGTCAGCCGTCACTAAGAGATTAAGCAATCAATGGACCGTCACAGAGAAAGTAGATTTGATGTAAATCGTTGGACTGTACCTTTGTGGTCAGGGTGGATCAGAGTGACAGACTGCGGGAACTTCAGTTGCCGTTTACGTAACAGTGCGTCCATACATAAATAACCAGCATACGCGACCAAGGTACATAGTACCGGGATTCGAACTGAAGGGTTGATCAACATAAAGAGAGCTGAGCCGGCCAAACCACGCCATATCATGAAAGCATGATGTGTGAATAACCAGCGGAAAGGATCTCCTAGGTTGGAGCCCATACGCAGCAGTTCTTCAAATTGTCTGTTACTGTCGCTGGTAACCTGGTCATGAACAATTTCATGGTATTTCGCCATCAAAGCATGGATTTCCTTCAACTTTTCCATCATGGTCGGCTCAGCAAAAGAGATTTTTTTAGACGCGCGCACTAAAAGAAATGCAAATTTAGTGTCATTATCCAATCTGGGTTTGCTGCTCCAATGCGCTTACACATATCATGGTGGGCGGATTCGATAATCCACGAAGAAATTTCGGTGGTGGCCTGCTGCATGCAAGTCACTTCCTGCTGGGCAAACGTTTGCTCGGATAACGTTACATGATGGCTAATGAGAGAACAGCCTCGGATATGAACTAATTTTAGTCGGTCTTTGATCGGTTGAACATATCTCGGCTTTCTTTCCGGGTTTGACTCGACAGGTTCGCCAATGACTTGAACAAACCAGATATCATTAGGGTCGTCGATATATTGATCTCCGTAAGCACTAAATGACGACGTGTTAGCTGGTGTCTCGGTATTCTTGAAGCGTTTTTACGTACGTTACTTCAGAATGCTCGTCGGCGCCACTGATAGGCGGTTTATGATCGTGTGAATGAAGTCGTTTGGTTGTCGATACATGTTCAAGTAGAATAGGTTCATTGTGCTTGATATATTCAATCGGCTGTGATTCATTCCAACGGCGCGAAGGACGTTGAACCACCCATACATTGTTAATGTCGTTGAAAGGATACAATGTGACCCGTTGCTCTTTTGATCCGTTAGATTAGTTCAACCCGAATAAAATAAGTAGCCGTTGCACTTACGCTTGCTCCCAGATTCATAGAGATGGATGTCTGAATGAAGGTAGCCTCCTGTACTGCCCATGTGACGGAGGAGAATTTTGGACCCATAGGCGACATCTAATGCCGAATGGATAAGTTTAAGCCATATCTCTTTAATGTTCAACCTGTTTACCAACCAGAATGGGATATCGGAGGAGTATTTCCTTCGAGATGATACCGCAACTGAGGTCCTAACAAAAGGTCATGATCGCCTGAATTGGGGATCAATTTGAAATGAAGTTGGAAAATAGCAAGGTAGGTCGCCAACGGAAGCGCAGCGAGGGTGAACAATCGAGAAATCAATTGCTTTGTCACTGACACCTGTTATCAATTATGAGCAAACGCTTTGCACTATATTTAATACTTGGTTTCTCATGTCCTTACCATCGTATTACGACGGTCTGTGACTTGATACCATAAATCGCTGGCCGTACATAACCACACCAATACAAGGGATAGTATACCTTGCCACTTTACGCTGTGAAAACCAAGCGAATAAAATAGATACCATCATTAATGCGATCATCATCAATACGGCAGTAAATTATTCTACTGTAGCTTTGGCACGATTTTCGATTCGACCCTACCTTATGGCGCAACCGATCAACAGGCCGGTGAGCACTTGCGATCGGAATACATTATGGCGCGCTTGTTTTGATGACTTTGGATCCATTGTCAACCAACAAAAGGCCGCTGCTGCACACAGACACGAAAATAAGCTGTCAGGTGCCATAAAACGGGATGCTGTAATCATCCCATTTTCTAATGATGTCGTGCATAGAATCAGTCAACGCGTTGTGAAAACAATGATTGTATTGTTCTACAAACCAAAAGCCAAGAGAGTTGCTGTTAACATGGCGGCCAACCGGGAGTGACCCATATAACGAACAGTGAGGTACCCGATCACGAGGGTTAGAGTGCCTAATGTGGCTGATACAGTACGTAGTTGCGTGATGGGAAGCTTTTCCACCGTTCTACGCATCATGAATAAATTCGTATTTCCACATATAATAACTAACAAGAACATGAACTTACTGTCCTGCGTAAAGGATAAGTTCGGTGCCATCGTAACCTGCGATTTTGGCCATCATGGTGTACAAGAGACCCGCCAACGGTGGATGCGATCCAATGAAAAATTTGCCTTCCATGTACCAATTGATTTGACGACACATCTCCAACTCGCTTTCCCTACCAGCTCACGGTTAGCTATTACTTTGCACAATCTTTTTCGTTTACGATATTTACAAGATAATGTTCGAGAAAGCGATATTCCGGAACCGGATCCAGGCCCCTAGTAAAGTTACCATGGCCAATTGCATGCATTCTCCCGTATGTATGGACACACCATTTTGGCGAACTCCAGCCTTTTTGGTTTTAGCATCGTATATATCGTCTTCTTCGTGACTTTGAAACAAGACTGACTCTTTCTTGGCTATCGAGCGTCGATACCGCAGTGAAAACAGCATATCGAACCTTTTGCCAACAAATTCACAGAATGAAAAATAAAGAGAGACAAAGAATCCGTTAAATTACATTGATGACTACATAATAAAAAAAAAACAGATGCTCATCATTCCTTAAACGGATAACAGGTCGCATTGCCTGGCGTTTCTATTATTGCCATTTTCTCATTCCAACCTTGAAAATGTGTTCAGTTTTTCCAACTTTATTCAGTGAGCCTTCACTTGTGCACACACCCTAACTACGGCAACAGGATCCATTCCAGCAGCATTAAAAGGTTCCAGTTATTGACTTTTATCGATGGGTATTCAGTGAAGGTCTTTTCAGCCTGTCAGACTGTAAAATGGATCACTTCGTTTTTATCACATTCATCCATTTCTTATATGTCCAAAAATGGCAACTTCTAGGTAGCGGAGGTATGCGTATGCACCAACGGAGAACAGTTCAGATAACACAACCCTCGATGAAGATCAAATTTTCCCATTGAACCCATCATGTTGTATCCCTGTATCGCCCTGGTTTTTTTTTCTTTTTTCTTTTACTTTTTAATTGATTCTGCAATGTTGTTATTGATGGGGAAAGCTGTAGAGAGTGATCTGAGTTTAAAATGTGTGGAACTCGCCGTGTGACGTCTCGCTCCCTCTAGTGGGGTGGGTTCTTTTTTCTTCCCTTCTTTTTTTTGGTCAAATAACAGTGTCAATTATCCTGATTTTTCTCGGCTTTTAAACCCTTATTTCTCTAATGTAAGTTGTGTTCTCTTGCCATTATCTCCATTGACAAATGGAAGGTGTTATTGTGTATTCATCATCTTTTGGGTTTTGTTGATGGTCCAGTTTTACCCGAACATGTCGACGATTACGCGAAGACGAGTAGCAGGGTCGTCTGCCAATAATGACGACCACGCATCCGAAAGTAGCCATACCAGCAAACCCCACGATAGTTCGTCTCCCTTGGCTGAGAAGAAAATTGCTTACGATCCCCGTGACGTGGACGACGAGAAACAAACACCCAAATTAACACTCATGGAAGAAGTCTTACTTCTGGGACTTAAAGATAAACAGGTAAAGAAAACACCCTGTTCTATTTAGTGGTCGTTCGTTTTTACTTCTTCATTTCCTGCTACCACCCATTTGTGAAAAGCCATCATGAGGCGAGCAACCAACATCGCTGCGGGACGTGGAATGAAAAGGTGGAGTGGCAGCAGAAACAATCGATGGGCGGGTTATCTGTGTTACACGAAACAAATCGCAATACGTTTTAGCAGCAAAGAAAAGCGGCAAAATGGGAAGCTGGCGATGGATCTTCTGATTAGAGAGTTCTGTTATGGGAAATGATTTAATCAGTTCTTTATTGCTCTTTTTTATTGTTTCTTCCATGTCATTGTTTTATTGTATTAACGATCTCTCTCTTTTTTTTGTTACTCCTTTTTCGATCTCATTTGGGGGTGTCAACCACACTTTTACAGGGTTATCTTTCTTTTTGGAACGACAGTATCAGTTATGCGCTTCGCGGATGTATCGTCATGGAGTTGGCATTTCGAGGCCGCATCGCCATGGTCAAGGACCCGAATCGCCGAAAGTATCCCATGTCCGATCGATATATTGAAGTGATCAACGACAAACTGACGGGCGAAGTACTGCTGGACGAAGCACTCAAAATGATGAAAGTGAGCGAAAAAATGAGCGTGGCCAGCTGGATTGATTTGATGAGTGGTAAGCAGAAGAAAAAAGATACGGAAAGGAGAAAGGATGGCTGATCCGTTTGTAGGTGAAACTTGGAATGTGATGAAGATTGGTTATCAATTGAAACAAGTACGAGAACGATTAGCCAAAGGGCTGGTGGATAAAGGTGTCCTTCGAACGGAGAAGCGCAACTTTTTACTATTCGATATGGCTACGCATCCTATTGCAGACACAGCGATAAAAGAGGAGATTATCAAACGAGTATGCACGATGCTGGTGACGCGTGTGTCTTCCTCTGCTATTGACGCTCAATCGGACGTCCCTCACGCCTATCTACGAACAGTCAGCATGATCTGTGCCGCCTATGCAGCCAACGTATTAGAAAATGCCTTGTTGTATCTGCAACCCGACCTGCGAGAACAAGCGTTCAACAAAGTCGATGAGCTAATGAGCGATTTCTCGACATGGCCTTTTGCTGGATCCGGCGCCAAACTCGAGGTCCCTCCTGGCAAAGAGCTGTCATTAGAAGTGGTTGCCAGCGTTCTCGATGTGTTGACCAAAATGGACGCTATTGTAAGTACTTTTTTCTTAAGATTTGTTGATGTATCTTTGGAGTACAGATGAACTGATGGAACCCATTGTTTATTCTTAACAGCTTTAAATTTTTCTCTCCCCTGTTGACGCTGCATTCATTTACCATTTCGACCGAAACTTTATACATTATTTTCCTTCTCTCTTTTTTTCCTTCCGTTCTCCATCCTTTCCGCCCCTCTTTATAAGAACCAAAAAAGAAAAAAACAAAGAGAGATAGAGAGAAAGATAAAAAAAAGAGCAATCTGTACCCAGCGGTCATCTTCCTTGCTGATCTGATTTTATCATCTCAGTAGACGATTGCTGCTATTTCTTGTAATTGTTCCATTTTTCCCTTATAAACCCAGAAAAGTTTTAAATTGAGTAAAAAAAAACACCACATCAGCATGATTTACTATCTTTTTTTCACTCTTTGAAGCTGGCAATGAGGGCACTGGATTTTATATGAAGGATAAGAACAATTTCATTTGCCTTGTAGCCATCAGCATTTTTCATGTCAGCACACCGACCGACGATTAAAGCAGCCGAGAATGTCGGCCAATGCAATTTGACCAATCTCTCAGCAGTCACATATCCTTTTTTTCGAAAAAAGGGTCCGTTGACAGATCCTGCAACGGCATTCGCTTCCGGATTACAGATTTGATCCTTTTTTGTTTGGCACAGCATGGCAGCACCGAGCTCGGGTCCCACCACTTTTGCAGACGACGGTCAAGCGGTTATCGAACGTACGATTGATGTGGAAAGTGTCAAGCATACCGATTTGGAAGCTTTGTACGAAATTGATCGCACGGTGACCGGCATTTTGCAAGGCGACTATAAGCGAGTGGCACTGCAATTTCCTGATGAGCTGCTGGCCGATGCTGCGGCGGTATCAGCTATATTAAGAGAAAGAACGGGAAAAGAAATCTTTATTCTTGCCGATACATCTTACGGCAGTTGTTGCGTGGATGAAGTGGCTGCCGAACATGTGAATTCAGATTTGATTGTGCACTATGGCCGATCTTGCCTAAGCCCGTAAGCACCGGTATTGGGATAGCATAATAGAGGAATGAGAATACTTACAAGTATGTGGTAGACCTTCCCGTCTTCCCGTGCTCTACGTTTTTGGACAAAAACCGATGAATCTCGATCACTGCATGCAGGAATTTGAATCCCTTTTCCCGGATCCGGCCGTTCCTGTTATTATCATGTGCGATGTCGAATATTCTTATGCTGTTGGTATGCTACTAAAGCTGCGTGAGGTTGATCGCTCCTAGTTATTAAGTGTGGCACTTAGAATCACTGACTTCCAAGCTGAAGGAACGCTATTCCAATATCATTCCGACCAAAATTCAGACGTCCAGCAAGCTTCAAACGACACTTGATAAAACGGAACAGCGTCCATTATTGCGGTCATCAAAGAGCTGTGGCGGTGAAGGATGTGGCAGGTCCTGTAGTCATGATCTAGAAAGTTTGGAAGAAGATCACGGTCATTGTGGCGGCCATGCACCCAAACCATCCTTGTACGCCGACGTGAACGATTTAGCGGATGAAAAGAAAAAGGGCGGACGTTATTTCGAATTACCTGAAGGCGTATCCATAGAGGATTGTTCAATCTTCTTTATCGGGGTCGAAAGTCTCACTTTGACCAATATCATTATGGTCCACAACAAGTGCCCGGTAAGTTTATCGCCAAAGAAATGGATTTTATTTGGTCAAGCATGAGTAACAACTGACCCGTTTTTTGCATATGTTTGGCTCTAGGTATATACATACGATCCCAAGACCAAAGTGGCAAGAAAGGAAACGATACAAGTGAATCGAATGCTAATGAAGAGGTGAGCGTGTGTGGGCTGATGGATGAATAGGAGACTCATGTTGCGACCGATAGATATTTCTTGGTACAAAAAGCCAAGGACGCAAATACCATTGGTATTGTCGTAGGCACATTGGGTGTGGGTAAGTGGCGTATTATATTGAATTTTCGCGTGAAGAACAACATGCTGAGCGATGGTGGATAGCTTCTTATATGAATATTATCGAGCATTTGAAAAAACTGATCAAGAATTCCGGCCGTAAATCGTACTTTTTCGTGATGGGCAAACTCAACGTGGCGAAAATGGCGAATTTCATGGAAATTGATTGTTATGTGCTTGTCGCTTGTCCTGAAAATAGCTTGATCGATTCCAAGGTAAAGTAATTGATTGAATTACCCCAAGAAAGGGAGACCACGAGAGATTGAGCCATGCTTACCATTGTTACACTGGGTGGGCTCACCGTTATAGGAGTTTTACCGCCCAATTGTTACCCCCTTTGAACTGGAGATCGCCCTTGTCAGGTACACTATTATTTTTTTATGCAAATCTCCCTAATATGGATTAGTATTTTTTTTTTGCTGGTTTGACTGATTGTTAAGCACAGATCCAAGGAGTGGACGGGTGATTACGTATTGGATTTCTCAAAGCTACTTCCCCAATTACGAACCGATGGATTTGTTTACGACGAGGTATGGAGACGAATGTTTGAAAGGTTATGGTATTGTGAATTGACCATGTCATTTTCTAGGAACGAGAAGAAGGTTCGAGCGATGAAGAGGAGCACTTTTCGCTGATCACTGGTCAATACAAACCGAGACTTTTCCAACGTACTTCGACAAAGAAGGCCGATGGTATGTGATGCGCAATGACGGATTCTATGACAAGAGAAAAACTTACATGCCCATCGACTTTTTTCTAGATACAGGCGAGGTGTTGACCAGCAAATTGACTGATTTGACGTTGCGCAACAATGAACGAGCCATTGCAACTTTATTGCACAGCACAGCTGGTATGATGCGAAGGGCAGGACAATTTGTTATCCGCTTGAAAAATCTAACCCATACATTCGCAGGTGAATATCTAAGGAACCGAACGTATAAAGGCTTGGAGCAAAGATTGGGAGAAGATGAGGCTGGTGAAGTGCTTGAAGGTCGATCAGGCATTGCCAGAGGTTACAAGGATGAAAAACAGTAAGGAGAGCATGATGATGCCATTATCACGCTACTTCACTGTGGCGCGAAACGCTCCCTGCTTTTTTTTTCATTTGTTGAACCGAACGCTTTACAATGCGCTGTATACGTGTATTTTTTTTTCTTTTTGCTCCTTTTTTTTCAGTATATTCAAATCCACTTTATAGACTTCCCTTTTTCGGGGATTTTTTTTTGGTTAATTTTATTCATTTATACTTTTCATTCTTTAGCATTTTATTATCAGGAAAAAAAAACATCGTACTCAAGCTGTAGTACACTATAGATAAAGCTTGTGATTGAATCATGATTTAACTTGGTGTGTCAGCAAACGGTTCTGGAGATCGATAGCACTCTATCTGTACGGAGCATTTCCGGAGAAGGACATGTGTGGTTGATCAATGGCAATCTGTGGGGTGCAATCATGTGCCAAAACCAAAAAAGGGGCGAGAAAATAAAGTAGAAAGGGAATATCAGGGAAAAGAAAGAAGGTTGACTAAAAGGAAGATACCACCATGTCACGCACGCGCCATACTGTAGCCTACGATCACTTGCATCATACGAAATGTTTGCGTGCGCTCGTGCATATGGTGGAATAATGTGGCCGAAGCAAGGGTCCAGCAGAGAGAGATTGCTTCCCCTATTTCTTTGTCCACCCTAGGCTTTTTTTCAATATTGTCTTTTTTTTTGATATTTTGAATGCCCAAAAGTCAAAGCCAAATCAATTAACAAAAAGCGGCACCAAGAAGAAGGCAAGAAAAAAAATACCAATAGGGAAGCTCCTTATCAAAATAATATCGATAGTTATATATCCATTTTTAGCATGTTTTCTGGATATCATCAATGAGTACAAGAGACAGTAGGCAAAGACAATGAACAACGATCTTCATTATCTGGAAAAAAAAAAACACGAAAATGCAAGCCCACAGAAATCGACAGTGCAACGTGCATTGTTTGATCAACGACTGGCGCGCATAAAAACTATGCATACCAAACAGTTATGAAAACTCATGTCGCTGTCTTTATAGGAACATCCATCATTGAACCGTTGTCAGCTTTACGTCAAAAAAGGGACAGTTTTTTTTTTTTGGAGAGTCTTTTTTTTTGCTTTGCTTTGTATTTATCGCACTTTTCTTTGTACCTTGACCCCTGAAGGACTCATTTTAGTTATCTTTTTCCGCTGTAGTGCTCGTGTCCTCATGCATTACCAACCGTACAAAGGACGGTACTATAATGGAGATACAAAGAGTATTATACCCATCATCACGCATACTTACATTCCCTTGGAACCTTTTTTTTTCTGTTGTTTGCGTGCTTTTTCCTTTTTTTTTTTTACATTTATTTCCCCTCTCTTACAATAGTGTGTTTCCTCCTAAATCCGTCTTCCCATTTCCCCCAAAGGAAAACCCACCAGAAAAAAAATCGGCCCTGAAATTTTATCTTGGGAGATCAGCTTTTTCGTTCCATCGATCAAAAAGCACTTTCTATATAAAAACAAGCTTGATTCGAATCCTATCCGGTTCGTTTCTTAGCTTACACACATCATAAACAACATTCACCTTTGAAAAAGAACCTCTTTTTTCGTTTTACAAGAAAAAAGAAAAAAAAAAGCTTTGGATTTTTTTTTTTAAATTTCTACTTTTTTATCTTATTTTATATTTGACGTTTAATGATGACAGAAGCCATGCATTCATTCGAACAATCTTTCAGTTTATCACGTAGCAACGAATTTTACTCTCCAACGGACGATGCGTATCTCTTGGAAACCTTCCATCAGTTACCTCATGGAGATTTTCGTCCTACGTTTTATAATCCTTTTGAAATCAAACATCGTCGAAGAACGTCCCGATCACAATTAAAAGTACTGGAAAAGGCGTTCAGCGAAAATCCCAAACCCAATGCTACCGTCCGCCGTATCCTAGCCCAGAAACTGGACATGACTCCACGAGGGGTGCAGATCTGGTTTCAAAACCGAAGAGCCAAAGTCAAATTGCAACGTCGAAAATCAGCTGCCAAAAACGAACAGCCGCAAGATTCGCTTTCCATTGACACCGCGCCATTTTCTACCGCGTCGAATCATTTTCTGTCCGACATGTCATTTGCGTCATTGAACAAGTCATCTTCATCATCGACATGCCATTCGTTCTCTTCCTTTGCAACTCCAAAGGCGCTTGGCAATTATTCGCAAGAACTCGACTGGTCCACTTGGCAATCGATGCCACCAACGACGTCCAATACAATGGCCCAACCCAACTTGACTGTCTCCTGTCACATGGACTCATCGATGTCGCCATGGATTTCAACCTCACTATCGATGGCCTCCGTGCCTTCGTCTCTAAGCAACAGTACTGCCGTGTCGAGTTACCATGGCGATCGATATCGATCCATACAAGACGCATCCGTATCCATGGCAGACCAGAATTCATGCTCCCCTTTAATTTCGAATCAGGATTTCATGATGGCACAGACCAATTATATGGCACCACACTGGCCAACCAACTTATTTTCTCTGGAGGTTCGTGTCATCAGTGGGCAAGCGTCCCCCTGGAAAAATAATATTTTTTTTCTTTTTATGCAGGAGTAATAACGTGCTTCATTTCCTTTTTATTTTCTAGGGACGTTCAACAGATCTCAATGTCGGCTATCCTTGTGAACGAGCCATGTCATCAGACAGTGATCCGAGCGTAACTTCTAGTATCAAGTGTGACCAAATCAGTCCAGCTTTAATACGGTATGGTCTTCCTGCATCGGATGGGCCTCCTTCATTACCGGAACAGGTTCCGACGTCACTTCCTTTAAGCTTTTATTCTTTGCCGCTGGATTATTCTACCGTACCATCCACTGACGAACAGCTGACCCCGCCTCTAACCACCGCTTCGTGTGCTGCCTCGACCGTGGCTGGATCCCCCATTTCTTTTGACGGATTTTACGAACAATCGCCCTTTTGCACTTTGGCCGTCGACGCCTTGCTGCAATCCTCCACTTTATAAATTCCAAAAATAGCTTCCCCATTTCAGGTTACACCTTTCCGTTGGTTGATCCAACCTCCAAGTAATCTTTCTTCCATCTATGTTTTATAATTTCCTTTTTTCTTTATTCTCTTTGTTCCATATGCTGCTACTTCATCAGTCACTGGTTTCTCTTTCTTATCCTTTTTTTTTACCTGGGAATTTTCCTCTATCAGTTACAATATTCATCATTGCCCCTCTTTCCTTATTTTGGTTTATCGTGCACTCCCTTTCTTTTTTTCATATTTCCTCCTGTTCCTATGTCTTCCTCTTACGTATCTTCTCTTTAAATGATTTTTCCTTTTCTATCCCTTGTTAACCGTTGCGCTCCCTTTTTTTCTCGACAACAGCTTGTCTTCATTATACGCCTTTGCAGAGTAGTGAAAAGAGAGTAAAAGGGAAAAGGGGAGAACCACAACAAGCTTTATTTTCTTTTACTGTATAGAAAAATAATTTGAATGACATTGGCTTGCCAATTTCATCATCAGTCTATTATCGATAAAACCAAAAAGAACGGGATTCTGTCAAATTTTCTATCTTGTGTCTAATTTCAGATGATGTATTTTCATGCAAGAACAAAAAGATGTTTAGAGACAGAATAATGACATGAGAATCTATCATATTGTTACATGTTTTGCTTGCGTGCAATGCCAATGTTTGTCTTATGCGGTTTTGGATTTTTTGTTTGCTGTCACGGTTTCGTTGTTGGTTCGCTTGATGGAAGTACTTGCTAGTACACTGACGCCTTCTACAAAAGGTTGCACAAGCTGCATTTTCATCTTTTGTCGCATGCCCTCAACATCGCCTTCCACACTGATTTCAATCTTGACAGTATCAAACATCTTGATAACCGTGTCTCCAGCCTCCAATGAGTTTTGTGCCTCATTGAATGTAAACGGAGATGGACCATCCGGTCTTTCACTTGTGTATACAACGCCTTCAATACCGTATCTGTATGGCCATCGTCAGTACTCGTGGATTCAACCAATAAAAGAATAATTAGAAAGGAATAAAAAAAAGAAACAACTTACTTGGGCGCTAGTACAACAAAACCATTCTTGAGAATTCGGATGATGCGACCTTCTTCGACTTGCACCTTGTTTCTGAAGAACATGTTCGTGTATAATTCAACGGAGCTGCGACCTGCCTGTTGTGCCATGCGATGACGATGGTTCAAAACTACGGAAAGACGGGGGAAACGTGTTACAAGTTAGATTGAGATCGTACCGTATAATAAAATGTAGCGATTTTTACCATCGCATAGATCTTTCATGGCATTTGTATCAAACAATTCTGAACCATATTCAGCATCGGGGTCAATGGAAGCTTGCAAAAGACGATGAACAATGACATCCGAGTAACGACGAATAGGCGATGTGAAATGGGTGTAAATAGGCGTTGCCAAACCATAATGCTGGAATTCGGCCTCGTTGGCTCTACCAGAGCAGAAATATTGCGCTTGCATCATGCAACGGGTACACAAAATGCGAACAAGTTTGTTAAAATAGGGATCGCCTGGTATCTACATTCAAACAAAACTGTGAGCATCACTGATCATCACATCACTTTTTCATCTCTTACCTCTGCTTTATCTAATGAATCGGCCAAGGCTTTGGATGTATCGACTTCTAGAGTAATATTCTTCTCTGCCAATGCTTTACGAAGCGTATCAAAGTTATTCACTGGGGGCGCACCGTGTTTACGTAAAAGAGCCGAACTGGGGAATTTTGAGTAGATTTTTTCGGCCACGGAAATGTTGGCGAGTAACATGAATTCCTCCACGAGTGCATTGGTTTCTTTGAGTTCTTTCATCTCCACATCGACGGGATCCTGTGAATCGTTTTCAAGGTTGAACCGGACTTCAGGACTGGACAATGTAAGCGCACCACGCTCGATACGCTTCTTTCGCAATTTTTTGGCAATCTCGTTCAACACACGGATGCCCTTTGTCACATCGTCCTGCATGTGTCTAAGGACCAAATGAAAAATGTTAAATCGATATTAAAAAACCATTGTTCCATCACTAATCAAGTGACCTGGCTACACTTACACATCGTCGATACGGGCTTGTGCTTCCTCATAAGTAAAGGAGTGTTTGGAGCGAATGATACTCTTGGTGAAATCGACATTTACAATTTCCGCATCCTTGTTCAATTCCTAAGCATATGTTGATGAGTACTCCGTTCGATAAGCTTTCCTTGATCTTAAAATAATTTACCCAGATACATGAAAACGCAAGACGGTCCACATTCGATCGAAGGGAACAAAGGTCTAATACACCATCATATTTTAGCATCATGACACACAGTTGAATTTTCGAGCACGTCGAACTTACTTGTTCCAAGTAAAGCTGGCAACATGTCAATCCTTTTATCGACCAGGTACACTGTAGTGCCTCTGGATGCAGCTTCTGCGTCCATGGCTTGTCCAGGCTTGACAAAATATGTCACATCGGCAATATCTGGTTGTCTCGTTTCAGTATCTTTTGTTTTCTTTCCCTTTCTGCTATTCGTCTGAATCATTTAATTTTACTTACGAACACCGACTTCATAATTTCCATTCTCGAGCGGTCGCATGTGTAGCGCATCATCAATATCCGTACATCCTATACACCGTGAAATCAGTACTCAAAATAATTATCAGCCTGTTCATTTTCTTTTACCTGGAGGATCGATACTGCAAATATTGAGATGTCTTAAATCACGTCTATTTTCATGTTTTACATGCTTCTCGGTGACCACCCATTCGTCGCCTTCCACTGGAAGGTCATTTAGTACGCTCTTTGAGAATTCTTGATAAGGTACATCGTGCTCCAATAACAAGACTTCCGTTTCGGTTTCCCTGTCACCCGATGCTCCCAACGTTTTCACGAAATGACCCAAGGGTAACCTGTAATAGAAAATCAAATCAGCTTTCTTCTCAATACGATGCTAGGTTTTTTTTTCGGTAATACGTACACAGAGTTGGTGGGCCAGCTATCGACGGCGACGACAATACGTTTGCCCAGTAAAAGTTGTGCTTGTGTTGTGCGAATCTTAATAGCAGGAACTCTTCGATCGATAGGTCGAAACAAAACATTTTCAACCGCATTGGATCCGGGTTTGGAGTGAACCGACTTTTTGACGATAAAACCGCAGTAAGGGCGCCATTTCTTTTTCAGGATACCCACGACCTTGCCTGTAGGTTCAGCTGGACTGTCACTGTCGTTGGTCGCATTTTTCGTCAAAGCTTCCATTTCCTCTTCTCCATGGAACTTTTCTTCATCCTCTTCGTCCTCCACTGCAATAGACACACTTCGCTTCCATTCGCTTTTAGGAAGTAACTGAACGGCAACCACATCACCTTGGATACATCGATTGAGATGTTTTCGTCCCATAATATACACCGTCTTTTCTTGGCCTTCTACATTGCCGACCACAGTAGCCTATTCGTTTGTAGATACGTTTAGAATATTAAGCACTGTGTTTCCATGCAAGGTTGACGTTCTATTTACCTCCAAAACATTATGTGAGCTCACATTGAGCGTACTCACAAAGAGTGTATCCTTCTTGAGACCGTTTTGAATTTGAGCGGGGGACAAATGCTAAATTATGCTCGATTAGCAAACCAATTGATCCGAATTCGCCTTTCGCACGGTAACACTTACTTCTTCATAGACAATTCGGCTTTCCTCATCCTCTTTGGCTTTGGGAGCCGCCAACATGTCCAACAATTCGGGAATGTCTGTCATACTCTTTACATAATCACGAGCTAGACAAATCAACGGAACGAGAGAGATCAACACAGGCTCGCCTTCAAAGGGAAGGAAAAAAATAGTTCAAGGCTTACTGGAAAAGGCAACAATGCCGGTTGCCATGGCTTTCTCTCGATTGGCGCGATCGTCACTGAGCAGGACAATCTCGATAGGTTGACCTTTCAAATGATCTGCATACCATTTGGCACTGACACGAATAGCTGATGGGATATCACAAAATGATGAGCGGGGAGAAAATCGTTATTGCCATGCCGGCCAACAATTGTATATGTGCGCTTACCGCGATCGTTACGATCATTGGGAGATTCGTCTTTCAGTTTTTCGATATATGTATCACTATTGGGAATAGACGTAAGAACATGCATACTATTACTATGATTAAAATGGTCACTTACCGGTGATGTTCGTTGGCGAACAAATAAAATCGTTTGTTCTTATCACTCAACAAGGCATTGATTCGATTGTAGACGGGAAGGCTCAGGTGACGCAGTTCTTCGCGGACGGTTTGCAAAACAATAACATCCTTGATGGCCGAATGTTCCATAATGTCGAGTTGATTCATAAATACATTGGTATCCGGGAGCAAATAGTGAGGTTTGATTTCGGTCGTATGTCGCGGTACGTCCGACAAGACCGCTTGGGCTTGCTCGCATGTCGTGCATAATTTCGAGGAACAGGTGATATCGTCACGAAGGTAATGCTCTTTGACAACTTTGATGACATTGCCTTTGCGTGTGCGTCTGACAAAAGACTTGGATCTCAGCATGATGTCGTTTGATCTATGAGCAAGCAGGGAAGCCACCTTGCAGAAAAAAAAAATGTCTAGGCCAATAGAAAAAAAAAATGCGAGCCATCAGCATAGTGTGACTGCTGAATATCGGGTCTCGGCTGGAGACAAAATCATGCATTTTTAGCCAATGTTCTATTGTTTGTGAAATCCTTTGCTTACGCTTATCTCGTCGACCCATCCACAATTTTCGATGTGTTTGGACTTTACTCATCGATTTTCATCCGATTTTGGCATTCTAATCATGGAATGCGTGACAAACACTACTCGCACCGAATATTAAGGAAGCGTTCCATCGATGCTGAGTGACTTTTCAACTCAGATCTGCATCTTTTGAGGCAGCTCAGATTACTTCCATGTTTCTGTAAAAGGTGCCGCTTATTTAAACTTCTTCTTTTCTCATTTAATAGAAGTTTCAGATCCATCAGCGGGATTGGAAAGCTTAATGTCAGAAAGAATTCACCTGAGAACTCAACGTACTCGGATATATCCATTTGTTTTCTGTTAGGCAAATTGAACGTTGGCCCACGAAAAAAAAAAGCTGGGAGAGGTTTAATTTAAAGGAGACAATTGCAAAGGGGAAGCAACAGTTGCCACTGTTTGCTGCATGTCACGTGCATCAAGGCACAGACACGAGAACGGAGGACGAAACCCTTTCAATGTCAGCTTCCGGAAGGATCGAGGGCGATCTTTGGAAGCATGGATGGTCTGGCGAAAGAAAGAAAAAGATCAATGTCAGTTATATTTAACCTTATTGCTACGATATGTATTTTAGTGTTCATTTCCCATTTCGTTCCATGTGCTTAAGGCGGCCTACAATGAAGGTGCCCACGCCATGCTGTACCGGCATGCAGAATACTGTTAACTCCAAATCTGGCAGTCACTCAGTGTGATTTTCTGGCTGCGATCTGAGTGCAGCCTTAATCCTGGTGGATGCGTTTTTTTTCCCTCGTATTCTTCCCCAGGATAAAAAGAATTTTTTTATTTCTTTATTTGTTTATTTTTTTTTTCTTTCAATTATTTCACGTTTCCTTTTACTTTCCTTCTTGTTTCCTTTTGCAACACGCGCCGACGTCGAACCAGTGTGGTGATATATTTTCATTATGCCGCTGCTTGACAGCAAACGTATACCTCTCGTTGCGCCTATACCTTATGACTCGAAACGCAAACGAAAAGAAGTGTGGTATCTTCGTTTTACAAACGAAATATTCACAAACTACGAGTATCCTTTTTATGACCTATTTTTGTTGGGTCTGCACCATGCTCACGTCAAGCATGGCCTGCTGTATCATTATGGCGCTAATCTCATTGCTATTCCTTTGGCAGATGGATGCACTGATAAATGCCAGGGACGGAATGCGGTCTCGGTGTTATGCATCTGCCCTTTCGTATACCATGTGGGACATTTCCATGCCAACGTCCGAACTGTTTGTTGGGAGATGGGGGTTTTCCTCATTGACGTGTTTTTTTTTTATCCTTAACTGTATCAATTGCTTTTTTGTTGGAATAGATCCTATATCAATCGACTCATGTTATATCAGCAATCGATCTGGGAATGCGAAGTGACCGGTAGACGCAATTTAACGTACGAACAAGCATTGGAAAGCGAGAGAATCGACGATGACCGGTACCGAGCCGAATTTCGATTCTGTGAAGTGCTTCGAAAACGCATGCTGCTTCGAATCCAATTTCGTAAGTAGACCAACTAACACTAAGCCAATGATTACGGCCATGGTGATAACGATCGGCATAGAAACGGTTCGGTTGGATGCTCTCGTCAATGATCTCCTTAATTATTTTGGATCGGATTTCGCCGTGGGTGAGATTACCCACTGCATGTTGGGGGAGAATATGTAAGTGATTGCGCATGGCCTTGAAAATTACTTGGTGCAATTGTCGTAGTGATACTAGTCCGTTATTGTCATTCCAGCTATCTCGTAAGAATTCTCGATGTACTCCCCCAACCGCATACGGGCGATTATTATCGTCTCAAGCGCAATCGACCGACCAAGGCCGCCAATCATGTCAACGACGGACTTACTTCCGATACCACCGAATCCGATGAGGATGATATGCCGCGTCAACCGAACGGACGACTACGATTTCCCGATGCCTTTTTACATCCCACGCCAGAAACACGGACCGAAGCGAAACGCGAATCGTCCGTTGAAATGGACGACGTTCCGGCAGAAAAGGACGAAGTATGGTTCCAGCCAGTACGTTACCGAGTGCAGTTGATCGACAAATATGGCCAGCCTTTGGAAGATTTTGCACGAATCGTCGAAGCCCACGAGATCAAGTATGATATACCTAATTACAAACGATGAACCTTACCAACGGTTAATAGACGTGACAAGCGCTCTTTTTGTCGCTTTTTGATCCAGCGTTTTATCCGAGAATGTGCCCTCAAAGACAGCTACGTAGGCGCTCCCTGGCTGATCAAAGTAAGCATTGGGGACACACATGCAACATGTACCGCACACTCATGGTGATTTCATATGTTCTCTTCCTCCCTTTTTTTTTTCTGCAAACGATAGCCGAATGTCGCACAAGAGTACGGTATTAGCACGACGTTACCGCCGCATCTTCAAGAAGCACAAGATCTCGCTTATGCCAAGGCAAGGAAACGGAAAGCAGTCAAAACACCTGATGAAAAAGAAGCCGAGAAACGGGCACGTAAAGAAGAAACCTTGCTGCAGAAAGCGAGAAGAAAGGAAGAAAAGGAACGCCAACGCGAAGAACGGCGTAAACAATCCGCTATCAAATACCCAATCGAAGATTTGGATCTACCGATTTACCGAAAAGATCCCAATATCAACTGGACTTTGATCGACCTCTCGCCCAACAAATACCCCATCGATCATGTCCACATCCCTTATCCCAGCGGGGGCCGACCTGCGCGTCCTCCTCCTCACAAACTATCATGCTTACCTCATGATCTCTTTGAACAATTTCTCGCCATTTGGACCTTCCTTTCCGTATTTTCCAAGCCATTGAAACTCACGCCATTCAGCATTGATGAATTTGAACGCGGCTTATTTCACAACCAGCATCAACCTAAACCCACCGTCATTGTAGAAAGTTATGCGTGTCTTTTGAATGTCATTATTCGCGAACGGATCGATGAAACGGCCAATGAAACGATCAATGGTGAAGTTGTGGAAGATTTTCTGGATAATTTGGAACAACAGGAGGACAGTGATAATGGATCGCAAGATTCCAGCGACGATAATCAGGCTCTAAAACGGTTACAGCAATTGGGTGTCGAGCGCGGATGGCGAGATCAAGAGCAGTTGCGAATCATCAAAGACTGGGATGATAAAGAGATTCGATCAAGTCATGATCGACGGGGCTGGGAAACCAAGTTGATTGGTTGTTTAAACGATGTGGCCACACCTGATATAATGCCTGGTCTGGATGCTATTCTTGCTCATTTGGTCCCACGACAACCATCCACCGCGGCGGAACGGGAAAAGCAATTTCCCACCTTGACTTTGCAGCAAAAACTCGCCATCCTCGGTTTCTTGGTGGATGTTGTCAACGAATCCAACTTGATCAAGTATGTCAAACGAGATGAGATCGTATCTTTATCAGCCTACTCACTTTATCTTGCAGAGAATACATGGAACAATGTCAAGAGCAATTGACAGAATTCCGAAGGCAAAAAGTGGAACTCAACAAGGAAAGCAAACAATTGTAAGTGAGAAAAAAGGTTGGGAGCCAAGCGCCAGCGAGGTTCACATCGCTGATTTATTTTTATTTCACGTAATTGTACGCGCGGATCAGAATTGCTCGTCGGATACAGTTGGATCGTCGTGATCGACTGGACGATGCCGATAAAGAATCAGAAGAAGACGAAGATGAGGACGAAAGCTCGGAAGAAAATGAGACATCGGAATCCTCGTCGGACGATGAATCTAATGACGAATCCTCCGGTGATATGTAAGTGGGGTCATAGCAGAGATGCTAAAGAGTAGGAGTTCCAGGGCATGGTGTTAATCCCGTCTTTTTTTTTTAAAAAAAAAATAGAAGTTCTCGTAGACGAGGACGAGGTGCGCTTTCTCGGCAGGAAAAGGTCAAGCAAAAGCAGAAAGAACGGGAAGAACTGGAGGCAATGAGGAAGCGCATGTATGAAAAGCAGCGAGAAGCTGCCCGAGCCCGAAATCTTGAATTAAAACAAAAAGCAGAGGATCGGCGGAAGCTCGAGGAAGAAGAGAAAGCATTACGTAAAAAGGTTGGTAGAAAAGCCGACTTGCGCAGGAAAAAAAAAAAAGATGACTTGATGAGTGAACACATTTGGATAGGAGGAGGATTTGGAAAGGGATATGCGACGATACACATCATTGAGAATCAAACTTCTTGGACGCGATCGATTTTATAATCGATACTTCTTTTTCGATAATATTTGCCATACCGACACCTATGGCACGGGACGATTGTATATTCAAAGTCCAAGTGATGTGGATATCCAGATGATGATGGAACGCGATTATGCTACAGATTTGCCTGATCAACCGTGGGGCCGAGGAGGCGGATGTCAGTTTACGTTGGAATTAATGAAAGCTCAGGGGTTGCAAGACGAAAGCCAGTGGCTGGAAAGACGCATGCTTGAACTGAGCGGAAAAAAAGAACATGATCCCAGCAGCGATCAAGGATGGTGGTGTTATTACTCTGAACCAGATGAGGTAAGCAGCTGTGATTTTCACGGGATAGAAGAAGCCGTATAATGGATCGTCAAGTAATATCCGGTGACTTGGTCTTTTAGATCCAGGCGTTACTTGCGTGGTTGAATCCCAAGGGTCATCGCGAGTTTAAACTGAAGAACGAAATATTAAAACAACAAACTAATATCATGGAATCATTGAAAAAGCGCGCTGAGGTACTGTCAAGCAAATAAAAAGAATGATCTTTGACATGAATGTATTTAAATTTCTTCTTTTTATTTATTGATCATTACAGATGCTTTCTCGATCAGAATCTTCCTCCAAGCGTGTCACACGCGGCAAAACCAGTTCCTCTAAAGAACCGGACTCGACGCTTATCAGCAACAATCATCAAAAAACTGGCAAATAAAAAATATGCGTTTGTTAAAGTAAAGAAGCCAAAACAATGGAAAAAAAAAACGTGATATTGTATTGTGCCTGAATGACTAAAACTCCGGACCCTGGGGGGTTTGGTTACGCCTCGGTATGGTGGCTTGGATACGTCTTGCCATCTACAATTTTTATGCCTGTGAGCCGGTAGTTTGTCACAGAAAATACATACCATGTTCCGTCTCACTTCACGAGTGGTTGCTTCAGCTCCAGCTTGCAAAGGTGTATCCGAACTTTTGCACAAACGGTTTTATAAACTTAGCGTGGGTCAAATAAAAAAGGGACAAATTGTTCAGTTCCGTGACAAAGCATGGCGAGTACTGAATCGAGATCATTCCTCCGCAGGAAGAGGAGGCGCGGTCATTAAGGCAATATTTCACAAATAGAAAGAGCGTAGCTGCTGATGATTAAAGTTTTTTTTTTTTTTTGTAGATGGAATTGCAAGAATTACAAACCAATGCCAAAACCAACGAACGGTTCAAGTCGGGCGATAACTTGGAAAGTAAGCGACCTCCATGACGATGAAAAAAAGACTGGAAGACTGGAAGAGATTTATTCATTCATTGTGAACCAATTTAGTTCTGAATCTTCAGGATGAAAACTATCAATATCTGTATTCTGACGGCAACGCTGTTCATCTACTGCAACCTGAATCGTTTGAAACCATTGAAATGTCAGCCGATGCTTGTGAAGGTGGCGACCGTGCTTTAAGTTTCCTGGAAGGCAAGTTTTTGGTTTCAAAAGCCGCCAAAATTACCCTAGAAGGGAACAATAGATGCCGTTGTGTAACGTTTGAATCTAATGCGTCAATGTAGATGGTATGCCTATTGCTGTCAGTTTTCTGACGACGCCTGAGCATGGACGTAAACCATACACATTTAAATTACCGCCGAATCATACATTCACGGTTGCGTCGGTGACCGAACGGGGTGGACAGGCTGCCAAGGGCACCGTGTTCAAGAATGCTACCTTGGAGAACGGAGCTAATGTCCAAGTCCCCGAATTTGTGAACGCCGGTGATAAAATCATCTTGGATCTAGAGACGATGAAATACATGAAGCGAGACCTTGCCAAATAATAATGAAAAAATAGAAAAAAGCTTCATCTTGGTTTCAATTGGACTTTTTGTTTTGGGGAAAAACGTCACTGGAATTCTGACCAATAATGCCCATCATTGGTTCAGTTGCGGGGAAGCCGGATCATCGTTCCTTCGAAATCATCTCCACCTTTTTTGTTTTTTGTTACTGTTACTGTTACCCATCTATCCACTCGCACCTTTAAGCACTTGACTCCATTTTATTCCTTTCAAGCAGCAGACTACAAATCTTATTACTTATCTCCCCCGTGCATCCCCGTTGACCATTTAGTTCTTTTAACCACATGGGCAACGCTGTCAATTGGTGGAAACAATTTGCGTAAGTGATCTGACGTCAATCCACTTTTTGTTTCAAACATGAGTGTTGATTGTTTGTGATTTTCACTTTGTAGAGAAAATCATGAAAATATAAAACATTCCATTGCTGGCGCTGGCGCTGGTATCGTTTCCTCCATTGTGACTTGTCCTCTCGATGTTGTCAAGACACGTTTGCAGAATCAAGGAAAGGCAGAACCAGGCAGCAAAGCAATGTATAAAGGCACACTGGGTGAGTCATGCTCTCTTTGTGGAGCTTTGGTATTAAAAGAATGAGAGGATCGAGGCTCATGTATTGTCTTATGCTTGTCAAAGGTACCTTGTCTCGTACATGGAACGAAGAGGGTATTCGAGGTTTATACCGAGGATTAGGACCGACCATTTTAGGCTATCTCCCTACATGGGCTATCTACTTCACAGCATACGACTACTTCAAAATCCGGTGGGCTCATATAGGTAGGGTCCATGGTTGACGAAATCGTGGCCATGACATAATTTTTTGTTGCCTTTTTCAAAATCCGGTGTCTTATGCGTCACCTAGGTGAAAACAATCGTGAGTGGATGTTGCATATTGCCTCGGCCATGTCTGCTGGGGCTATTTCCACGTCATTAACGAATCCATTATGGGTCATCAAAACACGGTTTATGGTAAGAAGGAAGTAAAAAAAAAAAAAGAGGGCAAAAACCACGGTTCTTGGTTCGTTGACTGATTTGGGTTTGACAGACACAAAGCGAACTTACCCCTTATCGCTATAATAATACCTTGCATGCTTTTATAACTATTGCCCGAGAGGAAGGGTTTCGAGGATTTTACAAAGGCCTTGGACCGTCTTTAATTGGCGTCAGTCATGTAGCCGTGCAATTCCCGCTATACGAGAAACTGAAAGTTTGGTTGCGTAAGCATTACAATAGGACGTCAGATAACCCACTTTTTTCTCATCATGCAAAAAACAGATGCCGATACCAATGCCCCCGGTGCATCCACTTCAATTTTGGTAGCTTCCTCTCTCTCGAAAATGGCAGCGAGCGTGGCCACTTATCCGCACGAGGTAAATTTCGTTGATGTTAGTCGATGTCGGCTTGGACTCATGTCAACGCGGCTTTTTTTTGTGCAGGTGATTCGGACCCGGCTTCAGAATCAAACTCGAAAACCGTACAAGTATCGAGGCATATGTCATGGACTTGCGGTCATTGGCAAAGAAGAAGGTTTCCGTGGTTTTTATAAAGGCTTACCCACCAACTTGATGAGAACCGTGCCCTCCTCGGCCATGACCATCCTCACCTATGAACTTCTCGTTAGAAAATTGGAAGGGATCAAGGACTTGTAATATTTGTTTAGCACTCTCATTCTATTGTATTGTACATAATATAAAAAAAAGGAAAGTAAACGAACCAGCCCGTTTATTTTATTTTTATAAAGCACGGTCATCACCGCCTGTGAACAAACAAAACCACTACTTGGTGGAATTGATTTATTTGGACTCTTCAAGCAAAATCACGACTCTCAAACGTGTTCTTTGAAGGTGATACATTTATTGTTTGGGGTTACAGCAAGTGGACAAAAAATCTTTATGTTACAAGTACGGTTTACAAAGAAAAAAGGTGGAGAACCACAAGGAAACAATTGTCTACAATGTTCCAATAACATCAGAACTGTGGCGTAAAATCGATCTACTGTATAATGACATTTGCAATAAGAGTTTGCTATACATTTTTTTTTGAGAAAAAAAGATACGTTGAAAATGCAGGGGATCATTTGCATGTTTACGCTGCGCCCTTTTCCGCAACATAATCAGCTTCTGTTTGGGTACGTGCCACGGCTTCGTCGCGCCCAATGGCGTCGTCAGCGACATCAGTGTCATCATTCTTGTGATGGCAAAGGTAAAATAGGATAGCACATACACCTGAGGCGATGGAGATACCGGTATACATCCAGAGCAACTTGGGGTCTACAGCAACCGAGACAAGAGCAAAGGCAAGGATGGAAGCGAAACAGTTGGCCAGCAAGAACAGAGCCATGACAATGGATTTCATTGACTGAGGTGCTTTCTTGTACGCGTATTCGAGACCAGTAATGGAAGCAAAGATTTCGGAAATGGCGATGAAAACGTACGAGGGGATCTGGTAAGCGGCTGAGATCCAGTTTTGACCATCAGGATGGTCGTAGTATGGAGGCGTTTTGTAAATCATGCTCTGAATACCAGCGGTGTAGCCCATAGCCACAGCTGCGAAGACGAAGCCTAGAGTGATACGGACCATCGGACGCATAGGGAATCCGAGACGTCGAAGTCCGGGGTAAATGACCGAGTCCATGATAGGAATGATGATAATCAAAGCAATGGGGTCGATATTTTGCATGATATCATTCGGCACATTGCCAGTTAACATGGTCGAAGCTTGAGACACCAAGTTGTTGGTCATTTGATTATAGCACAACCAATAGATGGGGAACCAGCAAAAGACAATACACGCGCGAAGAGCACGCTTCAATTCGTCGACAAAGACGTCGTCCCAAGTCGCTTTGCCCACCAAGTCGGGGTGATCACGAGCCAAGTTGGAAGGTTTGCAGGCTTCCATACCGCCTTTGACGCTCCAGCTAAAGTAGAGCAATTTACCGGCTTCGATGAAGACGGAACCGCGAGGAGGGTTCTGGACATACTGCTTACGACCAAGCAATACGACGATGACGCAAGGTACGAACATCAGCGTGGGCAACAAGAAAGCCGGCCAGAAACCGACGTTCTTTTCCATTTCCGTGGTTGCAATAGCCGACAAGGAACCAATGTTGATACCCCAGTAAAACATGTTGAAAATTTTCTGGTAGGTTGCCTGAGGCGTCACGATGACACGTTTGCCGTTCTTGAGAGTTCGAATAAAGGGGGACCGGCTGCGGTACTGTTCAGCCACCAGTGGGGACACATTGGCCTTGATACCACCGGTACCCAGGCCGATAATAATTATGGCGACCACAAAACCGGGAAACGAGGCACCACTTGCAATAGCCGGAGGAATAGCCGTCAAGGTAAGAATAATAAGACCCGTCATGTAAATGCCAGCAAATATGAGAATGGTCTTGTATTTTCCCCAGAATTGATCGGCAACAACAGCACCAATAACCTTTGGAATTGGAAAAAATAAAGCAAGCATTTTAGCATTGGCAGTCGGTCATCACCACCTTCAAACACTTACAGGAGTAATATAACACCAAAACTGGAAGAATGTGTTTAGTGCTGTAGCCGTTTGCTGACCTTTATTCATTGCTCCCGGTTGAGCAGCAGGGTCTAGTGAAATTAAAGTGAAACATCAGGATTATTGAGTCAGAGATACAAATGCAATTGGCGTTTGATGAAAAAGGGAAAAATCACCTACAATGATCCGGATTGGGATATTGGATATAATTTTGGAAAGGTCCGGTTAAACCATAGTATGTAAATCGTTCACACAGTTCGATGAGAAGAACCAAGTACGCTGCTTTGGGAACATGGTCAGCCACTTCTGGAAGATTTTTCCAGTCTTCTTCCGTCGGCGCGGCAGGCATGAAGGATTCGTCGTAGGGCGGTACAGCGTCGTCATACGTATTCGCGTCCAGCTGGTATTTCATTGACTGATCGGTTGCATCTGTTTTTTCTGTCATTGTGGCACGATGACGAAGAGGAAAAGGTCGTTCGAGAAAACGGGTTTCAAAGTCGATATAAAGATTGAACAGGAAGGAAGAAAACAGAAATTAGGTTGTTCTCTGGCTCGACTTAAAGATACAGAAAAAAAAATAAGCTAGCCTATAAAAAAATGAAAACTTTTTTTATACCAATTGAAACAACGCCGACGATAACGGACGCTTGCGTGGAGCAAGAATGATAGGACGGCAACAGAATATTTGAGTTTCGTTTTTTTTTTAGCACTAACTGCTTATTGATATGCAGCATCTTTATTTGATGCGGGAATTGAGTTGGATTAACCGCGATGGCCGAATCTCCCGGTTGATTCTGTTTTCAGTCTTTGAATAATAAACCGATCTGAACCTCCACTTTTTTTCATGCGTTACTTGACATGCCACATCTACTTCCGTTTGCTTTTTCCCTTATCTTTCTGATATACCGTATATGGTATGATCTATCAGTTTTCAATGTCAAATTTCTCACGACCATTGTACGATGCTATCGGTAAAAGGCCTTTTTAAGGTAAATTCGACCCTATTTTTGTCCAAAATTGGAGAAATTCTCTTGCTCATCGTGAGAATTTCATTCAACTCCGCACAGGCTTTTTGATAGTCCGATGACGAATAAAGTTACTCAAGGTTGGAATTGGCTCATCGATATTTAACATTATTGGCACCTGATCCACCGTCAGTCACACGCTATTATTGCGGTGGTTTTTTTTTCCTCTCCCTCTTATCAGAACGATGCTTCCCGGTGAATAGCTTTTCCCGAATTTTTTCGGTAGCTATCTCCTCCTATAAAGCTCGACTAGACTAAAAACGGCTGATCATTGAAGCTAAAAAAGATTGAATGATTGTGATGCTTTTCGCATGCCATCCATTGTCATTGGTTCATTCGATGATGCAGGGTTCACATCGTTTGACGTTTTTGTATTGACAATTCGCACATGGCAAATAACTGGCCTTGAAAATCTTATGTAACATTTCCTGGCTTGGCATCATGATAAGAAAACCGGACAAGCTCTGTCCACGCATACGCGCTGTACGCCAAATTCTATCGCTTCAATTGAAATCAAATCCACCACGGAAGATCGAGGGGTCAATTAAATCATCCAACTACTATTGGAAAACAAGTGTGCAATCATCGACAGGCCGCCGGTGATGCCTGTGGAGTCCCGAAATGTCACTTTCTTATTTTTCGACAAATATGGTTACAAGTTGATCATCTTATTTCACACGGTTGCAGACATGATTTGCAGCTGCAGTACAAAACTCAGTACACTGTTGATGAACTAACGAGACTAACTCTACTTGTTGGTAGTATGATCATTTTTGAAGGATACTTGGGATGATATGGATTACAATACCATGGTCTCTTTTCCAAATTTCACATGCCCTTGATGTTTTTACCACAAAGAATTATACCCTGACGTGAGAGCCCTATCAATATCTGTGAATAACCCTTTTATTTAAACTAAGAAAAAATGTATCGGCAGCCTTACTAGCTTATTCAGGCATATGGGCTTATGGGGTGGCATGGCGACTGCAATATTCGTAGCTGTGCCGACATCATCGTTTTTCAACGTATTAAGGAGACCTGTGTCTAGACTTCATAGCTGTTCCGCAAATACTTGATACGCTAGTCGTTTTTCTTGAACCCTGGGATATATGCAGGTTCAACTCTGATTCGATCTATCATTGAATGAGTTTCGTTAATGGTTCGTTATCATCCCGGAGACTTTTATGGATATTTGTCAGAAAGTGGTACGGCCAGCGTGGCAGCGTTATCTTGATTATAGCCTAGTGTCGAGGCGGCACTCAATACCTGCAAACGGAGTGGGGGTTGGGGGTCGAGCGTTGGAGAGGGAGGCTTCCGAAACGGATTTGACCATGATGACCATGCATAGAAAGATGTATCATAGTCCGTGTATGCTGCTGAAAATCCAGAAAGCAAATCGCGACTACAGTAGTGTACTGTAGTTCGCTGGCGTTTGCAAAATCCTACATGGCATCTCCGTTAGTAACCGTAGGTGACTTTGGAAAAGGCACACCAATGACTTCTCGTGCTAACAATGCGCAGCTGTCAACGGTGAATACCTAGCTTGAGAGCATGTTTGGATTGTTTCAAACACTTACCAATTACATGTCTACCGGTTTATAGAATGATTGCGTGAAACTTGTGTGGAGATCGAATCTTCTTTCGGGAGGATAGAATTATCCACAACAACGTGCAGCGAACGTTGTAAATTTTAATTCCGGACACCTCACTTCAAAATGAGAGTCATTCCTTTTCTTTCTCTCTAGGTCGCTTACACCCCACTTCCACCCAATTGTTAACAGTTCGTTCTAGGGTCTTACGGCAAACGCGTGATACCAAATTTTCAGAAATAGACACTGTTAACGTTGCTTACCATGCAATGTAAATTGCAACATTAAGAAGAATCATTGAAAGAGAGGGTAGACTGAGCTCTGATCGGATTGTAAGGTTGTGAATAAGTGGCTGCCTGATCAACAAAACAGCGAGCTTGTGCTTGATGCAAAAATATGTATGCGTACTGTATCTACTATACATTAGTAATTTGTTTTTTCTGCTTTTATAGATCACCTGATCTTGTGGCCTTGCATATACTCTATTTGTTTCTTCTTACACTATGTTCAACTGAATGGATGACATGCATTGGCTTTTTGGAATATTTAATATGACATACCCGCTGTTACCAAAATGAAAATCATGACAATCAATCAACCTCGCTTTGTTTCAACCATCAGAAATGGGATGGTTGTCATTGCATTTGTTTCATTGCCCATTATGAGTTTGTGCAAGCCTCCCTTGGTCCACCACTAACAGATCTGAGAAAAGAAAGCCAAAAGAGATACAAAGTTTGTTTGTTTGCTACATTGGTCCCAGCTTGTCGTCAAATCGTTCTTCCCTTTTACTTTTTCATTTATTCCCATTATGCCCGGTAGTCGCTGTCATTTAACGGCTCATGCAAGGAGCAGTAAATGGCTATGTCCTTATTACGTGACTAGATGGCGCCTCAAGTTGCTACATGAAGGGGCTGAATTCTCTCTGCCGAAACACAGCTAATGAAACACAGCATGCCTTCTGATCTGACAATTGACATGGGAACAGTTGGTGCACTCCAAATAATTCGGCCAACACCACATGCACGCGAAAATTGAATTTGTTGGCCGGCTCAAGATGAATAGCACATGCAAGTTCGCTCTTTACTGACATACTTCCACATCAGATGTTGTATCAAGTATGTAAAAATACGATAATGTTTATGCATAGATATGCCTTATTTTTATATTTTACTGTTATCATCGAGTCCTAATCTACGGCATGCTGATTGATATGTAGGTGAGAGCGATGGCCACATTAATTTTTGGAATCCCTTCTCGAAAGCAATGAGGTACCAATGACGCTTCTCTTTTTGTTCCAAATACAGCATAATGGGCCGGTATTCACTTGAGGGGGAAGAACGAAGCGGAAGATAGAGAATAATTCCACCTGTTTCTGAGTACACAGCCACTGCTCGATTGAATGCACCTACGACTATTTTGGGGCGATCCAGCATATCGAACCAACATCTGGAGGGCGGTTTGTCATCAAAATTACAGTGGTAGTAAAAATGGTTCTCGAGATTGTGATTTTTTGACGTTTTTATGGCTGGGCGGATTTTCCTCATAAAATCTGCAATTTTTTTTTCCATTTCCATAATCAGCGACCACTTTTTTACTATAGTGCACATTTTCAGTCATCTCACGTCAGTTCTTCTCATCCTCATTTCAATTACTTCATGGAAGCATCTCGAGAACCATTCTTGTCTTTGGTGGAGATACAAATGTCATTGTAGAAATGCGCACATAAAACACACGAACATTTTCTAAAAATGGATAAACAACAACACCTTGATATAGTAAGCAAAACAGAAGTCTTTAAAAAGTATCCTCATACTAGCATTCTTGAATCCGCCTTTCTCTAATCACCATTTCATAATCACGACCCTAACATGCACCAAAAGCTGACTGAAGATAAGCTTAACAGCATCAAAGTGCATCTTTTGAACGGCAAAAGCTTAAAGAAAACTGCAGCTGCTTTGCACTTGTCTGTTAGTGTTGTTTCAAAGTATGCGAAACAGCTACTCCCTGATCGTACTAATGGTGATGCTAGGCGGCCATCACTTTTCTCGAAGACCACGGCCGCCTCTGTTCGTAGAAAAGTCCTCACAGGGGAACTCAAGACCGCTGTTGAGGTACACAAGTACTGCCTTGGTCTCGGCATTGATTGCCGCTACTCATCCATCCGTAATCTGATGAAGAGATTAGGCTTCGAATCCCACTTTAAGGTAAAGAAGCCTCTCCTTACTGCCAGGCACAAGAAGGCAAGACTGGAGTGGGCGAAAGCCCACCAAAATTGGACTATTGACGACTGGAAGCGAGTTGTTTGGTCAGACGAGACCAAGATCAACGTCTGGGGTTCTGATGGCTGGTGATCCCTTGAAACCCCATCATCTTGATCTCACTGTCAAGCATGGCAAAGGTGGAATCATGATGTGGGGTTGCCTCACTTATAAAGGGCTTGGGTATGGCTGCCAGATTTTTGATGGTACTATGAAAAAGGAGGACTATGTTTATATCTTGGATACTACTTTGCGGCACACGATCAACCATTTCGGCTTTGATGAAGATGCCATGATCTTCCAGCAAGACAATGATCTGAAGCATACCAGCAAGTACACCAAGGCGTACCTTGAGTTGCAACGGTATTCTGTTTTGCCTTAGCCTGCTCAGTCGCCGGATCTTAACCCGATTGAGCACATCTGGCACCACTGAAAGTTGAAATTGAGTGCTTACGATCGCCAGGCTAAAGGTGTCCATGAATTGTGGGATCGCATAGAAGTAGAGTGGGAAACTTTTTCTGTAGAGACCTGCCGCAAGTATATTGAGAGTATGCCTGCACGGGTTGAAGCTGTAATGAAGACTAAGAGTGGATTTAACCAAAGACAAGGATGGTTCTCGAGATGCTTCCATGAAGTAATTGAAATGAGGATGAGAAGAACTGACGTGAGATGACTGAAAATGTGCACTATAGTAAAAAAGTGGTCGCTGATTATGGAAATGGAAAAAAAAATTGCAGATTTTATGAGGAAAATCCGCCCAGCCATAAAAACGTCAAAAAATCACAATCTCGAGAACCATTTTTACCAACACTGTAGGGTAAAGAGCATATCTTAGGAAGTGGAACCACAACGCAAATCAGGCACACCAGGAATCATACATGGGAAAAAATTAAGGGTAAGCATTGAAGATGGAGTGAATGACACAAGTAGTTAATTGAAAAAAAGAAAGCTTCAATAACAAATTAGCGCAAGACGTAGTCGTCATCGCTGGCCCATATTTTTTTAGTGGTAAGCATGAAGACGAAGTGAAAATTACAAGTAAACTAACCGAAAAAAAGGAAGGCGTTCAATAGTGAAATAGCATAAAAAGTGATCGTCATCTCTGGTCTGTATTTTTTTACTGGTAAGGCACTAAGACGGAGTGAATGACGCAAGTAGTAGTTAATCAAAAAAAAGAAGCTACGCATTAGAATGGCAAAGGGTGCAAGAATTGGCTGTCATCATCAGGTCGGTAGGGAATGAAGAGGCTAAAATAATGTGCTAGAACCAAGAAGGGAAGGCCAAACTTGTTTTCCAAAATTCAGTAGTGCAGTAAAATTCTCACTGATCCAATTTCTATAACTGCTTTTTGTCGTTTGCAAAGACAAAAAAGATATATATATACAGACGAAAATACGATGGTGAAAGGAAGGTATTACTGTATTTTTTACATATAACAACTATCTCACCACTTGTCCATTCAATCACCATGTCCAGCTTTTCCAGTTCTTTTGAAACCGACGTCTCTGTGCTCGCCAGCTCTCAAGAAGAGTTTACTACCGTTGATGTTTTGGAGAGCCAATGAACCAAGCGTAGTTGGATCTTCACCAATGATCTTGCTCGCCGTGAAAACTATGAAGGCATTCCGCACATTGTCTGCCAGGTAAATTGACTTGATCTTACAGACAACAACTGTCGCTCACCCTTTTTTTTTTATAAGGTGAGGGGCTGCCAAAAAGTTTACGTCAACAGAGACTATTCAACTAGCAACATCCGCCAACATTTAAAAAACCAGCACGGCATCACGGAAAGTAATGCTGACAGACACTCCAGCGCAGCTGCCAGTGGACCTTTGGACAATTTTGTTGCTCAAAGTAAGTTTCTCTCAGGTGTTTTTCATTTGACAATTTAGTATGCTTACCTGAAAACGTTCCTATTGTATCTTTAGGTCAACCTGCGACTGAAATAATGAGAGATACCTGGCGCAGTCTTGTTTCACGCTTTTTGGTGAGAGCCAGTCTCCATTTACGCTTGTCGATTGCCCAAGTTCCATCAACTGGTTGCCACTGCTTCTTCGGTGTGCAACAGTATGATTACTGAGCCTGTCAGCGCTGACACTGCTAAGAGAGACATTGTGGCACTTTATGAAGAGAAGAAGATGGAGATAATGGAGCTCTTGCAGCAGCAAGTAAGTCTCTCATTTACCCTCGATCTTTGGACATCAGAATAGGGGCAAGATTTCTTTGCAATCACGGCCCATTTTATTGACGACAACTGGCAGCAATGGAAGCTTCTAATTGTGTTTGAACACCCTGAAGATCGCCATACTGGTGAAGATCTGGCTGATATCTTCTTGTGCATTCTCGAAGATTTTGGGGTGGTGCATCTCTTGTTCACCATAACCAGCGACAATAGCTCAAACATTGCCAAGATGGCAAAGGTGCTGGAGGAACGATTGATGCAGGATGGCAGATTTTTTTAACAAGGATCACCGTCACTTGCCTTGCTTAGGCCATATTTTGAATCTTGCCGTCCAAAGTGCCTTGAAAGATGGGTTGCATGCAGAACCGTTGGCTGACAATGAGGAAGAGCATGGCCAATCCAGCAATGTGGTATCAAAATTGCGAACCAGGATCAAGATGATTAGGTATGTGGAGTAATACAAAAAATGAAAATAGGCTTTTATCAGAGACTAATTTTACTTGTAGACGATCGACCTCAAAGTACCGAAAGTACTATATTGATTCATGCAAGAGTTTATACCATGAGGTCAAGCAATTGAACCTTGATGTGAAGACTCGGTGGAATTCCACCATGGTGATGGTGAAGTGAGTGCTGAAAGTATGAGAGGCATACAATGAGATGTGCCATTATTTTTCTAAACTTTCTAAATTTGCACTCTCAGATGAGGATGTGACCTATTTGCAATGAGTTGTTGTCCTTTTTTCGATGTTTTCAGGGATGACAAAGGCGGTTTCTTCATCAAGGTATGAAATATAGCTTGAATTTTGAATTTACACAACTTTCTGATGGTTTTGAAAACAGGTATCCTTTGATCAACATTATAGTCTTTGCATACAATATATTGCCCGATCAGATTGAGAGTTTCCGTAATGAAAGAAATCCACCTGAACTCTCTGAATGTTATGCACTGATTACAGGAGGATCAGTGCAAGCTGGACAAGAGGGTGGTGTTAAGTGCTTTCGCAAGACAAGACAAGAAAAGGAATACAGTAAAACAGGAACAAGAACGAAATTGGAACAAGAATAGAAACAGGAAAAGGACTAAGACAAGGACAATACAAGATGGAGAACAAGATAGTATGAGAGAATACACACACAGCACACACAATTCTTGACTGAGGTTTATTTCATAAAAGAGATCAGGTATTTATACTAAAAGATGCGAAACAGAAGAGACAACGATAATAAAATAAATAAATGAAATGCAGAGCATAATATGAGGTAACGCATAGATCAATAAAAGGAGGAAAGACAATGATAGAGAAGAACACAAGACCAAGTATAGGGGTAACCTCATGGACCAGCATAGCAACAGTGAAGGAGTGTGCTTGGACCAATAATGCACATGGTCATGCATTATCACCAAGACAACGTGTGTGCGGGAATGGTCATGACACCGAAGCAGCAAGAAGAGCACAGGAAAAGCTGCAGCAATTTTATGCCAAAACAGACCAAAGCCCTGTGTATGCGACGGCAACAGCATTGGATCCGCAATTAAAGTACATGTACTGGACAGAATAGAACTGGGAGCCAGAGTTTATTGCCAATGCGAAGTGCAAAGTTCAGTCAGCTTGGGCGGAATGGAAGGGCCCTGATCATGTTAAGGAAGACAGAAGTGACGATGTGTGTGATGTGTACCGACCGAAAAGACGCCAGGTGCTTGACTCATTGCAAGCATATGTGGAGGCACCTTTGCTGATTGAGGCCAGACCCAGCAATGACAATGAAGACAGCTGTGAGCTTTTGTTTTGGCGAACTGTGGGGCAAGTCCAGTACTCTCAATTGGCGAAGATAGCATACAAGTATTTTGCCATTTCAGCAACATCAACACCATGTGAGCAGTTTTTTTCTCATGCCAAGCATTTCATTCCTGCGGTGCGCAATCGGTTGCAACCTGAGCTGTTGAAGCAGAGTATCCTTCTAAACTCGTGGCTTTAAGCTCCTCCTCCCATTCTCTTTGTTTTTTTTCGCCTTTGTTCTCCTTTTTCCTCTTCCGTTCACCTTTTCTTCTCTTTTCTTTTTTTCCACTCTTCCATTCTTTTTCTTTTTTTTTCTCTTATATTCTCTTTTTATTTCCTTTTTTTCTTCCTTTTTATATCTTCTACTCTCTTTTCTATATATCTTTTTTCCCCCTTGCATTCTTCCTTTTATACTGTATCTTCCGTTTTCTTTATTTTTTATCCTCTGTTTTTCTTTTTTTGTCTTTGCCATAGTGTGATATAGATGGATAGAGACGTTGAGTACGGTGAGACTGTTGTTTATTCTCGAAAGAGATAATCTCTTTAGTATCTGGTATTCAAAGATAATAACTGGTATCGGGATTTGAATGTACAAATAGTGTGTAACTACTCTAGTGTCTCTTATCTGCTTAAACCGAGGTAATTCTTATGTAGTGGTATATGGACCCTACCTATACGACATTACCCCCCTCCAGGTTGAAGCAGGCTCTGTTACATGGTCATGTCGGTAAAAACCTCTAAAAAACCCTGTGGGAAAAAATACATGAGGAAAAGACTAGCTCATGAATTACAGAGACTTATGCGCTTAGTATGGAATTATCTTTTGAGAACCACCACTTATTGTCTATTGCGCTTACTACGTCTGGGGTTGACGTTTTGTGTTTTACCCTTGCGTTTCACAGACTTATCTTCAGGCAGATTCATTTCTGTCTCGTTTGATCCACGTCTGTTCCAATATTCCATAATGAATGCAGGGTCGGTAAATTTATCAGCGGTGAGCCATTGATCATCCTCGGCACCATAACCTTTCCATCTTACAAGGTATTCGCGTTTGCCTCTAGGACCTTTATGATCAATAATGGCCTGAATTTCGTACAGTTCATCTTCAGGAACCACATCATCTACGTTGATCAGTTTCATTTCAGAGGGCGAAAAGTCTCTGGGCATAAGTGCACCAGTTTCGTCTTGAAGAACATATGATCCACCTTGCGTCTTGCGCAGAACGGTGTATGGGCCTTCATAAATAGGAGCTAATTTACCAGCTCTATTTTGTACCTTGACCATAACGTGACTTCGCTCTGGGAAATCCATGAGTCTGTGCTTGGTATCAAATTTGTCCTTCATGTTGGAACCATGATGCTTCACTTTCTCTTGGAGTGCCGGAAACACAATATCCGTCATGTGTTCCACACGCTTCATCAAGTCTTCATGTGTCATTGGATCTTTCGGTACAGCATTTCTTGAGCGGTAGTCCACAAAGTCATTTAATCGTCTTGCAAACATAAGAGAGAAAGGCGAGGATTGGAGTCGTTTTGATATGCGACTATTGATGTGTAATTGTGTGCTGGGAACATAGTAGTCCCAGTCTTTGCCAGCACCTTCTATCTTTTTCCGCAAGATATGTATCGTTTCCTGTACATGTCGTTCAGCCACACCATTCGCTCTTGGATGGTAGGGTGTGGTCAGCCGATGGTCAATTCCCAGGTGTTCAACAAACTTCTTCATGAACTGATTCTTGAATTCAGAACCATTGTCAGATTGTATAACCTTGGGTATTCCAAAATCACAGAATACTTCGACAAATGCTGTGACGAGTGTATCTGATTGTTTGTTCGGTAAAGCACGTAAAATGCAGAAACGAGTGCAAATATCCACAAGTACCAGAATATAGTTGTTACCGGCATTTGATGTCTTGTGAAAATTGATAAGATCAGCAGCCCAGTGATCTCCAGGAAGGTATGCATAGATTGGTCTCAAGGGATTATAGCCTTTCTGCCCTATGTTGTAGCGTTGACATTCAATACATGACTTGACCAATGTCACAGCATCTTGGAATATATTATTCCAGTGGATACCATCTGCATGGATATGTCGTACGATATGTTCAGCTCCTTCATGACCTCCAAGTAAATGTGCTTTTTCCAAGATACCGTGTCTTTCATTCTCTGGTGGACACATCGTATCATCAGTTGAAGCAACGGATTTAATCCTGAATATTTTGTGTCCATCAGTAGACTTCTTTGATACAACTGGCTTCGGTCCTTTGACGACAATACCCCCCTCCAGCTTGTCATCAGGGATAAACAAGCGAGAAAGAGAGTCAGGGAGAACATTCTGAACACCAGG